CAGTGCGGCGACTGTAGGCACGGGATCGTGGTGGCGGCCAGCGAAAGGGATCCGCGGTGCGTCCAGGTTCAGTGAGCCGGCTGGGTAGCCCGAGGTGGAGTGGGCGAGGGGCGCGGTCGCTGCCGTAACGGGCAAGGAGGTGGTGTCTTTGGACTCGGAGATGCGCTTCTCGATTTCGGCGAGCGTTTGCTGCTCGCGCTCGCGGAGGCGTTTCAGTTCCTGCGCGACGCGGTTTTGGATCTCCAATTCCAGGGCTTTGGCGCGGGTGGAGTCGGTCTGTTTCATTGGTGGGTTGTGAGCTTTCTGAATTGAGCTGGGAATTTGTCTAGAGCCATGTTGTGCTCACCTCTGAGGTCGATTGGAGTGCATCGACTAGGTTTGAGGAGAATTGGACGGGAGAGTTGCTGTGCGTGGTTAGGTTAGCATTAGGTTCAGGATGGGTAGGATGAACTCCGCGGTGTCGCAAATAATCATGGCATCTCGAGGGCTCCTTTAGATCTGCAGGAAGCATCTGCCCTTCCGAATTGGCGCCAATTGGGAAGTAGTTCCCGTTCTCTCCGCCATCAAGCACCAAATGCCGCGGAAGCTAAAATCGGGATCGGAGAGCAAATACCTGGAGAACACATGTTGTGACCCGGCCGAAGCCTCAGGCTTAGAGTTTCCAGCACCCATTTTTCGGCAAAAAAGACGAGTCCTGCGAAGATAGAAAGACAGTGATGGTTCGAGATGCCCGCTCACAACCCGTTCAGTTCGGAGGATGTTGGGGGTCACGTGAGTCTAGTTAGTCATCCTCGGCCCGGGGGTGCCAGTTGCTGGTCTCGACATGTATTCTGACGGTCAACAACGATGCACATTGATATTCGAACAATATCGCAGCTTTCTTTGTCGGCAATAAGCTAAACAACTGATAATAAAGGGTTCATTGCGCAACTTCGAATGGCAAATGCAGATTTGCAAACAACATAACCCATTGAACAAGAGAAATATGACAGGGCCAAACAGTAATACTTAGGAGTTGAAACGAGATTCGGTCTAGCCTTGGTCTAGCCTTGATCTAGCTTTCAATGTTTAACCATCAAATCATGCCATGCTTAAATGACATTGCCATAACTAAAGGGCTATGACAGCCATGAATTCCACGCCCAGATGCTATGTGACAGTAAATCAAATACTGTGACTTGTCTTTGCAGAAGTATGTAATTACTATATACATAGACATTCGGGTGATAGATTCCGAGGCTTGAAGTGGGAAGAGACAAGTTCATACATCAAGTATTATCATAGTGTCAGCCACAACGCGAAAGAAAAAGTATAGAAAATAATGTGCTGTTCAACCAAATAATAAGATTGACTACTACACGAGTGCTACATAGTCTCTAAGGAAGGTACTATTGTTCATGGCCATTATCAACCTGAAGCACTTTTTAACGGGCCAAAGTTCCATAAATCAAAAAGCTTGCCCTAATTTCACTTAATGAATAATACTAAACAGGAATAGTCAGCTGCTCATGCGACCTCTTTCCTTGACGATGTAGGTATATTTGGCCCGAGATGATACATATTTGGGAAGTTATACATGAGTACAATGCTCTTTTCGCACATCTTTTTTATATGTATATACAGGTGGTAAAAAGCATGAATTGCGTGGATAACTTTTCTATGCATAGCATTTGGAAAAACAGTCAGCCCTGTCTTCAAATGGTCTACAATAGTAGTTCTACCTAATTACAAGCCAATTGAACCTCACTACATATGTGATAATAGTGAGAATGAAAATGGAAGATACATATGACGATCAGGAGATTTCGATGTTGAAACCTTAGAGAATTTGTACGTGGCTAAGAAAACCTTGGAAGAATAACTACTCCGTACTAATAAAAGACAAGCCACTTGTCTCATCATCTCCATGGGGTTTCAGACATCCACATTCGGGATTCCGTGCATCTCGGGCCATTTGACCACCTCTCTGGGGCCGATCATGCCGGGGAATGGGGCCGATCTATCCCGATCATCTCCATGTGTACATTATGTACATGTACAGCACATATGCGTATAAGCGCGACATAAATGTCAATGCATTCAAATAACGCAAATCAATGCAACAATACACATTTGGGTCTGCGCGAAATACTATAAGGGGTTATTCCCCGTGCGCCCCGACGTGGCATTTTGCATATTCCCGTCCCCTGCCCCGATCTTAAGTTGCTCACCGGTGAAGTCGGGGGGAAAAATATGCAACGAAAGAAGAATTGACCAGTAATAACGTACATATCGTATCCCCACACTGTCTAAGCCTGTCAAATTTTAAGTCTCCCTGTTCATGGCGTCATTGAAAAAACGAAAATCAAAAGTTACGAATTCTCTTGGAATGCACAGGCTGCTTTCGGTCATAGATAGCATGCTATAGAATACTCAAAACAATGTTTATTGATCCTCCTTATATTGTTTCAAGAATTAATTCGAAAGCGTACAATATAAAAATCAAGTAACTCTCTCCGGTGAACCCGGCAATTCCCCGATATCCTAAAGTACCTTGTAGATACTTCATTAACAGTGGCAATTATCATGGTGGGGAAAGTACTGCCAAGGTACCGGATTGACCTCATGGATCCCCCCCTCCGTCATCCCACCTTGGGGTTCCTTCCTGTGTTTCTTATTTCTTCACTTTCCCGCTTTTCTTCTTCTTAATTATTTCTCCTCCCTACTCTTTTCCATTCTTTTCTTTATTAGCCCGGTATCTTAACTCTCTACCCAAACCGGCTATTCTCATTTCTTGTCCCACCATGTCTTGTTCACTATTGGATCAAGCCACGCGCATTGCGCGAGACTTTGATTACCCCGCCGAGGAAGTGCAGCGTGGGGTCGCCGAGTATATTAGGCAGTCCCAGGAGGGTTTGACCAAAGAGGGTACTACCTTGAGCCAAATTCCTACTTTCGTGACCGCGGTGCCAAATGGCACAGAAAAGGTATTGAAAGCAGATTATTTATAACGGGACTTGCGCGCTGATTCTCCTCGTTATAGGGCCTTTACTTGGCTGTTGATCTCGGTGGCACAAACTTCCGTGTGTGCTCGGTCCTCCTGCACGGCGATACTACCTTCTCCCTCACCCAATCCAAAATCCTAATTCCTCGGGAATTGATGGCCTCTGGCACATCTAAGGATCTTTTCCTATTCTTGGCCCGTCAAATCGAAGCATTCCTTCGTATCCACCACAACGAGCACTTCGAGGCTCACCAGCGCCGCCGACGGGAGGGTAACAACGAAGAGGACCTGTTCGACCTGGGCTTTACCTTCAGTTTCCCCGTGCGCCAGTGCGGTATCAACCGCGGAACATTGATCCGCTGGACCAAGGGCTTTAACATCCCCGATGCCGTTGGCCACGATGTTTGCGCGCTGCTTCAGTCCGCCATTGATGAATTGAACCTGCCAGTGCGCGTGGCCGCACTAGTGAACGACACCGTCGGTACTCTCATGGCCCGTTCATACACTTCGCCAGGCAAGACCGGCACTTTCATCGGTGCCATTTTCGGAACCGGTACCAACGGTGCTTACGTTGAGAAGACGAAGAATATCACCAAGCTGCAGGAAATGGAGGATGCCAAATTTGACGACTCCACAGGCGAGATGATTATCAACGCTGAATGGGGTAGCTTCGATAACCCCATGAGTGTGCTTCCTACCACGGTGTTCGACGATGAGCTTGATGCCGACAGCAACAACCCCGGTGTGCAGATGTTCGAGAAGCGTGTTTCAGGAATGTTCCTGGGCGAGATTTTGCGCCGTGCGCTCCTGTCTCTACACCACACCGACCTGGGATTGTTCAAGGCCAATAAGAACTCCGAGGTTGTCCTTCCTGAAGGATCTATGCTCTTCCGTCAATGGGGACTTGATACCAGCCTGCTAAGTTCAGTCGAGGCTGATAGCAGCAATGACCTGGTGGATGTGAAGACCGCCTTGAAGGATCACCTCGAGATTGAGAACCCCAGCTTTGAAGAGTGCCAGGCTGTGAAAATCATAGTTCACGCCATTGGAAAACGTGCCGCTCGCCTAAGCGCTGTTCCGTTGGCTGCCATTCTCGTGCACACCAACAAGCTTGAGACTAATGATATCATCGACATTGGTGTCGATGGAAGTCTCGTTGAATTCTATCCCAACTTTGAAGGCCATCTGCGTGAGGCTTTGCGCGAAGTTCCCCAAGTTGGAGTTGCAGGCGACAAGAAGGTCCGCATTGGCATTTCCAAGGATGGCAGCGGTGTTGGTGCAGCTCTGATTGCGCTCGTCGCTAACAGGGACGAGGGCCTTGAGATCCCCCACGAGAAATAAATGGCTTGAACTATCCTATGGTTGCGTTCATTCATGTCTTGTGGAATGATGTGGCTGTTTCTTGTTCCTATTGGTCGGAGCTCTTCGTTTTTCATGACCTTTGTGGTCACCATTCTCCTCTCTCTCTCCCGCAGCGAAGTTGAAAGCTGGTCTGGTCAACCTCCCTGATATTACCCAATATCTCGGACTGTTACAATCGGTTACCCCCGAAAACAAATACCCAAGCCAGCCTCTCCCTCATCTTCCGCCGATACAAATACACCTATGGCAACACTGTCAGCTGAAATTAAGGTTCAGATCTTGATGGCCAGCTTGCCAACTCGCAGTAGTTTCCTACCTGCGGGCGCGGGCATCAGCAATTATCACGCCCCACTCCATCTACTTTCCATACGATGTCACATTATATTGAGGGCTGGATTTTATATTCGGAGTTGCAGAGACGTCTTGTTCCTTCGAGGTTCCCGGTGTGGAACGGCATACGATAGCAGTAGCTTGCATTGAACTGGCTTCTATGCCCATTCTTATCTTCATTTGTCCATTTATTCTTCAACAATTCCACTATTTTTGAATGAATCTCTCCAAGTAGATGTACGCCAAGGCGGATAAAAACAACAATATTCATTCCAATGCTACTAACTTTATGTAGTTACTTCTAATAACTATACATCACAATCTTCTACTTAGTAGGCTCATACCCAATAGCCCGAGATGCCTGTACAAAATCAATATGACCAGCCGTACCCATGATCATAGCCACCTTGCCACCATTGGTACTCGGATCACCCCCAATGAAGTTACCAGGGAACCCAATATCCAAAGTGGTCGCCGCCTCCAAAAACTCAATCTGCTTGTCCGTCAGCCGAATCGACAAAGCCTGGATATTATCATGCAAGTGCTCAATCTTGCGTCCTCCAACAAGCGGGAACACATTCGGCGCCTTGCAAAGCACATAAGCTAGCGCAATAGCAGTAATTGACTCAATCCCATGCTCAGCAGCAACAGTCGCCAACGCTTCAGAGATCTGCCTCTCCTCTTCCGTCTGCTCAGCACCCATCACACTACGCAGACCCTCACCCGTCTTCCTCCGCTCCTCGAGCTGCTTAGCAGTCTGGAAATGCCCACTACCAAGCACGTCCCACGGCGCAAGCGCCATCCCAAAATGCCGCGCCATAGGCAGGATATCACGCTCGAAGTCGCGGCGCATCACGTTCCACCGCCCCTGATAGATCGAGAAAGGTGTTTTACCATGCGCACGCGCATACGTGTTCGCCGCGGCAACAACCCACGCGGGCGAATCCGAGATCCCGAGGTACATGACCTTCCCCTGCTCGACTAGCATGTGGAGGGAGTCCATAACTTCCTCGATAGAGGTGGTGTGGTCCCACCAGTGGAGGTAAAGGACATCGATGAAGTCGGTCTGGAGTTTGCGGAGGGAGTCGCGGACGCTGAGGATCATGCTACGCTTGTGGTTCCCGCAGGCGTTGGGAGCCTTGCCCTTCCCCAGTGCGTGGGTGCGGTAGTCGGTTGTGAACTTGGTGGCCAGTACGAGCTGGTCGCGGTTGTTGCGTGCGGCCATCCATTCGCCGAGCCAAGTCTCGGATTGCTCGTTCTGGTAGTTGTTGGCTGTGTCGATGAAGTTACCGCCGGCGGCGACGAAGGCGTCGAGCAGGGCAAAGGATTGCTCTTTGTTCATGCTGCCCATAAATTGGCTCCAGGCATCGCCGATGGACATTGCGCCGAGTTGGAGAGGAGAGACGCGGACTCCTGCTGTTGAGGAAAGGACCCGATACCGACCCAGAGGGGTGGCGGGCTCTGGGGCTGCTCTGAAGAGTTCGTCCATGGTGTAGTAGTAGTAGATGTAGTGTATTGTAGCTTGATTTGATAGTAGTAAAGTGAAGTATTCTGATCGGTAGAGCTGCCTTTTTATATCTAGGCTTCTTACTTGATTATAAATGAAGCCCGGAGTTAATGCTTCGGTGATAGCATCTAGTTTCGCGGTAGTCTGTTTAGCATATCTATCAACCCATTGAGCGTAATCAAAAACTCCGTTCCTGCTCTACATATCTCCGTTCCCAAAATCCACATTGTACAGTCTTCCTCGTCTTTCTACATAGACATCAGATAAGTAGGTATGTAGATATAGTCAAGGGTTATCTATGACACTAATACTGTAGGCTGTACTATACCAAATGTGCAGTTGTGCCTATGCAGTCCACTGTATCGGCCCCGGGCTGAGTTCCTAGATCAATATTCAATGTGACTATGTATGTTTGATATGGCTTATGCACTTAAAACAATGGGAGCTTTAAAACAGGGCTGCTATCATAGCTCTATACTTGTATGTACGAAAAGTACCTCTTTAAATCATTTTTCTAAAGACGAGTATGACTAGAAGAATAGAGAACTATTGAAACTTCCAAGTTAACACAAGGTAAGAACAAAGACAAGCTTAACCCCGATCTCCGAGTTCCTTCCGTGGTTCCACACTACACTAACCCCCATCCCGTTAGAGCCATGTCATCCATGTCAGCCCGGGATCCTTCAGCTGTCGATCATAAAAAGCCCTGTCTCTGCAAGAAATAATACGAGAATATTGGATGTAACACTTTTTTTTTTCTTTTTCTAATCTCTCCATTTCCCTCCAAATTATTCGGCTGGATCCCGTGTTTATACTTTTCCCCCTGTCAACAATGTACTCATAATCTGCAACAGGAACGATGTTTGTGTTTTCTCTGTGTCGGGTACTTGAGTAAGGGGCGATTTACTATTCACATCCTGCCGATCGCTGATTGGCGAGCAAACATGACCAATGACTTGTACATACATAAGTTCATGCAAGACTTGAATAATATATCACCCTGATCCTTGCATTCTCCTGACTGCAGCCCCGCCTGGGGCAAACCGAACTCGAGACATTTCGCCCGCGTTGAATCGCGTTGACTCAGATCCTATCAGATGAGAAGAAACCTGTCCTTTCTGACGGCGTATGATGTTTGGGATTACTGCGACTGGTTATGGTTGCAGAAACGCATTGTCAATTGTCTCTATTGACAAACTGATGAACTAGTTCCTCGAGGACTAGGCCTCACTGCCTAACTGCGAGAGGCAAAAAATCTGTAGCATATGCAGCTTAGCGGAGATTTTCAATTTCGGGTACCACATGGACTCTTGAAATACGATCGCAGGGTTTGGTGCAACCTGCATTGATTGGCCCTTTCCACCTTCCGCAAGGTTGATGAGACCTGTACCAACTGGCGGTGTTTTTAATGTTAATCTTGGCTTATTTCCCCTGTTCTTTTTAAATCTCTCTGTTTTCCTTGTCCTGTTCATACGTCCCAACTTTCATTAAATCTCATTACGGGCATTTATTTGCTTTTTTTTTTGAATACGGCTAGTTTTCGTTTGGTTCATTATGGGCTTCCTCAATGCCCTCAAGGCCAAATCTCCCAAGGAGGCAGATGTACCTGGAGACACAACTGAGTACAACAATGAGCACAAAAATATGGCATCCGGTCACGACACTCATTCCCAGTCTGGAGGTCAGACTTCAAGGCCCTCCAGTGAAAAAGAGAGCACTCTAGTCAATGAACCTTTGCAAAATTCGACTGCCAACGAAACCGACTCAGGGCTTGCAAGCCGTGACACTCCAACGCCTGCTCACAACGAGCAACTGAATGGGGATTCCACCAAGGAACTGGTTCCCAAGGAAACATTTGCCAAGCAGTTAACACAAGAAGAGAAAAACGAGGACGGTGACACTGAAACGCCAGAGGATGAGGAAGGGTATCCAAACGCATGGAGATTGACTCTAATCAGTATTGCTCTCTGTCTATGCGTGTTCTGCGTGGCATTGGTACACAATACTAGTTTGCTTTACTTGATGATTATACCTAGCTGACACCTATTCTCTAGGATAATACTATCATTGCAACAGCGATTCCCAAGATCACCGATCAATTCAACTCACTCGACGACGTTGGCTGGTACGGGAGCTCATATCTCCTGACAACATGTGCCGTGTCTCTGATGTTTGGAAAACTCTACACATTCTACTCGATCAAATGGATATATCTCATCGCGCTCTGCATTTTCGAGGTCGGTTCACTCGTCTGCGCTGTCACTCCCACCTCAGTCGGACTCATCTGCGGCCGAGCCATCGCCGGACTCGGAGCGGCTGGTCTCTTCTCGGGCTCTATCCTCATCATCAGCAAAAGTGTACCCCTAGTCAAGCGACCTATGTATACAGGCATCATCGGCGCCATGTTTGGTATTGCCAACGTAGCCGGCCCTCTGTATGTTGCTTCGCTTTCTTGATTGCCGAGTTATACTAATTTCCACAGGATGGGTGGCGCTTTCACCGACCACCTCACATGGCGTTGGTGTTTCTACATTAACTTGCCGTTCGGAGCAGTTACCTTCCTTTTCGTGTTTTGCTTCTTCCAAACGCCTAAAGCTATCCTCAAGAAGAACACCTTGAAGGAACAACTGAAGGAGCTGGACCTGATCGGTTCCCTATTTTTCCTACCCGCTATCATCAGCTTGTTGCTCGCGTTACAATGGGGTGGCACCAGATATGCATGGGGCAGCGGTCGCATCATCGGCCTATTTGTAGTCTTCGGCGTTCTCGGTCTCATGTTCATTGGTGTCGAGATCTGGGCCGGGGACCGCGCAACCGTCCCGCCGCGTCTGATCAAGAACCGTAACGTTTGGGGCTCGGCATGGTATGCCCTCGCTCTTGGCGCTGCTTTCTTTATTTTGACATTTTATGTGAGCCTCTTTTCCGTTTCCTCATTTCTCCTTCCCACTCTTCCCAATCAACGATCTAACACTCCTAGCTCCCTATCTGGTTCCAATCAGTCAAGGGCGCAACCGCCTTGAAATCCGGCATCATGAATCTGCCCACGATCATCACAGTTGTGGTTGTCTCTATCCTGGCCGGTGGCCTCGTCACTGCCTGCGGATACTACACGCCCTTTATGATCGCCTCGTCCGTCATCATGACCATTGGCGCAGGACTCATGACAACCCTAGAGACGGACTCAAACCACTCCAAGTGGATCGGATACCAGGCGATATTTGGTATTGGTCTGGGCTTGGGCATGCAGCAGCCTATGATTGTCGCTCAGACTGCCCTCAAGGCCGAAGATATACCAAGTGGCACTGCTATCGTTATGTTCGCCCAGACTCTAGGTGGCGCTATTTTCGTCTCTGTCGCCCAAAATGTCTTCCAGAACCAGCTCGTCCGGAACTTGGCACAGTATGCGCCTGACCAGGACGGTGCGAAGCTCATCTCTGCTGGTGCTACTATGCTTCGCACTATTGTTAGTGGTGATGCTCTACACCGTGTCCTGGTCGCCTATAATGCTGCTATTGTGCAGACTTTCTACGTCGCTGTCGCCATGGGCGCATTGTCCCTTGTCGGACCCATCTTCGTTCAGTGGTTGTCTGTCAAGGGCAAGAAAGTCGAGATGGCTCCTGTTTGAGGCTCAAGTTCGGACTAGAGAACAATCTTCGTGGACATTTTTAATATTCGCTGCCTACTATTTTTTTTTGTTTCTATCCTTTATGGGATGTTCTATGGGGCCACATACCCACATCTTTCTGTTGTTTATGATAATTCATGCTTATATTAATGTCATATAATAAACCAATCAATATCATTGCTTTGTGCGATGGAACTTATGTTTCAAGTGGATGCTTTTTCATCTGAAAACTGGAATACAAGCCTCTCTCTGTCGCTTCCTCGCTTCCACCCTCTCAAGAGGCCTACACCGTAGGTTTCGGGCTTCTTCGGTGCTTAGATGTGTGTCACGGAGGATCCCGGAGACCATTTCAGCTGACTTGTCAGGAGAGGTCTACTAAGACATCTAAGTGTGTGGTAGTCATTTGAGATAAGATTAGCGAATAATTATAAATCTATGAGACTATGATGTCTGATAGGACTTGTGCCAGAGGATCTTCAACGCGTGTCTCTCTATATCATGTCATTATTTTCCACTTCAAAATCCTAGCTTGTACACCAAAAAGTGCAAAACTGACCTTGGAGGATAGAGCTTCGAAGGTGATAGCTTCTTGAAGGGGGGAGCCTACTAAGACACCGTTGGAGTGTGAGTTGAGATTGTTGACGAAGCTAAGAACTCAAGACTAGAGTAATAAATCAGGACCTTTCTTCTCCAGGCACTCGGGCAAGCCGAATGGTTGATGAAAAAAGGAGTTCGCGTCAACCGGGGGTAGTGTGAGCCCAGTGACACTGTGCAACTGGCGTATGCAAGCACGGAGGCCAGTCACTGGTTTCAAAAAATAGAATAATCAATATGTCCTACAATGCAGGGATATCAGTGATTAAACTGGTAAGAACAGATACTACACTTGATCTTAGCCATGATGGCAAAGAGAGCTGGGGGAAAAAGGAAAGTAAGTTCATTTGGCCCCGAGCGATCTTTTATACTACCCCGAATGTGTGATGCGGCTCTGCGGATTATCCCCGGTATCTCCGGTATCCGGGGCCGAATACCGGGCAGTATTTACCGGTAAATAACTTGCACGTGATCCTAAAAAAAAATACCATCGCCAGCAAGAACATTACATATGTATGTATGGATGTATATATACTCCGTATATTTTTTTGTCTGGCTTATCTATACAGAATATTGAGTATTTCTGTTTAATGTTGGGTTTCTATTAGGGTGTATCAACCCGCCTCGTACTGTCTACGTCATATCATATAGAGTGCTTCTATCTCTCAAACTGGGTGCGTAGTTAAGTGGTTGAGAGGATTGCACATAACCGGGTAGTGTTGGCGGGCTTCACCGGATATGTAGCAAATTATCACCGGATAACAAGGTGTCCCTATATCTTTTACTTTAGGAGCACTTGATAATTCTCACTCAGGCTGATAGCATGTAATTTAAACTTCATTTATACTATATATACCTTTGTAAATCTTTCCTACCTAGTTTGAGAGTTAAGAAAACCGAGGTTATAACCATGTTGTCTTTATGTACCTTTTGTATGGCAACTCCATACAAAAGATACCTAATCCATATGATTTGCTATCCGGTGAAACCTACCAACACCGGGTAGTGTGTCGGTGGGTTCACCACGGTTAATGGTGCATTCGCGATACCTGGTACGTTCAAAGCACAACCCTATATATCCTAGTAGAAATAATTTTTCAGTTCGCTTGTATCACATTGACAAAAGTTCTTCCAAGTCACTTTTAACCGTTGTAGGGTTTGGTATATCGCCCATTCATACATATGGATTTGGTATTTGGTGGTAGTGGCACGCTCTTTTGCAATAACACCAGGGCACACGTTTACAATTAGTTCACTGGTGTAACACAAAGTTTCAGTGTGACAAGCTTGTCCAGGTGTATATGGAGATACAAGGTTAGCAGTAGGGGAGTTTCTAAGTTTATACCTTTGATATGTTTCAGTCGCTCATTTTTTTGACGCCGCTAATAAGACAAAATCAACATTTTCCCGAGATTTCGGGCATTGAACCAGGTTTTAATCTATTTATTCGACTTTTATATGTGGATGAACATTTTGACATATTATTGTACCAGTTTGTTTGGTAATACAACGCTGAAGTAACACAGAAGAAGCAGGATGGGCAGAATGACAGTCAATCCCTAAACCGCAGCATATAAACTCAAATAAACGCTCCAGATCACCCCACATGCACTTCCAAAGACCACTCGCCGATCTACAGGAATGACTGTGTACATCAAGACCGAAACAACAGGCCGATACTTCAAACGGGCACTCATAAGAGGCCGGAAGTCCTACAGAAGTCAGCATATATAAACCAGTTGACAATATACTATGTTCAGCAAAGAACAACTTACCAAAACAACCAATTCCCACGACTTTTTCAGGCTCTCTCCCTTCAGCAGATTGATGACAACCACAAATAACACAAGGTTTGCAATCGAGGTAGCCGTCTGATCCAAGAGAAATTTCATAAAAAAGCTACGCAGCCCGGATGTCTGCCTTTGCGGTGCCCATCGGATATGTTTTTCTTTCTCTGTATGGCTAGGGAGCGAATCATCCTGGCGAGATCTTGAACAGAAAGAAAGCCATGCGCGGGGTGAGAACACAGATTTCAACGATCGAGCACTGAACACCTTTGAGAATTCTGTACGCGTAGGAAACCCTGGATAACGCGCTTCAAGGGCGCGTTGCCAGTAGAAATTTGGGGCCACGATTAAGACGCCATATCCCACAAATTGGAGGAGAGCCAATGTGTTTAGAGTGAATGGAGCCTAAAAATATATGAACTTTGTCATGTTTGAGCATAAAGCACAGAAGCCCTTACTTTGTTATTGCGCTGGTCAATCAGCTGCGCGAGGACGTTGGAGATGGCATTTAAAATGGTTGCCTGCACAAACGTCACAATAAGGGGCGAGGGCATAATGAAGAAGCCCCTTCGATCAGATCCATGTAACGACTGATGTTCAGATGTACACAAATAATAAAAAAAGGACAAGGATTATTGCTAAGAGGCGCAACTGTGTCCTGAAAGGTTGAGGAGGTTAGGGGGCGATAAGGCTGAGAGATTAAGCGACAACTTCGATGTTTCAACTTTTACATCTTCGACACGACCGGTTTTAGAAATGATAATTCGCCTTAAATGATTTCAATGCTAATTTACTTCCGTCGGAACACAACATTCGGCCCATTCTTCGCGCTGGTAAAATGATCTGTGAGCGCCAGATGCCCCCCCGCGTCTTCGCCCTGACGATCAGCCAATGACATGTCAAAGAGGAACACCAGCCGCGCCACTGTCAGCCGCATCTCCATAAAAGCCATACTTTTTCCAATGCATCCACGGGGCCCAATGCTAAACGGACAAAATGCGTGTCGCGCAGTCTCAATGCTCTCCTTGGTGGTCTGCCAGGACGTCCCAGAGGCCACGCAAGTGGCGCCCTCAATCCAGCGCTCCGGCATGTACGTCCCCGCTTCCCGATAATATCGCTCTTGGCGGTGGATGGAGTATGTTGGCGTGCCGCAGTCTGTCCCCGCGGGTAAGAAGACGCCGTCGACCACAGCCCCGCCTTCCATCACTTCGCGGGGGATCGCACCGGGCACGGCTGGGGCAAGACGCAAAGCCTCGTCGATGCATGCTTTGAGATACTCCAATTCGCCGAGCTGGCTGCCGGTAATGATCTCTTCGACTTCATTGAAGGCGCCGCGCACCTCAGCACACAGCTTTGCCAGTGTATCTGGTCTCCGAACTAGGTAGAAGAGTACGGCTGCTAGTGTAGTCGAGGTTGTATCGCTGCCTGCAATCATGAGGACATTCGACTCGCCCCAAAGCTCGGGGGTGCTGAGTCCATTGCCGGTTTCCGGGTCCTTCGCATTCAACAGGTAGTAAAAGAAGTCCTTCTTGGCGTCCCGACCAATCTGGGTACGCTCCTTGGCGCGCTCGTTTGCCTCAATACGCGAATTCATGATGAAGTTCCATCGGTCGCGTGTCAGCTTGCGGATGAATATCTGATCCAGACCCCATGTGTCCAGGGGCATCCAAAGTCCACACTATGGCAAATCAGATAAGAGTGTTCCTAGTAATTTGGGGGTGGGGAGGCAATGCTTACCACATAGTGCCTGTTCGCAGCACGATCCACCAATCCAACCTTATATCTCAGGGTCTCAGAAATGAGCATATCAAAGCTCTTCCCGAAGCAGAGCTCGCCCATGACATCGTACGAGAGATAACTAAACCAGTCACCCATGTTCTTGACATTGCCCTTCTGATCATGCGATTCAAAATCCCCATCATATCCAGCCAGCACAGCACACAGCTGACGCACATGGAGGAGCATTACATCTTCCATACCCCTGAGAGCATTATCCGAGAAAGCCTGGCTAAGCACTCTTCTTTTCCGACCATGCATGGTTTTATCGATAACGTTGTGGGTGTTGTACACACCCTTGATGGCGGGGAAAGCATTATAAAAATTGGCCTTCTGAAGGTGTTTCCCGTGTCCATAGATATCGTGCAACCCACGATCAGAGTTGACAGAGACAAAATTAGGCGCAACACGCACGTGTGTTCCGTACTGACTGTGCAACTTGTGTAGCCAGATATGGCGATCGCCCTTCAGACCATGGTAGAGTTGGACCCAGGGTGTGATAGATGCGAGGATAGGGCCGTTGATACGACGAAGCGGGTGAATAAAGCGATTATAAAGGGCGTAGGCGAGGGTCTGAGGGGAGTTAGCTTCCTACTGCTAGAATACGGTATTTCTTGGGAGTGAACGAGGGACATCAAAGAGTATCAAAAGGACAGGATATGCGTACTGTTACTGCTAATAGCCCTACCAAGCTTTCCAGCACCCTCTGTAGAGAAAAGTACCCCAACACAGACGCAATAAGCATTTTGTGAGATGATCAGGAAGTATTAATCTTGGATTGGCTCAACATGTTACTTATCACGTCTCAAACGTCCTTTATACTCTGCCGGCCGCAGATACCCGCCCCCAACCGAAAAGCTCCTCAATGACGACGGACCCATGCTACCGAACAGGTTGCTGATGAAACTGGGGCCAATTAATTCTTGTCGATTTCTATGGATAATGGCTTCGCTGGATCCCCAAGATCGGTTATAGGCGGTTGTTTTGGGGTGATTCTATGCATTGCAGCGCTGGTGATTGGTTATGCTTAAATATCCACACACACTATTGGCTTTATGACATCCGCGGGGAAGTCTGCTTCATGCCTGGTACTTTTGCGGGGATTGGGGATTACAGTGGGTTTGTTGACTCTGAAGACAAAGAAAATGCATATTTGAACTTGAGACCTTGCGGTGAAAATCGTAGTTCATTATTGTTACGTAGGAATGCAACATAGATGGGTGTATCTTTGTCTATTTTTGGCAGACTGCCGTCATTCACGAATCCGGTCATACAGTAGCACCTGCTGGCAAATGTTCCCCTCTATCCTATCCATTCCACTGGCTCGGTTTATCCGGGGAATTGTGATAATACCACCGTTATTAGCCGGTGATCAGACATCCGCTCGTTCCGAAGATGTCGGGGTTTTCAAGACTGAGGAATGCGCTAGACACAGCTAGGGATATAGAGTAAACACCATTTTTCGCGTGAGGGTGTTCTGCCACATCGATACCAGTCATGAAGCTGGTGACAATCCCTGTAAAAGGCCTCCCGATGTGGCCGATTCAGGATCATGAAGATGGCCTGAAATGGTATTTTTAATGCCCATGCTTTGGAGCTTGCGTTTAAATCCATGTAAGATTATGTTTAAGTGGTGTGCCCATGTATTCCTCCATCCAGAATCCACTGCTCGTTGTCATCGTTGTCATCCTGCACACGTCGCCAAGTCTGTTTTCGTTCAGTTTGCTCTACTGCTTCAGCCTGCTTTATCTCTGGGGCACGCCAAACAGGTCGCATAAGACCACCAGCTGCGAGAAGGGGGTTGCGGCTGAAAGCATGCTGTCCTTGTGGGCTGTCCGCCGCACCTCCTTCATCAACAGGCTCAGGCTCACTAGCCTCTGGTGTTGATTCTGTTGGTGCGGCATGATAAATTCGGCGGACCTTGCCACCTTTGATATCCAGACTCATTACAGTCTTTTTTCTCTCCCACTCGGGACGAGCCTTCTCGTCCATCTCTCGCTGAATGCGCTGCTGCTTCTTGAGTGCTAGTGCTCGTTGTGTGGGTGTCATCCACAAGGTTGAAGCGACATTCGGAGTCTCGAAATCTGCTGTTTCATCAACAACCTTGGTCCGGCGAGCATTTTGCGCTTGAAACTGTAGCAGCTTGTCACGGTGTGCTTTCGCGGCATCTAGTTTGCTGGGAGGTTCGGACCCGGAAGTAGGCCTAGGACCACCCTCATGATGAACACCTTCATTATGTACGCGCATCTTCTCTTGCCCACGCTCCGCCCGTAGTTCCCGAATCATACTTTGCACTTCTTCGGTGGAGAGGAGCGGCGTGCCACAGAATGAGCATGGCTGTAGACCCTCGAGTGAGCAGATAATTTTGCCGCAGTTAAGGCAATTGGGCGCCGGATCAAATACTGGGTGCAGCGACCCGTAGCAGGTGCAGGTGCGTTTCTCTCCTAGTCTCGGATTCGTCGATACCTCCAGCGCGGCGATAGCGGCGGTGAGGTCAGAGATGTCGTTAGTTGTGAGAGCTGCATTTCCCTTGGAGGACAAGCCTGCTCCTCCACCTTGACGTGTTGACTTGCTCACTTTTGATCGCACATTTGGTAACATGTCCGAGATCGTGGGGCCACTCGCGGATGGTGGTGGCTTCGGCTTCGAGGATGATGCGGGTAACGGGGAGGGAATGCGCGACGAGGCTGAGGACCCACGTGGTGATTGTGCAAGAGTGGGAGCAGCCTGTTTTCGAGAGGATATATAGTCTTCTTCATCGGCTTTCTTGTAGCCACCTCCTACATCGCCGTAGTCGTCGGGTCGACGTGGTGGGCCGGCACTGTGCAACGGAGCCTTCTTTTTGCCCTTCCTAGCCCCTCCACCTGATCGCGATGCATCTCTGCTTTGTATAGGAGGATTCTGAGGGGGTTGTTGAGGCTCTCGGCGTGCATTAAAGGAGGAGATGAATTCTAGGGCGGCCGGGGAGTCGCCGAGGAGGTTTTTGAGGTGGTCCGCACATGCCTCTCGTGAGAGACTGACGGCATAGTCGATAACTTGGGAAAGAGAATCTGGATCCAGCGGGAGAAGCTGGGAGAGACGGGGAGCTGCCCATGCGCTAAGATCAGCCATGTTAGAGAATATTTAGGCCTTGTGGTTGGTGACAAGGTGAAATGCCTGCGCATCCCCGCACTTATTAAGCCTCTACAGTTCTCCCGTCCCCGGGGCCTACCTAGCTTGCTAACCACCTCTCCAAACAAATCCACAACCGATTTCAACCTCTACCTTGGACCAGTGATCACGCATCAAACGTCAATGGACAGTTTTCCCTTCTGAAACTCGGATATCAGCTATTTGTTTGGTTCTGGTTCACTGAGCGTTCTGGGATTGGGAGCATCTAGGGCTACTCATAAGAAAATCCCCCACGAGTTGTGATTCTTTATTCAATGATCCGTACTCCGTATAATATGAAAGATTACCCACAAATTTAGGAATAATATCTGCTTTTTGTCTAGTTCTTTCTTTTTGCCATTGTTCTTGAAGTTATATGTGCTATTGAATATATACATGAGAGCAAGCCTGGTATTAGTCGTTGAAGGTTCTCTTGTTATTCTACTCTTATTGAAGACATGATAATCAGGGTATGTCACAGGGAATAAGGAAAATACCACATGACTATGAATTGATGACACGGCTACATATACATAGTAGTGTTGGAGGAGACAGAGAAGTATTCCAAGGGAGAAAAATATGTATGTAAGCCTGGATCTGGCTAGGTGGTGATAACCTGAAATGGTTGGAATGTGCGTACGGAGTATAGTTATTACTAATAGCAAACATAGGAATGATGGATATCACTAAAAAGACCAAATAAAAGAAGCAAAAAGCATATAAAAATAAATATCATGACCAAAATCACTTCTTTAAGAGGCAAGTCCATTATAGTTGACCGGCATTTGTACGATAACCTAAGTTAGTCTGTTTCTTGCCGACCTCGGAGATGGCTTATGGTGATAAACATGCTGTTGTGTCCGAGTATACCCATATAAAGAAGGAGATTGACAGTAGGTTGGGAGTAAAACGGTTGTAGTAGGCATGTCAAGCTGTATACCTCATGGAATTTTTAGCCATCGGAGTGATAAAAAAGAAAAGAAAATATTGATATTAGCACATATCAGTCGCATATTTCTGGCAGTGCCTCTGTCAGTTGTATTTCATGTTGTCAAGTAATGTACATCCTACAAAGCCCATCCCCCTCATCATCATTCATCTATGCAGATTTATTCGAAGGAAAGGTCAAACCATGACCAGACCAAACCAGACCCAGAGACGCCATGGGACATGCCCAGCCCATCAAAACAAAGCTCAAACGCCGCGGACACCATGATAGGAAAAAAGGGTATGAGAAAACAAATGGAAGCTTAGTCGGCGTTCTCGCTCTTGATGTCGTCGTCGTTGTCCTCAACTGTGAATGATTGCTTGAGCTTACTTGGCCCGGGCTTTGTGGTGGAGCCCTTCTTGGGTCCATTCAGTTTTTTCTTCTTGGTGGGGCTGGGACTTTCTTCGTCATCGTCTGCGTAAGGGCGTTTGGGTGCCGATGAACTGGGACTGTTGCCATTGCTAGCTCCGCTATCTGTGGGAGTCTTATTGCGGCCGCCATCGCGGCCACCATTGCGGCCACCGCAGACGCAGCGTTCGAGGTGTTGGGCAAGACGAGTCATGACGAAGTAGCGAGGACAGATAGGACATTTAGTGGTTGGGATTTCAGGAATGGTGCTGTCTCGGTCACCCTTCTTTTTCTTGGGGTTTGGCATGACTGCAAAGAGCTTGCCGTGGACGTCATGGCCGGGTAGGTCGATCATGGGAGCATTTGTACAGTACTCGACGTCAGGATCGGGAGGAGGGGAAGAACTAGCTCCGGCGGTCGGGTACATGAGCCTTGGGAGGCGACAATCTGGGCACACATGGTCTTTCACAGTTTTCATCGGATTGCCCTTGAGGAAGACCTTTCCGCGGTTGAAAACGGCTGCATCCGTCTCCATGCGCATACCCGCAAGCTTCTTGGTGTCGAGAACAATTTCTCTCTTTGTATCGGTTGAGGTCTTGCTGGGGGCCTCCTCTGGCATGATTGCATCTTCCTCCGCCTTCTGTCGGGCGAGAACCACCGCAGTCCGCATGCGCGCCACCTTCTCTTCGCGGTGAACTTTGGCGACAAGGTCGTGGATGATGTTCTGGAATGTTTCGTTCAGGATGTCGGTAGCCTAGAGAAGAAGTCGTTAGAACTCGTAGTTTACGCAGCCCATGAAGTTCATCCATGGTCATTCATACCACTTTAGCGATCGTTCCGGCAGGGTAAGTCGGCCGGCGACCACCGCTACTGTTGGAGTCGGCCATTTTCGGATTGCGGCCGGAGATGGATGCGTCAAATATTTCTCGTCCGATCCTGATTGACCGACGGCTGTGTCTGCCCGCGACACAGGTAGTGAGTACTCCGAACCGCTAGGTCCGAGATTTAGTTCTCCATGTACTGGAAATCTATGCAGGGTTGACGCAATGGGTGCACGAATGTAGGAGAGAAGAAGAGAGAAGAAGCCCAAAACATAGAAGCCGAAATAAAAGGAAGAGTAAAGTCAATACGGAATGGCTGAATTGTATAGCCTATTGTAAGACCTATTGTTAGTGAGCTTCAATAATGGGGAGGGGGCAAGGTAGGATTAATAACCAGCAACAATAGGGGAAGGCAATGTGGTCAATGAAGGTGTTCTATCGACGCATACAATAGATAGTAGACATCAACATCAAATGGGGCACTGACCTACTGGGGTGTCTATTTGCATGCGAATGGAATATCACTCGGGGAGATGAAGAGACGGATGAGGCTGGAGCAAGTTGTTCACTGGGCTTATCTTATCGCATCTCCGCATTCGCATTCGCTGCCTCTTCTGTTTGTTCTTTCACAAACATCTATTACATCTGCTCCAAAATGGCATACCAGATCTTTCCAAAGAACCAGACGAGACCAGCGACTTCTTCATCTTTGTCTCCTCCCCCGACCAACCGTCACCCTGCGCGGCCTCCTATACACCCCCCTCCAGTCCAACCGCCTCAATCAGCTGTCGCAAACACGTCTGGCCCGAAACACTCAAAAGAAGATGTCTTTGTCCCATATCCTCAAGATATTCCAGCTAGTTTGGCGACTCCACATCCCCATATAACAGTACAGAAAGTCAACACAGCGCATATCCCTTCCTTGACGCGGATCACGGGCTTACTTCTTCCCATCCGCTACCCAAACTCGTTCTACACAGCTATTATAACGGATCCAGTGATTGCCTCTCTTTCAAGGATTGCTATCTATCATGATCACCCTGTTGCTGCGGCCCCAGGGTGCGGCGCATCTGCTGGGACGGACAAAGTGATCGGGGGCATCCGGTGTCGGCTAGAGAGAATCGGACAGGCAGAGGACTCAAACAAAGAGACCCAAGTCCAAGGGAAAAATTGCCCCACAAACATCTACATCCAGACCCTACACCTTCTCTCACCATACCGTGGCTGCGGTGTGGCTGCATCACTGTTGAATTCGCTTCTCTTTGCGTCGCCGCCGGACCGCAAGGGCAAGGACTCATACCAGGTATCTGAGCTTGTCAGGCACTACAATATCCGCTCTGTTACAGCACATGTCCATGAGGCAAACGAAGAGGGATTAAAATGGTATATTGCGCGTGGATTTAGGGTCGACGGTGACATAGCCGAATACTATCGGCGACTGAAGCCGTCTGGCGCGAAGATCGTACGACTAGATTTGAACTGGAATGCAGAAGATGAAACATATGCTCCGACAGAAAGCAATGCTCAGACCATGACTTCTCCCGGCGAAGTAGAAGACGAGGACTGGGAGAAGGTGGAGGCGGAGGATGGCGAAGAAGGTGACCATGGGATACAGCATTTGAACGAGTCGCAAGTCCTTGAAAACCAGGATACACCTTCGCGCAAGCGCAAGGCTGAAGACGACAATCACAAGCGTCAAGTGGAGTGAGATGTGCTTTGCATGTGTGGCTTTCTGATATACGTTGGATACCCTTTACATCTGTTTATGCATCTAATTTAGAATAACGTATGTGCTGAATTCCTGCCGCGTACCTAATTATATTTCATTTGAATATGATAAATGGTCTATTGCAATAGACACTGCTACGTTTGGAATGTTGATCATTAAAAGAACTGGCATAATATCATATCTTATATATTACAACGCCATGGGTATCAAATCAACAGAAGACAGCAACGCTACATTAGATGTTATAGTTCTCGGCATGCAAAAAGATCTCATCCCTTGACGAGCCCATAATCACCTGCAGCTGTAGCTTAGCTACCGTGTTGGCGACCTCAACTCGCATGCTCGGTGGACCGCAGACGAAAACACACGCACGGCGGCCAAATGTTTTTGAAAACTCATTGATCATCTGAGGAATGTTCGGGCGGAAGTAATCAGTCCGCCAGTTATCCCGTGCGCGTGGCTGATAATAAGCAAACCGCGGTGCAGGTGCTGCCGGCGGCCTTTGTGGAACAGATTGAGGTGCGCTGAATCCAAAGTCGAAGTTTGGGTTGCCATAACTAGTTGATCCAGGGGGGGCATAGGGATTCATGGCAGGCTGGTAGTATTGACGGGTATTGGACATATGGGTGGCCGCGTACGCATTGGGAAGAGCAGCAATACCGTCTTCATTCTCACGGCGCAATTCCTTTTCTATATCAGGGTTGCCGGCAGCTTCATCGCGGATATACGCCGAGTTCCGCTTGTCAATTCCCTGGAGCATGCCGTAGATCTTCTCCTGGACCGTGTCCCGTACAGCTGGATCGTCTTGCTTCACTCCGGTGAGGAAGAAATGACAGCTCACGATGTTTGAAGGTGCATAGTCACGACAGATCCGTAGCTCTTCTTGGAACCATTCCATTGTCTCGGGACTCTTGAGTGCCCAAATGACTTTGACTGATTTGGTGATAGCCTTGCCATCTCGGATCTTCTTGATGAGGTCCAGCAGTTGGCTTGCAATGGCGGTGATACCACTTCCTCCGGCGAAGAAAACCACGTCGTCAAAAGCAGCCATCTCGCGCTGCATACCACCATAAGGCCCTTCTACAAATGCGCTGTATATGTTGTAGGGACCATGCTCTAAGGTTTTCTTGATTACCTCACGAGTGAAGCCTTGGAATGGTCGGAAAACCAGTGTCATGTCACGATACTTTTCACCATACGCAGATGGGAAGTCGTCGCTGCAAAGAGAGGCAATCGTGAAAGGATGGCTCTGGATGACAGAAATCCTCGGCAGTCGCAAGTAGACATACTGACCGGGACGCCAACGCATCTTTGTGGGAATGGTAATCTTGATGGCATTTTGCGGAAGAATGGTTACGGCACACTCTTCTCCGATCAAAAATGATGAGCGCAAAGGGTATGTCCAGTTCAAGTAGAACAGCCGGATGATATATGAGATAACCCAAATGGCAATGGTTGTGAAAAGATAGGCCCACGATGACAGGTAGTTCCTCGTATGCCAGAAGAGCATCGCCACAAAGACGTACGAGACTGGGATATGGACAAAGACGAAAAGCTCATACATCCAATTGCGAAAGATTGGAAGAGAATGGATACACAACACAAGAAGAGGAACTAGCGCCGCAATTCCAGTCCCATAGACATAGGCATGGGGTGGGATGCCTACGCTATAGTTGACCAAAGCGCCGTCTTCCCAGATTGGAGTGATGTAAAACGGGACCATATGAACCAAACTGAGGAAGAGGCAGATATAGGCTGACCAGCGGTGCAGCCCATTCAGCCGCTCAGAACTAAGGCCAGTCATCATTGTGATAAAGTTTGCCTTGGTGCTAAGTGCAACAATCCAAGGGATCATAGCTACTGCGAGCATTCCTGCCCGAATAGCCAGCGGCGGCGACCCCAGCGCAATTGACCAGTAGTATAAAGGCTGTGGCACGAAGCAGTATAGTGTGACGAAGATAAATGCAGCCAGGACAATTGCCGTAATCGCCAAAGACGGGAAAACAACCTCTATCTTCCCAACCTTCAGGGAGGGAATTGGTCGGTAGAAGATCCATCGCATAAAGGCAATTGCTTTGTTCAAGGGAACTATGCTAGCAAGAATCGATTCACGCCTCTTAGGTGGAGCGACTGCGGTTGGTGATGGAAAGAAATGGGCGTTGGAAGCATCAGTGCCTGCACTCGGAAGCTCGTACTCGTCTGGTACCGAGTCATCACGAAAGATCTCTGGTCGATTTTCTTTATAGAGGGCGATCCGCATCTTGTCGCCCCATTTATGCCAGCATCGGATGAAGGTCGTGGTTACCAGCAGCACGACGGCGAAGTAGACAAACCCCACTCCATATTTTGCTGACTTTGACCATGGATCTCGTTGCATCTCGGCCGCCTCAGCTGCAGTCGTCGATGCTGTGATCGGGACATTGATGCGCTTGGCGAGGGAAACGATGATGCCCAACATTATGTAGTGCGCTGTTTTTGCAAAACTAGTGATATTTTTCTGCAATGTCTTCCAGTTAGATCCATCTCAAAATACAGTACAGCACGTATCAACATACCTTTATGTATCACCCGCGCACAAGGGTTTTCCTCTCTTGTACTATAGTCAGACTGAGTTCATATCTTTACTATAGCTATTGATATTGATGACACCAATTTCATGAAGCGAAAAAGGAATTTCCGAGGGAAATTCCGTCTAAATGTATGGGAAAATGGAAGCGGGGAGTCACACAAGCTTGCAGTCTCGGCGTTGTGATAGAATAAGCCCAACAACGGAATATTGTGGCTGGTCAGACATTAAGCCAATCGAATACAGTGGTTGCAGACCGATTTATGATATTACAGGCGTTTCGCCATAGTGATAGGGATATTCCCGTGATGTGTGATGGTTTAGCGCTCTGAAGCCCAATCACAGGCGGCGATATTGGCTGCAGAGTGACTGGGAGTGATCGAGCCGCATTAGCGTGGGTGGGGAAGATGCAGAACACTCAGGTTATTATTCTCTCATTAATACTTCTGTGGAAAGTACCTATCCAATTATAATCGAACTATGGAGTATAATGTAGCCCATAATCTCTGGTTGTGCTGGTTATTGGCCCAAATTTAAGAGTTGTCGCATGGGAACTATGTATAAATAGGCTCAAATACGTTAATTCCTGTCTCAGAAACTAGGAGTAGTGTAGTTGACTCCACGGAAAAGCTAAAAGAGATCGGAGAAGCTGTCGATGCGAAGTATATGTATGGGAGTTTAGCAGTCAAAGCGAATACCAAGCCAGTAGTAAGCTGCGTCCCTTGGCAATGTCCTCCACCGTAAGATATTAACCATGCGCATGTGCCTACCTGGAGAATTCAAGGAACCAACATTTTATCGGTTTAAGAAGAGTCATTTCGACCCTGGAGCTCCGTCCTCGGTTCCTGCATAAAGGCAGTAATCCCATCCCGTGTTATACAGCAGAACTGTCGTGCCATATCCAATATTAGAATCTTAGACACCTCGCTATACAGGAACTTGTCATTTTATGCCTCCCAATAGGAAGGGTATATACTCAGGAAGTGTGGGACAGTGTTGTATACAAAGTACTCCGTACGCAACTTTAGAAGGCCCCGCGAAAGTCTTGGCAGATTCCAGTTGCTGCCTGGGGCATCAGTCACAGCTTCGACCGCCTTTCGATAGGAAATTATTCTGCCATCTCATGCTGGTCGGCTTTTTCTGTGTCTTCGATCATTTCCACATTAGTCTTGAACAAAAGTAGAGGCATTCTCTTTAGTCATGGCGTCCTCCACTACCCCCAGTAACCCGACACCTCCATCATTATCACTTCCACCGTCTCAATTCGCCCGCCTCCAACCCCACGCCTACCTTCTCGCCCACCTCTCTCCTCCACCAGCGAGCAACCAGCCCTCGATCCGCGCGAACGGTCGTGCCACCTCACAATTCCGTGTCACATCTGCCAATGCTGGCTCTCTAACTCATACAAATGGCAGCGCAGTTGTACGAATCGGCGACACAGCCGCTGTCTGCGGCGTTCGCGCAGAGATCCTACACACGAAGGACATCGCTTCTTGGAGCGTGTTGCAGGCTTCATCGGAGCAAAATATCGACAATTCAAATGAGGCGGGAGTCTCCAAGTCCCAAAATGAGGAAGATCAAGGCCACATCCAAGATCTGAGCCTACTTGTTCCCAACGTTTCCCTTAGCACTGGCTGCGCGCCAGGCTTTACACCCGGTGCACCACCTTCTGCGCTGGCTCAGTCACTTTCCCACCAAATTCTTTCCCTCTTGCACACTACCCGCCTCGTTCGAGCAGAAGACTTGCGCATCTGGTATCAACCACCGAATCTGGACTCGGAAGAATTCCGCAATGCGGGCGAGGGGATGGACGTGGATACAGAACAGAGTGGGGGCCCTGAGCAGGAGATTAAGGCATTCTGGGTGCTCTACATTGATGTCATGATCATTTCCCTGGCTGGAAACCCATTCGACGCGGCCTGGGCCTCTGTCTTGGCTGCGCTTCGCGACACGAAGCTTCCCAAGGCCTGGTGGGATGCCGATAACGAAACGATCCTTTGCTCGGACACTGTTTCCGATGCACAAAAGCTGTCTCTACGCGGTTTACCTGTTGCTAGCTCATTCTGTTCTTTCGAGGGCGATGTCGCCGCTGGTTGGAGGGCGGTTGTCATTCCCGATGCTGATGAGCAAAAGCAGAAGAAGGGTGCGCAGCAAAGGTGGATCCTTGCGGATCCGGATGGATACGAGGAGGGATTGAGTCAAGAACGGGCTTCTGTTGTTGTTGATAAAGAGAACGGAAAGACGGTCATTGTGAAGATGGAGAAACATGGTGGTTGGACTGTAGACAGTGATGATCTGCGCCACCTTGTGGATATTTCTGCTCAGAGATGGGATGAAATGAAACGGATACTGGATCAATGCTGATCTAATTGATATGCAATACAAATGAATGATACCACTACAAGTATTTCTTGCCATTTTTGGCCTTTAAATAGAGCTATGTATCGGAGTAGATCAAACGGTGGCTGTCATTGATAATCCACAAAATAATACATTTCAGCTAATATATTCGCTTTGTCAGACTCAATTGACCACATCGCTAATTTGCTGTTTTCTTGCTCATCATGCTGTGTCGTCTTCTCTTCAACGGCGGTTCGTTGTCTCCACTGACACCCCTGGAAACAGACATCTCTTCATCCTCTTCCGTTGTCGGCAAACTAGCCTGTGTTTCACTTTTGGGCTTGCGAGGAATTGATACGGAGAAGGAGATCAGGTCCAAGCTGTGACGGTCCTTTTTGGGCTTCTTCGTCTTGGCATCATGGTCTTCTTCGGATGGTTTCTTTTTGGATTTTGAGTCATCTATTTTCTCTTCTTTGGGTTTCTCAGTCGGTGTTGTATTCTCGTCGTTTGATGCATGCATGAAATCACCGGAGAAGATGCGCATAAAGATGCTCTTCGGATTTTGAGAAGGCTTGTCCTCGGTTTTGTCTTGCTTCTTTTCCTCTTCAATTGCCACTTCCTCTGAATCAGAGAAGTCCCACATTGTGTCAGTATCGCCTCGAATAAGCGCAGTACCCCAAAGCGATGCCAAAACGCCCGGTACCAGATAGAGAAGAGCAGGTTGGGCATGATTCGAATATTGCATGGCAAGGAGGGTGGTCACCATCCCAACAACATAGCCGAATATACTAGCTTTGAAGTAAATCTTTGGAAAATGCCGGGCATCATGATAGGGAGGTTGAAGTTCCGGTTGGAGTGGCTTGACTGATGACGCCCAGAAGCGCTCTCCCCAAGCACCGGTTGCCGACTGATACTCAGGTTTGATGGTTGTCTGGTCTGACCCTTCAGCGTGCGCCTTTTGAGCGCCTTTCCGCTGGTAATAGAGGAATAGATCAAATCGAAGTGCTAGCCCAATCATCATTCCTGGAATGACAATGTCACCCAGTCCAAGCATAGCCAATGGCACGGTGCCAGGAGCATCGCGAGAGGTGGGCGGGCGAGGAAACAGGAGCTTGATCGGTACATCCAGTTTGGTTGCAACAGTTACCATCAACGGTGTGAAGAAGACAAAGTAGATGTCATAGAAGAACAAGGACCCCATAATGAGGGTGCCTGTCCAGAACGTGGAAGGAGACATGAATTGTAGGGTGCCGTAACAGAAGCAGAAACCGAGGAAATTGGTCAACCACCATGGATTTGCCACGAATGCAAAGTATCCTACAGCAGACAAAGAAATGATTGCGCTGAGGATATCAAGGAGACCAACGAGGCATTTGAAGTCAAATAAGCCACGTACATGAGCCCGCACCTTGAGGCGCTGGTGGGAAACATTTCGGCACGTCCAAAGCAGTCTTAATACCATACGTGGGAGTGGCAATTGGCCTAAAAACCCAGGAAGAGGTGAATTCCGGATGGAGTGCGGCTTGGCTGGATGGTGCTCAGATGCTATGAAAATGCATTCGGACTGTTTCACTTTCCATAATTGTCCACCTTGACGATAATATCTAGGAAACACAAATGAGCGAACCATCAACAGCATATCCTTCAGGAATGCAAAAGCAAAGAATAGTCCCATTTGAGAGAAGTAGAAGCTAAGAATCTTGTTCAATATGGCTGGATCTTCTAGCCATTTGATCACCAAATATAAAGCACCCAGGGTGAGCCCTGCAGTCAACGGAAATATTAGAGCATCTGACGGCTCAAGCCCTTCCATCTTCTGCAAAGGGCCATGTCCCTCTTCATCATCCGTGTCATATTCATCTTTATTCTTGTCGGCCTTTTTCTTTGGAGCTTTGGCGGCAGAGGAAGGTCTCGTCAAAGATGCATGTGCACCGATCCAAATTGGGAAAAGAGCGGAAACAAGTAGGTGTCCGTAAGTTGGAAGAAGTGGCCTCAGACGGTCGAAGTGGTAGAGGACTTGCCCAAGAAGCTCTGCGACAGGGCTGATGTCGGCCATGATGGATAGGAATTCGCAGACTGTAAGCACGAGGTAAACGACAGTGAATTGGAGCCAATAAACAGAAAGGAATGAATTAGACCATGGTGGGCACAAAGGCTAGTGTGGGAGATTCTTTGAGGTGTTGACCTTCCAAGGTTGGAACCTCCAAGCACGGAGGGGCTTAGTGACCACAGCATAATTTAATTCACCGCTTTCTGACATCTACACAACCAAGGTTGGTCTCTTCCCAAACGATTCTACACTCACATCTTCATCATGACAACTGAGGTGGCTTTTGACACTACTATGGTAACTAGCACTTCGTTGTTCTCCCAAAATTGTTTTACTAACCCACCGCAGGGCTCCTTCTCCGTGGAGCTCTACAATACCCATGCGCCCAAGGTATGAGTCCCTTCGTCGAACTCCTAGGGAATCCTCGTGCTAATTCCTTGCTCTTCAGACATGCAAGAACTTTGCCACCCTAGCCGAACGCGGCTACTACAACAATGTTATCTTCCATCGCATCATTCCTGACTTCATGGTTCAAACTGGCGATCCCACTGGCACCGGTCGAGGAGGTAGCTCTATCTACGGCGAGAAATTCGAGGACGAGATTCGCGGAGAGTTGAAACACACCGGCGCTGGAATTCTGAGCATGGCGAACAGTGGACCGAATACCAATGGTAGTCAGTTCTTTATCACTCTTGCGCCCACACCCTGGTTGGACGGAAACCACACAATTTTCGGCCGAGTGAGAAGTGGTATGAGAGTGATCCAGCGTATGGGATTGGTCAAGACCGGCGCGGAGGACAAGCCAGTGGATGAGCTGAAGATTATTCGAGCTCGGGTGGTTGAGGCAGGCACACAAGAGTGAGAGTTACACGACGCGCCTTATTTCATCGAGTTACGATGGAGCGTCATGCACATCAAGTCACCTTCCGGAGGAAAAAAAAAAGGTGCTGCCCAATTTGGATATTCTAGATTCCATATGCAATACGGGTTGCAGGTACAACCTTCGACGCGCCCGGACCAAGTCATGCTAGAGCAGCATTGCCTTGCTGTTGTCTCAAGCTGTTGTCTAAAGGTGCTCTATGCAAGCCTCCTGGATTCTAAAAACTACAATATCCGAGTGGCACAGCAAGGTACCAGTCTAATAATGAGATTATGGATGTATCACTACAAAACGAACCGCTTCCATCAAATGAACCATCAAGAGCAGCAGATACAGAGTGACAAGGAATCTTATCTACCACTCCCAAACGAAGTCCAGTGAAGGATTTCGTCAACGAAGACCAGGCTACAATCGTATAGTAACCCGTTCTGTGTAGAACACGGGGAGTGGTATGGAGAAAGAAAAGTGATGCGCCGAAATTTCAGTTCATATAGCGGTGCAGCCTAACCTCTTTGGGAACTGCTGAATAATATTTGGCCTTAGGCATACTTTTGTGCCTGACCTCGACATGTAGCTCTACTCATTATTCTCTACATCCAGCGTAAGCATTATCTTCTGGCATTAGTAACTACCTAGAAGATAAAGCAAAAGGAAGAGTTACACGCTCGCTTATTTGATTTGACTAATCAATATAAGCTGTTGCGACTACATATGGATGATCCTTGTTCATTTTCATTCTTCATCCCCTTGGTCAAGGAAATAAAAGATAGCTCCGCTCAGTGCGCCAGCAATGACACTTCCATGGTCTTCATCTTCATATCTCCTTCGGATGACTGACCGTACTCGTCCACTCTGCAGAAGCCGAACAAACATCTGGTCGCAATTATCCCCCATGAGACGTTCCTTGGCTATCGCCAGCCGTTTTTCATACTCCTCCAACGACTGGTTTTTTTGATGTACGGGAGACTGCTCAAGTGATCCATAGGCCAGCCAAACTCTCGGCTGGTGGTGCGATTCTGGCATGTTGTAGAACTGCTCTTCTTCCTGCAACAGGAATCCATCGTTCCACCAAATTGACGGACTTGCAGCAAGATATGCATCAAAGCTTGCAGGGGCTACATAGAGCGCATGGAGTGCAAAAAGGGCCCCGAAAGAGTGTCCGAATAAAGCAGTCTGGCAGACTGATATGCGAGGGAATATCGAAGAAAACACAAAATGGTGAACAGTGTTCGTTATAAAATGGAGAAAAGCATCTGCACCTCCATATCCCTGAGGGTTGGGCTTCCCATCTGGGCCCTTGGGCGATTCATATTTCTCACAGGGAGGAGTTAGATCGTAGCTTCGACGAGGACTGTAAACAGATCGGGTCAATGGGTAGGAGATTCCAATGATGATCGTCGATGTTTCCTCTGGCTTACGCATTCGCCGCCGCCGCACGATATCTGTTGCCGAAAGCATCATTGCATTGCCATCCACGATATATCTATAGATAGTTCAAGAAGTGTCGCCTGATGATATACCCTCAAAGGCAATCTCACTTACATCGCATTCGCTTTGTTGACGCTCGGCTGATCTCCAGTCGATTCCCACTCCAGTGGCCATGAAACTTGAATAAGATATTTCTCATCCTGCTTGTTTACGACGAGCCAGCTCGCCATATTTTGGACATGACAGTCCGTCTGTTCAAATTTCCACTGGTCTGCCATTGTATGCTTCAGAACATGTGTTAGGAAGACGATATCTGGGGTAGCAATAATTGTCGTCAAGAAGCGTTCGTTATTTTAAAGAACGGATTATGAGATTAAAAGCCAAGATGCAGATATGCTGTGGGTCTAACAGAACAGCTAATTCGGCGAGAATAGCCGAAGGGTGCTACAGTAAAACCCAGTTATAATGAACTGCTAGATAAGTCTTATATATTATATAAATATATCTAGTTTACATTCAAGTGTATGCTCCAAAAAGGTATCAATAATGCTCTGCTTCTATGCATATGACTTCCTACAACATATAGCGGCCTCTGATATTTCGATAAAATTTTTGTAATCAGCTGCTTTTCACCTTAAGAGGAAGCCTGAGGCCTGGGGAATTGGGAGCCCTGTGGGACAGGTGGGGATCCCAAGACGTTTGAAGTGGACTGACTCAACTTCGATATAACGAATTTTGTATAGGCGAAATGCTGAGTTAAAGAAGTTCGTAGGGAGTAGTAAAGGGACAACTTTTGGTGGTATCACGGTGGATTAATTGATCGGTACACATTCATAAAAAGGTATACGTTATATCTGCTTTTGTTATATACAACATAACTTGTAATTGGAAAAAGTGAGGCCTAAATAATAGCCCCACTTCACGCGTGGGAGAATATCTGGGAACCTTGGAAGCCTTCCAAGGGTGATGATAATGGCATGAGGCCAAGCCTCGGAAAACGTCCGCTCCAAAGAAAGGTTATATTCCCGAATATCTTATTTGGATTCCGAGGTTAGGTCTTAACTCCGAAAGTGAGGCCATTCCCATCGGAAATATTCGCCTCTGGCCATCTTGGCCATCTTGGCTATCTTGGCATTTTTAATATGTACCATAGGAGGACGCGTCCCTTCTCGTCTCAATTACCTATTTCGGGTAGGCATTGTTTTGCTTTTTAGCATATGATTGATAGGCTTGATTTGACTTTTTTAGCATATGATTGATAAGATTAGTTTCAACTTATGGTCCACTTTCACATATAGTATTCGTGGCTCAAGAGCCTCTAAAGCGCCTCTAGAGCCACGGAGACATATTCCAGAATGCTAGAGCGGAGCGAAGGAGTTAGTTCTTCCAATCCTTTTCAAGTCTTCGGCACATTAGTTCTGTTCTTGCTACTTTTGGGTGGTAGTTTCGCGTACGGAGTTGTGTGTCACAGGATCTGTCTCCGGTTTCGCTGTTTACCCTTCGATTTTTTTTATTTAAATCCTCTCTAGTTCCATTTTTGACAAAAATTTATGTACTCTCACTAAATACATGCGACTACAGCCATGGCTAAGCAAGAAGGGGATATTGCCATTGCGATGGCACCATCAAACGATCAAAGCAGCCAAGCTGGTCATAATGTTTATCAGGAGGAAAACCTTGAAAAGCAATCGAGCATTCCCAGCATTCAACCTGGAGTCTACAGGGCTGATGCGCTTCGAAAAAGCTGGACCAAGCAAGGCTTAATCATTGTCTTTACAGGGTTTGTCATCGCAAACATATCGCAAGCAGGGTGATTTGCTAATCGATAGCTAGACTGTTTATATGTACATTGGCTATCAATTTTGCCGATTATACAACCACGGTGTATGCCCCATACACAACGAGTGACTTCAAGCAGCACTCTGCCATGAGCGCAGCCCGCGTGGTCATGAACATTGCGCGTATCTCCGCCTACCCCGTTGTTGCAAAGTTGGGAGATGTCAGTATTCTTGGGTCTTCCAACATTTTTCTCTTACTTACCATGATGGCTAGGTTTTCGGTCGAGCTGAAATGTTCATCATGTCCATTGTTATGTCTGCTGTAGGCTATGCTATTTGGGCAGCCTGCACAAACATTAAGGAATACATAGTAAGGAGTCTTCGCTCTGTATCTCCCAAGTATCTCTCGCACCGTGCTAATTATCACGGCAGGTTGCCGGTATCTTCGACGCTATCGGATCGACTGGATTTGCTCTCACACAACAAATCTTCGTGGCGGATACGACCTCGTTACTCAATCGCGGTATCTGGTCAACGCTACCTGACTCTCTCACTACAGTTCCGACTCTTTACCTTGGTTCTATCATCGGTCAGAGCATTCTCGATCATTCAACCTGGCGATGGGGATGGGGCATGTGGGCGATTATCTTGCCCGTTGCATCAGTGCCATTGATTGGTACCATGCTGTTTTATCAACGTCGGGCTCCCTCTCCGATATCTGTGGCTGAGGCATTGGGCTGGAAGACCCACGATGCCTGGTGGAAGAAGATGTACCGATTGATTTGGATTCAGCTTGACTTGCCAGGAGCTATTCTCCTTATAGCTGGGCTGTCTCTTCTTTTGGTTCCTTTGTCATTGACGGGCTCTAATAACCCTGGTGCATGGACCAACGGGTCGTTTATCGCCATGTTGGTCCTTGGAGTGGTGTTCATTGTAGCATTTTTGGGTTGGGACACATGGTTCGCGCAGAAACCATTTGTGCCTTATCGCATGATCAAGAACCGCACAGTGGCAGCTGCATGTCTTCTTGGGGCATTGGACTTTTTCCATTATTCAGTGTTCAGTGTCTTCTTCACGAGTTATCTTCAGGTAGCTGGAGACTTCTCGGCGGGGCCTGCAACCAGAATTGAGTATGACCCCCCGCCCCATCTCTTACTGGCTATGTTTGCTATCTTTCCCCCCCCTTGAGACTGACATTGAATCTAGTAACTCCCTGCGTGTAGCCTTTCAGGTGGCCGGCATATTCGCCGCTTTCTTCATGAAATATACCAAGCGCTCTCAGATTTGGGTGTTGGTCGGCGTTCCACTCTGTGTTCTTGGAATGGGCGTACTTCTCTATCTGGTGGACATGGGAGATGGTCGCAGTGGGAATGAAGTATCTTTTATCACGGCCAAGTCATTGATTGGTGTTGGTCGTGGATTCTACCAAACGGCTGCACAGGTCTCAGTGCAGGCCGTGGTCTCGCGACAGGATGTTTCCGTTGTTACTGCAGTATTCTTCGCATCGATGAGCGTGGGTGGTGCAATTGGAACAAGGTAAGCAGACACATCCAGTCATATCTTGGATTCTTTTTTCTAATTGATGCTTCCAAATAGTGTTGCCGGCGCAATCTGGCGAAACACTCTCCCGAACAAGCTGCAGAAATATCTTCCTGATGAACTGAAGGATCAAGCCAATGCTATCTTCGGATCAATTGTGGTGGCTCGGAAATATGCCATGGGTACTGAAGCTCGTGAGGCTATCAATCGCAGTTACCGAGAGTCGCAAAGACTACTTGCGATCGCAGGCCTTGTTTCACTTTCATTGATGCTTATTGTGATGCTGTTCTTGAAGAACGTGAAGCTGGGTGAGGACGCAATGACTGAGACAGAAAAGATAGATCAAGCTCCTGGGGTCTCAGAAAAGAAAGATCAAGTTTATGAGGTTGCAGAAAAGAGGGCTGAGAAAACTCACTCCTGAGGTATATATTTTTGACAGGCGACGAGGTGCCTCGGAGGAGAATGGAGGAGAATGGAGGAAAGCGGGTGGGAGCATACTCTAATTTTGGAATGTCCGTATCATTCATGTTATTAAGAACATGTTGAATTAATTTAATCTAAAAGTTTCATTATTTTTCCTTATAAACTGTTCTTAAAGGTCGTATTTAGTATTTTTTGTCGGAGTGGTCATAATGCTCCACGGGCTTGTTGACTGGAGTGGGGACCGGGTGACCGCCTTCACGCGCACTTCCCGCGTTTTTCTCCAAATTTTTTTCCTTTCTTCTTCTTTCCCCCAAGTACTTCAAGTTTTGGGGATTTCCAGCAAGCTTATGTTGCATTAAATATCCCACTTCTTAACCTCATGCGAGCTTGGGCTGCTGAACCTGGCTGTAACAATCGGACTTACCTGCATCTAGGACTCCGTTCCTGATTTTTCATACCATGGAAACTCTATCAGGCACAACCTGGGATGTGGTCATTGATGGGACTGGGATTTCCGAGTCTCTTCTGGCACTGTGAGTGACTCTCCTAGGGTGGTTGTGAGTTGAGCACTCACACTCCCAAAGGGCCCTCTCACGATCTGGAAAGAAGGTTCTTCACATGGACTCAAACCAGTACTATGGTGGTTCAGATGCAGCCTTCAGTCTTGATGAGGCCCAGGAGTGGGCAGATAAAGTCAATAAAGGTGAGCTACATCTGGTTTGTGGCTAGTTGATTCATTGCTAATGTTGTGCTGCCAAACAGACACACACGCATCAATGTTCAAAGATGTCTCAATCTTTAAACGTGATGCATTTCCTTCATCCGAGGATACAAGCATTTCTCTCAAACTTGCATCTAGCCGTGCTTACACTTTGTCCCTCTCCCCGTATTTATTATATGCCCGTTCTCAACTAATGTCAGCGCTCGTATCCTCGAAGGTGTTTCGCCAGTTGGAGTTTATGGCTGTTGGCAGCTGGTGGATTTACGCACCCGAACAGCCAGACTCTGAAAATGGCAAACTTGGCGCGGAAAAAATTCTTTACCGCGTACCTGGTAACCGGGAGGATGTCTTTGCTGCAACTCACATCAGCATGAAGTCCAAGAGAAGCCTCATGCGACTGTTGCGTCAGATCACCAAACCCAAGGAGGATGACGCTTCAAATGAAAATGAGGATATGTCAATACCCCTGAACGATTACTTGGATTCCAAATTTAGCGTTCCGGAGGAACTTCACAATCCTCTGCTGTCGCTTTCCCTGTCGCAGCTTTCTCAGCAAGATACTTCCGCCAGCTATGCTGTGTCCAGGATTCAAAGACACCTGTCATCCATTGGCCATCTTGGCCCTGGGTTTGGAGCTGTGATTGCCAAGTATGGCAGCGGAGCTGAAATCCTGCAAGCTGCCTGTCGTGCATCCGCTGTGGGAGGGGCTGTATATGCTCTGGACACAAATATTAATGATTGCTTATGGCGCACAGGCTCTGAACATTCCGATCATCGTTTTTGGTTGAACCTGGGCAACGAAGGGTCTGTTCAGGCGAAATATCTGTTTACCTCGAAGTTTGATACCCCTTCAAAAGAGAGCTCGACGCCCTTGGTCGAAGTCGCCCGTTCGATCAGTATTGTGTCAGCTACTTTCCCGTCCCTTTTCCCTGTTGCAGTTGAAGGTGCTCCTGTGCCCGCAACTGCAGTTCTCATGTTCCCAGGAGATACTTTGGGCAGCCCTCAGTCTCCACCAGTGTATCTCCAGGTTCATTCAAGCGACACTGGCGAGTGTCCACACCAGCAGAGTAAGTCAATTCCTGAAAAATTTTGCCTGATATGTTCTTTCCCACCGCTCGCATGATGATTTTTTTCAAAAACTTATCTACATTGCCTGAACTCGCTATGTTGAAAACCTTTTCACCTGATCTCGAGCACTATTCCCCAACATTAATTTGCCAGCAATATTGTTGTTCATATGGCTAATTAATTGTCACAGGTGTTATTTATTGCAGTGTAGCACTAGCTGGGCCGGAAGGTCAAGCGCTTCTCGAGTCCGCTGTGGATAGACTAATTCAGGCAGAGGGTCTCCCGGCCAGCGTGCTGTGGTCCTTGCGATATACCCATACCGGTTATCTCAGCAATGGTGAGCCCAGGCGTCTTATTGTCACGGACGAAATTCCTGATTGCTACGTTTTCCCCCCATCGAGCCTTGACCTGGCATTCGAAGATGACACCCTTGACCTTGTAAAAGAGGCTTGGAAGAAAGTCGTAGGAGATGCAGTTGATGATGCCGATTTCATGATATTTGATGATCGCGATGGTACCTCTGATGATTGATTCGTAACATAGCGTCCTTTTCGATCCAACCTTTATCCATATTTCTCCACAGAAACACATAATTGACGAAATAATTAGATCTTTATTTTCAAATAGTATTGTTACTTAAAGTAATGCTCCGAATTTCTTCTATATCGTATTGTGCTGTAACGCTTTGATTGTTCTACAGAGAATCAATGATACCTCAGGATGTTAATAAGTCACATGATACGTCCGCCAGTCTTCACGCGTTAACCAGAGTATGTTCTATGACCTGCAAATTCTAACCTTTGAAGTATTGCATGCCCTACCACTCAGCAATGAAATACAAGATCTGTGGCTAGTACGTGGCTAATGGTGACGCAGAATTAATATGGACAAGCACAACCAGTTCCAAGGCAGAACGCCCCTGACGTCATATTTTGAATTTATCTGATATACTCCGTAGTCCGAATATCAATCGGGTTCTTCAACAGCGTTTGATTAATCTTTGCTTCTCCTACCTTACAATCTCATTGTGAGATATACCCTACCAGCCCTCGCAATGTCCCTCAATAATGTCACTAGCGGTGTGACCGGGCAACTTCCTGTTGACAAAGTCCAATCAACAACAAGCGGAGTGGTCAAGAAAAGCACAAAAAACACACCAAAGAAACTAAACAAAACGACAAAGGACTTGACCAATCCTGTCCTCCCAGGTCAATTTCCTTCTGATGATGCTCCACCAAAAGGCTCAAATGTTGACAATAATCTCTCATTTTCATCGATATGGTCCTCCATCACAGCATGGTTCGCTACACTATTTCCTCAAGCTTTTGACTACTTCGAGTCCTGCATCCAGAGATTCGTGGCCTGGCTCCTCCCTCCGCCCCGCCAGGCTGCGATATATGAAGCTGCGCTAAAGCGCCCTGCCGCAACAAGCTTGATCGTTTGTCAAATGATTTGCTGTGGAGTTCCTCTACTCGTATTCCTGGCTGGCGTGTTTGTCTTCGCTGCAGTGTCGATCCTGCTCTGGGCTGTTCTGTCGTTGCTCATTCTTGGTCCTGTGTTGTTGGTCACAAGCATGATGGGTATGTCTCTGTGGGGCTGGGGTTGGATCCTCTATGGCTTGGTCAAGTGGGTTGATCAGAAATTCTTGGGTGGTGTTATTGCACGTTTTTGGCTTCCTCAGACCCAATCGGAGACGGCTGATGGAGAGGGTAAGCCTGGGGAGGAGAAAGAGGAGAAAGAGGAGAAAAAGGAGGAAAAGGACGAGTAATGTCTGCATAATAACTGGAATTGAAAGGGCATGTTATTTTGTATATACATGCTGTCTGAATCAAATAGCATACAAAATTGACATTGACATTGAGATTGAACAAGAAGGTGTACAGTATCTTCATATACACGCTCAAACTAGTATCTCAAGAGTCACAAATGGCATCTCGGTGAAACCCTCGGCCATCGTATATGTGACGTTGTAAAACGCAAATTCGTTAAAAGAGTGATCGGCATTGTAAGTAAGCGTATAATCCGGGTTCGCATTTGTCGAGACCTTGACGTTTAAACCAGGTAGAACTTCTAGTCCAGTTACATTGAACCCGTTGTTGATCGTAAGACCACTGAACAGGAAGTTGAAAGAAACCGGACCTTGCGCAGATGTTGCATTTGGATATGAGATGTGCAAAGATCGAGGGGCGGCCACGGCATGGATAGATGACTCTGTGACCCAGTGTGAAATGCAGCCAATTTTCTGATCATCAATAGCCCACTGAATAACGGCAGGATTGAATTGACCGGGGTTGATACTGGGACCTCCCGCAACTTTCTCCATAACCGTTTCTGCGCCAATGGTCACGTCCTTGGACATCCAAGCTGTGATATTGCGAGGATAAGTATCGAAGGGTGGCGAGTAAGCCTGCGAAGTATACATATGCTCGCCAGGGAATTTGAGCAAATTTTTCTTCACTTTTGAAGGCATGGACTTTACCATTTCAGGCATTGATAGAGCGAATAGAGGGTAAAACGCGAAATCATCTTGATGAAACATCCCTAGATCCTGCTGAGGGACGGGGGCGTGCTTGCGGCCAACGACACCCCAAATAACAGCGCCAGTAAGAGATGCATATTCCTTCATATCATAGCCATATGAGCGATCCCAAGGGCCAGCAAGATTTTTTAGATTTGCGTTATAGAGCTGAGCGAGTTCTTCCCAGCTGTATTTGAGCATCTCCGGTCCATACTTCTTCAACAAACTGTCACTTGTGCCATACTGGTTCCATAGAGCCAGTGCCCACATGGCAACGCCAGCGTATGTCGGAGAATTAAATTCAGACAATGTGTGATGCACACTCCAGAGATCATAGATGTCCTGTGCGAAGATCTCACCAGACTTGGTCAAATTTGCATCTCCGACTCGGGCACCAACCCAGTTGTGGAGAATGGTTCGCATCAACCAGGGATTTGAGTAACAGGGATAAGAATTGTCGCCGTTGACTCCCCCGACACGATAGAGATCGCCCTTGGCAGCAATATGCAAGGAATTTTCCACCTTGGCGACCGTCGCTGCTGGAAGCAAGTGACCATAATCATTCAAGGCTACAATCCAGGCACAACCCACGAAATCGCGGATGTTTGGATCCCACTGATCATAATAATGTTAGCAAAATAGCACACGAAAACAACCTGTAAACTAGGCTAGGTATCATTGTCTCACCGAGCTGTATGGACCATCATCGGGATATTTCAGGGTCCCAGGCTCCGGCTCCGAAGGCGCTTGTTGATAGTCCCCATACCACTGTTTGGATGGATCGAGATATTGACCAGCGATGACATTGTCAAATATACGAATGGCTTTTTTGACATCGCCCGGTCCGTTCCTAGCTAGCAATTGAGGCGCATACCAGGCCGTGTGCCGACTATCATAGCGTCCAGGACTACTGGCCGAGGTGACCAGATAGCCGGCCTCATCGTCCCAATACTCGTCATTCCATTCAATGGCGGCATTAAACATTTCCACTGCGTGCGGCGATGCCTGGAACCTCGATGACCAGCTTTTTACTGGAGAAGCAGAAACAATCCCAGCATTGTGGATAGCATTGAGCCCAAAAAGAACCAATGCGAGCTTCATGGCGTGTTGGAGATGCCCCGGTATAAGAATGGCAGGCGAAGTGATTTGCAGACGAATATCAATTTTTTTTGTTCTGCTTCCTGCTGTGCCTTTGCTGTCTTTATACCGTTTCTAATCTGGCTTTTGGCAGAGCTCATTTTAGCTTAGTTGATTTACTACATAGTGTCTAGTGAATTAGTTTAGATTGTATGATAACCTGGACATCTAGTGTAGAGTCCGGTGATATGTCCGTGATCTCCGAATATGCCGGTTGTCATTCCAGAAATCGTCTAGTTTGTTGATCGCTCCTTGAATATGCCTAAAGAGGCTTCAATCACCCCCCAGAGAACAATTGAACTGATCTTGGCATCTTTCCCCAGTGTCGCTCTTATCTCCAACGGTCATCATCCGGCAATTCTCCGGCTTTGCCGATCTATACCCCTCCCTAAATCTTCAAGAGCTTCCCCGCTCAAAGAATTGGAGTGCGAAATTTGATTCCACCTATGATCATGGAGATGCAAAAGCCGCAGAAGAGATCCCAGTTTTCATTTTCTACATATCCAAGAGATCTAGGTTACTTGAGCCACTTGGAACCGAAAGCAACAATCTGATCCTGCCGAGTCATAAACAACGCAGAAAGCGCGAGAATCCCAACGCCAGTGGCCCACCTAGAGCTAACCGCGAAAGTCGTATCATTGCCATCCCGGTCAAACGGCGGGGTGATGGGTGCGCTCATCTTGTGAGCCTTCTCAACCGAGTACGGGGGATATCGGGCAGCAAGAAGCCCCTCCAACCACGAAGGCATGGCATTGATGTGCGTGCGGAGATGAGAGAAAGTCAAGATACCATGCGGGCCATGATAGCTCCCCTGACCGGAGTTCCCAACACCACCGAATGGCACATCACGAGCAGCTACATGGACAGCACAGTCGTTGAAGGTCACGCCTCCGGACTGTGTTTCGTTCAAGATGCGAACCTTATCGGCATCTCGAGTAGTGAAGGCGTAGATTGCGAGTGGGTGCTCTCCCTCACGCGTGCGAGAGATAGCGGTATCGAAGTCTGCATCGACGATGGGGAGAATCGGGCCGAAAAGCTCCTCTGAGAGAAGGGAATCGCCGGGTTTGACTCCAGTGACGATCGTTGGTGCGAAGTACCGACTTTGACGATCGCGCTGGCCGCCATAGACAATCTTTCCGGAGGTCTGCTGGAGGAGACTATCAAGACGATCAAAATTGCGATCGTTGATGATGTGTGTATAGTACTCTGGCTTGTTGTCTTTACCTCCTAGGAACGTGTCAAAGTGTCGAATCAAATCGGCGACAAGACGCTCTCGTAGGCTAGGGTGGACGAGCACGTGGTTTACATTCAAGCAAATCTATGTACAGTCAAGACGAGTTAGCTTTTGATGACTTGTGGGGGGGGGGGGAAGGGGGGTTTGAACAGTCCGAGCGTACCTGTCCAGCATTCATGAATTTGGTAACGGCAATGTGTTTTGCAGCGAGATCGAGATTTGCTGACTCCGCGACAATAGCAGGACATTGACCGCCCAACTCGAGTGTGACGGGAGTCAGGTGCTTTGCCGCTGCTGCATGGATGATTTTGGCAATATTGGGGGATCCAGTGTAGAAAATGTGGTCAAAGCGATGTTCAAGAATATATCCCATTTCTTGTGGACCAGCAGAAACACAACGGATTGCATCTTGATCCATATACTGGGAAACAATTTCCATCAGTAAATCTTGAGTGGCACTTGCCACATCAGATGGTTTGAGAATAATGGCACACCCAGCAGCAATCGCGGCAATCATTGGCTGCAGGAGCAGGCAGACAGGAAAATTCCATGCACTGATAATCAGTGTCACACCAAGAGGTTCCTTGCGGACAGTGGCTCTCCCTAGGAAGTTGATAGGATCGGACTTTTCCGGTCGTTCATCCTTGGTCCACTTATCCAGTTTCTTGAGAGTACGTAGAATATCAGCTTGGACATTTGCACAGTCATTAGTATAGGCTTCTTGATAGTGCTTGTGCAGATCGGTATAGAGCGCGTCGCAGATGCGCTTCTTGTTGTCCTCAATCATCCACCAAGCACGTTTCAGTTGACGACGCCTCCATTCCTTGTTCTTGGTGGTGCCAGATGCAAAAGCACCCTGCACACTTTGATACGCCTAGAAAGTGTGAACGGTGATATCGAATAGTGTGGATGATATTTACCTGATCAAATTCGGCCGTAGTGCTGAAACCCATAGCTTTGTGGGGGCAGATGATGTGGAGAGAGACCCCTGAGAGAAAGACGGGAGGTTATATGGGGATTATACAAATGTCAACCTCGGACTTGCCGAGGAACCCCGGTCCAAGCAGCTTATTTATCAACGTGTGCTTGATTCTGAATTTGCATTAATTTGAATTATGCGAAGTATTTACGGGCCAGATCCCTACCTCGGTATACTTCCCGGGAGGGGTTATTATTTTGGAAATAAGCAAGAATTCTGTGTCTCTACAAGTTAAATCTTCTCTCTGAAACAATCTCTCAATCTCTTATTCATAAAGCCAGACAGCATGTTGCCTTCCGAAAATCTCACAGCCAAATACGCCTCACTGAATAAGTTCATCGATGAAAAATACGTCGAATCCTACGACGGGCGCGAGGTTGCCCTTCTAAACTACGTATACAACCATTGTGCCTTGGATAAAATACGCGGCTCACCCTCAGCTATGCATCAAACTCGCAGGGAAACGCAGAAAAACCTGAGACTTTTGAGTTTGGAATTTGACCCGCTGACCGCGTCAGTGGCCATCGATTTGATTGAGTTAGTCTGAGCGACATTTGTTAAAGTGGTGGTCAGCATCAGATCTGCAAAGATTTTATAAGGAATTGATCGCCATCTCCTTTGATCATGAAGATCTATGGCTGATCTAAAAATCTGCGAGAAACTGGGTCTTCTCAAGCCCGGGGCGTTGGTCGTGGCTGATAACGTGCTTCAGCCTGGAGCTCCACAGTACCGCGAATATGTCCGCCAGACAAGATGCAAAGTTGGGGTATTAAGGGACTGATAGTGCCAGGGGATTTCGAGGTAAGTCCGTATATATATTAGCCCATATCTATGGAATTCAAATACTGAGAAAACCAAAAGGTTGAACTTGAAGTTAGTAGGATCAAGTAGCTATTTATTAGGGGCACTTGGCATCTGACATTTTAATTATTTTAGATATTAGGAAGGAGTATTAGTACGGATTAGGGAGTACTACGAAGTAAGTACATATCATAAAAGCCTACGGAATAATAATAGCGTAGTACCCCGTTGTAGATTTCTAGAATCCCCCAACTCCAAAACCCCCTTTTGCCTCCGTAACATGATAAGCCCAAAGTGGATATCCCAGTAATATGCCACAGACGAATAGAAATGAATAGAATACGAACAATAAATATACATATATAATTATCGAATCCTCCACTCATGCGGGGTAGCTGGAAAAATGACTGCAATTTCAAGAGCTCGTACAGGCTGTTGGACATGTCGTGCACGGCGCATCAAATGTGATGGTAATTTCCTATTAGCTCCTGCATGAAGCACAGTTTTAATTGAAAACCTATTAGAAACTCATCCAATTTGCCGCCGTTGTGCCCGTAACAATGCCCCGTGCGGATATGGACTTCGTCTAGTCTGGCACGAGGAGTCTTTAGCCCGAGGTGTGTGCCATGGAAGAGCAGGAGTATGGTCCAAACGAAAAAATGCTCAAAAGAAGGAGTCTCTGGAGCAAGTGGATGATAGATTGTCGCTAAGACCGGAGCATGCCGGCGCTGATCGGACCTGGATGTTTTTGAACACGACTATGATCGATCTCCAGATCCATTTTGATAGTACACAGCCCAATTCTAAAGGAATGAAGGCTTTGCCTCAACCAAGCCCGTTCTCGCCTTGGTTGAATACTTTCTCACCTGGTCAGCGATCGGAGTGTGATCCTGTGCTTATGTCTTATTTCGAACACATCATCTGCAGCAGCTCAACTCTCGTCGATAACGCACATTACAATCCATATCGATATCATATACTCCCCATGGCCCTGCAGTCCGATGGGCTGTATCATGCCGCCCTAGCAATCGCAGCTAACACCCTCAAGCTGTCAGATCAGCGATACCGGCTTCCGGCATTGGAACATCACCATCGGGCACTAAATTACCTACGCATTCTATTGAATAAAGACAATTGGTCGGAAAATGAGCTGGATGAGATGCTCGGTCTGGTCTTGATGCTATGCTGGTTTGACGTAGGACCTTCCTTGCTTCCCTTCGATGAGAAACCTCCTAATTCTTTACAGATATCAGATAGCAGTCGCCCTTCATGGGTCACCCATCTCAATGGATTCCAAAATTTAATTCGCACACGAAGAGAACGCCCCGGTCGCTCATGTCACAGTCAAGAATTGGCAAGTTTCTTCAATCGTTACTTTGCCTTCCACTTAGTGCTAGCCCGCACTGCGTTTCGCATCACCCCTCCCTCATCCCATATATCGCCTCTCCTGCCGGACAATATACTCGAAGGATCAGACATAATAGATCCGTACATGGGATTGAGCCCTGATCTCTTATTGATGATCAACCAAGTAGCCGAACTAGCCTGGGCTTGTGAGGGTGACAACATAAAAATCAACCGTAAAGACGTTCATCAACTCAAGACGGACCTCGATAATCTTCAACAAAGAATACCCACAGAACATATCGATCCTAACACGGAGTGTGCTGCGATCGCAGAAGCAAATAGGCTTGGGGCCCTTCTTCTTCTGCATGAGGTCTGTTCGAATAAGGCCCCCATTAATCGCTCTGGGATCCCAACACTAGAATCGGAGGAGAAGAATGTTTATGTTGAACAGATATTGAGCTTGATGTTGGAAAAGAAGGTAAATATAATGCGTACTGCAGTTACGCCTTTATGGCCTCTCTTCTTGGCAGGGTGCTGTGCTCGCAGAGAAGAGGAGAGGGTCCTTGTTTTGCAATTGTTTAAAGAACTAGAGAGTATTCGTCGATTTGGGGTATGTATATTTTTCTATTTCTTTCTTTGTCAGTTGACTAACATCTCATCGTCCCGCAGAACATTACCCCTGCGATTGAAGTTGTTGAAATGGTCTGGCGCCAGCGAGATCTGTCAGTGCAAGACGAAAGAAAACTCCAGAAAAAGCTTAATACACAACGACAGAAAGATCCCTTGCGAGGAACCCGGTTCTCGTGGGAGCATGCCATGGTCATGCTGGGTGGGTGGAAGCTCAGCTTGACTTGAGCTTCTACGTGGGCAATGAAGCGCCTTTTTTATGTTCTCTTGTACATATTCTAAGGAGATGATCTCAGTTTGTATAGCTAGGAGCTAAATTATATCTTAATCATTCGACTTCATTCTATCCTCGCACCTCTTATCTGGACAAATCATAGCTTAGAAGCATGGCTTCTTTCACGTATCTGTCTACCTTTCCACCCCGTAAGGTCGCTCAACTCCATTTCCGGATCCAAGTGCGCCAAGTTCTTCGCGGTGCTCTTTTGTCCAGCTCTCCATTGCCATTGGCGCATTGTCTCTGGGTCAAGAGTGCCCTCGAGCAAATCAGCGACATATTTTCCAACGACAGGAAGGAACTTAAACCCATGCGCCGAGCCGCCGGTCGCCAGGAAGAGACTTTTGTGGGTAGGATGAGGGGTGACAAGGAAATGCCGATCAGCTGTATCAGCATCCCAGCAAAGCCGTGTATAGCAGAAGGGTTTGTCTGCAAGCTCAGGGAACACGCGCCGCAAGTTCCGGCGCATTTGGGCTTCTATTTCAAGAGGGAGGCCATCGGTGGGTGCCTGAACGAATGTGTGTGGGACAGAAGTGGTGATACCAGACTTTGTAGTCTGCATATTTGTAATGAATTGGCTGTGGGCCATCTTGAATATCCCATCCTCTTGAGGTGGGAAGAAGTATCCCAGCTCGAGATTATCCAGAATGGGCATCGAGGCATAGTGCTTCGTTTCGGAAGGGGTGAGCTGGATATGAGCGACACTGTGTCCCTTAGCAGTCAACTGGCCCTTCACGTCTAGTAGTGAAGGTGTCCAAGCTCCTGCGGCCACGATGACCACATCACCCTCGTGTCTCGTGCCATCTGCGCTGATGACTCCCTTGCATCCCCCAGTGATATCATCCACTATCAACTCTAGCACATTCCCCTTTGTCCCCGAAATCAATTCCACTCCCTTCTGTTGAGCAGCACCTGCCATCCGCTCGATAGCTGTTCCAGAAGCTGCCCACCCGGCTGTTGGGTTCCACACATTGATATTCCACCCATCCAGCTTTCCCGTGATAACAGAGAAGCGAGCACGGATTTGATCCGGTGTGAGCTTCTCAAGACCCTTTACTCCGAGCCTCCTACATGTCTCGATCGAGCCCTCGACAAAGGGCCGGGACAGGTTCGCCGCGCTGAGAATCCACCCGGGGACATGGTAGAGTCCACGAAACATGGGCCAAGACCGCCATGCTTCAATGGACTCAATTCCAAGACGTGCATATAGGGGCTCGTTGTAGTCACTGCGGATGACCTTGCTGATATCGGTAGAAGCTGCTTCGCATGAGGGAGGTGCGTAAGGGTCGAGCACACGAATGGAAGTGTAGCCGCGCTGCGAAAGGTGGTATGCGGTCGAAATGCCGAAGCAGCCGGCGCCGACGATAAGGATTCGGGTGTCTTTGTCCATTATGTGAATTGAATTGCTTTGACTTGGTTGGACCTCTCAGACTTTGAGGGTGGCGCCGCCATATTTATTGAGATATTTTATTCAGCCGTGCCTTCTTTTAGAATATACAATCTCGCTATCAGCTTCCTCACGCACAATCATATGTAAATCATCGTGAAGATATTCTCGTATGCGGGGAAGAAATCTGCTGCTTCGTTCTGACCTTCCGATAAAGCTCTCAAAGCTTGGGGGGTTACTCGGAGATTCTCCGATGAGTGGGGAGTGTTTATGTACTCTAGACCTCGTCTCGACCTTCACCCTTTTACCCCAACATTCCCCAATATTTTCAGCGAAAAAGGAAAATTATCCAAGCGCTCAATCTTTCTTGCCATGGCAATCAAAGTTATTCAGATACTATGGTAACTATGCCAAAGATACTATGTCCAATTGAACGTCTTATTTGTCACTATATCCATATTTCTTATCAACAATCCACTCTACATACAGATCACTATCCTAATAAGTATACCGGAAAGACCGTTTTTCTTTATCGGTCATATCCGAAAATGCAACAACTTCCGATGTCTCCACATTTGACTGGGCTTCCTTATCACGACGGTTATTTTCCCATCGGCAGAGGACTCCATAGAAAAGAATGGCAGCTATAGCCACAACAAGACAGGCCAGAAGACCCTCATATCCTCGTGAATACGACGGTGCATCATCAGAACGGAAACACTGGGGACCAATGATGTTGCCAATACAATACGCCAAGAAAAAGACGGCGTTCATGGTCAACTTCTTGCTATGGCCACTGGTGTTGGCCATTGGAAGCGAAGTCGACAGCACGTATGGCGCCCAGTAAGTGTAGAAGACGTAGTACGCTGCCAGTAGGCCTTGCTGGTTCTCACGTGGCAGCTTCCACATGAGGATGGCGCAGATCATGGGGACCAAGTTGGCCATGGCGATAATGTTGCAACGGGAATTGGGTATGCTAGCAGCAATAAAGCCTAACAGAATCTGCCACACTGTCGCAAGCACGCCGGTGGGGATACCCAGTACGGTAGTAATCAAAGGGGAATATCCCATACCGGTCACGATAATAGCTGAAAAGGTCACCAGACCACCATTGGGGATATTCTGGGCTAGTGAAAACAGCGCCAGCAGCCAAGTCTTAGGGTCGAGTAGACACTCGCGCACTTGATACCACTTGATGGTTTTGTCTTCCATGCCGGTATTGTTGTCTTTGACGCGCTCGAGGCAGACGAATTTCTCGCGATCTGAGAAATACCAGCACTGGACGGGTGAATCAGGCAAAAATGTGTATAACACACCAGCCCAGAGAAGGGAAAACACACCCAGCACAATAAAGAGCAATCTCCATGGTGCTAATGCCGTGTTTGTTTGACCGATGCCGTAGCTGACCACGCCCGAGAAGACGGAGGAGAGTTGATTAAACCAGAAGGCGACACGAATTGGCTGCTCACTTGTTTTCCACCACATAACTGTCAAAATGCTGGAGATGGGAAACACAGCGGCTTCCGTCATGCCCATCAAGAAGCGTACTGTAGCTAAGCCCCCAAAGTTCTGCGTTGCCGCCGTACACAGCAGCAGAACTGCCCACCCGAAGACCATGCACACGTACAGCTTGGCCACAGGAAGTCGCTGAATGAGAAGCGCAGCAGGGTACTCAAAGGCGAGGTATCCAAAATAGAAGATTGAGCCCACCCAAGAGTACTGGTCGCCAGTCAAGTGGGTGTCTGTCTTCATTCCGTAGATGGCCGCATTTGAGATGATTACTTTATCAATAGCGGCCAGAACCACTGTCACCATGATCAAGGGAATGATGATCAGATCGATTTTCCATAGCACACGGCGTGATTCGGCCTCGGTGACAGGTTCCACTGCGATGGCTGGGTCCAGGCGAGCGAGGAATTGTGCTGCAACATCTTTGCCATCAGTTTGGGTTTGGGCTTCAAGGAATTCTCCTGCTTGGTCCTTCTCTTGATCAATTGCGAGTTGAATATTTGGAGGGGCGACTTGTTTTTCGTCTGCCATAGTATTGAAGTAAAGAATCGTATATATCAGGTAGCAATGGATATGTACACTTCGAAAACGGAGGAGGTAGTCATTTGAGAGGTTTTATACTTCAATTGAACGTAAACCTTTGGAACGTTAAAGAGAGTTGCTCAGGTGGTTATCATGAAAAAGGAAGTGAATTAGGGTTTGGGTGCGCTAGGAAGGTCGGAGCGACCTGATAAGCGGTCCTTCTCCGCGTTTCGCTGTCCCCGTTTTCTCTCCCCGCTTTGTCTCGGCGTCTATCGGCGCTCACAAGCCAATTTGATTAGATTGTGGCGCATTTTTTTCTATAATTCACTTCGCTTCGACCTGCTGATTAGTTTCAATGGAGATCCATAAAAGGAAGCCTTGGTCCTTGCATTCCCAGGGCATCTCAACATACCGCATATCATGTCTTCTCAATTAGATGCTCCAAGCATCAAAATCGCCATCGGTGAGTCAAGCAAACTCCCACCCACGTGCGAATTCCATAATATAGCAAGTAGCTAATACGTCTTCCAGATCGTGGTGGTACTTTCACCGACTGTCTAGGCATTATTGAAGGTCGCGATGAGGAAATCGTTGTCAAACTGCTTTCACAGGATCCAGCCAACTACGCTGATGCTCCGATTGAGGGCATTCGGCGTATTCTGAAGCAAGCAACTGGCAAAGTCTTTCCCCGCGAGGAAAAGCTCACAACTTCCGATTTCTCAAACGTCAGCATCCGCATGGGCACAACAGTCGCTACCAATGCCTTGCTAGAGCGCAAGGGAGAACGTCATGCACTCCTGATCACAAAAGGCTTCAAAGATGCTTTACTCATTGGGACCCAGTCTCGACCAAAGCTGTTTGCTCTTAATATTCAACGTCCCGATGTCCTGTATGAAGATGTTGTCGAGATTGATGAACGTGTCACAATTGAGGATTATCAGCAGAACCCCACACCAGACAAGGAGAGTCTACAAAAGACTTTGCAGTCAGATGCCTGTTTGAAAAGGGGCATTAGTGGAGAGGTGATTCGAGTCTTGGAGCCACTTGACGAGGAAGGCACAAGACAGAGCCTTCAGAAGCTGTACAAGAATGGCTATTGCTCTATTGCAGTCTGTTTAGTTCACTCATACACATTCCAAGACCATGAGCTTGCAATCGAGAAGATCGCAAAGGAAGTTGGCTTTGCCCAGATCTCCCTTTCCAGCCAGCTGTTGCCTATGGTTAAGATGACATCTCGCGGTGCTTCGGCCACTGCAGATGCATACTTAACCCCAGTCATTCAGCGTTATATTCAAGGTTTCCGCTCTGGATTTAAGGACGGACTCAGATCTGAAAATACACGCTGCGAGTTCATGCAGAGTGATGGCGGCTTGGCTAATTTTGAAAAGTATGTTGACAATTACCCGTAACGGAAAATATGAAGTTGGCTAATTTCTATAGGTTCACTGGTCTTCGTGCGGTCTTGTCTGGCCCAGCAGGCGGCGTTGTGGGCTACGCGGGAACTTCTTTCGATGAGACAGATAGGAAGCCTGTTATTGGGTAAGTCAACTTACCTTGTTTTATGAAGCGTCATCAACTAACTTTCCAGATTTGATATGGGCGGCACTAGCACAGATGTCTCCAGATATGACGGAAAATTGGAACACACCTTCGAGAACACTATCTCCGGTGTGACAGTGATGGCACCCCAATTAGATATCAACACAGTAGCTGCCGGTGGTGGCAGTATTCTCTTCTGGCGACATGGATTATTTGCCGTTGGTCCCGAGTCTGCAAGTGCTCATCCAGGACCAGCATGCTACCGCAAGGGAGGTCCTTTGACTGTGACTGATGCCAATCTTTTCCTTGGTCGCCTTCTTCCAGCATACTTCCCCAAGATCTTCGGCCCGAACGAGAATGAAGCTCTCGATGTCGAAATCACCAGGAAAAAATTCACAGAGCTCGCAGCTCAGATCAATGCTGAGACCGGGCAAAACAAATCTCCAGAAGAGATCGCGCTGGGTTTCATCCAAGTAGCCAACGAATCCATGGCGAAGCCTATTCGAGCCCTCACGGAGGCTCGTGGTTATGATACTTCCGCGCATAACCTAGCCTGCTTTGGTGGTGCCGGAGGACAGCATGCTTGCGCCATTGCCTCTTCGTTGTCTATTGGAACTGTCATCATCCATCGATTCTCGTCTATTCTCTCTGCCTACGGCATGGCTCTTGCGGACGTAGTTCATGAAGCCCAGGAGCCAGCATCAGGAGTTCTGGACCGGAAAGCCATGAAAAGTGTCACTGAGCGTATTGCTGCGTTGAAATCTAAGGTCACTACTGCACTGACCACGGATGGAATTGATGAGGCTCAGATTCAGCATGAAATATACCTCAATCTGCGATACCAGGGCACTGACAACTTGCTTATGGTGCTCGAACCTGAACATGGGGACTTTATTGCTGAGTTTGTCAAGGAGCATGAGCGCGAGTTTTCCTTCACATTCCCCGATCGCAACATTCTTGTCGAAGATATCCGAGTCCGAGGTGTTGGAAAGGCAACCTCTATTGCGCCGGAGGCACCTCAGCAAGAACTCAGATCAGTCATCAAAAAGCAGGTTGGCTCAGAGAAGCAGGATGATTCAACTTCTGTGTACTTTGCTGCCGTTGGTGAAGTTACTACACCGGTCTTCTTCCTAGATAACATGAAGCCAGGGTATGTCCTTCACGGTCCTGCGATGATCATTGACAAAACCCAGACAATCGTTGTCGAGCCAAATGCCACTGCTACAATTCTGTCCCGACATGTCATTTTGGATGTTCAGTCTTCGAAGAAGCAAGTTGCCGATTCAACAGTCGTGGACCCTATCAGATTGTCTATCTTTGGTCATCGTTTCATGTCTGTTGCTGATCAGATGAGCCGGATGTTCCAAAAGACCTCCGTGTCAACAAACATCAAAGAGCGACTGGACTTTTCCTGCGCCGTATTTTCTCCCGATGGAAAATTGGTTGCGAATGCGCCAAATGTGCCAGTGCATCTAGGAAGTAAGTCGACCCCATTTTGGACCGATTCTTTGTTAGTCAAGAGAATTCCATGCTAATATTTTCTTCAGGTATGGAGTATGCTGTCCGGTATCAGCATGAGAAATTTGCAGGCAATTTGAAGCCTGGCGATCACATTCTCACCAACCATCCTCTTGCCGGTGGAACACATCTTCCTGATATTACTATCATCACTCCAGTCTGGGATGCTGAGGGCAAGAATATTATCTTCTATGTTGCCTCTCGTGGTCACCACGGTAAGCATGGAGCTTTTTCCCTTTTTCTTTACTGTCTGTTTCATTCTAACCAAAATCAGCTGAAATCGGCGGCATCGCCCCGGGCTCTATGCCTTCCAACAGCAAAATGCTGTATGAGGAAGGAGCCATGACGATGGGCTTCAAGGTGGTATCAGAAGGCCGCTTTGACGAGGAGATAGTCCGGAAGTTCCTATATGACGAGCCCGCTTCATACCCCGATTGCAGTGGCACCCGGACATATAACGACAACGTCTCCGATCTGAAGGCTGCCATTGCAGCAAACCACAAGGGTGCACAGCTCCTGGAAGGTCTGGTGGTTGAGAACACCTTGGAAGTAGTCCACTTCTATATGGACGCAATCAAGCGCAACGCAGAGGTTGCCGTCCGTGAACTGCTCAAGTCCATTGGCCTCAAGAACAAGGGAGTTCCCCTCCAATTCTCCGACTTTATGGACGACGGCACCGAGATCAGGCTTGAAATCCGCATCGATTCTGAGACTGGCTCTGCCGACTTCGACTTTACAGGCACAGGCCGGGAAACATTCAACTGCCTCAATGCTCCCAAAGCTATCGCCCACTCAGCTATCATCTACAGTCTGCGCGCGCTAATTGATGTTGACATTCCCCTCAACCAGGGATGTCTTGCTCCAGTCAATGTGATCATTCCTTCTGGCACACTTCTTAATCCCTCCGGTCATGCCGCCGTCTGCGCCGGTAATCCCATCACTTCACAGCGTATTACAGATGTTGTTCTGGGTGCATTCAATGCCTGTGCTGCCTCCCATGGTTGCTGCAACATCATCTCATTCGGTATGGGTGGCGTTGATCCTAAGACCGGTATTGAAGTACCTGGATTTGGTGTTGGCGAGACAATCTGTGGTGGCTCAGGTGCCGGGCCAACCTGGAATGGCACATCGGGCGTGCATGTCCACATGACAAATACACGCATCACAGATGCAGAGGTCTACGAGCTGCGGTACCCGGTCATCCTCCGCAGATTCTGTATCCGAGATGGATCGGGTGGTGTTGGTCACTTCCGCGGCGGAGATGGTGTTATCCGTGAGCTCGAGTTCCGTATGCCTCTTTCAGTGTCTATGCTCAGCGAACGTCGCGTCTATCGTCCGTATGGATTGGAAGGAGGTGAGTCTGGACAAGCAGGCTTGAATCTTTACGTGAAGAAGGAGCTGGATGGAACCGAGAGAATGATCAATATTGGTGGCAAGATGGAGCTCGTGGCCCAACCTGGGGAGCGGATTATCATCCATACGTGAGCAGTCCACATTCTTCCTTGTTCGTCTGAAGGTATATACTGACCATTTTTTTATTTAGACCTGGAGGTGGTGGTTGGGGTAACGCATCCGACGATGAACAAATAGCGAATGACAACAGAAATCAGCAAAACACCTCGATTTTCCAGCCACGAGGAAGTGTGCATGCATTCAGCGTTGCTGCCGAGGCAGCAATGTGACAGGGATATACATACAGGGATGGGATATAGATGAGGTTTTTGCATCATTAGCTAGGGACTTTGATTTTTTGATTTAGAGCTGTGATGCCTTTCATGAATTATTGATATTTTTTTGTGCAAACATATATACATCGTCCCGGTCCTAACTTCTCGTAGAGAGTTGATGTAGACACCTCCACAAAAGTGGACCAACTCATTCATCCTGCTCCAAACTCTGTGCTAATAGGAAGCGCTAGTACGGGATGAAGAGGCAAATCTATGACCATTCATCACCTCGTCTGCCTGATACTGGTTGACCATTAGAGATCAATCAAATACTCGATAATGAATGTTCCGAAAAGAAAGTGACCCCATGTATAGGTAATGCACTTGCGGCTCAATGGCCATACCTCAAATAAACTAGGGCTTATGCATTAGCAACCCACAGAAGGGGGCTGTTGCCTAGTGCCCTTATATCTAAGCAATTGGTCCAGATATATAAAGCGCGTTTAGATGGTAAATAGTTATATATTAAACAAGTGCACCAGTATGATCATAATCTGTATTCGGCGTTTAGTTGAGGCTAAATTTGCTAAGTATCGTTTTAGGTCAATAGAGCGAGAGTTATTAGAGCAATAATATTTTGATATTAATATGTTGATATATAACTAGTACTATGAAATATTGTGGTGTAAGAGAGTAGATGTAGACTGTCTCACGTGACCGTATCCCGGCGAACCAGTGTTTACCAAAAGTTTTTGGCTCCCTCGATATGCCCGACGGACAAATTTACCCTGTGCATTCATCTCACGGAACCTCCCTTTCTTGAGCTCTCACTTCCTCACACCTCCAAACTCTTCATTTACTCAACCGCTTGCCACATCGCATTCACTGTCATGGAGTACCACTCCGTTCCACCGGAGGAACGTGCCAGAGACGAGGATGGCAACCTTCTCCCTTGGGGTTATGTTTACAAAGAGTATGTTCAATGCAACTTGTACCTCCTCTCCTATGAAAGCTGACAAAATGTTTCTCCAGTGAATCACGCAATCCTCGACGACCACCCGAAGAATCAGGACCATTCGGCAAGAGAAGAAATGCTCGATACGATAATGCCCGCTCACGAACACGGACTGGAACACCAGCAAAGCGCGAGAACCCCAATGTTGCCGAGTTCGGTCGACTATTCTCACAACAACAACAGGAGGATGAGAAAACACACGGCTTGCCCAAGTCATCATCATCATCCAGTCTTGACAATCCCCGGAAACAAACAGAGAAGGTCGCGACCGAATGCATAATCTACGGATACAAAAACAAGGACAACGAGTGGAAGGTTATCGACAAATATGAGCGCATCTCCCAGGGTATGATCTGCGAAGACTACCCTCGCAATGACCCGAATTCAGCGAACCACTATACCCAGCTATTGAGCGGAGGCGACGTCGTCATCCGAAACCTGTCGGCTGATGCGAATCGCAAGTCGAAGCGCTATGCCGGCGGCTACCACTGGATCAAGGTCACTTATGACTCGACCCAGTCTGCAGACCGCGCGTGTTTCTACTCGCCACAGGAAATCGATGGGCACATGGTCTTCTGCGAGCTGTACAACGGCCACGGCCCAACCGAAGACGTCCCTATCCCTATAGACTCTGCTGCGAGCAATCGGATCCGCAATAAAGCACCGCGCACATTGACCACCTCGCACTCGACTACCTTCCTCTCCAATTCCAGCAAAGACCAAGACCGCATGACATTGCCTCGATCATTTGCAATGAACAACCTTTCCAGCGTACCGGATATGCCAGAGGATGAAGGGCACTCGGTCGACTCTTCGACGATCGCTGGTACCTCCGACGGGACAACTACATCCACTGCAACCTCTGCAACTGCCACCGCTACACCCTCGTTCCAGCAAAGCAGTTTCAACACAACTACTTCTTCGTCAACATGGACTACAGGAGCTTCGTCTAGTAACGATCGCGCCTCAGCCCACCAACGCCGAGCTCCCGCTCAGGTCGATCCCACCGCCGACAACGAATTTATGACCCACATTCCGACCGTCCGCCGTACCAAGCTGCGCCCCATGCTCGAAGCACTCCCTCCGCAGCCAACCATGACTGAGCGCATCCTCCGCTCAATTCCAATCCTGAGCTGGTTCACAGGTGATATCGTGGGCGAGGGCCCACTGCTCCGTGAGGACGGCACATTCGATTCGGAGAAATCTGGCATTTATTGGAGGTTCTGGCATACGTTTGATTATTTCATGAGAACGGATATGTGCGGACTGAAGGAGGATAGTTGAGGCGACAGGAATGCCATCGAGCACTATGGAAATGGAATACCTTTTCGTCTTTTATTATTCACTACATCACGGATCTTTCGCCACAATTGCGAGATCTTGCGCGTGATCAACCTAAAATCTGAATCGCTACGCAGCTTGAGGTGTCCTCAACAGTGCTGCGCGCATCGCGCAAAGCATGAGGCCAATGGCTTCGGGGTAAAATGGCTCAGGATTTGATCAATAGATAATGTGTACGATAGCTGCGTCTGGTGCGGACATAATGAACTGTCCTATTGAAGGACCACGCGCAATGTTGATATACCGTAGAACAGCAACAAGTGCAATTCCTCATACTTCTGCCTCAAGCGATTCAAATAAAATAATCGAGCTGTCGGAAGTAGGATTCCCTCATAATCAGGCGCATCAACAGCGCTGGCACAGTATGAACTCATGCATCAACCGTGCCCGCGAAGGGATGAAACAGCAAGAAGAGAAAGAGAAAAAGACTCAACAAAAAACAACTCAGACCAGAGCTTATATTTCATTGATCATAGACGAAAGTTTTTAAAGACTCGATTTAGTTCGCATCTAGGCGTATTTATTCCTTAGTCTCGAAGTTCTCGCCGTCGACGAGGTCGGGGATATCATCCTCCTCGTCGTCCTTCTTATCACCCTGCTGCTTCTGCATGTTCTGGTAGCTCTCGGCGAGCTTACGGAGGGAAGCGAGGGAGTCGGGGCCAAGCTGGTTGAGAATGTTGGGGACGAGCTCGGTGAGCTCCTTCTCCTCACCGTTGCCGTAGAGGGCGAAGGTGTTGGAGGGGACGGCACCGTGGACTATTGCGATGAAATGATTAGTCTTTTTTTTTTCTTTTCTCCGTTTCCCTTCTTCTTTCTCTTCTTTTGTGTCGAAAAGGTCAAAGCTGGGTTCAGGTGGTGTCTACTCACCACGGGGGTTGGCGAAGTGGATGACGTTGCCGTCCTCCTTGAACATGTTGACCTCCTCAATGCCCTGGATGGGCTGGACGTTCAGCTTCTTGAGGGCGGCCTGGAGCTTCTTGTCATCGGCGCCAGAGTTGCGGACGACCTTCTTGACCTTGCGACGGGGAGTACCCTTGCCACTATAAAATTGTTAGATGGACATGGGATGGTTGTAAAAAATGTGGTGTCGGTGTGTGGATGAGTGGGTGAATGTGGGTAGTGGGGGAGATGAATGGGGGTTCCGAAAGGATCGAAGGAATGCGAGGATTCATGGACAAGCCCGAGAGTCAGACTGGATTCTCTAAGCCATGCGATATCTATATTCGGTTCGATATTTGGGCTATATCGCCATCGCATAGATTCGAGAACCGAGAGAATCCGTAATCTGACTATCGGCTGTGTCGAATCCGGGTATTGCAGTTCGAAAATTCGTTTCCTCCGTAGGGAATGGAGAGGCTGGGATGGAAACAATTCTGGACAGAATATACATACCCTATCAAGAAAAACCATGTTAGCTATTAAATTTGCACTATTCAAAGGTCCCAAGACATGCAAGTAAATTGCAAGATTGAGATATGACCAAAGCTCCAGGGCTACCAATTCCACAGAATCGCAGCTCCACGTCATGGCCCAAATCATATCCCAAGCTCAAAATTCCATCCAAAGACACAGAAACGTACCGATGCGAACGCTCGCCTGCATTCTAGCCAACTTTGCTTGATCCATGATGAAGTCGGGAGGGGTGATCGCCTGGCGCAGGATTAGCCGGTAATTCAAGGTAATAAGACGATTGAAATTCCAGGATTTCAAGAGAATTCAATTAATTCAACAATTAATTCCTGTTGCGTACCGTTAAAAAAGGGTTGTAGGGGGGATGGTAAGAGGGATGAAGTGGAAGTGGGTGGAATGATGATGCATCCCCAAGAAGTTTTGTGTGGGGTGCCAGAATATTCGCTAATGCGCCGACTTGGATTAACACGGTATTTTTTTTATATGTTCTATATTTTAGATGTCTAGTAAAATGATTCTATTGTAATATAATCTATCTATTCCTCTTGTTGATTTTGGGCTATTCGCAAGTCCCAAGATGTTCTGATTGTGGGATATTTGATGGCTCGGCTAAACCCTAATCGGGCCGACCTTCGATGGGATCTATACAGAGTATATACGGAGTATACGGACTATATGATGAATATACATATATGCATAGTTCTATTGCATCACATAGACTTATAACATTGATATTTCAATATCCTTATTTTGCAAAGAAATTGCTATATACTCAAACCCAGAATCAGGACACAGTTTTCATTCCCATCTTAACCACTAACCATCTACTTCTACTTCTTCTCCTTCTTCTCCTTCTTCTCCTCTATCTCCTCCTTCTCCTTCATCTTCATCTGCTTCTTCTCCCAATTAGTAAAATACTTATGCCAAGGATGCTGCTCCTTAAACCCAAGAAGCTGTTTTATCTTCGCATTGGAAAACGGCGCCTCAAACTTCTCCATCTCACGCGTGATAGGTATATCCGGGAACTGCGACCTCAAAAAGTCCTTCGTAGGACTAAGATTGGTGATATGATCATTGGTAGCATTGAAGACCTGAAACCCGAGCCCAGTAGTCCTCAGCGCCGCTTCACACATCCCACCCAGATCGCGCGCATCAATATAGGACCATCCATGCACCTTCCACAGCGCCGGCTCATGCACATAGCTATAGAAGATATCATCATTGTACTCGTGAGGTTCGATAAGGCGCCCAATGCGCAGACTGTAGATATCCGCCCCGAAGCGCGCCGCAAAACCCCGAGCGATGCGCTCGTTACACAGTTTCGCGATCGCGTAAGTATCTGTCGGGTTGACGTCCAGGTCTTCGTGGACCGGGAATGAGGGGAAGTTGGCATCACCCTGCGCAAACGACACCCCGTACACTGTTATGCTACTGGCAATGATGATCTTGCGCACCCCAAGCTTGCACGCAGCCTCGATGATGTTGTATGTGCCCTGCGTGTTCGAGCGGAAGGTCTCGTTGTCTGGTACGAGCATGTTGCGTGCATAGCCTGCGAGGTGGATTACGGCGTCTGGTCGTGGCGGGAGGCCTTCCGGGAAGGGCTCGGTGAGCGTCCATTGACCGGAGAGAGCGTTGAAGACCTGACCACTGTCGGCCAGGTCAGTTTTCAGGGTGTGCACGTCTGGATGTTCCATGTGCATTAGGTCCAGGTTTAGGACTTTGTGTCCGGCATTGAGGAGCTCGCTGATGACGAATTGGCCTGCTTTGCCGGAGCCGCCGGTCACGACGATGTGGCCCATGCTAGTGGTAGTGTCTGGCAAGACACGGGGTTGGGGGCTGAATCTCCACTCAAGGGGTATCTTGCTTGATTTTGGGGAGTCTTTGAGATGAACAAGCTACGCGGGCACTTATCCAGGGGCCTGGGCAACATGACCGACATCGAAATCATCATGATGCCATTTGCCTCCATGCTCTCGGCTTCTTAGAAGCGGGATAATGATAACGGGCATGGTAAAAAAAGAAATGTGGATTATAAAAAGCATAAACAAGCTAAAACGCGCTGATTTCATCTCAGTCAGTTCATATATTCATACATGCCTCGATAGTCCCAATTAGGCTCGCTTGGAAACCTGACTCTCAGTCCAATCCCAGAGCCTTTGAGCCAATTGCGCGTTCTGTACAGGCGCAGTGCCACCACTGCGGTACCCAACGGGAGTGTAGTAAGCTCCGTTGATAAGATTTTCCCTTTGCGTGCCAGCCGCCCAAAGAGAATTAAAGGCTCCACTAGCGACACTCCGGAAGACCATGGAGCCAGCAGCAGCGATACCGTACTTCATTACCGAGTTGAGACTCTTCGTATGTGCATATAGCCCGCTGTTAACTGCACCGGGGTGCACAGCAACAGACAAGATATCAGGATGCCGGCGGGCCAGCTCGGATGCAAAGAGGATGTTAGCCGACTTAGAAGCGCCGTAGCGCGTCCAGGTACTAGAAGCCAGCAAGCCAGGTGTAGATGTAATTTCCTCAAAGGTGGAAGGGCCAACAGCGTGAGCCGCCGAAGCAACAGTCACGACCCGGACATCGGGGACCTCATCCTTGGCGCGCTGAAGATCAACGGTCTTCTGCAGGGTAGGCAGAAGCAGTTTTGTGAACAAGAAGTGACCGATGTGGTTTGTGCCGAGCTGGACCTCAAAGCCCTCTTCCGTCGTTGTAGGAGGGTTGGCCATCGTGCCCGCATTCAGGATCAGGATATCTAGGCGATCGCTATCGGACTGGAACTTGGCTGCGGCGGCGCGGATGGATTTGAAGGAAGAGAGATCGAGAGAGAGGAAGCGGATGTCGGCAGGGGACGAGAGCTGGCTTTGCAGCGATTCGATTGCCTCGCGCGCCTTGCTCTCGGTGCGCGCGGCCATGTAGATGCGCGACGGGCGATGCTTGGTGAGTTGGAGGATGGTCTCTTTGCCTAGGCCGGCATTTCCTGAGTCAATCAATCGCAGTGTTAGTGATCTAGAAGCTGTAGATATGTAGAAATATGAGATGGCACCTCCTGTCACAAGGACGACCTTGCCTTCCAGGTTGCGAATATCGCGGTCTGGCTGGAACGATGTCCCTAAATAGCCGAAGGTGGCCTCATTCAGGGTCGGGCCAAAGCTTGACATTGCCTCCCGAGGGTGACGCAGACTGTAGGTCGCGAAGCCAGTAGTGGCTATAATATCACGGAGATCCATAGCTCCAGATCAAATTGAAGAATATGATGAGTTGTAGAAGTTGGACTCAGGTTAGGGGGGCATTGGGGGATAAAAATAGCCAGTAGATGGCTTAGTTACTTTGTAGTGCCGAGGGATAACACCATTTCTTTCAAGATCTCTCTGATCTTATCAAGATTTCCTATTGGTCCACATAACAGGGGTTCATTTCCTCAGGAGTAGTATATACTCCGTACTCTACGGAGTAGTTAAGCAAGTAATAGATGTTTGTACATCTCACATCATCCTGCCAAGTCCAGCCCTGCAAGCCCCGCAGGTTGATCCCCCTTGTATCTCTCGACATTTCCCCCCAAATTATCCTGGCCACCTGGCCTGTAGAACTTCCTCTTTTCCTTTCTTTTTTTCCAATAGGAACTCGAGGTATCCTGTGACACAAAATTCTTCGACCTGGTTTACTATAACCTCTTGTTTGTCAAACGATATAAGTACAATTCAAGCATCTAAGACACGAAATTTAAAACCACCAAAATGAGATTCCTTTGCTTACACGGCGGCGGCACAAATGGCGAAGTATGTATATGTTCAGTTCAACATAGAAAATACTGACCAGCCACAGATATTTGAAATCCAAACTGGAGGTATCCGCCAAATACTAGAGAAAAATGGTCATCGCTTCACATTCATGAATGGAAAGATGGACGCCAAAGTCGAAGAGGGTAAGCCCCGCTTTCCCTTCATGTATACACACAGCTACCTACCATCTAAACCACCCACTAACCTACCTCCAACCCAGAACTCGAAGGCATAGTGGATGGCCCCTTCTATAACCACTATACTCGAGGTTCATCGCCAGGCTCCAGCATCCTTGAAGCCTTCGATCACACTAAGCAGTTCATTGCAAAGGAAGGCCCATTCGATGCAGTGATAGGCTTCTCACAAGGCGCGGCACTAGCATCCTCACTTTTAATCTACCAGAGCAAGAAATACCCTGCTGAACCGCCGCTCTTCCGCGCAGCGGTGTTTATTTGTGGCGCGGCGCCGTGGGATAGTACCGGACTGCAACATATCGCGCCGCAGCCGGATACGTATCCAATTACCATTCCGACGGCAAATATTGTTGGTAAGGCGGATGCGCTGTTCCCCGAGGGCGTAAGATTATTCGAGCTTTGTGAGCCCGCACAGGCGGTTTTCTATGATCATGGTTCTAAGCATATGGTTCCATTTGATATGAAGAATACGGAACAGATGGCTAGGGTTATTGAGGAGACCGTTGCGAAGGCTATTAGGGGTTAGTTAGAAGTCATTGTGTCGTAATGATATGATGTATGGTGGGTGGGAATTTGTGGATATAGGGTTCGTATACACCAGTATTGTTGGCTTATAGGCATACCAGACTTGGTATCTTTGAATTGCATTGTATGTATTCCATTAGTGGATCTGGGTTGGGGTTGTTAATGCTGCTTCTGTGTGGACTGTTGTCGTTTTGGCAACTGATATCTAGACCAGATGACAGCTGCAAGCAGCACCATGAATCCCACGATCAAGGTATATCCCCAAAGGCCACTTTCAATGTTCTCGCTCTGATCTTGAGCAAGTCATAATCCAGCAGAAGGAGTACTTTCTCCTTCAGCGGCGAGGACCTTCTCAATGAACTTCTCAATATCATCAATCTCCTCAGGGGTCGCCGAGTGACCAAGATTTCTACAATTTAGGAATATCAAGTTAGCAGACCATTGCAGCCGGAAATAACATCCTCCGACAACATACTCGTATTCGCTGAAGGAAACATTCTCCAGGCCAATCTTCTTAAGCTCTTCCGCCGAGGCTTTCCCAGATTTGAACGGAACAACCTCATCCTTGAGACCGTGGGCAAGGAAGAATGGGGTCTTCTTGTTGGCCCACTCCTCGGGAATGTAGTTCTTAATGCGATCGCTTAGTAGCATGTAGCACGACATACCAAAGACACCACCGAGCTTTTCCTTGTTAGTCACACCGGTGAACACGGACATGGCACCGCCCTGGGAGAATCCGCCCAGGATGATACGCGAAGCCTTGATATTTTTGGTTTCAATTTCTGTGTTGATAAGGGCATTGAAGTAGTCGCGGGAGCGGATAATTCCTGTTTCATCTTGGGTGCGGACTGATTCTTCTAAGTTCATCTAGATAGAAGGAGATGATGCTTAGCTGGGAGTTTATTTCGTGGTTTGGGGGATGGAGGGCTCACGTTGCCGCCAAGCTTGGCGATGTCGTACCATCCAGGCATGCTCATGCCAAAGTTCTAATTGATATTTCGTCAAAATCGGTATTCCATTGACCATAGATATGAGCCTCACATACAACTGTGATCGGGATTTCAGGCGCGTTGGGGAAGATGAAGGCCACCTCGTCGAACTTGCCGCGGCGGCGCCAAGTTTGGGCAAGGGACACCCTATTAGAAATCGATGGTTAAAAATGAGGCCCAGGGCTCAGAGCAATTTATTGATGAGTATTTTCATACCATCCGGCACCACTATATTCAAGGACTGTCAGATTCGGTACCATTGTCTATCTTCTTCTAGGTGCACTTACCTATCTCCCAACCCGTGGGCCATGATAACGGTAGCGGTGTGCTTCGTGAGCGCCGGAACAATGTAGGGAGTGCGAGCCATATTCAAGTCTGGTGTATGTTGTCAGACGTAAAAAAAAATGAGTTGAGTGAAGGGAAACTCGAGAGATTTCTCCGCGGGTTGGTTCCCCCACGGTTCTGCCGCCGAGGTTATCAAGATCTCACCGCCCACCTGATAACGGCATCTGAAGATGAACCCCAGAGCCCTGGAGCTCTTGGAAAGGTTCACTTAATGCATTATTAAAAATTATAAAGGCTATACCTACCTAGGTAATAAATAATAATTTCTAATAATCACACCCCGTCAATAGAGTATAAGTCCTGCTTAATCGACTCAACAACCTCATTGACGAGATCAGCCTCCACAACACCTTGCTGCCAAGAAACAGCCAACACCAAACACCCATCTCCCCCAGTGATAGCCGACACCTCAATGGCATTACCCATCACACTGGCAGACTGCGAAAACACCATTCCCTTGATGGAAGGCATATCAGTATTCGTTTGCGGGTCCAAAACGCCAACATTCGACACCTCAAAGCTCTTCTCGCGGTCCTTGCCAACCTTGGACAAACACAGTTCCTCTTGAAAATCATCAACAAACTGCAGCAGACTCGTGCTGGCATTCTTGCCTTCCATTTTCAAGACAGACTGGATCGTCTTACGAGACCGTCTAGCCTCTGTCCACGGGAAGGAGCCGTCAGACAACGTGACTGCCGCCCGGGAATAGGTCTCTTCGTAGTCTTGGACCCAGACGCCCATTGACTCATCAGTGATAACGTCTGGCAGCCAGCGCCGGCTTGAGAGTGCGCCGGTGCAGGCAAGCCGCGTGAACTCGGGTGGGATGTGTGCGAAGATGGAGCGAGCGACGATCGTCTGCAGAAGTGCGGTGATTGTCGTACCTTCTTTTCGACATCTATCTCTTACTGTCGAGACGAGTAGTTTGGAGAATGGCAGGAGCCGCAAGCGGGTCTGAGAGGGGACTAGAACCTTGGAGCCAGTCCATAGACCCGTGGGCCGTCGGGAGTAGATTTTTGCCTGGAAGATTTTCTTGGCAAGATAAGGTAGGGAAAGAGACATTGAGTGCACATGCTCGATACTTGGCAAGAGGGGGAGCCGCGGTGACTTGATGATGGATTTAGTCTGGTCCGGGGAGTCTATTGCCCCTAGGGCTCGTAGAAAGGTCTGATGAAAGGCTTTTCCGGATGTTCCATCACCAATGGCGTGGTGATATACAAATGCTGCAGTAAATTGCCGCTCATCCTCTATATCTAGTAAGATACAGAGTCTCCAGAATGCATTTGGAGTCCTGAAAGGTAGGTTGTGCTGGGTTGCAAGCAAGGTTTGTAGGTCAAGATCTGGAGCGGGTTCACCATCGGCTTCAGTGCACAACAAGCCCGGTTTCCTATCCTGAAAAGATACAACTTGGTCAAGATCAATCTCTGGCAGCCGCACGAAATACGGGTCTTGTGTTTGATCATCTGCCACGATGGCGGATAGCGACGGATGTTCCGCGATTGTGGCCTCGCATGCCTGATAGACATAGTCTTTGACAGGAAGTACGAATGTTTCTGGTAGGAAATAAGTTGCGGATACAGCAACATTCAAATAAAACCCAATCTGGTGCCGCGATGTTGAATATTGTTCCAATCGACCTGACTGGAGTCAGGCAATGTTATTGTTGACTTTCGGGAAATAGTCCCGACTGTTTTTGACAGAGATATACTTACCAACGGAACGGAGTGTCTCGAGGTTCTCCATAATGGATTATAGCTAGCGCCTTGAAAACAATATTTTCCTGCTTGTTGAATGCCAGAATGTTAGAGGTAGATTGGCCCCTGATCGATTTTCCTAGTTGCTTGATATATCTACCCGCACACGTGACGCTTAATACTATAGCTATCTGCATCACGAAAGGCATTCTTCTACTGCTATGACAGGGCGACAATTAATATTTGATTATTCGGATACCTGCCGGTATGCCAAAGTAAATACTATGTGAATAGCCATCAAACGGTTCGGCTCGCAAGGCTCTTGAAGAATCAGTGAAATACTGTTGGTTCTTAAACACAATTGAAGAAAACTAGATGAAAAAAGCAACGGCGATAGCAAATACCATTTAGTAGAGGTCAAATTATTAGCTGGATATCTTGCACCATCGAATTTCATCAAATGGGGGTTTTTTTCTTTCAAATGGGTACAGTATTGAGGGTTTACCGAAATTGCTAGGTGTCGAGTTGCTTCGCAAATGCCTCCAAGATACCTAGGAGACTGGAACGGCATTTAGGATGCTAGATTTTGTGGGTAAGGTGGTCATGACAAGCTAGAAAGATTTTACTATGTTATGAGCGGGAAATGATGGAGCAAAAGCTACCCAGGTAGCATTGTTCATTATGCATCGCTAAATTCTGAAAGCAAAGAGCAAAGACAAACAGCACAGGAAATTAAGGAGTCAGCTTTTACAGCACAGCAATACCACCGACGAGAGCAGCACCAAGAAGCCCCCAAGCGGCGGTCTGCATCGGCACAGCAGCACCCTTGGAAGTGGAAGTGGGAGCAGAGGCGGAAGTGGAGGACGAGGACGAGGACGAAGATCCGCTCTGTGCTTGACCATCAGCAGTAGACTCGTTGGCATTACGCACAGCCGAATCCTTGGGGAAGGCAGTTGCAGCGAGATTGGTGTTGTTGGTACAGGCAGATGGTGTCTGGTATGTGACGTCGGAGGAGAATTGGATATCGGCGCACTGTATTGTATGAGTATACCGCAATAAAAAGTGGAGGGCTAAGTGTTAAGAAGTGAACATACAGCATATAGACCACCACTGGGGTCGCCGTTAGTCTGCACCTGAAGAGTAGCGTTCATTCCGTTGGTGAGGTTACGGCCAATCAACTTCTCATTGATCTCGACGTGAGGAAGACAGAACTCGCCCAGGCCGGTGACCCGGAAAGTTGGCGACAGGACAATGTTGAAGTTGTCTCCTGGCTCATTTCCCAGAGCAAGAAGAACCTCCACGGCAGTTTGGGAATGGTGCATCTCAAGAGCGACAGGGAATGAGCCACCGGACAGGGGTAGCTTGGTGCGATTAGAGGACTGGCCCATTCCACCGCAAGGGAAATTGGCCATGGTATCCTCGTCGAAGCCACGTGAGGTGGGGTACATCAACTTGAAGTGTGCGGCAGCAAATGGCACAATGGCCGTCAAGGCGAAGAGGGAGAACTTCATTGTGAGTATGATGTTGAGAAGTTGAAAAATAGGAAAGAAATAAAGAGTAGTTAAATGAGACAGGAGCTAATGTACAAAGTACTAGAGAAAAAAAAAGAAAGCGGGAGAACTCAGGTCTTTTGAACTCTTTCTATACGAGCTTTGCATATACAAAGTGAGGGAGTTAGCGGGACCTGAAAAGACAGGGTCCACACCTGTGAAAGCCGAGATTCCATATATTCCATATATTCCACCTGGGCATATACCAGCAATAATAACCCTATAAAGTTCCCTTTGGGCTCCCATGCTCTGCACATCATTTGATTCTTTGCTATTTTATACCCGATGATTATAGATCCTAAGCGCTTCACATCTTTCAACTTCTCGGATTATATCTCTATATTCCACATGGTATAATGGCATGGACCTGCTGTTTTGGTCTCGGACTATACAGTCCTCCCTGGAAGTATCGATTACAAAAGGGCAAATTAAAGCCCAACGCTAGCGTGAAGAGTGGATATTACCCGGAAAGACTAGTCCCAATGTGGTTAGGAAATTAGCTCAATTGCGCGCGCAGGGCTTAGTCATGTGATTGCATGCAGCTCTAGATCAGGATTTTTGAGTGGATTAGGGGGAAAAGAGAGATTTACGGAGTATGATGAGCACAATTGAGAGAGAAATGAGGCCAATATCATATTATCCCATATTATTCCCCAACGCCAGGCAGATGCTCAAGGTAATTTCAACATGCAGTACATAAAATGTGTGAAAGCCAAAAGATCAAAGTTCAGTGTCCGTGCTCATTAGTTTGAATGAAGCGTCCGACCGCTAATTCCCCGAGAAATGCGCCTCCAAGTACCGAGCAGAAATAGCCGATGTTCATAGTCATGACAGCTAGCATGCTATGACATGATATTAGCATCCAATCAATAACAGTAAACATGAAAATACCAGAACATACAGTAGATAGGATATGCCAACAATGCATAAGAATAGCAATGCTCGCGGGAGATCAACGCTGAACCGCCAGGGCATTGGCCCATGACTGACGTTGTGCACAACTTTGACGGATTCCTCAACGCCGTGCGCGGTGATAAGCGATGCGAGTTTCGCATCCGGGTCGGACTCAATATTGGAAGCTTCGGTGTTTCTACCGACCACAGTGACATATCGTCGATTGAGATGCGTGGCCAGCCAGTGGCGCTCCATGGTTGATTTGAAAGCGATGAGGCATCGATCAATGATAGCGAGAATAATCAAGAAGATACATGTGCCTGCAAAGCTACCTGAGGATGAGGGAGTCCATGTATTGGAGAAAAGTGGTGTGTTGTGGTCGTTTTTGAACACCATGTTCATATAGCTCATTGAGCTCATACTGTGTGAAGTCGAGCTGCCCATATCCATGCCCTCCATGATGTGCGAGAGAATTGAATATGAAAATGAGAACAAGACAAGAATCTTTAATAAATAGGAAAAGATGAAGTCCACGAGTTACACATTTTGACGCATTGACGCATTGGGCCACTATAGAGAGGTCCACATGGTTTGGGATCCACCGAAGCGAGCATGAGTGAGCATAATATTGGTAAGCCATGTCATTGACATATACCTTCTACCTACTTTCTAGATTTGTACTTTTGTTTCTTATGTTTTCTACAAAATGTCCATGTCAATGGGGGACATGCCTGCGGGCTCAATGTCCATGGGAGATGGCGTTCCCAGTCTGTTCACCCTACAGAAGATGTACTGGGCTGCCGTGGGAAGTGTAATCGGTGCAGCAACTCTTGTTAATGTGCTGGATCGCGTTCTTGCTCGGCATCGGTATGTCTAACCTCGACACTCAGTGATCTGAACTAAAAAAAATAATCAGCTTGCGAGATTCTTCACTCACGCCTGCCAAACCAAAATCACTGTTCTTCAGTATCTACGCCACTATCATAGCAACAACCCGCGAAGTCAGCTATGCGACTCTACGACCACTCAGACTCGGAGGATTCACCCTCCATTTCCCACCACTTGGCCCAGTTCTCATCATGCTAGTCAACCTGATGGTAGTCATGGTCCTTTGTTTCTATAAGCTAGACACTCTAGATCAATGGCAATGGGAGAATGTCGGCTATCGCAGTGGTTTCATTGCCATTTGCCAGCTGCCACTGATCTTTCTACTAGCAGGCAGGCAGAACATTATTGGCTTCTTGGCAGGAATGAGCTACGTCAGTTTGAACTGGTACCATCGCTGGGTCGCTAGGATACTGTGGCTGACTACCACCATCCATATGGGATTTTGGTTTCGCGATTGGGGCCGCTGGAACTATATCATCTATCAGCTTAATAACAGTGCGTTGGCGAAGCGTGGATTTGCCGCTTGGGTTATCCTGACCTTTATTGTGATCACTTCCTTCGCTCCAATTCGCCGTCTTAGTTATGAGGTCTTTGTCATCCAGCATCTAGTCACCTTTGTCGGCTTTATTGTTGCAGTGTGGATGCATGCCCCCGATGAAGTCAAGGTCTGGGTATGGATCCCAATTGGGCTTGTGGTCTTCGATAGGCTTGCTCGCTATGCCTGGGGTGCATATGCGAACTTGGCTATTTTCCACCGAAAGAACAAAACCAACACTCCATGGGCACATTCAGCTACATTTACCCCGTTACCTGGAAATGTCACCTGTGTTACTATCGAAAACCCCAGTATCAGTTGGCAACCTGGTCAGCACGTCTTCCTCACTTGCCACTCTATTGTTCCATTGCAATGTCATCCATTCACTATCGCATCTATCCCAGAAGATAACAAGATGAAGTTCTTTATCCGCGCTGAGAATGGGGGAACCCGACGGTTTTTCCGATATGCCTCAAAGACCGGTAATATATTGGGGAATGAACAAGCAGCGGGGATGTCCAGCACAACAGTTTTTATCGATGGGCCATACGGAAGCATCCGCCCCTTGCGTCAATTTGACAGTGTTATACTGTTGGCAGGTGGCATGGGCGCGACATTCACAATACCTCTTCTGCGGGACGTTGTCTCGGCATGGAAGATGGAGAGCAACGGCAACAAAGAGCAGATACCCGCTCGCACCACTCGTCTAGCAGCCACTAAGCGGTTGCGGTTTGTCTGGGTAATCAAGTCACGTTATCAACTGAGTTACTTTGAGCCTGAGCTGCATTCTCTGCTGGCAGATGTTAATGAGTGCCGACGCACGCATTCAAATTTCGAGAAGGAGATTGAGATTAGCATTTATATCACATGCGATGAAAGGCTCGATCCACCTATCGCCACCTCAGTCCCATTGCAGACACAGCCACTCCCTCCGCTGGAGACTTTAACACAAGATGAGACTAAGAACATGTTTGAGAAAGAAAATATCTCAATTCATTCTGTCTCTGACGAGTCAACATCGACTCCAGGCCCCGTGGTCACAAGCAGTGGATGTCTCCCTGGTGGAGGCTGCTGTTGCACTGCCCAAATTGAAGATGAGGAGATCAGCACTGCTTGTGCCTGTACCTGCTCCGGCCCAGAACCTGCTCAGCCTGAGAAGGCTGCTCTGGATGTGAAAGCCCTCCTGCCTGAAGATCCCACAAGCAAGTCAATTACTTATCCCAATATTATCTCTGGTCGTCCCACGCCACGAACTATCATCCGCAAGGTCTTAGAGAAAGCCGAAGGAGAAAGCGCCGTTGTTGTGTGCGGACCTCGTGGCCTAGCAGACGATGTCCGCCGTAGCGTGGTTTCTCTGAGCGACGAACGAGCTGTACACAAAGGAACTGGCGCGCAGGGGATCTACTTACATGTTGAGAACTTTGGTTTATGAAGAGAGAAATCACGTCCAACTGTTTGCTATTGCCTTGGTATGTTCTTCTCCTTGCATAATTAAACCTAGCCTGGCACTAACCAGTTTATGAAGGCATTGTCAAAGGCATCCACTAAATGTGGGACTGTGGTACTCCAACGAGCGAAGCACACTACCGCCGAGCCCTCAAATTCGGCGCCCTTTCCAACTTCCAATCCAACAGCTTGTGTTATTAACAGCCCTACCACATAATCAAGCTGATTGGCTGCATGGAGACAGTTCAGCTAAGAAAGTATGCCCTAAAGGTAGCGTTCGAGGCATAAAGACACGTCCAAAATCCTTCTCAAAATTGGGGAGGTTGAGAGTTGGATGGACATAGGGACGGCCTGGCTTTACGTTGTACGCCGGACACCTGATCATAGAAAATGATTCTGTATCCCGCATTGAATTTCTCAACCAAGTATTACGTACCGTATGCTCAAAATAGAAGATCAGAGTGTAGTTGACTCATTTAAACCAACCAGTTTAGCCCGAGACGACCCGAGCCAGCACATGACATCATCCAGGAACTGCCGCCTATGTAATCTTGACCCCAATTCCAAGGTTCTTCCACTGACGTTCAACCTCACTCTATCACCACCACACCCTCAATTACAAACATCCAAACCGCCAATATGTTCCGCTTCGTACGTTGACCTATACAAACCTCCCAACTCAACCAATCTATCCCTCTCTAGTCCGCAACCCCGCCAACTAACACACAACAGAGCAAAACCCTCGACCCCATCACCCTCTTCCACTCCCCCGCCATCAAAGCATCAACTCGAACCCTCAACCTTCTCAAACAAGCTTCCGCGACCGCCAGCGAAACTGCCACAGAAGACCAGGCTAGCGACCACTCCACTCACTCAAAGAAACAGCGCGGCGAGTTCGAGCTGGAGGTTACCACCACCCCCCAACAACAGACCAGCTTCGCAGTATCCTCGACTACATCTCGCCCATCAACGGTGCCGGTGGGCAGGGTGAGAAGGTGTCATATAGTGTCTCGGAGCTGGTAAAGGGCGCCCGCGATGCAGAGGACGCGCTGAAGAAGTTCAAGGAGGATAACGAGAACTTCGTGAGGCCTATTGTACGTTCAATCTTCTTCCTACTTCGATTTCTATGTTGTAGATCTGTTCGGATGCGTCGTACTAATACTTTACTCTACAGACCGTTGACTGGGTCAATGGCCGTGCTGTCATTGGAGACAACGAGTCCGAGATCCTGCGCATGGTGCGCCAGCTTCCTGAAAACTAAAAGAGCTCGATTCTTTACCTCGAGCAGATGTAACACGCCACATGTAGTCTACCCAGCATCTGATCACGATCGAACTCAAATTCATATTTCATATTTCATGCAATGAAACCATTACTAGCAGAAGACATGAACTGCGCCATTTTGGGTCTATGGCTGTATCATACAAGAATCGAATTTCACAACTCCATGCGCATCATAAAACTAGAGCGAGTTGGGAAGACGTATTGCGCTGCAAATTGCAAGCTGAAAATGAAGTTGAGGTTGAAACAGAAAGAAGAGAAAAGACGAAAAAGATGAGCCATTAAACTCAATACTGGGAACATCTGGCACAAGGAAACCAAGATCCAGCTCGGAGTCCCGCACGCGCCCGCGGAACGTAAGAAGAGAGAAAAAGGTGGACCGAATATGAATGCGAAATCTGGATATTTGGTCAGGAACCTAGAACATTGTCCCGAAAGTGCCGTCCGTCGCGATAGGCTTCCGAGGCGAACTGCCGCGACCGTTGCTGTCGGTAGCAGGTTTGCGGTGACTAGAGCGGTCAGTAAGAGAATGATCATAGATATATATGCAAAGCCATTCAACATGGATTCGGGCGGAACATACCGGAAAGTAAACCCGACAAACAAGCCCTTGCCCATCTTATCGTCGCGATCGGCCATATCCTCCAGCGCGCGCTGCTTATCATGGACCTCCTTGTACTTGGCCATATCGGCCTCATTGCTGAAATCATCAAAGTACCCAGCATCCGTCTCGGAATCAAGTTCAGGCACGAACGGAGCCCGTTGATCACGCAAAGTCTCGAATTCGACCTCGGCGAAATAGTCATGCGCATGAATCTCCTTCATATTCTTGAACCGTTGTTCTTTCCCAGCAACCAGTTTCGTGATGAGATCCCACGTCCGCCGTGACAGGAAGTAGTTCGGGTCCTCGTAGACGGGCTTCCGCAACACCTTCTGCCAGCGCTTCAGGTTCTGCCATGTCTCCTCGACGGTCGCACCGGCGAAGGGCGGATAGCCTGCCAACGCCTCGAACAACATACATCCCAAGCTCCAGTAATCCACGGTGAAATCGTATTGGTCGCCCTTGAGAACTTCCGGCGCCATGTAATCCGGCGATCCAACAATTGACTTAGCATAGTTGACTTCCCGCTGGCGCAGAGACTGATATCCTTGTCGTCTTTCGGCCATTGTACGTTGTTCCATGGGCCGACCGAAGGGAACAGGCGTGTTCCCGACTTCCTCGAGCTTCACGCGCATGGACTCGATCTTACCCGGGCTCAGCATACCAGCCGCCAGACCGAAATCAGTCAGCTTAACATGGCCCGTGGAATCGATGAGGAAATTCTCCGGCTTCAAATCACGGTGAATGTATCCCAGCGCATGCAGCGCGTCAATGCAGCTGAACATTTCAGCAATGTAGAAACGTGCATGCCGATTATGCAGAACACCAGTGTTATTCAGTAGCGTGCGGAAATCTCCACCCGGGACATACTCCATGGCCAAGTAGATCTGGGTATCATCCTGGAAGGCGTACAGTAGCTTGACAAGCCACTCGCTCTTGGCCGCCGTGAGAATATCGCGCTCGGTCAGGATATGACGAATCTCATCCAGTTTGAAAAGCAACTTTTTGCTCATGACTTTCAACGCGCATACCTCGCGCGTGTCCTTCTTCTGTGCCAGGTACACCTGTCCATACCCACCCTGACCCACCTGAGTCAGAATCTGGAAGTCGCCCTGGCGGAGGCGTGTGCGACGTTTTCGCAGGTGTGCGCGCTCGCGACCGAGGTATTTTAAGAGGGCTGGTTCGTGCTCTTCGTCAGGGGTGGCAGGGGGGTCGGGGTAGGCGGCTTTAAATTGTGAGTGGCGGGTTTGGCGATTGTGAACGTAGCTGAGGAGATCGAAGTAATGGTCGAGGAAGTCTGTCGTTGTATAGGTCAGTCGATCTATATTAGATTGTTGGAATTGGGCGGGTACTTACAGAGTTGGGTCACATTAACAAGACGTTTCACTTTGGGTTGTGCTAGCTTCTCCATTTCCTCGGGGGTCAGGCCGCGCATCTGCACCTGGCGTCTGGTTGTGTCATCGCGTGGTTGATATGGCTCCTGACGCGACAGTGCTGCAGCAGTTGGGATTGACCCCAGATCCTTGGTTAGACGCGTTGGGTTGGGGGGTGTGTTTTCCTTGTTGGCTCTACGCGTTGGGCTGGAAGGGGTTTGGTGGATGACGCTTTCGTTGAAGTCCTCGCCGGTCTTGCCCGCAGAGAACATTGGATGATTGTAGTGATTATATGTCGATTTGGAGGGAGAAGTGGGAGTCAACTTCATGGCCTTGTCGAAGACATTGGGCAGATCGAGTGCGCCCGGTGGCAATCTTGACTTGCTGGGGCTACCCTGAGGGGTCTGTGTTGGACTGGTAAAACCATCGGCGGGAGTGGAGGGGCGATCAAATTGACCACGAGTATGTAATAGTGGTGGTGGATTTGGGAGTCGTAGACCAAGATGGTCCTCTGAAATGATAGCCATGGTGTTGATGGAGGAGCGATAGAGGGGTTGGTGGTGATTCCCTATGATAAGGCCGGGACTAGTTGGCACCCAAGAACAAAGGCAAAGTGATGAAGACCCAATGTTTTGTAAGTACAGTAAAGGAAAAGAAAGAAGAAAATGCCTTTGTGTGGTTTTTTTTAGGGAATATTGAAGGTTATGTTTATTATTTCAAAGTCGATCTCTCCACCACGATCGAACAGATCTTGATTCTGAATTCTACAATCCACTCTATCACCCCCAATATCCCCCCTTCCTCACAGAGTTGCTGTAGCAACTCTCCCCACGTCATATAAACTGGTGTAAAAGCCCGCCTATAAGTACCATAGTGGATGAGTTTATCGAGGCGAGCTGAACATCATCTCCACTTCCAATCACTAATTGTGCTTTGATGATTCTAGTAGGTCGTGAAACCGCCACTGGTGGATATGTTCGGAGACTCTGGGTTTTGACTTTTGCATATTTCTATGTCGCACATCTAGGTCCGTGTTCGGGGAATAAGCAAATTGTCTCCCCGAGCGTATCTTATATATACAAAGTAGGGGGAATACGATTGAATAGCTACTAGTATATTGCTAGGGATATAAGGGATATATAAGGGATATAAGCAAACTACCAAATTGGGAATAGTTAGATAAATCTGAGTTCCATGGATTGAAGGCACGGGGACCCCGATAATTGACAATCCCAACCAGGGAACCAAAACATTTAGAACCCTAGGATCGTTTGGATCCTTGGGAAAGGGAAAAGTTTTTTTCTTTTTTAAAAAAAAATTTAATTTAATTTCGTTGTGAATTATTCAAGCAGCGCCCTGCTTCCGTTGGCCAGTCTGTTTTTGTTAGTTTCGCCTGAGAGATTCAGAATTCAGCCCTGGGTACCCACATAGAACGCAAGCCCGTAATCGTCGGTTGTAAACGTGATTTTGGCCCCCTTCGGAAAATAAAACACATCGCCCGGAGTCGCCGTAACCTTCTGGCCCGTCTCATCTGCAATCTCAAACTTGCCCTCGACGATAATCTTCATTTCGTCGTAGGTATAGGTGTAGACGAGAGGGGTGCCCTTTTCCAACCGGTAAAAGCCGCATGACATGGGCTTGTCTGGGTTCTCATTCTCACTATATCGTATACTATGTCAGCAATTGCCTTGAACGCCCCGTGGACACCTGAGCACTGTGTCAGCCGTACCTTGATTGCACGTCGCCCAAGAAGGCGTTCTCATTCGCGATAAGCGGCGGCTTGAAGGTGGATTGCGCTTTAGCGTGGTAGGTGAAGGGAATAGACATGGTTGGAGGAATCGGTGTGACTGTGAGGGCCAATGCGATATTGAGATAAATTGATAGTCTAGTTCTCGAGGACTACCTCTGCTTTATACTGATGTTTCCACATTCTACCATATATATGGAGTGAGGGGAATGCCCCTCAAAAAGCAAACATCCTCAGACTTGGGACAACCCAATCCAGACAAAAAGTGACAGTCGGATCTGATGTCCTGACTAGGCAGTTCAATAGAGAACTGGGTGGGATAATGGCATAGAGAGAATGAGGGGCTTATGAGTGAGGGGAAGCTTGAAGCTCGAGATAAGCTGAAATGGTATAGAGGGGGGAGACTGGTATCAATGGAGAGAAAACTACCGACACTAGCAGTATGATGTAGCTGTATACTCCATAATCCTGTAATCTCCGATCTAATCCATAGGTATAGAACAGAGTGTGTAGTTGAGATGTACAATATGGGATAGGGATTTCTTTACTTGATGCGGTTAGCCCTTCCCCCGGAACCATAGTATTTGTATCCATGGCACTGGCCTGTCAACCTTGGAACTGCTCCTCTTTCAATGCTTGGCATATGTTCATGAGAATTTATAGTATGTAGATATCGCTACACACGCAAAGATGCTCAAACTTCGAGAAACGGGGAATAGTATCTGATCAATGGAGAATATCTCGTATGGGGTACGAAGTACTATGCCCAGTCATACACACCCAAATCTTTCTTTAGTTCGACATTTCTTTTCTTTTATCCCCCTAACCCTTCCAAAGTTCTATCTGCCTTTGGTAACTACATCCATCTCTTTTTCTATCATTTCCTATGGGAAAAAAAAAGCATCAAACCAATGCGGGTAAAATGAGGCTCTTTCCAGTTTTATGTGGCTTTGTATAGGGCTCTGCATGAAAATACGGTGGCGTGGTCTTATTGATCAGCCTCGCTAGTGTGCTCTCACTTTAGACTTTGTTGTGGCTATGAGTTGACGGCTTACGCTTATCTAGGTATGTTTGGTCTCGTTCCGGAATCATGTCAGTTGATTGCGCCCAATGTTAGTTGTGAAGATGCCTTGTCTTGCATAATACTATTCTACGGAGGAAGCTGCTTTTCAACCAACACCTCTCCTTCTTGCATGCTGCCCAACTCAGACACCATTGCTCATTGTGGGCGTTCCTAGTCCCACATAATGCAGCTAGTGCAAACCTGCTTTATTCACACTTCGGAAGGAAGGAGCCATGTCTGGCTCTGGCTGAGGCAAATTTCCCCCAAAATTACGTTTATAAATTGCCAGAAGAGACTCTTGCTAATGGAACTATAGGGCACCCGATAAAACAGCTTAAGCTAGCATCCACTGACCGTGTCAATTTCTTTCCTTCCCTTTTGTTTCTTGTCGAGAATTCAAGGACCCAGGGATTGACAATGCCAAGGGGAAAATAATTCAGGCACGCAACCTATGAAATCTCAAATTGATTAAATGTGACAGGACACCGCTTCCCCTCATTGCTTTCCAAGATCGGCTATTCGACACTAGCCTTGTTCAACAAGCGGCTCTGCGGTGGCCTCTCCCAGCGAAAGCAATACTGCCCCAACTTCATTGCAGTTCTTCTAAACCGATGGCCGGTTATCCACCTTGGCTTTCCGTCTATTGTACCCAACTGGAATGGTACATTATACTCGGGCGGTATTGGTAGGTCCGGCAATGTAAGCCGGTTTGGTGCATTGAGATATCGTTTCATGTCCCCGTCCACGTCGGATCTTCGCGTTGCTACCCATTTATTCAGGAAGTTGCGGAATTTCGTTACCTCAGAGTCCAGTTCGCGATGACTAGTCCACTCCGAGATACTTTGCACCATATCTATATTTCGCTCCCAGTGGGGGATATCCGAAAAGGAGGTATTATTGGTGATAAGTTCGTAGAGTGTGTACGCAACGGCACTAACGTCATCTCGGCCCTCTTGTAGGTTTTTCTTTCCGACTGTAGCCCGGTCGAAGTCGAAGAGAAGAATCTTATGCGTGCGGGGATCGACAAGTAGATTCCGGAGTGCAATATCTTGATGCATGATCCCATATTCTAGGTTGAGGAAATCCATGAGTTGAGTGAGCTGTTGCAACCACTGAAATCGAAAAGGGACCTTTGAATTGGCGAGAATTTCACCTGGAATATACTTTGTCGTGAATCCAATCACCCGACACTCGTCAAGGACAACACGATCAAATGGTACCATATTAGGATGCGGCGGTAGACTTTTGAGAATGTTAAGCTCATCCCAGGCCATTTGTAGTCTCAGAGGCTTGTCTAAGACGTTGAACTTAAAAGCAACCTTTTGAGGAATCCCAGCCTCGTCTTCGTATGACACAAGGTCAATAAATGGACCAAGTCTATCGAGTTCTTGCAGCTTAGCGTGCTGGACTGTACGGCAATCGGCAAGCGACCCACAGAGTGAGATGGGAGGATATGCGATAAAGTCAGTCTCGTCATCTTCCGGATCTGTCGAAACCTCAGTAAGGAGCCCATCATCGTCGACTGTGATTGCGCGGACTTCCGGCGATAGAGAATCAGCTAATGGCGCCAAAATCAAGAGCTCTTTGTCCCCGTCGGGCGGAAACACCTTGGCGGTGCCTTTGACCTTGATCATCCGCAGTTGATCCCAATCCCAGACATTGAGATGGCACAATACTAGTGATCATTACTAATCGATTGTTAGTATGCAGCTCACAGCCTTTTTTGTATTTAATTCGATGTATTTGTTTGAAAGAATACCATATTTATTACTCGTGGCATGCATGCAGTAACGTCCCTTCTCGGCCGGGCTGACAAGGCAGTGTAGCTAGACCCCTCCTGCCATTTTTGTCAAATCAAGCATGTTCCTTTGAATATTCCGGTTTGACTTTAATTGTATCAATCCCCCGTTTGCCAATTCTACCACCTATCTTTACTCGCCTATATCTCCGTTCAAAGTTTTGATCAACATGGCCTCTCAAATTTCACCGAGTCAAATGAAGGCTGATGTCGACAATCGCCTAGTCAACAACTCTCGAAACCCAAGCAGCTGTCCTTGCGGCTGGTATGTCTACTACTCGGCTGTCTGTGGGCATGTGTACCAGGAGGTCAAGTTCCAATGCGGTGCATACGAAGACATAGAATACGCAGGCGGCAATAAGCCCATACCATCCGGTCGAGGTAGGTTCTGCAAAACCACGGCACCGAAAAATATCGTCCAGGGGGTGCAGATCAACGAAAAGTGCCCGTATTGCTGATTTTCAGGACTCAAGTAGGTGACACGATCTTCGAACTATAAGGAAAAATATGAACTAAAAAAAATATTCTTAGCCATGAGTTCTCACCTGGGAACGCTCTACCAGATGCTTGAAAATGCTTTTTCGCTGCAGTTGTTATGGAACAGTGGGGGCTGGGAGCCTCTAGCGGAGGATCTTTGCAGATCAATGTGTCACTGGCGGCTACTGTAGCCAAATGATATGTATAACAACGCTTATCATATGGTACAAGCTGGATCTGGTGAAAAGGGAAAGTTTAGATGTGGTTCCGATACATTACTGGGAAAGAAGGGAAATCCATCTTAGAATGCATTGACCTTTCTCTTCGTGTGCAGATTATAGGCCAATGAAAGCCAAACAGAGAGGTGCAGTCTCGTGGAACTAAGCTCTCCGAGTTGAGGTCTAGAGCTATGAATTTGACTAATCTCGGGGAGATGAGGTCGGGGCCACCCGAGGTCCATGGCTACCTAATGCGGAGATAAGCATATCCCCGGCAGTGCCTACGATGCCTACGACCATACGAAAGCAGGGAGTATAAATACTTAGGTTCATCCTCAGCAGGTACATCGTATAGTCTAGTTCATATCTCTCAACACAATTCCCATTCCATTTTTGCAATCCCGAAGCCACTTCGCCAATTCTTTTCTTCTCATTCGCAAAACAAGATGCCATTGAAAATCCACCATCTTGGCCGCTCGCAATCCGAGCGCATCGTTTGGCTTGCCGAAGAACTTGGCATCAAGTATGACTTTGTCTTCCACAAGCGCGATCCTCTCCTCGCTCCGCAATCAATCAAAGACCTGCATCCATCCGGCACCGCACCGGTGATCGAAGACGACAACTCCCCCTTTACGAAAAACAAGGTGGTGCTCGCTGAATCAGGCGCTATCATTGACTACATTATTGCTGCCTATGGGGAGGGCCGTCTCGCACGCACACCGAAAGACGGCGAAGAATATATCCAGTTCCTGGAATGGTACCACTGGGCGAATGCCTCCCTGCAGCCAACCTTGGTCCGTATTCTGCTTTCTCGGCGCCTGGCCAATGACCCAGAAGCAGCGGCGGTCAAGATGGCAATTGCGAAGCTAGAGAATGCGGTCTCAATGATTGAGGCGAGACTCGGTGAAACCGGATCCTACCTAGTTGGGAATGACGTCACCGCAGCAGATATCATGGCGATTTGTACTCTCACCACCATGAGAGGATACTATCCCTTTGAGTTTGATGAACAGAAGCATAAAAATGTCCTGGCTTATCTCAAGCGTGTTGGTGACCGGCCTGCTTATCAAAGGGCTATGAAGATCTGTGAGGGTGAAGATTTCGTGCCTATTCTTGGTGCAAAGGCTGAGCAGTTTGTATTCCCGTATTAAACGGGATCCAGATTTATGCTATGTATATTATCTTGTGCATTAGTACCAACTTCTAGAACTTTTGAATTACAAATCAACCGTTGCAAGTGGGCCCTCGGGAGCCTCCCAGCGCTTACCATCCAAGGCCTGTAGCTATTTATTAGAATATTGGTCATGACTTTTTGCGATGACGAATTCTCAATGCTCCACAGTGGGAATGAGCCGATGCTTGTAGTATTGATTGCTGTGGCCTGAGCATAACTTCATAACTTGATCACAACTTTACCCATATGCTTAGCCACAAACAGCTAATCGAATACAGCCTAGAAATCTTCAAAGCTGAATACTATCCAGGCCAACTTTTCTCTCAGACAAGAATTTGTCAATCTTCTCCTAGTTGATGTTAAGAGTCAACAGTAATTCTCCGAAAGCAGTATTAGCAAGTCAAAGACGCACTTGGGTGAACATCTAGGCAGACTGGCCTGAAATCGCACGCTTTATTGGGAAGTAGTTGATCAATATCGAATTCACCCAAGAACCCGACTAAGGACATGCTTCCTCTGCGCGTAAGGAGAGTCAGTGTCTTGAGTATAACAGAGACTGCTAGGGGAATCAGCCAATAGTCCCTTCCGAAATATCGGCTTCTGGCATATTGAAATTTTCGGAATAGGGACAATATCGGACGAGGCCTTGCTGGATAGTGCCTACGAAGGCAAATGTGGCTTACTGCCTGCGTCGGGTGATCAGGGTTAGCAGGTGGTTATTCCGGGCAAGGAAGTGAGCTAAGCTCGACATGCGTAACGATGGTCAAGCGAGACTGATGCGTTGGGTGCATATGGAAACGTAAAATGGTATGCCTAGGCCTTTGATAGAGTTGTCTGTGTTTGCGTATTACTGGAAAATCAAACTGCGTAGCCGGAATTTGGTGTCAATAAGTCGGAAACTGGACAGTTGCTTGAGGGCTTCGGGAATAAACCTTGCAAGGTATCGCAATTAGAAAGCCGAAGAAAAGCATGGAAGTCAAATAAACTACCATCATGGTGGACATATTAGTTCCTAGATCGACCATAATTCGTAGTCAGAGAGTAGATCACAGTTGCAAAAAAAATCAATCTCAATCGAAAAAAGCACATTGTTGTCATAATTCATCAACCAGAGAACAGCAGATCCTTAGACGCCACGCTGGTTGAAGGCAGCACCAAGTAAGGGCTTCAAAGTACAATTTCAACCTTAACAAAAAAGAAATAAGAGCCACAACAATGAGAAAATAGTAACAAAAACCCGGGAAATAACAATAACTAAGACTCCTTCCTTTGTTAGCCGTCATATTAGTACAGCAGGCTAGGGTGCGAGGAAAAGTAGATTCTTTCCGCTTAACGCCTAGAGTTGCAACCAAGATTTGGGCTATTGCTATGAGGCTAGCCAATAAAAACTATGATTACAGAGTTAGTTTGGGATGCAGTAGTTCAATAGTTGTCAAACCCACCTTCCCATCCCCACTCAGCCATAACATTCACCCAATGCAATTTTCCGCGCACGGTTCGTTCAAATTCAATATTTTCAAGTGAAGCGAGTGCGGAGCCCCGTCGTGCAATCCTCGATACAGGTTGCCCTGGTCTTCCTCCTGTTGGGCCCTTGTGGGAACCGTTGAGACTGTGTTTGCGGAAATCGGCTGGCAATGAGGAGCTCATTTTCTGTCCGTCTCCGGATGAAAAAGATTCAGCACGCCGTGAAACAGCCATTTGTCGCTCTCTTCTGGCATTCATTGCATCGCGACGTTCCCAGACCTCTTTCAATACCTCCAAACAACGGTCTACACCACCTAGCATCAAGCGAGACTGAATTGTGGTCCATCGATCCAAGACCCATTTTCGGTCATCGTCGGTGTCAACCTCGGAGCCAGCGGCTAGAAGAGGGAACATCTGTATGATAGTAGTTCGGGAAGTATAGGGAACAGTGGCAAGCAAGATCAGAACTCTCTTTGCTAATTCGTCGGCTGGCTCGGAGGGTATCTCTGGGACAGCCTGGTGCAGGTACAGCAACGTTGCCCAGCGATAGGCATGTGCAACTTGAATGCTATGCTGAACCTCGGAATTGGGGTCATCCGGTGGTTCAAACCAGTGTGGTGGCTCCCACTGCTCGACAAGAGCTTTAAGTTCCATAGCTTGAGCCACAACCGAAACTGTATTCGATGAACTCTTCCGCACATGCTGGATGAGCTTTGCTACACGACTCATGAGAGGATATAGAGTAGTTGCACAGCCCATCAAGGGATCAATATCATGAACTGTATCACTCGGAAGATCGAAAATTGAAGAATCCCAGCTTTGCGGGCCACACTCATCCAAAGAAGTCAGTCGCGCAATCACGTCCATATAGGACCATGTGTTATATAGGAACCGAATGCGGTCCAATTCCTCGTCGCTAACACCTCCCTGCATACCGGCTGCGATGACCTGGCACATTAAAGCTTTTGCACCTCGCAAATGTTGAATGCATGTGCGGGTGTGTTGGTCCCAGGTATCGGCAAATGCTAACGCCAGACTAGTTGCCAGCGCAGCATCCGCTCTCATATTTTGAATTTGCCCAACTAGACCAGTTATGCTCTGGCGCATGTACTTTACTCCTTGCACCCGAAGATGGGGATTTTGCTTGCTTGAGTGGAAAGCCGTTAAAGCAAAGATGGCATGACGAAGTGCAGGCGTGTCTTTCGCCAACGGCCAAATGAGTGTGCGCCATGGATTCTCTAATGCACCATCTTTGACAGATAAAATTCCACAGGTGAGCTTATCAAACCGAAGTACGAGCATTTCTGGACTTTCTGGCGGTAAAGGTGGGTTGTCTGATATGCTTGGAGTCCTGAGATTGAAAGAATCTTCATCTGGCAATGTGAAGTTCCAAGGTCCCAGCCCTGGATCTGCCTTCCGGATTATCTCCTCAATATCATCATTTTCATCTTCCAAGAGCTGAGAAAAGCTCAGACCCGATACATCGGTATCTGGCTGCTCTGGACCAAAAGACATATGTCTAACAGGATCAGCATCAGCACCGGGAACCAACGAATCTACGAGCGAGGGAGAATCCTGAAAGGGTTCCAAAAAGGAAAGAAAATCGAGAGGGGGAGAATCGGCGGGTAATGACACATTGATATCAAGGGGAGGGTCGGTGCACTCAGCCATGGAAACATCTTCCCGTGTGACAGGTATGTCTTCAATAGAACGTGCTCCAGTAGACAGAAAGCTATTGATACTAATCGGTGAGCTATGAAAAGGAGAGCCCGGAGAATGAGAGCCATCCAACTTGTGGGACTGTATGCGAATCGGTAACGCTGATTGTTCAGTCGTTGGAGGAGTTGGAAATCTCTGGCTAGTATTGACGATAGATGGAATTTGGTGAGACGATGGGTTTGCTAAAGAGTATAAGTCTATTAGGTCCAACTGGAGTCCGCCCGGCACTCAGGCCTTACCTTTCTTAGTTTTGGTTTCTTCGAATGGCCGCCATTTGAAGTCTTTCCTGTATCCTCCACATTGGACCTTTCTTCTTTCGCACTGGTGACATGATGGCTTGACTTCGTCGCACTTCAACCGCTTTGCCTTACAGGTGATGCAACCTGTACAAGTGAAGACTCGAGTCAATGTTGTGGACAATATGAAGTGGCAGTCTGTGTTATTGATAGAAAGATACAACCTCACTCTAACTTACCATTTCGACTCTTTGTCTGTTTCGGCTTTTGTGTCCCAAGTTTCCCCCGCGCTGATGCCGGGTTGTCGGGCGGATCTAAAATCGGTGGAATTTTAGTGCTTTCCATACCAAGTCGATGTTGAAACCCATTCACACGGAAGAAAACGAGATATACAGAAGAGATGGATGTTTTGAAAGAGAGATAAGAGGCGGTGACAGCGAATGGTATGTGGAAGATAGGGAAATCCTATGGGGGAGGAGATGATAAGCCAATGCGGGGGTGCCGATCTTGGGGAATTTCGAGGTGCGTTTTTTTTCATTGCAATCTCAACTGGGTTGGGTATCCGACTATGATCTATCATATATATGGGTTTTATATGAACCGAAGAGGTTAGCTTGACTTTTCAGTCAGAGTACGTGTGGACATATTTATATATCCCTTTATATATAATCACATCGTGCGGGGATCATTTCTCCAACACTACGTTAAGACTACCGATATAACCACAACATAATACTTTTACAAGAAAACAAAAGCGAAAGATGTTTCATTGGAAAAAAAAAAAAGATAAACAGCGGCTGAGACAGCTCAATAACTAAGGGGACAGACACAAACAGTGTTCTTGAATGCAGCCAGTACCGTTGCCGGCACTTGTTGGTAGACGGGGTAGGTACAGGAGGGCAGCACGACGGGGAGTGTTGGCACCACAGAGGGAAGGGAGGGCACCGCGGGAGGGAGTGGCTACCAGGAAACACCAGTTGGTGAGAATGACTTCGGTTAGACCGTAGGTGCTTGTTATGAAAGAATCCAAGTCGAGCCTCTTGCCGCAGAATTTTGGGAATGCACTTCCGAGCTGAATTCTTGGTATTTGGATGGCGAGCTGACACCCATGAGGAGTGATAGAATAGCATTCCAAAACGTGAGTTGTGGGTGTCTTCTGAAATTGCGACTTGGTAGTCCATGCTGTCTCGACATTTCTATTTCTTATTTCCGACCGTTTCTGTCCTTCGTCACAACATATATTTATGTCCAAATTGCGAGCCGCGGCTCTGTAGTGGGCCGACAGTGAGGTATGAACTGGGTAAAAATGGAAGGCCGGTATACTGTCCAAGCTTGGAATTTTCTGGCTCATATTGCGTTAGAAAAGTTGTGTGGCCGATTTATGTCCAGATGAAAAAAGTAAGGTGAGCAAGCCAGGAAACTAAAAAGTGGCGTGATGCAAAGATGGCTATGTATGTTTATAACCTTGGTCATCCTATATCTATCGGAATTCATATAGAGTATCGTTGTTATAAAACCAAGAGTTGTTTATTTGCGGCTACTCGAGTCTCCATACGTTTGGGCTGCTCTCGTTATGCACAAATATCTACCTCCATCATCCATCCTATCACAATGATCTAGGCCTTTTGTACCTTCGGGATCAAACTAGCTGGAAGCTTCAAGCTGGCAGAATTAGCCAGGTCCCCAATGGACGCCCCACTCTGGATCTGCAGAACTGGGATCTCAACTTCAAGCTCCCTGAGGAACCAAGTCCGAAGATCCACTGCCACCAAACTGTCAGCCCCCAGCTCTGTTAACCTGCTATCTGCAGTTACGGCCACACTGTCTGAAAGATGCAGCTTCTGGGTAATCTTCGCGCTGAGCGCAGCAAGAACGACTTCAGCAGCCTCGTCCATGCCATCGACGGCTTCCAGTTGCTTCTTGATTGGCATGGCTGTCGTATCAGACTGGGACAAACTCGAGCGTAGACGGTAGTCTACGAGAGGCCATGTAAGCGGGTTGCTGTACCATATAATATCTGGTTGCGCCTCAGGGTCATGCGGCGTGAAGCCACTGATCACCTCCGGATTCCGGCCCATACGTGGGATTCCAGCCAGAATGCCCTCGGCCATCGTTTCGTGCAGATCCTTCTCCGACACGATATGAGCCCCGACATGCCCAGCCATCCGGCGCGATAGCTTACTGCCCATCCGGGAGATATACCCGACGCCGCGAACTTCCGCGGGGTGGATGATGCTACCGACAAGATTCTCCTCGCGGCGGCGACGGATCAAGCTGCGCATGTAATTAGTGGCAGCACCGTAGGAGGATTGGCCGATGTTGCCGAGGATGGAAGTTGCGGAGCCAAAGAGGATGAAGAAGTCGAGGTCTTCGTGACCGTAAATTTCTTCGAGAAGCCGGCTGCCGACAATCTTGGGCTTGTAAGTTGAGAGGACATCCTCGAGCTCGACATCGCTGAACATTGAGTCTTTGAGGACCATGGCGCCGTTTACCACCCCGCCGACGGGGGGAGTGTACGACAAATAATGCTGTTGACGTTGAGGATTGATTCGCGATCGGTAACGTCCCTGATGAAGTGATCAGTTCGAAGCCAATTCCCAGAGAGCAGTTGGTGAAACTTACATTGCTTCGATTGAAACTCGAGCACCCAGTCTTGTCATCTCCTCAATCCAAGTAGAATCTACCTTTGGATTCCTACTAGTGAGGACAACATTCTTCGCTCCCCGAGTAATCATCCAGTGACAGACAGACTGGCCCAGATCACCAGACATACCGACGAGGAGATACGTCTTGTTGCCGTTTAGTTTGACTTGCGAACTTGCGGGAGATATCCGCACAGGTAGTTCAGGGACTGCCGTCCAGTCCAGAATCTCGATTTTGTTGCTTCGCACATTCGCACCGCGCGCGATGAACTCGGGCAATCCAAGTACCTTTGTCTCATGTCTCCCATGCAGGCCTGCAGAATGCCTAGATAGGACAAGGTTGATTTGTGCGGCCACAACACGAGCGGTGTTGAAGACCTTGGTTACCGCGTGAACTTGGAAGTCCTGCGACAGCGAAGGTTCACGCGTGGTCAGGGTGCCCATGTCTTCGCGACGCACATTCTTGGGTAAGAATTTCTCAAGTCTCGAGAATAGTCCGTGTGGTGTGTTGCTGAAGTTTGCAGCGACGGACAAATTAGTCGGCAAGACCTGAGCAAGCGTCTGCGCCGTGCTCCTCTCGTGCAAGAAAAGGGTATTGTCACCGGAGTCCTTGGTAGATGCATCGCTAGTGCTGAAGCATGGTTGAACGCCTATTATGGTTAGGGGCTTGATCTTCAGTATGAGTTTGGGATTGGGCCTACCTTTCGCCACTGCCTGACACCAAACAGCGTGCCTGAGAGACTCATTCGCACCATGTATCAGGATACTTGTGTTAGGCGCCGCTTCTTTGACGAGACTGTTAGCCAGCACTGCATGGGCCAGGGCTCCCAAGAACTCGGTCTCCTCGGCCTCTCCAATGTTGTCTGGGATCTTTGAGCTCCAAGATGAAGGAATGGAGACTGTCGATGAGTATTTATCTGTGACTGCAACAACGCGAGATTTTGAGGCTACGTCTTCACCCGAGATCAGGTTTAGGAACCCGGCTCCGTTAATCTTGAATGCTGTCGAGAAAGAACGTCGGACACGGATCTGCACAGTGGATTCAAAATGAGAGAAACTGCCATCCGTCAAATCTTCACGGGTTACCAGTAGTTCAACCTGGTCGCCGTTGAAAGATAAATCCACGACAGACTGTCCAATATCAAGCTGCTGCTGCACGGCCCTTTTTGTAGCCGCGTATCGGCGGTTCAGAGCCGTGGCATTCATGATTCGGGGTACCTTTAGGGTATTATTCTCAAAGCGCAGTTCTAATTCGACACTGTCGACCGACGAGGAATGGCTATAGTCGTTAGTACACTCAGAATGAACCATGCGCATCAGCGCTGTTGCGATAAGCTCCACGCTGACGTCCTTGGGTTCGACAATGTTGAGATACTGGTGAAGCGAGCCCTTATACTCGTACCCGATACAACTGAGGAAACCCTTGCTCATGCTCAGGTAGGGGTTCTGAGACTCGGAACCGACAGTTACCCAGAGTAGCCGTTTGCTCATAGCGAGGACCCTAGGAGATTCTAGTCAGGCTAAGGGTCTAGAGAGTGTTAAAGATGGATATATACCGTTTTAGAGAGCGTAGCTTGCTCTCGTTCATTTCCTGGAAGCAGGGAGCATCTATGTCTGCGAGACACAACACCTCGGTTGAAGATTCAATACAATGAGTCGAATGACTATTTAGTGATTCCATGTTTGACGTATAGTTGATCGTATGGAAGAAAGGGCATAAGAGCTTGAGCAGAGCAGGTACGAGCTGCGACGTTGAATTTGTTGCACCGCCGATGATTATGAGACTCTCGTGCTTTTCAGAATCTGGAGCTGATATCGCTAACGGGTTTCGAAGACGCTGTACCTGATCGTTGACCGCCTGCGTAACGAATGTTGAGTATCCCCAGTACGAGTACTGTTCTTTGCCTGGTGCTGGAAGAATTGCGTTGATGCCGCTATAGCCGGTCTGACGAAGAAGGGCCTCCCACTTTTCCACGGAGATCTTGGGACCCCAAGGTCTGTTGTCCTCCTTTCCTAGCCACCACCCCTCAAATGGGCAAAAGAGTAAAGCATCTTGTAGAATATGTTCATTTGTAATTTCCAGAGCAATGAGATGACCACCGGGCTTGAGGAGACGTCGCGCGTTTGTCATAGTAGTCCCTAAGAACTTGGTGGCATGGAGAACGTTTGCAGCAATGACAAGGTCATATGCACCAGCCTCGAATCCTTGCTCTATCGGATCCTTCTCGATGTCAAGCACTCTGTAGACCATTTGATCTGCATACTGTGCAAAGGTAGTTTCGGCATCCTCAAAAAACCCAGCTGAGATATCAGTGAAGGTATAAGAATGGAAATAATGTCCAATACGCCCAATAACAGCGCGGGTTGCAGAGGCAGTTCCAGCGCCAATTTCGAGAATCTTCATACGCGGATATTTGAATGCGAGCTGGCCAGCCACTTCGCCAACTCGCAGACTCATGTACTTCAGTTCTTGTTCTTTGTCGTAGAATCGCGTGAGAAGATTGTCCTGTCGGTAAATTTCGATCATTGAAATTTCATTGCGGAGGAAGCCAGGGAAGTACTGTCTGATCTGATCCGTCATTTCGACAATAATGGGCTGCGCCGTTTTGGCCAATATAGCGAGCATCTCTTGAGGATCCTCGTCTGCCCATTCTTGCTTGCAGAGAGGGTATTTCCCTTGACGAGTAAGACTAGTGACATGATCAAACCAAGCCACAATATCCTTGCGATGTCCTTCAAGCTTCTCCCTATCATCTATGGTTAGCCCGGCGAGGAGTTCTTTCATGACCAAGAAGCACATATGCTGGGGGTCGTCCATCTCGCCAGACCAGAACTGGAGCGGTGGAGTGTGCTCAGGCTCAACATCGGGTTCAAAATTCCCCCACTGAACTTCCGAGAACATTGCTCGGTCATTGCTTTCGCCGGGCCGCATGAGTGGAGAGACCTGGATGCCTTCGAATTGAATGACCCCATGACCTTGCAAGGTGAACAGACTAACATCCCCGGACAATCCATCTGGGCCTGTACTGGTCACAGCGGCATCGAAGGAGAGGGAATTGCCCGCGGGAATGCCGATGCGTTCACAAAACATCGGGTTGATAGTTGCTCTCTGGATTCTCGTTGGGATTTGCAAAGTTGACAACTCCCCATCCCCAGGAGCCCCAACAGCACCGAGGAGGCACTGCAGCCCGCAGTCCATTGTCGTGGGATGGAGAAGTAAAGCATCGTTCGTAAAGTTGTTCAAAAGCCCACTGGACCTGTCGAGTTTCCGTTCCATTGAGGTGATACCGCGGAACAAGTCCGTATAGCCATACCCCAACTTCCCCAGAGATGCATAAAACTCATCGATGTCCACGGTTGACATACCAGACGTGGAACCCAGTCTTGAGGGCAGCCCATCGACTTGCGACTCCCCCCATGACACCACCAACTGACCAGAGGCGCACGACTTCAAGACCCCTCCAACATCCGCGTAGAGATTAAACATCGCAGTAGTCGTCTCACTCTCAGGGATCATATTATACACTCGAAACGAGATCTCAATCCCTTTATCATCTTCCGGAAAGGCAATGGCCTGGCCAATGACCAGGTCATTGACTTGCACAAGGTGTAGGGATCGTCCTTCCGCCACGGCAATTTTCCCGGCTGCTTCCAATGCAATGGCAATGTATCCCGTAGCAGGGAAGATGGTCTGGGACTGGATCTGATGCCCATCCAGGTATTCCATATTGCTTCGGATTAGGAAGTTCCTCCAGCGCCATTCTCCTTCGGCATTTTCCTCACTCAGGTCTCCAAGAAGTTCATTGCGCGGTTCCCGGTAGAGATAGGCCTTCGACTTTCGTGTCTCAGTCCAGTATGATTGGCTGTGATCAAAGGGATAGTGCGGCAAACCTTGGATAAAGTGATTCTTTTTCAACGGATGGCTGAGAGATAAAAGTTTAGCGATGTTGATCCCGTCGGACCCCAGATACGCCCAGAGTGAGCCTGTGGTTTCTGCCAGAGCTGTGACGCCGGTCTCCCCACGGCGCAGGGTACCAACATATGGGATATTCGATGCCGTCTTCAGCGCCTCCGAAAGCCCCTGCAGAACAGGGCCCTTTAGCGCAGGGTGGGGGCCGACTTCAACGACGAGGCTGGGAGCAGTATCCATGATGGCTGCCATCAGTGCCTGGTAGAAAAGCACAGGCTGACGCATGTTATCCTTCCAGTACTCTCCGGTCAAAACGTCACCATGGCTCGCGCTATCAAGCTTCTTCCCACCATGCACAGTCGAGTACCAGACCGTTGAAGTTGGCTCTCCAAGCTTGATTTCGCACCCTCCCATAGCGCGCAGATAGGGCTCCTCGCAAGGCTCCATATGGTGGGAATGATATGCGGTGTCCACGAGGACTAGACGCGCGAATTTCCCCTGGCTCTTAAGTAGCTGCTCTGCCTCTTTGATCGCATCAGCGTCGCCAGAGAGCGTTACGCTGGATGGGGAATTGCATGCGGCGATTGAGATTCTCCCCTGAAACTGGGACTGTTCGCAGAAGGATGTCGCTTCATCGAAGCCTAGCCCTGCTGCCAGCATACCGCCTTTTTTGCCATTCGAGCCAGCGATGCGTGCAACCTGTTCGTGTCAGTAATTCTCAACCTTGTGTATCGCTTCTTCAATCGACGCTTACCTTTCCGCGCAGATACGCAATCCGAATTGCATCATGAGCATTGAGAACGCCGGCCGCATAGGCAGCAGCCACTTCACCTGAAGAATGGCCCACAACCTTCTCAAATTCAATTCCAATCTCCCATAGGATATTCACAAGCAGAATCTGAACAGCAGTGCACAGAGGCTGAGCAACTTCTGCTTCCTGGACTCTTGAAGACCCCTTTGGCGCCGCTAACTCATCAAGCAAGGAGAAAGTCGGCCGATACTCTGTCGGCAACGTATCCAACGACTTCTGGAGATCCTCAAGCCAGCCTCGAGCCGCTGGAAATGCGGATATCAATTCCAGTCCCATCTGGGGCCATTGTGCACCCTGACCGGTGAATATGCCCAAGATACGTTTTCTTTCGGTGTCACTTCTCACAACGACTGTGGATGCGTCGTTTGCTTTGCGGAGCTCGAGTTCCTTCTTGATTTTGGCCCTGAGGTCGTCGATTGTGGAAGCATATAGGGTCACGCGGTATTTGAGCGCTGAGCGCTTTTGAATCAGCGACCATGATAAATCTAGAGGGTCAGTGTTGTGGTTTTCAGCTAAGTAAGCGTCATACTGGGTGAGAACTGCCCCCAGGGTTCGTTCTGACGCAGCCGAGAATGCAAAAGGGACTACGACGGGCGTGGGCTTGTTGGCTCCGTTGGCTCCGTTGGCTCCATTGGCTCCATTGGCTTTGGCTCCGTTCGCTCCATTGACTCCATTCTTAATGGTCTTTTGGGTATTTTCCAGATTGACTTCGTAACTCTCCAGGATGGCATGAGAGTTTGTGCCACCGAATCCACTAGAAGTGGAGGAGGAGTTTAGTGTTTGTTTCCATCTAGGGCATGCTCGAGAATTAATGTCTTACAATGAATTCACGGAAACACGTCGGGGGACGCCCGCGGGAAGTACGGGCCATTCCTTCAGCTCCGTCGAAACATTCAAATGGGCTGTGTATGGCTCGAGCTTAGGGTTCAGTCTCTCAAAGTGCATATTTGGAGGGATCTGTCCGTTCTGGATGCACAGAGAAGCCTTGATTATGCCGGCCAAACCAGCGCAGCCCTCGCTGTCTAAAGTCGAGATGTGAGGTATCAGGATATATTCGTCCTTAAGGGCAGGGGGAATAGGGGAACTCACGGCCAAGCACAGTTTTGATCGATCCCACGTACAAGGGATCCTTGGGTGATTGCGCGAGCCCATCGGCGAAGAAGGCATTATAGATTCCCGTGGCCTCCTGGAAGTCACCAGCCTGTGTACCCGCTATGGCCTTCTGTCAGTTTATCTTCAAAAAGCCAAAGTCCGAAATATGAGAGAAATCAGAATGCAGAATAGAAACCACCTACTGCCGTGAGCTTCAAAGTACTGGGGCCGATCTTCTGGCCGGTTAACATCAAGCCCAGCAAGAGCATAAGTAGAGCGTATCAAACTCTCCTGAGCCTTGCCAGAAGGCATGGTCAAGCCCAGTGTCCGTCCATCCTAAAAGGTTAGGGATCTGAAGGTGATATCACAAGAAGCTGCATACCTGGTTAACACCCGATGCCCTAATCACGGACTCGATGGGATCGCCATCAGCAATCGCATCACTAAGCCGCTTAAGTACCACAGATGCCAATCCTTCACCGCGAACGTAACCATTGGCTTTGTGATCCCACATTCGTCCACGGCTCTCTGGAGAGAGCATCTGTAGGTTCGATGCCGCAAAGTATAATGTCGGCCCCAGAATCAGATTTGTGCCAACAACTGTGACCAGCGAACATTCGCCTCTTTGGAGTGCGGAGATTCCTTGGTGAAGCGCTACCAAACTGGATGAACAAGCTGTATCAATGGACATGGAGGGACCATTCCAGTCGAAGAAATAGGAGATTCGGTTTGCAAGATTGTTGCGAGCAACACCGGATATAGCCTAGAGGCAGTAAGCTTAGATGTCATCAAGTCCGTCTGCATGAAAGTATGCAAATTGGTTTGGATGACCCGATACTCACATATTCCGGAACGACCTTGTCTAGAGCCATAAGGGCTTCCCAGTCTGCACACATGACACCGCAAAAGACACCCGTCGATGACCCGCGCAGAGCTTCTAATCGAAGTCCTGCAGCTTCAAGAGACTCGTAGACAGTCTCAAGGAGCATTCGCTGCTGTGGGTCAAGACTGGTGGCTTCATTGGCGGCAATGTTGAAAAACGAGGCGTCGAACGATCTCACATCCTCATTGAGGAAATACGACTCGGTGACGTTAAAGGTCAGGGGGTTTGTTGGGTTCGGATGATAGAAGCCGTCAATATTGAAGCGGCTTGATGGGGGCTTGGAAGCGACATCCCTGGGCTTGCTGAGAAGGTCCCACAGGCGAGAAGGGGTTGACGAGGACCCGGGGAACTTGCATCCGGTCCCGATGATAGCTATAGGTTCGGGAGTCATTCTGACTTTTGATGTCTTGCTAGATATAAAAGACGTGTTGAAACGTGAAGGCAGAGTGTTGATCAATAGCTTGAAATAAAATGGACTTTGGCGTATGGAAGAATGTTACCAGCAGCTGTCTGATATGTGAGTTGTTCATCACAGTCTTCTAGCGCGGAAGGAATTACCTCGCAATTGAGCTATGAACCTTCTGAATCCATCTTACTCGGCTACTACATAGTGCTGCAATACTATCGCAGCGACATGATGCGAGGATATCTCTCTGCTTGGCATTGCAGACCTTTCATCATCGTTGTGTTGTTTCTCATTGATATCTCTCGATTGGCGTCCGAAACCTAGCATGATTCTTGCATTGTATCATATGGATCCATCGCTGCATAACACCTAACCCTAACATCATCATCACCCCCTTCTCTCTTATCATCCATAGCATATGCATAGACCTGACACCTGATAGCCTATTATGTCTCTAGCTTGCATGGCAAGGTTTCAAGAAGCACAAGAGATTGGGTAATTTAAACATTTGTCGCTCGCGCTCGTGATCATCAGCCGCAATTTGGCACTCCTCCCAGCATGACTGCAGTCTCGGGGAACAAGAGGCCCGATCATATTTCTGCAGGGTACAGCCAGCCACCCTTGACTTTGAAAGTGGTAGATCAGAGCCCATTACTCCCCGTACCATCCCAGGTGGTGTCAGCCGCGAAGAATACGCCACTCATCAACGGGATGTCATTATGGCCATGTTCGGTATCAGCCATACAAAAGATACCCCAGTGGGTGATGACTTTATGCGTGGAGTGAGTGGCGGCGAAAGAAAACGGGTTACTATTGCTGAGGCAGCCCTCAGTTACGCGCCCTTGCAATGCTGGGATAACAGTACGCGAGGTTTAGATACTGCGAATGCAATCGAGTTCTGCAAGACTCTGCGACTGCAAGGCGACATCTACAGCACGACCTCCTGCGTTGCGATTTACCAGGCTCCGCAGGCTGCCTACGAGCTTTTTCACAAAGTGATCGTTCTCTATGACGGCCGTCAGATTTTTTTCGGTCAAGCCTCCGAGGCAAAAGCCTACTTCGAGGCTCTCGGGTTCGAGTCCCCTAGCTCTCAAACGATCCCGGACTTTTTGACTTCTATGACGTGTCCTACGGAAAGGATCGTCAAAGCAGGCTTTGAGCACCTGGTACCACGAACGGCTGATGAGTTCGCTCAACGATGGAGATATAGCCCTGAGTGCAAGGACTTATTAAAGCAGATCGACCAATATATAGAGGATCATCCGTTTGATGATACCAATATGCGTAACTTTGCCGAAGCGAGGAAATGCGAAAAGTCAAGCAAACAACGGGAAAGGTCCCCTTATACGCTCTCTTACTGGCGACAGATTCAACTCTGTATGTGGAGAGAGTTCCATCGCATCAAGGCCAATCCAGCTGTGAGTATATTTACCATCCTGGTAAATCTGATCCAAAATATCATTATCGGCAGTGTCTTCTTTAACCTGAAGGCAGAGACTGCGTCATTCACGGAACGCGGGGCCCTTATGTTCATGATGATTGTCTTAAGTGCCCTTTCAAGCGTGCTAGAGATCATGGCCCTCTACGATAAACGAAGTATCGTGGAAAAACATAGCCGCTACGCCTTGTACCATCCAAGTGCGGAGGCAATCGCGTCATCGATCATGGATCTCCCAAGCAAGCTTGTTATGTGCATCTGCTCCAATATTGCTGTCTACTTCATGGCAGGTCTTCGTCGGACACCCGGGGCATTTTTCTTTTACCTGCTCATGGCATTTACCTCTATGATGTGCATGTCCATGTTCTTTCGGTTTTTCGCCTCTATGACTAAGACTGTCTCGCAAGCAACAGCTCCAGTATCTATCATCAATATGGCGCTCTCCCTGTACACAGGGTTTACACTTCCGGTTCCCTATATTCTAGGCTGGGCGAGGTGGATCTATTACATTAACCCGATTGCGTACGCGTTCGAGGCAATCCTGGTTAACGAGCTCCATAACCGAGACTTCCCATGCTCGAACTTTGTTCCCTCAGGACCCGGCTACGAAAACGTGGATCCCTTGGGACGTAGCTGTTCTACCGTTGGTGCGGTCCCAGGGTCATCTAATGTCAACGGAGATGATTTCCTCGAACAGTCCTACAGATTCTCTTGGGATAAACGCTGGAGAGACTTCGGTATCCTGCTTGCCTTCACGGTCTTCTTCACCATACTTTATCTGGTTGGCTCAGAACTGGTGACAGCAGAGCGATCTAAAGGCGAGGTCCTGGTTTTCCGCCGGAGCCAGATGCACAACAACCGGCTCAAGAGGCAACAAACGGATGAGGAACAGACCAAGCCCGGGAAACCCTCTAGTGAGAAATCTGAAACGTCTGGTGAGCAACTCTCTCAAGTGGAGAAGCAGACTGCGGTTTTCCACTGGCAAAACGTCTGCTACGACATCACCGCCAACGGGGAACAGAAGCGGTTGCTTGATAATGTGGATGGATGGATTAAACCAGGTTCTCTGACGGCATTGATGGTTGGTCCCGTTGGACTTCCCCGTATGAGCTCCTACTAACAGTGTCCTAGGGTGTTTCCGGTGCAGGGAAGACAACTCTTCTCAATGTCCTTGCAAGTCGCACGACAACAGGAGTTATTACCGGGGGCATACTCGTCGATGGTCACCAACGCGATAGCTCATTCCAACGGAAGACAGGCTATGTCCAACAGCAAGATCTCCATATATCAACCTCTACCGTGCGTGAAGCTCTCGAATTCAGTGCCCTCCTCCGCCAGCCAAGCCATTACACCCGCCGGCAAAGATTAGACTATGTTGATACCGTTATTAGTCTCTTGGGTATGGAGGAGTACGCGGATGCTGTCGTCGGTATACCAGGATCAGGTCTTAATATCGAACAACGAAAGCGCCTTACTATTGGTGTTGAGCTTGCCGCGCGACCAAAGCTACTCCTTTTCTTAGATGAACCGACGTCTGGCTTAGACAGTCAGACTTCATGGTCTATTTGCAATCTCATGGAGAAGTTGGCTAATAATGGGCAAGCGATTCTCTGCACTATTCACCAACCGTCGGCCATGTTGTTCCAGCGGTTTAGCCGGCTGCTCCTTCTAGCTCGTGGCGGAAAGACCGTCTATTTCGGGGCGATCGGACGAGACTCCAACGTGCTCATTGACTATTTTGCCCGTAACGGAGGCGCTCCCTGTCCCCCCGGTACTAATCCTGCCGAGTATATGCTAGAAGTCATCGGCGCGGCCCCTGGGGTGAAGTCCGATATTGACTGGCCCGCTGTTTGGCGGGGTACTGAAGAGTATCGCGAAGTTCATCGCGAACTCGACAGGCTCAGGGAACTTGCCGATCATGCCCCCAACATGGTAGACCCGGGTGGTCAGCCTGAATCGGACTACGAGGAGTTTGCTGTCCCCTTCATAACGCAGACCCACCTCGTTACTATCCGAGTTTTCCAGCAAATGTGGCGCACACCATCATATATTTACTCAAAGCTACTACTCTGCCTTGGTTGTGTATGTGAATCAGTTGGCTATGGAAAATATGGTGCTATCAAGTGCTAATCTCTTCCAGGCTCTCCTTCTAGGCTTCTCATTCTTCAATAGCCCCAACACTACTCAGGGCCTGCAAAATCAGATGTTTGGGGTTTTCCTCTTTCTCTTCATTTACATCCAGATCATCCAGCAGATGATGCCCATGTTTGTTAAGCAGCGAACCCTCTACGAAGCCCGAGAACGTCAGTCAAAGACATATTGCTGGCAGTCCTTCATCTTGTCCAATCTATTGGTTGAGCTAGCCTGGAATACGGTATGTCGCCAAGTGTAGATCCGATCCATCCGTCGGAGCCAGAGACACTAACCCATTGCACAGCTCATGGCCATCCTTTCTTTCCTAGTCTGGTTCTATCCTATGGGGGTATGGCAAAACGCGCTCTACACCGACACCCTGAATTCACGCAGCATGTTAGCCTTTCTTGTCGTATGGGAGGGCTTTCTCTACGCCACCTCGCTGTCGTACTTGTTCATTGCCGGCATGGACAGCGATCAATCCGCTGGCGGTCTGTCCATGCTGGCCAACATGATCGGATTCCTTTTCTGCGGCATTCTGGCCGGCCCAGATACCCTACCCCGGTTCTGGATCTTCATGTACCGCACCACTCCCTTCACCTATCTCGTCAACAGCTTCCTGACCACTGCGTTGGCCGAGGCACCCATGCACTGCGCCGCCAACGAACTGCTCTCCTTTGCCGCCCCGCAGAATCAAACATGTGCCCAGTACATGGCGCTCTACATGCAGAATGCTGGCGGGTACCTCGTCAACCCGGATACCAGGGGCGGTAGCAGTGAGAACTGTCACTTCTGCGCCCTGGATAACACCACCCAGTTCCTCAAAAGCGTCAATATGACCTTTGACAACCGCTGGCGCGACCTGGGCATCTTGTGGGCTTATATTATATTCAATACCGCTGGGGCGATCTTCTTTTACTGGCTTGTGCGTGTGCCCAAGGGGAAGAAGATGAAATCATCCTAGATTTCAGGGTCCTGAAGCACCGCTGACCGAAGGGCTTACTATATATTACGTCCACTGAATGACCTGTTGGTCACTGACCCTTTTTTGCCTTGGTAGTACATTGGTAAAGTCGATGGCCTGGTGCCTAACATTCGATGAAGTTTGGACCTTTTTATTTCCTATGCTTTAATATCTTTTCGTGATCCCCAATTTGCAATATCTTTCTTCTGTTGTCAACGCTAATCTATTTAATGTGGGCTGGAGATGATTATGTATTTTTACCGGAGTTTGCCTTTTAGTTACATGAGTATATGCTAAATTTATTAATTTACTATGATATGTCTAATACCTGTCGGAGAAAATGCAATTCGGCAGTCTTTTGCTGATGTAGTATCAACTATGTCAAGATCAGGGATTCCCGACCTCTTCAGACCTCTGTGGATTGACTAAAGTACTGGCCTTATCTGTACCGTCTCGAAAACTCTCACAGTTCGTTAAAAAAGGTAATCCCAGCTATTTCCCTCAGACAAACCAAATGGCTCGATTTCCCTGGAGTCCTAACACCCACTTGCGAGATGCTCCGTTGAAATTTGTATCGGAGATTCTTCTGAAACCTGGGCGGCCGACGTGTAGCTGGCAATCTGCGTATCTTTGTGAGTAAAGGTGTGCTTGTAGGTAAGAGGCAGTATGCTGTTCGGGGGGCTTTGACTCTGGTTTCCTTGTCTCGCGCAGGGCCGAATAGCTCCAATTTACAATACACTGTAGCAAAAATGGCCTCAAATAAGATATAAATCAGGTACCACCCCTGCAAAATCACGCATTTGAGATGTGGCTACTCTGCCCCTTCGCAGTCGGAGAATAAATCAAAGCGGAAATGGTCTCAAACGCTTAATTTGCGCTTTGCTGTGGCGACTTTGGCGAGCAGGGACAGGAGAGGCAGAGGGTCTTAAGTGTATCGTGATGTAGCCGCCAGGTCCCGCGAATAGGCCTGCCGGACCCTATGATTAGTCATGTAGCGAATTTCGGACCTCCGCGGTCTGTCAGTGGCGGGGAAACCCCAGATGTTCACGGCCCGAGGTCAAGCGGAGCCCTTGTTATTTGTTTCTCGGCTCCTTTTATTATTTATGTAGTTTCTTTCTGTTTCAATTCACCAATTGTCTGTTCTTCCAATTATACCGTCAATCATGTTCCGCTCGATACGACGTTTGCCTCGACGCGTTCCCGTTGTGTCTACTGTTTCCTCGCGGTCATTGCGACCTTTCACATGCGGTTATACTCGGATGACACCTGTACAGCCCCCCGTATCCACCACCCTCCCTTCAGACGCATACCAGCTGCTGTCCACCCAAGAGAAAGCAGGGGAAGCTGAAGACGCACTTTACGACCAACAAATTCGCGATGTGGAATCATGGTGGAATTCGCCTCGCTACGAAGGCATCAAGCGCCCTTATACGGCGGCAGACGTTGTGAGCAAGCGCGGCTCCTTGCAACAAACATACCCCAGTTCTTTGATGGCGCGGAAGCTTTTTAATCTTCTCAATGAGAGAGCAGCCGCTGGTGAACCCGTACATACCAGTGAGTCCTTAGTCAATTGAGTTTCAATTGTGACAAGTCTGACTTCGGTTCTACACACAAGTGGGAGCTATCGACCCCGTCCAAATGACGCAGCAAGCCCCCAACCAAGAGATTCTGTACGTCTCAGGCTGGGCTTGCTCTTCGCTTTTGACAAGCACCAATGAAGTATCCCCCGATTTCGGCGATTATCCCTACAATACAGTTCCAAATCAGGTCCAGCGTCTGTTCAAGGCCCAGTCTATGCACGACCGGAAACAATGGGATGCAAGGCGGAAGATGACCCCGGATCAACGGAAGGCTACACCTTATACTGATTATATGCGGCCAATCGTTGCGGATGGTGATACTGGGTACGTTAATATAACTGGGATTGAATGCACGGAAGTATTACTAATTCTCTCGGTGCAGCCATGGTGGTTTATCGGCTGTTCTCAAACTCGCCAAGCTATTTGCAGAGAATGGTGCCGCGGCCGTTCATTTTGAGGATCAGTTGCATGGTGGAAAGAAGTGCGGCCATCTTGCAGGCAAAGTGCTCGTCCCAATGGGTGAACACATCAACCGACTGGTCGCAGCTCGATTCCAGTGGGATATGATGGGATGTGAGAACCTTGTTATTGCACGAACAGATTCCGAGAGTGGACGACTCATCAGCAGCGCCATCGATGTGCGTGATCATGAATTCATCCTTGGTGTCGCGGAAGATGTGGAACCACTGGCCGAGACCCTCCAAGCCATGGAACGAGAGGGTGCTTCACCCAAAGAAATCGACACATTCGAGCTTGACTGGGTTAAAAGACACAAGCTTGTTACATTCGACGAAGGTATGTTTATTTTCTCTGTATCTCAACGATCTCATTTGCTAATAATATGTAGCTGTCGATGCTCATCTTGAGGCAGAGGGCGCTCCCCAATCTTCCCGGGATGCGTACAAGGCATTTGTTAAGAAGAACCCCGATCTTTCCTTCTCCCGTCGCCGTGCCCTTGCGAACGATTACGCCAAAACACCTGTTGTGTGGTCATGCGATAGCCCGCGCACTCGTGAGGGATTCTACCACTATGCCGCAGGATTCCCTGCTGCGACCAAGCGCGCGAAGGAGTTTGCCCCTTACGCAGATCTTCTTTGGGTTGAAACCGGTGACCCAGATGTCGAGAAGGCCGGAATGCTAGCCGGCGAAGTGCGGACAGCGTACCCAGGCAAGAAGCTTGTTTACAACCTCAGCCCTTCATTCAACTGGATGGGACAAGGATTTGATGAAGCTTCCCTCAAGTCCTTTGTCTGGGATATTGCCAAACATGGGTAAGCCCGTCACTCAATTTATTTCGCTTCGATCCTAGACTAACTTTTTCAGATTTGTCTTGCAACTCATTTCCCTGGCTGGTCTGCACTCTAATGCCACCATCACTACCGAACTTTCCCGTGCGTTCAAGGACGAGGGCATGTTGGCCTACGTTCGTCTCGTCCAGTCCCGCGAAAAGGATCTCGGTGTCGATGTTCTCACCCACCAGAAGTGGAGTGGCGCGCCTTACATGGATGGTATAATGGGCGCTATCCAGAGTGGAAGTAGCAGCAGCAAGAGCATGGGCGAGGGTAACACAGAAAAGGGTAGGTCCCCGCGCACCAATTTCAGAAAGAATCAAATTGCTAACAACAAATCTTAGGTTTCTAATTCCGATTCAAATCTATTTATTGTCAGCTGCTTGTTTGTATTAGCGATTATTTGATCCTGATGTACATCCAAGAACAGAGACAATATGACATGCAAATGTTACAACTTTTTTTCTATTTATCTTGCAAGCTATCCATAGAATGACAGAGAAGAGAAGCTCCGAGGTCTTACGCTCGGGGAATATATTCTCTCCAGATCTTGTCCAAGCAGCACATTGTGTTCAAAAGAGTCATATTCAGTCCAAAAAATCGACGAATGTACAGCTTTCAAGTCAGCTTAACCAGCCCAACCCTGAGAGTACATATAGATTTATAGTCTATCCTCAAGACTTTGCTTTGGGCGGAAATATTGCCTCATCAATTATTTTACTTGCACACTCCCTCAGTCTCGTGAGCAAGTTGCTGCACAATAGATTAGTCTTTTGATGCCACGATATTTGCAGTAGAACACAAGAAAGCATACCAAACAGAAGCCGCTGATACAGTTTCCTGCGGTGCCATCGCCTTTGCAAGGGTATCCGGCGGCAATCTGAAGAATTTTTAGAGACTTGAATGGTGTCCGGTTTTCATTTATTTGAACTTACCATAACAGGGGCCTTGTCTGCGGCCAAAGCAGCGCCGATACTGGCCAGGAAAGCGATGAAGATGAAACGCATATTGAAATTGAAGGGACTAGGTCTTGATCTTGGAAATGTCAAATGTGAAATGGTACTGGGGGATTCCAATCCAAGGTCAACAGGATCATAGTATTTATATGTGACACTTCCGTGAAGACATTCGGAGATGAAGCTCAATCGGGTATATTTTTGCTCCAACAATCCTTTTGCCTGCCTGCACATAACCAGATCAAAAAGCAGACCTTGGAAAGGGGTTCGATTTTCTATTTCATTTTGAACGTCAACTTTTAGATTGCGTACTACTTATTGGAGATTGGTCCATGCTGTGACACTCTAAATGCGCCACGGCCGAGTTCAGATTTGAGGCTTCTTTTAGTCTCTTTTTCCCATCAAGCCACCGACTTCATGAATTTATTACCAGAACCGTTTGTTGTGACTCGGTGGAATAGCATATTTAACAATCGTGTTTGCGAAGAAGTATGGTCTTATGATATTGCCCGTGGCAATATGCACCGTTAGGATGATAGCTCAACCTTTTGATCTAGTCCACGTGGGCTCTTTAGGCTTATAAATAATTTAACATTGCTTATTCTTCATTGAGCCTATATTTCTGTAATCGGGGTATTAATGATGGTCTCTGTACGAATCCAAATATCCCAGAGTTGCCAAAGACCGAACAAAAAGAATAAAATTGCAGTCGTCTGTTCAGCCTTACCGCAGGTTATCCGTATTTCCTGATCCCACTACCTACCTAGGTATATAATCCTCAGCGGTTACTGTTCAAGCTTGTGTTCTGCTGTTGAGCGCATCAAGAGGTGAGCAGGGAATTTACAATACATGATATATGAATTAGAATTTTAAAAAGCCCCAGGGGAACTAATTGAGGTCTGGTCTTGGATTCTGGCAATTCCGAAAACAAAAAGCGACTCCAAGGGAGACTGCTGATGCATCATGTACCCTAAGTATAGGCTTCGTATTTCTTCTGTTACTGGATTAAGATTTATTTGTGGGAGTTTAGTTTATTCCATTGGATTAATATAACTACACAGAGGAACCATTACTCTCGAGGTAAGTACTGGTTACAGCCGTCCTCTTTAGATGATCATATAGATTGGGGCCTCAGACGGAAGACTAGGACATGCTCGACGGTAGTAGAATGGGAAAAAAAACTTTGATTCTGTTAATAATTGGTGGCAAGAAAAATGACAGTTCAGAATTTTATTGTACATTGCGTAGTTGCGCCTATACTTTCGAAGGTATCACATGATGAAGAGGTCGAATGGTGAATCAATAGGTCAACAAAATTGGAGTTGGCCATTAAAACCCCATAAGACGTTAGAAACAAATAGACCGAGAAATAAATGACAGCCATCAAGGTGGAAAGGGCTTTGAGCAGAAAGATTCACCGGGGAGATGGTTAAATTCTGATGAACACGGCAGAGGCAAAGAGAGTTGAAAGAAGCATAACAGCCTTCAAGCTGGTATGGGCCTTGGGCAGAGAGGCGCTCGACTCTGAGGTATTTGTGCTAGTCGCAGCGCTGTCCGTCGAGGTACCTGATGATGTACTGTCGCCGGATGATGTCCTGTCGGCATTTGATGTAGAGGTTTCCATTCTCGTTGCAGTCGGGTACGAGGTCGCCGTTGCAGTGGCATTGGTTTCTCCATGGCACCACACGTCCTCCCAGGCGACGCCAGCTTCGTAGAGGCAGTCGGTAAGCTCTTGAATTGACTGGTCTACAGCCAGAGCGTAGATAGCACAGTCGTGATTATAGGAAGTTACTCCTGCGGGTTTCGCGCATTTTGAAATGAGTCCTTCGTACTTGTCGGTGTTGGGAACTCCACATGATGCGTCTTGGACGGGAATTTCGTACTGGGCTGGGGTTCCACAGGCTGTGCTAGTTGCCATAGCTCCAGTCGTCGTTGTAGTTGCCATGATTTCAAGGGAAAAGAAAGAATTCCAAGAGGTGAGGTTTGATTTCTGATTCAATCGAGTCACTCGTAGGATTCTTGGTTGATATGAGCCTTTATAGTCGTTTGACCTTTTTTTTGGTCTGTTTATTGATTGAACCATAGCCTGGAGTATTTTCCGTCTATTTTTAGTCGGTATTGCCAGCCTTCTTATTGCGCCAAGTGTATATGAAACTGCCAAGGAAAGTCCTACGCAATTAATAAATAAGGAAGGCGTATTCCGTATTGCCGCCACAGAGACAGACAAGAGAGAAAAAAAAAAAAAGGTCAATGTAAATCAGTCTGTACTTTGTAAGGGGCTCCCAGTTCATAGTGGGTCATCAGGCTGAGTCGGGCTGAGCTCTTAGTATCCGGGAGGACCGGCACGAAGTAATATGTGACCCCATATCATTCCTGTCACTACTCTTGACCAGTAAATCCACGAATTGTGGATGAAGTTTTTGTGGGACATGTAATAGTGCCGTCGATCAGTTTGTCGTGGCGTGAGGGACCGCATGCGACCCGCTTTGCAATAATCCTGTCATCAGAGCCATATTATTCACGGTTTATGAAGGACCGAACGCAATTTCGGATTTGTAAAGTCATTGAGTCTATCTCATCGATTTCGATTTTATCTACTTGCATGCCGGGCGGCCGAAGATCATACCATTGGTTGCCATCCTCGGATAGTGCGATATTGAACTGCGACGTTCAAGTCTTTTTTGTTCCGAAGATGCCAAAGGATGTTCGGTGAACTACATAGATCTTTACCCATGGTGGCCTGAAACCACAACATCATATGCCCTCTATGGAGAGCACACCTTTTGGACCTTCCATACGAGCCGAGTATCCGCAAACTAGTAGATCGAGCAGAAGAAGCCCTTCAGCGCTGGCTGAGTCAGCCAGCGGAGTGTCCACGGGTCAGATGGTTCTGTGGGCTAAATAGTGTCCCACATGGCGCCAGGAATGGTTTCCTACTTGGGGCTTTGGTAGATGATCAACGATCATGGGGCGACCGGAGTCAACATCATTATCTACCTGGTGAGAAAAGTACCAGAAAGTTGTCCTTTGATTTTGATTTTCTCTTCAAGCGTAGTCACTAAGTATATAGAATTCTTCAAGGCTGTAGAAGATGAAAAGAAATCAGGGCTGGTAATGAACACTGGCAGAGATGTGATGAAGCTAAGGAGTTCAACAAAGCTAAACGAACACTGAAGATGGAGATAGATGAATATAAGACAAAAGGGCTGCACAAAGACATATCCGAGAAACTGAACATGCAAAAGGGAATTACCCAAAACGAACGGCCAACTCTATGCTTTGAGGGATAAGGTTGAACCCATAACATAGACAGGAAATTCGAATTCTCGGATAACTGTATGAAGCTGAATCAGAAAGGTAAGTAAGTATTAGCGATGATCGCAATAACTGAGGGTTAAAATATGTATTTACCTTGCAGTCTCCAACAAGAAATACGAGCCTTAAGTTAAGCTTGTACATTCTCTTGATGTTGCAGATTTCGAAGCTCGAAGTGACCTCGGGAGGCAGTCGGTTGTTGGACCATATGACATCCCTCAAACTAACCATTGAATCTGAAGGCGCATCTGGAGTACCTATTGGATAGTTTATATTGGCCATGCTTTGTACCATCCACGTGCTAGTAGACGACTCCGATGTTCCTTGAGCTTTCACTTGTGTCGTTTCAACCAGCATGGTTTGAAATGCACTCAGCAATACATTGCACCGCGCATCTCCATGCTTCGTGAGTTTTATGCTCAAAGGTATCGAGCGACCTAGAAGAAGACAAGGTCCATTTTGAAGCTCGGTGTCGATTAGGAAGGATAAAGGTGAATCACTGTAGATGATTTGCGGGTTGATGCTGATAGAGGATTGTTGTTTCAACGGCTGTTGATTCGGTATCGGGTCTGAAAATGAATGGAATATAATATTTTGAGTCTTTATAATGATCAGCAATAGGATCAACCCAGTTTTCATTGGTCGATGATTGCTGGAGCAAGCGGAGAGTTTCTTACCTTTTTCACTGTACTTTCCCCTTCAACAACCACACTCAGAGTATATCGAATCTCAGCCAGTGAGTTCGCACCCCCTGTCGACGGTGGTGTCTTCCTCAAGAGGTGGGATTTTCTTTGAGGCCAACACCCTAGATTTGCACAACCAATTTGCGGTTTGTTTGACCAATGGCCGGTTTTGTAGCATTCGATCACTTGTGGAATCTGAATATAACTCAAAATATTTCAGTCAGGAAAAGGCTAGGCATAAGTAGTTGGAGTTCCAATAGGTACTGACCGTAATAGAAAATTGGAGAATGTGATCGCCGCTTCCGATAGTTACACTGTTTGAATCGTTTATCAAATGGTCCGAAGGAAAGAGGCGGTGAGATTTTTTGAACAGCTGAGAGATTTCTGGTGTTAATAACAATAATCCAGATGCAATGGTCGGCTGAGATGGCCATTTTTGCACATACATTATGGGTTTCCGTGCGGCTGCTTTTCGTCAGCCGGGATGTGGCTGTTCCCGACAAGTTGAGGACAATCGTTGACAAGTCGGCCGGCGACTCGGTATGCAAGATTACCTCCCCCGATACTGTATCTCGATGAGGATAGGCTGAATCTTCCTCGTCCAGTTTCAGCTCCACTTTCATCGATGATTGTGAGAGCCCAAATGAGCTCATTGTGAACAGCATGGGGGAAATGAGTTGGGGGGTGTGTGTAGTATGTTGGAAAAGAAATTATAAGCAGCTCTCGTGCTTATCCTTAAAAGGGTAGATTCCTGCTGTTAAAACACCCTAGTCCTCAGTTTGGTAAGGAAAGAATGGTACATGAGAAAACTTAACTGCATGTCTCGCTTCAAAGTGACCCCAGATCTCGGCGTAATCAGAATTTTGCCCCTCGTGGACTTTGGGCGGAATAAAGTTATTTTTAGTCGGTTACCAAGGCAATTCACAAATGCTGAAATTGTTTTAGTACAAATTAAAATGATTGAACCCTGCCCTCGGTGGTGTCTAACTGGAGTCCCTAAAATATAGTTTGCCAATTGGCTGAACTAAATGAATAAGGGTGTTTTAGCGTCACGCTAAGGAGTATGGCATTGCATCTGATTGGCCAACCTATCTAGAAGAGATGTGGGGTCCCGACTTAAAATAGCCGGGTATCTTTGAATTTCCAGTTGTAGCGAGAGGTAAGGTAATTCTAAGCTTGCTAATTCTTTCATCTTTGGAGAGAAAGAGGAAGACCCTTCGATTCTTTCCAAGAATCAATAAAATTTCATGAAAAACTGTACTGCTCGGCATACCTGTGCAGCCTGTCATACCTTAATCAATTTGAACCGGCTTGGCATCAGGGATTTTGGGGATTACATCTCGGGCTTCCAGATTACACAGTCCCAGTTATTGTTCTACATTGGGTCCAGACTGGTACACCATGAATCCTTTTGATCGGCCTTATTCGTTTCATTATGCACTGCAGGGGGATGAAAGCGAGGCCCTGAATGATGGTCATTCGCCCCAGGTAAGTGTATATCAAGTGGAAATTGCTTGATCTCTCCGGCCATGCGGCAAGCCGAACTGACATTCCCGGTCGCTACCAGAGTACTGGATTCCCAAATGAGCAAGGTGTCTCCCTACTCCATTCGTCTCATTCTTCTGCCCTATCTCCCAGTCCCTTCGAAGACCCAGTCTCTTCGAGTGAAGTGACTCGTCGACCATATCCCCCTTCATATGCCGAGGCTCCCAACCCCAGACCACAGTCAATGGAATCAATAGATCTCCCTGATCATATCAGATTACACAATCTTTCTAACCAGGACTCCGCTGTTTCCTCTTCCAAGGACTCGGGGCCACGACACAAGGGAAGTAGCATCCGGCGGTACCCAACACGGCGAATCAAGTTGACTCAAGGCTCAGTCTTGAGCATCAATTATCCGGTACCGAGTCCTATACGCAATGCTATCCAGCCCGAGTATCGAGATGCCGAGGGGGAACTTCCTGAGGAATTCACCCAAATGAGATGTGAGTTATCGTACCAATGTTCCAGACAATTCACCCCCATCATGCGTACCTGACTTTTTTTTTTCTCACTAGACACTGCTGCAACATGTGACCCTGATGAATTCACGCTTCGCAATGGTTACAATCTCCGTCCTTCGATGTATAATCGGCACACTGAACTTCTGATTGCCGTCACATACTACAACGAGGATAAAGTACTGACTGCACGAACGCTGCATGGGGTGATGCAAAATATCCGAGATATTGTAAAATTGAAGAAGACGGAATTTTGGGACAGAGGTGGTCCAGCATGGCAGAAGATCGTCGTCTGCCTTGTCTTCGATGGCATGGATCCCTGTGATAAAAATACACTTGATGTTCTCGCAACCATTGGCGTTTTCCAGGACGGGGTAATGAAGCAAGATGTGGATGGAAGAGAAACGGTCGCTCATATCGTTTGTCTTCCCACCTCCTAACCCTCCTGGATTCCAATACCCTAGGGAAATACTGTTCAGCTGCTGATTGTTCCTAGTTTGAGTATACCACACAGTTGTCCGTTACCCCAAAGCAAGAGCTTATACGCCCCTACAAAGACGACGCTATGAATCTACCCCCAGTACAGATGATGTTTTGCCTGAAGAAAAAGAATACCAAAAAGATCAACTCACATCGGTGGCTGTTCAATGCATTTGGGCGCATTTTGAATCCTGAGATTTGTATTCTGATTGACGCGGGCACAAAACCCGGACCTAAGTCTTTGCTAGCTCTATGGCAGGCCTTCTACAATGACAAGAACCTCGGCGGGTGCTGCGGTGAAATTCACGCGCTTCTGGGTCACCGATGGAAGAAGCTCCTCAATCCCTTGGTTGCAGCCCAAAATTTCGAATACAAAATCTCGAATATCTTGGACAAACCCTTAGAGAGCAGTTTTGGCTATGTGAGCGTACTTCCGGGTGCCTTTTCCGCCTATCGGTATCGCGCTATTATGGGCAGACCTCTCGAGCAGTATTTCCATGGAGATCACACACTGGCTCAAAAGCTTGGTAAGAAAGGAATTGATGGGATGAATATCTTCAAAAAGAACATGTTTCTTGCTGAAGATCGTATTCTTTGCTTCGAGTTAGTCGCCAAGGCTGGCAATCAGTGGCATCTCACATACGTGAAAGCGTCGAAAGGAGAAACAGACGTCCCGGAAGCACCAGCAGAGTTTCTCAGTCAACGGCGGCGATGGCTGAATGGCTCTTTTGCGGCATCGCTATATTCAGTCATGCATTTCAACCGGATATACAAGAGCGGGCATAGTATTGTTCGCTTGATAGTACTTCATATCCAATTGGTTTACAACATCTCCCAGTTGCTTATGACATGGCTTTCACTCGGTAAGTCGAGGGTTCCCTTTGCAGCTTAGATGAGTTCTATACCAGATCACTAATATATACTAGCATCCTACTGGCTCACAAGTTCCGTTATCTTGGATATTGTGGGAACACCGAGTCCGACTAACAAATTCCAAGGCTGGCCTTTTGGGAATGATGCTACCCCGATTATCAATAATATATTGAAAGTTGGTTATCTGGCATTCCTTATGCTTCAATTCATCCTAGCTCTCGGAAATCGACCGAAGGGGTAAGTAGTAGCCTAGAGATAGTTGCTCCCTCTTTCGCTTTATTGCTAAGATTCAATCGCAGATCCAAATTTCTGTACACGCTCTCCTTCCTCTACTTCTCTGTGGTCCAACTCTACCTCCTGGTTTTGTCGTTCTATCTCGTTGCGCAGGCGATGACTCCCGAGAATCTCAGTTTTAATCTCGATGACGGCTTTTCGACATTCATATCAGACTTTATTAATTCGACTGGTGGACTGGTTCTAATCGCCTTGGTTTCAACATATGGCATCTACTTCCTCTCTAGCATACTCTATGCTGACCCTTGGCATATGCTCACCTCATCCTGGGCGTATTTCCTTGGAATGCCTTCTACGATCAATGTTCTGATGGTCTATGCATTTTGCAATTGGCATGATGTCTCGTGGGGTACAAAGGGATCAGATGCGCCCGAAAAACTTCCCTCGGCGCAAACCAAAAAGGACGATGAAACGCCTTTTGTTGAAGAACTGGACAAACCTCAAATCGACATTGATGAACAATTCGCATCCACGGTGAAGCGGGCCTTGACCCCCTGGCAAGAACCGGAGGAAAACGAAGGGGTGGCCCTAGACGATTCATACAAAGCATTCCGAACGAATCTAGTGTTGCTATGGACCTTCAGTAATGGTCTTCTTGCGTTGTGTATCAACAACCTCAGCATCAACAGGCTTTGCTTAACGGTAAGTTTGAATTTAAGTTCTTCCTATTATCTACACACCAGCTGACCGACATAGTCGACATCTACAGCTCGCACTGCGATGTATTTCAAAATCATTCTGTGGGCCACTTCTGGTCTCTCAATTTTCCGATTCATGGGGTCTCTATATTTCCTAGCGAAGACCGGAATCTTGTGCTGTGTTTCCAGGCGTTGAATCAAGGCTTGGGACGGTAAAGAAAAGGATTCAGACTTGAAGAGTCATGTAGGTAGTAGTCGCAGGTTGATTTATTGAGCGCATTTCGATCTTGGGAGACTCTACTCTGTAGGTCTATTACTTTCTCTTTCTCTTTCCCTTTGTTTCATTTATTTTTTTCATTTATTTTTTTTTCATTCTGTGTCATTGTTAGATACCATGTCTCGCGATTTAGTCCAAAAAAAAACCAACCTTCAATAATAAGGGATTCCTTTCTATATTCATCATGTCATGAATACCACCCAAGGGTTTCCACAGTGGCTTACAAATTGAGATTTTCCGAGGTGCCGAGGTCCTAAAAAGGGTCTTTGACATATATAAAAGAAAATGCTGGGACTCAATAATGCCAAGTGTCAGGTATTTGACTTCTTGGTATTACTTGTCTGACTTGTCTGATTTATATATGCGTAGGGTTAACCGGAGAATAATGCAGCTATACGTATGGAGTACATATATGTGGGATATGTCTACCATTGTAATTTATGTACCTGTGAAGTACTCCAGATGTTTCAAATATCCCCCCCCAAAAAAGAACCCCCCAAACATATTCGCCTTCATCAGACAATTGTAACTAATTGGACAATGTAATGAATGCCAAGAAATGTATGATCCGCCCCGGAGCCATTAATGCTGCCTATTCTGCCCAGAGGTCGGTTCGCTCCGCTGGACGAAATTTTCGGATTCAATTGTACTTTTTTATTATTTTTAGACATCCCAAGGCTGAAGTCACCAATCTTTTACTCCACTCTCGCTATAGCCTGATAACTGCATCATTTCAAATCAAGTAGAAAGATGTCGGCCGAGCTTTCACTTGAGAGACAGGGGCCTCAATTAGTGGTACGAACATCATCTGAAACCCCAACTTCGCCAGATACTAATCGCACCTGCAGTGTGACCTCTGTCATTCACGCAAGGTAATATCCCTTGGGAAATATCTATTTATATAAATATACATATATAAATATACATATTCGGGTTACAATTTGCTAAAGCAGATACACAGGTCCGGTGCGATAGGCGCGATCCATGTGGCAATTGCCAGGATGCAGGAATCTCCTGTAATCGTCGGCGGGCTGTGAAGCGCAAGTGTCTGAGTACTCGCCCTCAGAGTAATTACACCCGGAGCTCTTCCCGCAGTTCCCGACGAAGAGGAACACCTGATCATCAACTTGATGAAGGTACCTCGACAGATGAAGTCTTACCGGTCCTGCGCTCTAACCCAGGTCGTAATTTGAACGATCCACGTGGGGTCAAAACTGGAGTTTTATATGATCCGGTTTATGATGCGCAGATGACGATTCAACACCAACTATGCCATTTACCGGGTCTCACTCTAGACAGACGTAGCGTGCTGGAAACAGCTTTATCTGTCATAAGAATATTGTCTGACAATTCGAGATCACTGGTACAAGATAGTCTTAACGATCATCAAGAGGCAGTTACCTCTCGAAGTCCCTCTGTTGAATTCCTTACCTGGATGTTGAAAGGTACGTCGATGTTTAACTATCTGAATACATTACAAATTTGACACTGATCATCGAACCCCGCAGATATCCGGACGGACAGATTTGGACTTTTTGTTGTGGATTACTTTAGACATATTTCAATCCCAACATTGAAGCAGATGGGACTTTCACTTCTTCGCAACAACATATCGGGTCGTGAATCCATCATCTACACCGTTTGCGTCAATTCTGTGGCTTACAAGTTTATTACTACGGTTGTAAATCTTGAAAAAGACACCGACCTTGCCCTCGAGCTAAGGAAAAATGCGACAGAGTATCGATCAGCAGCTCAGGCTGCATTAAAGCAGATCCCACTGTTAATACCCCCATCCCTTGGGTTATTACAGGCCATCATATGTGGTGTAAGCCGAATGAATCCCCATTGCTATTCCCTTTCCTGGCAGAACTAATCTATCTCTAGATATTTCTTCACCAAGGGTCTGGAGACGTCGATTTAAGTGGAGACCTCACCAAGGCCGCCTGTAACACATGCATTGATTTGGATCTTCAAACGAAGGTTCTATGTGGAAAGGCAAGCGAGGAAGAGCTTTTCTGTTTTCTTTGGTGCTACACTCTGGACAGAAACCATGCATATAAATCACGAACTTCACGCTGCCTTCTCGATGTTCAACTACCGTCCTCTTTCAACAATCTCTATCCAAATTACGCTCCCATGGCCGAACATTTCTTGATTTATCTAGATCTTGCTCGGGTGCAGGATACAGTGGTCTCATATCTACCCGATAGCTCATTGAGTCACCAAAACCCGTCATTATTATATGGTACTGGAGAATACATGTTGATACAGATGCAATATATCGAGCAAAGAATGAGCCATGTGAGTCATGATACTTTCTTTTTCTTAATGCACAGTTTCTTAACCAAGTACAGATGGCTTCATTGTCGGTTGAGTGGAAAGGACTCGACTCCCAGACCGAAATGTCAGCTCTCAAGTTCGCCTATCAATCAGTCATGACCGGAATCCTATACCTCCTCCAATCCGATCCCGGTCAAACAACCCGCTCAACAGATAGCTACCTTCAGTCCGCGCGCCGGGAACTATCAGCGCTTGTTTCGATGTGTCACTCAGCGGAGAAGCAAACCGCAGTCAACTTTTTGAACTGGTAAGTACCCCAAAATGCCACACCAGGTATATCTTTTCATTTCTAATATGCATCACTCAGGACGATTCTGCTCTACCCAGCGACGGCGTATCTAGTCCTATTCTGCAACGTTGTTGCGACCTCCGACATCGGCGATTTCAACCTCATGAAAGCTATCGCGGATTGTCTAGCTCAAACTGGAATCAGCTACCCACTTGTACAATTACGTACACTCTACCAGAAATTTCTGGGTCTTTCTCAGGAGTTTTTCAATGATGAGCGCAATGCGCTTCAGAGAATCAGTTCACCTCAATTGGGAAGTCCGCTGTCTAACCCGACTGGAAACCCGTTTGCGATTACGTGGGGTGCAGATGATTCGGTTTTCAACCAGTTTGTTTTCACTGGAGCAGAAAGCTTCTCTAGTATGCTGAGCATGCCAGATATTGATCCATCTCTGCCATACAATTTTGATTGAAGGAGTGTATAATACCTGGTGTGTTGGTCTGGGAGGGTTGGTATGGTGTTCTTGTATTAGTGATATACACGGGGCTTTCATGGATATAGCATCAAATTAATTGTTCAATTTTGGTAAATAATGATATATAGACCTAATGTTTGTTCTCTGTATTCGAAGTTATATTCCTGTACGTACAGGTATATACCGTTGGTGTTAGGTACGGTCTTGCGGTATATGACAACGGGTTATATATTCCCGTTCTATTTTCCTATTCTATATATTTCAATGGTACATCTAAAAATCCAAGGTATCTTCAAGATTTCTTCAATATTTGCTTCGAATATTATGTACACAGACAAATATATATATCTCTATAGAATTACTGACACCACCGATCTCATAAGGATCAGCGTATGATATCTAGCGTTTCAATGACTTTTGTACAAAGGTACATACCACCGAAACATATCCGGAACGATGTTCATTCCTGTCATTGAAAACGACTACATAGAAACATCGCATATCAATTCTGAGGGTAATTTCAGTTACAAACCAAGAGCCCGAATTGAAGATAAGGGCATAAAAGCTGAGATCAAGATAACAAGAAAGATGTCGAAAGCAAGCAATACCTTACAAGGCCGACTATATTGATATAGATGGCCGTCAAAGAATTACATCAGAAGGAGAACCATCAAAGACAAACGAAATCAAGAGCAGAGACATTGCACAGCTCAGAATCAGCTTAATTGGGGCGAACACATGGGAACCCAGGGTGGCGGATATACCCATGGTTTTGAAATCAAACAAGGGGAGCCAGATAAACAAAGTCGTGATGGTGAGAAGAATCGAATCATAGAAACGTTGCGCCGCGTATCAAGAAAAGGCAAAGTAGAAACACCGTTTTCCCATCACAAAGTTGAAGCTGGAAGGTAAAAAGACACGAACTCGCTGAATAACGGACAAGACATCATCGGTTGACGAGGGCATCGACCTAGTTGACACGGAACGAGTCGAAGATGACTACATGACCAGTTAGTATGAAACGATCGCAAAAGAAAGGATTGAAGAAGCCTACCTTCATGACCTCTGCGACAACCGCTGCCGATCCACATCAAGGTGTTCAAGAATGTGTATCGCTCATCGCCTGTCTCCATGGACAAATTGACCCGGTACTTATAGCTGCCGGGGTTGACACCATCTGCCATGTTGGCATCGATAACCTTTTCGAGAACATCCTTGGCGCCTGTCAACCATCCTTCTGTGCGCACAATGATAAATGCGGGCGGCTCATCGACAGTCTGAAGAATGTAACTCGCACGAAGGTTGGTAGTAGAATCCTTGGTAACGATCTGTGTATCTTGACCACCGGGCTGTTTTCAAAAGTTAAAAGACTGAACATGGGACGATTGGAGTTGAGATTCAGCCTTACCAGAACGATACCCTTGCCCCATCGACCGGCCCATTGGCCGCCGATGAAAGAAACCCACTCTCGTTGGCCCCAGATGCTGGGACCAACAGATACCTTGGGGTTCATTTTAATGCTCATACGGAAATCCAGCTCCAGTGATGGCGCGGGGATCTGAAGTGATCGGGCGACATCGCCTTCGGGGAATGTGTGGAGGAGATTGTTGGCGGGGATCGAGTCTTTCATCACGCTGAGATAGGTGGGGCATTCGAGCAGATGTTGGCGCTGACGACTAGTATTCTTCGCACGAACTTGCTGGCAGTAAATACATTGAACGGACAAGCACTATTCCGCATTGTTAGCTTGTATGTTCCAACATATATGGTAGAGTTCCTTTCTCGTACCTTGTCTTCTTCTTTCGCGCGGAACTCGACGAAAGCTGCGTGGACATCGTCTAGTGGGGGTGCCGGCAAGCTTGAACTTGCTGTCTTAGCCTTTGGTTTGGGAGTCGGACGCGATGGCACAGCGCTTGACGGCGCGGAGGGAGGACCGGTGGGCGGAACCGGAGTTGCCATTGTACCGCGATTCTGGAGAGCCCCCAGCGGGGTCTGCAACGGAGTAGCATGAGGGTTGACACCATTGGTCATGAGAGTGCCGTTGGGAGTTGGGATAGCCCCAGGACCAGCTGGACCTGACGAGGTGGTTGTTGGGCCATTGGGAGTTCCGGGGTAGCCATTGGGAGGACCGATTCCGTTAGGGGCGGCTTGGGCGGGCTGGGAAGGCTGAGGCGCGTTGGGATGACCGCGCAAACCTGGACACTCAAGGAGATGTTGTTTCTGTCGCGAAGTGTTCTTTGCTCGAATTTGTTGACAGTATATACACTGAACGGAGAGACACTAACACATGCATAAACCCCAAAACAGGTTTTCGTATGTTAGTGACGAACGTCGTAGGTGAAATATTACGAAATACACAGTCACGCACCTTGTCATCTTCCTTGGCGCGAAACTCGACAAATGCCGCGTGTACTTCCTGGTCGACGGTGCGACCCATGACGAGCGGAGTAAGGAGAGCAATAGTCTCTAGAGCAAACAAAGAGGAAAGAAAAAAAGAAGAATGGGTAAAGACGCGTATAGGTTGTAAAGTTGGAGGGGTTAGGGGAGAGGAAAGAAAAGAAAATGGAAAGACGAAGACGGGAGAATACGCGGGTTACGCGCCCTGCGTAATTTGGAGCACTGCTTACGGTACCTACCAACTGTATGTATATTATTACTGTGTACCTATATGTATATAGGTATATTCAACGTTGTCTATTAATCTACATATTTAAATCTATTAAAATACGTTATGATATAGTGGTTTTACTTAGTTGTCTCCTTCATCTCATACTCACCACCATATTTGATGTGGTCTAACTCGAGACATCAAATGAGACCACCGGTCGGGTCCCTTAGCCAAAATATATAAGAAACAGATTATGGAATAGTTGCCTAATAAAAAGCAATTCTAAGACCAAGATACCTTGAATAATCCCTATAGATAATCTGCTATGAACCACACTAAAAAGAAAACAAAACATTAACTTATAATATAGTCCTAGAGGTGTAAGCCTACAAGCCAATCACCCGAATCGGAGAATTCAGGGCAAACGAGGCACACTCGGATTAGGAGACTGCTATGATTGGATTTGGAAGACAATTCTCATGAATCTCGCACATTAAGCAGAAGCAAGAAAGGCAGAGATAGTAAGATATTTGATATTTATATACTTCCGTTCATTTCCCAAGAGTTCGCGATCGAAACAGGAGGTATTATTACTGTTACTGCTGGACGTCTCGTATCCCATACGCGATACTGTCAACTACATCTTCAGTTACAACATACGGGTTCCTGGTAAGATTGGGTTATATATACGAGAGATCGAAAAATAAAGATAAATTCATGACTGCATTGTAGATCCGTTTCAATGGTCTTCAGGTCCCATACATCCTCGTATACCTGTACCATATGACCTTTTCTCCCTTACACTTCACTGTAAAAAAAAGTTTCTTCCATCTGCGCATCCCGGTTAATGTGTCAGCACAGATCGCGTCAATAGGTTCGTTCATATGATCAGCGCTCGTCATAGTGTGTGTGTGTTCATTATTGGTGTTTTATTGCAGCAATGGAAACCAGTCGCGCACCACTCTGAGCATAGCCCCCTCATACTTTCAGTCGCATTTCCGCGCTTCGGTAATCCATCATAAATCAGGTGTTCCCGGTCCTCAACGTCATTCGTGATCGTCATTTAGACCTAGTCAGCACGGTTCACGCTCACATTCCAGATAATCGCAAAAAGATTTCGCCATAGCGATAGCAGACTGCCCACTCAGTGCTCTCGTCAATGTATTCGTCCTGGTGGACATGCAGCACACCCTTTGTAGCGAGCGTGAGCACATTCATCAAAGCCTGAGTCGCGATAGCCCGGGTCGTACTCCCAGGAGGAAGAAGACTCGCGAATGTGGTCTGACCGAGTCTGGGCGCGACCGGGCCACACACGTTGCTGTTCGGGCTTTGCGCGTTTCCTGCTTTGCTATCGTTACCAGTACCCATCTTGGTCTTCATGAACTCTATGAAATTCAGGCTTTCCCGATCAAGAGTTGACTTGGCACGTTCAAGAGCAGACCGCTTGCTTGGCGAGAGTGAGCTGATATTCTCGCGGTCGGTTGCAAGCTCGCCTTCGAGATAACGGGTGAGATCTAGGTCATCTCCGAAATCGCCCAGGAGCTCGAGGCCAAGTCGGTCTTGACCTCCAAGATAGCTGCGCCCAGCAAGGGGACTGGCGCTCGTGAGACGGCTGCGGCCCTTGCGTCCTTGAGAAGACAGTTCGCTAACACTACCGAATCGATTTCTCTGCCGAGAGCTTTGAATAGAAGCGGTGATGTTCCATGGCATTTGGGAAGAGTGGTCATCAAATAGACTCGAAGGAGCATCACGGCCGACTTCAACTTCCATGTTAAGACGTTCGATGTTCTCACGGCTGAGATGCTCCGCTTGTTCATCTCTCGCTCGTACTTGACGTCCCTCTGATCTTTCATCGTCATCTGCACTGCGCTTTCGCCCGTTTCGCTGAGGGTATCCACCAACGGCTGCAAACAAATTCTCCCCCGAGTAAAGGTGGAGCGGATGCAGTTCACGGCCCATCCCCAGTCCGATTCCAACCGAGCCGATTCCCTGACCGAAAACCCAGAAAACAGCGTTCTTCTTCGAAATGGTTGGAATTTTTTTCTGCTGCTTTTGCTTGAGTGCTTCAGCCATGTTCGCAACGTATTCATTGTTCCATTGAGCCAGCGTCATGTTTCGAAGAGCCGTAGCATCGTCAGAGATGATTTCCTTCGGGCGCCTAATTCGACGGGTCCTCGCGGCTTGGATGTCAATTGTTTCTTCAACCCCATCCAGTCCTTCATTCATCTGGAGAATCGTCGGGCCTGCGGTCTGAGTGTCGAGCTCTATCACGTCGTTGGTCTCGGCCACTCTAACATCCTCGTTGTCAATCTGCATCTATTGAGCATAGTCAGTGTACATCTTTTTTTAGTCTCGATATGGATGTTTTATACTCACTGAGTCTTCATAGAGCTGGCGTTGTTGGTCGTCCATCAGTCCTTCGCTTTCCCTCGGACCAGCGGTGGACTTCCTTACACGAGGGGACTGCCATCCGGCACCGAGCTCGATAATATTGCCATCCTCGTCAATTTCAAAGTCAGGCTGAAGGAGAACACCCTCTTCATTGCCTAAGCTTAGACCCATGATGCTGCGCAAGGTATATTTCTTCTGCGCAGACTCATGGGTCTCATCAAGGCCAATGATAGTACCATCTCCTAGAATATCATCTGAAGGGAGCTCGAGGTGCAAGCTTGAAAGTTGCGAAGTCCCAGACAAGCTGTTATTGGGCGACTTGATCCAGAGACCACTGGGTTGGCTTGAGCTATCGTCAGGGGTGCCACTGAAGTAGGACAGGTCAATTTCAAGTCCTGGGAGGGCTGTCTCGGGCAAGAAGGACGGGTCATAAGGTAAGATGAGATTGCTAGGCCTAGGATGAGGTTAGTATTCGGCCAATATCTCGAAACCCGATGCCCCCAATCAGTGGGACCCACTTGGTCTGTCCGGCAGCGGGATCAAGCCCACTCGCCGGGATGATCTTTAACTTGGAGACCATCTTGTCATGCATCGCCTGTGTGTCAAGCAGCGTGTACCCACACTGTTGATTATACACTCGAGAAACTCCGTAGCTAACATAGGCAATTTGTTAGCATACTCATAGAGACACAACTGAACGGCAGATCTTACAGCAAGCTCCCCTGCAGTCGAAGGGCCATGGGTGCGTCGGGATTGATGATAACTCGGCATGCATTGGGGACATCCACGTCCAGGATGGCTTTTCTGTTCAGTCTTCTGGAAATGGACCGGGATCCCAGAGTTGCAACTAGCCTGTGGAGAAGGTATTATTAGTACTGGCTGTGAAATCGTGGAAGCCCTGTGTTCTTACCATATTGTTGCGACACCATGCTCTGGCGAGGTAAGGACTGGAATGTGACAAGTAGGTGAGCTTTCAATCTGAGACACTGATCGCCTACAGGAGTCTTTGGACTTACTCTCATGGCTGTAGAACATGCTGGTGGCGCAAGTGGACTCGAGTGACCTCCAGGCCCTCGAGTCTCCACACGAGTTTGATTTTTAGATGCACGTTAAGCGTCGTGTGACCAGGTTGAGCGAAGTCTTTTTCGGTGGGAGTGGACGTCGGAGAGGAAGATATTACAACTGCAGGTTGGCTGCGGCCTCGAGTTTGCCCATAGGCCAGAGTAATATGCGGGTCTAGAGTAGTTGTAGGCGAGAGTAAAAGGGATGATGAAAGTACCCTTGATGGGAATGGGTGACAAGATAACAGAAAACGAGGATACAAGAAAGTTAGAAAGGGTGGAGAGTTGGTGTATGAAGAGCATGTGCAAGTCCCAGCCTGAACACAAGACCCTTGAGGCGAGATGAACAGATGCGTTATGCATCCCAGCATACGGTCCGCGCTTACAGCTATACGACTGATGAGTTCGGGTTAAAGGTTCCCATGTTCCCATTAACATATATTCTTCTCTAATTACAATCGATTGGGTTCCTGGTTCTATCCAGTCGTTCAATAAATCAAATCAACTCGTATATGGTCCTGAGATAGCAAACACTCGAGAGGGACGTGTCAACCCCCAACATTAGAAAGAAAAATTTACTTTTCTTGAGACTCTTGAGAAACCATATGTCAGTTGAGCACAAGGGGACGAAAGACCATGAGCCATTCGAACGGGGGAAGCAAAATTCTAGGGAGCAAAAATGGAAGAAGACCAACAGAAACAGCACTCTTTCGGCACAAAAGTATAAGCGTAGACACAACCAACTATGGAATATTTGAAAATAGATAGGAAGCACCCAGAAATCTCCAACCCAGAGCGATGTATAGGATGCACGGGGGTATGAGACAAAAGACATGCAAGAACAACACACAAACACGCCTTGTTAACTACTCATCACGGGCTTCGAGTGTGAGCTTTTAATCAAGAGGGATACCCTCGTACTCGGAGTAGCCCAGAGCCAAGTTCATGTTTTCTATTGGCTTGGTTAGTATTATAGCCGGTGAAGTAGATGGATTCAACACTCACGCAAGCACTGGGTGGCGGCACCCTTTAGCAGGTTATCAATGGTGGCACAGACAACCACGCGCTCGCCGCTAGAGTGGACGGCAAATCCACCGATCTCGACACCGTGGCGGCCGGCAATGTCTTTGACAAGAGGTGCTTCGCCCACGATCTTGACGAGCTTCTCGCCAGCGTAGCGATCCTGGTAAAGGTTACGGATATCGCGGGAGGTCATCTTCTGCTTCAGAGGAATGCTGATGGAGTGCTTGAGAGAAATGTTAGCAATTGTGAGGATCAATGAGCGGCCATTAGGCACTTACGGAGATACCCTGGAACCAAACCGCGACGTGAGGAATGAACGCAATGCTGGTGCCCAGCTGTGCGCTGATCTCACGCTCGTGGATGTGGTCAGTCAGACTATAGGGGATGAGGTTGTTGGTAAGGAACTTCACGTCGTTCTTGGGGCTGGGCTTGGTACCCGCGCCGGAGTATCCAGAAACACCGAAGGTGGTGGGCTGGCCGCCAAGGAACGGAACAAGAGGAGCAATTCCGAGCTGAGCAGCGGTGGCGTAGCATCCGGGGTTGGCAATGCGAGTAGCCCGGGCAATCTTGGACCGCTCAACCAGCTCGGGAAGACCGTAGGTCCAGTTGGGGTCGAAGCGGTAATCCGCACTCAGGTCAACAATGACGTTACCAGTCTTGGAACCCTCGTCGACAGCATCAACAAAAGGCTTGCAAATGCCGTTAGGCAAAGCCATCACCCAGCAGTCGATGTCACCATTGGCAGACATCTTGCGGACATCTTCAGGGCTGAGATTCTCGTAGATGATCTCGCGCTTCTCGTAGCCTTGGAGCTTCTTACCAGCCAGCTCGCGCGATGAGACGTGACGAAGGTCCATGTTAGGGTGAGCATTAAGCAAGTTAATCAGGGCCTGGCCAGTGTAGCCACGGGCACCAATAAGAGCAACTTTGGCTGGTTGGGTGTTGGAGATGTTCTTCTCTCCAAGAGGAGGGTTGGGGTTGGTAGTGGCATAAGTACGGAAGGAGTTAACGGCAACGGCGGGACGCTTGGCACGGGTCATGCGCAGAGCATTAGTAGTGGTTGAGAACCCACGCTTCTGCTCAACAGAAGCACCGCTAGCACCGAAACCCTTGCCAATGTTGGCAGCAGCCTCAGCAGCGCGGTGAAGGCGTGCCTCAAGGTTAATGTCACCGAACATCTGGCGACCGTGTGCGTTGAACTCCTGAACCAGCTGCTTGACTTCCTCGCCATTCTCGGCGCCGTACCAGAAGAGGACCTGGCCATCGCGGCTCAAGCTACCATCGGCCTTATCGAAGAACCAAGTCAGGTTCTCGTCGTCCTCCTTGACGGTCCACGCCAGCTTAGGGAAGTCCTTCTTGATGCTGGCAAAGACGTTGTCGGCAACGTTAGTCAACCAACCAGACTTTGTAATAGTGAAAGTGGCCAAGTGAGCCATCTGGGAGTTGGGCTGCGGAGGTAGCACAACGCCCAGGGCTTCCATGGGCTCATCGTAGTAGATCTTGAAGTCCTTCTCCTTCATGCCCTCGACGTAACGGTCAACAACGGCACGAGCATCAAGACCCTCACGATCACGGACCAGCACCTCCTTCAGAGCATTCATGTCATCAAACTCGGCCAGAGAGGTCTTCACGTGGATCTTGTTACCGCGGCGGATCAGGGTACCAGCACCGGAATCGGTGAAAAGTTCCTTCTGGAGATCGGCAGGGTGGATGATTGCGACGCTAGACGAGCGAGGCAGATCGTTGAGGAGCTCCTTCATCTCCTTGATCTTCAGGCGAGTGCCATGGCGCACCCACCACTGACTCATCAGGTGGTCGTACTCCTCGTCGAGGTTAATGGCGGAGATCTTCTCACCGGTGTCACCGTTGAACAAACCACCCTTCTCGGCCAGGTAAACGATCTTGAGGGGCTGCAAGGCGCGGGCAAGCTCACCGGCAGCCACATCAGCATTGACATTGAGCACCTGACCATCGGGGGTCTCGGCCATGGAAGTCAGGATGGGCAGGCATCCAGCGGCGATAGCGGACTCAATGGGTGCCTTGTCAACACCATTGATCTTACCAACCAGGTTGTACTTGGGCTTATCGAGGTAATCGGCCGAAAAGACACCCGCGGTAATGGGACGGGCACGGATACCGATGCGCTCGAGCTCCTCAACCAGCTTCATGTTCTCCTCCAGGAAGAGTTTGCGGGCGAGGGCCAGGGTCTTACCGTCAGTCACCCGGATTCCATCCTCGAACTGAGGCTCAACACCAGCCGCCTCCAACATGCGGTTAAGCTGGGGGCCGGCACCGTGGACGACGATGGGGTACAGACCGACATGGTTAAGGAATGCGAGGGCGGATGACAAGGTCTGCAGGTGCTCGGTAATAATAGCACCACCAACCTTGATCACGGCGAATTGCTGAGAGGACACGGAGGTGAAGTGTGACAGGTACTGTTGGACCTCGCGCTTAGAGCCAATATTGCTCAGGAGTTGCACGACGGTGCTGCGGGTGGAGGTCAGGTGAGGATCTGTCGAGCGAGAGTAGTTGCGAGTCTGGCGCAGGGAAGCAGTCTTTGCAGCTGAGACTCGCAGAGCAGTCGGTGCGGAGAGAACACGGAGGGGCTTGCACGAAGCTCTCCGCACAGCGGAGCGAAGGGACATCATATTAGCAACGCACATGCGGCAGCCTCAATGGTCTCACGGTCGGCCCTGGGTGGGAGAGGCCCCAAATATGTATAAGTAGGAAGGGTAGGTGGAAGGTGAGAAAGTGTTTGAGTCAAGAGATATTTTTCAGATCAGCGGCCGGGCCTCGGAGCGATAACTTGGCCCAATGACGGGGAGAAGGCGGTGGGACCCTTTTTTTTCTCTAGCGAGCGATTTATCTCCGTCCTCTTCTTTGGAATTGCGATATTTGATTTATTCCAATAGCTATTGTTACTATATTATATATTTTATTTCATGAATCTATATTCCTACTCTAAAATTGAATTATCTATATAATTTCTCTTCACTTCTTTTATATGGGAACAATATTAACATTTGTGTGGTGCCCTAACCGGGACCAAAAAGATCCAAGTAAAAAGGAAAATTGAAAAACAAAAAGAATCTTCACACGCTTTCCCTCGGATATCAATCTCCTAAGACTTCCTGAAGAGTCCATTTACCTCCGAAAAAAGCCCACTTCTTGCAAGGTTCTGCTCCGAGATCTTGAAACGTGATCCTGCTTAGGATTAGTCTCAGTTATCTGATCCTATTCCTGCCTCTCACTCGTTGCGTTGGGTCGCCCGCTATCCACTTCCCTCCACCCTGACTGGATCCAGCACCCTGCGCTTCCTGCCGACAGTTATATACGAGGGCTTCTCCAAGTGGTCTAATTGAGTAATTGGTGGACACTTATTCTCGTGCCAAGAGTTCCCAATATTATCTGATTTTTCCCTCCTACTCAACAGCCCTCAAGAGGCAAGGCTTGCGTTGCTGTACTCGTATACCGAGAGATCCACGGTGGGAACATTTAGATCAAGTTAGATTAATCATGAGACACCTGATGCCAAAGAATCCGTGCATACATCTGACATAACGGGTCCTATAGGATGATCTCATCGGCGAATTGGAGCTTTACAGGGCAGATGGGTCTTGGACCACGTGGACTCCCAAGTGTGTTAAGCCATCAGCGGCCGTGAGGACAGGGAAATGCCCGCCTATACTCCTGAAGGCTGTCTACCAAATAAGAATATAAAAGGGTAGCCGATCAAAATAAGAAATCAGATCAGACAGAAGGCTCCAATCAACCACCAGAATCAGGCGTCTTTCTTTCATCGCCACTTGTGCATACCCATGAGCCTAAAGACCGAGACTCAATCGCCGAGGGTATGCACAAGGGTGGAGGTCGACTTTGCCCATCCAATTGTGGATCTACACTAGTGTTCTGCATTGCACAACTATGATGCCGTTCAGGCACCCCAGCATTGGGCATTCAAAAAAAAAGGCATAATAGCACAATAAGGGAGATTTATTGCAGTAAGAAAGCACCCGAATGGCAAATGTAGTAAGCATACTTAAACACGGCGTCATGGAAGTATCATTTACATCTTCACCCGTCGACCGGGTCGCGTGTAGCGACACAACCTAAAATCGGATGAACTCGTTTCGTTGCACGGAAAAGTCAAAGAGGATTTGGTCATTGAAAACACGCCCAGAAAAAAACAGCAGGAGGTATTAGCGGCTGCGAAGAAAACGTAAAAGGCCACATGGCCCCAACAAACAACAGTAAGCCCAGTAAAATTCAAGATTCCATGTCCAAAGAGAAGTCGTAAGTCGCGTGCAGTCGGGGTGCTTAGTGCTTGGTAGCAACCACTGTGTATAGTGTTAGTGGCGAGCTGGGAAATCAGGTAAGAGAGGGGAATGCAAGGGAGCCCTTACCGGCCGGCACGATAATGACAATCAGAAGGACAATCACGCAGATGACTAGACACACGCGCATCTTCATGTCCTTCCACCACATGTCTTTGCGAACGCGATTGGCGCCTCGGCGGAAGCCCTGGGCTGAGACAGCGAGATTATCGGTCTTGTCCTGGAGAGAATCCAAGTTCTCACCACGTTGGGAGACCTTGTTGATGTTTTCGCGCATCACACCGACGGTATCATCGATTTGCTATAGAAGACACCACGTTAGCCCCATTACGAGAATCAACTACCCCAGCCTTCACATTTCGATAGACCAATAAGCATGCGCCATCCACAAGATGACATTTATCTATTTTTTTCAATGACTGGCGTCGCTAGGCGCCAAGAGATCGTCGAGGGTTAACTCACTGCTTGCAAAGCGGCGGTTCGCTGGTTGCCATTCTGGCCGGTGGCGGGCGCTCCAGCGGAACCGGAGGGAATATAAGGGTCGTAGGGTTGTTCAGTAGCAGCCATTATGATAGTCGTAAAAGAGTTTGAGAGAACCTCAGGTTTGGATGGGCGGGAAATCGGGAGTGTCTCAAACGACCTCGCTGGAGCACTAGGGGTTGCGCTGTTTTGATGGAGAAGCGCAGCAAATGGGGGAGCCTGGCGGACAGAAATAAAACAGACAGTGGGTCTGGGGTAAGAGCTATCGTAGGATGATGAAGGTTTGGATGTAGCGCAACGGCGGTTGACGGAGGAGGGAAAGGATTAACGGTTGTTGTCTGGAATGAAGCTGACAAGGGTGACTTGCCGCTGAGGCGGCTTTGCCCAGAGTCACGTGTTGTGGCGTTCCCAGTACAAAGCGTACTATGTAGGCACCCGGGTTCAGTCTTTGGGGTCTAGAATGATAATTATATATTTTCAAGTCTATAGCCATTGGAATTTATTCTTTGCAAAGGGTCATTGGCATCATTAATTCACCAAGATACTTCCGTGGTGTCCTTCCAATCTTGACGCCAGGGAGATAAATTTTATTTACCGCAAACAGGCACAATGTGCGGGTCACACTATACATAACTACACAGCAATAGCAAATAGTACAATGTATCCATGGATGTAGTACGCTTCACATAAGCAAAATCCATGAGCTCTGTTTACTGTTCTCGATGTATAAATTGTCGCTGAAGCTCTTACTATATGGCTGCCTGTTGATACAAGTGCCGATAGAAGCGTCCACGTTGCTCGAGGAACCCACCCGTGGACGGGTGCTATTATTAGTAAGTCCCATTAGGTAAATAACATTTTTCCGGGCTCGTTGATGCATTTGATTTAGGCGCTTGGCACAATTATATAGTCCACAAAGCTTCAATATAGAAAAATCCAAAGGGCAAGCTGATCGGATATTCATTTCAAGGTACTGGAACCCACAATGAGAACCCAGCCATTATCATACGCAAAAGCTAGGGAACCCTTATAAAAGGCTGAGCAGCATTATCTACGATACGCCATTGGGAGCCATAGAATATTCTCGCCTCTAAAGACTACGAAGTCTTTTATTAGAGAGATTCGAGGGTGTTCCTCCAGGGAAAAATTCAGGTTGGCCCTCGAACGTCTGCTGCTCTTTTCCTGTTACTACTGTGTCCCACCTGACCTTGATAATCTCACCATCCGAGTCTGGGGCCAATGATGTTTGACGCCTGTCGGGGGATGTCATTGTTACAATCCAACCGCAATAACTGAAAAGGTCCCGTTGCTCCTTACCCGTTTTCGCGTCCCAACGCCTGGTGGTTTCGCCTTTCGAACCAAAGGCTGAAAATATCCGATCATCGGAGAAGGAACCCAGTCCAAGCCAACCGCAATGATCACTAAGGACCTGTCGCTCTGTTCCTTTTATGCGTCCCGGAGCCTGATGGTTCTATCTCCCGAGGCTGAACTTGGCCATTAGGCGAGCAGGCCACTGATAGAACGCGATCGGAATGCCCAATTAGAACCTTTTGTTGTTTGCCTGTCATCGTGTCCCAGAGCCTAATAGTATGTAGTGCAATCCAAAGAAGAGTCCCCCATGTTTACACGTTAAAGCTACATATCACCCTGCCGTTACGTGCTCGCGTAAGTTATCGACCATCTAGCCTTAGACGTATTAACTAATGCATAATGAACCTTGTCTACTCCATACTTGTTTCACTAATAGGGAATAAGATATGGATAACTGTTTTTCTTGTTAGCCGCCGACGTCGCCGAAACAGGGTACTACATCGTATGTACATACGATTTAGTAAACCCATTTCTGTTCAGCCAACGATAGTCTACCGAGAGCTAACCAATCTCAAGACCAGACTTTTAGCTTCGAGTCCCATGCAGCTCCGTGTACCCCGCAATTTCCATGTCTACAGGGAAGAAGCATTTCAAGGGTTTCAACTCTATGTAATGAGCAACAGGGGAGATGAGCCCTAAATTGGATCCACTCCGAGATTATAGTCTGTGTAGGCTATCTATGCATAGAATAGTCTTCTATACATACTATATACGCCATGACTTACCGTCCGCTGTTTGACTGCATTTCCTCCGAATTTTGTCTAGTTTGCACGTTATCATCGATCGAAGTCGAATCAAGGCATCGTGAATCTTGCTGTCCCATAATCTTTCTTCTCTCCACGCTGATTCATATTGGTGCCACTGCGTTCATATTTATCTCTGTATACCATTTACTACATACATATATTTCGTAGTAAGCTTCTAAAACTCAATATAAGCATGATATATTCCTCACATTTTTCGTGGCATTAAACATTATGTTTTGTTGTGATCAGAACATATATATGACTCTGTAAACACCATGTCACGACGATCAACATCCGCCAATTCCAGAGATTGCCGCTCTATTTTCGAAAGATGTTGTAATTTATTCTGTAACAAAAGCAAGAAATAAAAACATGGCGCTTTTAGTGCCTAGAGGTCAGCCAGGAGATGTTGAAGGATCTTTCTGGCAAGCACCGCAAAAAATTGAACGCGGAGCTTTGAGCATATTATTGTATCAACGGTATCCGAAGACCCCAACACTATAGTAACCAATAGCATCGCTATGCTCAGGATTATGCAATGATAAATCTACTTGTTGTTGGATCCGGCCTATGTATACTAATAACAGTGTACTTTGTGGCGGCTTAGTGGGCACCAACGCAGCGCGCAACGCAACATGTAGACCCTGCAACGCGCGGACTCAGTGGCTAAGCAGAGAGTTTAGTCCACCTGCTAATGTGCATTGATCCTAGGATTTGGCTGGCCAAGCAAAGACATAGAGGAAACCTCAAGATGGTAACGTGTAGATATATGTGGTGTGACTACGGAGTGGAGTAGCATGAGATTTGATTTGAAATTATGGTATTGAAGAGACACAGTTCGGAAGTCAGTAGTTGTACATTGATATAAGCCTCAGATATTGAGGCTGTAGATGCAAAGATGAGGGAAGAGTCGCAAACGTATCGTACAGCCAATAAAATCATGACATACACCCAGGGATATCCAAGATTATAGATAGTGCAGAAAACTCGGGCTCTCGAAGCCCCGGATGAAAAAGAGTAGGTGTGGGAATAACAGTCGAATCAATGACAAGAGAGGCGGAACAGGTTCGGAGATGTAGGTAGATCAAATTCTCTGTGCGGATACAGCATGATCACAGATCAATGGCAGAGGCACGATGGGTTAGTTAGGGGATCATTTTTCACCCAGCATCTCTTTGCGCATCTCCTCCCGTTGTGTCCGCGTTTGTTCCTTCTCCTGCGCGCGTTGCGCCTCTAATGCTGCTGTCTTCTGATCTAATTCTTCTTGAGCGGCGTACCAGACTAAAAAAAATCGGAGTCGTAACCATTAGCCGTGATGCACTTTTACGTCTGAGCGAACTCGACTTGTGTATGACATACTGGACTTATCTGACTTGGACCAGTCCTTCAGCTTATTGACGTAGTCATCGAATTCCTGCGCCTTGCGCTGCCCCTGTTCGGCACTGCGCTTCTGCAGATCCGGGTTGTATCGCTTCCTAAGCTCTTCGTCGGAGGGTCGGATATATTCAACAAGAGCGGGGCCACCGACGACCATGAGAAGGCCACTGTAGTGAGAACCCAATGTGAGCACGAGTCTTTGTGACGGTGTAGTCGAGTATCATTTACCCGGCGATGGTCTTCGCCCATAATCCGGCACGAGACATAATTCCAAATTCTAAGCGCGGACACTGATTACCGATTGAAGGCTTCGGTCTGACGATGTGGTTCTCGGATAACTCGGGGAGATATAGAGATGCTGAGACCGATGGAGATCATCAACATCATCGCGGCTCTCATTTGTTCTCCGAGGCGGCGTGGCGCAGCTTATGTGGCGCAGCATTACGCTTTTCCCGATCGAGGGTGTCTTCATACCCCGAGGTCTTCTGTTTCTCCCCACACTTTTGTCGACTTTGTTCCTTTTTGTTGGTAATGACGTCTCAAGGAAGTTTTCTGAGACAGATGTGGACTCTTCCATGTTCTCATGTGCTACCCACCTACCTACATAGTCCATATCCCCGAGGTACTACTGGCGTGTTATACAATCTTGGGCAGCTCTCTAGGGTGCTGCCCAATTGCGCCAGATCCACGCGCGGGCACAACTTTGGAAAAAGGGTCTAATTTAGTAATCATTGCGACATCCATGAGGTCGGCCACCTGGGCAGCTGTAGCACTGGAATTGGATACCAGAATGGCAAGTATTTCAACGTGCTATTACTATGGAGTAATGGAGCGCAATTGGATGACAACCAAATCCCTTCAGAATTCAAATATTGATTGTGTGAGCCTGCAGGATAAGAAACTCTGCAGGACCCGGCCCTAGGCTCGAACCACCCCTGATCGTCAGGCACCGAGAGGGATGAATTAATTCTCAACGGGCTTGACCTGCTACAATAATCTATCGTATAATAAATACTAGCATGTCCACAACGTATAAGTATTCTAGAGAGATTGTTGGCACAACTAACTCTAGGTACCCAGGTAATTCAATTAAAGCGTTGATAACCGAATATACTCCGTACAATATATAGGAAAATGGGTCTATGCCAATCAGAAAACAAGCCAATATAGTGAACTAGTCCTCTAATAGGCAGAAAAGGAGATTAAATACCACAAGTAAAAAGCACAAAATGTATCCATTGTCTCTCCTGGTGGGTCAAGGGACTATTTAATCTAAAGGTCACCTGCTCCGACCGCCCCTAAACCATTCTGCCCCCCGCTTGATTATTTACTATTTACTCTGAACTTCTTTGAACTCACATTGGATCGGTGTGGCTCCCGACCCCCTCAGGTGCTTGATCAGCTTGCGATAGGCGCGTTGGTCATTCGAAACTGAGGTTTGGCTTTGCGCGAGGTAAGGATCAGTGTGGAGTCCCAAGGCCTGGTTATCTGGAGGACATCCATGGATCGTGAAATGGATGAGCTAACTCCAAATTGCAGCCCTGGAGCCCTGGAGTTTACCGAACTGTTTCCTCCTTGCATACGAATACCCACAAGATTTACACGACAGTAAACGACCATCGGAATACTACTTGAATCACCACTGTATAGTACGCTTGTCGGCTTGCGCCATGTCATACCCCCAGCAACATCAAGCGCAGAGGCCACCACCTTTGCGACAATACGATAATCCCCCTCCACGTTCCGTAACGTCGCCAGGAGGATATTCGCATGATGGCTCACACGGAGGATACAGCGACAGTAGCATGAGTAGCCATAACTACCAGCAGGCCGATCTGGGCTACGACGATGCAGCATACAGTCACCAGTCCAGCTCCTCTAGTTCACAGCCATATCCTGCTACACAATCCCAGCCGCGCTCGATGCGACCACCGGGCCCACCAGGACCGGGAAACGGACGACCTCCAGGCCCTGGACACGATGACCGGCGAGGCTATCCTCCTGCCGGAAGACCGCCGCCACAATCGCGATCAAGAACACGTATGTAAACCCAGACACAGGCCCCAAAGCGCCTACTAACCGACTCGAAGCTGGTGCACGCCCACCTCCAGGCGGTACCTTCGACAATCCTTTTCCCTCCTTCCCTAATCGAGATCCAAGAGATGCGAGGACGCCTAGAGACCCCAGAGACCCTAGAGACACACGAGGCCCTAGAGATCCGAGGGATCGGCGCGGTCCGCTACCGAGAGGGCTAGAGAACGATATGGCTGCAATGGATATTAATGGCAGGGGAGGCCCGCCCAGACCGCAGACTTCAAATTCCAACGGAAGACGGCCAGATATGCGACCGCCTCCACGCGGGCCTCCCGGTCGGGGTCGAGGTGGCTATCCAATGGGTCCAGTGCGAGCCGCTAGCTCAGGAAGACCAGATCGACCTGATAGAGACTATCCAGACCCCATGGGCCTATCTATGCCTCCTCCGCCAACAAGAAGTGCAACGATGCCACCCGCCCAAGGCGCACCACTCTACCCAGGCCAATCGACCTACCAAGAAACAGATTATCCAGCGAGCCCCGTAGATGGACCTCCCATGCGTCCTAATACAGCAGAAAGCATGCGATCCCCACGATCTCGTGCCCCCAACGATATAGACCCAAGCCTAATGATCCCAGCCACTCAGTTGCGGATCCCTCCCGAACCTGCCAATCGTGTTTCATATGCACCCAAGGAATTTCTGGACAGTTATTATGAGCCCGGTGGTGCCGATGAGCCCGATATGCCTAATTTCGATGCCATGCCAGACCCTCAGCAGCATGCTCCGATTGATGAGATGGGCCTAGAAATAACACCGATCAAGAGACCAGGCTATGGTCCGACTCCTTCTCCCGGAGACTACTCGTATCCCCCCAACGGGGTGGAGGATATGCGCTCCCATTCTGAACCAAACTTCCAACAAGCAGAAAGTGCCAATCAGTTTCAAAATGCGGGATTCCAGTTTGGCATTCCTGGAGAAGCTTCCCTTGCCCCCGCTTTCGATCACCCAGGCCCCGCTGGATATGTGTCGAATGGTTACGAAGATTATGCTGGTTACTCACATGGTCCTTCCCCGGCCCAGACCCACCAGCCAGGCAATTCCCACGATCAGGGCGAGATGCCAGAACCTCACCATAATACCGATGCTCTTCCTCGCCATAATTCTGATGCTCTTCCTCACCACCCAGCCCCGTTCCGCCCAGGCCATGATCAAGCGTCAAAACCTGCGCCGGTTCGGCAGTACAGCGCCCCTGAATCCATCCCAGCCCCCGCTGCTCCACAGCCAATGACGGCGCCTAGTGGAACAGCTCAGACGCCTGTCACGATTGAAGAGATACAGCGGCTGCAACAGCGGGCGCGAGGCAATCCTTCTGACCAGAAGACTCAACTTCTACTCGCTAAAAAGCTGGTCGAAGCATCCACAGTTTTAATAGGGGACAACAGTAGACTTGACCCGAAAAGCAAAGCCAAGGCCAAGGAGAAGTACGTACTGGATGCGCATAAGATTGTCAAAAAGCTTGTTGCAGCTGGGTACTCTGAAGCCCAATTTTTCCTGGCCGACTGCCACGGTGAGGGCCTACTGGGACTGGAAGTCGACCCCAAAGAAGCTTTCGCACTATATCACTCCGCTGCGAAGCAAGGACATGCACAGTCTGCATACCGCGTGGCTGTATGCTGTGAGATCGGCCAGGAAGAAGGTGGCGGTACCAAACGTGATCCATTCAAGGCTGTTCAATGGTACAAGCGTGCAGCAGCGCTCGGTGATACACCCGCCATGTACAAGATGGGAATGATTAATCTCAAGGGATTGCTGGGTCAAGCTCGGAACCCCAGGGAGGGTGTATCATGGCTCAAGCGGGCAGCTGACCGTGCGGACGAGGAAAACCCACACGCTCTCCACGAGCTTGCCCTCATGTATGAGAACGCTGGCAGCAATGACATCATCGTCCGTGACGAGCAGTATGCATCCCAATTATTCCATCAAGCTGCCGAACTGGGCTACAAGTTCTCTCAATTCAGACTTGGTACTGCCTACGAGTATGGCCTGATGGGATGTCCCATTGATAACCGCATGAGTATCATTTGGTATACTCGTGCTGCTGCCCAGGGTGAACACCAGAGTGAACTCGCCCTTAGTGGCTGGTATCTCACCGGATCAGAGGGCATCCTATCGCAGAACGACACTGAGGCCTATCTGTGGGCTCGTAAGGCCGCCACTGCAGGTCTTGCCAAGGCAGAATATGCCATGGGTTATTTCACCGAGGTTGGAATCGGCGCTGCTGCTAACTTGGATGACGCAAAGCGATGGTACTGGCGCGCAGCTGGTAAGTTGACTTCCCTCAGACTGCTTTTCGCTTCAACCTCGGCTGACTTTTTTCTTTCTCTCCAGCCCAAGGATTTCCCAAGGCTCGTGAACGTCTTGAGGACCTCAAGAAGGGCGGAAGCCGAATGCAAAAGACTCGTCTTTCACGCTCTGCCGTTAATAAGCAGAGTGATGGAGACTGCGTTCTCATGTAATTGGATATTTTCGTCCTTTCGTGATTTCCTACGCTTTAGATATGGCTTGCATCCATGGATGTATGCATTTCCTCTTACGATCACCGGCCCTTGATGTATTCCACCCTGGTTAAGGACATCTCTCTTCTAGCTTTTGGACGGCATGGTTTTATTTTTTTATTTTCTCCTACCACTTTTTTTTCAACACCCTTCTCTGATTCGAATTGGTCTTTTTTTTTTGCTTTCTCTTATTCCCTCGCGCCTTTGATTCTTACTTTTTTTTTACGAACGGGATGTGCATGACTGGAACGGACACGATGAAGCCAATATCCCGGAACTGGTAGTAACATTTGTATGCATTAATAGATCGTTGAACAACTTCAATGTACTTCGTATGTGCAATGTTATCCTGAATAAACCCCTCCAGATATCCGTATATCCGAACCAAACAGGATGAATAATATTGTCAGCGGGCGGATTCCGCACAGTTTAGAATCAATTAATAAGGCTTGGCCTTATTATCGGCTCCCTGCGCTTCCAGAAGTATTTAATTAATCAGCTCTGGTTCTACAGTTGTTCCTTTGAATTTAAATATAAAATAAGACTGCCATTTGGTGAATTCTACTTCGTAGGCAGTACATTGCCAGCTCTATCTGGAACAAGCATATGTCTTCTGTTTCAAGTCAGCATAACCACTCGGAAACACGGACACCGAATTCCTTAAGCGGACGAAAACTCGCTCTTATCTCCCTTGTGACCGTCCTCGCAGCTGTGCTTATTACCCTGCTCTGCGGAGACACCGCCAATCTGTTCGGCCTCCGACGTCTCTTTGGATCTTCTGCGCGCTCGTCCGCAATACCTTTATCAGCTTCAGCATCTGTTGCGGCAGCTGCGACAGTGAAGGGACAATCAGACGCAGACACTAGTGGCCAGATACAATCTACCATGAAAACACCTATTTACTTCTTTAGCCATGGTGGTGTGAGTTATCCGTATCCTGGTTTTTACAATGGACTGAATGTTGATTTGATGCACATTAGCCAAACATCATGTACGACCTAGACCACCCGGCTTACCGCAAGCTTGGTGAAATCGGGCGCGAGATAACGACTAAGGTCAAGCCGAAGGCAGTCGTGGTATTCTCAGCCCACTGGCAGGCTGGTCGAAATACGATCCAGGTCAATACCGCCGAGAAGACCGATCTAATCTACGAGTATGTTTGATATCAAATGCTCAGCCGCTAGCCTGAAAATTCTGAACTAATTGGATTTAGCTTCGGTGGCTTCCCGAGCCATTACTATAAAGAGAAGTACCCACATGTGGGTAGCACGGAATTAGCGAACGAAGTGCTCAGGTTGCTGAAGGAAGCCAAGATCTCGGCCGAGGGCGTCAAGCGCGGACTCGACCACGGCGTCTGGGTTAGCTTCAAGTGTGGTATGTGGCAGTTTGCATCGAAATGACAATTGAATGCTGACGAGGAAAATGTAGCCTTCGAACCAGACTCAAACCCACTAAACGTTCCCATTGTGCAAGTCTCACTCTTCGGCACCGAAGACCCAGACCAGCATTACCGGCTCGGGCAGGCAGTCGCGAGTCTTCGCGAGCAGAACATTATGATCATCGTTTCTGGGATGGCTGTGCATAACCTGCGCGATCTGCGGTTTGCTTTTGGCAGTTCGACCCCGATGCCGTATGCGGTTAGCTTCGACAAGGCGCTCAAGGATGCCGTGACGACAGCGCCGGCTGAACGACAGAAGGCCATGGCTGAGCTGTTGAAGAGATCAGATGCACGCCCGGCTCACCCTTCCTTTGAGCACTTGCTCCCTATTCATATTGGGGCAGGTGCTGCGGGCGAGGATATGGGGAAGAGAATATGGACCCTTCCTGAGGGGAGTATGAGCTGGGCGCAGTATCGGTTTGGCGAGGTTGGTAATTCTAGTAGTGCGCTGTAAGTGATAGTAGCATCAATTCATCACTAGAAGTAATTGAATTGGAATTGAAATTGTTTTGGATATGAGCTTCGATTTCATCTATAGGTACAGAAGATGGGTGTAGAACGGTGGAAACGCGGGGGCATAAAGTAGAGCAGCAGAGAAACAAAAAGAAGTTATAGCTCCTGCTTAACCAACTGTGTAATGCGCTCTTCAATCTGGGTGTCCGACAGGCCTAGAATTATCAATTAGTATTGCGACTTGATGCAAAATTATGGTTAGTGGGGATAATCACCGGCCAAGGCTTCTTGCTTTTCCTTTCCGAAAGCTATTGAGAGGAACATATCGCGTTAGCTTGACTCGCTTGGCGAAAGAGCCCACACAATGGGTTTGTAGGGTTTCTGTCATACCATATCGGGCATAGACTCGTGGCTGGGTGCCCGAGGCCTCGCGCATCATGATGGGAGTCTGGGGGTTGTGCTTCTTCATAGTCGGGTAGGCGCGGTTCAGGAAAGATCTGGAGGCGCAGAAGAAGGTCAATTAGTGGACTGAACCTCCCATTCGCTTTGGGTCGGGGTTTACACACCTTGTGGCCGCGCTTGCTTCGGAGGTTTGGCAGAAGAGGAAGCGGAGCTCCTTCAGGCCTTGAGTGAAAACGTACTTGCCAGACATGGTGGCAGAATGGTCAAGGAAATGCAAAGATTGGGGAAATAGAGGTCTCGGATGAGCCACGGGAGGATGGGCGTGGAAGCAGAGGGATTGACTTGCTGGATAGTCTGCGATGCAGTGCATTATTCACGACGGCGTTGATTCGCTGCGCAGAGCCATAATCCCGCTAGTCCCAATATCAACTAGTGCAGTATGCTTACATCAGCGTCAACACCTGAGAAGCGTCATAGGTAGCGACAGCGCAAGAGAGAGAGAGAGAGTCAATGTGAGATAATTAATTCGAGTAGATGATACAAAATACTTGGAGAATAGTCCCTTCACCTTCTACAGACTAAACTTTTATCTACTGGCGGTTGTGGTGGTTAATTGCGCTATCTACCCTTCCCAACGGAAAACTCCCCCTTCACCGATTACCGGACGTGCATCCATCTTCCCTCTCACCAGAACCATCCCAGTCATCACCATGTCGTCTCGCGTTGGTTTCCGCTTTGTGAACAACACTCGCTTTGCGTTCCGCAATGCCTCCGCGCCATTCCGCCGGCCGGGTGGCCAGGGCTTCCGCTGGCAGAGCTCCGAAGCCGCTGCTGCGGAGAAGGAGAGCGTCTTCCAGCGCCTGTGGAACAGCCCTGTTGGTGTGAAGACTGTCCACTTCTGGTACGAATTACAATGATGCTGCATATTTTGTCTCTTTTGCTTCTAGAATTGATGCTAACTTCTGTCTTACAGGGCCCCGGTTATGAAGGTACGATAACTTGATTTCCTGATCTGATATGCCATCCACACCCCAAGTTACCCTTCGGAATACGATATTTCTATCAAACACACCTCTGTACCATGCGAGGCTTCTCCGCGTACCTGATGAGTGCCATGACTAACATATATATACCTACAACAGTGGTGCCTGGTTCTCGCCGGTGTCTCCGACTTCGCCCGCCCCGCTGAGAAGCTCTCCCTCACCCAGAATGCCGCTTTGATGGGAACTGGTGCCATCTGGACTCGCTGGTGCTTGATCATCAAGCCCCGTAACGTCCTGTATGTGTAACCCCAATAACAGACCCCCAGGCAGGAATGCTAACATAATGTACCCCTATAGGCTCGCCACTGTGAACTTCTTCCTCGGATGCGTGGGTGCCGTTCAGGTGACTCGTATTTTCTTATGGCAGCGCAGCCAATCTGGGTCGACCATTGAAGCCGCCAAGGAGATTGAGCACGAAGCCGCTGACTCCGTCAAGGCCGCCGGCGAGGCGGCTGAGGGCACCGTGAAGAAGGTTGTTGAGAAGTCGACTTAGATATAAAAGGGATTCTGTGTTGACGGCAAGGGAACTTGGAAAATGTTCCTAATACATCTAGATGGGTATCTACAGGGACCTCTTACCTACGCTGGGGTGAATCTTAAGGAAAATCTCGGGGTTGAGTGAGCTCGCTTGCTTGAGGTGACCGCTGTTTCATCTCCTCTGGGCTGACAATCTGGTCCTTTTATTGGACAGCCGCTGTACATATAAAGCATGTCTCAAAGTGATTGGTTACCGTTTCTTCTGCGAGACGTGGTTGAGAAGTGAGAAGAATTTCCAGTGGCTTGTCTCGTAATTCCAAGGATCCTCTATCTGGTAGTTTGCTATTCGGAAAACCATGGAGCCGACAATATCTAGCTTCATTCCTTTGAAATTGATATGGAGATTCTGCCAATTTATCCGGGATTTTCCCCCCAATCGGGAAAATCGCGCCAAATATTCCTCCTATCAGACTTGCTTGGGGACCATACCCATATTGCAGAGAGTTAATTCATCTCCGACCCAATATTCCACGAGACGGAAGCTCACCATACACGCGATGAGCTTCCCCCAGTTTCTCCACACATCGCGGAGTGGCTAGCTTGTTTCCCCGGAGCATCGAATGAACACGGGGTTGCCCCACCGCATGACGGCAAAGTGCGGTGGTTAGCGTTGAACCCAGACGAGCTAGATCAGGGTAACCGAGGAAATGCAGTATCAATGGCGAGACTATATAAGCTACCCCGGAAGTACTCGAGAAGTGTCTTCAGCAGAGAAAATTCCATATCCAACCCAAGCCAAACTCTAGATTCTCTTGACACCGACGATGAAGGTTTCAAATACTTTGGCCCAGGTCTTTGGACTTTGGATGTCAATCAGCGCTGTAGTTGAAGCTAAGGGACACTCTCGAAACGATGCGTGTCACCCGCACCATCCATTCAAGCCCCTTCCGGATAGCCATCCCAGGACTCGCACCTGCCATGTAGCTAACCGTGGCCGTGGACGCGACGATTCAGACAATGTTCTGAAGGCAGTGAGGAAATGCAACAACGGAGGAAAGGTCGTCTTCGATGCCGGCAAGACCTATACGATTGCAAAGGCAATTGACATGTCTGCCCTGAAGCACGTGGATCTCGGTACGTGATGCCCGTTGAAGTTCGATATGAAACGAGTGAGTGCTTACGCAAGCCACGATAGTGATCAACGGCCATGTCCTATTCAGTGATGACACGGATTATTGGCAAAAGAATGCTTTCAGCCATGTCTACCAAAACGCCACAACATTCTTCCAGATCGGTGGTGAGGATGTCAATGTCTATGGTACTGGAACCCTGGATGGTAACGGCCAGGTCTGGTATGACTTGTATGCCGAGGATCCCCTCATCCTGCGTCCGATTCTGGTGGGTATCATTGGGCTAAATGGAGGTACCATTGGACCTCTCAAGCTTCGTTATTCGCCTCAGTGGTATCACTTCGTGGCAAACTCATCCAATCTCATTTTCGACGGAATTGATATCAGTGGATTCAGCACTAGTGAGCATGAGGCTAAGAACACCGACGGATGGTACGTCTACTTGCATTAAACAAGGAATTAACATCAGTGACTAATACACCTAATAGGGACCTCTACCGTTCGACAAATATTGTCATCCAGAACTCTGTCATCAACAATGGAGATGGTACGGTTCCCTTTGAAAAGAAACTTGACCCGATCTGCTTTACTAACATGCCAAAGATTGCGTCTCATTCAAGCCCAATGTTACCGACATGCTGGTCCAAAACCTTCACTGCAACGGCTCCCACGGTATCTCCGTTGGCTCTCTGGGCCAGTACAAGGGCGAGGTTGATATTGTGGAGAATGTGCTCGTGTCTAATATCTCTATGTTCAATGCATCGGTAAGTTTAGTACCGCCAGCGAGAGGATTTCGTTTCTAACAATCTCATGAAGGATGGTGCCCGTATCAAAGTGTGGCCTGGATCTCCCGCTGCGCTCTCTACCGATCTCCAGGGCGGTGGCGGCTTGGGCCGGGTGAAGAACATTACCTACGACGGCATGATCATTGACAATGTCGACTATGCCATCGAAGTGACCCAGTGCTATGGCCAGAAGAATTTGACTCTCTGCAACGAGTACCCGGTACGTGTTCATTAATCTCTTCTTGTCCTTGTTTTCCAACTTGATAGACTCACTATCGCTTGTTTCTGGTTACCAAAAACTAACACATCGAACTTACAGAGCAAGCTTGTCATCGAAGATGTTTACTTCAAGAATATCAAAGGTGTCACCTCTGGTAAGCGTGATCCTTTGGTGGCAATGATTGTCTGCTCAAGTCCCGATGTAAGTGCTCGAATACCACATGTTATATATAATCCATCATCTGACTTGTACAGGTTTGCAAAAATATCAACGCCGAGAACATTGACGTTATTAGCCCCAAGGGGAAGGATCAGGTCTCTTGCACAAATGTGGGTTTATCTTGAAGATTGATGCTACGCTGATAACATGTTTACTGACTTATATCCTCTATCTCTAGGTCGACGACAATTTGCTGGATGTGAACTGTGTTCCTAGCTAGTGCAGTTAGCCCAGCTCAGCAACTCTATTCATAGTCTTGTTTATAGTCCTGTTTGTAGATAAATCCTGAGATCCCATATAAATGGCCATTTGCCCCTCAGGCACCACGTGGATGCGATCTGCAGGCATCAGCCATAATTAGTCATTCTCAACCGCTCAAGGTTGTAAGGTACGTGTACCTATACTTCACATGTTTCGTATAAATTGCCGGGCAAATTTTACCCCGCAATTTGCTCGAAGTCCAATACTTGCGACTTCAAATGTGAGTTGCACCGAAGAGATTACAGAAAAGCTTGATATACCACGATATCAACTTACCAACTCCAAACCTCCACTTCTATTATACACAATCATTCATCGGATATGACGCCCGAAGAGTTGAAATACCTCGGCGTGACTAATGGGATGGAATACTCCGCGTTCGTTTCAAGTCGCCATGACACCTACCCGTACATCACACCAACAGGAGCCGAACTCGCAGGCAAATCCATCTTTATAACAGGGGCTTCAAGAGGAATTGGTCGAGCAACAGCCATACGCTGCGTGAAAGCTGGAATCTCGAAGATTGCAATTGCAGCCCGCTCATCGCTTGATGAAGTCGTGAAAGAGCTTAAAGCAGAAGCTGCAAGCTCCGCCCTCCCAGAGCCACAGATTCTTGCATTAGAGGTTGATGTCGCATCAAAGGAGTCAGTGGAAGCTGCCGCAAGGGCAGTAAATGACTCGTTCGAAGGAAAATTGGATGTTCTTGTGAACAATGCCGGATATTTACCGGAGATGAAGCGAATCATGGAGTCTGACCCGGACGACTGGATGAGAACATGGGACGTCAACATCAAGGGCCCATATCTATGTTCCCACTATTTACTCCCCATGATATTGAGATCCAACACAAAAACAATCATCAACATGACATCGATTGGAGCTCATTTAATCACGGTTGGCGGGTCTGGGTATCAGAACTCACGGTTTGCTTTGTGCCGCTTTACAGAAAGCCTTGCTCGCGAGCACGAAAATGAAGGTCTAATTGTGCTGGCTCTTCATCCCGGAGCCATCAGGACGGAAATGGCAGACAAACTAACTGGTGTCTTCCCAGATATCTTTGTTGATGTATTGGAGCTTCCAGCGGATACTATTGTATGGCTTGTGAAAGAGCGACGTGAGTGGTTGAATGCGCGGATGGTTGATGGAACATGGGACATGGAGAAGTTGGAGGAAAAAAAGAGTGAGATTGTTGAAAGGGATGTGTTCAAGTTCCGGATTACTATATAGAGTGTTTCAATTCTATGGAGAACGTACTGGATCTGGAAATATGATGTTTGATAGTGACGGAAACTTGTCGGTGCGTACACGGTAAATTGTATCTTTATGAGACTTTCCAGGCTTTACATTCACATTCACTCGGATTGTGTACAATGCAGCTAAAAAAGAGTCACATCTCCCCAAGGATGCATTTGATGTCGGTTTATAATAGCCTAGCCTGCCTGCTTCATACCGAAGCAGAGATAGACGACACTTTCCTCCAATAGTATTCTCACATTGATAGTTGCTATTATTGAACAACTACTGCCAGTTGTCTATTCCATAGATCGCACTTATTACATCCCGTGTGTGCATGGCCGTGCATGTATATATGCACATGATACATGCTAGCTTCCCCTCGATTACGACGACATTGTTTTTGAAATGTTTCCTTCCTTTTTCTGTGTAGGACTTTCTACACCGTAGTTCCCAAACTAAATTCTGTGCGTATTATTCGGGCTGCATTGATTCCGGGGCCGCCGAAGCCATGTATTATTTAATCTCCTAATGGCACGCCCCAACGATATGCTGGGTTGAATAAATTTCCTACCCCCACTAAGATCTCTTGCTACACATCTGAATAATAGCAGAATACATTTCTCATCTTCAAAATCCAATATTATCCTCTCGGTATTCCTCAGATCAACATCAATCATGCATCCAGATTCTCAACTAGAGAGCGCTGTCAAAGATGGCTTTGACCCAAAGAGCCTCTACAGTACAGAGTTGACGAAGGTCAATGAGCCAGCGAGAACAATTCTCGAGCAGTACAGCAAGATTCCAGCAGAAAACATCTTGCAACATGTGAAAGATTTGGTCCGTGGCTGAACCCCAAACGTGAACGCCAACGTTTGCTAACACTCAGTAGAAAGATCGTGCTTTTGCAGTTGTGAGTTATACTTTAAGTGTATATTTCTTGACATCTAAGGATAGTTGGCTGACAATAAACGTTGCTTATGTGTTAGTTCCCTTATGCCTGTATTGGACAAGCCTCATTCCTCGAGCTGAGCATCGCATCGTCACCATGCTATCCCGAGATGCTTGAGCGTGTTAAGAAGGGAGACAGGCTACTTGACCTGGGATGTGCATTCGGACAGGAACTACGACAATTGGTGAGTTCTGTCGAGCAAATGAGTGACATCCGATGACTGCATCTTCTCCGTCTTGAGTAGAGCCAGCTAATCAGAAGAAATGCGGAAATTTCAGATCTACGATGGCGCCCCATCGCAAAACTTGTATGGATCGGATCTCCGCCCAGAGTTCCTTGAGCTTGGTCTTGACTTGTTCATGGATCGCTCAACCATCAAAGCCCATTTTATTGATGCGGACGTCCTTGACGATAATTCCGCTCTCGTTACTCAGCTAACGGGCGAGCTAAACATAGTTTACATCTCGCTTTTCCTCCATGTGTTTGACTTCGAGACACAGATTAAGGTGGCTAAGAGGCTGTTTGATTTGCTTGCCCCGAAGGCCGGATCGCTCGTCGTGTGTCGAGTTGTGGCGTGTCGGGATCAAGCGATAGGGAATGCCACCAACGCCCGCCTGCCATACTATTACCATGATCTGGCTAGTTGGAATCGGCTGTGGGAGTGTGTGCAGGAGGAGACGGGTCTGAAGTTGAAGGTTGACAACTGGGAACAGGACGATGCTTTGGCGAAGAAGCATCCTCTAGAAGGCATTTATATGCTGGGTTCCTCGATTCGTCGGGAGTAGAGACCGAGTGACTCGGAGATATTTGTTCGGAGAATTTGAGTATTTTCTGTCTTTCCACTGCTTGCTCAATCATTCCACACGTACAAACCCTTCTAGACTCATGCGACAGGCGATGGCTTTCATCGCGTGCATCTGTAGTATATTACAGTGAAATATACGCAAAGTAGCGTATTTGCAAGTGTATGTATGTATTTTATATGTTGTATGTAATTTTCAATTGACAACGAAAGTTTGAATCTCCTCATAATGGAACCCCACCTGGTGGCTGGCTGGATTGCTGCATTATGTATCTAGGGATGGCGATCTGAACGCTACTATGTAGACTATGATTTAAGTGGCCAGAACTAGCTTGAGATAAGCATCAATACATCATATAAGTTAGTAATTGTCATTATATAACTACACACATAGTACTCCGTACTCTATACTACATAGTATGTAGTACACCTTTTAAGGTACTATTTGATCAGCCTAGCTCTAATACATGTATTCGTACCTTGTATAATTGAAAAAGACGCTAGATTTACATGAAGGTATTACATACTATAAAAGTACATACTTATGTATGATACAGATCTAAAAAAAAAACAAAGCCCTATGTACAAGTGCAGTACTACATGTTATGTATGTAGTTAAGTAGGCAACATTGGCTCAAGCAACCGCTTGGACTTCCAGTTCTCTCTACTGAAACAATCTCTCCTAACTAACATCGATTCAATCATGGGGTTCTTTTCTAGCACACAACCACAACCTACCACCGTGTCGAGTGACGAGGTCATACCTCTCCATTTCTGGAATACTGCTTTATGTATGACCGGCACGGTGCTAGATGTCTCGCTTAAATTTGATGATGTGTTGGATATCTCAAAACTTCGCGGCGCGCTCGAGCAACTACTCGAGATGGAAGATTGGAGACAGTTGGGGGCTCGATTGCGCATGAACGTGGGTAGTTTGAGATTGATTTCCAATTTACATGGTTGATGCTGACCCAGAATGATCTGACAGAAGAATGGGAAATTTGAATATCATATTCCAGCACGCTTCGATGCCTCGAGGCCGGCATTCACCATGACCAATGCTCAGCATAGGACAAGCATTACCGACCACCCACTTGGCACCAGAATACCGCATGCAACCGAAATGCCCGCCATCTTTCCATCCCCCGATGAATTAAGTCCTCTACTACGCAGCGTAGATGCTCCAAAATCCATCAATGATTGGATCTATTCGGACCTGCCTCAATTGTCTATACACATCATCACTTTCAGCGACGCCACAATAATTACCGTGACATGGCTACACACACTGGCTGATGTTATGGGAATGACAATAATCTTGAACGCGTGGACTACTCTACTTCAAGGGAACCGAGAGGCGATCCCCAAGATACAAGGTTTCAGATCAGACCCGCTCACGCAACTCGGTCAACGCACCCCGGCGGAAAAGTACATGCACTTCAACCGTGTGTTTGGTCGGAAAGAGTTTTTGTGGTTTATCGGGTTGAATATTCTTGACAGACTGTGGTACCGCGAGGAGCAGCGGCGTACAATTTGTATTCCCGCCGCATGTTTGCGGAATCTCCGCCAGCAAGCGTCTAGTGAGCTCTCTGCTTCCTCGCAGAATCAAAAAGAGCCAGCGCCTTTCGTGAGTGAAAGTGATGTGTTGTTAGGCTGGTGGGTGCGCAGTCTGTATGGCGCGCTGGGGCTTAGATCAGACCAAACTATTCTGGTAAACAATGCGCTAAACCTGCGAACCTCTTTGCATGAATCCTTCATGTCAAACAATACTACATATATGGGGAATGCACTGTGCATGTCACCGACCTTTCTACAGGGCGGTCAAATTGCCAACGAACCGTTAGGTCAGATTGCTCTGCGGATTCGACAATCATTAGCGGAACAGCGAACCCCAGAACAGGTAGAAGCCATGACAGCACTGCAAATGCAGACGATGGAAAAGACCGGCTATCTAGCCTTGGTGGGTGATCCTCGGATGACGCTGTTGTCTTGCTCCAACTGGCATAAAGCCCGTCTCTTTGACATGGACTTCTCATCGGCCGTATTACAAAGCTCGAATCAGTCAAGGTCGCAAACCCCTCGGAAGATAGGAAAACCATCCTATGTGAATGGAGTTCAGCACTCGGTAAATTCATTCCGTAACGTTCTTTCGGTAATAGGAAAGGATGCTGGTGGGAATTGGTGGTTGACCGGTGTTCTGCGAACAGATGCATGGGCGCATGTTGAAGAACAATTACATAAATTGGGTTCGAGTTAGTTAACTAGTTAGTTAGTTGGGTCTTGTTCCAGGTGTCATAATCACTAAGCTACATGTGTACATATTCATGCAAATTTTCTCTATATTCGTTTTGTACTCCGTAGTTTAATCCTATTCGATCGACGTCTAGATCATTGTATTTTCTTGTAATGAGTGTCTTCGGAGCTGTTCAAAAAGAAATATGAAAACAAAATTAAACTACATATATATATATATATATATATATATACATATACTCAGTATATAGGGCGAATCATACATGTACATAACATAAATACATACGGAGTACTCCGTATACCGAGCATAAATATTACATACTACTAGTACATATATATGTAGTACTCACTAACAAAATTCTATATCATAATGTGCTAGTGAAAGTTTGACAAAAATCGGGAGATCGCCCGGTACATATGCAGGCTGGTTTGTGTGACGATATCATTGTTGTTGTATGGGATGTATTTGAGATGTGATAGTACATATGTATATGATCTTCAAGGATTATGATGAAATATGTACTCCGTACGGAGTACGTAGTATTTTTGATACTCTAATATCCCACTCTACTTGATTTGTATGGAGTGTAGAGTACGTATCTTAGAACAATTGTACATGCATCCTTGCATTGATATGCATATTCGGGATTTCACGGCTAGCTGAATGTTGCGACTTCTGAAAGTAAAACCGTGCCCTATACTTGAGGACACGCTCATTCTCATTTTCATGATCCTGTTGATACACTTAATCCTTTGAAATATTTTATACAAACTACCAGCAATGGAGGAATCAAGCTTGCTTTCAGCCGTATTGGAACACAAAAATGCCTTGGCATCTGTTGCGGAATTTCTACGAATTCTAGCTGGTATTTGCTGGACTTTGAACTACTTCAGCATGTTGCGCACGTCGCGAAAAGACAAGATCCCCAGTACAGGGATCTTCCCTCTCTGCAATGACATTGGGTGGGAGTTTGTCTACGCCTTTGTCTACCCAACCGCGAGTGCTCACTGGCAAGGAGGAGTCCGAGTATGGTTTGTGGTTCATTGCATCGTCATCACATATATCATCAAATATGCGTACAATGACTGGTACCATTTCCCCCTCGTTCAACGAAACCTCTACCTCGTCTATGGAGCAGTGACTATTGGTTTTGCCTTTGGCCAGTATTCGTTCGCGCGGGAGGTTGGGCCAGACTTGGGATTTTTCTATGGGGGTGTGCTATGTCAAACACTGGCGAGCCTTGGGCCAATTTCTCAGATTCTTTCCCGGAATAGTACCCGCGGGGCTTCCCTGTTGACCTGGTAAGTTCAAACCTAGATCTGACCTTTGTTTTCGTCGCTAATATGACAAAAGGCTGTTCAGAGCGATCGCTACGTTTGGTGGATTCATTAAGTTGACTATCTATTATCTCACTGGCACTGGTGCTGGACCCTGGTTTGAAAGTCCAATGTGCAAGTTCTACATTGGGTTGACCTTGTTTCTTGATTTTACCTATCCGATCTGCTACTATGTCATTCGGCGTCAGGAGTTGGCCAATGCTAAAATGGATGCTCAAATGGAGAAAAAGAACAAGGCCAAGTTGGGCAAAGGAGTATGAAGTGGGGTAGCTGAATGACAAGCTGCGGTGTGATGAGTGCGGTCTATTACTAGGTGATTTAACAATGATAAAAGTTGAGTAGCCTTCAACGGACTTTTCTTTTTTTCCTACTCAGGTGCCATTAGATTTATCCATTATAAAACGCCAAATTCAAGTAGATGCAAGTGTGACACAATACCTTAGGATGTTCAAGAGTCGGGGTATTAAAAGATCTCAGGAACGAGGAGATCTATATTGTATGCACTAAAATCAAAGGTGAAAAAGAGTATCTGTAAGGAGCAAGAGTTATGCAAATCTTGTATGGAGTACTCCGTACTGAAAATAGGGATGAGCCCAAAAAATAGAAAAAGAAAAGAAAAAAAAAAAAAATCGAATTATGGAAAGGCATATTGAAGAGTAAAGGGGTAAAACCGAATGAAACATTGCATTACCTATATGTACATATCTATCAAGTCCATCGGTAATCCCGAAGTCCGGTGATTCATAACTTGGAGATAGCTTCAGGTCAAAATATTTATCTCCGACGTTATTCACTAACATCATTTAATACAGCATTACAAGTGTTTTTCTCTTTCAAACTGCAGATATGGAGGAAGGCATGGAACCTCCAAAGTTCAAAGTCATCATTGTTGGAGGATCTATCGCTGGGTTGACATTAGCCCATTCTTTGTCCCAAGCCAATATCGACCACCTCATCCTCGAAAAAAGATCTGAAATTGCTCCCCAAGAGGGTGCCTTTATTGGGGTCTGGCCCAATGGAGCCCAGATACTCGATCAACTTGGTCTCTACCATAGCCTGGAAGATCTCACTGCACCACTAAGTCAAATGCATCTTTCCTTCCCCGATGGCTTTTCATTTAGCAGTTTTCTGCCAAAGACAGTTCACCAAAGGTTTCTTCCCAGCGTCACCTCTAGAAAAAGAGATTCAATATATATTCTGACCAGTCAACCGTCAGGTTCAAGTATCCCATCGTCTCACTGGATCGGCAAAAGGTTCTTGAGATATTATTTCAGAGCTACCCAGACAAGTCAAAGATCATTACCAACAAGAGAGTATCTGAAGTGCGGTTGTTGGGCGACAGTGCCAGCGTGGTGACAGATGATGGAAGTGTTTTCCAAGGAGATTTGATTGTCGGCGCGGACGGTGTCCACAGTCGCATACGCTCTGAATTGTGGCGATTGGCCGATAAATCACACCCTGGAATGATCACGCCACAAGAAAGGCAAAGTAAGCAGTACCCTCTTCCTGAAACGCTTTTTCTTGAGACTTGAACTAACTATTGCATTTCTTCCCACTAGCTCTTACGATTGAGTACGCATGTGTGTTCGGAATATCGCACCCAATACCCGGACTTCGAAGCGGAGAGCATATAAACCGTTATGGCGATAAATTCTGCGTGATAACCTTCCATGGAAAGGATGGTCGTGTATTTTGGTTCATTATTCAAAAATTGGACCACGTCTACAATTACCCCAATGCTCCTCGGTATTCTCCCAGTGATGCCGCAGACCTCTGTGGGAAGCTTCAGAGCGTCAAAATCTGGCGGGATATCACCGTGGGTGACCTTTGGGAGACCAAGGTAGTAGCGTCGATGACCGCACTCGAGGAAGGACTGTTTGAAACCTGGCACTTGAATCGTATAGTCCTCCTTGGGGATAGCGTACACAAGGTGAGATTCGCTAGTCGTTCTTGATGAGCTGGAGTACAATTATCTAACACTTACTCTACTTTAGATGACACCAAATATTGGCCAAGGCGCAAACACGGCTATTGAAGATGTTGCAGTCCTTGCATCTCTGATAAAGCGGGTAGTTTCTGCAGATGCCTTGCACAAGCCATCGGAGACTTGCATCGAGACAATGCTCCGAGAGTACAAGAATCTGCGATATGAACGTGTGAAAAGTACATACCAACGCTCAAGATTTGGAGCTCGATTCCATACCCGGGACAACTGGCTTAAGGCCATAGTGGGTCGATATGTGTTCCAATACGTCAACGGCCTCGTAGAGAAGCAGACAGCCAAGACTCTGGCTGGGGGTGACAGTATTGATTATCTTCCGCGGCCGGAGCGGCTTCAGACCGGGTGCGAGATACAGCTTCACAAAGGCCAAAAAGATCCTCAGAGGCAGTGGAAACTACTGTGGGTGTCTTCTCTGGCTCTGTGCTTGCTTTTCCCTTGGCTTGGGTCTTATCTACATTCAACCTTCTGGTGAACCACTTGTAGTACGATCCACTGTTGCACATCTTTGTAAAGGAACCTACGCATGAGGGATTTTATACATAAAAACAGTGTGACAGTGGCGGTACAATGAGACTTTCTATATATCGGTGATTATTTGTATTGAATTATGGGGCGTGACCAATACACACATACACATAACTAAATCATAAATTGATCGACAAAGCAAAAGCGCAAGGCAGGCTATCTGAGCACGACTTAAGACACAGAAGGGGGATGTGCATACGCGTTTGGTATACATAAATATGGGAGTAGTTAGTTGAGCTTATGCAGTAGATCCGTGTACATTCGAACCAGCCAACAAAAGCTGAAAATGAATAGAAGTCAGCTCGCCATTTTGGCTATCAGTGGAGACAATGAGTGCCCGAGGAATGGTCTCGACCGAAGGGATACTTTCGTCGTTAGACTTTATGTTTTTTAACTTACGAAGTGACTTGCGTACGATCGAGGGAGCGATGTTTACTAAAAGACATATTTCATAAACATCTCGGACCTCTTCGTCATTTGATATTCGATTCTCGACAAGCTTTCACTGTATAACTCCTATAACTACGCCACATCATTCATTCTACACACTGGTCCGGTGTGTTCTTGAATCCTCCATCGGCAAAATTTTATATTTTATACGCCATGATGACACAAGGAAATGAAAAAGCAGAAGCTCCGCCACAGGGCAAAATTCTCGACTCGCTTCCCACTGGAATAGCGCCCTATGCTGAGCTGATGCGTATTCATCGACTGCTGGGGTTCTACCTCAATACATCACCCTATCTTGTGGGCGTTGCATTTAGCGCCTCCATCTCATCAACCAAGATACCAATCGCTGTTCTCTTGCACCGCACCATGCTTCTATTTATCTGGTCAATTTTTCTTAGAAGTGCTGGGTGTGTTTGGGATGATCTTATTGATATGGACTTGGATAGCCAAATATCCAGAACCAAAAATCGACCCATGCCGCGAGGGGCAGTGTCCCCAACAAATGCTTTCCTTCTCACTGTGGCTCTCTTTGCCTGTGGAGGCAGTGTTTTGATATTCCTTCCATGGGTCTGCACCGTCGACTGCCTCATAATCATATTTTTTGCACTATTATATCCCTTCGGCAAGCGATTCACCGACTACCCTCAGATTACCTTGATGAACATCGGATGGGCTATCCCGATGGCAATGCACAGCCTCGGGTTAGACCCTCTGTCCCAAATGAAGCCAACTATATGCATGTTTCTGTTTATTGGATCGGTGATCGTCATGATCGATGTGATTTACTCGTGCCAGGATACGGAGGAGGACGTGAAGGCTGGCGTGAAAAGCATGGCAGTCCGGTTCAGGGACTCTATTCAAATCCTATCATACTTTCTCCTTTATGCATCCACCGGGTTTCTCGCGATGGCAGGAGTTTTGACTGGACTTGGTTTACCCTTTTTCATCGTGTCCGTTGGTGGTCATTTCTGCGGACTCTCGGTTCTCCTTAGGGCGACTCAGCTAGGGAAGGCGTCTGGAGTTGAATCATACGCCAAGTCCGCCTTTTTCCTTGCGACTCTGTTTTGGCTGTTGGGATTTGTGATTGAATATTTCATGCGTAACTAGGTTGTTTTATCTTTTCTTTTTATCAAGTTACAACATGTCCCCTCAAGCACTCAGTCTATACCTTGAGAATTCCTGTGCCATATATATTTGTCATCTAGCTCAAGAAGCAGCATGAGAATACTAGTTTTCATCTATATTATCAAAAAATAAAATTCCAACTGCACTCCCAGAAGTTGTCCCTTGTAGACTAGTGCCTTGATTCCATTCCAAAGAGTCCAGCACCAATATTTGTTACTGAATTCAAAGTTTGCAATGGATGTTGGGCTAAATCACAGACCAAGCATTGTCGATGGGAATGATTGCTCCATTGATTCTCTTGCTCTGGATGGAGACCAGGAAGAGAGCACAGTTGACGATATCCTCGGTCTCAACACCCAGTCCTTTCTGTCTATCAGCAGAATGTGCCTGGTGAATATGAGACATTGTCGCTAGCGCATCCTGGTCCCAATTGTTTGGATCAGATGCTTGTACTATACCAGTTGGAACTCCTAGTGTAAAGCATAAGCGACCAGAAAAAGAAGTGATACTAAATATACTGGTCTACGTACCACCTGGGCAAACAGCATTGCAACGAATTCCCTCTTGCTTGTACCGCCAAGCAACATTTTTGGTTGCACCCATCAACCCATGTTTACCTAGAAAATAGGTCTGTCAATATGCTGATCTTTGGTCCCATTCATGGTGGTGATATACTCACTGGCTGTGTACGCGATGCCAGATGCAGCACCACTCATGGCTGCCTTACTACCGACATTGACAATACTACCGCTCCTCTGCTCTCGCATGATAGGAATGACCTCACGCATGAGCTTCACAGGGGCTGTCAAATTGACTGCAATGCATCGCTCCCACATGTCGTCCGAGAGGCTATCCACACTGGCATTGTGGTCCATTATACCAGCAATATTGAGGAGACCATCGATACGTCCACCGAACTCTTTGATACATGTCTCTACAACTTGATTTGGAGTTGCCTGATGGGTAAGATCCCCTTGCAGGAACTTGTAATTTGGGTGTTCATTGAGTGATACGGGCGCTGATGAGACATCAACACCCAGAACTTTCGCCCCTTGGCTTAGAGCTGCGGTGGCTGTTGCGAGGCCTATGCCAGACGCGCTGCCCGTGATGATCAAAACCTTGGAAGGTGATTAGTAAAAAAGTTTTTATATTGAGAGCTGTTACTAGCCGAGGCTTACACTGTCTTGAAGGAGTGACATGACGTTGGTATAGTGAGTAATGAGAGCAAAAGGGAAAATAATAAAGTCCAGTTTTATTGGATTTTATTGGGAAGTAAAGGAAAATGCAGCAGATGTTGAAAATAATCTTCTCTGCGTGTGGTGTCTGAATTCACCACCTCCTACCACCTTGGAACCTATTTCCACAATACCTTAAATCGCATTTCAAATGATCACTGTGCCTGTCCTGAGCATCATGCATACGGAGTATTCGTACTCCGTACGGAGTGCTGACATGTAACTAAGAATGTGACCATACGAGGCAAGGGACACGATAGTTGTAGATCCAACACTCCGCAGAGAGTTGTGTTACGTCTTCGTAAGGTGCCTGCTTATCTTGTATGCAAAAAAAAAAAAAACCATCTTCTGCAACATGCAGGCTAGTGGATCTCTTCGTATTGAACTTGAGATCAACAATGAAAAAAGCAAATATGAATTGCGATAGATCAAAGTGACGACAGTACTCAGCTCAGCCCAGCCGCAAAATATGTTGACTGCATGCTTATGCACGTTGAACGGTGGAGCTCTAAATGTACTTCAGGTGATAGATCATCTTTTGACCTACCGGGGCATAATTACTAGTCTCAATACGGAGTACTCAAATAAAAGTCGCACATGCATATTTGATTGCCAGCACCGATCTCACCGCTGTTTTTGATTGGGTGCGGATATTTTGTGGTATACTTGGAGGGGACTTGAGGAATATACTGCGTGCTTCAAGCGGATCCTGATATCTGACAGAGCTTCCTGGGAAAAGACGACAATCTGGGCAACAGAATGACACAGGCTCAGAATTATGTTGTTCCTCCGGGTTCTAAAGTCCTCGTCACTGGAGCGAATGGCTACATTGCCTCACACATCATCAAGGTCCTATTAGATCTTGGTTATCTGGTTCGAGGCACGGTTCGCACGCCAATGCCATGGCTGGCAGAGTATTTTGAGAAACAGTGCGGATCAGGACGTTTCGAGCTTATTATGGTTTCGGACTTTCAGCAGTCCAATGCCTTTGATCAGAGTCTGAAGGGTGTATCGGGAGTCATTCATGTTGTATGTGTCTTTTATACTAGTGGATTTGACAAAAAAATACAAGTTGACCTTTCATATATCTAGGCACAAGGCTTACCCTCTAGTAACGCTACAGAAACTGTGGAAAGTGCGACAGCGTATACTGTGAATGGGGTCGTGAATCTTCTCAAAGCAGCATCCACGGAGCGCACGATTAAGCGGGTTGTTCTCACTTCTTCTATTGTAGCGGCAGGCTATCCTACTGGAAAGGGATTCAAATTGGATGTTGGTAAGGCAATCCCCAATATATGCATCACATCGCATGCAGATGGAAGGGAGGTTAGACCCATGCTGACAAAATATGCATAGATTCATGGGATGGAAGCCTTGAACAAGCATCCAAAGATGGCACTACTGTCCCCATATATCGAGCATGCAAGATCGAAGGAGAGAGACAGGCATGGAAATGGGTCGAGAAGAACCAGCCACACTTTGAGCTCAACTCCGTTCTTCCATGGCTTACAGTGAGTTTTATTGAAGAGAAATAAAACAGGTCATTTTAATATGATATCAACAGTTGGACTAACTGCTACATTTTTCAAAGTTGGGTAAAATCCTCCATCCGAACATCGCTGGTTCGACTATGGGATATGTTTCTGGACTCCTCAAAGGGGATACCACACCGTTCAAATTCCTTCCCCTACGTTAGTACTCTGAATCAGGCTGGTAGATAAAGCATAGACTAACAAATCTTGCTAGCTTGGTTTGTGGACGTGGAAGACACTGCTCGTCTACACACGATAGCTCTGTTCAGTCCTAGTGTGCGCTCCGAGCGACTCTTCGCCGCAGCAACTCCATTAACCTGGAAGAATGTTATTGAGATTCTCAAAAGAATCCAGCCCAATAATGGGCGTCTTCCAGTTGCTCCTGTACAGGAAGAACCGACGCTAGGAGAGGTTGTCCCAGCAGCAAGAGCCGAGAAACTGCTCCGTGATAATTTTGGACAGAGCGGCTGGACACCACTTGAAGTCAGCCTAGAGGGTGGCATCCTAAGGGAGTAACTTTGGAATTATATTGTGCCTTTGCAAATAAGACCGAGACAATGTTTATGGTCTAGATTATTGAAGGAAGATGATATGATGAAAATAAATGCGCACCTAGACCAATGGCCGACCGACGTGGCGAGAACATAATGATATTGTGAGATATACTTTCATAGAGTCTTCACTTTGCTATGATAACTAATTTATATCTTGATTAAAAATTAATACGAACAGATAACTAATGTTAGGAGATTGGCGATATTATCTACGCCAGCGTACCAATGCTTCTGTTTTCAGAGGATACTTCCATGTCTGTCATTCTGGGGGAATAATTAAGCGCTGGAGCTTTACTAATACGAAATACACAAAGTTATTAGGATCCGAAAAGGTTATTCATATATTAATGTGGTAATTATAGCTAGTCAGAAAATCCAGATCGCCTAATAACGAACATGATCCCGCAGAAACTCGTAACCTTCCTGAACAGCTTGAGCAGCTGCTTGGTCTTTCTCAAAACCAGGATAAATGTCAAACAGGTGTATAGCATTTTCCACAATACGGAGTTCGACCTCAATGCCCTTTGTAGCCAGCTCATGGGATGTTCTTTTTGCCTGTTCCACCGGAATGAGATCATCAAGGGTTCCATGAATTATGAAAGTGGGCGTCTTGTAGGTTCCTTTGTGAATCTGCGCCAAAGGGCTGACAGCTTGAATTTCTTCAAGTGTCGGAACTGGCAACTCCTCTCCACAGTCACCACCTTTGTGATCCGACCAGAAGCGGCCTCCATGCAATAACATAGGCAGGCTTTGTCCCTTCCAGTTCATATGCAATGCAATTCGGCTGCGAGGATCCGCTGGTGACATCCAGCCACCAAGGGCCTGTTGGTTGGCCGGAGGATTGTAGGCAGTAATTGGCGTCTCATAAATCCCTTCCCAAAGGTTGTAGCTCATTTCTGGTGAGGCAGCGTCCTTTCCATATGGGAAATTAGGCTGAGACCAGAAAGTGTCTTCGTAGTCAGTAGGGCCATAGAATGCAAGGATAGCGTCAGGCGGAGCGATACCCATCTCCTCAGCAGTCCAAGCCAGTGTCATGGCTAGATGAGCACCAGTAGACCAGCCAACCACCACTGCCTGAGTTCCGTCTGGTTGGATATCAGGACGAGAAAGATTCAAACTGGGGAGGGTATCTCGAGCCCAGCGGAGGGCATCGCATACGTCATGCATTGGGCCTTCGGTCAAGGAAACCTCCGGGCAGAGCCGGTAATCAACACTGACTGGTAAGAATCCTGCATTGAGCAGCATCTTCACTTGCTTCATGCGAATGTCCCGGCGCGATAGCATAATGTGACCTCCACCATGGATAAGAAGAGCTGTTTGTCGAGCGTAAGAAAGAGGTTTGTCATGATCCGAGGAAAGAGGACCGGGAAACATCTACGTACCAATTGGACGGGGTTTTCCAATAGGCTGAAGATCCCGGGGGTAGTAGATATCTGCGGAAAGCTCCACATCACCATTCTTGCCATAAATAACCGTTTCCTCGTTCATAAGAGGCAAGGGGCTTCTGGGGGACGGGGGTAAAATAATGGCCGAGGCCGGCGACGCAGTGATTACCCGAAGCACATTGGATTCCTCGGAGTCATTGTCTGTCCAGTCAATCCATTGGAAACCCGACTGGGAAAGGGTTTGTTTCCACACGTGTTCGGTCGCAAGGGCGTGTTGCCGACCATCCTCGAAGAGCCACCAGCCTTCCAGCAAACCGAAGACAAGATCGAACCAGAACAGGTTGCGTGTGAGCTCAATTAGGCAAAGAAGTCCGTCTGGCCGTAGAAGCCTGTTGATATTTGAACAAGACTGAACAAGATTGCGGGTTGCGTGCACACAGTTGCTAGATAGGACAATATCATATTGACCGAGCATATCTGGGGTAGGAGTCTGTTCAACATTGAGGACTTGGTATTTCATGAAGCTATAATGCTTGAATTTCTTGCGCGCCAGAGTCAGGAGCCCTGAGGAAAGGTCTGTGAATGTGTATTGGAAGCGGAGACCGGGGACAGCAGTGAGCTGACTCAACAAAGCTTTGGTTGTGCCCCCAGTGCCACCGCCAATCTCAAGAATCTTAATTTCTCGTGTGGTATCCAGGCGACCAAGCAGATTGACAAGATATTGGGCGAGGTGGTTAGTTGCAGCCTTGAACATTGGAGCATTTGTGTACACATCTTCCATCAGTCGACGGGCCTCTGCATCTTGGAAGAGGAGAGAGAGTGGGTCGGCTGCTCCGGTCAAGCAGTCGCTAAGTCGCGAGCCAGTAGTCCTAAGAAGGTTGTGCTCAGACGTGTGCTGGGGATAGAGGCGAATAATTTCCTCGTGCAGTACATCAGATCCAATCGTGGGTACAGGAATTGTAGTGCGCACAAAGCCACGGTCAGTGGTCCGGATGAGATTGGAAAATTGCAAGATGGAGTAAAGCTGGTTTCGAACCTGGTCATGCTGTGCAAGCACATGGACTTGTGGGATAACATCCTCAGCCTCAAAGCTGTCCAGGGAGACACCGAGGGACCTGAAAGCCTCTACCACATAAGCTGTGACAAGGGCCATCTGTTTGGGATATACGGATTCACAAAAGCCGTTCCACTGAGTCGATTGACTGTGCGCCATACTTCTCTGTATATCGGCGAAGAGGCCAGGTGCAATGTCAATGAGGCCATGTACTTCCTCATCGGAAATCGGTGTTGACATAGCGTAAGTATTGTTCTCTGAGTCATCTGAATTTGAGGTTTCGATTTGTAATGGTGGATGAACGCCATTTGTGAGAGGAGTTTGGGCATCCGGGAAAATTGACCGCACCAGCGTTTGGATGTCGGGAATTTCAACCAACGAGGAGGTAGCAATGCTGACGTTGAATCTCTTCTTTATCTCCACCAAAACCTCAGTCCGCATCAACGAATCAACCCCAATTTCTTCGAGATGCGAAGATGGCAACAACTCCTCGGAGGCAATTCCTAGTAGATCACAGAGCATCTCTTGGACGACCACAAAATGGCCAGTTTCCGGGGCGGATTGGCGAGAAGACGGAACAACAGATGGTGCATCCTGGAGGGTAGGGTTGGTATGCACTTTGAAATCATCATCAAGAGGAGCCTTTTTGACGTCGGGTTGATTGTTCAACTTTTTGAGAACTCGAGCAAGACCAGCGATGGAGACACTGGTGAATTCCGCAGCAAGAATAGTGACAGCGAGCTTGCCGGTCTCCCGATCTAGGACAAACGTGTCGCAGGTGACTTTGCTCTTAATAGATCGGTCTAGGTTGGAGTATACACCCCATGAACACGAAGAATCGGGATCCCTCGTCATAAAAGCCTCTCCAATCAAGATTTCACCAACGCCGGTGCAGACGAAAACCTCATCTTCCTTCGTCTCCGAAAGACAGTTGACATGAATTCCGGCAACTTGGATGAAATTGTCAACAAGCATTGGATCACATGCGCTATCCTTTGTTCGCGACGAGAGGAGGTTCACGATTCCAGCGGCCTCATGCTCAGTCGCGAAAACTCGTTCAACGCCGCGATAGCAATCAGCATAATTTACAACTCTGCGGAAAGCTTGATATACGGCGAACCCCTTGAGGCCGCTCGACTCTTGGGAATCGGCGATAGAGTCTAATCGAGATAAATCAATCAACCGGTTCATGGTGTGAAGGCGAACGAAAAGAGGTGTGTTTTGGCCGAAGGGATGTAGGCTGATCTCGCCGGTTGCATGCGTGGTAACTGCAGTCTTGCTGGGCTCGCGAGTGAAAAGGGAGAACGACCATGGAGAGTCTCCCACTCGGGTACGAGTTAGACTCAACAGAACATTTCCACTTGGGTTGAGAACGAGCGGAGCCGAAATGGCAAGATTCTGAAGGTGAGGCATGGCTGGTGATGCATCGTTTCCTGGGCGAATCAGTCCTACCGCTCGAATAATCATCTCGAAATAAAGAGACGCAGGGCAAAGGTTTTGATCAAGTACTGCATGGCCTTTTGTACACTCTTGGTAAAGAGGGTCCTTCGTATTAATGGAAAAAATGCACTCGGTCGGCTGTTTTGTGAGTAGCTGTACAAACTCTCTGGGGCCACCTGAAGCAGGCAAGGCTGGCTTATCTTTTGCCAACGGTGCAAAGGCAGTTGGGTCATATTCAATCCAGTGACGTGTTTGGGCGAATTGGTAAGGTGGGAGGTTGATCCAGTTGTAATTTCTGGCCTGGGAATCGTGGAACTGCCAGAACTGTACTTTCACACCCCTAGACCACAGATTGCAAGTAGCCTGTGAAAGACTTTTCTGGGCCTGCGGGCCTCCAAGGTCCAGTGCCTGGTAGACATGCTCCTTTGAGGATACTGTCACTGCGTCGATAACTCGTCGTATCAACGGGATGATGGGAGATGCGGACCCCGCCTCCAGCCAGACAGCAGGTCCTTGTACCCTCTGGGCCACTCGCTTGACGGCTGTCTGGAAGTCAACACGTCCGCGGCTGTGATCCACAATCTTGGCTGGCGTGACAGAAGACCAGTCTCCATCCTGAGAACATGCCTCAAGAGGAATGGACAGTGGCTTGTATTCAAGCTGTTGGGCTACCTCAGTCAGAGAAGGAATGATACTATCCACCAGGCGGGAATGGAAGGCATGTGTGTTCTTCAATCTCTTTGTGCGAAGCAAGGGGGAAGGAGTTTCCGACGACAGTTGCTCAATCATTTGTAGGGATCGCTCATCTCCCGCCAATATAATATTGCGTGGGCCATTAATGCAAGCGACATCCACTGCTGCATCATCCATACGCTGTGTCGCATGATCTAACAAACTCTGCACCTCGGCCTCTGTTCCTTCCACTGAGAGCATAGCTCCACGTTCAGATCCCCACATGGTTTGAATCATCTTGGCTCGCTCAGAGACAAGATAGAGAGCATCTGACAGACTTAATCCGCCACCCACGCAAAGTCCCGTAAGTTGGCCAAAGCTGTGGCCTATCATTCGGTCCACTTCCAGTCCAGAATCTAGCCATGACTTTGCTGATGCATATTGGATTGAGAACAAAATGCAGTGAAGGCTAACGGTATCTTCAATAGGACCAGGTTGGAAAATACTTGGAAACAGGCTCGGAAGGCCACGAGTTTGACAAACCTTCTCACATTCCATCTAAACCAGAGCAGGTGAATTGTTAGCAAGCAACGAAGGCAGAAATATGAAATATGGGAAAGACGAAATATTTATGATGCTCACCAGATAATATTGAAGCAATTCACAGCGATTAAAAAGGTCTTCGGAAAGCGTTGCTTCGTTCCCATTCTGTCCGCCGAAGCACAGGATGACGGGCAGACGAGGAGCCAGTTGTTTCTTGAGTGTGGTGGTCTCACATGATATTGACTCTAGCTTTGCAAGAAGCTCATTGGGTTGATCTGCAGGAATGGTAAATGTCGAAATGTAATCCATTACTCTGCTCTGCTTGATTGCTAAGTTATAAGCCATGTCTTGACAACTGCTCAGCTGTGCATTCCGGACACTTGAAAGTAGGACTTTGCAGTATGACCTGAGTGATTCAGCAGATGTTGCTGCCAAGAAAACGGGCACTTCGCTGGGAGGAAGTAATGTGTTCGAGCTTTCAGATCTCGCTTTGTATTGCTTCACAACAAGAGCTGCATTGCTTCCTGCAGCGCCATAATTGGTGACCATCGCCACAGCATTCAAAGTAGCAGCAGAGGGCCAGTGGATAGACTTGGTTGGAATCGCAATTGCTGCATCGTCCAGTGCAGGAATCTTGGGGTTCAATTGAACGAAATTGGCCTGCTTGGGTATCTGGTGTTTTTGCATCATCAAAACAGTCTTGAGTAGACCAGCTACCCCTGATGCTGTTTCGGTGTGGCCAATGTTATCTTTGATAGATCCGACATGAATCTTTTCACTGCGGAAAGGTCCTCCAAATGCTTTGCGGATGCTGTCAAACTCAATTGGATCACCCACTTGGGTGCCTTATTTTCATTTTTTATTAGTGGCAGTTATTTCAAGTCATTCGTGGGGACTTCACAAACCTGTGCCATGTGCCTCAACATAAGTAACATGTTCTGGAGGAGTCCCAGATGCCATGAGGGCCTTCTCATATAGAGACCTCTGGGAGTCCGAGTCTGGGACAGTGATCGGAGAACGGTTCGATCCCTGATTGACCGCCGACCCGCCAATGACAGCAAGAATGGGATCTCCGTTACGAATTGCGTCTGCTAGGGGTCGTAGAACTACCAGTCCTGCGCCCTCTCCACGACAATAACCATTGGCCGCCGCATCAAATGCCTTCGAAGCACCGGTAGGTGACAAAAAGGATGCTGCCGCTAGATTTTGTGTCACCCTGGGGCTGGTCATGACATTTACACCACCTGCCACAGCAATGGAGCATTCGTTAGTTTGTAAAGCCTGTAGAACGTTCCAATTTGGAGTACCGAGTCAGTCAATTATTCCTCCCGCTGCCTCAGAAGTTTGCAGTTTAGTGAGTGAAGTATAGTCCTTACCTTGCATGCAAGATGAATAGCCACTGCAGCTGAAGAGCATGCGGTGTCAACCACGACTGATGGCCCAGTCCAGCCAAAATAGTGACTTAGACGGCCAGTGCAAAATGCCTGAAGTGTTCCTGTGGCTGAAAAGGCGTTGGCGTTGGTCGATCCAACATTGTCAGTATAGTCATCTGAGCCAACACCAACATAACAACCAATATTGTTCGGCAAATCGGACGTGCGAATACCACAATATCCAGCTGACTCCATGGCCTCATACCCAACCTGAAGAAGGAGTCGTTGCTGGGGGTCCATAGCCTCTGCTTCTCGGGCTGAGATACCAAAGAACCGATGATCAAAAACATCAGGATTTGCCAAGTAATTCCCCCAAAAAGGCCCTTTAGGCTTGCGTAGAAGACTGTCCATCTTGAATCGCTCATTGGGAAGTGCGCTGACGCCGCAAAGTCCCAATTCGAGTATCTCCCACAGTTGCTCTGGAGAATCTGCTTGGGAATATCGGCATCCCATGCCAGTGATTGCAATTGGTGTTGCTATCCCGCCTGGAGCGATCTTAGTGAGATGGGTCTCGCGCCCAGATCCAGTGTTGGAGGATAATTTGTGGATTCCATTTGGCAGCATTCCATGTTCTGTGATGTCCGATGATTTGTTGTTAATGTTATCTAGAACACGGGCTCTGACCGGACGTGGAACAAACTGGCCAGTTCCAATGGCGACAAGACGCAAATCGTGGTCGGTTCCCTCTGCTGTTTGCTCAACTGTGGCTGAAACAGTCATAGCCCATTGGGAAGGGTTCGTCAGGATTGATTCCAAGGCAGTTTTGTGAATGGCACATCTTTTTGCAATCACACGGCCGTCAATGTTGGACCTTAGTGGAAGAACGCAGGGACCACTGCTTGCCAATCGGAACCTTTCGTCTGTCTCACAGAGATCTGTGAGGTGTTCAACAGCTGTGATGTGGCTCGAATGATGAAATCTTCCTCTCAGATCGATGGTTTTCACCGACAATCCATGACCTCCCAGCTCCTTGATCAAATCATCCAATTCATCCTCCGCGACTGTAACTGTGGCTGAGGTTGTATCCGTAAAGCAGGAAATGTAGCCCTATGTATCGCTCTGTCAGTACTCTTTCAGGTCTGCGACCAGCTAAAGTAGCATGGGGGTGTGGTAGTGTGAAGCAGGGTAATATAGGAATATAGATGGGGTAATATATTACACACCGTTGAAGAGCTAGCCAACACTTGATCGAGTTGTTCATTTTCATTCGCGGACTTCCATCTTACAGCAACGGACCGGGCCTGACCATGCAAAAGGCCATTTAGATCGACTGCTGCTCCAATGCAAACAGCCAGTCGGATCATGGTAGATGCGATTTCCTCAAATTCCCTGGAATCATTTGAGCATGCAACTACGGCCGCCGCTAAGAAGCCGACACAGAATCCCTGGGTATCCACGAGTCTGCACCCGCTTTGGGAATTTTCCTTGAATTTCCATGCATCAATTATCTGCCGAATGACAGTGAGGGGCGTCAGGAGCACGTTCGTTGCATTTTCTGGAGCCACTATCACTCCCCGAACACATTCAGCTAGCACAGTAAGTTGTGTCACAGCCGGGATCGAGGACAAAGAGGACCAAGCCTCTGTAATAGTGGACCATAAAGTCGGTAGTTCTTGCAAGACATCCTTGAGGAATCCCAACGATGGATTTTCTTCGATATTGTGGCTTATGTAAAATAAAGTTTCCTCAACCTCGGAAGCCTGGGGGCCGAAGACAAGGCAAACGGGCCGATCCGTGCTGATGTTGGATGGTTCAATCATAATGTTGGAACTTGATATCAAGCAGACACGAGGAGTATACTTGGGGAAAAATAAGAAATACAAAACAGAAGCAGATAACCCCACGGTGAATCCTGATGTTGAACAGGTTTCAGTGTGAAGAGAGGACCTTATCTTCGAGGCACATCGAGATTATAATGAAATCCGAGGGTTTAAAAAAAGAAACAGTGACACGCTCTGGCCAAATGCATGCAAACGCAGTTGATAGATAACCGGGGGCAACACTCTTCTCTCCCTTGCTGTTTGACTTTGAAGCTCAGTACTCTGCGATTCTGCACGCATTATCCACCCAAGCGTGGGATCTTCAACGGATCGGCGCCCTATGGAGAGAAGACAATCCTATTTGTCATTTGAAGAGATACCCAGGCCTCAACTCCTCCGGGGTGGCTGGCTGATGAATCCTACGGAACCCCCGATAAACCCATCGAGGCATAAGACTCGTTATATCACCCAAAAATGAATATTTCGTACTCCGTATGTTTTGTCGTTTTTCTAGTTCTATTGTTTCTAATTGCTTTTTCTGTGGTATCAAGTCTGTTTTCATTTTTAATTCTCCTACTATCCTCCTGGCTGTACGGAGATGGAGTACGGAGTAGTCCGTACCATGTAGGCTTGTTTCCCGCGCTTACCTTTTTTTTTTCTTTTCTTTTTCCTCGACTTCAACGTCCTATTCTAGACAGCCGCAAATAATTCCACGATAGACACGCCGGAATGTTACACCATTGACATATTGCATTTATTAACGCTTATTTATTTTCAAGGTTGGATCGTGGTTCTCACCCGTGTGAGGGAACATTCCGTAAGGGATGATGAATCATAATCCTTGCTTTATCGTGCTATTTATTTTGCGCGGCTCGGGATCAATGCTCCATAGGCTAAAAAGGAGTACTGTTTTTGTCTCATTTTCTAATTACAGCCCAGATAGTCGCCCCAAAACTTACCTAGTCATGTTGATTTGAAATATTGCCATGAGAACTTTAGGAAGTGATTAGCCCAGACAGTGGGCGATGGACCTCTGGATATATATTGCGGTATCTTGGAGCTCTCTCATTGGATACGTCTCTCTCCTTAGAATTGGCCATACACCGAGCTACCAGAATAATCTGAAATAGAAGATAGGAATTTGAGGATACCACCTTTGAGGAATTCACAAGCCATCCTCGTTCAGTTACCTGTCTACTCCGTACAGAGTAAATGTTTAATTGAGACGCAAGGTGTATGAAATAAACAAAATTATGAGACGATCAAAAACATGTAATTTCCCGAGTACAGAAAATGATACAACCAGCTGAGTAATTGCACTCCCTATATGCAAATCCTTTTGAACCTCTCTCTAAGCTGTGATCCGATCCGAGTTGCGAGCCACACCACGAATGACCCCAAACGAAGGCGACCAGGCGATGGCCCACAAAGAACAGAGAGCTGTGTTTTCCTCTCGGAGCAACACGAGTTCTGCGAAGCTATTGGACGAAGTACCATCTAGCGACAATGAGCGACTTTACACTCTGCAAGCCGCAGAGGACCCAACGCATTGCGGATCACCCAAAGTTGACCCTTTGATCTGGGCCGAAGTGACTTCCCACCTCACTGTTCCCAACACGATAGACGCCCGCCAACGGGACATTTTGTTCGAGAACTTGACTGTTCATGGCAAAGGATCTTCGGTACAAATCCAACAGACTGTTTTGTCGGCCCTGCTATACCCCGTTGCGTACTCCGTCAAACGGCTCGTGAGCATTGTTCGTAACAAGAAAGCCGAGTGTGACCGACGAACCATATTACATGGATTTGATGGGATTGTGCACAGTGGTGAATTATTGCTGGTGCTCGGTCGTCCGGGTAGTGGGTGCTCAACATTCTTGAAATCGTTATGTGGTTATCTGGATGGGTTAGATATCGACCCCGTCAGTGAGATTCAGTATAAGGGAATACCATTCAAAGCGATGATGCAAAAGTACCGGGGTGAGGTAGTGTACAATCAAGAGACGGATCATCACTTTCCGAACTTAACAGTTGGTCAAACACTTGAGTTTGCAGCGCATTCACGAGCACCACACAATCGAGGAAGTAATCTGAGTCGAGACCAGTATGTTAAATCCATTGTGAAAGTCGTTATGGACACATTTGGTCTTTCCCACGCATACAATACGAATGTCGGCAACGACTATGTTCCAGGCGTCAGTGGAGGGGAAAGAAAGAGAGTCAGGTAAGCTCATTCAATCCGCTTCTGAGCAAGGGGAAAAGAAGCAAAGGCTGTGAGAACTGACACAGTAGTTTACATGGACAGCATTGCGGAAACAGTCGTGTCACGGGCTTCGGTTGTGGCATGGGACAACAGCACACGTGGGCTTGATGCAGCCACCGCTGTCGACTTTGTTCGGGCACTTCGTACCTCAGCCAAACTAGGAGGCTCTTGTCATGCTGTCGCTGTGTATCAAGCCTCAGAGGCTCTTTACAACACCTTCGACCAAATCATCCTTCTATACGAAGGACGGGAAATATATTTTGGTCCTCGGGAAACGGCTGTTTCATACTTTGAGATGATGGGATGGAAAAGACCACTCCAACAAGTGAGCGCGGATTTCCTCACAGCCATCACCAACCCTGGTGAGCGACAGCCACAGCTCGGCATGGAAGATGCAGTCCCCCGCACACCGGTCGAGTTCGAAGCATACTGGAAGCAAAGCCGGGAACATGCAGAGCTGCAGACGGCAATGCGACAATACAAACAGAATATTCCACTTGATGGCTTAGAGGAGACCAGATTGAATGACATCAAGCGCCTTGAGCAAGCAACTCGTGCTCGACCATCGAGCCCATATCTTCTCTCAGTGCCTATGCAAATCAGACTGTGCATCGCTAGAGCTTGGCAACGGACTCGCAACGACATCCCGGCCCTAATTTTCACAGCAGTGGCGCAGATGATAATATCTCTCATCATCGGATCTCTCTTTTACAATATTCCACAGAATACCGCTGGACTGGGCCAGAGAGCATCAATACTTTTCCTGGCTGTTTTGACCAACGCTTTGATATCCTTGTTGGAGATCACCACCCTATACAGCCAAAGATTGATCGTGGAGAAACAAGCAGCTTATGCCTTTGTTCACCCATTTACCGAAGCTATCGCAGGAGTTATTGTGGATTTCCCTATCAAAGTTTTGCGATGTGTCTCGTCCGCTATTATAATATATTTTCTGGCAGATCTCAGGAGAGAGGCCTCCCATTTCTTTGTCTACGTTCTCTTCCAACTCACAGCCGTCATGACAATGTCTACGATGTTTCGCACTTTAGCCACCATCACAAGGACTATCGGACAGGCTATGTCTCTGGCTGGGATCATGATTATATGTGTCGCCGTGTACACTGGTTTCACTGTTCCTCAATTCGATATGCGGCCATGGTTTGGATGGATCCGATGGCTCAATCCAATTTTTTACGCTTTCGAGGCCATTGTCTCTAATGAGTTCCATGGTCGCCGTTTTGAGTGTGTGGAATACATTCCAAACTTGAATTTCCAGCAGGGGCCATCTTTCACTTGCGCTTATGTTGGATCCGTTGCAGGCGAGCGATATGTTTCTGGGGATGCATATATCGCAGATAGCTATGATTACTCCTACGATCATGTGTGGAGAAATTATGGCATCTTAGTTGCCTTTCTTGTCTTCTTCTATGTACTGTACTTTTGGCTTACGGAGTTGATCCCAGGAACCACACCGGCCCACGAAGTCTTGATCTTCCGCAGTGGGGATGTGCCTGAGAAACTGATTCGGGGTGATGTGGAGTCCGGAGAAGAGCCGCTACGTTTGCAGGAGCTGAAATCACTGGCCCCTGAGGCCCATTCATCAGTGACAGCACAAAAGGATACCCTCAGCTGGAAGGGACTTTGCTACGATATTCCAGTCAAGGGTGGCGAAAAGCGACTCCTAGATGATGTTAGTGGCTGGATCAAACCTGGATCACTCACGGCGCTCATGGTATGTAGTCCTTCATTTCCCTAATTCAATAACCTTCAACTCATAAGCATTGATATGAATATAGGGAGTCTCAGGTGCTGGAAAAACAACACTTATGAATGTTCTAGCGCAGCGCATGACTATCGGGATTGTCACGGGAGATATATTGGTCAACGGCCACGAACTTGACGACAGCTTTGCCCGAAAAACTGGCTACGTCCCACAGCAAGATCTTCATGTGGAGACTTGCACCATCCGCGAGGCCCTTCGATTTAGCGCAGCACTGCGTCAACCCCAATCCGTATCGATCGAGCAAAAATATGCTTTTGTAGAGGAGGTAATTCAGTTGCTGGGAATGGAGGATTTTGCGGAAGCGGTTATTGGAAATCCCGGCGATGGTTTAAACATGGAACAAAGGAAACTGCTGAGTATTGGAGTCGAGCTCACTGCCAAGCCTCAACTTCTGATCTTCCTTGACGAGCCAACCAGTGGTTTGGATTCACGAAGTTCGTGGGCTATCTGCGCGTTCATGAGAAAGCTTGCGGACCATGGCCAGCCCATTCTTGCTACAATCCATCAACCAAGTGCTGTTCTCTTCGAGCAATTCGATCGTTTACTGTTTCTTGCCAAAGGCGGGAAGACAGTCTATTTTGGAGACATTGGTAACCAGGCTCAGACAGTTCTGGGATATCTCGAAAAGCATGGAGCTCGTCACTGTGGCCCAACCGAAAACGTGAGTTCCTTAGATTTTGACATCCCACACTGCACCGTAAATTTGACTCCGCATCATTCGCTGATCTCAAATTTTCTAGCCCGCTGAATACATGCTCGAGGTCATCGGTGGGGGGACCCAAGGGGAAGGGGAGTGTACGCCCATTGACTGGGTTCACTCGTGGAAAAACAGCTCTGAACACGACAAAGTTCTTGAAGAGTTGGACATTCTCGCATCATCACCGCCAAACGCTGCGTCCGCCAACCCCTACAAAGTGAATGAATTTGCAATGCCTCTCACACTTCAATTTTACCGCGTTATGGCACGCGACCTCCAACAGTATTATCGCCAACCCGAATACATTTTGGCCAAGTTTGGAGCAGGTGTTTTTTGCGGCCTTTTTATCGGCTTCTCCTTCTGGAAATCTGATAACTCAAGCCAAGGCTTTCAAAATGTTTTGTTTAGTTTGTTCCTCTTGTGCACAATATTCTCCACACTCGTCAACCAGTATGTCTTCGCCCCCAGCTCCGGTGATAAACTCAACATACTGACTAAAAATAGAATTATGCCCAAATTTCTTTCTCGACGAACATTATATGAATTGCGAGAGAGACCAGCTAAAACCTACTCATGGAAAGTATTCATTCTGTGTCAGATACTCGTTGAGCTGCCATGGCAAGCCTTGCTGGGGCTATGTACCTGGGCCTCATTTTACTTTTCGGTTTACGGTAGCGCCCAAAGCCCTCAGCGGCAGGTGCTTATTCTTCTCTTCACTGTACAATTCTTCCTATTCGCATCAACCTTTGCCCAACTTGTGATTGCTGCAGTCCCGAATGTGGCTTTGGGCAGCATGCTGTCTACATTCGCATTCCTCCTATGCCTCCTGTTCAATGGCATCATGCAGCCACCTAGTGCACTACCACGGTTTTGGACATTTATGAATCGGGTTTCCCCTCTCACCTATTACGTGGGCGGCATTAGTGCTACTGCATTGCATGGTCGTCCAATCCACTGCTCTGATCGAGAGCTGAGAGTCTTTGACCCCCCACGTGGACAAAATTGCGGTGAATATCTGGTGGAATATCTAAAAACAGCGCCAGGCACGCTGTACAACCCACTTTCGGCCGATCGATGCCAGTATTGCCCGCTTCGGGTGGCAGATCAGTATCTTGCTGCTCGGGAGATCTCCTGGGATAACCGATGGAGAAACTTTGGAATTTTCTGGGCGTATATCATCTCTAACATCATTGGCGCCATTGGACTGTATTATCTGTTCCGAGTTCTACCCTACACAAGGAAAACTCGCGCACAGAAGCCTGGAAAATGATCTTCTGATACTATTGCGCTGATCTCTTTGTTTAACTTTCTTTTTCATCATTCTTTTCACCCAAATTTTGTTACATTTCATTTGATGTCTATCACTATTTTTTTTTTTTTCTTTTTGTCTTCCTGCCCAATTTCTATGTGAAACTTTTATTTGGCCGCACCCGAGTTAATATATCATGCCGTATCACTTGGTCTTTTGTTTTGGTGGCGGTGAGCAAAGCCTCAGATTGCATTCTCATTTACCAGCTGTTAACCATCGAATTTCTCGGATTTGTCGATCGACTTCAAAGTACCCGCTTTTGCCCTGAATTCGGTGCCGATCTCGACGCAGAGCCCTTACGGAGTACTAGACTATCTACATGCATTAATCTCCACCTTTTATTCCTCGTGCAAAGTTATATTATGAGTCTAGCAACTGGCTAGTAAGTTCCAACCCTGCGAATATCAGCCTGAAACTGGGTCGACACATTACTATTGTCTCAACTCAAAAATTGAGATGCAGATGTGAGGTATCCTTACATATGGGCACATATAGTGGGGTAATGGAGATCACACACTGAGTATGGAGTACTCCGTAGACGTTACGGTACTCTGTATATTGTCGGTAGGCGCGGGGACTGGTTATACTCCAACGGTGGCTGGCTGTGTAGAATACTCTTTTTCCTTTTGTAAAAGCTGCATGCATATGTAGTAAGGGCCCGGTAGACGGAAGATACGTTTGGACCGTGTCGCTGTATCGTATCCCCTTCCCGTTGGGGAATGGATAGCCTGTATTCATGAAGACTCCTAATTCCGGCGTCTTTGATAGGTCGGCAATGTGATAACAATGTCACTGAGCATAAAAGGCCATGTGGGCTTCGCATTTTACGATGACGCGGTGCAGCTTCATAGGCGCTTCGTATGTGTGAAATGTGATAGATCGCCTCAGCTGTGATTCCTCCGCAGTGCTTCGAACGTAACCAGAGTTTTGATGCGATAGGATCGTGGTGCTAAGGAGCTGAACTACATGATATGCATCCTTGCGTCTTGACGTGGATGTCTTGCTTATTCTTTAAGTCCCAGTCACGCTATATAAAGGTTTCACGCCGCCCACATCACAGTATTCTTATTTTATTACACTAGATATTTCTTGTCTATTGCGTATCAGGTAAATCAGATAAACCAAGATGGCACCCAACAAAAAGAATATCCAAGGCGATATCTGGTAAGATAACATATTTTCAGTACATCCTTACTGGAGATTTGACGAATTAATTTCGTCATGTTAGGCCCCGTCTGCCCAAGAAGCACGAGACATTCGTCTTCTTTCGGATTACCAAGCCTGCTGAGTTCAAAAAGCACTTGGCCGGGCTGGTTCCTTTGCTTACTACAGCCGATGATGCCTTCAAGATGCGAGAGGATATCTACAAAAAGAAGGCTGAGGGTACTCTCAAAGGTCTCATTCAGCTTTCTGCGATCAACGTCGCCTTCTCGGCCAAAGGCCTAGCTAAAGTAAGGAAAATTTACACATGAGAGGTACTAAGCACGTACTAATTGCCCACAGCTTGGCGCTGAGGGATTTAAAGATGATGTCTTCAATAACGGCATGTACCAGGATATGACTTATCCCTTGCCTGGTGAAGATGCGAAACTGCACCAAGGCCTTGATGATCAGCATGATTGGTACCACCAGTTCAAGCCTACCAATGGAGCAATTCACGGCGTGTTTACTATCACTGGTGATAGTGAGAAGACTATTGACAAGACAATCAAGACCTTGATTGATCCGATGTTCCAGGTTGGCAAAGCCGGCCAGAGCATGCAAAGAATATTTTCCCGGAGTGGGTTTGTCCTTGAGGATGACAGAGAACAGTGAGCCTCCCAAGCCAACTTGATATTGTCGCCAACTTGCTGAAACTAGTGTTCTTAGTTTTGGATGGGTTGATGGTATCTCTCAGCCCGTAGTTGAAGGTTTGGATGACCTCGCCAAAAAGACACTGAAGAACGGAATGAAGCCAATCCCCAACGGGTAAGCCCAAAACTCAATCAGACCAAATATATTGTACAATCACAGATTCTAACTTCAAGTATGCAGCGTCATTCTTGTTGGGGGTGAACAGGATGATAGCAGTCATCCAGCTTGGGCCAAGGACGGTAGTTTCATGGTATTCCGGACTTACGAGCAGAAGGTCCCGGAATTTGTCATGTAAGTTGATCATCCTGTCATCTGGGATCCATCCGGATCCATCGATAGCGGGAAAAAAAACTAATATTCCCTCTCAGGTGGTGTGCCAGCAACATCAAAAAGCTAAAAGAGACAGACCCAGAGAAGAAGGCAATAGCTCTGAAAGAACTTCGCAAGTTTTCATCCCGTGTTATGGGGCGTTGGCCTGACGGTAAGTTCCTACTGGTAGCCTAACGGAAAAAAAAAAAGCCCAGTTGTAACCATATCATATTTTTGGTAGCAGTGGGCTGACATTGTCACTTTTAGGAGCTCCAATTGAGCTTTATGGGGATGCAGACCCCAACATTTCCCTTCACCCCGATCCACTTATCAACAACCAGATGCTAAGGGAACAATGGGGCGATGAAGCCGATGCGAAGTTCAAGGAGAGGGAGCAGATGAACCACACCGATGACTTCAATTACAACCCAAGTGATCAGACAAGATGCCCCTATGCCGCGCATATTCGCAAATGTGGGCCTCGTGATGACCACCCGCCCCATCCCAAACACCTCATGCTTCGCCGTGGAATTCCATATGGGCCTTTGACACACAATGATGAAAAGGCTGGTGGTGTCACACAGGTGGAACGTGGATTGCACTTTGTCTCTTACCAAAGCAGCATCAACAATGGATTCCGCACTGTTCAAAAGGGTATGTCGAATTTTCATGTTTCAAATATCATTTCTAACGGGTTCACGCAGAATGGGCGAATACCGAACATGGTCCTGAGGACAGGACCAAGGAGTGTGGAGGAGGCCAGGCGCAGGGAATCGACGCGATTATTGGGCAACTTCCACCTGATTATCGTGACAGAGAAGACCCTACCCTTTACGATCACCCAGCACCGGCTGTCAACATGCCAGATGTCGAGAAGCCTGTGCCTGAAGTCAATAAAAACTTTGTCCCCATCGGACGCTGGGTGATTCCGCGTGGAGGTGAATATTTCTTCACTCCCTCGATCTCGGGCATGAGGGATACGTTGTGCAAGGCCTAGGGGGTCACATATTGGTCGTCTAGCAATTAGAGGCCAGGCTAGAAGACTTATTTCTAGTCCCTGATATTTCACGGCAATTTCTGGATGTTGTTTTCATTGTATATGGATTACTGTCGTTTCTGTGCTGGCGCTCGTGGGTTTACAGATGCTTCTCCGGGTCTGACCTGCTCCCTGCCACAATAGTCCTATACGAGGTTGCAATACCATGCCAAGTACACACTTAAATAACAATCTCAATGTAAAAGACTTATATCCACAGCTGACTATAGCACAGTTAGGCCCCATTTTTGAGTGAAATGCCAGGCCCTTTCCTTCAAAACAACATTCTCTACCAGGACATCAAGTTAACCCTTATTTGAATAAGAAATAGTAATCAAATATTAATTGTAATATGTCTGGAAGACAGCCAAATCTAATCGATTCACTCGTACTCATTACATCTGTCACTCACATGTTGGATTATAGTTAAATACTTATATTCTGGGAAAAATCCAAATCCAAAGCTCCTCTACGAACTAAATTCTACGGAGATCGTCGTCCGGAGTGATATTGTTTGGAAAATTAATCTTTTACGCGCAAGTGATGTACATATGTAGTTTCATAGCTCATGCATATGATATATAGCATATTTACACGTACTGGGCGGTCTCGGGTTTTTTTTTTTTCTTTTTTCTCTTTTTTTCTCTTTCTTTTCTTTCAGGTTATTTTCAGTTCTAGATACGAAACACTTGTACATACATGTATTCAGGTGTGTGTACTCCGTACGGGGTAATTGATACGGGACGGGACGTTCCGCAGATACTAGTGATACGCCGATGATCCTTTCTTGGCGTGTTGTGCGACCTCGATATCATCCCGGTACATTATGTATGTATGCACTTAGGCCTTCTAAGGTACGATCCACAATGGCTCAAGTGACATAGATTACGTCTCTATCGTACGTACGGTGTAAATATGTAGGGTCTGATTGTCAGATTATCCTACTCAGATACATGCCTGCCCACTGCTGGGACTATGCAAGCCTGCCGCGTTACATTGGGGGCGTGGGAAGTCACTATTGGATTCCACTCCCACCCCTGAGATGCCACATTCTTCGATAGTCGCAAATCCTGTGCAATAAACAATAACCATATCAAACTCGAGCAGATAAGGGGGTGACATTTCATATATAAAATCGGTCCTTTGGTATCATAGCTTCACAGTCCACTTCCTACAACTACAATTTCCTCAAACATCTCTATCCAGACAAGGAAAACCTCCCCAAGATGCAGTTCTATACTATCCTTATTGCCACCTTTGCCCTCGCCATCTCCGGCGCTCATGCACTCCCCCAGAGTGATGACTCTACCTGCCTCCGCTTGTGCAGAGACGAGCCGATTGATTGCCCAGCTCAATGGGAGACGGTTCAGATCCACTCTGGTGACCAGGTTTGTGATCATGGTACATATTGCATATATAGTAGGCATTGGCTAATCTCTTTAACAGGATTGCTGGACCTGCTGCACTGAGTAATTTCTCAGACGTAGGTGGTCACATCGAGGAAGGCCGCCCTATATGAAAGTGGTCTGGGTTCTATTGTTACTTTCTCGGGACCTAAACCATGGTGGAACTCACAAAATAGTGGACCTTTCTGCCATAATCATGTATTATTATCTAGTGGAAGTTATACAATGGTCGTTGACTTGGTCGGCAACAAGTATAAATGACACAGCACATACATAGTATGTACTCCGTAAACCAAGTTGTAAAGGTATATTTTTCAGTTCTTTCCATTTTTCGGATAATGAAGATGCGCCCCCATAGAGTTGGAAGCTCTTTTTAACGCTATACCAAGAAATGGAAGTATATATCACATATAATCTATTTATTATAGTACTAGTGACATCATGTTAGGATTGAATCAGTAGCTACCCGGCCCCCTTCGCTTTCGCCCCTAACCCCTTGCGGGGCCGGGTATCGGATGCCGCCTCCGTGTTGTAGTTCTAGTTCCACATTAATGCTTCACATATTGATATCAACCAAAAGAAAATTCTGTTAATCTTAGTGCGTTGATCATTGCGTGGACGGACATTGATCTGCATGGCAATCTCGCGGTCAGTAAATGCAATATCTGATTGATGTGTGATTGACTGAAACTCCTTGGGAAATCGGCATGCACACTGTACGTGTAAGTTTTACACATGTATGTCGTATGTATAAAACATCTGCAAGTGGGAATTTAAGGATAGATACTAACTTATGAAACCCATGGACATCATAACACGAAGCTCCGTTCATAACCCTAGCTTCCTAACTCGTCAAACCTCGTACATTGCGTATGCAGGGTTAAGCCAGCCACTTCCCAAGCATCAGCCAGCCACTGAATAATGCAACTCAAATAGTACAATAGCGCTGAAAATAAAATCAAAAACGTAATCTGACCTATTATAGGGCACAACATACGGAGTACCGGCTACTTCATTCAGAGCGGGTACTTTATACATACATGTCATCACGCTTAGCATACCAACTGAATATTCGAAATACGCGTCACAATGCGCCGTTGATCCTTACAGCGAGACTGGAGGCTTGTTTAGGTGACAGATCGCCGAAGAGAACTCCATTGCATATCTTATGCAATTACTGATTCTGATTTACCGGTGTTCGTAGGTAGCATGATCATCAATAATAGGAGTCTTTTATGTACTTAAATTTATGGCTAAATCTGTCGTCATCTCAAGATAATTTTCATCTCATTCCAAACGTGTGTCTTCACAATGACTGTTGACACTTCGCCATTATTAGACAAATTGGGGCCTGTGAGCCTAGTCGGCTTCATACTTCTTTCAGGAGTATTTTTCTTGTTGAGTTCAGCACGGAAATCCGACCTTCCTCTTGTGAACGGAAAGCGACCATTTGAGTTTGGGATTGCCAAAGCTCGTCAACGATATCTGAAAAATGCCCATGATCTAATAACGTCTGGTCTGGCTAAGGTATCTGGACCTAGTACGGCCTGTATATATAATTGGAGTTGCTAACTGGCAGGTGTAGGCTGGTGCATTTCGCATCGTGACAGAAAATGGCACTAGAACTATCTTGTCGCCTAACTACGCTGATGATATTCGAAGTCATCGTGACCTGAGCTTGAGTGCTGCTTTGGTTAAGGAACATCACGTCAATATTGCAGGGTTCGACGCAGTGAAAGTCACAGTGACATCTGATATCATCCAAGACACTGTCCGAACCAAGCTCACTCAAAATCTTTGTATGCCAATGAAGTTTTTCATTAGCAATAGTGGTTGCTGATGAAGACAGTGAACATTACAGAGCCCATGTCAGAGGAAGCGACTATTTTGTTGAAAGAGCAATGGACGGAAAGCACCGGTAAGTGCCTTTGGATGAGAGCCCAGTCAAACGTAACTAACTTCTCCCATTAGAGTGGCATGATATCCCCCTTAGGCCCAAAATTCTAGGCATAGTTGCTCAGCTGTCTTCCAGGGTGTTTTTGGGTGATAAAGTCTGCCGTAACCCAGCCTGGCTAAGTCTCACCGTCAACTACACTATTGATTCCCTGATGGCTGCTGCCGAGCTCCGACTCTGGCCTGAGCTGCTGCGCCCGATTGCGGCCAAGTTTTTGCCCAAATGCAAGAAAATTCGAAAGCAGCTTCAAGAGGCCCGGGCTATTATCCAGCCTGTTATCGATGAGCGTATAGTGGCCCAGAAGGCGGCAATTCAGCATGGAAAGCCCCAGGAGCGATATCATGATGCAATCCAGTGGCTTGCGGAGAACACCAAGGATCGTACCTTTGAACCTGCTGCAATGCAATTGGCTCTCTCCACTGCAGCTATTCATACCACAACTGATCTCCTTACTCAGACTGTCCTTGACCTTTGTGGACGAGACGAACTTATCCAAGAACTGCGGGAAGAGATCATTTCTGTGTTCAAAGATGGCAGTTGGGATAAGAGCACAATGTATAAGCTCAAACTGATGGACAGTGTGATTAAGGAGTCTCAGCGAGTCAAGCCCATGGCAATCGGTAAGACACTATGGACGTCTTCTAAAACAATCAAATCTAACCAATCATGACAAATAGCCAAAATGGCACGTTGCGCCGAGCAGGATGTTAAGCTTTCCGATGGAACTATTATTCCGAGGGGTGAGATCATTCTTGTCTCCTGCAGTAAAATGTGGGACGCGAGTGTATACCCTGATCCGAACACTTTTGATCCCCATCGATTCCTCAAAATGCGCCAACAGGGCTCAGATCAAGAGAGCTTTGCTCAACTGGTTTCGCCTTCCCCAGAGCATATGGGATTCGGCTTTGGAAAGCACGCTTGCCCTGGACGGTTCTTCGCTGCCGCCGAGCTCAAAGTAGCTTTATGTCATATTCTTATGAAGTATGACTTCAAGGTGGCAGAGGGATGTAATCCAAAGGTGTTGAAGTCTGGGATGAGACTTGCAGCCGACCCATTTGCCAGAATTGCGATTAGAAGAAGGGAAGAAGAGATTTATTTCTGAGCTCTTCACAGGTTAGTTGGATAAATGATGGACTAGATAAAAATATGGGTTCAAATTAACAGATTTTACTTTATACATCGAGATCTTGGGGAGGTTATGAATGATAACCTTCCCCAAAAACGAATGAGACTCTTCAAGACCTAAAGTGCGCTTCAGTACTTCAATCACGGTCTTTTCTTTGGTATACTATAATTGAACAAAGGAACAGGACATATCAATTACGGTACCATATATCAAGTGAGAACTATCTGGTAGCCAGTAACTGACAGATTCGACGCAAGCTAATTGTTTCCATGCCCGCCTACATCCCATGCTAGTCTGAAGTTGAGGATACCAATTGTTATATATAATGCTCCTATCTAGGTGCGTACTTGAAGATAGAAGTAGGCCAAATCACCGAGATTAGTTCCTCCTATTATTAGATAAATCAACCCAGACATATATTAGAACTTAGTTCATCAAGAGCTGAGAAGATTCATGCTATGCCTACATCCCTATGATGAATACAAACATTCTTGTCGTACAAAAAAAAGATAGATAATTTCTATTAATTATGCTTGGTGAATGTTTTTATTAAGGTGCGATTAGGTAGACCATTAATTATTACCTAGGTATCACATGAAAGAGCCTAACAGCTGCCTGAATATGTAAACAACGGAGGTCCAAACGAAAGTCAATTTTCACAAGCTGGCGCAACTTCAATTCAGGGACTCTATTACTCCTGAGCTCGCTTCCATTCTTTATCTAGATTGTCGCCAATTGCGCGCATGGCCTCCTTCTCGAGCTCACGGTGAGAGAGTCCCGTGCGCTTGGAGATCTTGGATTTTGACTCCTCACGAGACATTTCCACTGTAATCGAACATTGTCAGTCTGTCTATCTATTATCAATAAGTGGAAGGGAGCATACCGTGGACATAAACAGCAGCCTTTTTGCCAGTGAACATCGCATGTGGCACATTGGTGCTGCCATCACTGTTGGCGTCACCAATCGCAAAGACACCGGACTGACTGGTGCGCATCGCACTAGTAACATTGATCTTATCACCGACCATGTCTAGGTGCATCTTGGCTGGAAGTGACGAGGTCTGGACAGTTGGGAAGTTGACGATCAAAGCATTCCGCTCAACAGGCTCACCAGTAGTGAAGTGAAGGCGGAACTTGTCGAACTGCTCATCACCGTCCTCCTCCCTATCCTTGCCGCCATCCTCAAGGCGCTCAATAGAAGTGATTGTGCGGTTGTCGATGGTAGTGTTCCAAGCGGCAAGTTGTTCCTTCCAGTCTGCGACCTTTGCCGTTGCCCGGGCTTCGCCATCTGCGGTTTGCGAGCCGTTCACAAATGCAATAATGTCGGTGTACAGAGTGTGGGTTTCCAATACGTTGCCCAGCATATCGGTGATATCACCGATCATTCCAAATGGCTGGTCCCTGTGTTCGTAGCCATCGCACCACGGACACCAGAAGATACCCTTGCCCCATCCCTCCTGGAGGCCAGGAGTCGGGGGTAGAACATCACGGACACCGGTACCAAGCACAATCTTACGAGCAGTGTAGCTCTTGCCCTTGCTGTCGGTCACCGTGAAGGCGGAGAAGTCACCCTGTGTGAAAGGCACGATTGATTCCACAGTCTCGTTGGTAAACTCGGCAGTTGGATACTTCGAGATCTGCTCGCGAGCTAGAGTTCTGAAAGCAGCAGGCGGGGTACCTGGTGAGGATCGAATAGATTAGTCAAGAGACTTTGTCTGTTAGGATAACATTAGGATCCAAGCTCACCGTCGTTGCCAATGACGTCGTGCATTTCGCGGGTTGGAGCATTGCGGTACTCCTCGCTATCAATCAAGAGAGCCGTTCGGCGGACACGGGAGACACCACTGAGTGCACTGAGACCCGCGGGACCACCGCCGACCACGATGACATCGTAGTCGGTGTTAGGCACTTCCACGGCGGTGGCACATGCCAGCAGGGAGACAAAAACGGACGCGAATGTTGCCTTGATGAAGACCATGGTGAAGGATATGCGCGACTATTCAGCTAGCACATGCAGTAGGCGCTGGACATGGCCATTTATAGGTGTTCGCAATGTTACTCGTGGTGTGGTACAGAGTTGTCAAACTCCATAACAATCGCTCAAACAGGGAGAACGCGTGTGGAGACACACTAGTCGAATTCGTGTATCTCGAGCTGAAGTGGCTTAATGGATCGTCGGGATCAACAAGATCGTCAGGGCCCCGTGGTTCGGGATCCCTCGCATAATCTCATATTCAAAGCCCGGACTCGACGGAGTAGTCCGTAAGCGGGGATTGTCGAGAAGATCCGGGTAGTTCGTGTGGGGAAGCTATAGTGAAGAATGTTGACAGAGATATTCAGCTCAGCCTTTACTATGATTTTGCTAAATAATATGTCTGATGTGCACTAGTGCTATCATACGTGGACACTAGTATCTCAATCAGAAGAAATCATTGGCATTGTGGGGTACACTAGTGTTTCTGTGCAGAATAGTGTTGTCACCTGTCCTGAACATAGACTCTCTTGGGCACTTGTACTCCGTACCTAAAGTTGAATGAATGTTGCCCCTTTATTTGATCCCCCCGTGCCGATCGTTCGTGATATGGCTGGCTGAAGTTTAATGTCACTGTGCAGACCAATATCACATTCGGATTGTGCTGCATGCAAAGAATTTTGATTCGATGTAGGTTGGTATGGGTGAAAATATGCTAATACGATGATCACTTTGAGTGGAATGAATGGACATATGCTGTGAGAAGTCATTGATCGGGTATGTAGTGTTTCACTAACAATGGATGTCACTACGCTACAAGTGTGTACAACAGGTCAGGGAACGGACCTAATACTTGACCACTTGGTTTTCATCAATTAATGCGTGATTTTAGCAAATTCACAGCGCCTGTAAATGGAACGAGGTAATAATCTACATATATATACTTCGAATTAGTTCTCACATCCAATCTTTTCCCTGCAATAGAACCTAGCCAAAATCAATGAACTGCCTTGACGGGCGTCCAGTATAAATCAAAGAGTCTCAAAAAGAAGCCATATCAAGAACAGTCCTGAATTACAGGTTCATGTACCACTTCGAAGCTATTTTAGCTCTACATCTTCGTGGGACTTGAAGTATAAACATGCGCAACTCCTATAACTAGCTAGCTTTGATTGACGCTTGCATTTCTTGATGAATATAAAAGTAGCAGGATGTAAGGGTACAATGCATGCTAAAGTTTATTGGGCAAATGCGAGGGCGAGGCACATGCTGTCTGATTGTCTACCATAATGCATGTCATAACCAGTAAGTCGATGAGTATCATGCTCCGAGCTCCCGAGGTCGCCTCCTTCAACAATATGCCTAAGCCATAAATGCGACGATTTAGGGGTTTGGGAGAATTAGAGACTGGAGATGCCACAGCTCCACAAGTGGGAAGTAGAGCTTTCAACATGGGGATATTCGCTGAGTTCACAAGCTGTCAATATATATATTCATTTATAATGACCATCTACGGGTACCATTGACAACGAGAGGTCATTAAGTAGAATGAACAGTACGGAGTACAATTTGCAAAATGTTGAAAAATGTCATAAAACCGAAACTCTTCCAGAAATGCCATCTGTAAATGCAAGTATAAGTCCCCCCAACGCCTCTGCCTATCTAACTTGATCTATTATCTGTACAAATATCTCCAGTTCTGTCATGTTACATATGTAATTATACATCTTCCTGGTCATCAAGCAGCAAAACTTTCAGCTTCTCCAATTTATCCTCGCAGTGCACTTCCATCTGCATCACCACATCAACTGCATTCTTTCTGGTGATAAGCAGTTGCGATACAAGCCAAAATTTATACCCATTCTTATAGAATCCCATTGACGCCCATTCGTCACTTGTGACTTGATTGCGTAGGGCGATCCAGTAGTCACGCCAGCGGGATAGAGCAGTCCGGATGGCAATGAGGATAGAATCTTGAGCAATCGTAGTGTCTTTTGTGTCTACTCCGGCACTTTGCCTGGAATTCTTGAACTTGCCTATGCGTATGAAAGAGCCGAGAAGTTTCATATGGGTATTAATAAATGAGAACAGAACTAAACATCGAGTCAGCCGGTGCAAAGCACAACAGAAAGCATCCGGCACAAGGACATACTATGAATCAAGATAAACATGTCGAGGGCAGTGAGATCCATTGGACTAGATTCGGGTGCTTCGTCAAACAGATTTTCAAAAGCCTCCGAAAGGGTAAGGCCGCGTGAAAAGCGAAAGGTTGGCTCTGTGAACGGGTGCTCGGAGAAGAAAAGCAATTCTTCGCAAGGCAACTCGCATTCCATTTCGGTGTGTGTCAGGCGACACGGGTAATTTTGATAGAAAAAGAACGCGCAATCGAGCAGTGAAATTACAGCAATAGTCCTGTCAATATTAGGAAGGAAGACCTAAGACCTCGGGAACGGAGGAAGATACACACCTAATCCGACACTCTTTTTGGATCCACAAGTGTTCTAAGACTTGGTCATCAGGAAGATGACGGGCTTTGACAAGTTCAATTCGTCGAGCAACCTTCACAACCTCGCTGAATCGATTTTCCATCGCGCGATTTCGAGACAAACGGTGTCCTCCCCAGTATTGGGCAACGGTGATGATAAGCCCGGCCTGGAAGTTCTGGAACCAATCCCAATCGCTGTTTTTCTCGTTATAGCACCGGCCGCCACCCGAGAATATGGCGCTGATTTCGGTCTCTGCTGAGAACACATCATTCGAAAAGATGAACAGCTCTGCAAAATCCAGCAGTCTCTTAGCGACATGTACTTCCCTCTGGTCGCAACTGTACATTGCGCCCATAAATATTACCGCGGCTAAGAGTGGGAGGGGAACCATCTCCGGATCAAAGGATATAGGAAGCATTGCACAGCTGGGCTGCCAATGTTTGAAATAGAGCATAATGTATTTTCGTATGCGCGTGGTGGTTAATAGAAAGTTGAGATTCGCAGATATCTCCTCGTGCGCTTTGGAATCAACTGGGACATTCCACGCTTGTCTCAATATTGAATGAATTAATGCGATCGCGAACGGTCGCTCCGGTTCAAATATAGGCGAATCTTCGGGTAATGTTGTAGGATGCTGCCCCGTAGGGATGACGGACTCGTAGCCCAGTTCATCAGTATGGTAAGGATTCTCCGCAGGCTTCTGTCCATCGCCAAATGGGCCGTGGAGAAAGTCCAGGAATGTATCTTGGAAGAATTGCGGCGCGACATCGTCGGAATCAATGAAGTCAGAGGCATATTCCGGCTGACCGGCATTAATGTTGTATGGAAACCCTGTGCCCTGCAATTCCTCGAAGCCATTTGTATTCTGATAGTTGAGATTGCGCCCACGATCACGATCGCTGCATGGGGGAAGTCCAAAGTTTTCTGTAAAGCTGTCGGTGCCACCATTGAGTAGGAATTTGATCGATCCTCGGTCGGATGATGGCTCCTCAGAGACTTCGGGCCTCACCGATATTATTGCATGGGTTGTAGAAGCCTTCCATTGCACCCGTGTTGACTCGAGGCTTGGTGTATCTTCTTCGATCACTAGCTGGCTCGGACCTGCCGTCCGCTCGCTGTTGCATATCAAGTTTCTCTTCTGACACGACCCACAAGGGCTTCGTCCATCGCATCGCAATTTCATCGCGGTACACTATTCGACGAAAGATAAAGTCAGTATATATGGTAAGGCTTTATGTAGTCTACTTGTGGACTAACCGATTGACAGGCATGTCGCCGCCTACCCCTCTGGCCCGTCTCAGGAATTTCACGATCCCCGCGCTTGGAGCAATGGGTATAATGGTCACGCAGATTGTCACTAAATTCCAAGTATCAGATTCCAGAGTTAGTATGATAAATTTTCCCGGCTTGTCTAACCAGCGCGCGAACGAGTCATTGCAGAACACGCAGGAATAGGGTTTCTGGCCAGAATCTGTTGAAGTTTCAGTATATGGCATGGGTAGCTGCAGGGCGGGGCACACATACGGCGCAAATGGTGGCGCTTAAGGTGATCAATGCGCGTAAATCCACGCTGACAGATATTACAGCGGAAGTGTTTGTCTGTTGGCTTCATGGTGGGCCACCGGGGAGGAGGGGAATATCCGGGGTAGGAAGAGAAGGGACGAGTCTGTGGGGGAAAGGGTGAGGTATCGGTATTATAGTGGGGTTTGTGGAACAGAGGTATTCTTTTGCGCTTTGGTAACGCTAATAGATACTTGACAATTATTACTGGTCATGTATGGTATGGTCAGTGCACATTGGGCTCCCATGGATGTGTGACATCTGTGAATCTCAAGAGTAAACATACTATTTACTACCAGTACTAATATGTACCCTCGTTCTACAGCTGTGTGTCTGTTCCCTCTTTACTACATTTTGATTCAAATTACTTTGTAGGCTATTCCTATTGGCATGAATAGTTCGCGTCAATGGTTCACGCAGTACAGTACATCCAGTATCGCCGCGCGCTATCCTATTGGGTGACATCCACTGGACGCGGAAAATCGACCTCGTTATCGTCCAAGTAGTCCACGTTGATCTTGTTCTCCTTCTCGTTCTCTGTCCAACCATCCCCGAGCCAACCATTGACATTATCATTGACGTAAGTATACTCAAAGTCCTCCCATCGGGGGTTTGCGAGTGCCTTCATGGAGTGCAGGGAAGAACCTAGGATGGAGCGGTCAATACCAATGCAGTGAATATTTGAGAAGATAACACTCACCTGGCCAGAGAGCGGTGACCCGGCCATTCTCAGTGCCACCCTTATACCAGCTGCGACACTTGCTGCTGAATACAGTTCCCGCAAAATATTGATCGCAGTATTTTGTGAAATGCTGGACTGCCTCCCGTCGGACACTCATAGCGCGGATATTGTCCCGCTGCATCTTGCTCACGCATTCTGTTACGTAATCCAGCGCCTTTTCAATGAGCAAGAGAAGATTGCCTTCGCCTAGCCCGGCATTAGGTCCGAGGGAAAAGAAATAGTTCGGGAACCCATCAGTCGCGACCGAGAGATACGTCTCCGGGGTTTCTTCCCATCGTTTCGAGAGGGTGACACCTCCTCGGCCTTTGATCAAAAACCGGGGAGTATATGATGTGTCAAAGCCAGTGGCACATACAAGCATGTCGACAGGCCGATGCTGACCGTCTGCGGTGATTATCCCGGTTTCGTCTACCCTGACAATATCCGCAGTGATAATATCAACCTTATCATCTGTCAACGCTTCTAGATACCCAGGACCTGGGGTGAGTCGACGACACGCAGGCGGGAATGAAGGAAGTAGTTCATCAATAAGTCCAGGCTTATTGGCCAGACGCCGCTTCATGTTCTCTGCAAAAAGCTCCAGTCCCCCGAGCTGCATTGGATGTCCGGTAAGGGTGGCACCATGGACAGACTGGAGCTCCAGCTCGACACCTAATTGAAATGTGAGCTGGTGTATGTTGGGCAAGGCCATGTATCTTGAGACATACCTTTGCGAAATTCCTGATACGCCTGATGATCTTTCTTGAAAGTTTCGATCTCTTCAGAAGTAAATGTGACTATTTAATTTGCGTCAAAAGGGAGGACAGAAATGGTGAGTCAGTTTTCTCTTACAATTGTCCAGACCCTGCCCACGCTTTTCAATTTGATCTCGTCCAAACGACGGGGAAATCCATGTCCGGCTGCGCATATAATGGTTGATGTGCGGTACATCAGGTAGTAATGCGGGAACAATTTGGATCCCACTCGATCCATTGCCGATGACTGCAACACGGTTACCCTGCGATTAGGTCAGTATATATGTAGTCCACGGGTCCATCCATAGAATATGGCAGCATTGGAAACTTAACTAACTTTGTAATCATAGCTCTCGTCCCACGAGGCGCTGTGCATCAACTTGCCCTTGAATTCCTGAAGGCCAGGGATATTTGGCCATTTCCAGTTGTTCAATGCCCCAGTCGCCTGAATTACGATATCACATTGATCTATATAAGTGGAAGAGTGTTCCAAATCTTGGACCTAAATAGATAAGGTCAGTACCTGAACTGATCTGGGGCGAGGACTGACATACCTGCAGATTCCACTTTGATTGCTCCTCATCCCAGACAGCTTCGGATATCTGCTGTCTCAATTTGATATATGGCATGCATCCGTACTTTTCAGCGACATGCTTCCAGTACTGGTGAATCTCTGGAGCTTTGGCATAAAACGTCGACCAACTCTTGTTAGGCTCGAATGTGGCTTGATACGTATGAGCTGGAATATCTACCAGACACGAGAGTGGTTAGACGGCAAATCTTGGAAAACACAACCCATCAATTGTGAGTTCTGGGGTCTGGAAACTATGTCGACATACCACAAGCGCACCCTGGATACCGGTTTTCAAACCAGGTGCCTCCAATATCTGCATTTTTATCATATACGCATACATCCACGTTGGGAATTCGCTGCATGAATCGAACACATGCTATGATCCCTGAAATACCGGCGCCGATGATAACCACTCTCAGCCGGCGGGCTTCATCAACAGACCGCTCCTCTACAGCACATTCTTGATTTGTGCTGGCTTGCTGGTGTGATTCTTCACGCTTTTCGTCAACCGGTTTTGAACTGCCACAGAAGACCCCAGAAAAGTAACTCATCGCGATGTGCAGAGGACTGATGTACTACCGGAGAAGGCAAATCAACAAACAGAAACCTCAAATGAGAAATCTACAATTGAACGGGAATTTGGTCTCGTTTTTCCGTATTCGAAGGATCTACGACACGGAAATGAGGGGTCTTAAGACTTGCGACATCGTCTGAGGGGAAACCTCCCCATCTTCATCCTTGCACTAGTGGCACGAGCTGCCCCACAAGTATCGGCTATAGTCTGTGATATTATGAGCCGAGCCAATGGAGCTCAATTTCACCATCTGATCAGCTCAGCTGCGGGTTATAGTTGAGACGTGAATGGACCGGAAATCCCCCTATCCCGGCGCCTCCCCCCGGTTCGGTTGCGAAACGCCCGCGGTTCCACGTGGCCTGAAATTTTGAGTCCAAAGTTCTTGAATTGTTCACCTGAATTGAGAGGGGCCAAGAATTGGTGCGCCTTCATGGCGCTAGTCCAGTAGCACGGCAGGTTTTTGGTGCCATCGCGCCAACCCATATATTTTATTTACCGCCTATCTTACCGCCTTGCTCTCATCTGTATACTCCTGATACTCCTGTAGGCCTCTGCAAAGCCCACAAAGCCCAAAGCCCAGCCCAACCCAGCCCACTAATAGGTTAGGCTTTGGGCCCGTCCTTCGGGCCCATCGATAGGTTATGGGCTTATATCTTGAGCCCATAGCCCATAATAGGCCCCTATCATACAAACATACAAATCTATTGCAACTGCATAATTAATACATTTTTTGCTGGTTTTTTGGTGTATTGAGATTACTATCCAGGCTATATATAAAGCTATACGTGAATCATTATATTCTTCCTCTTCTTCATCTTCTTCATCTTCTTCTTCCTTTACAAATTTACAAGTAAAGTTATAGAAAGTAATAATTCAAATGATTTGATTCAATTAATAAGATACTAGAATCAGTGTTATATTCGTATAATTCCTACTTCTTACCATAATAATTAAATGTTACTGAGTATATCGGTTGGAACATGCGTAAAATACTGTTATTAATCAGCTACTTTATATATACCAAGAAATATTTATACAGCAAAATGGGCTTTGATTGGGGCCCATAAGGCCCCCATCAATGGGCCGCGAGTTAGGCCCTCGAAGCCCGGCCCATTTATAGGCTTTGCAGAGGCCTAACCATGGGACCTCCCGCAGGTGGGTGTCCACGGGTGTATTGTTAATTAATTACTAATTTTCTGCCCGGCAAAAACCCGGTTGGCGCGATGGCACCAAAAACCTGCCGTACAGTAGATTGTATTCTAGGCGGGACCAATAGCCGACACCGGATTGACGAAATACGCTGTCTACAGTGTAGATCAATTATGAATTTTCAGATTAACTTATCAGTACTGTTCAATGCAGTACGACTTGAAGCCATTTTCTAGGAGTTCAATATGAAAAGAAGTTTGTCCAACCGCCTCACAGAACTACATACCTAAATTGGTAGGGAGAGGCCGCTTTTGCATTCGAATTTTGCCTTTTATCCTGGTAATCCTGGTTGGTTGCGATAGTGAGCATGGAGTGCAATTCCGTCAAAACAAATTTCTTGTTATACTAATCATAGACATGCCAGTATGTATGCAGACTGTAATGTACATACAGTGGTCGGGGAAAGGGTTGGCGTCAGTTGAGAAGCCGAAATCGGGGCTCGCGTTGAATTACTTGATGAAAAAATATCCCGAGAAAAGCAACGAGAATTACTTATGGAATATAGAGGGACATCTCTTCGAGTTTTTATGAATTATACCTATTTCAATTCTATGTTTGAAGTATGGAGTAGTCATTAACACATAGGGCTCTATGTCTACGTATAGTGACAGACCCTAGGGGCTTTCAACTCTACAATTCCTTACCCTTCGCATTTTGCGTCCTTCTTGGCGAGGTCATTATAATAGTTTTATAAACTAATAGATAAATATCATTTGATTCAATACTTAAAACTATGAATATATACAATATGTCTGCAACAAATCATTTAATGAAGCAAATAACTACTGTGCTCTAGTTCCGCGGAATCTGCTATAACTGGTTAGTTCTGCCTTTGTCTGCATTGCATCGTCATCGGCGACCACAAGCACCAAAGCTCAGCAACACCATACAGCAATCTCAGATCTCCAATTCTGAACCAAGCACCTGTAGATCTACACTTACATAGGAGATTTAGGTGGCGAGATATAGCTTGTGAACTGAAGGAGCATTTGGAGAGATCACTTCGGAGCAGATAGTAGATTCACAACGTTTACGGCATTTGCAGACCTGGCGCTACGAAGATGGCTTTCAGGTTTGCGACCTGCTAGTTAAAGCTGTCATTTGCCATAGATTGAAGAGAATCTAGAACCCCTTATCAGAACCATCTCGAACCTTGAAATCCAAATAAGCTAGTATGCATGTGGGAAGGCTTCAATCTATCTAACGCTAGTTCAAGCCAAAATATGCGAACTCAACCCAAACAGGTATAGGCTTGATCGAATGGCTTTTGATGAGCAGGAGCGGTGTAAATAGATAATCCCTACTTGACAGGCACGAATATTTTTTATATTACGATTTCATTCAAGGCTTTGCAATTTTCCTGGCTCTTTTGAGTAGTCATGTATAGGATGATCACATTCAAGAGGCTAAGTTCCAACTCAAAATTAGCCAATGCACTATATCAAAGTAGTCGACATGCAGTGAGATATATGCAAGATGTGTTGGCTGTGCCACTTCTGTGCATATGACCAGCTGCAGTCTTAAAGGCTCACACACTATACAATTTGTCTTGTTTCCCTACCCCGCAAGGTGTTATCTAAGTGGCCGGCAAATTACATAGTAGACATAATATCCATATACTCTGCTTCCCCCCCCTAAGGGTGGGTTTCTCCGAGATCGTAAGATTGTGTTTGCTTTACTATCCCCGCTCTTATCCATGACGAAAGACGATACTCAAGGCCGTACCTGCTCCCTCGAGGAGTTCTTCGATACTGCTTTTGACTACATAATTTGCGGCGGTGGAACTGCCGGATGCACTGTTGCCGCACGGTTGAGTGAAAATGCGCAGGTTACTGTCGGTCTGATAGAGGCGGGAAAGTGCAGGCTTGGTGATCCCGTTGTAGATACTCCCGCAAGGTTCGGGGAGATGTTCGACAACCCCGAGTATGATTGGTGCATTTATACCGAGCCACAGGTAATCTTGTACGACACATTGAAAGCTAAGCCCCCCGCTAACCAGTTCTGAAGAGAGAAAACCATGACAATGTTCACCATGTGCCATGCGCCAAGTTCTTGGGTGGTTCAAGTGGTATGAACGCCACGTGCTATGTCCGCGGATCATTACAAGAATATGACGATTGGGCTGGGCTTGTTGGCGATGAGGGCTGGTCGGCCGAGGCTATGCAACAATATATGCGCAAGCATCAGGTCAGCAGTCTCCTGGATTCTAAATTTGTGCAAAGGTTGACCCATGGATTAGACATTCGAAGCCGCTGAGGCAGACCTGGGCCGATCCATAAACTCCCTTAGTAAATTTCACGGTTTACAAGGTCCTATCCACACTAGCTTCAATGATGCGGTATTACCCATTGAACACGCTTTTATCAAGGCATGCGAAGAGGCAACGGGTATTACCAAAAGACCAGAGGATCCCTGGTCTGGCGATCATATGGGGTTTTATCATGGGTTGACAACCGTAAATAGAACAGGCCCCAACAAAGGGAAGCGAAGCTATGCTGCGGGAGCATACTTGGAGTCAAACCACACTCGCTCTAATTTGAAGATTCTGTGCGAGACTCGTGTCAACAAAGTGATACTCGACGAGAATCATCGAGCGACCGGTATTAGCATAACTCACAGCGAGAACGACTATGAAGTCACGGTCGCCCAAGAGGTCATACTGTGTGCGGGTACTATATTCTCTCCACATATCTTAGAACTTTCTGGCATTGGTGACCCAGCCGTCCTTGAAAGAGCTGGAATTCCTTGCAAGGTAGAGAATTTTGCCATTGGAACCAACTTCCAAGACCATGCTATGTCATTCACTACATGGCATGTTCAGCCAGATGTCATTACAGGGGATATCCTTCGGCTGGTCCCCGAGGCCATGCACTCCGCCATCAATCAATATGTGGAGACGAAAGACGGGCCTCTCACTAACGCTCCTATCGTCACTGGATTTCTTTCAGCGAAGAGTGTCATGGCTGAAGCGGAATTGAACGGTCTAATTCAAAATATCATGGAGATCAAACCCGCTAATGCGTTCCATGCCAAGCAGCTGAAGTGCATTATTGCAAACCTACAGGACAAGAACTCAGCCAATTTGCAGATTTCTATAATGCCACTCATGACCAACCCCAAACGAGACTCGAGGCATCACAAGGAGTTATTTGTTCTGGGTCCTGAATGGCAGGGGAGAGGAATCACATTAGTCGTTGGGATACAGTACCCGGTCGCGCGTGGATACATTCATGTTGAATGTGATGGTAAGTCCCGACAGCTATGCGTGAGCAGGATGAGAATTAAGTTTCAGCCAGATTTTGCATGTCCGCCAATGATCCAGTCGAATTTGCTTGGTCATGAAGCAGACGTTACTCTTCTCGCGGCTGCTCTTCGCTGGGCAGACACAGTGGGTCGATCGGAGCATCTTCAAGACTCAATCAGCAGCAGGTCGTTCCCTCATCCAGAAGTCGACTTACAGAACCTCGATCGGGCCAAAGAAGCAGTACATGAGTTTGTAAATTCCAACTACCACGTGTGTGGCACAGTTGCGTTGGGTGAAGCGCTAGACACTCGTCTACGGGTGAAAGGAGTACAGGGCCTTCGGGTGGTGGACGCGTCGATCTTCCCGAATAACGTTAGTGGTAACATTCAAGCAACCGTATACGCAGTGGCAGAGAAGGCAGCCGATTTGATCAAGGAAGACTGGGGATTACTTGCACGCGAGTAGGACCAACTATATTCTGAGGCTGAAATGATGAATGAGTCTTCAAGTGCTACATGGTATTTTCTTTGAAATACATCTTGATGGAGCAGAGATATGAACATGTCAATGCCAGGCGGCAAGAAAACAGATTTTATTATTTCTTATTATTTTTCAATTCTCCAGTAGAAACTGCAAGGCATCGAGTAAATACTCAGAGTGCGGTGCGATCTTGATGGATATGCTACTGGACCCTTCTTCCGTTGTCTCAGCTTAATACTTCACATGATGTCCAGCTTCATCAGACGATCATTGATAATCTCAAGTAAAGGAATGTCGAGTGGATTCTCCTAAGCGAAGTTCGTTGGAATCTTAGAGCCCAGTGACTACCTTATCATTCAGTATGGCGTCCAGCAGTTGTCGGTAGACGTTTGGAACATTCTCGAACCGGGCGTACCCGCACGTCTCATGCTCTAAGTGAATGAAAAGAGCACTGAGCAAGGCGAACTCCTTGTCACAACAACGGGTGTTGGGGCAGTGATAGATTTTTTGCTTGTGAATTGACGAGTTCACGTGCGTATTCAAAGCGGCCCTTGTTATGAATCTCCTTTGGCATATGTAGCACACCCATGTAGTACCATCAAGTGCGCTTTCTGTGGCATAATAGCGCTCGCTCTCATCGTTGTGCCCTCCAATTTGCTGGTTCGTGACAAGGCCTGTGGGGTCGATGCCCTGAATCATCTGGCGTATTGTCTCCCGGTTCCAGTTGTCAGCTTTCGGGCAGGTACCATATTCAAGATGGCTGGTGACACCACTCGCAGTGACAAAGGGGGCATTGCAAAATGGGCATGAGACATCAGTGCCAACATGAAACTTCGATTTGAGATGCTATTCATGGATAATACAGACATATGTTAGTCAAACCCTCATAGTGTAGCAAGGGAAAGGCCCGGGAATTTCTATGGAACAGGCTTAGTGGCCATACCTGACGAAGGCGGTTATCGCTCAAAAAGCGTCGCTCACATTGGGAACAGTAGTACTTGTAGTGTCTCTTGTGTTTCATATGCTGATCGGCGGCAGCCCGAGAAGGGAAGATGCAATTGCACGTCTGACATCCAAAAACAAATTCGCGATGATTAAGCGCGTCCATGTGTTGGTTGCAGCTGCGCTGAGTGCGAAATTGCCGGGTACATGTCTCGCATTCCACCCAATGATCGAATGTATCCATGTGATCATCGCAGTCCGATCGGGAGTTGAAATCGTCGCCACAGGTGCCGCATTGGCACATCTTGACTAAAATACATAGAACTGGGTGAGTAGAAATGGATAAAAAAGCCTGTGTGTAATGGATCACCTGTCAAGAACCACGGGTATGTGAAGGGATTGGAGATGTCTCACAGAGAGCAGAGAGATGTAAGACGGAAAGGGAAGGACATAGGTAGACAGGTTTTGTTTGTGGGATAGCAAACGCACTTCACACCATGTACGCGATGTCTAAAGGCACTAGTAACGCGTACATAGTTTGAGGTTATCATCTGGGCAGTTTGTTTCTCAAAAAATCCTTTTTTATTAGTCTTTCCAAGTCCCCTGCTTATCACCTTTATTGATATGCCTATGAATTAGCCTGAGCTCCTGCATAAAGGCCCCCAGAAGATAGAAAATTGACCATCTTGTGTTTTGGACTGCATGGCGGCCTATTATATCTAGCATCTAACCATCGTCCTTGCTAGCAATTAATCCGTTACTGACATAACATTAAGGCTTGTATTTCTGGCCCTAGATCCCATGAAAATGGTGCTGTATCGGGATTTGGCTCTATAATTTCAAGTTTCCCATTGGACCAGCCATCCTGTAATTGCAGCTAGGCAACACATTTGGACGATTACACGCGGGGATATAATCCACCCCGGAAAATGGTCTATCCTCACATGGCAAAATAGGAAGTTGCAAGCTATTTTCCGTCAACCTAGTATGTATGGAGACCAAATTTCGGTACATCAACAGCTTATGTCTGAAATAAGATTATCTACACGTATAAAATTAGATCTCTGCTAGGATTAGTATGTAATTTATAGAACAAGAAGTAAGAATACAAGTCCATCCATCATTTCCCCTGATTCGGATCTATATCTAGCAATTCCACATCACTATTCCTTCCCGAACGTGATTCATAATTCACTGAATAGGTAACAGACTTGTTGATCTTGCTTCCTGGCGTAGACTTGTTGTTATAGTAATCAGCTGTGGCTGGGTTCGTTTGATACGACGTTCCCCCAAGGAAACGGGGGAACCACCGACCAACGATAGCTCTAAACGCAGGTAGACAAGCGCACATAACAGAGATTTGGGATTCGATGACAGTCCAGTGAATGAGAGGGTATAGGCCGAGAGTCTGATTAGCACCCCATCGATTGGTCCAGAAGACAATGACTCGGATGATCGCGATGATTGTTAGGCTGTGAGATTGGTTAGTGACACGGAAATGAGAAAATACCAGGCTTGGGGGTGCATACACAGAGCCCACAATAAACATCAATGCTACAGAGAATTTTTTTCGCAGAGGCAACTGCAGCTTGACCACCTCGTACACCGGCATGACGATCAATATAAAGTCAACAATGATGTTCACCAGACAGTTGACGAGGATTGAGGAGATGAAATCGATGCACTGTCCGGTTTCCTCGTTCTTCCAGCCTGTCCATGTTAGGTGGGTCGGTAAGCAGCGGAAAGCATCCACCAAGGCCCAAGTGATACCAATCGCGGCGTTGACACCGATGAGCGTGTATGCTAAATAACGGAATGTCCGCGATTTGAAGATGCGGAGTAGGAAGAGACACACGGAGATCTTTGCTAGCGAGATTTGAATCTTATACATCACGGCAAGAGCTTGAAAATACTGCTCTTGTTAGATAAGAACCGAGAGTTGAAGAGGAAACGAACCTGGTAGAACCTGGTGATTGTGGGAAAAGGGACGTCCCAGATATTTTGTCCGAAGCCACTTCGGATCACTAACTTTTTTTAGTGCTACTCTCTTGTCAAATCGAGCATCGGGAGTGCCAACTTACTGTAAATATTCAGAACATATATGGCGACTCCCATGACCTGCGAGGCTGTTAATACCGTGTGAGCGAACATCAAGAAGCAACACTGACATATGAGACGACTATTGTATAATCATCCAATCCCCATCCACCACCAAGGCCGCTACCTTTGGCGACCACTCTCATAATGAAGAAAAACGATGCAAGAATAAGAGGGATTAAAGTTGAGGCATCGACCACTGGAGGGCCTTTGAGCGGTGTTATATCACATTCTTGTTCATAAAGACGTTTTGTCGCTAGCAGGGTTAGAATAGGCTTGGGAGATCAATTATGATCGAGACACACTGAAGAATTCCTTTGTCGTGCAGTTCATTTCAGCACAATTTAATAGGGCCGTGGGACGAGAGCCACTAGCACAGAAGCATGATGTATTGTTGTTCAATGAGCAACCAGTGAATAACTGATGGTCACAAGTGATCTAGCACATATTTATTAGCAATAAACACAACTGTGTTGGGGGACATACGTACAGCGCAAGAAGGAAAGACAGTCGTGTCCGAGTCTACAGCATGGATCTCCACTATGAGCAGAGTCAAAATGGCGAAAAAGAACAAATGAAGCCTCATTGTAGCTACAAATATGTTCATAAACAATGTTGGAGGTAATCCTTAAGAAGTTTAATTTTTCCCGCTAGGGTAGCAGCAGGTTTTTTTCCGAGTTCAACATGAATGGCCCCAAGTGACCGGCGTGGATACTCTGGACGTTAAGCTTATCTGTTTCGCATGACAGTTTCTGCTTTGCATGGATCTCGATGGCGAAAACAGGCACACAACCATGATTGGCCACAAAGTAAGGAATACTCCTCCCGTGAATTTGGTTGAAGTGAAACGAGCCCTGATATTGGTGCTAAGGTGAGTGTTAAAGCGGGTATCTTTTCCGGAATATTCCTAGAATGGGTCCTGGGATCGTGGACCACGCGCCGCCACCCACAGAATAGCTAAGAAAAGATGCCCGGGTGGATTGTAACCACTTGGATCCATGGATTTAGCTCAATGATCCTTGTTAGGAGGTGTTTCTGTGCGGCTGAAGGCCGAGGAACAGGCCAACAGATGGCAATTTTTTATCGCCAAGAACCACGATGGACCCTAGGCGCTATAGATCGGCGGTTATACGCATCCTCATTTGGCAAAGGGCAATTACATATGATGAAGATCAACCAATTTGTAAATGAAACTATACAAACTAGTTACGGAGTAACGTAGTCTTTAATAAAACCTTTGCTTCAATGACGTGTAAAATGGTGATTTGTGGCAAACACAATACATACTCCAATATTCTTACTTTGTACATCGATGACTTCGCTCTACAATGTTCGTTATTGAAGGATATACGCCAGGTAATCAGGGTCCAGTAATATTGTGCGTTAAGCGATACATACTACTAGTGCCAGACGCCATACGCATGACCAGGGCTGGCCATTATTATTAACGGAATGCGCTAAATCAAGGGTAAAGATTAAGATCCAGAAATACTCCACTAGACGAGATCGAGGATCAATAGATCAATAGATAGATTTTTTCTCATGCTTCTTCAATTCACATGAGAAGTATGAGCTGCAACTGTGGGTTGGAAGGGAGAGCTGAAGTTCTGGCAGACATGCTATATTTGAAACACGCTTGTTGAACTATTCGACCACTACTACCAAAGACAGGATGCAGATCCTGTTCTTAATTTGCATCGCAAAGTCGATTTAGAAAAGAAAAAATCTTGGAAACGAGGGTGTGGGGATTCACGTCACAGTATGTCTCGGGAGCCACTACCTAAACAAGATATGTAATCTCCGATGCCAAGCCTCCTCCGCTATTGGTGTTCGAGTCTCGGGATAGTATAAGCGATCACGGAGACCTCGGGACTGTTGAGCCCCAAAGTTCAATGCATAATTTTAAACGATATTATGGCCTATGCTCAACGGATATAGTGTTCATGCTCAAAGATAAATTATGTAGTACTTACCTCGAGTATTAGTCAAGTGAAGTATGTAACCAACTATATATATGTCAGTATGCGTAAGCTGTTTTGTCGAGTTGGATTTTGGGAGAAAATACATAGTGGTAGTTGTTTTTACCTACCTACCCGTGGACATACTATACTATCTTGTAGCGCCATAGTACGGGGCTATATACATAGCAAGAAAATTGCGTAGGCACGCCCTTTTCTGTTATTCGCCAACATAAAACTCCGAAATAGTTTATAGGTTCACCAGGCAGGCGTAGAGGGATATATACTGTCTATCTTTTGACGAAGTTTGATTGCATATTTCCATGACCTCTTGCAATTGAACAAGGGAACTAATCAAAGTCAGCTCGAACTTCTAGCAACATGAAACGGGCGTTAGGTATTTGTGACACATGCTAATTCCTAACAAATTGTGCAAGTATGGACAAGTGACCACAATGAAAAAAAACTCGGATGACGAGCTTCTCAACTTCTTGACGTCCAACGGGTTGGTAATAGTGTTGATATAGAGCCGGGGCCTCTGTACATTCTATATACCTCTGCGGGCTAAATAACAGATGGATCTGAGACTTGCATCGATCTATAAGACAAAGGTGCCACAGCGCGTGGGAAAAGAAGTGGTTGAAAACAAATCTTTCGCCACAGGATTGACATGATTAGTCCTTCAATCCTATCATTTTTAGTCCAAGACACCCAGCAGCAATCTGAGTCTTGGCATTCATCATGTCGTGGCAGTCTCTTAGCCTCACCATGTGGGTTGGTCCTATATAGATAGGGCCATGAGCCATTTTGGGTATGGTGCCGATCTCATGCTAATGGGCTCGGGGGATAATAATGATTGCAGGGTAAAATATTAAATTGCAAAGACCGCGCGGGGTAGTGCGTAATCCGTATGACACCTTGATATGCGATTCCCGAGTGATATAGATCACATCGAGCTTTCATTTGATCGCACTACATTGTATAAATGTTCGTTTGAGTAAGTTTCATATTCTTTGATGAGTCGAAGTCAAAATTCAAAATAAATTCCTCGGGTTCAAGACTGGAAGGCGCAGAGACGTCTTTTAATGGAACAAAGAGGCCCGATGGGGGCCTGAGGGGGATGCATCCTTGCAAGCCTGCTGACCGTGGCAAATCCCATCATCTCACCTAATAACATGGATAGTTGATATTCCACTATATCTCAGCTGAAGGGGCCAGTCTATTTTTTCCAGATAGTAAGTAGTATTTAGAATGACTTATCAGAGAACCCATGAGGAAGAAAGAGGGGAAGGTTCATATCCGGCAGAGAAATGAAATACCCTTAGTAGCAAAAATCCTTTGCATGCGCGCTAGACAAAAAACTAACTAGCAAAGTGATGTACATACTGACCTAGTGACCATTCTGGGCGAGGCTCTGCCTATCGAAAGAGGCCATCAAAGGTCCATGGTGTACTTTGTAGTGTGCTCAGCCCAAAAGCATTTTGAATACTGCTCATCCCTGTCCAAAAGCTGGCTTTCGAATTTGAATTTCTTTGTCTTCGAGCGTAGTCCTCTTTTCTCACCCTCGTCCCCAATTCCTTCTAGTACTGTGGAAAATTCCAATTCACTAGCTAGCGGTGTGCATCTTGTGTGGACTGATTTTCAACCATCCCCTGCACATTATTATGTTTGTTAGCCAACTAGCCCAACCACTGGTATGGCTGGGTTTGGCGACCATGATATTGGCTGCCGACTCTTCCACAGCTGAGACCATCACTACCCCGACATCTGATGCAGGATCATCATCGGCAGTAACTTCAACAACCCCCTCCTCGACCGGTATCACGACCCATACAGTCCAGGTGGGACCTAAGTCAAATCCGCATCAATTTGTCCCAGCCGCCATAACCGCCAACGTGGGCGATATTGTCGTATTTGAATTTTACCCAACGAACCATTCCGTCGTAAAAGCAGATTATGAGGCTCCTTGCGTGCCAGCAAGCGGAACTATCTTTTATTCGGGTGCCTTCGTCAAGTTTGATCTGCAGGATGGACAAATCGTCGGACCAGTGAGTATAATACATTCGAATTGCCGAATAAATTGTTGATCAAAGCAAGCTGGCTAATATATCTCCCCTAGCCCCCGACTTGGTCCTTGCGAATTAATGATACCGAGGTACGTATCTAGCCAAAACAAATGCTCGTGATTCTGGACTGAGGCTAACGGCGGTTCGATGTAGCCCACATTCTACTATTGCACTGCGATAGATTCATGCACGAAGAATGGAATGGTCGGAGCAATTAACGCGGTATGACTCTCAGTTTCTCTCGAGCATGGAATCAGGCTGACTGACTGGCTGACTGACTGCTGATACTACAGAATACAACTCAGTCATGGGAAACGCAATACGCTAAAGCACTGACGTACCCTTTCATGTTAGTCCCAGGCCAGCCCATGCCCGCTGAAGGCGAAGGTGGAGATTCCAGTGGTGACAGCAAAAGCGGTGATGATAAGCATGGGCTTAGCGGGGGAGCTATTGCAGGTATCGTCGTTGCAGCAGTGGGCTTCGTGGCCATTCTGGTGGCACTTTTCTTCGTTCTCGGCCGCAACCGTGTGTACTCACAGTGGATGTCCTCAGAAGATGGCCGCACAGAACGAACCGCACGATGGGCACTGTTCAACCACGGCGACCCATATGCCAACGGGAAAAGTGAAGTGGGAAGCACTGTTCCTACGCAAAAGCCAGGCCATATCGACGTCACCGCCGTCTCTAGTCCAGATCCGAATGTGCGCACATTTTCACCTGGGGCAGAAGTTGTATCCGGTCCTGGTTCCCCATCAACGCAGCAGGGCCACTGGAGCTGGAATGAGCCTCCTCAACCTCCCCGTGCAAGTGCGGTCGCCACAGAGCTGGAGGGTCACCCTATTATCTGGGAGGTGCCAGGCAGCACTCCAGGCAACAATCCAGGCAATCGGTTCTGAACAGGTGTTAAAAGTGCAGATGTTCGGATGGGGTAGGGAGTGCCGAGTCGAGTCAAGTCGAGCGGGCCTCGGTGCGGGCTTTTATATCTTTGTGGTGGTGTTGGCGTTTGGTTATTTTCCTTCCATGCCTGAATTGATCTGCTTTTTCTATACATTTATGTTGATACCTGGAGACTTTCTTTTTTTGCCTGTCGTACATAATTTATTTTCATTTTGAATTCTTAATATTTCAGCTCCTGAACAGTGCTAAGCTAAACCCCTGATACTTCAGATCCGCAGATCTCCCGTATAGATTCCCTTTGTATGTTAAAGTTCTTTGTCTCAACGCTAAGCCTTGCCAGATCGTACTAGGAAACTCTGTAAGAGCCACCTCGAGATATGCCATAAGCACTGTCAAACTAGTGGACCTAAAATTTACTAGAGTCCGCTATTAACAGCTTGATTCATGTCCTGTTTCGTAGGCCCTGATAGGACTCTCTCACTTGGCCTTTACACAGGGTCGGTCGGTTTGCCAGTTCTTGAGACCTTGTTTATCGCTTCGGATATGCTTTTTGTTTGGGTAGCGTAAATGGTAACATATTTCGATTTCGAGGGCGATTGAAGTTGTTTTGTTTACTTCCATGTAGGAAGTTGTCCAGTGGAAGGAATATCGACATGCGTTAAATGGGTGATAATGGTAATAAAACGGAGCATGACATAATTTCCACCGCGGTGAAAGCTATAGAGTACGTAACATGTGTATCAAATCAGATCGTAATTACGGTACTATTGATTAGCTGGCTTCCCACGCACCTGGCGAAAATTATTTCCCAAGTGAATTGCGTCTCATAATCTCAGTCATGTCCACGCCAGCAAAACGCCCAGCTCTAGGGATCTCCGGAACCCAGAAACAAGCTCTTCGAGTCTGGGCGGAAAGTCAAAACCCCCGTCCATCCCAATCCCAATGTTCCGCTTGGTTCGAACGGACCTATGGACGGAGCCTCTCCCAATCAACTATTTCAACAATCCTCTCCAAAAAGTTCGACCACCTTGATGCCGGTCCGGCATCTAAATTGAGACGTCAATTAGCACCACAATGGCCCCTTCTTGAGACACCACTTTGTGAATGGCTCGCGAGTCAAGAACCTGGCTCAACACCAACAGCTGATACTATTATTACCAAAGCACGCGAAATCTGGAATGGAATTCCGGAATACCAGACCCTGCCACTTCCTCACTTTAGCAATGGGTGGTTGAACAGATTCAAGAAACGATATGCCGCTCATCTCCATGATCGCCAAGATGGCGTGTCTCAACCCCCACCTCAAGCTGGTCGCAAGGAAATGAAAGCAATGAAAACGCTATGTGGTGAATTCCCAGAAGACGATATTTACAACATGGATGAGACTGGCCTTTTCTGGCGAAAGCCTCCATTTGGCGCTTCCCCCACCATGGAACAAATGATAACAAACAGGGAAAACTCCCGCATCTGCCTCATGCTCTGTACAAACAGCACTGGGTCAGATCGGTTACCCCTTTGGGTCATCGGACATACGCATACACCAGAGGCACTTCGGAGGGCTAATCTCAAAGCCATGGACTGCCATTGGCGATATCATCGGCAGGCCTGGCTAACCCAATCGATCATGCAAGAATGGCTGCTTTTCTTCTACGAACATGTAGGGCAGCGCAGAGTTTTGCTTCTGCTGGATAATCATCCAGACCACCAAGCTGCCGTCGAGGCTACGCCGCCGCCTCCGAATGTGCATCTTCAACTGTTTCCTACCCAAACCCGTGCTTTGAATGAGCAGCAACCGATCAACTTGGGAATTTCTCAGACTTTCAAACACTACTATCGCAGGCAATGGCTTGCGTACATTGTGGCAGGTATGGAATCTCCCCAAAACCCAGTCCACATGATGAGTCTTTATCACACCATGTCCTGGGCCACCCGGATCTGGCGTCATGACGTTGCAAACGCGATTATTTACAGAGCATTCCGGAAGAGCCATCTTATGGACCCACAGATCGAGTTCATCACAGCTCCAAAATCACCCGATCTGACAGCTCTCTACGAGACCGTCACACAAAATAATCCTGATGGTCGACCGGTCACCAGCCTTGAAAATTTCACTCATCCTGTGGACGAGGATTTCGAATCTGTTTTAAATGTTGCTGGGTTTATCGTTGATGGTGAAACTACTCTACAGGAACTGGATGACGCTATTGTTTCCATCCCGTTGGAGCAACTAATACCCCCGGCTGTGGATGCAGTCATTGGGATACAGACGGCCATCCGATACTTGGTACATCAGCCTTGGGCTACCTCGAAGGACCTTCAGGCTCTCGAGAGGATAGAGAGAATGATCAATCGTCTCGCTATTGAGGAGCGACGACAGGCACACCTTGGGGGGTTTGATTGAAGAAGGACTAGGATTGGTGACAGTCATCGTGTCAATTGGTCCCTTCATCTTAATATCAATCAACCTGAGCCATTACCTTCGCTGTATACTCAGATATTCCGTGGAGAAGTCTAAACGTTGCTCTTCGTCCCCAGAGAAAAGTCTTTCCATGTGTTCCTTCTGACGTATTGACAAGCCACGAGGAACACGTGGTTTCTTTCTAGTATGTGAAGCTTTCCATAAAGATCAGTTAATACATCTTACCCCCTAATGGATTTCAAGTCAATCCACAAGCTAAAATTCCGTGAGCCAATATCCACTGCAAATATGTCGGTGGGCGATGTGACAGCCTATATTCTAAACGATTGACCTTGGTGAGTAGCCTAAACATAGATCATTATGATTTCTAGGGTTGTGGGATGCATAATATCAAGAGCGGCGCTAGTACCGGTGTTGGATATCTCTTTACCATGGGGCTTAATTGGAGTATAGTGGACTCTTTCATAGTATATTGATATTTTGAACAAAGAGCAACTGATGCATCCACCTGACTCGATGCTTGAGCCCTGTTGGAAGGTAAGATTATCGGCTTAGATGAGTGGCTCACCATTTCAATTTGTTGGGGCATATCACGTTGTCTCAATATACCATGGATGTCCAAGGCTCCCGTGGTAAGTCCTACTGGACATTATGAACCGTCTTCAGACCGCATAGCACCAATCCAGCACCAACCATTCATTCGAATGATATTTTCTATATGAGGTCACTCTGACAAATATGCAAAGCTCAAATTTTGATGTGCTATGAGAACTCTACCGAAATTGAAGAATACAAACTCCAGATACATTGTTGTATCTATGTGACCCTTTGTTATATTCCACACTTTCTATTTAAACCTACGAAGATCCGCCGATTTTATGTTCTCGGATCTGTATGTGGCTTTTTGAGACCCTCTCGAGTTCGCGGTGCAGAATTTCTTTCGCATTAACAAAGATGAACGACTGGTTACCCAGAAGTCATCCATCGAGACTCTCCGTCAATGCTACCAAGGTGGAAATCTGGGATTGCATTCAATCGTTGAAGAACGTCATGGTAAGTCTTAGGAAGGAAGATCAAACTCGGTGGACTGACATTTGCTAGCATTCGATACTGCGGGGTCACGGCGATGGTACTCGTGGGTTTACGATGCTATGGCCCACCAAAAGGGGCACGAAGGTCACGTTATGCATGGACACTGGATCCTATGGACAACTTGCGGAGTCTGCCAGACGCGCCAAAGAAAAGAGGGCCGTAGTAGAAATCAATCAACTCGAGTGTTGAATATCGGAAGTGGGATAGTAGAGCAAACGAAGGCGCTACGGAGGCGGAAAAAAAAGATGAAAGGTAGATACAAGAATATCACACAGCCAAGTCATCACAGCCAAGTCATCAAATCATCTTCCAATTGCGTGCACATCGGTTACCTATCCACATATAGAGGTACATGTAGTGAAGTGATCAATACCATGCTATGTTATGTAATGAATTTGCGTTGTTGGAAATGGACTACACACATGTATACATCTACATACATATGTATATACCTAGCAAGGGATCAACGTTGATGTCCCCCGTGCCACGAGATTATATTAAATGTTACTTCAACACGCAACTGTGTTTGTGAGGTAGTCCCGGCATGTCAGACGACCCAACAGGCTCGATCGTTGGACGGCTGATTGGTCAGGTTCAATCACATATTAGCGGGCGGTTGAGTATACCAATTAATTGGTTGGGATCGTGTGACGGAGGCTTATAATGAGGTGTAGCGATACACTAGGGCCCGGATGTGATAAGAATACATGTAATCGGTGTAGGATGTCCAGTCACTGTAAGACAGGATTCCAACACAAAAAGAGATCACTAGAGGGAATCGGAGTGAACAAGAAAGGAAGTATTATTCAAAATGATATCACATATATAAGACAGGCTCCAAAACGGGGAATCGCTTTTGTGTCCCAGACAGGGCCCGAGACCAAAAAAAGAAAAGAAAACCAAGGACAGATTTACTCTACAGAATCGGTGATGCAGCCCAAGCTGGCATCCTTAACGTTTCTGGCATATTTGCCCAGAGTACCACGCATGGTAAGACCAGTCTCAGGGAGATCGCCAGCAGCCTTGCGGGCTTCCCACTTCTGCTTGCGGTCGGCAAACTCAGCGTCGGTCAGCTCGACATCAAGAATGCGCTTTTCGGCATCAATGGTGATGATATCGCCGTCGTTCACAAGACCGATGGGACCACCAACGGCAGCCTCAGGGACAATGTGACCGATCAGGAAACCGTGGGAACCACCAGAGAAGCGGCCATCGGTGATGAGGGCACAGGAGTTACCGAGACCGTAACCCATGAGCGCACCGGAGGGCTTGAGCATTTCTATAAAGATGTTAGTATCAGGGCCAGTGATTCTGTAGATTTATTGCACATACCAGGCATTCCAGGGCCACCCTTGGGACCGCAGTAGCGAATGACAACAACGGTCTTCTCTTCCTTCTTGATTTCACCACGCTCCAGAGCGGCAATGAAGTCGTCCTCGCTGTCGAACACACGGGCCTTTCCGGTGAAGGCCATGCCCTCCTTACCGGTGATCTTGCCGACACTGCCACCAGGGGCCAGAGAACCACGGAGGATCTGAATGTGACCAGTCTTCTTGATAGGGTTGGAGAAGGGGCGGATGATCTTCTGGTCCTCGGGGAAGTCGGGAAGCTTCGCCAGGTTCTGAGCCATGGTCTCACCAGTAACGGTCATACCAGAGCCATCAATAAGACCCTCCTTCAGGAGCAACTTCAGGAGTGCTGGGGTACCACCAATGGCGTGGAGATCAGCCATGACGTACTTTCCAGAGGGCTTGAGATCAGCCAGGAAAGGAATGCGGTCGGACACGGTCTGGAAGTCATCAATAGTGAGCTTGATGCCGACTGAGTCAGCGATGGCAATCAAGTGCAGCACGGCGTTGGTCGAGCCACCAGTGATGTTGACAACAACCATCGCGTTCTCAAAGGCCTGACGAGTAAGAATATCGCGAGGGCGAATATCCTCAGCAAGCAGTCTCTTGATAGCACCACCAGCCGCGAGGCACTCAACGTACTTGGCCTGGGAGTTGGCTGGGTTGGAGGATGAACCAGGAAGGGTCATTCCCATGGTCTCAATGGCGGTGGCCATGGTGTTAGCAGTGTACATACCACCACAAGCTCCCTCGCCGGGGCAGGCATGGCGGATGACGTCAAAGCGCTGGGGCTCGGTGATCTCCTTGGTAAGGAATTGACCGTAGGCCTGGAAAGCAGACACGATATCGATATCGGCGTTGTTCTGGGTGGCAGCGCAGCCGGGCTTAATGGATCCACCGTAAACCATAAGACTGGGGCGGTTGATACGGCCCATAGCCATCAGAACACCGGGCATGTTCTTATCACAGCCAGGAATACTGATGTTGGCATCGTACCATTGTCCACCCATCACGGTCTCGACGGAATCGGCAATAAGATCACGACTCTGCAGAGAGTAACGCATACCGGGGGTACCCATACTGATCGCATCACTGACACCGACAGTGTTGAACTGGAAGCCAATCAAGTTCTGATCCTGAACACCCTGGCGGACCTTGTTGTTCAGGTCAAGCAGATGCATGTTGCAAGGGTTACCGTTGAACCACACTGACGAAATTCCGACCTGGGCCTTGTTCATGTCCTCCTCTTTCAAGCCAACTGCGTACAGCATTGCCTGGGAAGCACCCTGTGACTTGGGTTGGGTGATAGTGCGGGAGACCTTGTTGAGGGCCTTGTCGACATTCTGGAGGCGAGGAAGAGTGGTTGTGAGAGTCCGACTAGGGATAAGAAGAAAGAAGTTAGTCACAAGGCCATTGATGCAATTGCAATTAACGCGATCGAATCAACTCACACATTAGACCTGGACAAGCTCCGAAGAGCGGGCATGCGTGCCCGAGTAGGAATCATTTTGAGAGTATATCCAAGAATCACCAGATACAGTAATTAAATTGAAAGTCTGGAGAAAGAGAGGGGGACAGGAGATAAAAAGGTGGAAGCTCAAGAAAGTGGATCTATCGGTTCGAAAGAATGAAACCGGAGAAAGTTGAAACCTCCCCGCCAATTGGATTCGCATCGTTGTCAGCTTACTGGGGAAGTGCATTAATATTTTGTACCTATCACTATATGTAAGAACCCGGAACATTGGCCTTTTTGGCTCACCTGGTAGCAGATTATCAATAATACACTACTCTGTACATTAGTTATATGTACGGAGTGCATTATGTAGTGTAGTTAATCCGCCTAAGCAGTGGAGCCAAAGCACCGAGCCAAACCCGCTAGAATTGCCCGGGGGATCCCCAAAAATTCGGTTTGTCACTACCATTAGCGCTACCTAGGTAGCCCTAGAGCCCTGGAATATGCTTAGACTTATTCAACACACTTCTTAGTCAATCAGAGCGCTTCGCAGACCAATGTCCATAGCCACTACTTGATACCTGTCGCTTTCAGAGACAGCTTGAGAATTCCAGTACAATCATGAGAAGGAAAATATTCTCGGATGGGGTATTGTGGGTTCGCTATACATTGTGGGAGATATATCTTGGATTCCTAGTCATCCTGTCTTCGCGGTTTTAACACTTCAGAGTACAATGTCTGTTGAATTGTATTTTCTTCTATTGTACAGAGAGTACCTAGTAGCTCCTAGGTAAATCAAGCACCTTCTCGCTCACATAATTCAAGATCATCTCTCGACTCACAGGTGCAATGCGAGGTACAAAACATTCGCGCATATATCGCTCAACATCGTACTCAACCGCATATCCCATACCACCATGCGCCAGGACGGCCCGCTCACAGGCCGTGAAAGCAGCCTCTGCAGCCAAATATTTTGCACTGTTGCACGCGACACCGATTTCATGGAAAGGTACTGATCCATCGTTGGCATCATAGAGACGTGCTGCGTGATATGTGGCTAGCTTCGCCGCCTCTAACTTCATGAATGCATCGGCCATCGGATGCGCCACGCCCTGATTCTGGCCAATTGGTCGTCCGAAGACAACTCGGTCCTTGGCGTACTGTGAGGCCTTTTCCAGAGCGGCATAGCCAAGACCAAGGGCCTCGCCGGCCAGAAGACACCGCTCTGCGTTCATGCCATGGAGGATAATCTTGAAACCTTGGTTCTCCGTACCAATTAAAGTATTTGCAGGGATCTTATAATTATCAAAGAAGACCTCATTGGCGTCCACAGCGCGTCCACCCATCTTCTTGATCTTGCGCAGATCCAAGCCAGGGTTTTCACGGTCGATATCGATACAAAACAAGGAGAGACCCTCGCTAGTCTTCTTGACTTCCTCAAGAGGCGTGGTTCGGGCAAGGAGGATCATCTTTGACGCCACTTGCGCGCAGGTAATCCAGATCTTCTGGCCGGTGACCGAATATCCGTCAGCGGTTTTGCTAGCTAAGGTGGTGAGCTTAAGAGTCTCAAGGCCAGTGTTTGGCTCAGTGACACCAAAACATGTGCGCCAGGTGCCGTTGATAATATTTGGAATGGTAGTCTCTAGCTGCTCCTTGCTGCCGAACTTGGCCAATGGCTGTGTTGCATACACGTTGGCATGAATAGCCTGAGCACCGGCCATGCCTGCGCCAGATTGTGTAATGGTCTGCATCATCATTGTGGCCTCAGAGATACCTGAAACAAAGTCAGCGATCAGAATAAAAGATTTTTATTCGAGTAGCTGTACCTAAGCCCGCGCCTCCAAGGGATTCGGGCAAAGCGATGCCAAGCCATCCATCTTTAGCCAATGCAGCATGGAATTCCGTTGGATCTTTTTCTTGTTGATCACGCTCCTGCCAATACGTATTCGGGAATTTGGAACAAATATGCGAGATGGCTTCACGGACTGTAAGTTGTTCTTCCGTGAAGCCAGTCATCCCCATTATGTCGCTCCTCCCTGAGGTAGAGAAGGCCGCGCGCGGTTGGGGGGACATCCTCATCCGACCTGCGTCGCGCAAAAGTGCAGACCGCGGCGACCGCAGAGCGCGTTGAATTTGTGACCAATACATAGTTGTAATTATGTTTAATATCGTGGGAAAACTTCTCCATCGGGCCAAATATATATACCATCATCTAGGTCGTTTGCATATAGCCGACTCGACGTCTTGGCATTGCCGATCTATGGCATCTTAGGCCTCGGTTGAATGATGCCCGGGTTTTTATTTTGTAGGATATATTCTTGTATCACTGACGTATTGCTCATTAATGATAGCCAAAAATCAAGTAGCCGAACTGAATGCATTGAACAGAGCTCTGTGTATAGACGAACAGCGATACCAACATTTACCAATTGACCCGCGGACTGGACTGACTCTTACCTTCATGCCATTCCCAAGAATGAATAAGAATACAAAAAAAATCTTCGGAGCTTGATATGTATTCATATTTTGAGAGATTGGAAAAAATAAAACAAACACTTAGACCAAACTTGAGGTAGCGCTGAACGCTAGTAGCGTTCAGCGTTCAGCCACCTCCTGTACAGCCACTCTGTCGCTTCCATCTGGACTCTGTTTTCCTTTGTCCAACAATTCAAACTTCCGAACCACTTGGAGAGTGGCATAATAACTGAAAGGTAAGGCGATGAACCATAGACCGAGATTAATACTCGCCGTCGCAATCAAAGCTGTGGGTACAGCCTGAACGCCAAATCCAACTGCAACGGCAGCGGTTTCGATCCCTCGAAGCAATGAACTATATCGAATTTGATCACCAGGTGAATCTGACAGATTCCCGATGCACCAGTAAATGTAATTCTCGACTAACCCGAGACTGATGCGTTCAAAAAGATACAGGCCAAACCCACGACCGAAGGAGCGTTGGTTACCCCAGTCCAACACGGGGTTTGTGTGCCGGTACTCGTTCTGAATAATGACCGCCCAGATCCAGGTCGCACTGTTCATGAGTGCAATCACAATGAATGTGACAACTGCTCTATGCTTCCGATTTTTCAACCAAGGTAGATCCACTAACGACCCACCCAACCAAGTCGCCAGCGTTCCTACAACCGCAGACATGAAGCTTCCGAGAGCGCGAGCGCGAACAGTGAAATAGGTCGCGAGATATGTGCCAGGATATGCCTGGATCCACCCAAAATACCAGAACAGCGGGACAAGGAGTAATATCGACCTACTCCTTGCCAGCCGCCACATCATGCGGAGCTCTTCACGCCAGTGAATGCCGCGGGGGGCCTCGATACGCGTTCCATCATCTCTTTGCACTTTCTCTGGGTTTGACAAGAGGGGCCCAATAACCAGCCCGAGACACTGAATAGCGATAAAAGCGAGATATGTCTGGTACCCAACCTGGCCTCGGTGATTGACGCTGTGATTTATGCCCAAAGAGACGGCACCACCGATGATATTGCCGAAATTGCGGAATGTGAACCATGTTGCAATGTAGCGACCACGCTTGTGCTGCTCGGGGTACCCTGTAGCGACGGCACCCTCAACACTCCAAAAGAAACCAGCACTGATGCCGCAAGTGACACAACCGAGATACACAAGCCATGTGGCGCCAGTGCGATTGTTCAAATACAAACCCGCTGCGTAGAGCGGATATCCAACTGAGCCCAAAGTCAGGGTCCAGCGAAAACCGATCGCATTTGTGATGAGTGGACCCGCGAAACAGGTCACTGTCATCAAGGCGTATAGTAAGGCGTTGGCAGTGTTGACCAAATCTGGGCTCTGTGATCCGCCCACGCCCAAACCATTCATTGCACTCCATATCCCTGGTGCACAGAATGCACATAATCCTACAACCAGGATTTGAAAAAGTGTACTGTAAAAGAATTTCGGACGAGGTGGTGGGTGTTCATCTTGGCTCTCTACGGTCGTTGATATATTGGGTTGGGCTTCGGAATTCTTTGATGTTGACATGATTATAATGTGGGATTGCAGACGAGTAAATTGATACGAACATGATCCCTGTCATGTGCAGGACCTAATACGTCTATTTTATATGGGATGGAGAGTCCTCGTGTAGCCCGCTTATCGGGACGGTGCCCAGACAAGCACGCAAATTTACAAGCGCATGGCATAATTGCGATATCGCTTGGCAATTGATAATGTGACCATAATAGGCCTGAAATGTGTCTTGTGTCACGAATCATGTCCAGGCTATCCAATGATACTCCGCTATGTCGGCAGTTGTGAGGGGTCATGCTCTCAAGTACAAATGTACAGCACGCGCTTCACTGTAGCTCAATACCCTCCAACAACCTCTCACTTAGAACAGAAAATGGCGACAATTACTGAAGAGCTGAAAATCGAGACTCTCCGGTTAGAGAACTCTATCGTCACATTTGAATCCTTTGACCTGCCAACTTCCAACCAACGTATCCTCGGACCACCGCATCCCAAGAACACAGTTATCCCGCTTGCACTGCGACCCACCGATGCCGACGCCAAGGCAACTCTCGATGATGTGGTAGAGACAGTCAAGACTCTCCAAGAAAAAGATGGCATTTTAACCAAGAAGCTCGCAAGGCATGGCACGCTGCTGTTTCGAAATCTTCCTATCTATAACGCAGAAGACTTCAGCAAATTCGCGCATGCTTTCGGCTACGAACCCCACGAAATTATTGGCATTGTAGTGGATAGACCACTTCTTGCGCCAAATGTCGCGCCCGCCAACGAAGCACCCAAGGAGGTCCTGATATACAGCCATAACGAGTCACCGCAAGTACCGCATGCGCCCGAGTATATCTTTTTCTATGGACATAATGCACCGTCCAAGGGCGGGGAATCACCGATATCTTCTTCATTGGAACTGTTCAATCGTGCACAGCAAGAGATTCCAGAATTTATCGCTGAACTAGCTGAGAAAGGAGTTTTAAGCAAAGTGACCTACCGAGTGGAGAAACAGTACGAGGGTGGATCTACACTGAAGCAGGCCTTTGGCAAGGAGATCCAAGATGGTGACGACGAAGAGACTAAACGTCGCAAGATCGAGGCTCAGATCTCCCGCTACGGCAGAGGGGAACATACAACATGGGAGTGGACCGAGGATGGTCTTGTATTGACGCATCGGCTACCTGTCATCCGAACGCAGCCCGGTACAAACCTGCCGACTCTTTTCACTGGATTGGCAGCCTATTGGAAACGTACGCAGTTTGATACCGAGGCGCGCAAGAAGGTCACACAACAGCTCTTCGGGGATGGGACACCTATTCCTGAAAAGTATCTCGCACACCTAGCGAAGATCACAGATGAGATTCGGGTTCTGCATCGTTGGCAGAAGGGTGACGTGTTGGTTTATGATAACATCATTGCTCAACATGGAAGAGAACCGTGGCAAGGCGAGCAATCCGATCGAGTGATTATGGCAAGTTTATTCGATGGTGAAAGCGTGCCAGGTGCTTATGGGTTTGGAGACTGGGCGCAGGTTGTGCAAGCACTCGAATGAAAGCCTTTCTGGAGTGGAGATACACAGTGGCGGATGATGTATGCGATTCAGTGACCTTCCAATTCGAGGCTAATATCTCAAGGAATCTATGTGTACCTTACTTATGTTGGCGTTCGCAAATAATGCTTTCTTTATTCCTTCATATGCAATCAACCATAGCAACTATTCAGTCAGTTATTCAAACGAAGCCCCACTTTTGGATAGTAGTGTTGCGGTCTGAAGGATCTCTGAATTTGCTGTTCATCACGGCTTTCCTTTTAGGGTCATTTATCTTGTTTGGAGTGTGATGTTTATTCTATGTGCATAGAGGAACGCGGAGTGGGACAAATTCCCTGATCTCTTTGCCCTTCCTTGTATTAGTATTATGAATGAAACGCACTCTTATCGTTGAAAGAACTAGCTGATAACAGTTATTAGCCAATGACAAAAAAACGAAGCTGGGAAACGAGAAGCTAGCCAAAGTCGACAAGCATGCCAGACAAGTGGCCATGAATATACTACACTATCAATTGAAACTGGAGCGGAGGGAAAATATAGAGAGGACGACAGAATAATCAGAGATGAGAGATAGAAGGCGGAGGGCGCAGTCTGCCGCATTCATCTTGTATACATTTTCCCTATGAACGGGTTTTTGGGTCTGTGGGTTTTTGGGACGCAGGAATGGGCTGATCCCACTCTTGACAAATCAGCTTTTGTATTTACTCTCCAGCAGTGATCCCAACTCGGTGTTTGGCTTCGAATTCTTGCTTCAGCTAGATTAAGTGCATGCATAGCCATAACTAGTTAGACTGCTCAGGTGCAACGGGCTAATTGAACATTGATTATTGATTGACAGGTCCGAAAAAGAACCCAGGAAATTGTGGAAACTCGGCTATGTATAAAATAGACTATATAAACTTGCTTTGGAATTGACAGAGAATAATATAGGTACATGATCACAGAAGAGGGGAGGTGTAAACCTCGATAGAAGCTTTTTTCACGGTATTCCTCGAGCCACGAAAACGCGCCATTGGCACAATCGAAATTCGATCACCCGGTTGAAGATTTTGCATCCAGCGTAGATTCTGGTTCCTGTGGTACATAATCCGGTGGTGCGTGATTTCACGTGCGGCGAGAAGATTGGTCATTAGATGTAGGTTTTCACCTTCGCAGATATCATCTCGTCCCGGTGGTCTTTCAATACCAAGATCAAACCATGTCCAAGAGTTTCTGGTTGTACCATGGTCTTCGCTATGACTGCTCCATCCTACATCACAGCTCCAGATATTGATCCTGATCTTTCGAACGGGAAACCCTTCGCCTTGAATTGGCTCAGATGTCAAATATGGGGTTGGATCGTGACAGTCGCGTGGAGAATATCCCACACTCTCTTCTCTGGAGATGACAGATGACACCCAGTACTCTGCAAATTCTAGAATCCCCAGGACGAGTTCAGATGGCAGCTTTTGTCGGAGAATGTTGAGACTCTCCACGACATTTGCTGAATGTCTTGGATAGCACGTTATGTTTTCTTCATCAGATGCTGGAGGTTCAGTTTGGATGGGGTTGATATCCACAAATGCTGTGGAGTATAAGGGACTCATGGCGACTAGAAGAGGTGAAATGGGTAGTGTAGGTGAGGTGGGTTGGGGTTGAGCTCTGAGCCCAAAATGCTTAGCTCGGCCACTCATGGCTTAGCGTCATGATCGAGCTGTGGCTATGCAGAATAATGGTGGGACATATTATGTTGTTTTTTTCTAAATTTCAAGTTAATAACTCAAAGATAGGCAATGAAACTTGCATTTATGATAGTTCAAGTCGTGGATATTTCAATGACGCAGTCTGAGTTCTATATAGAATGATACGTATGTCTACGTATGTAGTCATCAAGATAAATATATATCCATGGATAGTCTTTGTGCTTCATCAGTAATACGCAACTTTGGTTAGTTACTATTATCGTAAGGCATATTTAATGGTTAAAGTATGACTCAATTATGAACTGATCGAAACGATTTGATTTGTTTATCAATTTATCAACGAGGTTTCTGAATCACAGTGCTGTCTGTCTTGTGTAAGAAGTCTGGCTCCGCCTACTCATCTTGCTCATCTTCATGTTCCTTTTGCTCCTTATCCTCAATTCCGTCGTCGGCTTCGTCATCCCCTTCGCCTTCTGCTTCTTCCGAACAGAATTCAAATATATTTGGAGACTGGAAGGGCACATAAGCGATTTCTGGCATTGCCATCGCCCCTTTCAAGAGCATTCCAATAAAAGCTGGAAGAATTAACTCTATTGGCATAGATCTAGTGCCAAAGGGATGGATATGCAATATGTGTGTATTTTGTGAATGATCGAGATCATGGATGTTTTGGGATTACGGCTAGTGATCTCGACATCAGGTGTGAAGACTGCCGTACCTTATATGAAATAAAGTGGATTACGCCCAGTAAAAAGTCGCTCAATGATATATACTACCCAAGACAGAAGTCTCACATGGGATCGCATCTGGATATGTGTCGTATGCAGGTAGCTCGCGTGAGACTACAGAATAGATGATACATCATTATATTCCCCGCTGTGTGTTTGTGGGCCAACATAACACCTCAAGGGAGCATTCAACCATTACATGTGTGGATCTTAGTATATACATCTCTCGAATGCAAGGCAAACTATCAACCCTCAGACACCGGGTGCTTGCCCTAGTATCGCCGCCAGCCTAGTGCTTTAGGTTGTCGAATTTGTGCTAAAGTTGGCATGATCCTACCGCGTTGAGCCCCTTTTGTCATCACTTTGATAGTCTATGATGGATGGTGCCTTTCCAACTAGAGTAATACGTTTCTATGCTAGCTTTTGGTGTGCTAGTGTTGATGTTCCAATCAGGTGTGTATGTACCTTGCCTTATAGTTTATCATATTCGCTTTACACATGGTACTAGGGCCATTGTATTTCAAAACCAGACCGACACACAGAATACGAATAAAGAGGACCTCTGAACATATAAAGTGGTGAGTCTATGGAAACCGACGTGCTTAGGGAGCACTGTCGAATGGCCTTTAAATATATGAGTCTATGTGGACTTATAAGGCAGCATCCCAGAGCTTGACTGTGTTGCCATTAGATCCAGATGCCAATAATTTACCGTCGGGCGAGAATGCCACGGAGGTAGCCCATTGAGACCTCCAATAATGTGATTCGCGCTTAATCGTTTTGTGTATAACACCCGTGGTAGTATTCCATAATTTGACATCGTCATCCGTAGATCCAGATGCCACCAGTTCACCATTGGGTGAGAATGCCACAGAAAGGACATATGAAGGGCTCTTCAGCGTTTTATATATGGTACCCGTGGTGGTATTCCAAATCTTGACTGTCTCATCATAACTTCCAGATGCCACAAATTTACCATCAGGCGAGAATGCCACAGATTGAACATACAAATTATGCTTAAGTGTTTTGTGCATAGTGCCCGTGGTGATATTCCAGAGTTTGAGTGTGTAGTCCGTGGATCCAGATGCCACCAATTTACCATCGGGTGAGAATGCCACGGAGTTGACGGCATCAGAATGGCCCTTGAGCGTTTTGTGTATAGCGCCCGTGATAGTATTCCACAGTTTGACTGTGATGTCTTGAGATCCAGAGACCAATAATTTGCCGTCGGGAGAGAATGCAACGGAATTCACCCATCCAGGATCGCCCTCTAGCGTTTTGTGTATGGCGCCCGTGGTGGTGTTCCATAGTTTGATTGAGTTGTCCGTAGATCCAGATACCACAAATTTACCATCGGGTGAAAATGCCACGGAGTTGACGAGCCCATAATGGCCCTCGAGCGTTTTGTGTATAGCGCCTGTGGTAGTATTCCAGAGTTTGATTTTGCGGTCATGAGATCCAGAAACCATCAATTTACTATCGGGCGAGAACGCCACTGAATTCACAGAATCTGAATGGCCATGAAGCGTGATAGGAAGCGTGAGTTGGACGGCTGCAGCAATTTTGTGTTCAACGGGCAACTTGAGAGTTTCGTTGCCAGAGGTCTTGGGAGGTGATGTCCTCAATTCCTCTGTTCTCTTCAGAATTGGAGTTCCCGACGTCTCTGGAGACTTGATAGTATTCCATGACGCAAAATTTTCTGTCATTGAGTCAAATGATGATGTGCTATGGGCCTCCTTATACGCAAGTGTAGGTAAATTGCCATTGTGGGGCAATGCCTGATCCATCCACCTATGTTGTAAAGCATCTTTGGCTGACATTCTGCCTGCTGGGGTAGGATGCATAAGACACAAGACGAACTCAACACCAGACTCGCTGACATGGTTGACTGAAAGTTGATTGGAAGGAAAGACGTTGGGCGTTTGGACATAATTGAAAAGCAAACCAGGATGCTTGAATACGGGTTGCTTGGTCAAAATTTGGAACATAACCTCTCCAGCAGCCCAAATATCAACAGCATATGGAGTACCGGCCTGAGTAAATTCATAAAGCTCAGGCGCAATATATCCGGGGGTACCCTTTAGCGTTGTTGATTTTCCAAGGCCATCTCCAATACGTTTGCTGATCCCGAAGTCCGCAATCTTTACCCACCAATCATTTAGCGGACAGGATCTCAAAAGGATATTCTAAATAGAATTAGAGCTACCGGTCAGTTGATATAGTTGATTTTAATTGCGCCACCGACTCACGTTGGGTTTTAAATCACGATGTGTAAAGCCATTATCATGCATCAAATCAAGGCCCTCAAGAATTTGGGACATGATGTCCCGTGCCTCAGATTCCGGTAGCGGCTGGTTCTTGTCGTTCAGATAATCTTGCAGATCTCCTAGCTCAAGATATTCCATTGCAATAAACAAGCTGGCTTTGTTCTGGTACCACCCAAAAGACTTGACAAAACATCGCTCGTACTGCTGATCTGTTAGCGGCATTCGTTGTGCCGAGGAGCTGGAAGACAAGCCTTTGCATGCGAGAATTTCGCAATGGCCTCGAGCTCACGGGCGTAGTCTATCTGCCGGCGCACCTCCATCTGCTTTGTTGCGCGGACGTGATGGCCATGATTCTTTCCTTTTGTGCATCTCTCCAGCCACACCTCTCCAAACCCACCACCGCCAATCTGCCTCACCCGCTGCCAGTGTTCTGTTTTTTTAATTGGCCGCCGAGAATGGGATTCCTGCTCATAGTAGGTATGCACTGTCTCGTGTTTGCTATCAGGCAGAAAATGAGTTTCGAGCTTAGAATCGAGAACCCAGTCTGGAACTCTCGACATTTAGAAAGAATTGAGCTCGGGAATATATATTATTTGATGAATGACGTAGTCCAGGTTTTGCAGTTTTGTTCGTAAAGCAGTGGAACCATGAAATAAGTGGATTTAGAAATCCCCTTTGTCTCGAGGGAGCCCCCAAAGGTAGGAATTGGAGAGATGAGGGGTTTGTTTCTGTGGTGATATTGCCAAGCGCCTAACACCCGTGGACCAATCTACATCAACCTTAGTAATTTATACACGATCATATCTCGAGAGAATAAAGAGCATTTAAACATTATATACGTGAATATGGGTATATGTATATATCAAAATACAAGGCCAAATGGACAAAATTGAGCAAAATCATCAACTCTCAGACTCCGGGTGCTTGCCCTGAACAGCATCGGCAACGCCGCTAGCCCAGTCCTTCAGGTCATCGAATTTGTGCGCAATTGTGTCCCACCACGTCGAACCTTTTTCCTTATTACCCTGATCATCTTTAGCGGGTGCGGCCTCAGATACTAGAGTGGTTGGTTTCGGTGCTGGCTGCGGGGGTTTTGGCAGAGGGGGTACTGGGTGTGGAGGTGCTGGCTGTGAGGGTGCTGGCTGTGAGGGTCCTGCTGTTGGTGAAGCTGGAGCTGGGGGATCCGGAGGCGTGTCCAAGACCGGTGCGTTCTCATCCGAGTGGAGGCCAACTGGCTTCAGCGGGAGTCGTAGTGTGCCATTTCCTGGAAGGGGATCAACGCCCAGAGAGTCACAGAGAATATTGTATACCTCGATATTTTCTATACAAATTCGTTAGGCCAAATCCCAATCAATGACTTGGAATAGATACTTACGGAAAACTTCCAGCCGACTGTTTGGCTTGTGAGGGAAAGCAGGGCCGCGCGCGATAAAGATAGCACGCATCAATGGATGCTCATGGTCGTATCCGTGAATGCCACGAGGATGGTATTCCTCGCCGCTCTTCAAAGCCTCTTTGACGTCGAACTCTGACCGATTAACTATAGCCCACCCCGTCTTAGGGATGACCCACAACGGTGCAATGCGATCGTTGTTCGAGAAGTGATACCGCTTGGGCATTGTCTCCCGTGTGTAGAATTCGAAAGCATGCTTGTAATCCGGGGCTATCTTCTCCAATTGTTTCCGGAGGGTTTCCAGATCCTCTGGACGCTTGGGACGCAGACCGCTAGATGGCCACCCGTCCATATGTTCAATCAGATCATAATCAATCAGATCATCCAACTGAATCAGTCTTTCTGTAGAGGTAGTGGCCATGCCGTGGTCTGAGACAATCACTATGTTAACCACATCTGTGAGATTGCGCTTCTCAAGACCAGCCATAATGTTGGCGACCATGCTGTCAGCCTCGGAAATCGTGTTTCGGATCTCAGTACTATTGGGACCAAATTTATGCCCATCCCGATCGACGTCGGGAAGGTAAGCCGCGATCAACTGCGGCCGCTCAGGTGTCATCTGCGATTCATTCTCGAGACCTGGGAGATCCAAAAACTCAAGGATCCGATCCACCTTGCGAGACCAGACTTCCGTCCCGTTGTATTTGTCTACAAAGCTCGGCTCCCTGTCACCAATGTGTGCCTCAGACCCCGGCCACATATGAATGGCAGTCTTCACACGCTGCTTTTCTGCTGTCACCCAGAGCGGTTCCGCCATCCACCATTTGGGTTGCATGCTGACAGTGGGATGTGTATAGTAGAACTCCTCCTTCATATTCGGGTCCCAAAATGTGTTGCCTACAATTCCGTGACTCTCAGGGTAGAGTCCGGTCATAAGTGTGAAGTGGTTTGGGAAGGTGACGCTCGGGAAGCTGGGGGTCATGTATTGCGGGGAAACGCCATTTGCGACGAGGGAGTTCAGCGCAGGAGTCAGGCCACGGTCCAGAAAGTCGGCTCGGAAACCGTCGAGCGAGATGACGATAGTGGTTGGCGCAAAGAGAGCTGTGCCGTTGGAGAGTAGGGGTGGAGGGTGCGCTCGTGTAGTCCGGAAGCCGCTCGAGGCTTTATACGCCCCGAGGACGAGGATGACGAAGAGAATGGTAACCAGAACGATTATAAACAGGATTTTTCGCCATGAAGGCCGTGGAGGCTATGCATCGGACGTGTTAGCATTGGGCATAGAAACCAGCCACGGCACATCTCACCGGCTCATATGTGTATTTGTCTTTCCTGTCCAAATCCAAAGATGATCCGCTCAAAAGCGAGGCGTTGTCGTCACCAATTCCCTCCTCCATCTCGTACATCAGCTCGCCGTCTTCGCTGACTCTCTCCCGACGTGACCCCCTCCGTTGTCGCCGCTCCTTTTTCGTCTTCCCGATCTTCACGGTGCTACCATTTGGGCTGAAAATCCTCCGCAGCCCGTGTCCAGTGCCACCGCGGGTCAAAAGTTTCTCCAGCTCCTCTTCATCTTCCAGGACTGCCCGGTCGTGCTCTGCGATTTCCAAGGTGCTGCGGTTCTGATCAAGTAGGGCGTCATCATCGGAATCCGAGTCCTGCTCGGAGGGCGACCGCAATGACGATGCATCATTGTCGTAATTTGCAGGAGAAAGAAGAGAAGGACTAATGTCTGGGCGGCGCATTGCTAGCCTGATGAAGACATGGAAAAAGAGCTGAGAGCTGAGATGAGAAAGGGAGATCGGAGAATTGCCAAGACCCACTCATTTGCGATAAGCCCGATCTATACAAAATTGTTTAGTCGGTGCTGTTTATTTGTTTATTTAGTTCACTTAGACCATTCACTGCAAATAAGATGGGTTTGATCTCGAAGGGTATTCAATGGACTCGAGTCTGAGTTATAATCCTTCGTCATTCGCAGGTTTGTGTATAAACAACTTGCTTATTACAGATCAACGGTCACCTACAATACCCACTCTACCTTATGGGTGACAATAAAAAGTAACTTAGTGTGGAGATCTTTTTGATTCCACGCGCATATTCCGAACGAACCAATCGTAAACATCTTATTCTGTACAAAGCAAGCGAGGTATTGGTAGCGGAGCTTGTCTTGATGGTCTTTCTTACAGGCTCGAGCAAGCCACTCCTAAAAGTAGTATATACATCTTCACCACGAACTATAGTCTATAGGAGAGACTATATATGAATAATTGAGGGCTTAATAGGCCAGGAGCGTCAATGCTCCTTTAACTGGCTAGTGAATCACTTCATGATCACAACTACAGACAAGTACTATAAACTTCAATATATATAAAATTCATAACATTATACCGCACGCTTGGGGAATTTAAAACATCAGGGAACAACTTCAAACTTAGTCTTACGGTCCTGTACAAATATGGTGTTGATTTAGGGCCCGAAAATAAATGATCTTAACGTCTCCAAAGTCGCGTATTGAAAAAGGATGCACTAGGTCAATGCAAGGTAGTACATATTCTACAGGTGTCCATTCAAATCCGAAGACGGTTTGCTACTCCACGCAAATTCTTTCTCACTACAGGGGATGCAATTTGCAACTAGCTCAATATTGAGAGATTCTAGCCCTCTAGCATCCGCACTAAGTTACTCCTACGTAGTGGCTGATCAGCCTTCTCTCTTTTCTGGCCCTGCAGACAAAATCGACCTACATGGGATCCTGCGAACGAATCGTGGTGATAATAGTGCTGAAGGAATACACATTCCATAGCCAGTACGTGGCAGCCACATTCCTCAGATTGATCGCAAATGACAATGATCGGAGATTATAGCCCTGACGTGAACACCACTGACGTTTCTTGAAGACAACGAAGCTCGGCATTGTAACCCATTGATGCTTGATCATACTCCAGTGGAATTTCCAATGCTAGGTGAGCTGCGTCGATGCAAACTTACTGGATGCCGGATGTAGATGTTAGGAGATTGACTGGGCGATCAGTCCTAAGTAGGGAGTGGCTTTGAGGATTTTTAGTATGCTACTAACAGCCGTAAGCTCTTACAATGCTATGACAGAAGAAAAATACTGATCGATTCTCGAAGATCTCTTTTTGTGACCGATTCTAGAGGCCAAATGTGCTCGACCGGATATAAAGTCCGATTGGCCTGTGTTACAGCTCGGGGAAGCAGTGAGCCTCAAGATCCAACAGTAATTACATAGGTGGGGTGTAGCGGGAAGCTATCTTCTGCTCCATGGACTCGCCTTCCTATGTACCGAGCGCGTCCAGACAGGGGGCTCTCCACCCATTGTCTGCTCTTTAGACAACGATCTTTAGCGCGTCTTCCCAAAACAGATTACGCACAAAGAAAATCCACTCGATATTCATTTTGACTGCTCTGGGGTTGATTCCTGTGGAATTCCACATTGGTGGGTTATTCAGCGTTGATGTCTGCTTGCAAGAGCACCACCTTCCTAATTGGGACAATTAATCACGTGATTATGCCCAACCGAGCCGTATGTCTCCACCGTTTGGGAACAAGCAATTCAGAAGATCATGACGATATTGGCGTCGGGTCGAACCGATCGTACCAGCGTTGCAAAGTGGAGTCTCATATCAGAATAGTGTGACATTTGCCCCCGGATGCGGAAATCAGTAAATCTCGTTTCCACTTTTCTGAGTCCCATCGAGGGGGAAAGAGAGGTACATCGAAGGCAAAGAGGAGCATCAAGAGGCACATATTAGTCGAATTCGATTTTTCCCCCCATTGTTCATGATCCATGTCACCCCGAATTAACCTTAATCAATATATTGGCCGGATTTGGACCGCTCGATAGATCTATAAGAATGGCGTCCTCTTCACCTCAGATCCCCTCCAGATTTCCATCTCAATCGCATCGGCATTATCGTTCTAGGTAAGTTCTGGAGCTATCAAATATTTGCTGGTACCAGCACCGCAATATCAAGGACATATACTAATCCCAATCGCAGCTTCGTCACTCGTTAAGACAGCAAGCCATCTATTTGACTTCTTGATTCACTCGCTCTTCGCACCGCAATAAAAATGCACATTACAGCCCCCTCCATCGCTTTGCTGGCTCTCGCGGCTGGTGTCCAGGCCGGTGGCGCCAAACAGCAGCGTGAACCCCCCGTCCGCGCCATCAGGGCCGCTGGCAAATACCAAGCTACCGCTGTCGCTCCTACAGGTGCTACTGGTACCGGTATCACCACTGGCAGCCACCCTATTGTGACCGGCTCCCCCAACCATGAAGGTACTCAGACTGGCAGCCACCCCATCGTCACTGGCTCCCCTCACCACAACGGTACCAACGGCGAGGACAACCACGGCTCTATCATCGGTACTGGCACCGCTCCCTGCTACAACTGCCACGGTAGCGCAACCATTCCTGTCAGCGTCCCTACCAAGACTCACGGCGCCTCTGATTCTGGCTCTGGTAGCAACGGCTCTGGATCTGAATCTGGCTCCGGCTCTGAGTCTGGCTCCGGCTCTAGCTCCGGCTCTGGCAGCAATGGCTCCGAATCTGGTTCCGGCTCCGGCTCCTCCGGTGGTGCTGGCGGCATTGTCGGTGGCTCTGGATCCGAATCTGGATCTGGCTCTGGCAGTATCGGCTCCGGCGCTGGCTCTGGCTCGGGCTCTGGCACCAGCGCTGGCTCTGGCTCTGGATCCGAATCTGGATCTGGATCTGGCTCTGGCAGTATCGGCTCCGGCGCTGGCTCTGGCTCTGGATCCGAATCTGGATCTGGCTCTGGCAGCATCGGCTCGGGCTCTGGCTCCAGCGCTGGTTCTGGCACTGGATCCGAATCTGGCTCTGGCTCTGGCTCCGGCTCTGGCTCCGGCTCTGGGCTTGGATCCGAGTCTGGCTCCTCCGAGTACACCCCCTCCAACCCCGGCTCCAAGGTCACCGCGCCTCAGTTCGGAGTCTATGGCGCTCTTATTGGCAGCATTGTCTACGGTGCCGTTATGCTGCTTGCATAAACGTGTTGCTCTTACTTGATGTTCGAAAAACTGTCTTTTAAATTTTTGTCTTAATGCTGGTGTTTTGTTTTGTTGATTGGGTATCTCTTTTTGTTGCTGGATTGAGACTTGATTCGCCTGGGAGGTTGGAGTCCTTGGATCTCCAGATAGGCGTTTAAGGTTGTAATGGTTAGAATTTGCGATTTTGGGGGTTTACTTATGGTGTTTCTTTCGGTAATATTATAGTACCTAATAATATGATTTGATTTATAATTCAATGAATGTTTTTGGATACTCTTCTCTTGGTGAATTCGCCTAATCAACATGGACATATCAAGATGAAGAAACTTACATACAGATCCAACAATATCCTAACAAACTGAAGATGGTACTGATCTAGCACCAAGATCAGCCCCTATATACTGCTAAACTTCCAACTACTCTGTAGAAATTTAATACCCAGACTCATGGACATCGCTTAAATTCCTCCCAGTGGGTAAAAATGTACAATCGTAGGCATCCCTCTAACATCCCAACGCAGTCCAATCATCCCTGCTTGGTCGGGTGGCGCATGTCTGCTAGCTGTTTCCCAGCCTATTGGCTCTGCTTTATGCTTGATTAAGGTTTTTGACTTCTGCAGGCTTGATGCAACGTGATGAGATTTATAGTTGGTAGATGAACAACTTCGTATTGGTTGTACCTGGGTAGGTTTGAAGGATGAAGGAATTGAATTTTGAATTTCAATGTTGATTTTGTATTTTAGACTAGTTAGGTTCGTATTACTATGGAAATGCATCGAATCTATACATACGCTCTTTTATGAGCTTCGTCTCCCGCAAGAAAATGAACAGAAAACCCGCCCCAAACACCAGAAGAAGCATGCAATGCAAGCCCATGAACAAGCCTTAAAGAAAAGAAAATCAATAGTTGCCGCCCATTTAAACAAAAACACCATCCATGCGACCCAACAATCTCTACACACTCGAAATCCAATTCACCCACTGACACCCACACCCACCAGAACCACCATCAACACCCCCCGCCTCTTCGATCGTAGAATTCTTCGTCCCACCAATTCCCTTAAAGAGCCCTGAAGCAGGATTAACAAGCTCACCGCCAACAGCGCGGTCCTCAAGCTGCAACTGCACAGCCGTGATATTGTAATGACCGTCGTCTTCGAGCGGGTAGCAGTAGACCATTTTCTTTTTCTCGGCGCCGCCGTGCCGGTCCACTGTTATTGTTACCGGGTATGGGAATGAGCCTGGGCGAGAGAAGTCTGTTGCGGAGGATGAAGATGTAGGTGGGTTGTTTGTTGATGTTGGTGTTGCAGATGAGGAGGTGTTTGTTGCTGTGTCTTTGGATTGTGGAAGGAGCTGACGGCCGATTTTATCGGGTTGGGTCCAGATTTGGACGAGGAGGCGGGTTTGGGACCATGTGCATCGGTAGTGCGCCTTGGATTTTGAGATTCCGCCGTTTGTATCGGCAGTGGTGGATTGGGTTTGTGAGCTTAGGAAGATGGATTTGTCGAAGTAGCTGTAGAAACCGTAGTGCTCAGTTGGAAGACCACGGTTGTAGAGGCGGATTGGTTGGGATGAGGGGAGGGGGTAGAGCATTGCTGCAGCTGGGGTCCCGTCTGCATTTTCATCTGGCGGGGGGATAATTGCTGAGATGTTCGGGTATGCGGTGCCGTTGGAGGCATCTGAGCGGCGATAGATACTTGCCGATGAGAGGGAGACAGTTGAGAGGACGGACATGTAGAAGGGTGTTGATTCGCCCGCGTACGGTACGCTGTTGTTGTCTGTGTATTGCCCAATAAAGCTCTGCTCTGTGTCTCTCGGGGCTTCGGGCGATGGGTTGAAAAGGTCATCGCCCCTGATACGTAGCTTTGAGCCAACGGTAGTGCTGTTATCATATGTTCCATTTCGGAAGCTGATAGAAACACGGAAGTTGGGCTGGTTTGCATTGTACGGCTCATTGGTATCCTGCTGCTCCTTGGGCAAAGCACAACTCCACATCGAAGAAGGAGTGATACAAGCCGACTTTTCAAGCTGTGGCTCCGTTCCAGCGAGTGTTGCAATTCCAGTCGGCATAGGCGGATAGCCTGTAAGATTCAGCCATCGCGATTGAACAGGAGTCGCGTCTCCTTTCCTTGTCAGTATAATCGCTAGAATAGTGGCTAGGGCGACGATAATGAAGAAGAAAATGCAAATCACAAAATACCATCTCCGACGAATACGACCCTCACGTCCTGGACGTCCGCTCTTCTTGCTGAATGGACCCCGGCCACGCCAGAGATTGCACACCCTTCGGCCAGTGGCTTCTTCCTTTTCAAGTCTGCGGCGTCGGGTCTCATGAGGTCCTATCGCGCCGCTTGGGTTGACGCTCGAAATTCCCGCTGTACGATCGCGATTGTAACGTGGCTGGGTATCATAACGAGGCGGAAGAGCAGGATCCCGAGGAATTTGCGTGTATGTAGGAGCTGGTGCCTGCATATTCGACATCGGGATGGAGCCGGGTCCACCAACAGCGCGCTGGAAGCCAGGAGAGATAGGCTCAGAGGGTTGCAAATGCCCCTGAGGAGGGGTAAGTGCAGATCCCTGAGGCAGTCCCTGTTCTGTCTGCCGTTCTTCAGATCCATGCTGCCGATCCTGAGCCATGGATGCTTGAGGTTGCTCTTGCTGATTCCGAACATCCGATCCAGTGGACTGATTTTGTGGCAGAGGCGGCGCGGGCGGTGCATTAGAGTGAGGGTGTGCGCTTAGACCAAATGGCCAACCAGAACCAGATTGCCGTCCCTGGATAACAGGCGGCCCTTGAGGCTTGCCTGCATGACCATAGGTTGCCTGTCGTGCCTGGGGAGGACCTTGTCCATATACCACCTGCGATCCCTGAGGTGATTCTTGTGTAATAGGAAGTTCTTGGGTTTTTCCTTGTTGAACGTACGCCCATTCAAACCCAGATGTGTGTCCTTGAGTAGCTGGCTGTTGAACCTGCGGTTGCTCTTGCGGTCGTTCTCGTTGTCCCCATGGCCATTCTGTCCTCGGCGTTACTACTTGAGGGGCTGGCTGAACCATCGGCGAATCCGGGATTCCTCGCCATGGCTCCTGCTGTTGTGGCTGTTGCATTATCGGCTCCATTGGCTGTGGCTGTACCGCTTGGGGGGCGAAGACCGGCACATATTGCACTGTCGGCTGCACGGGCTGTACCTGAGGCTGCGGTGCAGGCGCAGTGTAATGAAAATTAGTAACCGGGGGTGAGATATTAGTGATTATCTGTGGAGCAGGAGCAGGAGCAGGAGCAGGAGCGGGGGTTGGCTCGGGCATAGGAACAGGAGCTGGCGGAGGCGCAGGGGCAGAAGCAAACGCAGACGGTTCCCAAGCCTGCCTATCAACCACCTCCGCGGGTGGCGCAACAACAGGAACAGGAACAGGAACGGGAGGCGAAGCAGCACGCCGAGAGCGGGATTCAGAAATGCCACTCCTAGCACCATGCGCCACCGAACCCTTCTCATCCTCATCAACGACAGACGAATCCCATGTATGAGAAGTAAACTCCGACGATGGCGATAACACCTTCACCTCCTTCGCACGAACAACATACCCAGACGGAATCGTCTCCGCCGTTGTCTCAGGACGAGGCGAATCGATATCAATAAGTAGTCCCGCATCCTTAGTCGACGTTGTGGACGGGTCTGGAGTCTGGTTTTCGCGCGTCCCTTCAAGACCAGATTGTCCAGGCCCTTCAAGCGCAACAAGCGCAAGTCCCCGATTGTTATCTGTAGTCCTATTTATGGCTCCTGCTGGCACCACGACAGGATGGGCAGGCGTTATCGAGCAGACATGGTTGATGCATTCGAAATATGGAGACTTGCTGAATAGCTCGTGCGCGCAGGCTTGGTAGTACTCGGCTGCTTTGCCTTGGATTGTTTGGTTGTTGCTGAACATAAAGGACATGGTGTTTTGTCTACTGGAGACGTTTGAGACGTAAGCGGGTGGCGGGGATTGATGGCGTTCGGGACCTTGCTGGTATTGGTCGTGTTCGAATGATCGGGATATTTCAAATGTCTTCTCCCCAATCGGTGCTGCTGTCTCGGGTGTATCTGGCGAGAAGCAGGAGATCTCTTTCTCGCGCTGGATCCATTCTTTTGGCTGGGCGCGGGTTGTGACTGTAGTTGGAGATGGGGTGGATGGTGAATCCTGTGGAAAGGATGGACTGAGTGGGGATTTTATGGACTTGCCCATGAGAGGGGAGAGGAGGTATGTCCACCAGCCTTGGGACTCGGGTCTGTCTGCCTCTGCTTGGGTGTTGACGCTGAGATGACCCTGTTGCTGGACCTTGGGCCTTGGGTGTACTGTCTCCGGTGTCCGGGGTGGACTGTCGTCCTCCCATATTGAGGCCGTTGAGAGGGCGCGCGCGTTCCTCTCTGCGCCTAGTGTGTTCTGGTATTTGTTCTCTGAGCCGGGAGTTTTGGTAGCAACTGAGTGCTGTGCGGGAATGGCGGGGACGGGTGGCACATCTCTTTCATATTGCCAGAGGCGGGGTGTTGGTTGTGAGTAGATACTTGATGTTGCCCTTGGGCGCAGCATTTCGGTGCTCGAGTTCGATGGTGCGTTCCATGGTGCAGGTGTGACAATAATCGATGGTGTGAGCGGCGTGCCTGCGCTGTCGAGCTCTTGTAATCTTTCCACCGACTCGTTGCGAGGCACAGTGAGTCCGATCATGACATGGCGGTCCGAGGGTGAGATTCCAAGCTCAAGTCTATCGTGGAATGGATCTTCATCTCTGGGGGTAAGAAACGAGATTCCAGTTCCATTCTGGCCGCTCTTCTGACTCTGGGTCCTTTCAGGTAACCGTTGGAAGCCCCGCGAAACCCTCTTCGCGAGGGTATTCTTTGATTTCTGAGCTGAGCGCTCCTTCTCTCGCACTTTCGAGAGGAGCTTGAGGTCATTCAGATCGACGAACGGTGCAGCCGCATGTACTGGACTCGATTGTTTCCTCGGCGTCGGCGCCGGCACCAGCGTGAAATCCGTAACAAGGTTCAGACCGACTGGTTTCGCAACACTTCTACGTTTCTTGGTGATGCGGACGTTTAGTCTCGAGGCATCGCGATGGGCAGAAATGGACGAGCGATCCCCATCTTTGGCGGTCTTCGCCTCGAGCCTTTGTCGTGTTGCCTTGGATAGAAATGCAAAAGGTCGGTCTCGTTCTTCCTGGTCTTCCGAGGAGCATGATGGACTTGAGATCTCTTCGCTGATCGGCGATGATAATGGGAAGTTTGGCACTGGGACCTGAAGGTCTTGTGGCTTTCGTTTAAGCATGACGTTCGACGTTTCAGTAGACTTGACTGTGTCGAGATGTTAGTCTGCATAAATGACAAGATTCGATTTCTGCATACCATATGTCAGAAAAGGGATGAAAGAACGAGATTTGCAGGGAAGCGAAACAAAGACGTCTATTAATATTATAGTGAAACAATAGACAAAGGGAAAGGCAACAATACACAACAGCCCCAAATAGAGTCTATTGAGTCAAATACAAAACAAAAGAAATACAATGCGAAAGACAATGCGAAAGACCGACAAAATAAGAAAAGCCCCGAGATTTAAGAGAACAAAGCTCTATTTCTACGTTTCAGTCTGCATCATCACAGTGCAGAATTCGCAGAGTCCAGGCCGGTCACTCTACAGTAACAGCTCGAGCTATAAACAAACCGGCCAATGATCATCATTGCTGGTGAATTTCTGCAGAAATCCCAGACATCCCGCTGCAGCTAGCTCTGTGCTGCTTCTTGAAGGTCCATCATTGGACCATTGGTAGAGAGATCACCAGGGGAAGAAGAGTGGAAGGTGATGGATTGGATGCAAATGTCAGACTCAGGCCGGTCACTACGCGCCGGACCGGGGGCGGGCGCTACGAGAGGTCAATGAGTGGAGGGACAAAAATAGATCAGATTATACAAATGAATACTTATTTGAGGCAGGATCTTTCTGAAACAATTTGTTTTCGTGCTACCGTTTCTATTATATGATCTATGTGGTCTGAAACCTTCCATGGGGAGATGTACTTTGTATGTTGATACTCCACACCCATATCAACTATCAGCCTAAGGCTAGGAAAAGATTGAAGAGTAAACATGAATATCCATATTCCAGCTATTCCATATTCCATATTCCCTCCTATTGTATTGTGAAGTGGCCTCAGAGACAAAAAAAAAAAAAGCAAAGTAATTGCGGGTATGAAGAACAAAATATGACAGAAAGCAGAGACCACTCCCTAAAACCAAAGGAAAAAAACAAGATCAGTATAAACCAATCCCCATGTCCAAAAAAAAAGTTGAATGGGGATTGTATCTATAACAGGGGGGATATATGGTACCAACAGAACAAAGTCAAAAACAAAGTCGTTGATAGGTTTTGCGTGACTAGTCATATCTCATACGCAGCTTCAGCTTTCGTCACAACTCAAAATGCGACCACGCATCCTACCGCCGCTCATACTCAATGCCCTGCATAGGCGCACTAGAGCCATTCATAAGGGGCGGTAACGTGCGCGGTTGCTCCTGAGTCACGCCATTGCCGAACCCACTAAAGACAGGACCCTGGCCATTGACCTGGGAGTTCATTTGATGATGCTCGAAGATGGATGGGGGCCGAGAAGCGCCATTGGCTTGTTGGAGCTGGGCGCGCATCTCTTCCATCTCGGACTGCATGACAGTTCGGTCGCGTTGCGATTGCGCGAGGGTTTTCTCAAGCATCCCTATATAATCAATTGCCCGTGTGAGCGTTTCCCATTTGCTAGATTTGTTGGTTTGACCAGGTGGTAGACGCAGCCGGAGCGCTTCGAAGCAGTCTTTCATTTCGCTGCGCCGTTTGCGCTCGGCTAGTTTGTGCGTTACGCGCAGTTCGGGAGTGCGGCTATACGGTGTGCTGCCTGGCGGTCCATCTTCTTCGCCGATCAACTCTCGCACTGCCTTGTGTTGGAGGGAGTGGTGGTGTACATTCTGAGGTAGGTCTGGCAGATGTGTTAGAATCGTTGCGCGTGCAAGGTGTGACCTCTTTTTATTTTTATTTTTTTTTGGTTGGATCATACCGTGTTGTCCTCGGGGCATTCGCTCCGAGTACATACTGTTCATGGACTCTGCCATGCTGCCTTTTCGGGAGAAGGGGGGGTTGGACTCTCCCTTCGAGGAGACGGAGCTTGAGCGTGCCATGTCCGGGTCCGGGAAGGCATATGCCATACCCGCCGTGGGTGCTTCAGCGTTGTAAATTTCCGACCGAGGATTCGAGGAAATGGCCGGAGCGGTGCGACCGGCTGCAAAACTCCGCTGTTGGTCGGTTGCGCGAGGGCCCAACGGAGAGAGTGGTTGACTGCCTCCTGAGTAGCGAGGGCCCCGGTATGAATTCATGTCGGTCGGAATCCCTCGCTCTCTTTGTAGACTTGAGACGATTGACGATTGGGACGCATTGGTGCTATGGTAAGGGGAGGCTGGGTTAATTGCCAGAGAACTGATTCCTTGGTTCATGCGACTGTCGATACTGCTGCGCCGGGATTCGGTCGTCTCTGCCACGCTCCCTCGTTGGGAGGGGGCTTCATAGTTCTGGTTGATCGAGGGAAGGGTAGAGTTTGGCTGGTTGAAGTTTGGAGAGGGCTGTTGAGTGCCGGCGGAGGAAGGGGTGGTCGATTGATCGTGGGGGTAAGGAGAGCGGTCAACCGCCGGGTGTCCGCGATTCGGGGAGGGTTGCGATGCGGATATGAAACTGAGGGACGGATAATTGTTACCGGTGCCATTGGTGGTCGTGGAGTAGGTAGATGATCCTGTATGGTCAGCACCGCGCCGCTCCCAATCCATACCAGGTGAGGGTCTCCTACTTGTGCTTTGCGGCATTGACCAATTCCCGGAGTCACGTTCAATCGTGTTCAGTGAGCCATTCCCGGGAGATTTCTCCGCGGGGGCTCCAGGCATATTTGCAGTAAGGGTCGAGATAGAGGGCAGGGTTTGTGTTGAGCCTGCAGAACTCTGAGGCCCTGAAACTGCCTCCCATGGCCGATGTGCGACAGAGGGATCCATGGTGGGAGAGTTCTGAATTCAAGCGGGGAAGAGTGAAGAAGAAAGATCAACCCGCTCTTTTCCACACTATCGCATATTCCTAATCGAGAATAGAAGATTCACGAGAAACAATCGTGAATGCGTCGAATTCGGAAGGTGTCAAGTTTTTGAGGTTTGCGCAAGGTAAAAAAAAAAAAAGGGAAGGGCTAGATGGGTAGGTTCAATGTTAGACATATAATGACAAGGCAACACAGATCAAGCTTACCGAAAGGAACGTGGCACGGAAGTGTAAAATTATTATAAGTTAGGGAAAGGAAAATAGAAAGTAGAGAAAGTTGAAGGAGAGTAGAGAGTTGAGAGAGTTCGAGATTAAAGAAGTGTTCCTCTAGAAAATTGGAGACTCGAAACCCCAAGCCTCGAGTCTCTGAAACCTCTTTTTTTTTTTAACCTTCTTTTTTGGCATCCCCTTTCTTGATTAAAATTAAAGAAAAAATTAAAGAAAAATTAGAGAAAATAAAATAACAGTGAAAATAGAAAATAAAATCGTGAAAATATAAAAAGAACATCCAAAAACAAAGAATGTACTCCGTACTGGTATTACTGCCAAGCCTCTACTGCAACTGTGCCACGAGGCTGACCCTGGGGAGTAAGGACTATATAGTATATTATAGGTACGGTAACTCTTATTACTTATATATTAATCTCACTCTATAGTACCTGTTAGCTCTATTTCTCCGTAGTTACTCCGTCTCTATTAAGTTGTGCATTCTATATTTCAATATCTAATCTCATACCCAATATAAATGGGACTACATTCCTAATTGAATCCCTAGGAAAAGCAAGGAGAACACGTTTGCATTGAGTCTTCACGTCATCTTTTTTTGGATATATATATATATATATATAAAACTATAATATGTACATATATTTATATAGAATACTATTGTTACAATACACCCCCTTCACGTGGCTTCTCCCTTGCAGTGTTTTCCTATTTATTGAGTCTCCTTCTCTTTCCATCCAGTCAAGCTGCATTCGCGACCGGGGCTAACTGCACAATCCCGTTTGGGAGATTAAGTACTGTACGGAGGTACGGATATAAAATATAAAATGTTATTATATATATATATGAGCCAAAAAAAAAAGAAAAGAAAACATGTTGACGTTGGACACATGGCATAAGAATGCAGGGTTGATCGGTAGTCTCGGGGGCAAATACACACTAACAAATACTAGTACGTCTTTCTGGTCGGGAGAGTAAAGTACCTGTTTAATCCTTGTCCTCCATATGTCTTTTTCTTCAGTCCCACACATGGCATTTTGTAGCCTGTTTTTTTTTTTTTTTACTCACCGAGCCCTGGAGGGTTTGATTGCCATATGTTATTTTATATATGTTAACTACCGAATGTGTACAAAGTACGGAGTATTATCTTATAATCCTCATAAGCCTCATAATTCCCCATAATCCCCCATAATCCCCCATAATCCTCATTAATATTCTTCGCTATTAAATAATTCCTATAATGGTATTCATTAATAACCCCTAAAACACGATCCACTTGTCTCTTCTGTAACACCTCGGACACAGGCAGATAAGTGTGTCACGGATCATCCACGCTTCCATGAGCTTGAGCTTCATACATGCAACCACCCGTACCTGCCGCCCAAATCATCACATGTTGGCCTGTCAGAGGGGGTTACATAGGACTGGCTTTATGTCGCGCGGCTATTTTCACCCTTCGATTCACGCTATTATGGGTAATATCCCGGTTTCCGAACAAGTGTGACCTGGAGACTTGGCAAATATGACCAAGCTTATTTAATTATTTGGATCTTCTGGGTCTGGATCTACATAATTATTGGTTCGAAGTAATCAGGTATGATTTTATACTTATCTTATATACTACAATAAGGCGTCTTCAATTATATATGTTCTAATTACTTTGGGGAATATTGTTACCTGAAACATGGGGTATTTATCCGGGTACCTACGCGACTGCAATAAACCGTGTTGCTTTAGGTTGATGTGTCGATTTAATCTCAATCTCCGTTTGATCGGGTGTTCGTCCAGAAATAGATCGAGAGCCGTTTGTAATTTTGATAACATTTGAAAATATATAAAAAAAAAACTAGTAAGTCAATCTAAGATACATATAATACCACTAAAATCAAATTGCATCGGCCCAACCGACGGTCTAGCCGACGCAGCCACACTGTGGCTGCAACACCTCTTTGTCCACACCTTTAGGCAACACAAATTGAATACGAAGTACGGAGTACAGTGCAATAATAAACATATGCATGTCAAGTACGGAGTACTACTGTCTATCATCTTCCCCTTCTAGCATGCCACATGGCACCATCGTCGCCTTGCAGAATGTCTTGAAGATCGCCACCCGATCTACGGCACATTCTTCGAACTTCTGACACGGTAGCACTTCTCCATACTTGATGAATGGACACACACAGCTTATCCGAGACCCCAGGCTTGATCTCCACCAAACGGCTGGTCTTCCGGGTTTTTAAAAAAAAAGGCCCATCGGCAACGGGAATTCTGCGTACGACTCTATCTCTACAACGCTGTACACCCTCGCCAAACTATCCTATCTCGGTCAAGGGATGACTTTAAGCTTAGAGTTTGCTATGCCAAAGTGCGTGGCTCATGCGAATGCATCCTTTCTCCTATGGCTCATGGCTTGCCCATGGCAATCCTCCATGCTCTCCCATCATATCTTCCCGGAGCTATGTATCGCCCCATGGCAATACCGTGGCCTTTGCCCATTCCTGCATCCCACGCCTTTGAGCGAGGTCGTGCTCGTGGGCTGTGCCTTGCTGCCCTTTCCCAATACTAGTCCGTCTTGACACATGGGTCGTACCGTCCAGGGGGTGAGAACTTTTCTCTCTCTCTTTTTTTTCTTTTTCTTTTTCCTATTCCCTATTCCAGCTCATATTCCCTCGCATGGCAGTAGCCCCTTCGTCCACATATTGCACTGGACTTTGACTTCATTTGAATAGTCTCTAGTCTTCGGAAAATGTCTCTACTATGTAAATCTATCCTCTATGCACCTGCAATCCTACATATTGCTTGTCTATATAGTTTTCTACAACGTATGGAACAACGTACATTCTACATTATACATTGCCCATACTACTCCGTAGTCTCTTTGCATATGTATGTACGGAGTACTAGACAGTGTACCTCCCAACTCAAACTCCTGGCCTACCGACGATCCTCGCACCGGCTCCCGTTCCCCGAAGCTGGGGAGCGCACAGCCAAAGCTTAGAGGTTACATGCAGACAAGGTTGGAGATCATACCAGTATTTACTAGAATGTGAGCACAGATGCGGTAATCAATTATCCTCCATATCCACTAAGGCCACAAACGTCCCGTCTTGTCCACCCGTAACTTCCACCGGCCTGCCGCCGCCGCCACCCCAACCACATCTGTAGTACAACTATTTTGTACCCACCCGGGTACTAAGCATAGTTAGCTCCCCTACTGAAACAATATTGGCGCTCGGCCTTGACATGTTGTTTCTAACTCCACCCGTGACTAAAACAACACCCAAATGGCTTCCCCTATATTCAAAATCAGTTCCATCTGCGGAGTAATATCGCCTAATTCCGTTTAGTTCGTATCCAATGCCCTATTTCCTCTACCCTCCTTCCCCCCGCCCTCCTTGCACATGATATAACCATAGTCCCCACCTGAGTCTTTCAGATGACACCTGGAATTTTAACCCTGGCTCCCACCACTCCTCACAACCGTCCGCCTGGCTAAACTCTTATTCTGAAGCGCGAGGCTCCTCGCTTCAGCTTCAATATCATCCACACTCCTCATGAGCATGATGTATCCTTCGTCATCTAACTCAAAGAGAGCTTCCTTGAGCCATACCCGGCAAGTAATTCTCTCGCGGAATCGAACTGAATCGACGATTGGGATTTGGCGAAGGCGCTCGAGAAAATGCGCGTGGAGCGTAGGGTCTAAAACTCCTATCTTGAGGGCGCCGAGGAGTAGTGGGTCATAGATCACAGTCTGGTCGGGTAGATGTCCGAAGCGCCAAATGGCTGGATCGATGTCGTTTAGTAGATGGTAGATCGAGCCTGATGTCGAACTTTGGTGTAGGTAGAAGCGCCAGTGGAATGTGTAGCTCTTGTCGCCGCGGTCAGATAGAAGAATATAGAGGCCGTTGACTTCAAAGTTGAGCTGTGATACGCCTTTATCAGACTGGTTGGTTTCCTCTGCTGTGGGCATATCGGATGTTTATAGGTTATGTGTTACGGTAGTAGAAGTGATGTTTTGGATATATGTTGTAGTTAGAGTAGGATGAAGAGTGGACCAACACAATTCATGAGAGTTCGCCCGGCCTAATCGCGTTCTCGTTCATTGATAGCGCTTAATCTGAGTAGTTTACTAGTTTGTTCTAATGTTCAGTGCCTAGCATCCAAGTTGGGGCCCAATGGGCTAAGTAGAACGACTAGATGAGCACCACAGCCTGGAATTGCTATTAGCCTAATAATGGATCAATTCAAGGAAATAACGCACAGCCCTCTTTGTGCCTAGACAGCCCTGTGTTTCAGGCTCTCAGGTGTCAATAGATCCATGGATGGCCCCTCTTCGGGCCGGCCCATCCCGAGGTCAAACAAACCTCAACCTTGGAAGTTCTTTAGATATGTAGGTACATAATGTACATACTCAAGAATACAGACAACAATCAGGCTTGACATGATGATCTAACCTGAATCCACCTGACTCGCAACTGATCACTTCATGCGGTGAACCACTCTGTACAAGGTCGCTATATCTACTATTATAGGAAAGGATCCACGACACGCCCCAATGGTCTAGCACAAGGCATGCAAAACTTGACTACTTTGCAGAGCCAAAATCTTTCCACATACCTAATTGCCAGTTGAAGGCGAGGCTACCTACCGCTGCCTCCCTCGCAAAATCAGACACCACAGACAAGAACTGCAACGATCCACGCTACCTTTTACCGTATTGGAAGTCATCAGACCTAAATATATCCATCCAACCATACCTGAATGATCATACAATGTGTACTCCAATAACCAAGTATGATTGGCAGATCATTCCACGATCTCCCTCCCCTTCATCGTGGCACACCCCTTGCCTGCTACAAGCTCCACAGGCGATATTCCGGTTGATCTTGTTCTCGGTTTAGTTGCTGTCGCGTGTCGAATGTCAAAATGCCCTGTACAAAGGGGTAAACTCAATACAGTTCTGGTGGAGCACCAATCCTGTCCCAAACATGTCTTGTCTTGCATCTCGAGAATTCCACGGGGAATCGGCGCCGCTTCCTAGGTTGCACTTCTCGCAGGATATATCTTTTGCGCCATGTGCAGCTCACTTTTTCGTCTGGTGAGGTACGGAGTACATACATGCATCGTACATGCGCACTACTACCCCATGTTGTAGATGGTTGAGTCTCTCCACTTGTGTAAATATGTACATATTTTGGGTTCGCTTTTTTACGTTTTTCGTTGATCCCTCCCCCCTCCCCCCCCAACTTGGCTGCATCAATTATGTGGCTTTGGTTTCTGTATCTGAACTCCTTCGAGATAATCGTAAATAGTCACTATTTATCAGCCAATTATTTCTTCCTTGCTGTGTCTCAGATCTTTTCGCCTCCCGGGGTCCATAGAGACCGCCATGTGCTTGTTTCAGTTCGCGCCGGCTCTCGGGATCGTCCCGTGTGTCTTATTATGGGTTTCAATAGCTGCTGTGGATGATGTCAGTGATAGTTTGGAGAAGAGATTATTGAGATTAGACCCTTTTTGCTAGGCCGGTGCGGAGATTTGTATCTTTGAGTATAGTATTACCTGGTCGTATATTGAATGTTGAACTCGACGTATTGGTTACAAATTAGATATATATATTTGCGGAAATATTGGTCCAACGATATTGCAGTAAGATTTTAAACGGCTGAGCATGTTGAATTGATCCATTGGACGATATTTCCGCTATTATCTGCATGTCTATTAGTTGGGATCTAAAGCAAGAGAAAAAGTATTAAGATGGGAACAAACAGACAAATAATGCTCCTAATAGGATTAACCTCGAAACGCAAAGTAGTATCTCATCAAGTCAATTCAAGTCGTATATGCGCCATATATAATATCTACAATCTTTTCGAAATCTATGCACTGTAGTCATGTCTGATTAGGATTTACTCTTCATCTTCATCCTCGTCCTCACCCTCATCACCATCATATTCATCTTCATCACCCTCCTCAAACTCAACACCGATCTCACCAGTGATATCCCACCGATCACCCTTAGCCGCAGCACTGACATACTTGACGAACTTGAGAGTGCCGCTATCCCGTAGGACAATGCTGAGTCGGTTCCATCCTGCTTGCGTGCTGAACAGAATACCATCATCCTCATCTTCACCCGCAGACCGGTAGACAGCCGGATCAGCCTTGGTCTTCTTCCGGCCCAGGACTTGGTCAGCGTTCTCGGCATCCTCTTCATCGTCATCATCCTCATCTTCATCACCAGCCATGTAGATCTCGTAACCGCCCAGTGCAGGACCTTCCACAGTATCGTCATTTAGCTGCTCCTTCGGCTTGGATGCCTTGGCGGACGAGCCATTGGCTTCTTCATCCTCGTCCTCGTCCTCGTCCTCATCTTCCTCTTCTTCCTGCTTCTCCCACCCAGTGCTCGGGGTAATACAAAGCGAGAACTCGAGTCGAGGCTCCTCACCTTCGTACGAACTAGCAAGAGTATAGTCACAGCCGCGACGGAAACGTCTCGCAAGCAAATTGTGGCTGGTGAGGTGGTCCACACCAGTAACAAGCGAAAGCCACTTCCGGAAGGCCTGCGACGGGAATAGCACGTTCAACAGCTCCTGAATCGGGTTGTCGGTATCCTTCTCACCAGAAGCATGCTGGTAAAGATAGCGATGCTTGTGCGGAGGACGAGCAACGGTCCACCCGCGCTGAACCTGGATCTCATCAGCTGAAGCAGGAAGAGGCTGTCTCTCCTGCTCCTCAATGTACGCGCTTACGCGCGATCCAAACTTGTCACTCAAGAACTGCTCCAGGCTAAGCGAGGACTCAGCTGAGAATGCGTCTGACATTTCCTCGGCGATATCAGGGGTCAGGTACGAAGGCGCAATGTACCGAAGCAGGAAGGCGAGATCGCTCTCTGTGAACTCGCCCTCAGTCTGCTCTTCCACTTTGCCCTTGCCCTTGCCTTCGACTTCGGGTTCCTCCCAGGACACAGGCTGCGACTGAGGTAGGTCGTAGATATCGCCGCGGCCCTGCAGCTGCGCGAGACTGCTGCGCTCGGCGAGCTTCTCTTCAAGTCCTTCTTCGTAACCGTCTTCGCCTTTCTGCGGGATGTGGAACCAGCCGCTAATCGCCATACGCACGCGCTTCTTCGTCTTGTCTTCGTCGTCGCGTGGGTGGTACACTTCCTCAACATCGTGGAAGCTCTCGCCCGGTTGGACGGTAAAGAAGCTGAGCTGGTTGAAGGCGGGAGGGATTGAGAGGCTGTAGTCCGGGCTGGGGATTTTTACGTCCTTGCCTTTGGCGTCTTTCTTGGTCGTTGTCGGGAACAGGCGCAGGGCACCGCCCCACTCGGCTTGCCATGGTGTGTCGGGATCGGTTAGGTAGAGGATGTAGCTGACGCGGCGGCTGCCGATGACATCGTCGTGGCACAGGAGGTGGCAGCCCTCGGTGTAGACATTGATGGCCATGTCGGTCTTTTGCCCGCTCAGTTTTCCGGAACCAGTCACGGAGGAGAGATACTCTCGGAACCGTGCCGAGTAAATCGCGTCACGCAGCTTCAGTACGGATGGCAGCTTCGAGAGGGAGGAGTCATCCAGTCCATCAAGATTGGCGAGATCGCCAGACTGGAAGATTTTGTAGATGTCTGTTTCCTTCTCGGTGAAGGAGACTTGGGTTTCGATCTCATTGCGGACTGAGCGGAGGAGAGTGGGCTCGATCAGAGGGTGAATGACGCCGTGAAGGTAGCTAGAGATTCAAAAATGTCAGCCTTTTGCCATTAGACTATTTCCCTGTGAATACGCACGGAGACGACTTAGCATATTGGTCGGTGTACTTCTGCTGCTCCGCGGCGTCAAATAGGCCGTCGCGGAAGCGGGCAGCAGCCTCCTCGCTGGAGAGAGCCCGTTTCTTGGACTGGCGCATGGCATTGCCATCGAGGGAGGCCCTTGAATCTGTCTTGCGCTTCATTTTTGAGGTTTGTAGAAAAATAAAAACTTCAACAGCGAGTGGTCTGATGTTTCATAGATTTTTCCGGGCGGTGAGGACGCGCAATGAGGCGGTCAACTATGTTGTTTGTTGGGTCTCCAGTAAGATAGTTAGAAGCTCATAGTTCACTTCTCATGTTTAGTCTATTGTTAAACTTCTCTTACAAAGTATACATGTAGTTTGAATGTAGTTTAAATCTCACTCAATATTGCGTGTCGGAGACCTGTATACTAGGAAAGCTAGTCTCTCTTAGACGAGTGACGTAGCCGGCACGCTCACCTCTGACCGATGGCAAACTTTCCTGCACGTCTGTTCTTTCCTTGGGATCTGAAGTAGCAAAAGTTCCTTCATAACAGCTACAAGTTGAACTTACAGTCTTGTATTGACCTTCAAAGCCATCACACATGTGATTGCGGCAAATCCAGGCACCCGCTGTCGTCATAATATTTTTGCCTTATCATCGCAAAGACCTCGATTGTTCCCCCCACTAAGCGACCTGCTTGATTCTCTTGAACTTTGTGAAATCTCATCATGCAGCAACAAGATGCCGAAGCCTCAATCCCAGATCAGCCGGGAACTCCACCTCGCCCACCTTATTCCCCGGTGACACCCGTGTTTGCGCATCTCGCGCCCGTCGCCTCCAATGAGCCATCAATTGTACCGCCACCTGCATCTCCTTCTCCAACATCACACCTCCCTCCACAGGCATATGCCAATTATTCACACCCCCCACCTCCTCCGCACAATCCACCAGTCTTCAAGCCCCAACCACCCCCTGTCCCTATCTCTGAGAGCGAGAATCCAGATGCCATCGCACTCCGTTCCGCCATCTCTATCCTGCAAATGCAGAAGCAGCAAAGTTTGCGCGACATCCAGGCATTGGATCGCATGAAGGAGGCCGCTGCCGCCGATCCAGAGGGGTTTGCGCAGGAGCTGGCAGCAGGTCGGTTGAGGACCGAGGACCATGGTGCTGTGATTCAGTTCTCCGAGGATGATGCGGGGGATGACGAAGATAAGGAAGAGGGTCCAAAACGCCCGAATCCGGACGGTTCACCGGCGTCGAACTTCGGCCACATCCCTGTTCCGCAGAATATCGTCCGTATGCCCCCAATCAACTGGGCCAAGTACCAGGTTGTTGGAGAGCCGCTTGATCGAATGCACGAGGAGCAATTACATCGACCGAGTTCTGGGGAGCCGAGACGAGGGCGCGCGCCGGAGCATGTCTTGGCCTCGCCGTATCGGCCATTGGTAGATCAGTTAGAGGGACCACCGTCGAAACTCGGCCGTCCAAGCAAGGCAAAAAAAACTTGAGCCCGCAAAGTGGCTTTGATGATTATGGGATTATGGACTTTTACGAAGTTATGTATTTTAAGTCTGTGAACAGAGCTGGACTTTTGTTTCCTTGACCATTGAGTATGGTTTCTCGGGTGGGTTGGCGCTGTTTCTGGTGCACTTTACTGATAAAAAGAAAAAGACGGAAAGGAAAGATATATCATTTCATTTTTTTTGTGTCTTCAAAGTTATTTGTTGTGACTCAGCATCCTCTGTCTCCAGATCGAGTCGAGACTTCTTTTTAGATCCCGGCGCAGAGCCCTTTGGAACACAAACGTCAACATACTAATATACACACGCAGTATACTCTACCAGGCATAGGAGGACAAATTTAAAATATTCATAGACACGTGGCTCGATACCTCAAGATACTAAGATCTACAACACCAACATACCCTCGCAAATTATCGAAATCTTGGGCAGAGACCTCAAATATCGAAAGATTACGCGGTGTAATGAACACTATACTGAAATTATATTTGCAAGTATAATATCAACCACTGTTTTATACTTGCTTATAATTCAATCTTATAGATGATTGGCAAAGCAAGATGTATACATTCTCTTATAATGTACAAGAAAAGTCGTGAATTCCAATCAGCCGAGAGAGACAGGAAAGAGAGAGCAATTATGACTATCATGACTTATTCCATCCTCAGAGGTTTGTGCAAATCTTCAGGTAAAGCGAACGGAGTCTCTCTAGGCAAACAAGCTCTGGCCGCATCGATATCCCCATTCTGAAGATATTCATCAATCTGCCTCATAGTAGCAGTGACATCAGTAACCGAAACAATCCACTTATCAAGATATTTTCCAACAGCCTCCCCACTCAACCCAATCTGAATACTGCGATAATCCAAAGACCGAAGTGAAATATCCCGCTCGGGATCCCATTGAACGCGCACTGGACTGGCACGCATCTTCCTCCGCCACTCCTCCTGGCTTACCTTCTCGTCAGGCGTGTAGTGACTCAAGCAGGAATGACGCAATGCCCACTCGAATCCCTCGCGGGTAATCTCTATCGCCAAAATACGTTCTTGTCGGGCTTTCGTCGCCCAGCCTGATCGGTACGCCATCCATAGAAAAGAGGGTTTGATCCATGTCATTCTGGCTCGTGAAAATGGAGGAACGAATGTTTGGGCTTTGATTGCTGGCTCAGCTATCTCGGGGGAATAGGCTTGGTACACTGTGATTGTACTTGGGGTTTGTTTGGCTCGGACAGCCCTGTAGGTATTTGAGCCCATTGCTGGATGTGTTGTGGAGGGGTTATGGATGTTCTCAACGGAGATAAAGAATATTCAGGCGCGGTAAATAGGAATTATGTGATGATGTGGCAAGATCTTGCAGTAAGCTTGGAAAACCTGACTTCGATCTTGAAGTCTTTATAAGAATATATTTGCTTCCGGACACCTAAAACAGTAGGGCCTATAGTATTCCGTACTCCATACTGACTCGGCCCACCACACCATACCAAATTAGGACTCCGCAATGCATTAATAAATGTCAGACTCATCGCGAAAGAATAGTTAGATTAGTTTGTTCAGCTTCTATGATATTTCCTCAACCAAAAAGCCAAATCCCCGATGTAGTAGTCATTGGAGAGCGCATGCCTTCTTTGAAAAGGGCTTGAGAATATGCCACCTTCAACAACAGAGGGAGGCTGTCTAAGGCCTCGAAAGTGCAAATATTCTCCACGAAAGCGCAGCCCGATTTGTATTTGTGATTGTGGGAACCTCACATCGTCTCATGTTGCTTGGATATTCTGGAAACATTTGACTAGTGCCAAGACCGGGGTAGTATCTGCAACACTATCGCCCCCCACATGGCAACTATAGAAATGTTTAAACCAAGAGCGCTGGCAAAATTTGTACAGGCTCTCTGGTTTAATAAAGATTCTACTCTGTCTAAGGAGATCTTCACAACTACAGACTTACCAGGGATACCTTCGAAAAGAAATATCATTGTCAAGAACCGGAAATAACTATAAAATGGGATAATGCCCTTCGGCCCACTGGCCGAAGAAAAACAACGTAAATGGAAGGCTGTATACCGACGAACGAAAACCTGTCTACTGCTCTGAGTGGCTACCGAAATTCTCCGCTGGATGACTGTGGTCCTTGAGACGGGTTACTGAGATATTAATACGCCCTGAGAGATGATATCGAACCTCCAGGAGATGTCCGATGAAACTGAAGAATGTCACATTTCGTATGAATTTCCATAGTATCAAGTTTCCCACACACTATGAATAACCGCGGCAGGCGGAATCTCGATCGCCTCACCACTCCTTGTACTTCCAGCAGAACATGAAATCCCTGTGATCTTCCCTTCATACACCTAGCCCTTAACAAGCAATGCTCTCACTATCTTTCCCAGGTACGGAAAAAAGCGAATAACAAGATAGATTGCTCGGGCGTTTACGACTCGTCGGGGCATCTTCCAAGGACCTTGTCGGCTCCGCCTATTATTGCGTCCCAGAAGCGCGAGTGGGCTTCATGAGCACGCTGTCGCTTGATCTCGGCATTATCATAAGATGCATTGGAGGCCTCAGTTTTCTCAAAGAGGGAGGCATCTAGTGCCCGGTCGATGCAAAGTGTCTCAGCAATCCCAGAGTCCACGAGGAGCTTGGTGTTCTCCCTAACCCGCTCCTTTGCGATGGGATCATCAGGCTTACATGCTGAGAGAATATAGTTTTCACCAGCGGCGTTAATGGGCGGATGGGTGAGGTGGGTCTAAGTTAAGCAAATTAGTAAATAATCGGGGAGGTGACATAGAATAAGTATCTGACATTAGGGGCACCTGGTGGAATAGCGAGCTTGAAGGTCAAGGCGCTCTCGCCGAGGGGGATCTCGGAACTAGATTTGGCTGGCGGGGTTGCACTAGCATGCTCACAGCACTGGTGGTGGTACTGAATTACAGGTTCTCTCCAAGTAAGACCCTGAGTGTGGCAGCGAGGACGAATCCCCCTGAAGAAAAGTGGGACACCGGGGCGGTTCTCCATCTCTTTGAGTGGTGGAATGACTCGATAAAGTTAGCTGAATGGAACAAAGGGAAGATGAAAGACAGGAGAGGTAAGTTACCCACTTAGGGGCGTTGGTGATCCGGATGTGAGTGGAGGAAAGAGTGAAGGAAGACTCAGTTTGAGCTAGAGAAGATCCTATTTCTGGCAGGGTCGAGTGCATTCTGTTTGTCTTCTTGGAAGGTGAACTGGAAATTCTGAACCCAAAAAGACGAGAATGTCAAGCAATAGATTCTGAAAAGTCAATCGCGAGGGACTGACTTGTGACAAAAAGCCCAGAGACTCCAAAAAAGTTGCCATATAGATTTGCGGGCGATTGAGGATACTGCCTATTCTATTGACAGAATATCAATTGATTTCTCTAGAATGCAGGATATGTCATCAATGTGAAAGTAATTTGAATTTGAAGGATCCTATAGCTGAAACGAAAAGAAATATAGTTACATGCCTAGCAGCCCTATGAGCAATTTAATTTGAAGAGATTCTGATACTGCATCATAATAAACCAGTGAAATGACCTAGTTATCAGACAAATAAGTCTGTATTGTTTCTAGGGAACACTCTACAAACTTACCAGGAACGACTTCGAATTGGGATGGTACATATGTATCATCAGGAGGCGGAAGAAGACCAAAGGGAACGATGATCTTCGACTATTTACCAAGGGAAAGTAAGATACTAATAGCAGGAAAGATTGTATGCTGACGGAAAAAGAAATAGGTCCCACTGCTCTCAGTGGCTACGGAAGTTCCCCGCCGGAAGACTGTATCGGCTATGACCATGCTGATCACCTGGACCAGTGAAACAAAAGCGATCGGCTTATCCAATTGCCTCCCAGTAGCGGCAATGGGCCTCTTGTACACGCCTCTTGTTGGCCTCGGCGTTGTTAAAAGCTGTATCAGAGGTCTCGGTGAGCTCGAAGAGGAGTCTCTCCAGTTTCCATTCGGTCTGTAGCCCGTCGACGACGCCAGCGTCTATAAGTCGCTGGGCGTTCTCCTTACGCCGTTCATTAGCGTTGGGATCATTAGGCTTGCAGGCCGAAAGAATGTAGTTTTCACAGGCGGCATTCACAGGCGGCTGGGAGAGATAGACCTAGGTCACTTGAGTTAGGAAAAGGTCACAGAGGGATGGCCGGGAACATGTATCTTACACTAGAGGCATGAAATGGAGTATCGGCCTTTGATATCAAGACCCTTTTGCTTCAGGGGATATCGGTACCAGTCATGACTAGAGTGGTGGTAGCAGGGTGATCGCGCTGATGTTCGCACTGAATCATGCTTCGTCTCCGGGCCTCCTCCATCACAAGACCCTCAGCTTGGTGAACGGACAAAATATCACGGTGAAACTTCTCCATTCCAATATGTGGTCCCAGTATGGCTTGGTGGTGTTAGGTTAGATGCACATCAAGGTGAAGATACCACTCAGGAAGGGAGAACCCTTACTAGGGACTGTGGTTATCTGTGTATGGGGAGTTGAGGAGCGCTCAGTCTGAGCGGCAAAAGCTCCCTGGTTTGGCAGGGACAAAGGCGTCTCGCCTGACTGTTTAGATGAAGAGCTCGGCATTTTGAAAGATAGGGACGAGAACGTCGAGAAATGGCTAGTGAGATCTGGAAACCGTTGAAAATTCGATCGTGAGTGACGAAGTAGTGATAGAGAAGTCAGAGAAATCTGGGATACGATGAAAATATTGACCAGCGATTGACCATGCTACGTGTGTCAATCACATTGTCTTCTGGCAGAATATCAATCGATTTCTCTCAAATAGAAAGAGCGATGAATATATATATCTACTAACCAAACCGACAACGGCACCATGGGGCTTAATAAATGTATTCATTTACAATCTTAACAAGAAATTACGCTTGGTTCTTTTTCATATTGATATTGAATATTCGCATACATACAAGCCATATTCATCCATGAGAAATTCGAAGGATCTTATGGCTGAAATGACAAAAACAGAGCTATCTATCGGTGGCCCCATTGGCAAGCAGTGTACCTATGATACATATTCTATTATTTGCTTGGGCTAAGGGTTTCCTGCCTAGCTACTTCAGGAATATGCCACAAACACAGTAGGCCGAGTCATTGGTCTAAATGGCTGAAACAAGGATAGGTATATGTACGCACCCCATATAATATGAACAAAGGAATCCACGAATCTCTAAATTCTACGAACTTCAAAGCTTCGCTTTCCCATTGTTCTCGAACTGTTGGACAGCCTCTGATCCTCTTTTCTGAACAGCTTGGTTCTTATCTTCAACATTCTCCCGCCATTGCAAGTTTCCAGCATGATCATCCAAGCCATTCAAGATCCCAGAGTACATCTCCTCTTTCATGGTACCGTAGATACCTGTTGCGGCTTTAGTTTGGAGCTTGCGGGTCTGGATCAGCGCAAGGGCTTCCTCAGCTCCACCAATGGCATCAACAATCCCAGCCTCGAGTGCTTTGGGTCCACCAAAACGATGAGCTTCTAGAACCACATTTCGGAAAGTGACTGGCGTCAGCTTCTCACGGAAGATAGCCATCATGGGCGTCTGAAGCGGCACGCCAAATTCAAGCTCGTTGACACAGAGGAAACCACGCTCTGGGTTCATGATTCTGTAGTCATGGTACATCGCCAACATGAAACCGCCAGCAAAAGCGTGTCCATTCAATAGACACACGGTTGGCATGGGGTATCTAGAGCGGATTTCAGTAATGTATTTTATTAGAAAATATGTATCGTTGCAACGAATCTTCAAATTCGTCATATGGGACAGAGACGTACGTCAAAAAGCGTCGGAACAGACGCCACAGCCAATTCTCAAGGAACCCTTCAGTCTTCGCGACAATATCGAGATCAAGCCCATTGCTGTAGAATTTGACAATTCCACTAGTAGTGACTACGACACCCTTGGGGTAGCGGTGCTCGATAATGTCGAGGGCGAGCAGCAGAGCGTCAATAAAAATGGGTGTCAATCGGTTGTCCGGGGGTGAAGTAAAGGTGAGCACGTAGATGGTCTCATGTTCCTTCGCTGTGCTAGGGTTTGTGCAGATGATCGAACCTCCGGTAGAGCTGATCGGTACGGTGAAAAGAGTCGCCATGATGGGAATGTCTGGAATAAGAAAATTGTTGAGGAAACACGATATCTTGTTCAAATATGATGCATCGGCTACGTGAATACTAATCAGACCTCGGCCTCCCATCACATGCCGGCCCCGATCGATGATGTCATCACGTGACGACCAAAGCCATCCAAGTTGGCATGATTGAGAATTAAAAACCTTTGAAAAAGAAAAAGAGAAACGTTACACTGGCCCAAATACAAACGCATCAAGCTCATGGTACGCCTTTTCGATATTGTCATTGACAATGATCTTATCATTGCTCTGAGAGTCGGCATATTCAAGTTCCACTTTAGCCCGCGCGAGCCTTCTCTGAATATCCTCCTCGTTCTCCGTGCCCCGGCCTCTAAGACGCGCCTCGAGAACTTCAAGACTTGGTGGCTTGATAAAAATATACCGCGCTTCTATGCTAGGGTTTTCCTTCATCTGCTTAACACCCTCTACCTCGATATCCAGCATCACAACTAATCCTTTGCTAGCCTGCTCGTCAATTGTTTGTTTGCTCGTGCCGTAGTATTTGCCATTGAAACATGCGTATTCCACGAATTCACCTTGGGATAGAAGAGAGGAAAATTCAGAGGGGGAGACGAAGAAGTAAGCGACGCCATGGACTTCGCCCGGTCGCGGTTTTCGTGTCGTATGGGACACGGCGAGGCCAAATGTATTAGGGTGCGCGTCTAAAAGCTTTTGGATCAGTGTGCCTTTGCCGACACCTGAAGGTCCGGAGACAACGATATGTCGGAGATCTTGAGGTGCTGCCGGGGATGGTGTCAGTGGGTCCTAAGAATGGGAGTTGTCAGGTTGAACTAAACGTACACGAGATCATCTTCAAGAGTATCATGGAATCAGCGTCGCGAATGTTTTGTCGGTTACTTTCCCAGAGATATTATATATGAGATTTGCTTGGATACTAATAGAAAATCGAGAAGATGTTCTGTTTGAGTAAATATACTTTGTACATTGCTTTTTCCTAATCCGTTCATTCCGTTTTTGGGTGTTCACCCCTTGCCGCTTTGCAACCAGTCCCCAACCAATGCGCCATAACGATTTTTCTCATAAGTTTTGGCCGCCTAGCTTACCCTTATTATGTAATTAGTTCGTAGGAAGTCTACTTTGTAGTGTTCAGGATAACTAAATAAGTAGCCTTTATGGTGAAACTAAGCAAGTTCTAAAGGTGGATTTATTATTGGGGTTGTATTGTATAGAATACGCATAGGACAAATATTAGGGCTAAATTCGTTATTGGCGCATTGGCGGAGACTGCCGGGTACAATTTATCACGCCCTATCAAAGTTGAACCTGAATATCATCTGATCAACACATACCCGTGGACGTAAGCTGTACAGACCCGCGGACTCACTGCCCATGTGAGATCACCTGCGCCTCCGCCAACACTTAAATGGAACCCCAGACATTGTCTACAATCTGCTTCTCAGACATATTACAAGATCATTATGCCTGAAATCCTAAGGAGCCAACCTATAAAATTCACAATTACTCACCACCGCCAGCAGCAACACTCCCACGAGGCGTTTATGAAATGGATGGTTGAGGAGCACTTGCCTCTTGCCATGCCTGTCTTCACTAAATATGGAGTCATCGAATACTCGCTCGTGAGTATTCGCTCCTTGAACTTTGAACTGCCTGTGCAATTTGACACCTGGGTAACTGTGACTAATTACTAATATCTAGTTCGCTACCCCACCTGCTATGAATGAGGCATTGAAACGGGAAATTGGCGAGTATCGACCGAGCTGGGATTTCGCTGATTTCGACTGTTTCATCGAGTACATACTTCCCAATGTGGAAACCATCCAGAAGATTATGGCAGATCCAGAGTGGCAGATCGCGGTTAAGGACCAGAAGGACTGGGTTCAGGTCTCGAAGGCATTAGTTTCTCTGGGACACTCTACCCCGTACGTGTTGAATGGGAAGCCTGTAAACTTGCCAAAATGACCGAGCATTTGATCCGGGAAACCGTTTAAAAGTGCGTCTTTGAAAAGGATAAAAGGTAAAAAAAAACTAGAAATAGTAATAAATGAGCCTCTAGCGAGGCATTGCGCGCAAGTCATGCAAATTGAGTGCACAATATGGCGTAAGTGCAGGGTGGAGAGCTTCTAAGTAACGACCTAGCATGGAGATTTGGTTGTCTAGCATGGCTTAGCTTATTTTAGAAGAAGACGGGAGTCAGCAGAGTGGCCATAATAACAAAAGTAAGAGAGATGTATGGAGTAAACGCATGCAAATCAGACCTCGGGAGGTTCGAGGTGATAAGAGAGTTAACTGTCCGGTCGATTATATGATAAGCATCAGGAACTGTCCATGGCGTTGTCATTTCCCAGACCAAATATGTATACATTATCAGGTGCATACTCAGTGTTAGCAAAACCCAATAAAACATCCGGAACGATGTTGTATGCAAGAGTGATAGCTTGGATATATAACGGGAGACATTTTTGGGAGCGGCTCAAGCGCTTTCATGACTGGGTCTAGAGCTCCGCAAAGCCCATAAAGCCCATAGCCCAGCCCAACCCAAGCAAATGGGCCCCCAAACAGTACAAATATGCCGGGAATTCAGAAGTTGAACCCCCTTTTACTCCGTAGGGTTTTGAAAATTACCCTTCGTTTTATCCCCGTTTCTAGGCCTTATTCTGAAGGTAATATCTTATTAGTTTAAATGATTTGGAATTAATTACTAGTTATCTCTCTATATCACGTTTAAAAACGCGAGAAAGCGCGTTCTTTAGATAATTTATAAATTACAGTGGTTCCCTTAGAAAGTACTAGTAGTAGTACTCATTTCTACAAATCCAAAATATATATCGAGTATCAAAATATTAATATTAACCTATTTTCGTAGTATCTCGATCTCTACGGGTCAGATTTTATTCAAAGTTGAACTATATACTTATAGAGCTATTAAAATTCGAAATTCTGAATTTAAACTCTATACAAGTAGCTGAAGGGTTAGAATACAATATCGTATAGCGATTACAAGATGCCGGTTGAACCCCTCTTAGTGGGCTTTAATGGGGGCCCGACGGCCCCCAACGAATGGGCTGTGGGTTGGGTTGGGCCTCGAAGGTTAGGCACACAGCCCACTGCTGGTTGGGCTTTGGGCCTGAACCCCGGGCCCATTTATGGGCTTTGCGGAACGCTAACAGTGGTCACATAAGCTTCGCACGAATCTGCTAGACAGGCCTAGCTCATTGCCGTCATTATATAACTCATTTCCATCGTGGATAGCTACCTGGCGGTAATGGGTAATGTATGTTCATTGGAAAAGGTCAAAACCGCGAGCAAATGAGGTTCACTGTTGCATATAGGCCAGGGAGACACGACCGTTGTGTACTGATGGGTGCACGGAGGTCCAACTTACAACACCGCGAAGAACAATCATCTAGGACAATACATCCAAAATGATGCCCACACAATGTCCAAGATTTGTTTCAAAAGAACATCCAAAAAGACACCAGAGTGGTATCTTACATATAGTGCTCCTAACCTCACCACCTACTTGCCGATATCCTGGCCGAAGAGAACATTACCTCGGCAAACCGAACATCGTTCTCTACTCCAAGATGCATTCAACCCCGGCTTCAGCATCCATACTTTCTTATCAGAAAATTAAAAAGCGGGGTAAAAGTGAAACAAACCATTTGGAATATTGACCACGTCGCATTCAACGCCTCTCAACACTAGACACAGTCGAGACTACCCAAATCAATGACAATGTCTACACCCACTCTACAACAAGCCGCCGTGGTGCAAAACCCGGGAGAAAATGCCATCATTGCTCTTAAAAATGACATACCCGTCGCAAGTCCCGCAAAAAATGAAGTTCTCATCAAATTAACCTGCACCGGTCTATGGTAAGCGCTTGTTTTTAGCAAACCAACTCAAGCCTTTCCAAAAGCTAACTCAATATGCGCCAACCAAAAGCCGCTCAGAACTTCGCGCTGTCCTAGCCTGGGGTGAATACAACCCCATCATTGGCCACGAAGGAGTTGGAACTATAGTGAAAGCAGGACCCCAAGTCTCGGAATCTCTTCTCGGTGAACGGGTGGGGGTCAAATGGCTCTATAGTGCATGCAACGAATGCTCAGTCTGCAAACGAGGATTTCGGAATCACTGTCCGCAACAGCTGAATACAAGTCGCCATGTCCCGGGAACATTGCAACAGTATGTCATCGCCGACGCACGGTTCCTGACCAAGATCCCAGAGGACGTGGCCGATGAAGTTGCCGCGCCATTACTATGCGCTGGACTTACGATGATTGGTGCGCTGTCAAAACTTGATAACGAGCTCCAGGCTGGTGACTTTGTTGTTATTTCGGGGTCTGGGGGAGGTTTGGGCCATATTGGTGTGCAAATTGCGGCGAGGATAAAAGAATTGCGCGTCATTGCTGTTGATAGTGGGTATGATAAGAGAGCACTAAGTCTGGAGTCTGGGGCGGAGGCTTTCCTCGATTACAAGACTGAAGATGTGATTGCTCGAGTGCGTGAGCTCACTGGAGAGGGTGCGCATGCGACAATCGTCGTGCCGGGTACGGCGGAGGCATTGAAGATAGCACCCAATCTGGTGAGAAACATGGGGTTTGTTGTGAATGTTGGCTTGCCACCAAATAACTTGGACATTCCCCTCTCGGCTACGCTTTGTACCGCGAGAGGTAAGACGACTTTTGGATGTGATCCGGTCAAAATCATGTTATATACTAACGAAATGATAGGTCTCACCTTTATAGGGTCATCTGTGGGCACCGAAGACCAATTGACAGACTTACTACAAGCGGCAGCTGCAGGCAAGATTGTGCCGTCGATCGAAGTCTTTGATTTCTCAGCTGTGCCGGCTTTGATAGAGAAGCTAGGGCAGGATGCTATCACAGGAAGAGCAGTGGTCACATTGCCGCAGTAACTTATATTCCTATCGTACAATTTCAACTGCTATAGAATTCTGGGACCTGGAAATCGTACTCGAAGGGCCGTATAAAGCTGTCGATCGTGACATGCATATCCTTAATAATATATTTTGGACTCCTTTGAAAGAGTCACGTTGTAGTTGGAGATCATCAAACTGGAACTCAATAGACAGGCTCGTAAATGTTGCAAATTTTTGCCACTCATCAATTCTGGCATATCTATGGTTCTTTTAAAATACGCCAGAGAGAAAGGGAGTCGTTAGTAATACTATTGCGGAACAGTTTTCGTGCCACCTTCACTCTATGTCCCAAGGGAGAGACCCTCGAAATAATCAAAATCCTTCAATAGAGGAGAGACAATCGTATCGAATACGGATTCGTCAAAGTGAGGGTCCTCAAAACCGTCGCCCTTGCTTCGAGACCAATACAAACACTCATTAACAACATCTCCATAGTTTGATCCGCTTTCCCAGTAGACAGTTTTAAGAAGTCTTGTTGCTGTGTTGAAGAGAGAGACTTCCTCAGATAAGCCCCGATCTTCAGGCCCATGAAGCGTGGATATGGCTCTTCCTAGTGATAACTCGATCAACGCCAGTGCGAGCGGAAAAAGAATCTTATTTGAGATCTGACGGCCATTCAAGCCTTCGTATACTTCTGAGGCTGACCCGTTGAGTTCGGTCCGAGGTTCGCTCAACACGCTCTGTAAAAGGTATGGACGATCAAACTGTGAATGTTGGGATTCAGGATACCGTATGAATAGAATATCCCGTGTTCTCCATTTCTGGTGGAGCCAGGTCCCATGAAGCTGGAGAACACTACAAGCGAGAAGGGTGGCAAGATAAAGCCTGTCGCGACGACTCAATTCATCCGAGCGCTGAATTGGGGAACCCGGCAAGGATGGAGAGCCAATGAGGGTATCTTGTAAGGAGCGAAGATGTATTTCCTCTCGAATGCTATGCATCACACTCATATAGTATCGGGCATCTGTGGTGGCCTGTTCGCTGAGAATATATCCAACGGAATCGGATTTAGTGTGCGGGTGTGTCATATCCACTTGCTCAAAGGTCGAGCAAAGAGATGAAATGGGAGTGCCTCGTGGACGAGTAGGTAGTTTGTGAGCCTCTTCGCATTTTGTTTTCGAATCTGTGAAATGAACCTTTGATTTCCAGGATGATGATTGAGGATCTATGGCGACACGGGGGGTTTCAGCACTTTTATCAGCTTCCACTTTGACCTCGTGCCATCTCTTTCGAACATTAGACGATAAAATCATGCGGAATGTGGTTTCTATAGATACATGGTAGGGATCCTTTGCGCCGTGAAGAGAAGCTGTGTCAAGCTGGAGGCCAATAGAATGTCCACCTTGACATGAACACTTCCAACATTGACCTCCTTCTACCATGATACCGTAAAGTGATCTCGCATGTCTTCTCTTGTCTCGGTGTTGATTTAGATTTATCTTCCGTCTGGTCGGACCCCGTCGAGATTGTTCCCGGTGTTGGGATTGCTCACATAGAGTCTTCAGAATTTGATTTGTCTTATCGATTTTATCCAAAATATCATCGTAAATCGCCGAGGAGAATATCTTCCGAAATCTGATGGCCTTCAAAGATATTGTCGATGCAGCCTGTTGGGATGAAATGTATGAGTTTCTGAACTCTCGCATGCGGAATTCGACTTACAGTTGAATAATCTGTTGTCTCTAGCCCAAGTTTGTGGGAGAGGTCCTCTAACAGACCACAAAGTCCTTTCACTATCCCATTAAAAGCAATGTATTCACGATCGAGCTTTTCCTGGAATCGGGATTGAAATGCCGTATCCTTCCATCCAGGACCCCTCGGATTGCTGATCAGTTCAGACCTTTGGTCATGATCATCAACGACCCCTTCAAGAGACAGTTCTAAGGTATTCAGCAATATGGCATATTGGGCACTCAGTCCAGTAGAGTAGTCCTCTAGCTGCCACTTATATCGTCGAAAGGCTTTGATCTTTTCCAGTCCTCGCGCGTAATTATCCAACTGGTTCACGACCAAAGGAAGAATGGCTAAAGCCACACCGGTGGCCTCAATACCTGTCACCATGACCTAAATATAAAATGGCAAAATGCAATGAGTAGCGAGATGGTAAGGAGAGAAGAATGACAGCAGAACGCATAGTGAGATCGTTCTCAGCCCCCGATTACCCTGCAGCTTCACTCAGACTCTTCTATCTCCGTACACACCTGTCAATGAATTTTTTTTAACTATGTTGAACGTATAATGGCTACTACTATTGCTACGGCACTAAACCAGTGCCTGAAGCAGTTGACAGAATCAACCAGCTCAGGTGCACTCGCGCGATATGAAAATGAAGTCTCTCAACGTCGATGGTCAGATGAATTGGGTCGACTACGGATTTGGGCTGGCAACATTGGTGCTCATCAAACCGGGCAGTCCTCGCTAGACCATCGACTCCGTGATGCTTCACATCTGAAGAGCGAGACTGTGAATATTTTGCAGCGAATGCTACGGGTGCTACAAAGCCTGACCGACGTGATAAACGAACAAGAGGAAGATGAGGTGCAAATTGACGATTCTTTCCTTGGCACCAGCGATATGGAATTGGACGACGAGAACAACGAGACAGATATTCAAGTGTTATACCAGAGTCTACGGAACATTATCAATCTCCTGTTCCGGATATCCATGGCCATTCGTAGGCCTGCCGACCATGACCGTCTACTGGGGGTAAAAATCAAGAATGCTTCGTTCTTTGAACCATGGGCCCAACAACACGTTTCTCACAAATTTCCGCACGCCGATGAAAACACGACTCAACGTCTTAGCGCTGCTATGGCAAGACAAAAAGCAGTTTTAAAATATTTTGAGCGGCACAAAGCAAAGCTTAGCAAAGGACTAGCTTCCACAGGGGAAACAGAGTCCAACTATCTTTCAGAAACAGTGGCAACGGAGATGGCACTGGCTGATGACATGGACCAGCTCCAGTTCCTCGAAACACACTCCACATCGGGTGTTTCCCAAACATCATACGCCCCCAGCATGTTTACCGCAAATGAATCGCTGTCCATCCCTAATGCACCAAAGGAATCCGCGGATAATAACCCATTTGAATGTCCATACTGTTGTCTTATGATCACAATCAGGAATACTCAAGACTGGGCCCGTCACATCTTCCGAGACTTGATGCCATATGTCTGCTTATCACCTGAATGCATTACCCCATCAAAGCTCTACGGCAGTCGTCGGCAGTGGTATCAGCATATTTGCGAAGCTCATTCCACGCCGAAGAGTCCGCAGGGTGGTTTAAATTGTCCTCTGTGTCATGTAAATATCCAACCACCACTGACATTTGAGCGGCATGTTGGAAATCATATGGAGCAATTAGCGCTATTTTTTCTCCCCCGTATCGATCCAAAGGAAGACGCTGAATCGGAAGCTGAATCGGAACCTATGGTTTCGGAACTTGCCGAATATATTAGTGGTCCTGGTAGCGACTCGGACGAAGTAGAATCCCCGAATGATTCTGACCATCCTTTCACTCATACTGCGGCTGAGGACCCTAGACCTGACAGAAGTCATGATGGGCAAAGTGAGGTACATACAAATGTTCCTAACTCTCCGTATTCCCAGTTGCTCCCCCTACATACCCGACGCGGTAGCACAGGTGACGTAATAGTCCTTCATAACGACCGGAGCAACCGGTCACGAGGAGCGAGTCGAGAACGACCTCTGCAAGAGTGGACTGAGGTACCGAGGATCACTGCATATGATCCTAATTTGAATTATATTGGTCGCCTGAGTCGGAGGGACTTCGGCATCGAGTTCCCCGATGAAAGACCCAAAAGCTCGGAGAAAGGAGATGTGCCGGACGCTGACGCATATTCCTACACTGCACCTCGAGAACAGTTCTACAGGGATTATCCGGTCCGTCTTGAAAAGACCGATGCCATGCCAGGGGCGGGAAAAAGCACAGATCGCCTGACAAAGTCTATAGTCGCAACAGTAATTCAGATGCAGACACATCTGACGAAGCTCTTCGAAATTACCGCAGTAAAAGTCGTCAGCATGGCGAGCGTCGCGATCGTCATAAGCGTCGTGTGGCGCAGACTCGCAAAGTGGATGGTTCAGATATTACCTCACTGCATACCGACGAACAGCCTCTGCAAGGTTTGCAGCCTAGCCCTTCTCCAAAAGATACAACCTATCCAAGATTGAGTGAGAGCGATAAGCGTATTTTGAAGGCTCAGCAGAGTGATTTCTCAGAGGATCCCAAGCCAGTTCGAGAGGGCGTTGCACCTCTCAAGCAAGGAGACCCAGCCGGCATCCCTCCGGGAGCACGGTGGACAAAGGTTGATCGACGGCTCGTCAATCCTGAAGCCTTAGAGGCTGGAAATGAACGCTTTGAAGAGAGCTCAGACTACGTGATGATTCTGCGAGTTCTGACCAAAGAGGAGATTTTAGCTTACGCTACAAAAACACAAGAAATTCGTGGTATGTCTTTGCTATCCTACCCATGTTTCTGAAGGATACGCCCTCACAGAGAATATCACAGATAATCGCCACAGACAAATAATCAAGGAGAAACGTCTACGTATGAATAATTCCACTTCATCGACAAGTGAGACGGACATGTAGATCTGCTACCATTGTAGAGGTCGTCCTCAACTCCACATTTGCGAAATTAACGGAGTCTTTCAGATGAAAGAAGGAAGGTACAATGAATGCGACGGCACTCAACACCCCTCAATTCCCTGCGCAATAATCTCCTCCAGGGATGTCCACCCTTCTCGCCCACAGAATTCCCGCAGGAGTCTTTCTGCTTCTTTGGCGGGAATAACTTCACTCAGATCACGTCCCTCATCAACAGGAGGTTCGGGGATCAAAATATTATCAGGTTGTAGCTTCTGAACAGCTAAAATCATATCAGTGAGGTTTATAGGAGCAGCAAATCCAAACAGTCGCCGAGAGACTGTATTTGGGTCGAGGAGGGCTGCTGCATGGAGACGCGCAATGTCGATGACATCGCAGAAGTATTCTATTTTTGTACATTAGCTATGATCAAACACAAATCTAACCGCAGTATGTACTTACGTGGCGCAAATAACCCGAATGCACTTGGATTCCCCGTGGTGATGCCACGAACCCAGCCCATTGTTGAGCCGTGGATTTCTTCGTGCAGAATTCTCTCGATCTATTCCGAGTCAATATAATTTGTGTTGCATAAGCAGCCATCCGACTACAGAACTCACGGTAAAGTTTGGCAACACGGTATTGAATTGGAAGTCTGGCTTGTTCTTCTCCATCCAACTCCACGCTTCCTTCTCTCCCTCGGTCTTAGAGGCACCATAGCAGAAAAGACCCTTCAAATGCTTCGGGGTTTCGCTGAGCGAACAGTCCCGCGCACCTTAAACCCTAGTTCAAGTAGACTGTGGACGACATTACTCCCAATATAGCCGTTGGCACCGGTCACTAGGATCCGGGAGCCCTGAGGCAGGTAGTAAAGTTGTTTAGCCATGGAGGAGTCTTCGGTTAGATTCTAGCTTGCAGAAAAACAGGAGGAATGGCGAGAAATCTAGTGGGGAGGGACTGTGGAGTTGAATGCTCGCTCGGACGGTTTTCAAATGGGCTAGTGGGTTGCTTGGGATACCTTAGGGACATAGCTATTGATCAGTTTGATTAGTGAGATTATGGTTTGGATTACAAAGTATGTATCTAGTCTACAATTTGCGCCACTTGTACGGGGATAGGCGGAATAGACGGGACATTAACAAGAGAATGTGTTGCCCAGTGTCTATGGGTCCCGGGTACGACGATCTGTCCGGCATATGTATGGTGGATATCCAGTACGGAGTAGTTAGTATGCATTACTTTGTACATAATATTTTGTTATGCACAGGAATTATCCCCTAGACTCTCCAAATGGTCAGAATTGCAAGGATTCTAAGTTGAAGGTTATATACATGGCAAAGTCCAGTTCATGCTTTTTACCCGAAGCTGCCTTCTACCTCGAAAACAGAGTAGAGGGACAAAATCTCTAAAAGCAAGAGTTATCACTAAAAAGACCTTGCAAGTTCGCAAAAGTCATTGTTCTTCTATAACATCTATTGTTGCACTTTGTACTTTGTACTTACACTCTCATCTCATTGGCCACCATGACATCATAGGTGGATACACAACTGTCACTTTCTTCAGTCGTTTACTTCGTGTAGTTACAACAACCATATTGAATATATTTTCACATTGTTTGAAAAGTTGGAATATAAAATATAAAACTAGAATATCATATCCATCATGCAAACCCGTTCTCAAACCCGCTCCCAAGAACAACCCTCCCAACCCCCAAAAGAAGCTACCTACGCCCAATCCTCGAATCCCATCTCACATACGCCACAAGAGCAACGGGCAACTACCGAGCCGGGCCGACAACATGGCGATACCATTGGGACAATTAAACGCACAGCCGAGTCCCATCCTTCGAGCGACGAAAAACTCGCTCGTCTGAGCGCACAGCACCAGCAACATGAACAGCAACTGCACAATGCACCTGACGTCGATACAGACTACGGCGTGGAGGAGCAGCCCGCAGAGGGGTATATTGCGGATACAGTTCAGCGTAAGGGAATGGGGATGCAGCGTGCACAGGCTGGTGCTCATGCCGGTCCTGTTGGGAGTGCGGGTGGGCCTGGTCATCCCGGTTTCGGGGAAGCGGATGATCTGGCGGCGAATATGGGATCGAAGAGGGTTGAGCATGATCAGATCCTTGGCGATAGGATTGGGAAGAGTCCGCCTGAGCCGGAGGGGGACGGGGAGGTTGTTGAGACGGAGGCTGTCAGACGACGGAAGTTGGAGTTGGATCAGACGTTGGATGTTTCGGGGGCTGTTAAACAAGCCTCTGGTGATCCTGTAGTGGGTAAATAGGAAATAACGGGGTGTCTCGGTGATGTATCTGCACTTGCAATGGCGTTGAAATTATCGTGTTGTGAGATTTGGGCATAACTTTCATTAGGTACTGCGGGCTAGCTAAGTGCTGCTTGTAGTGACATGGAAACCGGACTTGCACTCGGTCAGACAAACTGGGTATGATTATTGAAATAGTAACGCCGAAAAATTCCAACATTGAACATTGTATATGAAGAAAAATTGGAGATCAGATGTCGTCCCCGGCTGGCATGCCCATGGAGACCTTCTTTAGCTGCAGATCCTTCTTCAATTCCTGGATACGTCGGCCCATCTTGTTGCGCAAAATATGATTCTGCACCTTCTCCCACTGTGCTGTTTCAGTTCGGATGAGAGATTCCAACTCGGCGACTTCCTCACGTTGTTGCTGGAGTTGTTGCTGCTGCTCGATTTGATCGTCGTCTAGTTCATCTTGCTCGTCCTCGTCGGATATATTGCTCTCATCGGCAGAAGTGTCGCCGCGTTCGGTCTGTCCTTCAGCTGGCGTGAAATGTTGCATAGATGAAGTGTCTGCATGCTCTGTCCCCGCCCCCGGTGCCTCATCATCGCCAGCTGCCAATGCAGCTTCCATCTCGGCAGCAAGGGCATCCTCAAAGTCGTCCATCATGTCTTCTTCCGCTTCGCCGTATGCATCTTGCTCATCATCATATTCATCTTCGTAGGCCCCTGATTGCACTAAGCCCTCGACGCGATTCAGGGATGTGCTGTCCACTAACTCGAACTTAGGAGGGAAAATCGAATTTTCGTCCTGGGCCATGAGTTCTTCCACGGCCTTTTCAACTTGCTCAATTGTGCGCGTGCTAACGCGGTCGCGGAATCGCCGTTTGCGAACCCAGCGGAGGGGTGGTGCGAGACCGTGTGGGTATTGAAGTGTCTTTTCATCGGGGCACTCAACGTCCGGGGGAAGTGGGTAGTCCATAGCTTCTTGGTCACTATTGACGCGCCCTAGCACCAAGAGCATTTGACAGATATCTGCTGACTTGTACCAGCCTCGCCGATCCCAACTTTTCATGCCCTCAATGATGCAGGGTAGATCCACCAGGGCTGCCGCATATTGGTGGTCGCGAACCTTCACGATGGCGCGCCGGCCCTCACGGGTGAGTGGTTTGAGACCGAACTCGCTTGACTTGAAGGTCTTGTCGTTCATCAGTTTCTTTATATGCTCGCAGTCCTCTCCTGGGAGCATCCGTAAGATGAATTGTTCTTCAATGGCAGGATCATTTTCGGTGTCCGAGGCTTCAGAGTCGTAGCCAACGCCAACCGGTCGGTTGGGAACGATTCCCTTGTTTTTGATGCGGATCGATTGCAAGGCAGGCTTCTTGGATGGGATTAGCTTTATCCGCTTGGGACCTTGTTGGCTTGTCTCAGGTTCCGGTTCGGGTTCGAGCTCGGGCAGCGCGAGGCTTTCGGCCGGTCGCTTCTTTGTCGATTTCTTCTTCTTTGGTTTCTCTTCACTCTCGGGGTGTGTTTTTCGTGCGATCTTCAGGGTGAGCTTGCGCGGAGGTTGAGGAGTTTCGGCTGGTGCAGGTGTAGGCACGGGTGCGGGTGCAGGTACTGGCGCTGGTTCTTCAGCTGGCGGGGGGTCTGGCCTCCTTGAGAATTTGATCTTTAAAGGCATAGTGCTGATATGAGAGCTACCCGAGAGGTAGCAAGTGTGAAGATACTAGGAGATATGAGAGAATGGAGGATGTGTAGGTGAAGCAACTGAGGTCGCGCGGAAAGATGGAATTCTCCGCTTTGGATTGCGGCGCGCCAACACCGCACGTCCGTCTCTTCTAATCTCCTTTGCTTTTTTTCACACTGACCTTGCGATCTCACTCCAACTCTCTTGGCCGATGATCTATTAATCGTTCCTTTCATCTCATCAAGAAATTCCTCTGCTCTTGCCTGTCCATAATGTCAGGCCCAAACCTTCACAACGCTCTCCTCCGCCCTCCAATCATCCAAATCCTGCGTGCTCAAGGCTTCCACTCAACACGCCCCTCCGTCTTGGAATCTATCCAGGATCTGACTGGACGGTATTTGATGATTCTCGCCTCATCTGCAGCGGAGCATGCCGCAAATGCGCACCCATATGACCCAGTTCCCGGCCTCGAAGACATATACCAAGCTCTGCAGGACGCAGGAGCTATCCGACCACAATTACGTGAATGGGAAGAGGAATGGCAGGGAGAAGAAGATATGCGAGGTCTTGATGCTTTCCTCAGCTGGATCACTGGTCCTGTCCACCGTGAAATCCGACGTGTTGCCGGCTTTGTGCCCAGTGAGGGGGACATGGTGGATCCTGACGCTGTTGAAAAGGAGGATTACTTGACTGCATTGAAGAAGAAACATAGTAAGACTGGTGAGGAATCTCGTTACGCTGGAACCGTCCTAGGAAAACACGCCGAGGAACACCCGGTCATCATAGAGGGTGGTGCGCCCAGCATTCAAGATTGGGGTGCGCAGATTCGTGCCAGAGCTTCAGAGCCAACGGACAGTGATAGCTCAGGTGTCAGCAGCGCGCCAAGTCACCTCTCCGAGGATCAAGCTATGGAGGGGTGAAGGCCTGAACACGGCCTCATGGAATGCTTGATTTTTGAAAGAGTCAAGCTTGGATTTCTACTTCACCAATGTGCTCAGATCAGGGCCCGACACGTCACCTTTCCGGTCAGATTGTCTTTCATCTCTACTTCCCTATTTGAAACGCAAACAGTCCCCCGCCACCATCTGCTGGGACAATCAACCTCCCCAGTGGCCAGCGACATTGTTCCGACTTGACTCGAGGCATAATCACCGCCTCCACATTGCTCTTCAAATGAGACAACCCTCTTTATAGCTCAGCCACCAGAACTCTACCTATGCATTACCACTGTATATACTGGGATGGGTATGAAAGCCCGGTGGAGAGTTGCAAGCGGATTCACTCCGTTTTGGGAGGTGCAAATTGCTAGGATCTCATTTAGTTGGGGATTGATAATCATTTTGACTCAATTTTCTGGCCCATCTTCACTTATGTTTGCATCTGGGCATTTGAGCGGATATCATAATCATATCCTGCGTGGATCATACATGTTGAATTCTGATGTGGCATTTCTGCCTGTCCTTGGAATTGCATCAGGACACACACCATGGGATCTATCCATACGTCCACGGGTCCATAGTTGTTTTATGTCAGCTTAAAGCCACTTCAAGCAATATCAAATCTTCGAGTGGCGAATAGCGAACTCTTGGTATCTATAGTATTGACGATCAATATTAACTACCGATGCAGCGGCCTAGGACAAACTCAAAAAACCCCATGTATTTGAAGCCTCAGCTAGTCAAATCTCTAGGTTCCTTATTCGCACCGTAATTGGCTCTATAGGTAGTAGAGCTGAAAGTGTCCTAGTGAATCAGGCACTTCCCCAGAGTCCTCCACTGAATTCCTTAAATACACGGATATACAAGCATTTGAAACATTAGTTAACAAAGATGAACGAAAAATAATATACAAATCAACTACCCCAGCTAAGGAACCGCCTGATAGCTGCCTTTGCTACGCAGTTCACTTTGTCTCCATCTCAACTTCGACTCCTCTAACGTCGTGAGCTCTGCGCTGTATGCACCATCGTTCAAGGCGCGTTGTAGACGACCGCTCCGGCGTTGCTTCAAACAATAGAATACAAAGGCGCCAATGAGAAGAGCACCAACAACAGCCGCACCGCAGTACACACCGATATGAGCCCCTGAGCCAAGATCATCCCATTTCTGGGACAGGGTCTTGGCTGGTTCCTTGTCAAGTTGTGTTTGGGCGGTTGAGTTTCCACTGCGATCTGGAGTAAGTCCCGATGTCATTGAATTCTGGCCTCCAGAAAACTCACCTGACCACCTCAATACTCTCATACGTGCCCGTATGCCCGGTATACTTGTACTCCTTTCCAGTGGAGAAGTCCTGAACGCGGATCTTTGATACGGTCATAGTGAACGGAACATCAGACCAGTCAACCAAACCACCGCCCCAATCGAGATTGCCTTGCGACTGTCCCTTGACTCCAACCGGCCAATTACTAACCTTGACCTGACAAGGCGTTTGGGGGTAGTTTTTGCCATACACGGCCAATGGCTCAGAGTATTTCACTGTCCGCATCAAGTCACCATCGATCCACCATTCAAGACGGTCTTTGTCCCAGTACGTGGTGTAGTTGTGGAACTCGGTATCTGCATTTGCAACCGCATGATATCCGCCCCGGTCACTCGTGGTTGTGTTTCCCTTGCCAAAGAAATTCGATTGCACTCCGCTCGTGTTATAACCAACCCACTCCCAGTCAATCTCGTCGAGGTCGTCCGACTGTAGGATAACGCTGCTGATAATGCCGGCTCCCTTCGCCATCTTGATGTGCGCTTCCATCACACCGAAAAAGATATAAAAGTTGGATACTAGGAGAGTCGAGGCGTTTTCAGTTTGGATGGTGAACTCAGCTCCTTCGGATGTGTAGTCCAGGGTTCCGGTCTTCATGTCCCAGAGCTCGCTGTCAATGGTTGAGTTGAACAGCCATGTGTGCTCAGTTCCGAGCGCGGGATCCGCACTGCATGTCTTGTTGATTGGGTTGCACTCTGTTCCAGTGTATTCGGCGTTGCTGACCCTGGCAATAGTGGTCAGGGCCAAAAGGAAGAACGGGAACCATGATCTCATGATTTCGGAGATCTACACCAAGAGCTATGTCCAGCTTGATCCTAGTACCCTCACTGCACCGCTTTATAGCGCAAGTTCTATAAGGGAAGTATCAGGACAGAGGGAGGGAATTGATGTGCAGAATTCAACCTCTATGGAAGGTCATCTAGGAAAGGAGATAGGAGTGTCTTTGGAGGGGGGTTTGTACAGCTGAAAAACTCGCCATGACTGCTAGCAAAAGCGAGATTAGGGAGGTCAATAAGCGAGATAGCAGGCTAAAGCCATGAACAACACGAGCTGTAATTAGAAATTTGTCCATACTTAGTCGAGCTTAGCGCCAAAAAAGTGTCGCAGACGACTCATCCAGTTGAGGTTGAAGATATGGGGACTGATGTTATCTCCGAGTCCGAGGCAAAGCTTTTTGCGAAGCTTGGCTCTGCACTATATACCAGGTACTAGCTCCTTAGCGCAAATTAACCTGCCTCTTCGCGTTAGCTGTCTGTTAAAGACCCACTGACAACGTAATTAGGTGGCTTTTTTTACGATGCTGATTGGCCATGCTACTTTGTTTATCCCACCAGCATCCGCTCTAAGGAACAGATCAGGAATAATATCCGTTCATTGGCTATGCCTGCTGAGAAACAGAGATGATGAGGAAATTAAAAATTGGAAAGGGAAAATGAGAACAACCCAAAGGGTTATTATTAAAATCATGAAACAGCCCTGGAGAGTATTTAAAATGTCGAGCTCACCTCTTCAGATTCCTCTTTCGTTCGTGATTTTCTCTTCTGCTGAACCTTAGGTTGGGCGAATTTGTGCAATCTTCTATCGAAATGAAGGTAATAACCTTAGAAAAGCCACCGATCAACTGTTTTCCTTCTCCTAACAAGATTCGCGCAATATAGGACCATCCCAACACTAATGGGGAACCGACTTGGATCGAGTTCAACTACTTTGACAAGCACTTCACTTCCCTAGGCCATCTGTAGCCAGGAAGCATTCTCTTAGTTGAGAATTGGCCCCAGGAAATGGCAGGCAAGTGATGTCCTTGCCAAAGTAGTTGGACTCGCTCTATCTCGAGGCCCCGCTAGCCCTGTCTTTCAGCACAGAGGGAATGGATAGAGACTGTCAGTCCCACTACCTTTATAGAAATTCAATCATATTTCCCTCTGCTTTATAAATCTTCCAATGCCTATTTTCGACTGTCCAGTTAGTCCATCGACCTAGATGCAAATCCTAAAACAGAACCTTACTGCTTTCGTGAAAACCAAACGCGCTCACAAATACAAACAGTTGGGTCGTGTTTTGCTCTTTCCTATCTCTCTCGTGAACCCCAATATGTTTGCTTTGTTTACAAATCAATTTTCAACTTCCAAGGTTGTCAACTTGTGATTTCTCATCTCGTCTCTCTCCCCTCGAAGAGACACGTCTGTTTGCCATACCAACTGATCCATATCAAACATGAAGTGTAGTCTCGTTTATGCGGCCCTGGCTGCCACAATCGTTCTTGCCCAGAAAGCCCCAGACTGCAATGCCTTCGTCAAAACTTGCCCATTCAACAAGGGCAACACCAAAAGTCATATCAGCTATGACTTGACACAGACTTCGGCTTTGAATGAATGGACAACAATTGGTGGAGCAGTGGGCACGGGTTCTCAGGGTGCAGAGCTCACCATCCATAAGCAAGGCGATGCTCCGACAATTGTCACAGACTACTACATCTTCTATGGTGAAGTCTCTGTTGAGATGAAGGCGTCCCCTGGCACTGGCATTGTCAGTTCTGTCTACATGCTGTCAGACGACAATGATGAGATTGACTGGGTAAGTTTTCACTTACATTCATTCCCCTTAGGAATAGTATCTAATGATAATTATATAGGAAACACTGGGTGGTTCTACCGACAAAATACAGACAAATTACTTCGGCAAGGGTGACAACAGTGAAGATTACAATCGCTGGACCTGGCAGCCGGTGACGACCCCGCAAGAATTATTCCATAAATACACTTTGATCTGGGCCAAGGATAAAGTGTCATGGTCGATTGATGGCACCGTTGTTCGGACCGTTGATTATGCTGATGCGAAAGGAGGAACTCGCTTCCCACAGACACCGATGCGTGTTCGAATTGGTATCTGGGCGGGAGACGATCCGAGCAAAACAAATCCAAGCAAACTCAAGGGCGCAATCGACTGGGCTGGCGGAGAGACTGATTACTCTAAGGGGCCATTCACGATGTACGTCAAGTCAGTTGAGATTGTCAACTACACCCCGGCAGAGAACTATGTATATTCCGATAAATCTGGCTCTGCTGAGAGTGTCGAGATACATAGCGACGTCTCCTCGAGCAAGACTTCGATTTCGATCCATTCGGGTACCTCAACCACCGATGTTGCCTCACTGGGTTCGTCATCTACGGTTTCATCTGCTACAATCGCATCTTCCACATCGCAAAATGGGATTTCCGCCGTCCCAACCATCAATTCAAGTTTGAACTCGGGCGCTACGACCAATTCTTCCAGTGCCACCAGCACCCTCCACATGACCACATCTGCTGAGACCAAAAGCACTGTCACGCGTTCCAATTCAACATCAGCAGTGAGCCCTTTGACCACAGTTAGCACGACTTTCAAGTCGAGTACTAGTGCTATCACCTCGACCACCGGTTCCTTCAATTCTGCTTGTGCCCTGGGTTCGGGTTATCTCGCACTTCTGACACTCATAGTGGGATTTATGCAGATATGGACTTGGGTTCTCTGTGTTTGAGCATTATCCAAGGGATACTTGGATTAGGTCTTTCCATATGGATCTTATATCCATGAATCTTTTGTAGTCACCAGAGTCTTTGAAAGGCCCGCTACGAATCACTCAATTCAAACTCCACTGGGACTTTAAAAAGTGCCATAACTAGCAGCGTTGAATATCGTAATACGTGGATTTTACGTACTCCTTGGAGGGGGAACAAAGTACACGAAATAGATCAATTATAGTAGTATCTAGGAACCGAGGGAAATGGTTAATTGAGATTGATAAAGGTATTCAGTAGTGGATCAAACGTCAGAGCAGCCCGCCTCAGAGATACCAGTCAGTTGATTGCGCGGCGAAAAGCGCCTCCTTGAGGATACATGCTGCGCTATACTCAATCTCATCCTCTCTCATCCAGTCAAATGACCGATTACTTACCTGGTAACTGGTCCAGTCACTGGTAAGAACCAGGATTGCCTCAGGTAAGCAAAGTCTGAGTGTCATGGAGAAGCGTTGGAATTGGGCATACCCAAGAAGATGGCTGCGAGGCTTGCGTTCATCGCAGGTTGCCTGGAATACCAGCTCGCGACAAAGACTATCTAGTTTCTCAATCACTTCGTAGCGCCTCCATGCCTTGTATGTCAAAGTTTCAATCTGGGTTTCCACAATTTGGACTATGTTGGTGTATTCTGCCTCAAGACCCGTTCCAAATATTGGGATCGGGGACATTGTTGTGGATGGAATGTTAGTAATGCAGATAGATATATCCAGTTTTCTAGTCAGTTTTCAGCTCAGCTAAAAGTGAGTATTAGGATACAAATCGCCTATTAAAGCTAAATATAAAATTGAATAAAAAGTCCCAAGCTGATGTGGGACCAAGGATACTTATCACTACCTACCTGAATAGGTAGAATTTCAAAGATATTACTTGGCTAGAAAGAGACAGTCAAAGCAATTGAAACTTCATTGTTTTGGAATACCTTTGGTTATTCCCATGCGTTCGAAGTCGTAATCCCTCAATGAATCAAGTTTTCTCGTTGCTTTTTTCTGTGACAACTAATCCAAAACCAGTGGGACAGGAGATGTGACCTTCAAGTGGAAATGAAAAGCAAGACATAACGGAAGTGCAAGAAAGCCTTGCGCATGAAAGTTAGTGTACTCGATTTTCTATTCAATCCGTGTTCACATTGCATGGCAGAGCGCTGTTTGCGGGCAATATTAAATCTAAAGGAGACATGACCTAGCTCTATTTCTCGCAGTAGCAGCCTTCCTTTGGTAATTTCTCAGCTTCACAATAAAACTCTTTGAGAAGATATAAACTGAAAACATCTCCTGTTTTCATCAGACACCATAGTGAAACCGTACCTCTGTTATTCTTTTGTGCTGCAACACGGAATCATACAGAATACGACAATTCCCAGCCTCAATGATACAACGCAGTCTTACAAAAAGGCTCTGAGATGTGACACTAAACACATCAGAAGGCAGTACTCCGCGGTAGTGATTTCTTTATCTTTGGTTTAGCTCATCTACCAGAAGGCGGATTTTACCATCGTTAAATCTACGTCTTGCAAGGGCGCTCAAGTATATTTGAGAAATTTTGTGTTTTCACTTGAGCGTAGAAGTTTTGATAACTAATTCTTGAATGAACACACTGTTCTTCGGAGCCTCTTAAGTGTGAATGACACTCGCCAAATAAAACAGACAGCCTCTCAGTGTTTCCTCTTCAAAAATATTATTAAAGAAAGGCTAAATAGACCCCTATGATTATCTCACATGAAATGCAAGAATTTAAAAAAAGAAACAAGTTGGATACACTTGGTACATTGGCCAATGACATTGATAGTTAGAGGACCTGGGTTTCTCATATTCTTTCACGTAGAATTCAACCATGTTCGCCAACTAATTCTTTCTATCACAGCGTCGCTTTTGAGTCTAGGGGGCATTTCTTCTCTCTAGTTCTTTGTTTTAGTATGGTAATATGCAGTGTATATAGTCTTGAAGTACAAATATTTTTCTCAAATTCCAACTTCGAACATTTCTGCACTAAGCTTCTGCACATCGAGCATCTCATCTATTTCTTATCACCATCATCTTTGGAATGGATCGTCCTCGGCGAGCCGCTGCTCAGAAGCCAGAGGGTCACTACGCCCTCACTTCTCCGACAAAAAAGAGGAAGACTCGATCTGAAGCCTTGACCGGAAAAAAGGACAAAAAGAATGATGACTCCGATGAAGATTCAATGAGCAAGAATATGCCTAGTTCGGCCCCCCAAAAAAAAGGCAAACAGAAGCAGTCGAAGATAGACCCAATTGCCGAAGATACTCTTGCTCCTGGAACTATTCCTGTCATTTTGCCCGAGCCTTTGGATCCGGTTGCACTTGCATTGGATCTGAAAGTATCTTATGAATCGAGAATCCCACCACCGCCGGTACGGCCCAAACGACAGACAAGATGGCAGAGGCCGGCAACAAATCCAATTGTCTACATGGAGGATCTGCCAAAAGGTTTTAATTACGATGAACCCGATCTTGACCCAGAGTACGTGTTTCCCGCTATATCAGAATGCAAGAAAATTAATCTGTGTTATTTAGGGATTTGGAAGCCCAAATAGCAAGATGTTATGAGCGTATCAGTGATAATATCGTGGTCGGTCAGTTTCAGATTAAGCTGAACGAATTATTGGGAACGAAGAAACATCGCGAGTGAGCATTCCCGGGAACATTTATCTTACCAGGGGGGTTTTTTCTAATTCGATAATTAGTACGATGATGGCCCTGGAGCCTGCTGGTTTGAGTTGGCTCGTCGTCGAACGCTTGCAAAACCTCAGGGCCATTTTGGAATGGCTGAAGAGTGGGAGTGACGAGTTTGAGCTGGCTGATAATGTGGAAAGCATCATAGAAGCATATCTCTCGGGCCAACTAAGGTTCAATCCAGGTCTTGTTACCTATTGGGTTAGAGGCGCTCAAGTCTGCCAGCCGAGACCTTTCAAATGGGATGAATTCGAATTCATCAGTGCTGAACATGACGCTCGCAAAGGCTTTTGGGTAGAAGGAGTATGTCTCCTTCAACGCTTTAACTAGTCGAAAACTAACATATGTAGCTTGAAGGACCAGGCCTGACTCCCCAATTAGTACAATGGGTAGCTGAGCCACGACCCGGAGGAGATGTACTCTCTGGTAGTGATGTGAGTTCAGATGCCAATAACGATGTTTTTGTCTCTAACGTTATTTGAAGATGAACATCTGCTTGAGACTGCCAAGGACGCCTGCATTGCCACAACCTGTGCCTGTTCAATTCTCTTTCGTGGATGATACTGGGGCTAGTATCATGCAGATAAATCGAAGCGATGTAAACGAATTATTGAATCAAAATCTCGATGCGGCTGGAAATCCCCCTCCTCCACAAGTGATAGGTGCCTTGAGAATGCTCGTCGCTGACGGGTCGTCTGTCCCTTTCATCTGCATGCGATTTGAGATTAACCTGTTCGATTCACCTACCATGTCCTATATGGCCCCAATATGGCAACCGGTGTAAGTAGCTATACTGGAGAACCATGGCGGGGCACAGCCAGCCCGATTGAATGGGCCATGGGTCCGATACAGAATGTATTCGGCCTCGGCTCCTGATGGTTCGGGTCGGACCTATTTTAACGAAATTCACCCGAACCAAATGAATGTGCCCCAGGTGAATATGTACGTGATGAACATCCGCCCGTTACCAAATGTTCCACTCCATCCGGTACCGGCAGCGGGGCCAGGGCCGGGGGCCAGCAGGACCAGCAGTAGCACCACCATGGGCACCAGGGGTACCAGGGCCAGCCCCCTGATATGAAATTTTGTTCGATTTTGGTGGACTTTCGGTTTAGTTAGAATCATCAGTTTTGTTGATACGCTCGTTTATACTATGTAACTATTTTAGCTAATTGGGTAAATAAGACTTGCAATATTGAATAGTATATACATACAGTATAGCATTACATTATTATGTTTATATTCCAACCTTGGAAGTATTTCAAAAAGCGAAGTCCCAAGCCCTGAATCTTGGCAGTGACATCAGCTCCCGATTCCTCGGTCCTCCCTTCACCAACTCCCCAGTTCACCATGGTCTACGCATTTATCCTTCCAACCACCTCGCCTCTCTCGTTTCAATCATTTATCTTCTCTACTACTCACCCCTCCCTCCCCCAATCAGCCTCAACAACCCGCCATGCTCTCCGCCTCGCACTAAAGGCCCACAAGCGCTTACCCCGCGGCCCCCGCCAGGATGCTCACTTACCCACAGTTCTGTCCGCCTTGAATGAATACATCCCCTACCTATTTGCCATCTCAGATGGGTTGAATGGTCGCTCCGTTCGAACAGATGCATATTCCTCTGCCCCACAAGACGGCTACACGTCAGGCGGAACGAATCTCCGCACCGGCGAAGTAGTCGATATCACCATCCGTGCGGAGATACAGTCAGCATGGAGATGTACTCTCTCATCCTCGGCCGGATTGAATCTCGGCTCCGGTGGCAATAATGCAGGCGGAACCGGTATCCGCACGCGGAATGGGCGAGTGTCTGGCCGAGGCATCCACTTCGAATTGGCCTTTACGCTCACAACTCTGGGCTATGTATTGAGTAGGATGGCGCGCGTTGGAATCCTAGCTACACTGTACGCACCATCTACCCCTTCTGCGGAGGTCCGTACTGCTGCTGTGCAGACCGCCACGCGGTATCTACTACAGGCTAGCTCGGTGCACAATCTGCTTGCGTCCTTGCCGATTTTCACCGCGGCTACCGTGTCGACAGTGCCGGAGCTCGAGTCCGGTACGCAGTCAGCTCTATCCTCTCTAGCCCTGGCTGAGGCTACATTACTGGCTGTTCTTAAGGATGATGCGTATGTTGTGGCGTGTATCCAGTCGCGCAATCCGAATGATAAAGAGTGGATGGTCCATGCACCTCAAATCCCGAAAGTACGTGCCTTACTGTTTGCAAGACTCTGTGTTCGTGCTGCAGAGTACGCCGAACAAGCGGCTGCAGGTCTAGGTGCTGTTGGATCTACTTCCGGTCGTGCAGGCCGTGTGGATGAAGACCTGGTCGGCTATGCTAGAGTTTTGGCTCGCGTTGCCCGGGCACGTGCCTGTCGTTTCTTTGGTGTAGATGCTGAGCTATCAGGCAAAGTTGGTGAAGGTATTGCGTGGTTGCGAGCTGCACACACTCCACTCGGCTTACGTGGAGGGTCTGCGGAGGAAGCCGGTGCTAGCTCGGGAGGTTCTGCGAAGGGCGGACTGTCGCGTTTAAAGCGAGAGTGGACAGAGCGGCGTGAAGAACGTCGAGTCACTAAGGATGCTGGCGGCAGTCGCAGCGAAAAGGGCCCATTGGATGCGGGTGATGATGCTGGTCGTGACGAGGAGGGACGAGTCATCTTGATGCTTGAGGCAAAATGGGTCAAAATGAATGACATAGTGAGTCAACCCTTTTTTTATGCCCCACGACCCCGCCAGCCCTAAATATGTATGGATTATTGACTCAGTACAGATCAACACCCAACTCATCCCACCGTCTGCACCATTGTTGTCTAATCTCCCTTCGGGTCGTGATATTCACTCCCCACCCGCACCATACCAGCCCCCTTCTTTAGATCAGGATCAGCTCATGCGGATGCGTGCTCCACCAGATGAGAAACACGATATTCAAGTTGGAAGCGACGACGATAGCGAGGACGATGCAGGCCGCGCACCTCCGGGGGGATTCCCGGACCGAAGTGCAACCGCCTCAAGCGTTTATTATTGAAGAATCCCGACACCTAGGTATAGTAGGGGATGTGTAGGTATATACTCAATTTAGCATTTACTTAGCGGTATAAGGATAACCACAAGGGCTCGGTGAGGATACAGTATTGGCATCCTTGGACCGAGGGTGGGTCACTGATTTACTACGACCTCTTTGAACAGCAATCCAACATCGTAGGGGGAAAAGGAAGATTGATCAAACAAAGTGATATTATGTACAGTACAAACGGACAAGCGCACAAAGAGGGTAATCTCCAGACCCTCATCTGCCATCTTTCGTCTTCTCCAACACAAACCCGATCTGGGTGGCTATAAGATCAAGTTTGGAAAGAACCGAATTGAAACCATGGAGGTTTCCGTCCAAAGCCGACTATTTCATCTCGGCATCAAAATTTTCCAGTCCCCGCGGTGTTGGTGTCACCCGTTAAACCCGAGTCTCGAAACGCAATCGCATAGCTGAACACGCAAGAAAAGAAGAAACGCTTATGCCGATTCTCCACCAAAGCGGTTCTTCTCCTGTCCGAGGTAACCCTTAATCTTGCGGTCCTTGAGGAGCTCGAAGTACTTCTCTGCAGAAGATATATAGGTCAATATAACGCATCCAAAATAAATAAAAGCAATGCACATAGGTCCTCAACCCAGTCAAATCCGGGTATTTCACAGGGACAAAACACCCGCATAATCCTGGATTTCAATCCCCGGAATATGCATATGTAGCGTAGATACTCAAGACGGAAAACAACCCACCTCGGAAAACACCACACTTCTCAAGGTGGTTCACGCCCTCGCGCGCATAGCACTTGCCCAATTCCTCGCCGACTAGACGCGCCATCATGCTGCGAACCCACTGCTCGCGGATAATGGCATCGCGAGCGTTGTGGACTGCGACGTTGTCCTCGAAGTCGACACCCTCGTAGGTCGGAGCGACGGTGGGTTTTTTGGCGAGGAACGCGGCGGACTCGGCGGTTGGCATTGTGGGTAGTTGGTTTGTATGGATTTGAGTGAGGCTCGGGTGTGGTGAGGTAGTTGCTTGCTTGGGGGGAGGACAATGGCAGCAAGGTTTGTTGGGAGAGAGTCGTTCTTTTGGAGGGCTGCTTGATGCGGTCGTCTGGGACGTTGATCTTGAAGGTTGGATTACCTAGTTTGTGATTGGGTGGGACGAGGGCGGTCACTGGTGCTTTCCTGCGGGAGACGGAGGGGGCCTTCTACGCAGGTCTGTATGGTCACGTGGATCTATACAATCCGAAAACGGTAGGTCAAACACTGATGGTAAATTTCGATAACTTAAGATTAGATTTTTATGTCACTTAAAGCAACTAGAGGTTCCTTCGTTGAGTGGTAAAATACATTGCAACAATATCATATTTTCAACGCCAGTGGTTGTTTACACTGTATGCCTAATCAAGATAATGGAAACTAGTACTAACGCAATATACAAAACAAAAGAATTTCAATACAAAACTTCCCATGATGGAAAAAATGGTCCTATCGAAGTGGACCTGCTGCATACAAACGTACATATGTAATAAACATCAATAGCACAAAACAATGTGAATCAATCATGCTTAGCCTTCCCCGGCACTCGATCGTAGGCATCACCCAAAGCATCCCTAAATCGCTCCCAACCCGACCGACCTAGCCAATTACTCAACTCACGGTAGTAGTAGATTTCGGACCAGCAATCGCGACCAAACATACATCCAGCCATGTTAACGACAAGGTCATGTGCGTTCTGCTGATAGTGAACAACTGGGTTATCACCGTCGCCGCATGCACCAGGAGGGAAAGAATTGATACTGCGTTGTGGTAAAAAGCCAACGCTGCTCCGAACCCACGGTTGACTCTGATAGATGTACTCCAGGGCATCCTGTTCTTTATGCTCCCATTCCATATGCATCTGCTCGTACATGACGGGATCCCACCAGACATCAAGGAGACGTTCGGTCCAAAGAGATCTTCGTAGGAAAAAAGATCCGAGATTGAAGCCAACACAGTCTTGTGTCAGAAGCATATTCAAAGAATCTGCCTCGCCGTCGCCCTCCAGGGCACGACCCAGCTCGTCGAGCCAGAATTCGGGCAGTGGGTGAGTGATGTTGAGAGGGTTATAGGCGGTGATATCGCGATAGACATGCGATTCGAGGTCATTGAATAGATGGTGCTGTAGCGATGTATCGTATTCCATAACCCAGGTGTTTAAGTCAAGCCACCAAAACCACTCTGCGTCTGGATACTTGAGCATGGCTTCGCGGATCACATCGCCCTTCTCCCAGCTCTCGCGCCATTCATGGGAATATCGCTTCTTGGCTAGCAGATTGGCCAGTTCGAGCTCGTAACCCCATTTCTTTGCATATCTCTTCTTGTTCCATATGCTGTTGCGTTCAATGGCCCATTCACGTGCGCCCTTCCACTCCATGACGCCGCCCTCCACGTTCGATGCGAGTATGATGACGAACTTGCTCCCACCACCTATAGGTGATCTTCGGTATGTCTGGACAATAGCTGAAATTCTGTTAGAATATCACGTCGAAAGAATCATCATAGTAGCAATCACTTACTCGCCCAGAAACATAGATACCCAACCCACACCAAGAACAGCGCGAACATGAGCCGGAACCGACCCCGGCGGATTGGTATCCGGAATGTGCCTAGCAAGCCACGTCCGCCACCCGCACTCTTCCATTCCCGGCCATAATCATCTTTATCGACGTATTCGCGTGGAGAAAGCTTTCGAAAGCTGGAAAACCGAGTCCAGATCTTGTGACGTTGTCGAGAGAAGAAACCGCTATTGCGTGTTGTAAATGATGGATACCCGCGCACCTCGTCGCTTTTCGCCTTAGCTGCAGCCCACGAAATGGTGCCTGGTGTGTCTGGAGATAATGAACCGGGCGATGGTCCATTTGGCGATGTGATGCCGCTAGCCGGAACAAGTCCCGGACTGGACCACCCTCCGCCCGGGTGGGGAGAGGGTGATCGCGATAAGGTCATCGCGAGGATCGGCGCTAAACAGTGAGTTGCTAGAAGGCGATCGTTATGAAGTCCAGAGGATGTAGACCGGAGAGAAAATGCGAGCCAAGGGGTGTACGTATTGGTGGTGAGGTCAGAGTGACAGGATGTAAAGAACGACGGGAAGTTAGGAAGAGAAGTAATTAAGACACACGAAACACAATTAAACATGTGTTGGACATTGTGTACCGGATGTGTGAGATTTCATCAAACTTGAGGCTGAATGCGGTACCCATGGACTCTTTCGGCAGGTATGAACTTTAGATCCTTCCCAAGGTTGAAATGGATTTTAATGCTTACATGAGCCTAACACTGTAAAAGCTAATGATTTGCATCTATGATATTTTGTATACCTACGTAGTTGGTATAGTTGGTATACTTAGTATATTTAGTATACTCTGTAATACTAGCCTAATTTAACCTATAAACTACTCGAAGCTTGGATCTATTTATGGAGCGGTACTCCATAGATCGGATCCACATCTCTACCTCTCTACAAAGCTCTACTGCTTGCGGAATAAAGACCATTGTGGAGCATAGCAAGTAACCATTCCATTAATTCCAACCGGACCATGCAGTTCCTATCAATCAATGTCCAAAGCAGAAAAAAAACTAGTAACGCCAGTTCTCAATCTAATCCCGATCCTTGCATTGGGTCTGAATTGGCATTCGGTTTGCCGCTCCGACAGCCTTGGCCATGAGAGCCTGTCGCACCATGAATCCGGCTTCATGTCCGGGTCGAGGTTGGGCGCTCTCACCATGGGTAAATTCACACTGCAGCTTGAGGAATTTCGTTCGGTCTTTATTTTGGTACACAGTAATGATGTCGCCGGTGTAGAGTTTCCCGAATTGTAAAGCCTCGGGACCATCCTCGGTCATAGAGCCGCGGCACAGTAGGGTATCATTTACCCAGATACCAAGGCGCGCTTTGGTGGAGAGAATAGCCATAACCCCTGGGATGTCGAGCCAGCTTTCACCTGCTGCGATCCTGGCCTCGATTCCCGGAGTCCAGAATGTGACCTCGAGCGCATAAGCGGGGATCCTTGTGTCCATAGGGTCGGCATGCTTGATGGTCGCTAACGGCCCTCGACCCCACGAGGTGAGTCGATCCTCGAGGTAGATTGTCAAGTCAAAGATCGAACCAGGGATGCTCTTCAGTTTTCCATATCTCTTTGGTGGTTTGGCGAACGTGGAGTTAGAGAGGGTGGAGGGAAGAGGGGCTGGGTTGGGTCGATGAACAATCGGTTCTGATGAGTCTGATTCCTCGGTCCGGAGCTGATCCAGAACAGCTTGGCCTGTCTGCGCATCAAGGGTAGTAGCAAACTCGAGGTCGTATTCTGATTTGGAGGGGCGAGAAGGGTCATTGGGAGCAGTGTTGCGGCGACTGTTGTTGGCACTATTGTCGCTAGATGCCTCGCTGGCTGTGTCGGGGATTGCAAGAGCAAGGTCAATCCGGCGCGTGAACTTTGCTTTGGGGGTTGGCTCCTGGGGACTCGAGACAGATTCTTCCTTGGGACTCGAAGTCGGCGGAACAGAATCCCGATTGGGGGTACAAAGTGGCATCGCGCCTTTGGTATGCCCAGGAATGGTCTGCCGCAAGGAAGATCTGTTAACCGGGCCACCCTTGACTTGCAGAGCGGGGTTCAAGGAATCCATGTTGAGTTGCCCAACGAGTCTCTCTGCGCCCATTAAACTAGGCGCAGTGCCACCGAAGGGTACGGCCGGGAGGGAGATAATGGAGTCGTTAGGATCGTCGCTCATCATCGACTCACCAGAAGAGAGAAAGTCAACGTGAAAATTATTGGCATGGTAGGCATCTAAATTGCCGAGTGCGTGGGAGCTGCGCAGAGCTGAGGGGTCGATTTCGCCAAACAAACGTTTGGCAGGACTGTCCAATACCGCTTGCCCATCTTGGAAGCTCTCAATATTTGGAAGGCTGGGATAGTGTACATCGGCGGGAATATGTTCGATCCGAGGCCGTTTTGATATTGCTTCGCTGCTGCCACCTTCTTCGCCATCGGCTTCGTGGACATATCCTAGACCGTCCGCAATAGACAGATGTGAAGCATCTAGCTCGTCCTCGGGATCCTCGCCAATGATTGAAAGCCCTTCATGATGGTCAGATAGCAATTCATCATCATCCTCATACTCATCCACATCAGGGACCTCCGCAATCCACGGGTGCTGGAAACACTCCTTCTCTGTCGGACGAGAAAAGGGGTCCCGATTGAGAAGCTGGGCGACAAAGTCGATGCCAGACTCAGACACGCCTGCCTTGCGCAAGGCATCGAAATCAGCGTCACATGTCATAATAGTGCGAAGCATTTGGACGCCTCGATCTTCTGCGCGCCCTGAATATGGTGGAACGCCGGACAGAATGTGGAAAAGAACTGCTCCCAGCGACCACATATCAACAGATTGGCTGTACGGAGATGTTTTGGGGGGACTTTCAATATCAGCAGAGGCTTTTCAAGCTAACAACAAATGAGGGACTTACGGGTCTCCAACGCGGCGCCTCTTTCGGAGCTCGCCACGGCGATATTGATCATAGTCCGGGTACACCTCCGGCGCACAGTACAGAAGCGTTCCACAAAAGGTCTTCAAGAAGGTTTCCTGCTCTACGACTTTCGACAGCCCAAAGTCAGATAGTTTGATTCTCAGCGGGTCCAGCGAAGCAATCAATATGTTGTCCGGTTTGATATCTCGATGGGTGATGCGGCGTTTGTGCAAATAGTGAAGCGCTCGTAACACTTGTCGTGCGATCGTTCTCACCATCTCCTCGGCAATCGTTCCCTGCGTCTGCAGGTATGTCGACAGCTCGCCACCTGGAACATACTCCATGATGATATAGATCCATCGGTCATGCTCGTGGTGGTCGATGTATTGAACGATATTCGGCTGTACCGGGTTAGTTGTATTGCTCACAGGGAGACGGAAAGATATCGCTTACATGCGTGAGATCTCTCATGATTTTCATCTCATTGTCGACCTTTTGGTCAAGGATACCGTTTTTCATAAAGCGGCGCTTGTCGAGTTCCTTTGCGGCATAGATCGCCCCATGTTGCTTGGTTGCAATCTTGTACACGGTAGCGAAAGCACCCTTTCCAATCTGTCCAGTCACGTTGTACATGGCACCACCGGTCCAATGCATGCCATAAGCATTAGCGGCTGACCACGCTAAAGCGGACGGTCCTGGGCCCTGTCGTTCTTTCTGCGCTGGGGCATGTGCATGAACTCGTTGGAAATATTGGAACAAATTCTGGTGGTATTGGACAGCGAATCCTTCTCTTGAGGGAATTCGGACCACGAAGCGGACCGCGTCAGAGTTTTGCGATCCGGTGACGACTTGAATGAGAGATCCATTCGTGAGCATTCGACTGTTCCCATCCTTCTGAGTTTTTCGCAGACGACAATTGTCCACGATGGTACCATTGGTCGATGTATCCTGGAGCATGAGAATGCCGTCCTCGGTTAGAAATATGCGAAAGTGGTTATTCGACACTCGCTTGGCATCATCATCAACACTGAGAAGAACATCACAGCGAGAACGATTGCGACCGAAGCAGAAGCCGAGTCCTAAGTTGTGAACTTTCGATGAGAGCCTCAACGCCAAATCTAATGCTGCTGTGTGTGATGATTCCTGTTCCAGTACCTCCCGTTGTAGGATATGTTGAGCAGACATTCTTCCAGTGGCAGCAACAGCATCATGGGCAGCGTGCGAATTCGGATGAAGGATACAGATGATGTCGGCCAGGTCTTGGTCTTGGATGCCAGAGTTATTCATTCCCATTCGGCGGGGATCAGCACATAGCTGGGTGGATTCCTGAGTGGCTTCCATTATGAGGGTGAATGCAAATGTAAATGAACGTGCTAAGGGAATAAACAGAGAAATGAACTAGAGATACTGATTTGATGGGGTAGGGTATATGTGCTGTGAGACCAGCAAAGGGAATGTGCATAAAAAGGTCATTAACTTCGTAGACTAGAGATATGATATGTCAATGAGGTTGCGTTAACAAGGCAAGGCCAGGGAAGAGTTGTATATATACCTCGAGGGGAAGGGGTACCAAGGCCGAGTAACCATATACCCGGATAAAAGTCGGGCAAGGTAATGATATGCTTAGGACTAATGACGCATTCACCAAGTTATGTGTCGCCTGATCAACGGATTGGTGACAAATGTTTTGCTCGGTGATTGCAAGGAGTGGAAGAGGCAATGGATGGGTAATGGGTGAACTGTATGCCTTGCAGAGTGGGGTGTCGCTCTTCAGCTTTTCTCAAAGCCAGTGTTTTTCAACACAGATGACGATGTTGCCCATGAATTGGAACTAAGACTATCCAACCCTTGTCATCAAGCCATAAGAATATAGAGCTTGATTCTTTGTTTGAATATGTCAACCGGCGAAGGGATACCGGGTCGTCAAGATGCCGTTTGATGAGAAGCTACCCAATGGTGTTTCTGGTGTTTCTGGTGTTTCCGCATTAACAACGATCGAATTAAGGAATGGACTGTGATTCAGCGATTGTGCAGAGGCTAGGAGGTATGTCTATGGAGTTTCATTCCAATAAATTAGCAAACGTCTTTTAGAAGCTTCAAGAGACCTATGTGTAGCCTCGACTCGAGATCGTGCGTGAACTCACACAGCGTGAAAGGTTCCCTATTAATCTGTCCACGGCTGGTAGAATTAAGGCAGTAGACAGATAAAAATGGGGCCGAGACAGAGTAAAATCGCACTCCTTGGAGGGTCGTCCAAGGAACAAGACTGATCCGCAACAATTGTGACTTGGTTCCTGAGGCGACAACGCGTGAGGCGCGTCAACTCCTTACTCATCAGGCAACCAGCGCGTTGATTGGCTGGAATCTATAGCGGGGTCCGACCTTGGAATGAGTCCCGAGTTCGGGAGTTCCAGAGTTCGAACTATGAGAAAATACACATTGTACTCTTTATGTATACATACATATATGTTGAGGGCTATCATATCTTTGCTAGATTCAATCGTTATTTAATTCAAACTATTTACTTCCGTATGGTTTGCTAGTATCTTCACTCCGTTTGAAATCACCCTTCAGTGCAATATCGAACACTTGTTCCAGCCGTGAGAGTGCTGCGTCTGATATCTCTGTGCCAGGTCAGATTTTGAGTGTGATCTCAGCCTTGGAGTATATTAAGAGAACACTTACGGTAATGTACCACCACGCGGCCACCCATCAATCTCAGCCCTTTTCGCTGTCCAATCTCTGCCAGGTCATTTGGCCCCACTCCTGACGCCTCGAGGTCCAGCCAAACCATATTGGTGTGTAGGGGGTACTGCAACTTCCCACCACGACTAGTCCACAAATCAGCTACTCGCTTGGCTTTTTTATGCGTTGCTGCAAGCTTTCCAGTCTGGCCATTGGGATCCGTGCCAAACGTTTCAATGAGTGCAACCCGGGCTGCAGCTGCAATCACACCAGTCTGTCGGGCACCGCCCCCGATGGATTTGCGGAACCAGCGAGCTTTCTTGATAAAATCTTGGGAGCCAACAATTATACTTCCAATGGGTGCCCCCAGCCCCTTAGAAAAGCAAAGGCTGACACTATCAAATAGGCTTGTATACTCAGGCAAGCTCCCGGCACCAGCCACAACGGCCTCCCACAGCCGGGCACCGTCTAGGTGAACCTTGATGTCATTGGTATGAGCCCATTCCACAATCCGCTTCGCCTCAGCAAGCGGCATGATCATTCCATCGAGGGTATTCTCCAGACTAATCAACTTGGTCGGGCAAAAATGAATATTGTCACCTAGGACTGCGTGCTTTTTGATATCTTCCAAAGTCAAATGGACCCCATTTTTGGGAATAATAGGGCTCACGGTGGCACCAGTCCAAGCGCTTACACCACCAGCCTCATAACAAATGATGTGAGATCTATGATCACACAACACGGAATGAGGTGGCTGCGCGAGATGCGAGCGAATGGCCACCTGGTTTCCCATCGTACCGGAAAGGACCAACAGACTTTCTTCATGTTTAGTGATCTCAGCAACGTAGCTTTGCAACTCGTTGGTGACTGGATCTTCATTGAAGACATCATCTAGGAGAGTTGTTTGGCAGATCGCTTCGAGCATCGACGGCGTAGGCTTCGTCATTGTATCGCCTGAGTCATATCAGCCCTCAATCCATCATCCCCTTCCCGATTGAACCATACTTCGGAGATCGAACTCAGCAGCACCAGCCCCGTGCCAGGCAGTGGGCTTCTTCTCGATGTTGCCGATGACTGCCGAGGCATGAGCCATGGCCTCAGTTGAGAGTTGTGCCATAGCAATGGGAAGGAAAATTTTCCGTCCTTGCGGGGGTCTTAATCGGAGCGCTGAAGAAGAGCGACTGATCGGGTGTAATAAGCGATTCATGAGTTTTGTCACCGTAAGCACAAATGCCCTTAGGGGAATTGGGGAAAGAGGGGAGCTCACACGTGATCCTTGGGCGAATTGTACGCTACATTGTGGAACCGGGCGACATAGATATCATCGATGTGCAGCAAGTTTCACTAGTGATCGGATAATAAGCATACTATTTATCCCAGTCGAGATACAATGTAGACATTCTGCGTCACCCATCAGAAGTGTATAATTTGTCACTTGATGCCTGGCTATGACGCCACTGTACAGTGACTGGACCTAAGTAATTACACCCTCCTTGGCCCCACCTAGATCACCACCATACCGCCTTTCTACAACGCGTCATATCTAATGATAGAACCACTCTAAAATAGTACGCGAAGCTGGTTTTTTTTTTTTTGCAAGTAAAGGGTTATACTACTCTCTCCTGGACCTCCAAAAAAAATTCATATAACTGCATAGGTGGCCGGATATTCTTGTAGATGGAGCCCTGGTTTTTTGGTCCGGCAGAATATTACATAATTTGATACAGGTGCCCAGGTGGGGAGCGGTGCAATTACTTACGTCCACTGACCGTCCACCCACGGGTGGACGGGTAGGTACAGGGTCCTTATCGATAACCTAATTAGGACTAGTGGATCCAATGGCCTCGACCGCTGACTCAGCACATTGGTTGCGGGCAATGCGCTCCTGTGGTTCAAGGCCGCACAATCTTACCGACTCTTTGACTGCTTACACTAGTCGCCCAAAGATGGATCTATCCCATCTCACACGGCCTGGCATTTTGTGTCAGTGTGTTCGGTGCTCCAGCTCGCTGGCTGCACTGGAGAACGAATGGGCGAAACTATCTAATGCCTACTCAATCCCGACAGCATGGCTTAGTGTCGACCTCCATCGCATCGCCGTTTCTTCGGAGCGGAAGCAAATCCCTCACACATCGGATATGACCCTTTTGCGTGGCCGCGTCATCCAGGAAGTGTCCTGTAAACTCTGTCAGCAACGGATGGGTGTACTGTGTCCCCTTGACAATGGGTAAGTCGCTGTGGATAATGACTGGCGTTTTTCACGACTAATATGTTATTAGGATGAATATCCTGTGGAAAATGTCCAAAGTTGCTTTTAGAGAGATCGTCACTATGCGAACAGTGCAGCCCGTATTCAAACAGGGGGCACTCGAACGACTGATTTGTCCCCCGAAAGAACCTCCGCGCCGAAATCCCGACCTCATCCAAGGAAGTGCGCTGGTACCAGCTGGCTGCACCGATCCCACTACGCTCGACCCATCCATGCAAAACCAAATGCTCCATCAGGGTAGAAGCATTGATCAGATTTCGAACTCAGTGAACCACCTCCAAGATACAATGTCAGATCTCAAACATTCATTTACAGCACTTCGAATCGAGTTGAATGGACCGGGCCGAAATTTGGGGGAAGGTTCTGTACTTCAGGGACATGACTTTGACATGATTGCTATGGTGCTGAAGGAGCTCAAGTCCAAGTCCGACGAGATCGAGAAACTAAAGTTGGAGATTGAGGCCCTGAAACTGAAGAATCGCTACATGGGAGTGGCCTTGCCACACCAGCAAGAATCATTGTCGATCATGAACATGAATGCTGCACTCCCCGAAGTTCGGAGCCCCGGCTTGCTACAGGCGGGCCGGAAACGTCACTGGCCTGACGCATTTACGGGCGATCGCAGTCAGGTAATCGCAGACTCCTTCGACGACGAGGACGATATGGTAGATGAGATGTCACTATCGGATCCGCCCATGAACAGCTCTCGCGTTCCTCTTAACGACCAACGCCAACCTGCAATTGCCAGTAGGCCACCTGCAGAAAACGAACTTAGGTCCCTAGAGGTGCAGATGCCTGCTCGAGAGTCTCAACACACCTCTACCTCCCTTCAAACCTCACCCTACAACTTACAGCAAACAATAGCTAAACGCCCGCGCTTAGGTGGGCCGGCAGAAGATAGCCCCCAAACAGCCCCTCCGCAGCCACAAGCTGTTCCTCAGAAAAGACCGCTTGGCCGGCCGAGGAAATCAATCAGCCAACCCACCATTTCCAACCCCATTGAAACACCCAGTACCGCTCCTTCTAGCACACAGGAGGATGTCGAATCAAATGGTCAACCAAACACAGTGCGACGTCGCACATCTCGTCGCAGCTTGCGTGCACAATCTCTCGGACCAAACACCAACGACACACATACTCAACAGGACCAGCAAAAGTCACAAGAATTGACTAAGGTTCTTCCTGAGACTCATCCAGCACCCAACAAAAAGAGCAAGCGTAATACTGGCTCTCCCAATGGGAAACGAACTGGTGGTCCAGATGATGCCGGCGATGAGGCTGCTATGAACGAGAAGCGGAAAGCAAAGGTCGCGGCGCGGGACGTCATGGCCAAGATGGCTTTACAGCACGAGGAGGCATTGGAAGCCGAGAATGCACGTTAAATTGTTAGGGATTATCCTTCACATGCTTGTATAATAGCCAACAAGGAATACATAACTGTATTATGACACAAAACTTCAACTAAAATTATCAGTAGTTGTGGGGTTGTGAGGTTGCAAGGTTCCTTACCAACCCCCTCAATTTATATATAAAAGCTCTTGCAAAAGCTCCAATGTTTCGTGGTCCACACAAGCGGCCCATAGTAAATGCGATATTTTACAACCATAGATCTCAACCACGGCGTTGTCGTCTGATTTCATTGTCATTCGATAGCTATTGATAAGGTTTTCGAAGAATATATATTAATTTTAAGAGAATATAAAGGCTGCTCTGTGACGATATTAAAATTACCTTCAATTACCTTCCGAAAAGCTTCTACGGAATATATATATCGCAACCACAGCAGAGTTATAAATATTTTCCAAACTCTGAAGAGAAGCTACATATCACCTAAAAAGTATTGAGCTATTAGGAAAGCTCTATATGAACTACTGTTGTTTAGATATCAAGTTGTAATTTACCGCATTTACCATGTGGTTTGGGATGGACCACTCGCATGTTACCCGTGGGCGTTAACAGTCCTGCACATGTGGGATCCATAGACTCAAGGGGACGGCGATTAAGATTGTAGATGTCCCGACAGATGTGATCGTGTTCACTTGGAAGGATTGGCCTGGTAAAACACAACTGGTCGTCAAAGATCAACTTAATGGACGCATGGGCAAGAGGTGAATCATACGAGTGATTTGGGAAACCCGAGGAGGGAGGAGTTGCTGTCTTGATGGAATGGTAGCCACAGTGGATATAGTCATCTAAGAACGAACCTACTGCTGGGCAATAATAAGTCCCTCCTTGGTACTGCACAAGTTTTTGTAGGGTAATATTATTGCAACAAGGTGTCTATGTCATTAAATTCCCAGTATATTAATAGAACAATTGGGAGCTGGATTCATAAGTTATGCGGGAATATGTCATAACGTGCTATCATATCTCATAAAATCATAATTTTCAGTCTGTGATGTCCCAAAGCAGCATTGCAAGTGTCACTAGCGAGTCGGGATAAAGTGCTTGGAATCGTCCTGTTGTTCACTGAATGACTCAGGGAATGCTGCGATCCCACCAACGATACCAATAGCCATAAAAGCAAGAGAGATGAGAGACCAGATGACTCCCCAGCACTGGGAAGACCCACCGTATCTCTTGGCAAAGACGCTGGCATCGGAACTGTTTACTTTGCGCAGGATGAGATCGTCGCACTAGAACCCAGGGTATTAGCGATATCAATCAAGAAAGTGTAACTGGCACTTACAATATCCCAGACACTGTACAAGGCAGACATAACACCAATAAACAGCTGTTGAGAAAAATCAAATTAGTATCAGCCGATGATGGGGTAAGTCAAAATAATTAGACATACCACGACCCAGCGCAAGGCTTCACCATGGGCAATGAACCAGCATGCCACCAACAACCCGACCGCAAGAAGAACAGTCATGATAGTCAACCAGTCTCTCCGTGCCCACCAAAGGGTAAGCAGAAAGCAGATACCGAGTATAATACTGGCAACTTTGCTGGCGACAATATTAAATCCAGCGAAGATCAATAGAGCCCCAATAATGGACGACCCCAGGTACCCAGCAGGTAGGGTGATCGCACTCATACCGCCCTGCATGTGAGTAACACCACCTTCATGCGGATCTAGCGAAATAGACTTGACTTTTCCGCCGGTACAACAGGCGGTAATGGCATGACCGAATTCATGGAAGGCAATCACCAACATCTACCCAGGGAATTAGTCGCAGTCTTTGAATACGGAGCTGGGAGTATTTATATACCTTGAAGGGCCATAGTACCCAGCGAACATATGGTAGATTCCATAGTAATGCGATGACCACTACATATGCTCCCATCACCCCTAAGGTGACAGCTTGGGTGTGATTGACACTCAGGCCACGACGGGCTAGTTGGTGCGGGGCCATTTCCACCGCACTGTGGGCTAGCGCTGCATATAGGGCTGGCATGTTGAGCGATAAATAGGCTCAGAAAATCGAGAAGAGAAAAAATGCAGTTTGAAATGGCCGAGGAGGCGCAAGTGGAGATTATTTAATGGCAAGCTATCAGCCCTGCCCAGAGAGAGATGATCCACGCGTCCCTATAGGAACGCGCATGCCGCTTGTTTTGTGGCGTACTTTGTATGTGGCTGATCCATCCTTGGCTATTTTTAGTGGCTTGGCCTTTTAGGCTGAAAGGTTCCACGGTTTCATACTCTTTCATTCACAGGTCCCTCAAAATATCAAATATGCTATTTCTTTTTATAAAGAGACCCTGAATGAACTATGATACACATACATATGTATAATCATCAGAGACAAGATCAACTGAAAATGCAATGTGAGAAGGTCGCACCTGCCAACAGTCCTGGCGTTTGGTGAAGTTATGAGGAAACTGCGTTTGCTATATTGAATGGTAAAACTACATCCAGGGTCGTGTTTTCCCACTAACCATTCAATATCAACACTGGGTAATACCTCAACCTTGCGCTAAATAAGAGGACAAAATGAGCTCTCCAGGCTATACATTACGACTTTGGTTCCAGATATTAAATCTTCCACGGCAGTCACATGCCTCGTGGTATCGAGCCCGACTTCGAGAAGAACTTTGCGAGCGTCGGCTTGCGGAAACAAGTTGGCAAAAGCTTAGCGAGACTTCAGATGTTCTTTTCTCGATCACCCGAGCCCAATACGATGAGTTTCCAACACGGAATCCTTCTTGCTTGTCCGGCGTCCACTCCAGCCCAATCTACATTTACATGTTGGCAAAATACACCTCGCGATGGTCCTTTTTCAAAGTTGCTGCCCTGTTCTGTAATGCTAGGCATTGGAACTTGGTACATGAGGTGGTGAACCCAAGCAAAGATCACAAACTCACAGAAGTCGCTTTGCGCCACGAGATTGACCAAAAGGACTTCCAGCGAGTTAGCCGTCAGCTGAAGCGTATCTGGCCATTGCTTCCATAATCGCAAAATTGATCCCGGGGTGGTGCATAGCCTGGCTTCTTGTTTGCTGCTTGGGTTATGTGACATACTATGCATTTTGATTCACTTCCTTTCTTTTTTTTGCCTCTGGATAGCAGGTTCAGGTTTGGAATTATTTCATTGATGGTGCTTATGATCAAAGATTACTGAAAACCAGCTAGTCTATGTTGACCTTCCTCTTTAAGTAGCATGCCTTTCCCTATTTGAGATCAAGTTGCTCCCTTTCTCTCTCACATCCACACCTTCAATATCCACGACACGATGGAAGTAGGGCCTTCCGAAATGATCCATTCTGACCCTTCCCAGCCTGGCCAGTTGTCATCCGCTCAAGTCAAGCGTATAGATCATTCTAAGCCAGTCATTATTGGTCTGTATGGTCTCCCTGGATGTGGGAAGACGTTTTGGCTGGATGACCTTAAGACAGTTCTCAGCAACGACGAATTCGCGTTCTATGATGGCAGCGATGTTGTTGCAGCCGTGACCCCTGGAGGTCTCGAAGCATTTCACAATTTGACGAAAGAGGCTCAAAACGATTGCCGCGAACGCGCTATAGGCAAAGTCAAGCAGGAATCACACAACACAGGAAAGGCCGCTATTGTGGCGGGTCATTTCATGTTCTGGGCCGAGGAAGATGAAAATGGCGAGTCAGTTTGTACACCAGGGGATCTAAATACGTACACCCATATTCTGTATCTGGATCCCCCCGCTGAACTCATTGCGAAGTATCGTTTTGATGACGACAAACGGAGCCGTCCAAACGTATCGATCTCCCATCTGACCAAGTGGAAGCAGACCGAGAAAAGTCAACTTCGTTACCTTTGCAGATGTCATGACATCCTTTTTGTACCAATCTACCCACCTCTAGAATCTGTGAACTCACTTATTTGTGACTTTCATCGCCACACGGAGTCATACAATATGAATCTTGTCAAACAAAAGATGGACGAGATACTCGGTGCCTATTCCACATTGGAAACCGTCATACTCATGGACGCAGACAAAACTTTGGCTGAGGAAGATAGCGGGGTGCTCTTCTGGGAGCAGGTCGGCCTTCCCCCAGCTGAGAGCAAAAACAGCGGTCCTCTGAAAGCTTTGTTCAGCGGTCCCCTAGGATATTCCTACACTGGTTTTCGGCAGGCTGCACTGCTATATGAAGAGGCTGTTATTGGCGAGGAGTTCGAAGCTTGCTGTCAGGCTGTATCGTCAATGGTACATATGTACCGTGATATTGTTGGCCTCTTGCACTTGGTTCGCAAAACAAGCTATGTGCGGGCAGTTGTTGTTACCTGTGGAATCCGATCTGTTTGGGAGAAAGTCCTCAAGAGGGAAGGTCTTTCGGAGACAGTCAAAGTGATTGGTGGTGGACGCGTGGCTGACGGCCTTGTTGTCACACCCTCTGTCAAAGCGGAATTGGTCACGTATTTGCGTGCCTCTCGAGGCCTTCATGTTGTTGCATTTGGGGATAGTCCTTTGGATTTGGAAATGCTCAAAGCAGCAGACCAGGCTATTGTTATCACCGGGGAAGAAATAACCCGGAGCAAAAGCATGGAGGTGAAGTTGGCAGAGGCTATTGGGAAGAATGGATTCCAGCCATGCCAGGCAGTCTTGGCTCCGTATGCAACACCGCGCCTCGACAACACTCGGCTGCCGCTGGTACAGTTAACAGATCAATGCTTCATCGATTCGGTCCTCTCCAGGCGCAAAATTCGAAGTCTGCATGTAATTCATGCCACTGACCGAGCTGCAGCTAAACTGCTTATGACACCAACGCGCGATGCATCTGTTTCAGGACCTGCGTTACGAGATGTTCATCGGCGAGTTGGATGGTATTTGGGAACAGAATTCTGTACTCAAATCATCGGTCTCGAATCCCACCCCATCTCACATGTTCAGGGCCATCAGACTGAGGGGCATCGGCTACTAAATGAGAAGGCAACCTTGATCGTGCCGCTGATGCGCGGTGGCGAGCCAATGGCATTCGGGGTCAACGACGCCTTTCCAATCGCGATGTTCCACCATGCAAAGCTTCCAGAGGACATTCAACATGACCATCTGAAGAATATGGCCACAATCATATTGGTCGACTCGGTGGTGAATAGTGGCAAGTCGATATTGCAGTTCGTGAAACATATCCGCAGTCTCCATTCAACGATTCGCATTGTAGTGGTTGCGGGAGTAATACACTCGCAAACCGTTTCCACCGGCATGATTGCTCGGGAACTTGGCCGATTTAATGGACTGTCCTTTGTCGCCCTCCGTCTTTCAGACAACCAATTCACCGGCAGTGGGACTACCGATACCGGTAACAGGTTGTTCAACACTGTGCATATGACTTGATCACGTTGGGTTACTGTGGCAAGCGTTCTCTCTTCTTTCTTTGATTTCTCATCCATAAAATTGGGTGTACCTTTTGAATTATCTAGCGTCCAAGTTCTTCGAATATGTAGCCTTTTCGAATTAAATGAAGATTATTTACATTCAAGAATCCATGCACCTTTTCAAGGAAGGGTTTAACTCCTCAGGGACTGGGTCAAGTGACCAGCAGCAGCAGTCATTTTGAATAAAATCCATCAATATAGATTTTTAAATGTGGTGATTTCTTCATAAAAGCATTCAATGAAAAATAAAGATCGCCACTGCTAGTATTACCAAACCCCGCATTGGAGATTGGGATCAACACCTTCACCCTTGCGAGATACAAAAGTCAATTCTCAGACCTCAGATCTGCAAAGTGGGATCCATGTAATGTGGAGAGGCCTTGTTTCCTACCAACGCTTCACAATAACTAAACATGCTCGGTGTGCTCCCAGTCCTCCTAGCGGGACTTGCAGGCGATACATTATCCCAGCCAACCAAGGGGACAAATACAGATACAACCTACCATAAAAATGCCAGAGTCCTCGAATTCGTCAACCCCCTCATCGGTACCCACGGAACAACACCAAATGGCAACGGCGGCATGATCCCGTCCGTCAGCCCTCCCTTCGGTATGACCCGCTGGACACCACAGACTCGCGAGAACTTCATCTCGCAAGTGCCCTACGGCGATAGCGACCGTCTTATCCATGGATTTCAAGCCACGCATCAACCGGCTATTTGGATGGGCGAAGCGGGTCAGATTGTATTGACACCGGGAATCGGCGAAGTGCAGCCGCTGTTTCAGAATCGGGGATTGCAGTTCCGGAAAAAGGACGAGAGAAGTACGCCGTACGTTTATGAGGTCCTTGTTGATGCCACTCAGCTCTTAAACCGGGACTGGAATGCCACGGCTGAGGCTGTAGGTGATGGGCCTGTTCCCGGTGGTGCGGGTTCCGTGCCAGATGATGTCAAGGACGGTGCCAATGGGCGGACACGCAAAAGGGAGATTGAGGCTGTGCTGGGTAGCAGAGATGGTAGTGAGTATGACCGGTCCATTCAGGTATTTGCACTCTCTTTTTGGGATCGCGTTGAATGGTTTCTGATGGTATTCAGGTTGCCATGTCTGCCGATTCTCATGTAGGCCATCTTCGATTTGACTTCCAAAACAGCCCTAGCAACATGAATGACAAACCCCAACCCTGGGTATTTATTCAAGCTTCACGTCGGAACTGGACAGGCGAAGTCCATGTTGATGTGAATGCTCGAGAGATCTACGGCTATAACTCCGAGCGTCAGGATTACCTCCTCGGACCGGATAAAGCATCGTCGTTCAAGGGATACTTTGTCGCTCGCTTTTCCGAACCATTTACTGAATTTGGTGTCACGAATGAAGGTTCACTTATAAAGGATGAGATTCAGCGACACGGAAATTTCACTGGTGCATATGTGAAATTTGCCAACTCGACATCCCGCATCGAAGTGCGCACTGGTATTTCATATATCAGCGTCGCACAGGCAAGGAAGAACCTAGAGATCCAGACTCCTGATGAGCACAGCTTTGAGGATACCGTTGGGAAAGTGAAGTCAGCCTGGCTTGAGAAGCTGGGCAGGATATCTATCAAGGGCATCAACAAGACCGATCCGGATAATGACCCCCGCATTATCTGGTATACTGGCCTATTCCATGCACTCCAGTATCCCAGCGACTTTTCCGAGCCAACGTCAAAACAGGATGGTGCGCCACGTGTGTTCTACTCGGGCTATACCGACAGTGTTCACACTGAGAACGACTCATACTATCAGTCCTGGTCGATTTGGGATACATACAGAGCCGAGCACTCTCTCCTGACTCTGTTTGCACCGGAGCGTGTTAACAGCATGATCCGCTCCTTGCTGCGCATCTTTGACTGGTCGGGTTGGTTGCCGATGTGGGCCAACTTAGTTGAGACAAATATTATGATCGCGACGAATGCAGACGTGGTCATTGCCAACGCTTTAGAGCGAGGATTTAAGAACTTTGATATTAGGAAAGCCTGGAAGGCTGTTAAGAAGGATGCATATACTCCGCCCGATCACGACACTGATACTCTGTACTATGACCGTGAGCCCGGCACTTCATACGAGGTCCGCGCTGGCCTCACATCATATATGAAGCAGGGGTGGGTTCCCAATGACCGCTGGTCTGAGGCTGCTAGTCGCACATTGGACTACGCATTCAATGATTACGCCTGTTCGGTTGTTGCTGCCCATGCGGCAGAGGATGATGCCACCGTACAAGCCCTCAAGAAGCGTAGCGGAAACTACGCGTATCTCTGGAACAACGAGACTCAATTTATGCAATCTCGCAACGCGAACGGCACTTTCGCAAATAACACCTTTGGATGGACCGAAGGTGATGACTGGGTCTACACATTTGACGTGATGCATGATGTGAAAGGACTGGCTGGGCTTTTTGGTGGCCGTGAAGCCTTCCGCAATAAGTTGGATGCGCATTTCCAGGGTGGCCACAACGACCATACTAATGAACCGAGTCAACATGTACCGTATCTGTATTCTGCTCTCGGTTATCCCAACCAAGCAGCTGAGACAATCAGGGAAATTGCTTGGGCGAACTACAATGCGACCAGCGGTGGACTGGGTGGGAATGAAGACTTGGGACAGATGAGTGCTTGGTATGTCTTTTCCGCATTAGGATTCTATCCCGTCAACTCAGCCACCGATGAGTATATTATCGGTACACCGTTCTTTGAGGAGGTGTCTATCCGCCTTCCTAGTGGGGCAAACACTGGCGGAGAAGTTGCCAATGGTAGAGAGAGGATGCTTGAAATTCGCGCTCCAGGGGCATCTAAAAAGCCGTATATTGCTAATTTGAAGGTTGATGGAAAGCATATCAACGCCCCGCTTTTGAAGCACAGCCAGCTTGTGCATGCGGCAAAAATCGAGTTCGAGATGAGTGCTACACCAACCTCCTGGGGGAATCGCCCCTTATGGGAAAATTGATACTAGTGGTGCATCCAGAGAGCTCTGAGAAATGAGCAAGCTTGAAGAGGCCAACTGGTGGCTATCATGTTGTGAACTGAATAATGCAAGTTGACTCTATGTGTCAATCATAGCGAATAGACCTCGGGTTGGAATCTATTAGTCTAGTACTTTGTTCTGGGTTCATTTACAAAGGTCGACTTGTTGCTCAGTGCGATTCGTCGCCACAGATACCCTGCTAGCTTGATCCTTCGGCATAGCTCTTTGCATTTCCAATGAATTAGTGGAGTTGATAATGATTTCCGCAACCCCTCATTGACCTTGCATCACCTCATCCTCAAGGTCTGTTGCAAAGTATTGCGCCATAGGACATGCCGCTCTGAACACACAAGAGGCCATTGATAGAGTTCAACGCCATCAACTTTCTAACTGGTCGTGAGTTAGTCCTCGGCTTTTTCATTGCAACCTATAGCGACATCATATCACCATATCTACTGGAAGCTAGCATGGCAGACTAGGATTAGAGCGCGCACCAGGGTTATGCTTGCCGACGCTAGAATCTAACATGAACGCCACAAGGGTCAGAATTCTTGTCTGACATTCCGTCTTATCACATCATTATAGTTCCCGATGAGGTCTGTCGCACCCCTGACTGCGGTAGTTGTGGAGGGCCCAAGTTGAACCCACAGTATATTTATATGCAACATATCGCCATGTGGTTCACGAAGAATCACACCCCACTTAACCTTCTCTCCCACTAGCTAAAATGGGCCTTCCATCTCCCGTGCGGGAACATACCGAACAGCTCCCTCAATATGACAGTAGCGACAATGATAGCCTGAAATATACCACTGAAGTGGGTGGGAACACCTCTAAGGCCACATACCAGGAAGCAACGGGAGCGCCCGTCGAGGTTAATTCCCCGCTGGGGTATTCGGTCGGTTGGGTTACTGTGATTTTCTTGAATTTGAGCAAGATGATTGGAACTGGAGTCTTTTCAACACGTACGTACACATTAACTTTCTGTGGGTTGTTCCAAGATATGCTCACATACAATAGCATCGACCGTCCTCAAAGGCGCTGGCTCCGTTGGTCTCGCGTTGATATATTGGGTCATTGGATATTTGATGGCATCTAGCTCTCTATCGGTCTATATGGAATTCGCATCTTGTTTCCCCAGTCGGTCTGGTTCGGAGGTTGTCTACTTGGAACAGTCGTACCCCCGACCCAAGTACTTCTTCCCTACTGTGTTTGCGATGCAGACAGTGCTTTTCTCGTTTAGCAGTAGCAATGCCGTTGGTAAGATTATATCGGCCGATGTATGTTGAAGTGACGATGTGCTGATTTTATCTAGTACTGGCGCAGTATCTTTTTAAACTTGCAGATTCCGATTTTACTCCATGGAAATTAAAAGGAGTCGCTGTGGCTTGCTACACAGTTGCGGTATTGGGTGAGTAGTGATTCTTGTATTTGTGTGATATGTGCTGATTAACGTTCCACAGTTCTGGCATTTCATACTAGATGGTCTTTGAGACTCGCAAATGCTATCGGGATGGTTAAGTTAGTGACATTGATATTGTAAGTGTTGATCCGCAATACACCCACGATGTGCATACTATGTACGGCCAAAAAAAGCTAACTCAGACCTAGCATCGCAATATCTGGCTTAGTCGTTCTTGGAGGCCATACAGCAGTGAAAGATCCTAAAGCAAATTTTAGGTCTGCCTTTGATGGTACTAATGCTGCAACAGCCTACGGGGCAACCAATGCATTGACCAAGGTCTGGTTCTCTTATGCAGGATATGAAAATGCCTTCAATGTCGTCAATGAAGTCCGGGTATGTATGTCGCATGATGGTGATGAGTTGCTTGCTAACTCACATTAGAATCCTACCAAAACCTTGAAGTGGAGTGCTCCGCTCTCCCTGGGTTTGACGGCAGTTCTATACATTCTGGCAAACATAGCCTATTTTAGCGCTGCGTCCAAGGAAGAAATCCTAGAATCCAAGGTCGTTGCGGCTGGTGTCTTTTTCGAGAAGGTATTTGGAACTGGTGGTGCTGCTTCGGCACTGAATTTCCTTATTTGCATGAGCGCTTTTGGAAATCTTCTTGCTGTGCTTATTGGACAATCCCGAATGCTGAGGGAGTGTGGAAGGTGAGTGGTCAATCTGTATGTATATTTTTGGAGGTGATGCTGATCCGCTGATTTCACATAGACAAGGTGTTTTGCCCTTCACTTCATTTTGGACTTCGACACGGCCATTCGGAACTCCACTTGGTCCATATTTTGTGAAATGGAGCCTCACCGTAGTGATGATCCTGGCACCGCCTGCGGGTGATGCTTTCAGTTTCGGTACGTGCTTGCTTCCTTTTCTGACCTGCGTAGGAAATGAAAACTTAGCAAGATCTTTGACTAATTTTGAGCAATAGTTGTGGATCTTGGAGTCTACGCAGCAAGCTTCTTTGGCTCGATACTCACAATAGGCTTGGTTATCACTCGAATTCGTCGTGCCCGCCTTAATCTCCCGGCGCCAGAATACAAGGCCTGGAACATTACGGTCGCATTCGCCATTCTGTCTAACTTATATATGGTTGTGATGCCGTGGTATCCGCCAAGTACTGGAGCCAATGGAGGCGACGTGAGCTTCTGGTATGCAACATATTGCGCGGTTGCTCTCGGAATGTAAGTTGTTGCTGCCCTGGTTAATCCTTGCTTTGCGATATATCACTGACTTGGCAAAACATCTACATAGTATTGGGGTCTGTGGAGTGTACTATTACGTTTGGATCAAGCTTCTTCCTAGAATTCAAGGATTCAAGTGGGAGCAAACGGTTCTCATACTGGATAATGGTGCTGTGGCACATCAGCTTGTTAGGGTGCCTAAGAGAAATGATTAAGATATATGGCGAGGTAAAGAAGAGGTGCAATTATTTAGCTGATTGTCATATTAGCACTCCAATCACTTTGTGTCTGTAGATCTATCTTCTCACCATTTACCATTTTAGCGTTTAAGACGTCATAACCCGTGTCCCCCCACTTCTCCCCGGCCATTTCTCCAGCCACATCTACGGAGTACGGAGTACTCCGCATGCAGATGTAACAGCACATTACATTGATCAGGGAGATGAGATCATTTCGACAAGATTTTATCTTACCACAAGTGTATGCCATTTGTGCGGGTAATATCCGTTGCCGAAGGGCCGACGGAGCTGTTGGCTATGGAGCCTATTTCTCCGTCAGCTTTTGGCGTGACCAACTAAGGTATGAAATTAGCTGATCATCATGAGAATAATGGATAATATCATGCTGATTGGCCCAAAACTACACACTGCAGATGGATACCAATTGCTACAATTGCACCATATGGGACAGGCATGTCATCAGATGTCATCTGAAGACTACAGACCCGAGTATGCAGATCACGCAGCTTTATAAGTTGTCCTGCCACCACACCGATGCAGATTGCTACGATCAAAATCCCATTCTAAGATGCGCGCCCCTGGCTTTTGGTATTGGGTCTCTCTCGCCACTCCATGTCTCGCGGTCTATGCCCCATGGAAGCTAGGAAATGGCTTTGAACTCACGGTGAATGACAATTCCAACCGTCTTTCTATTACCCACAATGGCCGATCTATTTGGGAGACTGTGCCAGGCCAGCCATTCCTCAGTGCCAGCGCAGGAGATGATGAGGTGATCGCCGCCAATGGTAACTTCAAGATCAACGAAGTAGACCAAAACAAATGTACCGGTCAGAATATTAGCGACGTTGCTCTCCAGCCATGGCACGACAGTGAGAATGACCATGCTGCGGTCATCCAGGGTCGGCTCACCGGATGTGGTGATGCCACGGCTCGTTTCTCTGTCGCTTTCTGGGTCCCGTCGCAGTTCCCTGACCGCATTGCTTTCAACGTTAATGTCAACGCCGGAACTTCGTCGAATGCGGCAACGAAGCTATATCTGACATATCGCTCTTCGCCATCTGAAGATTTCTACGGACTTGGTGCCCAGGGATCGTTCGCCTCTTTCAAAAACCAGACGGTCCCCATTTTCTCGCGCGAGCAAGGTGTAGGTCGTGGTGATCAGCCCACAACTCGTCTCGAAAATGAGGATAGTTTTTTCGCCGGCGGAGATAAATTTACATCTTACACTGCTGTCCCACAGTATATCAGCTCGAAATCCCGGGTGTTTCATCTGACACAGGAGAGCTCTGCCTACACTACCTTTGATTTCACCAATCTTAGTGCTGTCACTGTGCGATATGATGCCCTGACTGTGGATGGCTACTTTATGCAAGCTGAGAACATGCTCGACGGTATTTCTATGCTTACTGATTATACCGGCAAGATGGCCGCGCTGCCCGAGTGGGTTGACACCGGTGCCGTGCTTGCTATTCAAGGCGGGCAGACCAAGGTGAACCGTATTGTCGACCAAGGGCTGGAACTTGAATGTCCTATTGCTGCAGTCTGGCTTCAAGATTGGTCTGGAACACACTCACAGAGCGTCTCCTACATGTCGCTGAATGTATCTCGTCTTTGGTGGAACTGGGAATCTGACAGTACACTTTACCCTACATGGAACGACTTCGTGCAGTCGCTGCGGGATCAGCATAATGTCCGTACTCTGGCGTATATCAACCCCTTTTTGGCGAATGTTAGTACAAAGCCTAACGGTTACCACATAAATCTTTATGATGAGGCCAGCAAGAGCCGCTACATGATCCAGAACTCTACCACCAATAGCACGTCTGTTATTTCCAGTGGCCCCGGCCTTGACGCTGGTATTCTTGATCTTACTAACCCTGTTGGACGATCCTGGTTCAAGGAAGTCATGCTCGATCAAGTCTGGAGCGCTAACATCTCTGGATTCATGACTGATTTTGGTGAATACACCCCAATCTACCCCGACACTCACTTCTTCAACAAGAGCATTGATCCCTTCTTCTACCACAACACCTATCCTCGGGAATGGGCCGCTCTTCATCAGTGGATTGGAAAGAATGTGTCCTCATTCTCCGATGCTATCCTGTTTCACCGTTCGTCCTCCATGGCAGCAAACCGGCATATGAACCTATACTGGGCGGGTGACCAGGACACCAACTGGGGCGTCAACGATGGTATCAAGGCTGCCGTGACCATCATGGGCCACATGGGTCTGTCAGGCTATGCTCACGGCCATATGGAGATCGGTGGATATACTACTACCTGGGACAATAACGGTATTGTGAACCGCTCTTCTGAGTTGCTCGGTCGCTGGGGCGAACTTGCCGCCGTCTCCAGTGTAGTCTTCCGTACCCACGAGGGCAATGTCCCCCAAGTGAACGCGCAGTTCTACAGCAACTCTACCACCTACTCTTGGTTCGGTTACAACGCCCGCATGTTTGCCAGTCTTGCGAAGTATCGCCGCCGCATCTTGGAAACCGAAAGCAAGAACTTGGGCTGGCCCTTGCTCCGCATGCCCGTTGTCTACCACCCGGATGACAGGATTGCCAAGGCAATCAGCCACCAGAGTTTCTATCTCGGCTCTGATTTGTATGTAGCACCGGTGCTGGACCCTGGTCGCACTAGCGTGGAGGTCTACTTCCCTGGCAAGAATCAAACTTTTACACACATTTGGTCGGGCAAGAAATACCACGGTGGTCAGACTACATGTGTCTCCGCACCATATGGGAAGCCTGCGATTTTCGTCGTTGGAACGCCGAAGAATCATGATTTGGATGACTTCTTGCATTTCGTCCATCGGGAGAATAACACAATTATCCACTTCTAGTTCCTAAGAAAAATGTTGATGAAAATTCTCGATAAATAAACGCCTCAAGCCTCTATTTCCAGAAACAACAAAGACATAGAGTATATGTATTTAGCACACTTCCATATCGATCCTTTTACTTAGCCAAAAGCCCAACGTGGTCTCTGATCTCCACCCACATTACAAGGTACATAGTGAGTGGTATTGGACTTTGAGATACGTAAAATAGATTTGTACATTATGTATGTGGTTTATCACAATTGTATTTGATTAATTGATTGAATGTGATGTGCCTGTATTCTCACAAACGTAGTTGCATATGCCGTGCCACGGGTACCTTCCCAACGTTTATCAGTTTGTTAACCTCTAGGACTCACCCTCTCTGACTTTTCTGACTTCTTCGCCATTTTCCCATTCAACACGCTCCAAGGCTCAAGCCATTTGATCGTGAGTGTTACTGATATATATTGATATGCCCTAGAAAGCTAACATCCGCACCTGACCAGATACCACCTATTTGCACCCCACGAGTGAAGTGAAGTTCCTCATTCGTCATCAAAATGCCGGCTACTGATTCGCTTCGTAAGTTCCTTCCCTTTTCAGTCATTCAACATGTTATCCATGGCTGACTTTTGACTACAACAGAACCACCTTTGACCCCGGCTGAGCGGGCAGTTGTGAAGTCCTACGGCGGCTGGACATACTTCTTGCAAAGCTTTGGGCTTAAGCCTTGGGAACCAGAAGACGCTGAGGAGGGAAAGAAAATTCTGGAGGCCTTTGCTCGAAATGATGAAGCTTCTGGATGAGATGGTCACAATTGGTATCTAGCTGTACCAGGAGGACTAGGATACGGGTGAAGGGTATGGACCGTAGGTCCTTCAGATCATCCTTCGGACTTTTGTGATGAGAATAAATCAATGACTTTTACTCTTTACTCTTAGCGGCAACTTATGCTGGTACTGTAGACTATGAAATCATGTGTGTGCTTGTCTAATGAGTGCCCTTAGATAGCGGACCATTACTTACATGCTTTGCTCAATTTGACTCATCAAAAAGGAGAGATGAGCATTAAAATGGAAGGAAGATTATTCACATATTGTGGACAGATGTACTAGTATTTCTGATCTTGACGATTGGACATTTCGAATTTTATGAATTGGGTATCCAGCAAATATGAAGCCAAATCATCTCTCCATCTTTCAACCTTATCATTCATAGCCAGGCCGCGTACTCAAATAGCTCGTATTCCAAGTATTTCCAACCCCAGAGTCCCACTATCAAACTGTAGATGATGATTAGTTCGTATCTTTGATAGGATCCTTTTCAGCGCTTTCGATCTTTTTCAAAAATTCTGCTGCAGCTTTAGAGTCGTCGGGAAAGAGATTCTCAGCAATCATTCGGCGAGGTGAGCTACCAAGCCATTGAAACAGAGAGAAATCCCGGAATCGATCTGCGTGGAAAACTTCCAAAACCTCCAGCGGTTCATCATCACTCAGGTTCTCGATGAAGTGCCCCATATTCCGAGGCACGATGCCGACATCACCGGCCACGTAGTTAAAGGTTCTAGCGTTCCCTTCTGCAGCAAATATGGTAACTCGCGCACGGCCTTTCTTGAAATAATTCCACTCGTCTGCGTTGGGGTGCCAGTGCATCTCGCGTAGTGCGCCCGGTGCGATCTCTAGATGGGCGGCTGCTACTGTTTTGGAAATCGGGAAGTTGGCAGAGTCGGCAATACGGACACGACCGCCGCTGGTTTCAAGTGGTTCTTGGGCGAGCATATGATGTGTGAATTGTGTCTTTGACTTCTTGAACGTGCGTGGCTTTTCCTGGTCAATACTTCCTGGGGTTGAGCCTTGGAATATGTACTTCTCGGATGTTGGGATGTTGTCGAACTTTTCTGGTGACATCCGGAAGTTCTCTCCTATAACTGCTTTGGGGGTGTGAGCTGGAGACCGGGGTTAGTATGTATAAATCATAATCTTAACACAGAGACAGGTCAACATACCCAACCAATCAGTCAATAAGAAGGTGGACTCTTCGGAGAAGTGGCCATCATCAAAGATCAGAAGGAACTCCGTGCCATTTTCACCTAGACCCTGGAGCGAATGTGGATGTCCAGCGGGGAAATACCAGAGATCTCCCGCCTCCAAGTCATCCATAAAAGTGCCACCTTCCAAGTCCAGCGCAGTGACTCGTACTTTTCCAGCAAGCACAAATGCCCATTCAGCTTCCGTGTGCCAATGAAGTTCGCGGATTACACCTTGATCCAGACGCATGTTCACACCCGCTAGTTCACGGCTAGTAGGCAGCTCGCGGATCGTCGTTTGTCGCGTCCATCCACCTTCCTATACATGAGTAGATCTTTAGATTAAAAATGCGATGTATATTCCGTATTAGAATAACCATACCTCAATCCGAATATGTGAATCCGCAAAACTCCATCGCATATTAGGCATACTACCATGGTCGGTACTTGGGGGACGGACAAGATCGGGGTTCTGGCGCTCGCGATCTCGATTCCGCGGTCCCATCACTGTAGCACCATCTCCATTACGGAATGGGAGTGGCTGGCGATCATCGCCAACGGAATCAATCTTGCGATCATATGGGTCGCGATATCCGGGAGAGTAAGGCGAGTGTTCGGAAATAGGCTGTTGACTGAAGAATGCTGCGGGATAGCCAGGCGGTACTTGGAGTAATTTTTGCAGACTATTATCCGGGGCAGGGATAGCCCATGCAGCCGGAAGAACTGCCAGCTTTAACAGGAAGGACGTAAGCTGCATGCTGAGCTTTTGAGATAAACTGGTTACGCAGAAGAAAGAGAAGACAAAAGAGGTAAAATTTCAACTAAAAACATGGTTCTCGACGTCACGACATGGTATTTTCTCCTCCCTAACTTGAATAGATTCTAGTATTCCCTTTCTAGAAGCTTTCAGGTTTCTTTTCGGAGTACATTTCCCTTCGGATAATGTAAGGCGGGATGACGTATTTGTTTCTTATCCGACATCGATTTCGACTTCACTACACCAAGAGATAGAAAACAATTGCACTACACCTCGGAGCGACCGCACAATGTCTGACGAAACGGAAGCCCTGCTGGGCAATGGGAGATCCCATAAACCGACCCGGCTATCCCGGCTATCCAAACACCTGCGCAGCGAACTCGACCCTACGTATGGCGACCTGGTCCTTCTATTTTGCTACATTATCACCGGCTTGCTCGACAGCTCTGCGGTATTCATATGGGGCTCATTTGTGAGCATGCAAACCGGTAACACTGTATATTTCGGCCTGGGGCTTGTCGGCACCGAAGATGATCGTTGGATCAAATCCGGAGTCTCCATCGCGGGGTTCTGTCTAGGCTCGTTGTGTTTCGCCGCCTTCCACCGGGTTTTCCCGGCGAGAAGGAGATGGGTTCTCTGTGCGTCGTTCCTTGTTCAAACCGTGTTTGTGTCCATTGCCGCTTTGATAGTTACGATTTATCGGCCCGCTCGCGATGCGCCCTTGAGTTGGTTGGTCCTCGTCCCCGTTGCGCTCGTGGCATTCCAGAGTAGTGGGCAGGCTGTGACAAGTCGTGTTTTGAACTTCACCGGCTTGACTAGTGTTGTTCTTACTAGTACTTACTGCGATCTGTTTTCACATCCTGATCTCCTCACAAAGAAGGTGGTCGGTCATGTTGAGGAGATGCGGCGGCTTGGCGCAGTCTTGTGCTTGTTGTTTGGGGTGATCTTGGGGGGTCTCTGGGCTCATAGCACTGTGGGGATGATGGGAGCTTTGTGGACTGCAGCGACCCTGAAGTTATTGATTGCTGGCGCCTGGTTTTCCTGGAAAGGAAAGGGTTGGGAGGATAGTGGAAGGGTTTTATAAGGCAGGAAGATCACGGTGCTACATAGAGTTAATGTTGTTGGCTGATGTTGATATATGTGGGATACAAAAGTGTCAGGTCGGTATAGAGGCTAAAATATACTATCTCGGCTATATGCAATTGTATTCATTCCCATTACTAATAAATTGCTTGAAACTAATATTCAATACCAATATATATGTTATATCATTCCTGTCATAGTAATTATCGATATTCTCAAAGCATCGCTATCTATTACGATAATTTGCTATAAACCTATATATCATAAAGTTAACTATTGAAAATATTACCTAGGCATACTTTAATAGAAAGATACAGCCACTTATGGGCTTTATTGGAGCCCTCATGGGCCCCTGCTAATGGGCTATGGGCTTGGTTGGGCCCAACCCAGTCCATTGCGGAGGTGTAGACGAAGTTAGTACCGCGCTTCTTAGATAATATGAGAACTTCCTTAGTTAATCTTCCTTTCAGGTATATTATAAATAGTATAGCATATTTTCCGTGGATCCTTCGGAACTAGTTGTTAGGTGTATATGAATTAACGTAGGCGTCGTAATCTAGCTTACAAGTAGTCCACCTAGTCGACGTCTCGGATAGCTTGCCTGCCATGATAGGACGGACATTTATCCGTAATGAGAATTATGAGTGATTGACAGGGACCATCACCAGTGGTGTAACTCAAAAAACTTCCGATAGCGAAGGAAAACCCCGATACCTAGTAGTATTGGCCTTCTGAAGTAGGTGTGGAGCTTTTGGAGACACGATGACGCCCTCAATTCCCGCAATACTACGGTTATAATGTATACACTTAATAAGAACCATTGATGGCAATGGTAGCGGATCGCGTTCTCATGCCCACTAGTATCACATCACCAACACCATCATAACCAAGCTTCTCTGTCGATTGCACTATATTTTCATCCGTTAATATATGCCTGCGATTCTGATTAAGCGCTGATTTTACCTATTCTTTACCTGTCACACTGAAGTTCATTTCCTAGTACTGGAGCTTTCTCCACACTATGACATCATCAATCTACAGCTAAAATCGTGCTTATTGTCAATTAGCATTGTCTTCTATCACTTTCAGCTGTATTATATCTTGTATTATATCTATTCTATGAACCACTGGCAGTGATCGCAATCACTATCTGTAAATAGTGAACCCGGCCACTATTGTCATCTGATGACATGGCAGATACTCACCATGATACTACTCCAAATCTCGACATTAACAGATGGAGACGTTCATCAGAAAAGGGAGACGACCGCCGATCGGAAGATTTGATCGCTCATACTGGAGATCCCTTTGGGGATGAAGAAAATGCCGAAACCAAGTATCGGACGTTGGAATGGTGGCAATGCGGCATGATCATGATCGCGGAAACCATCTCCCTCGGTATTCTGTCCCTTCCATCGGCCGTGGCAGTGCTAGGTCTTGTCCCGTACGTATTCTACTACTTCCAGCGACTGCCCAACATCACAATATGTTGACTCATTCCCAGTGCCGTCATTCTCATTGTCGGACTTGGTATAGTCGCAACCTATACTGGATACGTAATCGGCCAATTCAAAATCCGATACCCGCAAGTACATAGTATGGGGGATGCTGGGGAGCTGCTTTTCCATCCCATGGGGCTATCTCGCTTTGGTAGGGAGTTCATGGGAACCGCTCAGCTGTTCTTCCTCATCTTCGTCATGGGAAGTCATCTCTTGACCTTCAGTGTCATGATGGATACAGTCACAGATCATGGCACCTGCTCAATTGTATTTGGGATCGTTGGCTTGATCGTCTCGTTTATCTTTGCCTTGCCTCGAACCCTCCGGAAGGTCTCCTGGTTCTCATTTGCTTGTATGTATATCGATATGTGCTCTGTAACAAGCTCCTTGCTAACTGCCACAGCCTTCGCAAGTATTCTTGCCGCACTCCTAATTACTATGATCGCTATTGCGATTCAGCGCCCAGGTGATGGCAAGGTAGACGCAACTACGACAGTCAGTGTGTCAAAGGGGTTTATAGCTGTCACAAATATTGTATTTGCTTATGGTAAGTCCCAATCAGCTAGCCAGGCCATGCAACTAATTCTTTTCTAGCTGGCCATGTGGCTTTCTTCGGCTTTATCTCCGAGATGAAGATTCCAACAGACTATCCCAAAACGCTATATTTGCTCCAAATGACCGATACAAGTATGTATGTGATAGCTGCTGTTGTTATATACATCTATGGTGGGAAGGATGTGAAATCGCCCGCCCTGAGTTCAACAAGCCCAGTTACAGCGAAGCTTGCATATGGAATTGCTATTCCTACGGTGCGAGATCTTACGGACATATTGCTATTTTGAACAAAGGGTTCCTGACTTGATACTGTAGATTGTCATATCTGGTGTCATCAATGGACATGTCGCCGCAAAATATGTCTACGTTCGACTTTTCCGAGGTACAAAGCACATGCAAAAGCGCTCATTCTTGTCAATTGGCTCCTGGGTTGCGATTACTCTTATATTATGGGTAATAGCCTGGATTATTTCCGAGGCAATCCCTGTGTTCAACACATTGCTGAGTTTGATCGTGAGTCTCGTCAGGAGTTGCAAGTAAGACAGCTACTAACATATACTCACCGAATAGACTTCCCTTTTCGCTAGTTGGTTTACCTGTGAGCGGTATTCGGTCCATAGGAAACTTTTTATAACGCTAACGTGAATGAAAGATGGCCTCAGCGGTGTATTTTGGCTATTCCTGAATCGAGGCCAGTATGGGGCTTCCTGGAAAAAGATGGTTCTGACTGCCATTAACTTGGTGATTGTTGCGATTGGTGCATGCCTGGTATGTCTAATTTCAATATCCTGGCCATTTAACAAACTGCTGATCTTGATGAAGTGTGGGATGGGTCTTTGGGTTTCTGGTAAAGCAATCCATGATGATTCAAGTGGTGCAAGCTTTTCGTGTGCTCCCAAAAATGGATGAATTCCAACAAGCTCCGTGTATAAAATTCCATTTGTACATATACATGCAACTTTCTGACCAGCTACTGTTTGATTTTTTTTCTGGTGAGTTGACATCAAAAATCCCAACATCAGGCATCATTCTTTGCCCGCGTGGTGTTCATATTTAAGTCAGATATTTTTCAAAGATCTCAACGAGATACATTCAGCTCTACACAATCAGTCTAATTTCCCCCCAATGTACCTAGGTACTTAGTTCTTTGGAGGAGAATACGTAACAGTGTCGTCGTTAAACCATGCATTACGCCATGACGTTTTGCAAGATCACTGTTGTTGTGCGCTGCAAAAAGAAAAGAGAAAGAATAATGGCTTTGCATGATCTATCTCTATGGGGTAAGTCAACTGCATTGATTGCAACGCATATATCCACGGCCCCATACTGAACATCTACTCAGTGCTCACTGTTGTGATATCACGGACGAACCACCCGCTCTCAACTATTATTCCCCATCGAATGTCAATCATATTTTCTCTGCAATGGCCAACAGAGAGACCCATACCTCGCTGTCTCGGCACGGCACCCTGCAATCAACGCATGACTCCACCAGCTTGCGGACCATGCTCGACGACGGTGACAGATACGACGTGGCCGATATGTTAGAAAGCAACGAGGGCTCAGCATCAATCAAACCCGATAGATCTCCGAACGAGAAAGAAAGCCTAATAGTCGGTTGGGATGGCCCAGACGATCCGGTATGGCATCTAATTTCTCTCCTTCGACTATGTACGGCTCCTCTAACCCGATTATAGGAAATGCCCCAGAACTTTCCGACATGGAGGAAGTGGGTGATCACCATAATGCTAGGGATGATGACAGTCTGTGTTACTTTTGCCTCTTCGGTATTCAGCACGGCAACAAAACAGACAGCGAAAAAGTTCCACGTCTCCGATGAAGTCATGGTGCTAGGTGTCAGTTTGTTTGTCCTCGGATTCGCCTTTGGCCCTATTATCTTTGGCCCCTTGTCTGAACTGTGCGGTCGGAAGCGACCGATGTTTGTGGGCATGTTTGTCTTTGCAATCTTCCAGATCCCCGTCGCGGTAGCCCAAAACCTGCAAACTATCTTCATATGTCGCTTTCTAGGTGGGATTTTTGCCAGTGCTCCTCTTGCTATTGTGAGTTAGGTGCATCTTTTCCAACCTATACGTCGAATTTCGCTCACTGGCATCCGTTCCCCGTGCAGGTATCCGGTATCTTGGCCGACATGTTCGAGCCCGTAGAGCGAGGGATTGCAATGGCGATCTTCGCCGCGGCAACCTTCATCGGCCCAGTCGCTGGACCAATCGTCGGTGGGTTCGTAACAATCTCCTACCTTGGCTGGCGATGGACGGAGTACATAACGGCTATTTGGGCATTTGCTATCTCTGGCATTGGGATCCTGGTAGTACCCGAGACGTTCGAAGGGACGCTACTCACGAACCGCGCTATACAACTGCGAAACAAAACAAAGAACTGGGCTCTCCACGCAAAACAAGAAGAGAAGATAGTGCGTTATCGAGATATCGCGGTACGTTATATCCTGCGTCCATTCCAGATGCTCGTGCAAGAGCCCATTCTTGTGCTTATTACCCTGTATGTGGGTTTCATTTATGGGTTTCTGTACACTTGTTTCGTAGCCTACCCAATCTCCTTCCAAGAAGAGCGTGGGTGGAATGATGGCGTTGGAGCATTGCCGTTCATCGGTATCATTTGTGGCGTCTTTTGCGCTTGTTTTATAATCGTTGCATTTTCATTGACAAGGTATCGAGCGTTCATACGCCGTTATGGCCGAGTTCGACCAGAGGAGCGGTTAATTCCTATGATGATTGGAGGTGTCTTATTGCCTGCGGGCATGTTTTGGTTTGGATGGACGTCAAATCCTCATATTACTTGGGTTCCTGAGGCTATATCTGGAGGCTTCTTGGGTTGTGGGGTGCTATTAATCTTCTTACAGGTATTATTCTTCTCCTTCTAATGACCAGGCCACTCACTATACCTGAAATACTCACCGTAGTTACTAGGGACTTAACTATATCATCGACGTATATCCCTTGTATGCCAACTCTGCCATTGCAGCCAACTCCTTCTTTCGTTCATGGCTGGGGGCTGGATTTCCTATGTTCGCGTCGCCAATGGTTTGTTTTTTCCCTTTGCCAGTACTGCAAGCATTTGGCTAATTCCAATGCAACATAGTTTCACAACCTGGGCGTCCCTTGGGCGATGACTTTGCTGGGTTGTCTTACTGCTGCGTTATTCCCTGTGCCCATAGTGTTTTTCATCTATGGGCCGAAGATTCGGTCATGGAGTAGGTTTACTGTGAACGAAGAATGAAGATCAAGCTGTGAGATATCCAAGGCCCATGGAGCAGGGGTCAAGCCGCCTCAGGCTTGGTGTCATCCGATATACTGTATAGTTATATCCAGGACTTTTAACAATATAGTGAATTGATACATATAGACTGACATAGTGTAATCAAATGGACAAACCTTGTTTCCCATTCTGTCAATATCTCAAGGTCAATATAACGAGGGGCTTGTTATAGGCCTAAGCATAGGAGGTTATGACTCAGTTCATGTTTACCATATATTTTTTACGCAACTACCATGACCACGTTTATGCAGGGATCATATCAGATATCAGCTGGGAGCTAGAAAATCAACCAAAAGACAAATATACATGACACTCAGTTTCTATTATCGTAGCCCGAGGCACGAATAGTCGCAGAAGTCTCCATCGGCCAGGTCCGATGTGGAGTAAACCACCGCACATGCAAGAGAGACATTTATGCTGCAAGTTGTGGCCAATATCCTAGAGGGCAGCTTACCCCGGCTTTTCACCAAGCCCCAGGGCTTCAACTAAGCTTCCTGGACCACCCACATAGCTTGAATCCCCCATCACGACGTTTTACGAGGAAGAACTCTGGGGAAACCAAGACTTTTTAGCTAATATCATCTTTTTTTCGACGGCTCTCGAGCATTTCTGCTCCACTCCTCTTGAATTAGTCGCCAATGGGATCTACACTTCATCGCTACGCGATGCGCCGCCCCACGTACTGCTCGGCTCCACCTGTATCAAGCTGGAAGATCGTCCGGTAGGCGGCGTTCGCCGTTCAACACTCAGATGAGTGCAAATGAGTGTAAATATGATATTTATATCGAACCTCATGTCGGTATATTAGCGACGCAGTCGATGTGGTGGTATATGGGCTCCAAACTCTAGATCTTGAATTAGCCATTTTTTTCAATATCGATATTGCACCATGGCGCCATATTTTGGTCTTCGCGGGTCTTCATTGAATAGGGCTATCATGTGGTTGGTTGTTTGTCCAGCCTTTGTGACTTATGGATACAATCAAGGTGTGATGGGAGGTCTATTGACCCTGGAATCCTTCGTCGAGACCTTCCCACAAATGAACACACTCACTGCAACTGATGCAGAGAAGACTTATAACTCGACCATTCAAGGTAAGCTTAACAATATACTAAGGAACTTCCTATCATTCTTCCCCGCAAAAATTAGCCTCAGTGATCGCCTTTTTGGTGTTTTCATCCCAGAATAACCCTCCTCTTATGCCCTATGATACCTTTTTGGGTGTCCTTTCTGTATGTCTCTTTGAAGATATTTTCTTCCTCAATCACCATCATGCACGGGCGAATATCGATCCCAGACGTTTGGTGTCACCGCTGCTTGGATCATTTCTCACGCTGTATTCGTTTAGGAACGGTGGTCGCACTATATACCGTTGGTGGAATATTTGGTTCGCTGTCATGCATCCAATTCGGCGATAGGCTCGGCCGCCGGAAGGTCATTCTATTCACCTCTTTCATTTCGATGATTGGCGCTATCTTGATGGCAACATCCTTCTCCCTTCCACAATTTATCGTCGCACGACTCGTCCTCGGCTATGGCACCGGCGGTTATGTTGCTACAGTACCCGTCTGGCAGTCCGAGATCTCGAAGCCCAACAAGCGTGGCGCGCACGTAGTAACAGACGGAATCTTCATCGGCGCCGGTATCACTTTCTCCCTCTGGGTCGACTTCGGGTTTTACTTCGTTAAGACCAATTCGGTTTCCTGGCGATTCCCCTTGGTCTTTCAGGTTCTGCTATCATTGATGGTCATGAGCTTTGTGATGTTCTTCCCCGAGTCACCCCGGTGGCTGGTAAAAAGAGGTCGCATCGAAGAGGCACGGGAGATTCTGGCAGCGCTGGACGACGTCGACCCTCGGTCGGAGCAGATCACTCTGGACATTCGCGATATCGAGACTTCCTTGGCACTTTCCGGAACGGGTTCGTGGAAGGATATGCTGAAGATGGGGGAGCAGCGATTGTTACACCGCACTGTTCTCGCCTGTATGGGTCAGATGTTCCAGCAGATGTGTGGGATCAATCTGATCACCTTCTATGCCACAACCATTTTCGAACAATATCTCAAGCTCGATCCCGTCCAGTCTCGTATCCTCGCAGCATCCATGTGCCTAACACAGCCGCTAGGCGGCTTACTGGCCTATTTTACCATCGACCGTCTCGGTCGCCGTGTGCTTATGTTATGGAGTGCTGTCGGGATGTCAATATCAATGGCCATCCTAGCTGGCACTACTTCCCTGCAGGATAACACGGGCAGTTTGGTTGCCGCCGTGGTATTCCTTTTCGTCTTCGAATTCATCTTCACAGTTGGCTACTCCGGTTTAACATTCCTGTACGCGACAGAGGTCGCTCCACTGCAGTGCCGAGCATCTATCAGCGCCATATCCGCTGCCGCCGTGTGGACGTTCAACTTCCTTCTCGCTGAGGTGACGCCTGTCGGCTTCGCTACCATTGACTGGGAGTACTATATTATATTCGCCGTTCTGAATGCAGCCATCGTGCCAACTGTGTATTTCCTCTTCCCGGAGACCAACGGCCGCACCCTCGAAGAAATCGATGAGATCTTCTTGCAGTCGCGCAGTATCTTCGATCCGCCCCGCATTGCTCGATCGCTTCCCCGAATGCACGTTGCCGAGGCTCATGGTCTGGATGCCAAGGAGGTCGGAAGTGGTGATGAGGCCATGGCTGAGAAGCTAAAGGAGCAGACCATTCACGAAGATATGAGATGAGGGTCCTGGTCTATCTGTGCATGTAAATAGGATTCCCGACCATGTCCCTTGAGCGACCGTCATTTTTGTTTCATTATAAGCATTATTCTAGTAGACCATTTTTATCTTTCGATCTATATTGTGGGGTAAATGGGTAAACTGGCACTGGCATATCGGTCCGATGGTGCGACCGGAATTTCTCTCATACTTGGCACCGTTTCAGGCTGTATTGCAGGGAGTTTCATCGTGAGGATCCTTATTTCCGTGACCTATCTGGAGAGGCGCGTGTCGATCACTTGCGGGATGTCAATTGCGCCAATAATCCGGGGTATGATGTCGAACAAAATGAAGACAATGCACCAGGCCCGGTGATGTTTACTGGATTGGTAGCAGATTTACCACTAAACAAGCCCTTTGAGAGCGTCTGACGTGATATCCAAAGAAGAATCTCACCAGCCCTCAATGCCTTACTTCAAACAACCTAGGGTCTCATGCGTCTCCGTGTTATATCCGGCGCGTATGGCCTGGGGGTGTGCGTATATAACAGCAGTCGGAGGGAAGGAATTCGTGCTTGGAATAACCTGATCACACTCCAGAATCTCCAAGTACAACGTGAGCTTACAACCATCTGACCAAAATGCGGTCTCTTGCATGGCTCCTCTCCCTCCCCATAGCAACCAAAGCGGGCGAAGTCCTGTGGAGCGGGTTATTCGATGCCTCCGCAACCGTTGCGGACTTCGACGAATGTAAGTGAGGCTCGGAATGTGGTCTTAATTAACACTGACACAAGAAGGGTCGTGGTCGAACCAAATCGGCGCCTGGCAGTGGTATATTCACGGGCCTGCCTCGACGGAAGAGTACCTGGGACTCTCGCCTGACCACAAGAACCCCGCCGATAGCAGTGATTCACAGGGGATTAGGATCACAATTGTAAGTTATACTTCAAGCGCAAGGGACCTATAAACTGATGCCAGTCAGGATGGCACGTCGTTCTGGAATGGACAAACCATGGAACGATCCGAGATCATACCCCAGACCACGGCAAACCTGGGAAGCGGGCATCTGTTCTACCATTTCTCGCTGAAGACTGAAGATACGAATGCACCGAACCCGGGCTTCGAGCATCAGATCGCATTCTTCGAGGTAATCATCCCGCGGTCCGAAGTCTTGGGGAAACCAACAGCTAAATGTACCCCCGTCACAGAGCCATTTCACAGAGCTCAAATACGGCGCCATGAGCGGCACTTCTGGCGATGACAACACCCTCCGCTGGTGTGTCGGTGGAGTCTCGCACTGGGAAACTGACTTGGAAGCAGGGCAGTGGTACAACTTCGCGTATGACATCGATTTTGACGCGCAGACTGTTGGACTGTGGGCGTCACATGGGGCCGATGACCTAAAGCAGGTTGTGTCAGCTCTCAGTGCGTCGACTTCAACCAACTCCGCGGATTGGCATGTCGGCGAGTTGCGGCTCGATAACGGGGGCTTGAATGCGGCTGCGGAGGATTGGTTTTGGTCTGGCATTTTTGTAGAAGAGGCTCCAATCACGGCTGGTATTGCTGGTCCTGCATGAGACATTGAACTTCTCAAGTGTCCGTAATACGCGCTGTGTTCGTTTGATGATGGACCAATTTCGAATTGCAACAGCTTGCAAACAAAGCAAACAAGGCAAACAGTCTAGTCCTTTTACGTTTGCGAATGACTTCATGCATCAAACAGGACAGTGATACAGCTCTTAGAATAGCTCTTGGAACAAAGCAGGAATTGAGTCCAGAATTGATTTGATTTATCGTAAACTAGTCATATTATTCGTGTTATGTACAGAAAAATCCTTTACCGGACGGTGTAGCCACCGTCAATGAGCAAATCGTTACCGGTCATGTAAGTGCTGGCATCGCTGACCAAGTATACATAAGCACCCTTAAGTTCCTTCGCATCACCATTGCGACCCATGGGGATCATAGAGTTCCAGAGGTCCTGAACATCCTTCGCGACGAAATCAGACAACCCGGTGTCAATGTAACCAGGGGAGATGCTGTTCACGCGAGCAAAGTCGCGCCATTCGTTGGCCAGCGACCGAGCAAGGTGAATTGTGCCTGCCTTAGCGACGTTGTATGAGGTCTGTTCCTGGGGGAAGTTGGCAATGTGGCCGGACATTGAAGAAGTAATGACGAAGCTGCCGGTTCCACGCTCCTTGAAGTGAGCGCCAACAGCTTTGGCACAGTGGAAAGTACCAGTCAAATCGGTGTTGATGACTTCGTTCCAGTCCTCCACTGATCCGTCGAGGATACCGCTGTCGGCTGTGCGCCCGGCGTTCGCAATGAACGCGTCGATCTTGCCGAATTCTTTCAGAACGTCCTTGACGAGTGTTTCCACGCTCTCCCATTTGCCAACGTCGCACTTGTATGCCTTGACCTTCACGCCGTATTCTTCTGAGAGTTCCCTGGCATTCTTCTCGCCGCCCTCGGGACGGGAGGCGTATGTAATGGCCAAATCGGCGCCCATCTCTGCGCAGCCACGGGCGGCTTCGATGCCCATGCCGCGGGCTCCGGAAGCTCCGGTTACAACAACAACCTTGCCCTTGAGGCTAAGGAGATCGAGGAGGCGGTTTTCTTTAGGGACGGGGATAGGCATTGTGGTAGGTTGTTTGAGGTGTTGAGTAGTTTCAAGGAGAGAGGTAAAGGATAATATAGAACGCTGATATGTGATCTCTAGATCCCAGGCATGAATCTAGCTTAAATATGTATACACGCCTCCAATGACTTCATGGTGGGTTATCCGCTGACATCAGAGGAGCCGATAGCCGGGTAGAGAGCTGCGGCCAGCTTGATCAGGTTATGTTCCTTCTGGGCAAGTTGGCATATCCAGTAATAATATCGAGTAGTATATCCGGTGAGAAGGTCCAGTAAGAAGATCCAGTGAGAAGGTCCAGTAAGAAGATCGAATCAAATCGAATGACTTCAATTGCATTCCGGGTGGAGACGGATAGCGGGGCGAGTGACATCATGACTTGAACTGGTCTCAGTTCAGCTTTTCATATCATACCTACGTACATATTATGGATATGTTTGAGATTAGTAACGATGCGAGGGAATTCATGGGTAATTGCAAAATAAGGTCTTCTTCTGTGTACTACTTTTATATTCTCGGAAGATGTCCAAAGATATGAGCTCTTCAGTCCAGGGACGGAGCATCGCCCCACTTTATTGCGCCAAGGAAGAGTATACAACATATACATACAAAGTACATAGATTTTGATTCCAAAGCAAAGTTCACATTTTCAGGGCTCTTCACATATTTACACCGGATACCATACAGAAATCTTTCAGGTCCTTCATCGTAGTAAAAGTAACGTGGGGTCATATAGCTTAAAAATATAAGAACGGAGGTAACCCTAAAAAGTGATGACGGAAACGACAAGGGAAAGGGGATTGCAACGTCGAGTCATTGACTAATGCTTCAGGAACAAAAGTGAACCTCCAGCCACTTCCAGGGCCAGGTATAGCACATAACTTTCGTGTATTGATTCCCAGTATGGAAAACCAAGCTGGAAGAATCCCTTCTATTCAACCCTTCAAAGAAGGGGGAGAACTTCCATCTACTGAGCACTTCCAAGATGGAGGACAAATTCCGTCTACTCGGGCCGCCCAAGGAGGTGGACAAATCCCTTCTACTCAGCACTTCCAAGAGGATGGACAAATCCCGTCTACTCAGCAATTTCAAGAGGGAGAACAGATGTCGTCTACTCAGCACTTCCAAGAGGGTGGACAAATCCCTTCTGCTCAGCAATTTCAAGAGGGTGGACACATCCCTTCTGCTCAATCTGTCCCAGGAGGTGGACAAGTCCCCACTCAACCCGCCCAAGACGGTGAAGAAATCCCTTTTACTGAGGCCATCCGAGAAGGTGGACGAATCCCTTATACTCAGCCCGTCGGAGAATTCCACGACCGTCCACAAGTAAAACGAGCATCCACATCGAGTTCCCTGCACCACAACAGGTTTAAAGATTCATTTCTCTCAAGGTGCGCGCAAGGAGATTATATTACTTATAATAATCATAACTCAACTGACGATTCTCTAGAGTTCATTCCTTCTTTCAACGAGACAGTCACATAGGGCATGTGGGGCGTAACCCTTTACGTGATAACAAGAACGTCGAGATACATACCTGGAATGGACCAAATGATCCCGATAACCCGTAAGTCGCGAGCAAGTCATGAGTGCGGAGGTTTCACTGACGATCTCAGATTCAATTGGAGCAAAACGTACAAATGGATACTCACTCTGACTATTTGTTTCATGTTAGTAACATCCCATCGTTTCCCGTGTGGCGGTGACAATGCTGACCAAAATGCTAGTTCTATCCTGACAGGCCTACCAGCTGGATCCTACGGTGCCGGTAACAAATACATGGCAGAACGTTTTCATGTGCAAAATGAGCCCTTTCCAAACCTTGCATGGGCTACAACCTCTTGGAATATGGGGGCGGCATTCTGGCCTATGATCTTTGTTCCATTGACTGAATCGTCGGGCCGCATGCCCGGGTACTTTGTTGCCTATTTTATTCTGGTTGTCTCACTGTTTCCTTCGGCCTTTGCGCCAAACTTTGCCACGCTGGTTGTTACTCGATTCTTTGGCGGTGGCGCCTCTTCAGTGTCTATCAACATTGTCGGTGGTAGTATTAGTGATGTCTGGTATGGCGATAAAGCTCGCAGCTTGCCGATGTCTCTTTTCGGATTCACAAGTGTGGTTGGTATTGCTTTGGGTCCATTTATCGGATCAGCTATTCTACAGATTCATAGAAGCAGCCCATGGAGATGGTAAGTTGCGATTGCAAATCTTGCTGCTGGTCTGTGAAACACTGCTGATAAAGTCTCAGGATCTTCGTCATTCAGATCATTTACAACGCAGGATTAATTCCAATCTTCTGGTTGATTCTTCGCGAGACCCGTGCGGATGTGATATTGAAGAAGCGTGCCAAGAAACTCCGCTTAGAGACTGGCCGCCCTATATACGCTGAAGCCGACTTAGACACCACCAGTGTCATGAAGCTTATTCAGATTTCATTTGAGCGGCCTACACGAATGCTCCTCACTGAGCCTGTGGTCATCTTTTTCACCCTGTGGGTTAGCTTCGCGTGGGGAATTCTATTCCTCTTCTTCTCGAGTGTCGCCCAGACCTTCAGTGCAAACTACGGCTGGAGCACATTCCAGACTGGTCTAGTTCAGCTAGCGATCTCTTGTGGAGCTGTGGTTGGTACAGTTTTGAACCCTATCCAAGATTGGATTTACCTTCGCTCCGCACGTCGAAATCGCGAGCGTCCCGGTAAACCCATCCCAGAGGCCCGGTTGTACACTTCTATACCTGGCAGTCTGTTATTCGCAGGTGGGCTATTCTGGTATGGCTGGGGTAGTGTCGGGGACGGCTCGATCTCTTGGATCGTGCCGGCGCTGGGAGTTGGCTGTACCGGTGTGGGAATCTACTCTATCTACATGGCCGTGGTCAACTATTTGACTGATGCATACGAGAAGTACGCTGCTTCCGCGTTGTCAGCTGCTTCATTGGGGCGCAATACTTTCGGTGCCTTCCTGCCTCTTGCATCTTATCAGCTTTTTCAGAACCTGGGTTATGGCTGGGCTGGATCGTTGCTCGGTTTTATTGGGCTTGCCCTCTCGGTTGTGCCTGTTGTGCTGGTATTAAAGGGGCCAGCTATTCGCAGACGAAGCCCCTTCATGCGTGAGGCCATGTTTGACCCTGGTTCTAACTCTGACCAGGACCGGGACTCGGAGAAGACAGAGGTGTGATAGTTCACCTATTTGCGGAGAAAGTGGTGGACAAGCGTCACCTCTGAATGCCAGTGAAAACACAAAAACAAACTAACAAAAAGATGGGTGGGGGGGGGGGGGGGGGGGGGTAACGGAGTGATATTCAATATTGATATTCAATATTCATGTGTTTCGCTTGAGTTGGGTGCTCAAGTTATAATTTGTCACGTTACCCAGAAAGCATTTCATGTATAATTCAAGATGAGAACAGACAGTATCCTGATATTCACCATACATAGTAGTACCCAATGGGTAGACTGAATATTTTCGAGCACCAGATGCCGCAACGTAGAATAAATGCCTATGTCTGGCTGTGTTGTTGCCTCCAATAGCACATTGCTGGTCTGTTTGTCTTTTTTACATTTCGCAACTGCAACGACTACCACAGTTATCAGTAGATATCATTAGTCCCAATTATCACAGATTATACGTAGGAAAGTTATCTGCGCAGTTAGGCTTTTTTCCACCTTTTTCCGCTGTCTAGCTACAAGACTCACAAGGGGAAGAATACAGAAACAAGGCATCTAAAAGACATCAAAACGCCGCATAAACGGCCGAATAATCTTGTAAATCCAAATTTGATGTTTTGGAAAGATCATCTCAGCCCCACAAGCTTCGTCGCGCCAAGGCCAGGCACACCGGCTCAAAGCACATACCACAGGTATAGTTTCCCATCTAACAAGATATTCGTAAAAACACCACTTACCAAACCAAGTGCAACCGAGTGTTCAAAGCCCAAACGAGAATATCGTCCCTTTTTGAGACTCTACTTCACCACACCACAGATAAAGGGGGATCGGGCCCCCGGGGCCCCGGGGCCTAACACTCCGCTTAATCAGCCACCAGCTTCGCAATCATGGGCGAGGTCTTCTAGGGCTACATTCATTGTGAAGTGCTTTCACGGAATTCTTTTCCAATTGATGAACGATGATTCGTCGAGCCTGGGCGATCTTCCCCAAATCCAATAAGCTCGTGGAGAACAGATTGCGAAAGATCACCATTCATCAAGTGTTGACGCGGCGCCAAGCAAGCTTGTGTCGGAGGTTTCCCGGACTTGCTACCATTCAGGTCTAAGCCATTGAACATGCAGGAATACCAGGTCTCTCGTTGTTTGGAGATGCCATGACTATGCAGAACGACACGCGTCTGGAGACGATGAAAGATCCCCAATGGGTATAAATCCAGGCCGCCACGACCATAGGTCTACTCATTCAGACACCACAACTACAATTCTACCTTATTCACAATGGTTCAGCTTTCCAAGTACCTCGCTATTGCAGCTGCATGCCTGGCCGCTCCTGCTCTCGCCCACCCAGGAGAGAAGCATGATCCTCACGCTGTGAAACGTGAGGTCCATACCCGGGATGCCATGGCCGCCCACGCTAAGCGATCCATCGGTGGTTGCGAGAGCACCTTCCATGCGCGCGAGTTGAACAAGCGTAGCATCGCCCGTCGCTCGCGTACCGTCCAGAAACTCCGCCAGAAGCGTGGGATCACTACCAGTAAGCCAGGTCCCTCCGTCTATGCTCCATGAGACTCGAGCTGACGCGCATCAAGTTTCCCAGAAATGGCGCCGCGATCTTGCTGCTTTGGAAAAGTGGGAAGCTATCGACCACAACCGCACTGGGATTCTCGATTACAGCCCTGCGACTCCAGAGTCGGTCGTGTTCGCCGCTAACACTAGCTTTGTTCTCTCGCCCACTATCACTGACGGTCCCTACTATGTCTGGGGTGAGGTCGTGCGTCAGAATGTCAAGGAGGAGCTGTACTCAGATGGTGTGGATGTTTTTCTCGAGGTGCAATACGTCGACGTGAACACCTGCAAGCCCGTCCCTGGCGCAGTGGTTGATATTTGGCAAGCAAATGCCACCGGCGTGTACAGGTATGTTTCCAATGCCTTACACGGTGTATCAACGTTCCCATTGAAACTAAATCACATATCTAATCATCCTTACTATGAACAGTGGAATCTCAGAGTCAGGCAATTACGCCGCCGACGGCTGGGACTCAACCTACCTTCGCGGCATCCAACAGACGGATCGCGACGGCGTCGTAACCTTTGAAAGCATCATTCCAGGCCACTATGAGGGCCGAGCGACGCACACCCATCTCCTCACCCATCTTCACGCCACCCTCCTACCCAACAAGACCCTCAAGGCTGACACTGGTAGTGTGGCCCACATCGGCCAGCTCTTCTGGAACGAGGTGCTTCGCACTGCCGTCGAGGACACATACCCTTATAATACCAACACGCAGGACGTCACATCCAACGCTGAGGATATGTGGAGTATCGAGCAAGCTGATAGTGCTTATGATCCCTTCCCGGAGTACATTTACCTCGGTGAGAGTCTGGACGATGGATTGTTCGCTTGGATTCAGATTGGAATCAACACCACCGCCGACTATACCGATGACTCTTATTACAGTATTGCTGCTTTCCACGATGCCGATGGTGGCTACCAGAATGCTGATAGCTCGTTCGGTGGTGGTAGCGGTGGCGGTGCTCCTCCCGGTGCCTCTGGTTCTGCTCCTAGCGGTACCAGCGGTGTGATCCCTAGTGCTTCCGCTTCGTATAGTGCCTCTGCTTGAGTGTATATACTTAATTGGCCTAGCCATGGGTTCCCAAGAACTTCCAGATAGGTTCCTCTGCTAGGGAAAAGTGAAGAACCGTGTAGAGAAATGCAGCACTGCATCTGTTTGTGAGGCAGATTATGTAAAATATTTTCATCGCCATGTTATCTACAAGCAAATGAATACCGCACATGACTCACTTCTCTCCCAATTCCCTCTCTAAGAAAGACCCCTGTGATCTACATCGGGACCTGACATGGCTCGATAGGGCTAGTCTTTTTGATATATCTTTAGGGTTCCAGTATCCTAGCCCTACAGTTGGCTTAATCAGCACAATTTCCCCTTGAGCACAATATGCCTCGGTTTCACGTCGCATATGACAAACCTTTAGAAAGAGAAACCCCAAAATATATCTTTATATCCCGTTCAGATGATTTTTGAGGTAAAAAAGTCAAGTTAAGTCTAGATCTAAGATTCAATCCATGGAATTGACCGGGGCCTCATGTTGCGGGATCAATAAGCTCGTAGAACCTCACAATCAAAACTCCCTTGGCTTTATAGCTGATACATATCATTCTACTCCGTACCCGGAGGACCAATGTGGCTACATACCCCTGAAACCATCGCCACTTTTAGGGTTATAGAATTGTTGCACGGTCGGCGCCGGAGTCCTGAAGAGGAGGGAAGCCCGCATGGCAAAACTTAGTGCAACTCTGCCTTGTTGCCCGTGCCATCAGCATCTCCTAATTTCCAATGCTTTGAGAAAAGGAAGCGTAAATTCTGATATCAGAATCCCCTTTGGAGTCATTCGAATTTCAGTAGAGCAAATCCACTCCACTCTGTTACTCTAACCCCAACGTGCTGGCCCTTCTGGGTTGTCTCGTGTGTCGATCTATTGAAAAATAGTCTTGATCCAAAGATTCAATGCACATACCCCACCAGCGACCTATTATTCACTCGGTCACATCTGCAGGGGTGGCTCAAACATTTTCCATGCCTAATAATAATCCACCTTGAGACTTTATTAGATAGAAATCTCAGGGCTCTGGAGGCAACAAATGTCAAGGTGTATTGAACTTAGAATAGCCGGCTGTGGCGATCATGAAATAAAACCATGAGAGATTTTTCTATTTCATCTGTTTAATTCTTTTCGGCCTTTGCTTTATAGGGACGGATGGGATCCTCATGCCCTCTTCTCTTTCATTATGGATGCTAAAGTTGAGGTGCTTGACGCGGTTGACCTCGACGACAGCCGGAACAAGGCGATATTGATCGTTACTTCTATCTTCTTCGCTATTTCCCTATTTAGCGTCATATTAAGATGCTTCGTTCGCACACGGGTCGTTCGTGCTTGGGGATGGGATGATGGAACTATGGTTGTAGCCATGGTGAGCCAACCTATAGTCTCTACAACATTGACAGTCAACTAATACCACTCATTCTCTTGCAGGCTCTCAACACAGTCTTCGCCATCTGCGGAATCGTTGGATGTAAATACGGCCTCGGCAGGAAACTAGCTTATTTCACCCACCACCCCAACGACTTCCACCGCGCAATGCTGGTATGATCCCAGCTCTATCATCCCGAACGAAAGCTCACATTTTTGAATTTCAACAGTGCTGGTGGATGGGCCAACTCTTCTATGTGTTGACCTGCGTTGTCGCAAAGGTCTCCATCATCATCGCTCTCCTCCGCATCACCGTCTCTCGCGTTCACGCATACATTCTCTACGCCGCTATCACTCTCGCCACTGTCGTTGGCCTGGTCTTTTTCTTCTTCACGATCTTCCAATGCGACCCCGTTGATTATTTCTGGAACCAGGCACGATCTACAGCCCATGGCTCATGCATCGATAAAGACCCCCTCATCGGTATCGCATACTTGTATAGTGTCGCCGCGGCCATCACAGACCTGACTATTGGATTACTTCCTGTGGCATTAATCTGGAATTTGCGCATGAATCGCCGTACTAAAGGTGCTATGGTGGCTATTTTGGGTATTGGTTGCATGTTCGTGATTTCTGAGACACTTGCGGTTAATCTATTTAGTGGCAAATGCTAACATCCCTGCAGTGCGAGTGCTGCGGTTATTATTCGCATTCCCTTCATTCCCAACTACAAAGATCCAGATTTCCTATGTACGCACCCCCTTTCCTTTTTTCCCCCAATTTTGACGACCCAAATTTCAATGCAGGCACCTCCACTAACAGCCAACAGACGCCACTTACCAAATCTCCATCTGGTCCAATGTCGAAGCAGGCATCGGCATCACCGCTGGCTGTCTGACAACCCTCCGTCCTCTAGTCCGCTTCCTCCGCGACGGATCCTCCCATACCCTAAGCCGCACAACACCAAGTTCGTATCCCCTGTCCAGTAACGTTGCCGGTGGCTTCCACCGCTCTATGCCATCAAAGCAAATGTCGCGTGACGACGCGCGACAGCTCTGGACTGGCAGAGGGAGCGACGAATACCACGGAGTTACGACTACTATCTCCAGTGCTCACCAGAAACAACCTGGTTCCAGTGAAGAGGGCCTAGCTCCGGGTAATAACAACGACATTTCTCCCGGGTGGAAGGTCGAGAGGTCTGTTCGCGTGTCCGTGCGCAATTCATGACAGTGATGTCTAGGCCCATAAAATAATTCATAATGATTCATAATAATTGTATAACCTGTATAAATTTACCCGTCGAGAATTGATCCATGGGATACTTAGGGTTAATATGGAATCGAGAAATACAACATAGAGACAAAGCTATCCGCATTGATGTGAATAGAAAATGATCCTGATAGCTGATTCTCTAAAGTGGCAGCTTATGAAGATAATATTAGGTGGCCGTGGAGTACTCTGTTACATCACAGTCAAAGTAGAAATTTGTTCAGAATGTGGAAATCTCCTTAGCTCGAGGGCCGCGGCTACCCGAAGAATCACCATTCTCATTAGGATTAGTAGTCATCTAATGTGCTCTGGTTATTCAACATCTGTAAAAAATCATTCAAGCTTGGCCATAACAACTTTGGAAAGAAGCCAGGCCCAGAGGAGGAAATATTTAAAAGGGTCCATAAAAAAAAGAAATGTCAACTCAGATGTCTAGATCCAGCTTTCAAGCAAATTACTATAGAGCTTCAACGGCAATGCTGCCTTCTTCGGTGTATCAGGTAATCTCGCGACATTCGGTAAATCTTTCTTCGAATATCTCCATAACAGTACTAGGAGGGGCACTGAGTCCTTGTACGTCGTAATTCATGTAAGATAAAATAAGGGCTAGAAACGTATCCGTAGAAGTGAGCAACAAATAGCCAACTTTATGAATTAGTCAATCAGCTTACCGCCCGCAATTGCAGTGATTGTAGCATGTCCACCATACTGCAAGGCTGTTGTTTGGCGGATATGTTGGGCTTCAATCTTTGCCTGCACCGGTCCCAATTTAGCTGCATACTTCACAGCCTTTCAAATACAAGGAGTCAACGGGTATTGCAGCGAGAAGGCTGAACTGTGACCGTTACTCGCGATATTCTTCAATATCTGCATTTCATGCCCAAGGTGAAGATGGAAGCAGGCAGCTTCCAATGGAGCGAAACATTCTTCGAGCAAGGGATCGCCGCGTTTAATGGAGACATGTTCAGCGGAAGGATCATCTCGCCATATTCGTTCCCAGGAGTATAAACCTATTTCCATCCTTGTCAGGAAATGTTGACTGTGGCCAGTGAATACTCGTTGAGAGATTCTCTCATGGTGACAGATATGAGCCAAGATACATAGTGCCAATCAGACCCAAAAGCCCGAAAGAGCTTACGGGCATTGAAACATTCTCGCCGAGGAGAGCTTGCTCGATCATTGACCAAAGTGATGTATTGCTACTTCGCCCCCTAAGGCCGGCTTGTAATTTCTAGTCTTCAGAAGATACGGCTTCCCACACCTGATTAAGAGCTGGGATTGGCAAGTCACATGCACACGAATCAAGAGCCGAGAGAATTCCGTTCAATACAGCTTTCCAGCAGTCAGCACTAGAAGATCATTAGAAAGGCTCAATCAGCAAAGCGAAACGAGGAGAATCACCGGCTCCAAGTCTCAACGAAGACCTAATCATGCCCCGATATATTCGTTTCACGATATTTAGAAGCTGCACAGTTGGTAATCACATGAAGCATCAATCAGGATGAGTCATTGGTAAGTATAGGTAATGTAAATTCTCAATCATCCATGTTGCATCGTCATAAAATTCTTTCCTCATATGATATTGACAAGCACCAAGTTACTGTAAGAGCTAATGCTAGGTGATGCTGTGCACGCATCTAGTACGCCGTATTGTCAGAGAATGCACCAAATTGTATGCAAAGGAGGATACCTTGCATTGGCCAGAGCTCTGCATCGCCCGTTTCGGGATTTAAGTAGTCCAGTTGATACTTCCTTCTTTCTATGTCGTACTAAGACACCCCGTCGACCAAGGCTTGCAGTGCAGGTTGCACAACGAAACGGTGGGCAATTTTGATCTAGACAAACCAGTCAGTTAACGTTCCAGATAGTTCCAATTTATACTCACGAGAAAGGACAAGACGACTCAGATTTTCGGCTCGTAGGAAGGATTTTTGACAGTATTTACAGACATGCTGTCGCTTGACCTGTGTCGTGGAAGGTAGGGAAGGTGGTGAGGAAGCGGAAGGGAGAGCTGGGGAATGTATCATGGCAGGAGGGATTCTCAATGCAGAAAATTTGCCCTAAAGTATGTATGTATCCCGGGGTTATCAATCCTTTAGAAGATAATTACTAGAAGAATTGACGAATATTGATAGCCAAAAAAATGAAATTGTGAAAAGATTTGTTATGGGCATTCCGGAACAGTTTGGTGCGAAGGGGCATAGCAGTCAAAGGCCAGATGCCTGATTTCAAGCTAGCAGAAAAGCCAGCTACTTGAATTGCTATGACAGAAACCTTAATAAGCAAAGTACCTTTCCAATGAAATATATACCAAGAAAAATGAAGCTTTTCATACAGTATAAAACTATAGATCACCAGATTTTGGGGTGGTTTACAGTCTTCAAGCAAGCGAGGCCTGATAATTTTCTGGTAGAAGCCAATATCTTGAACAAAATTTAGCACCTACAGAGCTAACGGACATTGAGCCAAGGAACTACACCCGATCCAACCTTTTACACAGACGCAATATGTTCCTACAAATCCATTCCATAAAGATACCTGCTTCTGCATAGGCAAATGTGAAGGACGCATTCTCCATAGAAAGGCTGTGGCAAGACTCGAGCGACATCACATTTTTGTACAGTCCAAGGGTTCTCTAGGCGCATTCATGCGAGCTACAGACGTAGAGCGGAACAATCAGTGAGATTGATCCATACATGTGCGTAATGAGACTCACAAGAAAGACAGAATCGTGTTGCTTTGTTTACTGAAAGTAAAGCGAGGCTATGGCGCATGTTACGAAATACATTCGGAGCTCTCTCGACGTAGATACTCTTTGCAGTCAGTAGCGGCGAGACTTGGCGTGCATCATCACCACATTAGTAGTGAAGCATTTGCCTCATCGGCCTTCTGTGTTAGAGATTTTTCCTCGCTTCCTAACTCTTGCTGAAGCCTGTCCACATTGGCCTGTATCGAGGAAGCCAAATTTTGTAAACAACACATCTTGAAAGATTTTTTTCAAACCTTTCAACGCATGATCTTGGGAGGATAGGGGTTTTTGCTGCCACATACGAAGGCATAGGTACATCTTCGCACCCCCATAATCTCTGAGACTCTCCAGTTCCCCACCCGTGGTGTGTGCTAATACACTCGGCGGATGTTAGGTCGATGACTAGATGAAGATTCTAAAGCTCAAAGTAGCTGACAAATAGAGGCTCAGTATTTCCCACACTTCTACACCCGCTCATTCTTCTTAATCTTACTCTCGAAACATGCAGTTATCTTATGGATACCCCGTTTGTCCATTGCGGGATCAACAGCCGATCACGATGCGCCTCAACCGGGCCGGTCTTTTCGTGGTGTGGATTGGGCAGCAAGGTAAGTTACTGATGGTCGTACAATATAATCCATGTCCCGTATCAAATGGCTCGGACCGATGTTGCCACTCCCACCGGCACCAGGTGTCTGACAGTTAATTATATTCAAAGGCAAAATATGCCAATTGATCCAAAAATGTGAATTTGAAGTTTTCGTAGGCTAAATGCTCGTGGCAAAATACAAACAAATTAACCGGTTTGCCTGTTCTCCATACAACCTAGGAGATCGAAGGTACTAACCTTATTTCATATCGCCAAGATTTGCTGATCTCAACGGTGCTGATCTTACGAGGTACTAACAGTTTCTATATGGAGCTAATGCAGGAAATTGGATATCTCATAGAGCCGCACTAGGTCTCGTTCTGTCTAATCAAAGTCCAATTCTACTTTTGGAAGTGTTGAAATAGAAGTCCACTGGGTATTAAATTCACTATTTGCTTAAACATGCTGAGTCAATTCACACATGGCATCATACACAACCACCTAAGTGGTATCACCATTGATTAATTTCACTGCTTGGTCTGCTCGACCTTCTCGCTCACAAGACCCTCCTGGGACTCATGAACGCCAACTGCATAGGCATCGACAACAGTCGATGAGAACTTGCGCGCACTGACCTTGCGGGCAAACAGAATGTCCAGCTCAGCGTAGGTGCGGTCCTTGCCCTCAGGGAGACGGAAGAAGGCCCAGAGGAAGGCAACGAGGGCGGTGGCACCCCAGAAGAATCCAGTCTTGCCGGAGGCGTTCCACGCGGTAGGGTTCATGAAGTAAGGCTCCAGAACCTGTGAGACGACGTTGATGATTTGGTATGCTGTGCGCGCGATGCAGACAGTCAGTGGGCGCAGACGGATGGAGGATGTCTCTGAGACAATAGCGTATGCGATCGGTCCGACGGTCAGGGAATAGACCAAGAGCCAGGTCATGCAGAGTCCGGCTTGTGCCCACATGATGCCGTTTGCGTTGGAGGAGACGTCGAGGATACCGATGATGAAGAGAATCGTACAGAGGATACCCTGGCCGTAGACATAAAGCGTGCGACGGCCGAATCCGGTAATCAACCACCATGAGAAACAGGTTCCGACGAAAGCAATGGCAGTGCATCCAACACCGAGCTGGAAGGAGCGAGTGACGGGGAGACCGGCGTTGGTGAAGAAGTAGGTAGGCGAGTAGGCGAATGTAGATCCGGAGAGAATCTGGCCGACGAAGGCCATACAGCAGATCTCGGTACGGCGCAGGTCAACGCCCTTGAAGCAGTCCCAGTAGGTGGTGCCAGCTTCGACCTCGGCTTCAAGCTTGATCGTGTGCACCATCATCGCGAGTTGTCCGTTGATCTGGTCTTCGGTCTTGTCGCCGCCCAAACGGCGGATGCTGTGCTTCGCGTCGTCCAGACGATCCTGGCGGACGAGCCACCAGGGACTCTCGGGAGCGAGCCAAGCAACAATCATCAAAGGAACGGGCCAAATCCACTGCAGGGCGAAGGGAATACGGTAGCCCCATTGGTCTGTGCGATCAACGAGTCCGTATAGGACACCGGAGGCGATCAGCTGGCCGATGGCCCAGCACAAGTTGACGTAGATGGTCAGGTAGCCACGCAGAACAGTGGGGCAAACCTCGGATGCGTAGGCAGGTCCGACAGTGGCGAAAACTCCCCATGAGAGTCCACAAAGGACCTGGCCGGCCAGGAGAACGCCTGCGGAGTTGGCGAAGAATGTGATGAAGATCAAGGCTGTAAGGGCTCCAAGGGCTACGACCATAACGATTCGGTAACCGTACTTGGAAGCACAGTATCCGTTCAAGATACCACCTGTGATCATTGTCAGTCTTTTTGCTTCGTCCTGCCGGAAATTGACAGAATAAACTTACCGAAGATACATCCAACTGTACTGGCCATGCTCAGGCCCGTCTGCCAAGGTGCAGACACCTGGTATCCGATCTCCTCACCATACCACTCTCCATACTTTTGATTGAACGTGGGGTAGGCGAAGAAGTTGCCCATCAAGATGGTATCGTATCCCTCCATGATAATGGTCATCGAGACCAAAACAGACCAAATAACAGCCTTGCGGTTTTCCCGCAAGGCCTGCATCAGAGTTTGCGAATGCTCATCGTCGGTAGCCTGCTTGGCCTCATTGATGGCGCCGTGGCCCAGGGTATCTTCGACATGATTGATAGCAGACTTTTCTGCCACAATTGTGTTATCATCAGCAGACGCCATGATGGACAAAGTGACACAAGATGACGATTGATGTTGATTGTAATAGAGGATCTCACTAATTCTTAGACCGGGGGGGATGGTCGTCTATATACGTTTTTTTCATCGCAACATTGGACTTGGGATGATCCACAATTGCATTAGCGTGCATCCGGGGTTGTGGAGAAAAGAAATGACAATTCGGCACCTGATCCCCAGACTGTGATCAGCCCACTGGTATTCAGGCTAATTGTGCTGGGAGACAGGGATGTAGAGAAACCATGCCTGAGTGGCACAGTATCCCCTCCCAGACACGTCTAGACCAACTTTGGAATGTTGGACATGATAGTTTGAAACCTGCACCTATCGGCAAGAAGAATATTGCCAGGTGGAAATTTCCAAGTTGAATTCAGCCGCCAATGGTGTTAGTGTCTGGGGAAGCGAGGTTTGGGGGAGAATATGGCCCTGGGGGAGACGATATAATTGGACCGGTTAGGTTAGCGCTAACGCCCCCAGAATGTGATAAATGAAGCTATTCCTTTCCTGTAACGGGGGAAATGGCCGAACCTGCAACTCGGGAGAAATGCCCAGAACAAAAAAATCTTTTGCCTCTCATTGGAACAAGTAACTAGTGAGTCAGGTGTCTTCGAAATATTCTGACACGGTGAATCGGGCCGGCCATTCTACCTTGACCCATCGGTAATGTGGCAACCCCCGGATTCCCGACATCCGATGTTAGAAAAACGGGTTTCTCTGGGGAATCTGGGGTTTTCTTGCTGATATTGGGGCCACTTAGCTTTCCTTACAGGGATCTATGTCATGCGTTCAACTTAAAAAAAAACGACATTTGGTACCCATCGCCTTCTAGCCACGCTTGTATCGCTTCCCCATAGCTTTCTTCTACTCCGGGAATCTTTAATCTTCTCTCGATCTGGAAATCTTAAGAGGAGCCTCGGGTGTATACCCGGTCTTCTAGCCAATCAAATCAGTTAAATGATTCAAACCAAGTGGGCTTTCACGGGTAATATCGGCCTCGATGAATAAATTCGTTTCCCCAGAATCGTCCATTTGAGCTCCTCGTATGTCCGAGTTTGTGGCAAGTGTAAATAGCCTGAATCCCATACAAAATGACAGAAACACTATGAAGGTTGGTGAACGGTTAATAAATCGCTATCTCAAATAGGTTTAGTTGTGACTCTACCTCTCACTAAGACTTCAGCGGGAAGAGTCACAGGCAAAATAACCTCATATTTCCTCAACCCTCTACGGAGTATAGCAATAGCAATCCACTCTATGTGATGGTATTCGATACAGTTCCACTTACCTACTTGTTGCACGTGGCGTGATTCCTCTTGTCGCCAGAGCGCATAGGCAAACCCCATCAAAAAACTAATGGCGCGGTCTTAATATCGCCCAGTGGCGTCAACCGCTAGAGATCACAAGTAGCCTAACAGAAACTAGGTCCGAGTTCAGCACTCCGGCTCGGCTTTTTCGGCCTTTACTACGGTAAGTGGCCATTCTGATCCTTCAACTTCTCTCAACTCTTGGCACTGTATCGACAATTTCGGGGTGCCGTCTCGCGCCACTATCCCCATAACGCCCTCGGGCAATAACAAGCAGCCCTCTAAATTGTCGAGCACCTCCGAAAAATGCACCTACTAAACCCCCCGATCTACGCAGGCCCTCGGCATCATCAGTTCCCAAGACGCCGAAAGGGTCCGAAAATATTCTACAAGTGGGAGCTAAAATCTCACATCTTCAAGCTCGGGATGTATATACGATCATGCTGAGCCCACAATATGGGCAGATATTTAGAGGCTTTGTGTGAAATTAATTGGTTGAACCCAAAAATCGGCTCCCCAACTTCCTTTTTTTTTTTTTTTCCCTTTTTTTTCTGGATGCTCTGTATTTAACATTCTACCGTTTTGGCAGTGCCAAGTCCCGCCACTTGCGTATAGCCGGTTCTTGTGTGCACGAGATTCCCCAGACCCTCAATAAGGTCTAGCGTGGGATATGGGTCTTAAGACATAAGAGGGGAAACTCAACGATGGTAAAATATGGCTAAATCATTGTAGGGACGATGTTGGGCTTTCTCTGATCAATATGGAGTCCGATTAACCAAAATGGGAATGGAAAAATCATTTGAACGCTCACCATGACAAACCCATGGGGTTACGGCCCCCAAAGTGAAAAATCAAAGAAGGAGAGAGAGCCGCTTTCTAGGGCACTAAAAACACTTCTAGGCTACCAGGAGCTAGGCATATCACCCGATACCCTCTTTACTCCAGATTACCCCAGCCCTTGATTTGGTGACATTTTCCCAATTAACCTATGTATGTCATTCTGAATACGGGGGTATGTCTAGGGTGATCCATTGATCCATCAACCAAGTCCCTTTCCTTGACCTCCCAGATGGCAAAGATTGCAAAATATCCAGTCGCCCACCTTAAAACAAGCATTATCTTCGCATTAGGCGTACGGTTTTCTACTATGATGCATTTACTTGGCGTATGCTGTCGCTAAATCCCAATGTTCGTTAGAGATAGCATCAAGGATTAATATCAATTGAAGAAGCTTTAAAAGCGAATCGACATGCTTGATCACAATATCGTGCACATGTCACTATATCTGCAGATGCTCATGCGGTATAAAATTATGGCGATAATATTCTAAATGTTTTGCTAGAGTAGTGTTGTTGTATATGGCAGACGTGGTAGCACCAGTATGCATCAACGGGGGTATAATAACAGAAACTACAACAGCCACACCCATGCAAGCCAAAAGAAAAAACCAACTCAACTCCCATCGATGTGAATCAACGCCCTAAACTCATTTTCTCGAATGCTGGTCTCGGGAATCATCAATCGCATAACCCAATATGGTTTCATATCCGTAATACTCACCTCCCTCCCGGACGAGTGTAAACTCCAATTTGTCTCGTTATTGGATCCTAAAAAGAGTCCTTCAACGGGTATACCGCGGTGGAAATGCCTGTACGCCTGGACAGGCTCAGCGCTTCGTTTTCCCCAGACAAGTCGCCCTGTACTAGGGTGGTGCTCTATCCCGACAGTGTGCCAGTCCAGGGCGCCGGGGAAGGGGCCAGACAGGACGTATGCTTCAATTGTATTTAGCGCGCCATTGCAACGGAAGGGGGTTTTGATGTTGTCTTTATCACTTATGGTCGTGACCTAAATCTCTATTAGATATTTTGTTCTTCTGTGTCCTTAACCAGTTATATAGATATATATATATATATCCAGGGATGGATCAAATCCATAGGTGGGAGCTTACAAATCCATGCTCTAAGGTCGTGTTCTGTCTGTTTTCTCGCTCTTGCGTGATATCACTGCCAGACTCGAAGCCTTCAATGCTGCATAACCCCCGAATTGCAGTTCCATTGTAGCAATTATCGACCTTGAGTGTCCATGGCCCGGCGATCTTTGTGTCATTGTTGTACGATGGGAGTACGGAGCAGTCTGTGACTTCCTCAATAAAGATACTCCGCTTTGATAATTGTGCACTAGCAAGTAGAAATAGGGACGCGAAAACGGTATGAGTGAGCATGGTGAAGTTTATAATGGAGATAGGTATAAAAGAACCCTCGACTTTTGCCAAATTTTCGCACAGTAAACGTACGACTCTTTATATTTCTGCCTTTGAACCTGGAGCCTTCTACATTCCCACCCTGCCGGTAATCAATTCCTCTAAATTCTAGTCAGATAATGATCAACACACGAGAGACCGGGCTCTTTCTAGGCTACAGGAAATCAAGCCCCGGGGTGATCGGCCAACGCCCTGTATTCACCCACTTAGCGGCCGAGCTATACGATTTTGCCCTTTCTAATTGGTTCAGCGTTGATCTTTCGCGGTTTCAATCTTGCTAATGGAGATACTTAATTGGAAACTTCCAATCAAATCCCCACCAGTGTCTCTCGCACCGCCTACTAAAAGGCTTGACAAGGCTTGGCTTGGAGTGTAATGGGGGAATGTAACCTTGTCTCTGATCTATTTTGGTACCTTTGTTCGATTAGAACCTAGAATTGAGACATTTTAAAGCCAAGATGTTAGAAGACCCTGGAAATGTTCGCCAATAATGTCTTTGTTAAAGGCTTGGTGTTAACCTTCTTTTCGAGTCTCTCTCACCCGTTCCTGAATTCGTTTATATTCATAATCTATGTCATAAATATATCTCACTACATATTTTCGAGTATATATGTAGTCTAGTACTCTAATAGTCTACTCGCGAGCCAGAAGCCCTTCGGCTTCCTGGGCATACTCGGCGGGCCCGCCATGTGACTTGCCCAGGGTCTCACCCATAGCCAAACCTTCACGCCGACCCTTGTCTGCATTAACCATCCACACGAGGGGAATCGGGAGAAGTATTAAAACTGCAATGAAGAAAAACCCACTCCGCACTTGCCCGGTCGCATCAACAAGTACCCCCACAATAGCTGGTCCAATAAATGAACTCCCCTTGTCTGTAGCAGCATAAAGAGCATAGAACGCAGCCTCATTACCCGGGGGAATTAAAAGTCCGAAGAACGATCGGCAGTATGACGCTAGTCCACCCGATACTACTCCGTGCACGATGGCTAGCGGGAATATTTCCCACGGCTGTTGTAACCCGAACACACCCCAGTTTTTGATGAAGGGGATATAGGCAAGCAACCCGTAAAGTGGGATTAACTCAAACATGGCAATGCACAAAATGATAGTCTGATTCGGCTGCAGGCCGAAGTATCGTGACACGTGTGGCCACAGGAATGCACCCGTCATCCCGGACACCGTAGCGGTGATCGAGAGGAGCCCGACCAGGGGGGTGCTCAGTTTGAGTTCCGTGCGCGCGAAGAGAATCGCCGTCCCGGAGACAGTGGCAATCGCATCGGAGAGTAGGAACCATGCTACGAGGAAGATAACGACTTCGCGGAGTTTTATGGCTACTTTGACGGTCTTCCATAGGGATTTCCAGGCAAAACCCATCAGCCGCAGCCAGGCCCGGAATTTTCTGGCGCTTTTGGTGGAGACCGAATCTAGCCGAGGCCCCGGCCGTGTCTTGAGCAAATTCCGAGTGACCAATGTGAATGCGCCCCACCAGATGCCGACCAAGAGCAACACGAACCGCATGGGAAGAGAGGGAGATGCTTTCGCAAGAGAGGTCTTGGACAATGTGATGAGCATGATAATGCTGATGATTTGCACAAAGACTGCTGCACAATATCCAAGACCGATCCCTCTGGAGGAGATTTTAGTGGACAGCTGCAGCTCTGGTGAGGATGAGGGCGGGGCATTGGATCCCATTCCACCTTCGAGCGTACTCTGCGGCTGTTCCGATGGCTGAAGCCCATCTAAACTATCATCGTCGGCATCGTCATTGCCCCAAGCATTCCATTCCGAATTACCCCCATCTCGATCGAAGCTCGACATTTCTGCTCCATTCCCATTTTGCAGAGATGGGTCGTTGGCAACAAGCACAGGCAGGTAAGAATTCAGCACAACAAAGGATGAACCAAGACAGGTCACACCAACGACGACCAATATCGAACCGAGAATAAAGATCGGCGGTGCAATGAATACAAACAACATGCTGGCGAGCGAACCGGCGAACCCGAATACCATAAGCAATGTCTTGCGGTTGTTCTCTAAACATCCAATCGGAAACCCCAAAGTTAACTCATGTCCATTTTTCGCAATGTACATTCTCAATTCGGCTTTCTGCAACCATACCGTAATCCGCCAGCGCGCTGAACGATATCAGTGTCAGCGCCTGTATCAGTACTGCCAGCGAGAATGTGTACATGGCGAAGCTGGCTGTGTTGATCTCAAGGCCGAAGACTGGGACCACACATTGGCCATTTTCGGCATCATGCGTGCTGTTCCCTGCCGATGATCCAAGACATGGAAGTCGGCTCGTTTGTAGGGTGCCGCGCTCTCGGGCTAATTGTTCCAAGGTGAGTGGTAGGAAAGAGCCTGGAAGCGATAAGTATTTTGATTATTTTTTTGATTGTAAATATGCCTTCACGAACCTACGCCACAGACTGCGAACACCTCAGCTGCAATTCCGTACGAATACCATCCTAGGATCTCCCGGCGGCTGGTCGGGGTAGTATCTTCACCGGTATACCGTGGGGGTCGCTGCTGTACGCCTTCTTCTGGCGATGGGGACCGGAAGGCAGCGGCTATGTAGGACAGCATGGAGAAGGTTGTTAAATTTCCCCCAAGGAATGCAGAAATTCAGGAACCCAGGTACACCGACACCGACACGGATGCGGGCGGAAGCTGGGCACCCAACAACATTTCTGGTGATGTCATAGGATCGACATGATATACACCACTTTGGGAACATCTTTATTTTTTATGTTGTATATACTCCGTACACTCTGCCCTATAACCATACATACATATCTGTACATATACAGGTCAGATAGCAAGGGAGTGAAGGATTCCCATTTTTGAAAAGTAAAGTGGTATTGAGGTTTCCTTTAGCTATAGTTGAGTATTCAAGCCACAAAATTGTGAAAAGGCTCCTTGGTGCGGAAAACCATTGCCAACCCACGACTATCGGTTATACTAGCTTGCTTGTTCTTCTTCTGGGAATCACTAGCAGTTGGTTCAATCGCATGGACTATTGGCATTGCCGAACTGCTTTTGTACAGACCCAGTTTGCTTCCTTGTACTGTGCTTTATGGGGATCACAATACGTATGGTGTAGGTCCCCCGCGGTCTGTCTGAATGGGGTTAGATCTGAATCTACCCCAAGCAGAACAAGGAAAGTTCATCCTTATCCACCGCGATCTGCTGATATATAATTTCCTGCATCTGGCTTTAGATGGGACTGGCTTCACATTTGAACTTGTCTGTTGCTGTCTGTGTCTGCTGGCTCATCGAACACCGGGATAAGACTGCTTTCAGATCTGGGTGGCATTTCACTTCTCTTCCTGATCACCGTTCTGCTGCACCAAACTCTCGTCCTTTGCTTTTAGAGGCGACAAGATGTTTGATTTGAACGTAAAAGGTATATCTAGAATCTAAAGCGAGGAGGAAGAACCAAGAGGTTGATATATATGATAATGATAGATAACACTACCACTGCCATGAAGCTATATATAGCTCCACAGAGACAAAAAACAAAAACAAAGGCACAGTGGCAAACGGAGGTCTAACAAACTACCCGAAAAAGCAAAGACCTTTCAGTACTTCAGAAATGACGAGAAGAGAGGAATTTAACTGTGTTTCCATACTACCCCGGGCAGGAAAGGCGAATCTTGAACTCATTTAGACATGCCTCCAATACATTTCCGATTAGAACTCGAATCAAATCCATAGATATTATCCTAGAGCGCTCAAGCGAGATCTTAATAATAGCGCCGACGTCAACCTGTAGTCACTCATATTTAAACAAACGAGTGTACAGTCTATTTCACGATTAATTAAATTCGTCATTGACCATGCCTGCCTCTGTATTTCCTCTCGGTCCCGGATTCATCGGGGGGGGGGATCGTAGATCTTCTTCTCATATCGAACTATAAAGTAATAACACTTGTTCGTCGCGAATCGGCTGTTCTATATTACGCCAATTTGGCCATCCATGCAGTGGTTGGTAATATGGACGACGCATCAGTTATCAAAGATCAGGTCGTACTCAACGACATCGTCTTCCACATCGCAACTGCAGACCACTTGCGATCTGTCGAAACAATCATTGATAGCATCAGACAACGAGCAGTGCAAGGCCTGAAAACGATATATATCCACAACAGCGGAGCAACATTGCTCTCTGATACTGCCCAGGGAGACTACAAAAGCGATACAGTATTTGACGATGAACAGCCCGGGCAGATCAATATCCTCCCTGATTCCGTCATCGCCTAATCGACCTAGCCATCATTTGGGCAGGCCAAGAGCTAGCCTCCCACGCCAAAATGGCCATCATGATCCTTCCCCTTATCTACGGCGTGACTACTCCGGAGAACCGCCTCTCGATCCAACTATCGACGCTCATCCGGTTCTCTATCAAACATGGCTATGCGGGTCAGATCGGGAAGGGTCTCGCAGTTTGTAATCAAATCCTTGTTAAAGACCTTACTAGGGGATATATAGTTATGATGCACTGGATGGAGCGTGCGCCTGTCACTGAAGTTGCGCAGAATCCGTACTTTGTGAAAATGGCCAAGAATTGTCTTGGAGTGAATGCGCCGCTGATATTGGCCGTATACTGAAATAGACAGGGCATATCGGCGAATCTACGTCGAAATCCATTCCAGAGAAAGAGTGGGGCACTTTCGGAAATTATTCGGGAATACTAGTGGTCGGATCAAATGCACAAAATAGGGCAAGTCAACTTCGGAAATTGGGGTGGGCACCCTTGAAGAAGGACACCTTTGCCTCATTGGCTGAAGATGATATTCCACTAATTGCGAAGGAAACCGCGGAGTTCACAGGTTTAGTTGCGTCGTAACTAGGAGAACAGGAACCGCTAGCCTTTTCCCTTTGAAAGAACATCTCTATTGATATCTTTTTGTGTCATCTGATCGCCAATATAACTTTTGCAACCGTCCTGTATCACTTGCACGAGCTGTTGAAAGTTCAAGAGACTGCACTGAGTGAGCATCCTCTCAGCAAATGTACTAGGGTAATCGGGACCAAACACGTACTTTGACCTTATTCGGGTACTTTGAACCAGAGCAAGTGCTTTCAAAGAGTAGGCTGTGACTGTTTCATGATACACAGAATGGAGGAGAAGAACACACAACCTACGGCGAGGAACAGCCGTTCGTCCCCGAAACCGATTTCACGCATGAAAGCCTGGAGCTTAAACGCTTAAATTCATATACGCATGGCACGTATAGAGCTGCGAAGACCAAAACTTCACAGCAAAAGAACATCGAGAGATGAGAGTCGCACTTACCGATTCCGGGCCGGTACAGGGCAGCTTCCCAATCGGGCTGCACCAACCCTTCCCCGAAAGCCAACATCGCGACTTATGTTCTTCATTCCTCTTCATCCAATTCAAAAGAACTCACGTTTCCATCAAATATATGTGCCATGGCGGTCCTGGATTATCTCGAATTCATCATTGGCCGGCTGCTGTACCTAATCCGTGGCCATGATTCGCACCAGATCATTCATTGCCTGGCTTTCAAAGGCGTTCCAGAGCCAAACATGACCCTCGAAGCACCTGAGGTAGGACCCTCGGGCTCCAAGCTCCCTCTCCCATGTACCTGCAAGGCCGATGATGGCAAGGGCTGTCTTCCTGTGCTGCACTGGACCGGTCCAAACTGTCATGAGGAAGTCCGGGAGTATGTACTCCTCTGTGAAGACCTCGATCCGCCGATCCCATTCCTCGTCTTCCACCATGGTCTCCTCTGGGCAATTCCCGCCTCGACGACCAAGGCCCAAGCGACTGATGTCCAGCCGGACGAACACGCCAGGATCTCCCGCCTAACAGTTGCCGGTTGGCGCTTTGTACCGAACTTGCTTGGATTGCCTTATGTTGGCGCCGGTGCACCCCTCGGTCATGGAAAACATCGCTACGTCTTCACCATTATTGCTCTAAATGAGTCGCTGAAGTTCAAGGCTCCCGAGAAGGCAAGCAAGAAGGATATCAAGCGCGCTATGGTGGGCAAGGTTGTCGGCTGGGCCCAGTGGACTGGCGTCTTTGAAAAGCCCTGGCCCAACTAGTCTATCACCAACATAACCTTCTTTACACAAGCACAACCAACGTAGGACAGACATCGGGGGCGGATTTTGAAAATGGACCCAAGGTACGGAGTACTTCGGCAGCGGATGTGTATTTCTTCTCCCTACATTCACCAGCACCTTGATGTAAGTATCGCTAAAGTCCTAATAATATTATCTCTCTTCGCATCGTCTTATTCAATTTTGCGATGCATTTCTTAACTAATTTATAGAATTATCATGAGTAGTAGTTCAAGACCCCAGGCTAGTTCGAAATACTGTGCATAACAGCTCCCGTCAGAGCGGAGTTACATATTTTGTCCTCATCTGGCGTTGAAAAGGCTTTTCCACCAATCGAAGTCTGCATCCCAGACTTCACATCAGTCATGAGGCCTGCCGTGCAATGTCAACGATGGCAGGGATTCTCCAACGGGGATTTAAGTCCCTTCTCTCACTCTCCAAAGCGTTTGCAAATTATATCAGTCGACGACCGACAAGACCCTGGAACCACTCGAGTTCGTTAAGCTCGAGCCTTTCGATATGTGCAAAGCTCATATCTGGCACTCTGGCTGCATTTGCTCGTTCGACTGATAGCATCCTCGAGAGGAAAAAAAAAAGCCGATGTGGTATGATACCCGATATATTACCATTGAGGTAGTTTTCCAGGATTGGATTCACCAATCCACCGAAAGTACTTGGCCGTAAATTGCTACATCGTTGGGCCATATCAGATGGCTGTGTCATGGGATTCAAGAGTCCCGGGGCCGGCAGCAACGAAAGTTCAACTGCCAGTACTGAACCTGGTTATAGCAAGAATCAACGAAGAGACTGCCAGATATCGTTCGCTCCACCGGGAATTTACACCCGCACGTATCTGCCTCACTCTTTTTGAGAATGTTCCACCATCGCCCTAAAATAGTCAGTCGTGAAAATTCCCTCCTTAAAGTTTTCTGTGCGAGCCAGCTGACACGACGTCTTTTACCAGTGCAACTCAACCCATCCCGGGGAGTTGGCTTTGTCTATTCTGACTAATATGACTGGTCAGATTCATGATAATCCAATAATTTGCCGAGGACGTTAGTGTTCATGCAATAGTATCTCCTCGTTCGGCGATTAAGCGAATAGTACTCCCTTTTGACTTCGATTTGCAGGGATCCAGCTTTGTCGGCAATTTCCAGTGTGTATAGTACGTCCCATTATGTGAGGCTCGGCTGACTTTCTTACAAGAACAAGCCATACAGTTTGAACGGAATTATCAAACACATCATCGCTCCTCTGCTGCTTCTTACTACTTATGTAAGTACTTGGAAATTTAGAAAATCTCACCAGCTCTCAGGTTCCATTCCGCGACCGACTATGTACACACATTTTCAACCAGCGATCACTCGAAAATTCGGGAAATCGACAGCAGCCGCCGATCTGTCTCGTCGGCCATTACCAGGTGCCATTGTGAAGGTGAGGCACACTGGAGATCTTGATGGATGAAACGGACAATAATTGACAGATGAGACAGACAATGGCGCATCTGGCTGATATCCTCCTCCCCCCAGACGGAATAAACCCCCCCCTTGCACCGAGGTAGTGGCCAATTTGGCCCTCACCTTCAACGCCCGCGCCGCTTTCTCAATCGCCATGACTAATAAAGTGAGAATATTAGCCCTGGTGCTTGAAGCAAGGCATGCTTGACATTGAAGGATGACCACTCCCTGTTGCTGCACCCTTTCCAGGTGGAGCAATATCGCGTTCGCCCCTCTCATCTCCTCGGAACAAACGACTTCACTGAATGCTTGGGCATAGCAATTGCAGTGAAGAGAAGAGGCATCTTCCGAGAGTACCTCAAGGTCAATATCTTCTGGCGGAAGAGAATGACTGGACGCAGTATCTGTGGGATCTTGCCAGATCTCATTGGAGGGCAATTCCATGATTCTGGCAGGATCCTGAACTGTCCCAGAGACCTGAATCGCGTTCGGTGCGAGGCTGAAGGGGTAGATTGCACCACCCTGAAGGGTGCCCGGCGCAGCGGCGTGGAGGAATCCTCCGATGGATGGCTCGTCGACCATCAAACCGATCTGGGGAGAATAACACTGTGTGGAATAGTCAACGCGCGACTCAGGAAAACGGGGACCCCCAAAACTTCCGAATCCGTCAGCTCGTTCAAACGAGCTGTCCAGGCTGGTATCGGCGAATCCTGGATCGACGTGGCTATCAGCCTCACTTGTGCTGACGAAATCCTGGTCCTGAATCCGGTCCCCATTTGAGTGGTTTTCTGGGTATCCCAAGGGTCATCTATCGACACCTATATACCCCATGAACTAGGCCGGCGCTCACCTGGAACCTCCGAGAACAACTCTGTGAAACTCGGCCACTGCAAGTCTTCCTCCGGTGGTGTGACTTCAGTGCCGGCGCTGGAGTCGCTCTTGTGCGACTCTTCCCCTCTTGACCCAGGCCCCGAGCCGGATACTGTACTTGGACTCGGGATCCGGCTCGGGACCCTGCGCGCCCTCTGCACCCTCCCTGCTGGGGGTAGCTTCGGTGCCCTCCCCGCACTTCGCCGAGTCAGACGGTCAACTACATCCGCCTCCCCCCTGCGCCTTTGTACGCCTCCCGCCGCTGCTGCCGACCGAGTCATCTTCTTCTTGGCAGGCCGGCCCAACGGCTGCGAGATCGAATAGACACACTCATATCCGTGGCTTTCGCACCGCTCACAAGGGTAAGTGTGGCTGCATCGAATCTTCGCTTGCTGGCAGGCGTTGCAGGTGGTGCGCATCTTTTGGTTAGGAAGTAGTTGACCGTTAGACTGGGGGGATCTCTTCGCAAAGGTCTCAGCCATATATAAATCCAGAGAAATATCTCAAATTGGCTTTTCTATTCGACTCTGGTTCTCCTTTGGCTTGGGTCAATTCAAGGTATTTATATTCCATCTAATGATCAGTTCCCCCACCTCGCAAGTTGAGAATCTCTATTGTCCTACAACACAGGACCACGTTTGATTGCGCTCATTCACCACGAAAGGCGACACTGTTCGCACCACGATGAGCTTCACTGACAGCAATTGCCGAAAGCACAAAAAGTTACATGGATCGTGAACTTTACTACTGACAAATAGTTTTGTCCCACCCTCCTTGGGACCTGCGTGCAAGTACCGCACTTGTAGTCCGTGCCAGTCTTGACTCTTCAGGGGTCACCAACCTTATCTCCCCATCCACCACTGAAAGAATAATGTGGTGCAGTATACTTGGCGATGATATTGAATGCTAATTGATTTCAGTAACGCCATTGTATGGTATTTATATTTCAGGGAGCTCTCATGCTTCATTGCACTATAATTCAACCCATTGTTGCACATAAAAGAAATAGCTGTTTCCGATCTCGAGCAACATCCTATTCCAGTTTATGACGCATCGAACAAATATCAGATGAAAATTCAAAGGCAAAACTAGAGAAATATGCATGAAGTTGGACTGCACTATCCCCCAGTTGAGCGAGAAGCTCCGCCATAGCCAGGGCATCCGTCTATCAATCTGTCGATATTTCTTTCTCTACTGTTCTTAACCGGAGTATATATTCAGCCGGTACGACAGATGTCTGACGATGCTGATCGAGATGCAGCAATTGGTGCGTCATCCCTACTTGAAAAATGGCATTTGTTATCTCTAATGTGATCGTTGTATTAGACCAAACATCGACCTAGCAACCTTTTTTTGATATACTCTACGAATTGCGTTGCCTTTGATGCCCTGGAGTTGAGGTTGTCCGATGTCATCTCGCTTCCGCATAGCAATACCATTGGAAACTCTTATCCAATATCCCCAGTGCCTATGAGGTGGCAGTGTGATTGCTCGTGAGCCAAGACGCTTTGATTTTTGGACTGAAACTTCGTCGAATTAATACGAGAAAGGAAGAGTTGGATGAATGGATAAATGTATGAGTTTTTGATTGCGATTCACATTGTATCTGCTCGCTCCAACACGAAAGCAATTCGATAATCTCAATGTTAGAGATTTTTCCGCACTCGATTTCGTTTCTTTCTAATATCTGCTAAAATTGGCGTCACCCTCTAAGCTTCACATTTCATTGCACCGCATGTTGTAATATCATCTTAAAGGCAATCAAAGAGTCAAGCGCCAGAAAGGACAAGCTAGAGTCACGGGCATTACACTCCGAATCTATGTTCCTTCACCTGATTATCATATAACCCGCAACACTGATTCATTGAAAGGGAATTTCCTTGCTCAGCTGATTACCTGGAACGAACACAATTTGCCTTAAAGCTCCCCATACCCATCTCCATCAAAACAGCCTCGACGAGTTCCAGTAATGCCTTTCCAGATCACTACTGGAACTAGATACAGAGGCCGATTGAATCACTTGGAGGGTATACGAAAGCTCATCTCTTCAACTTCAGGATAACTTCAACAAAATGTCAAGAATGATATGCAACAATAGCACCGCAAATAATAGACAAAGCGTGTTCGAAACCACATTTTGGAAACTATTTCCTGGAAGACGGTTCAAAAGTAGCATAAATTTCATATCTCCTACTCTCGCTGAATCCCACTACACAATAATATAAACTAACCACAGCTTCCATTTCCCTCACGCAGTCCTCCAGTTCACGCCACCAAGCCAGCCGAGGTCGTGGGACAATCCACGGAACGGAACGAGGTCGTTGTCGCACCATGAGGCATGGTAGTTGTCTCGCCCTCGGTTGGTTCATGTCTGCCAATGAAATAGTTCATGGCAATTGGAGGGTTCAACCCCGCCGCTTGTATAAACCCTCTGACGTCGAACCCTGCGCGGGCGCTAACAGTCTCAGGGAACACATGTGAGAAACATTCAGGAAATTTATAGCCTGGGGGCTGTGCAAAAAGGAGATAGACGTAACGGTGGTGAGTATTTGGTGGTGCACGAGGAGCTATGTACGATGCTGCAGAGTGATGATTGTCCCCGTGGTCATCGCCAGGAACGAGTATGGAAGGAGTTTTCGGCTTTGTGCAATCTATCATGAGATTTGGTTGGTACCAGTGTAAAATGACTGATTGGATACGGGTTCCTGGTAATATGGCGTCAAGATCAATAAAAACAGTGATGTATTTCTGGTTGCATCGGAGGTTCATGCTACTGAGCTCTGGGATCACGCTTGTCTCTGGGCTGATGTTAAAGCGTTGGCTTTAATGACTGCGCCATTTACATACCTGGAATATCCAATTCCATGCCAGGATTAATCCACTGACCCCCAGCATACCGTACTTGCAGTTGATAGCCAGGGTTCCAAGGGAAGGTCTGGACTACCTCTGTTAGAATACCAAAGAGAAGTGTAACAAGGGGGATCATATTGTATTATTGTGGAATCAACTAGGGAGAGTAAAATTCGAGCAATATATATGAATCCAAAACGCGAAGATTCGGCCAATGCTTTATAATTCTTTGTGCTTCGATTTATAGGCCTGCGTTCCTTACATGGTACTATGGTCTCTCATGTACAGTTCGCAGTTGTGCAGCAGTCTCAGCTTGTTTCTTTCGCCACTCCCAACCATGAAGATAAACAACACTTAGAATTGGAGTTACTAGAGCCACTGCCCCCGATACAAAACAATATGTGCATTGCACACCAATCCGTCTGATCAGAGGGTTGACCATGGCCGCAGCACCAGCACCTAGGAAACACCGCACAAGGTTATTAGCAGCCATTGCGGTAGCAGGTGTCTCATAGTACAAGTCGACGATTAGAATATTCATCACGTTGTATGCCGCCGTAATACAAAAACAAATTACAAACACCACCGCCAGCGCAACCAGGAGTGGTGGCTCCAAGGGTATGAGTACCCCATAAATGACGATTGAGACAGCTGCAAGTATCTAAAAGCGGAGAAATCAAAGTCAATCAACAGAAGGGGTCAAGTAGAGGGATGTCTCACGGAACCTACTGTCATTGGCAGTCCAATCTGCAACCTCGCTTGTTCGATGGGGAATCCAATGATGTCCTGCTTCTGGTTCTTGTGTACCGTCTGACCGGCGCTAATTCGGGTCCGTCGGTAGTTCCAGTCAACTAAAACTCCGTTGGTAGTTGCACTGAGTAATGATCCCAGACCTGCAGGAATGAAGCATAGTCCAATACCCAGGTCATCTAGATCATATATTTTGTGGAAAAGCGCAGGGATTCCAGCTGTGACGGCGTAGTAGCTGCTGAACACAACTCCATTTGCCAAAAGCACCAGTCCCACAGGTCGGTGAGAAAACAGACTTAAGGTTGAGCATGGGTTGGGGAAATTCACACGCTTCCTCGGCACAATTGATGAAGGTGGGGTCGGGCTCACCACGCTGGTGGTCTGTAAGTAACTCCAAATGGCTCGATTCCATCCGACTGCAGGAGTCGAGCCATTCCCGACAATGCCACGGCAGGTTTCGGGGAAAAAGAGCAGCAAAGGCAAAAAGAAGGCACCTGCTGCAGTTGCGAGGAACCAGAATATTGCTTGCCATCCCAGGTACTTACTCAAAACACCCCCAAGAATAGGCCCGATAGATGGAGCCAGAATGTTTCCCAGAGAGGTAAACCCTATGTACATACCTCGCTCTGCAGATGTGATAATGTCGGCTGCAACTGCAGACGCAAGAGCCACTGTCCCACTACTGCCACAGCTTTGAACGGCACGGAGAGCTAAAAGTGCTGGAAAGCTGTGCTGTAGAGCGAGAGCGATATTTCCAAATGTGTATATAACAAAACAAAGAATGTACGCAGGTCTACGACCAGCTTGGTCTGCCAATGACACTGTCATCATCGGAGCGAGGCCCTGGCATATCTTCAAAACCAGGGTATCAGTGTATTTGAGCAAAACCTCTGGAATCTAATTTATAACATACCATGTATGTCGTGATCGTGAGATTAATTTGAGATAGGCTTACTCGTAGATCCTTTGCGATGGAATTCAATGCTGGGTAGTAGATATTTGCAGATAGAGGCGAAAAGCTTGAAGCAAGCGCCGCTGTCAGAATAATGAGGCGTTTCTGATTTACTGTGAACACAGAATATGGCTCGGTGCTAGGAGCAGCATGCAGCAAAGGGGTTTCTTCATTGACCTCTTCGTCCTGCTGTCGCACTTGTCGATGAAGATCCTGATTGTTCATGTTGGTTAAAGGAAGAAGGCCAAACAGAACGTTCCAAATTCATTGTGGGCTTGACGGCAAATAAATACCCAGGTCCTGCTGGCCGTTGAATGAGCCGTGAACCCAATATACTATCTAAGTTTCTGTGAAGCCCAATCATTCTTCAAATGTGTTATCAATGCGCTTCTACGGAGGACACAGATCTGACTCCTCGATAAATTTATTACTACGGAGAGGCTTCACTAGTCTTCACGAGAAAAAATAGCCAACAGGGATAGGAATAATTACTCCCGCGTTACATTTTCAAACTCCTATATCTTAGGTCTGGGGTCCGAGGTTGGCTCTGCATGGCCCGTAAAAAGATGCGTTGGTCGAAAAAGCTTGCCGCGAGAGACTATAGCCCATCAGCCAAGTTACCAAGCTTCCAGTAACTTCTTTTCTTACCCGTATACTCTCTCCAATGCGCCATAATACCCATAATGCGATGGGCAAGCATTGCCGCAGGAATAATATCAGGCTCGAAGCCACTAAATCAGTGTATTAGAACCCGTGATCATAATACACATGTCGCGACTACACTTACATTCCAGTAAACACGAAGTTACCGTAGAAGTCTGCATTAGGATACAAGCCCCGCGTACTAAAGTGATCGTCGTTCGCAGCAGCCTCCTCGATCGCCTCAGCGACCTTTATTAGCGGTTGATGAACGCCTTCCAAATCCTTCAGGATACTTTGGATGGGACGCACGCGTGGGTCCATTCCCTTATATGTTCGATGGCCGTAGCCGAATAATTTTCGCTTTCCAGCTTTTATTTCTTCAATGAAGGTTGGGACATTCTTGGGTTCCCCAATGTCATGCAGAGCGCGTTGGGCGGACTCTGTCGCGCCGAAGTGCAAGGGTCCATGGGCGGCGGCCACGGCAGATATCAGACAGGAGACTGGGTCGGTGAGGGATGAGGCGGTCACTAAGGTCGAGAAAACTGTTAGGGCCATTCCGTGCTCGGCATTGAGGTTGCCGAAGCGGCGGAAACAGGATATGGATGTAGGATTTGGGCGGTTTGTTGACAGGTCTACGAGACCGGCCATCGTAAATAGGTTCTCGTAATAGGTCTGGTGAAGAGATGGATACCTCCAGGGAATGCCTAGCCGGTGGCATCTTGCGGTTCCGAAGACAACAGCATAAGCGGCAACAGTTTGTAGGATGATTTGGTCGGCTCGTTTAATGTCTGTTTGGTAGATTGTCGGGTTTGTGGTGGTTGGGATCACATCGGGAATACAGGCTAGGTAGGCTGAGAGGCCGGCTAGAATCAGCGGTAGTGGACTGGTCGCCTTTCTGTGTATTTCAATGGTGGTTAAAAACACAAGATAGCAAACCCACGACTGAGAGAATCATCGTACGGGAGGTTAAAAATAGTCTGGCGCACAATATCAGGAACCTCTTGCATATACTGTGCCAGTTGCTGGCGTAGCTCTTCATATTTATTTGCCGTAGGATATGTCCCCCATAGCAACAGATGGAACACTTCTTCAAAATCGGACCCCCAGAGTTGATCCAGGGTGTACCCTCGATACAGAAGTAGACCGTGCTCATGATCACTAGATATCAATCAGCCAGATATCACAAGCATATTTGTGAGCTTCCCACGAGAAACTAATAGCTGATTGTGTCACGGCCGTGTTTTGCAATCCAGGATCATAGACACGCAATCCATGGGGGACTTGGTCTGCGCGATTACTATTGAGCGAAGGCGCCCGGATACGCTGAAGGTCGGTCGCCCGAACTGCGTTTCGGTTAATGGGGATCTCATAGTTCACGTCAGTGCGTGAGTCGCGAATGAATAAAGTGCCTGTTGACATTTTGAAGCACAATACTACGATTGAAAATGAATTGGAATGTCGATATCTCGTCAAGAAGATTCAGTCAAGAGAGTTCTGTTTCGTAGGTCATGTTCAAATATTTGTCGCTGACGCCTTGAACATAATTTGCCCCAAAGCATATTGCATGTCGTCTCACCTACTTGCAGACAAAGGTACGTCGGGTACTATTTATTCCATAGGGCTTTGAACTTGCTCTATGTGATTGGTCTGGGACAAGGATTTGATTTAAACATTCTGATCGATCATTAATGCAAGCCACATTGGACTATATCATTGCATTCATCATTATCACTCATTATAATCACCCGTAAAAAGCTCTTTTTTAAAATCTTCCACAAGTCCAGCGTTTACTCCGGCATATTCTTGAAAGGGTGGGCCAGGGATTCCTGGCAGAAAGGAAGCTTGCTGACGGTCCAGATCTCGGTATCCTGCATAGAACAAGGGGTCAGTCACATTCCAATAAAAACGCTATAATCAAGCCTTGGCTTTGTGTCACTTACGGGCTTCAAGTTCTTCTTAATCTCGGTGTCCAGGGTACCGGCCTTGATGGCAATAATTTCGGGAGCGGCATCAGGGTCGTGTGCGATTGGAGAACCACACTCAGAGCAGAAAATGCGGTGGACAGCGTTGCCGGAGGAGCCCTTTCCAGCCCAGCTCTTAGTGGGACCGTTAATAGTCAGTTTGTCCTTGGGAACGACAGCGACGAGGGCTATAACAAAGTCAGCAATTTTGCATGGTGCATATCCTCCGATATTTGCGAAACTAACAGTAGGTCGAACCACTCTGACGTTGACAATCATCGCAGTGATCATAGGCAGTAAGCAGAGGCGCGTCAACGTCCACGGTGTACGTGACGGCTTTGCAAAGGCAGTGTCCGGAGAGAGGCATTTTGTATGAATTTGATTCTTTCAAGGTACTTGAAATTGGGGACCTTTGGGGGGGAGGGGGGGGGGGGTATTTAAGAGTTAATTGTTCTTAAAATGGGAAGAAAAGTTGAGCTGGTCATCTTTGATTAGTTTATCAAGTCCCGAGTACTTGATTTCTCCTCCTCTCCAATACTGATGAAACAAGTACCTAGTACCTACTAACCTACGTCATTACTACTGTCCGGGTTTTTTGTTGAGTCTTTCCCTTCTTTTTCCCTCTTTTCCCTCTCTTCCCTCTTTTTTTCCCTGAGACAAACTCCACCAAATTCAACTAATTCAATCAATTCGATCAATTTGGCTAATTGAATAATTCCAAATACATCTTCATCAGGATTTCAAATCAGTTAGTGCTGATTATTGTCAGCACCAACGCTGCAAGACAATGACAAATTATTATGCCCCCGCCAGAGAGCTCCATGCAAGGCTTGGCCATGTACACCTCCAAAGCAGAGCGCAACCACTCACGTCAACTAATACTTGATAGTTGTGAGAATGCTGATCGGACTCCGCAAATCAGCTTGCGGAGATACGCCCGCTGCACCTTATCTGTCAGCGACGGCTCATTCCGATGCATCCTCCGACTCCTCTATTGGAGCGACCAACAACTAGTTCCAGATGTGAACATTCAGAGACCTATAAACTGGGTCTGCAGGCCACGAGGTGTGTTATTCAAACTGTCTCAAAAACGAGGATACCTTGAGACGCCAGAAAAACACTGTGATTGGTCAGGTCATTCACACTAAACTTGGAGGATTCATCTAGCAATTAGCCGGCTTATAATGTGGGTCGCTTCTTGAATTCAATCATAGCTCTATCATCACGAGTTTTAGACCTAGCAGGAGGCTCCAAAGTTTATTCGGCCTCTGCATTGTGATGAATCGCTGCCGACATAAGAGATGCTGGACATCAGTAACAAACCGAGATCATGAACCGGTGACCCGATATTTGTCAGTTCATGCAGGCTGTCCACGAAGCCGAACTCGCGTGGATTTAACAGAGTTCACTGAATATCTTGGCGGCAGCCTCTACTCCGTACGCCGTGTCCATTCAAGGAACATCCGAATAATAGCGGGTCAGGGCATCTTCGCCTCCCCCCCTCAAAAGCCCGAAGTGCTTTGTACAGAGTAGATGATAGTTCCAAGGATATTCATTGGTCAATCCAAATGGACCTTTTCCTTCCAATACTATTTTTGTATCTTTGATGACATCAATGCAGAGTAGGCAATGTTCAAAGTGGCGACGCCAGCATATGTTCATTTTTGTTGGTACAATATGTATGTTGGTATGTTCAGTATGACTATTTTACACATCAAATCTTAATAGCTGCCATAACTTCCCCGTCGGGCATTATCGATCTTGTCCGCTGCACTCTGCACATGCACCTGTCAGCTATCATCGTCGGAAAGCGCAATCTATCCACTTACCTGCATCTGAGCTGCCATTCCTCCCCGAGGATTTTGACCGCCATAAACAGTAGCTTCGGCATGTTGCGCGTCTCGGGCATCATCCTTGGTGATGTACGCCGGCACATCAGCCGCAGCTGTAAGTCCCCACGCATCGTTACTGTCGGCGATTGACCGAACCTGGGCGGAGATATAGCCGACTCCCGGTGGTTGATTAAATGCACGTCCCTATGGGAACTTCTCGTTAGTGATTTGACACTGCCGAATTTTCATGGAGCTTGCCTGACCTCTGTCGCTTGAATTTCCTCCGCATCTTCTAGCGAGATCGTACTTGATGGTTTCCGCGATACCTCTGCGACCTTATCTTCAAAATTCCTTTGCCGCATAGAAAGACTTTGAGCCGTTGCTATATTGGATCAGTCATGCGTTCCTTGCAGATAGAATCTAGCTCATACTCACCAGCTGGCCCACCCCGAGAAGGTCCACGTCCAGTCAGGGCACTCTCGGCTTGCGAAATGGCCGAAACATCATCCTGCGTGATGCGCTGCCCCCTCTCGGCAGCGAGTTGGATTTCGGCGACGGTAGGAATATCAAAACTCATGACTGCGCGCAAGTAAATGACATGTCTTATTGACTTTCCGTCGATCTCACATCTTGTTGTGCTATATACTTCGGCTTCAGGGTCGGTGATGTCACGGTGAGGGCATATCGATCGACCGAACTTTGCCTTCCCTCGTCAGTGGTGGGGGCGTTGTGTATATTCAGACTTGAATCGAATATTCGACGCTTCAGTCGAACAGAGATTGCGGGGGATGGTCGATACCCTGAATTTGCCATGTCGCCTGGAGGAAGAAACCCTTACCACCTCATTTCAAATCATCTTCACTCCGTGGAACGATGTCTAGAGTAAAGTTAATTAGCATCCCACACTCGGTACAACGCATTACAGATTATCTAGACATCTCGAAGGCAGAAAAAATTGTTCGAGGATCGTTGAGTGGTCATGTTTTAGTGGTTGACTGATTCGCAACAGGGTAGGGCAGCTTCTAATCACAGTTCCATGGATAACCTGCAGATTGCCCCTGTCAGTGCCACCGCAACCAACTCGAAAAAAAAAAATGTCGAATGAGAATCCTGAGGGCGAGGCAGTTTCCATTCATCGTCACTATCGACCGCTCCGGCCGAACGACAGCAACCGGATATCCAACCACGAGATCTGGTGAGTCCCACGTTGCGTGACATGGCATGCTATCCCACTACACCTCTGTCATTGGTAAAAACGCCTCCCTCGAGTCTATTGAGTTTGATGCCCTGGATGCTGTGAGACACATGGGTATAAGTCCAGGTCACGACAATGTACCCTTGCCAAAGGGTCCACGAGCTTGTTAGGGGTCTTTTGGGTTTCCCCCTGGCAATGTTTGATTCATGAGCTCTTTGAAACCATGCGATATTCATTGTTACAAGGTCATCTATCGTATCAGACGGTAGCGTATTGTCAATATAAACGTCTCGTAGTTCGTTAAGTTACAATCCATAATTTACGTTTTCTCCTTCTGACTCTGAGAGTCCCTTTTGATGAGATAACCCTTTAGAGTATATGCTGTAACTTTGGGTCTAAAAAAGGTTTCATGGGCCAATATCGCGCATTTTGCTTAAGATGACAGAGTTGATCAGGATAGCTCTAGTAATATATTTGCATTGAACTCATACTTATCAATTATTTGGGAACCTATAGTCATAGGATATGGTGTGATGCTATACCAACTGTCAACCCACTTGATTAGGAAGTTCAACCTGTGGACCACAACAAACATTTACCATATAACCGTTCTTTCGAAGAAGGGCTTGGGGTAACAAGCAACTCGCTATGATTCTTTCGGTCAAGGTTGAGCTCAACTGCTTAGATAGGCCTGTATGCCCGCCTAATTCTCAGTCATTACCGGATAAACAGAGAAAGCAGATGAAAGCTCCGCAAGGCATTGTTCAAACCCTAATCCTTCTATCTTTCTTCACCCCGTTCCTTTCCTCGACTCCAGAAAGTGGAACCAGTGACGTACCACAAAGCTTTAAGAAATTGAGGATATCACAATCGCCCTTAATTTCAGCAGCGTAGAGTTCAAAATACTCGTACTGGGGAACTTTCAATACTCCATGAGACTAGCTTCAACACTGTTGCTTACAGTACCTTAGCAGCAAATCAGCATAGCTTTCTCAATCAGCGTCGCAAGAAAGCATCGGGTTTATCAGCTCCCAATTCCCTACAACATACTACAACGCAGTGAAGAGGGGCAGGTAGTCAACCGCCACAATATGCCACCAATTGCTAGTATATCAAAGAACTAGGAATTGAACTAGATTTCTGTGGCAGACATTAAGACTGCCACTGTTTCTGTGTATCCAGTGTAAATACCAACGACTACAATGTGCTAGATATGCATAATACTCTTAATTCTATATCCCTCTTGGCACAGAAAGTGGATATATATATCCCGCTAGGAATTATCCGTGGGATTCTAACAACCATCCGGTCTTCTTATTAGCACCAAGACGACGCCATTCTTACCGTGGAAAATTTAGTAACCTAAACTAAGTGCATGTCAGTTCATTTTTGTAACGGTCGCCAGGAAGACTTGGGTTGAACTCCCAATTTTGGCAATCTTCTGGCTGGGAAAACCTTGTGCTCCCAAGCGGTTTGCAGGGGTTGCAAACTTCTTGGTGCCCAAGGCCAATAGCTTGGCATTCATACCAAGTCAGGGAAGCCATTTCAGGGAAGCCATTCCCTCAGTAGTTACTGAAGGCAGGGCTTAGTAATTAATATTAGAGCAACCTTGGCAGCGACCTCAATACCTCAATACCTATGTAGGTAACTAGTTATGCTGTAACTAGAACTATCCAATAGAACCATGCGGGAATCTCACAGTTGACACGTGAGGAAAAAGCGGTGTGATTGCTCTAAATATAAGCCAATCACATGGCCGCCCTGACCTTCCTTGGTTGGACCAATCACAAACATGCCATCATCCCGTTACCGGGATTGAACGCTACAACCCTGTCTTTCCTTCTAACATCAAAAAAACCAAGTGAAGACAAACAGAGTGTTTGATCATCCTCAGCTTTATTTGTTGCATTCAAATCCCAATACCAGATTTCATCTGCCCAAATCTCAGAAATGGAGGTGTACGAGCATCCATTGTTCTCCGTCTAAAGAAGCATGCTAAGGTAACCATACACAGACTACCCAAAAAAGGAAAGAAGGCGTGTACTATGTGCCGCCAGCAAAAGGTATCAATGACTTTCACTTTTCAAAAAAAAAAACATATTGACTCCAGTAGGCCAGATGTGATGTCTGGCGGGATGAGAGTGTACCATGTACCCGGTGCCGCAAACGCAATCTCGAATGCACCATAGATGATAGCTTCACAAGAGAGCACAAGCGTCGGTAAGAGCCTAAACTCGAGTAAGACGGAACGAATCCACTTCTTACATTTATTCCTCCAAGCCGATTTATTGCATTGGAACACGAGAATGAGCAGTGGCGCCAACAACTACAGACCTCCCAGCGGTTGAGCTCCGATTCCGTGCCGCTTGCGTTATCCACAGCGGCAACGGAGCTGGGATTACCGGCCATCCTGAAGTCGGATGCTCCATTGGATTCGCAGGATTTGTCGCTGGCATATCCCCAATATCATCTTGCACCAGCGGGCTCGACACCGGGCGCGATGATGGGAAGGAATGATCCCACAAAGCCCCGTTCATTAAAAAGCGTTACCGTTACAGGTGGAGAGATTGACGACCTGTACCAATTGTAGATCTCTCTATATGCCTGTGGTCAGCCTGTTCCTAACATCTTGTAGATTCTTCCGTCACTATACCTCATTTCTCCCAATTCTCGATGTTCAGACCAAGCCGAATGTGTACTACACGCAGTCTCCATTCCTGTTCTGGGCTGTCATTGGCGTCGCCAGTAGGTCATATTCTCGAAATCCAACTTTGCAGTCTGCGCTGGCCCAGGAGGTTACGGAAATGGCATTTCTGTCGGTCTTGTCGACGTGCGCGCCGTGGCACATCATACAGGGACTTCTGCTTCTGCTGACGTGGCCTTTTCCCAAGGAGAATCGCCCAGATGTGACATTTCCTCTGAGCGGAATGCTTTTGCATGTAGCGATGCAAAACGGTTTTCATATCCCGATGTCGAGCCATGAATTTTCTCGAGTGAAGATCCCCGCCTCGTCAGACTTGGATATGGTCCGACGCTCGGAGCTTTGGGCTCATTGCGTCCTTGCTTACCAACGGTGAGTATCTTTCTTTTGAAGTCTGGCTAAGGGAAATTATCGTGCTGATTCACTGTAGGTCTTGTGTCATCAAAGGGCAGTCTCCGCGAAATCTGGTTGGTTTAGCACAGGATGCCATCCAACGCCAAGTGCTATTTGATAAGATTGCACCACAGTTGGTTCAGAAACTCAGATGCCAGGAAATCGTTGGGAAATGCAGCGATGCAGTTCTTGAAAATGGAGTCCGTGCTATTTCTCTGGATCAGGAGCTGGCTTTAGACATTTTGCTGCGGAAATATGAGGGAGAGGTAGACGATATTGCGTCGCGGGCAGTAGTCGGTTTGTTTTTGAAGTGGATATTCTCGATAATAGTGCCTCCACTAACAATTGCATCCTTGCAGATGACGAGAGGTATCACCTTCTCCTTTGCCGTATGTCAATCCAAAGCTTCCATTTCTACAAAACTCAAACACTCGTCTCCAGTGGATGTCTTCCACATCTCATCGTCACCGCTTGCAACTTGATAGACTATGTTCAAGCATTGGCCGATCGTATAGGATCTCTCTTCATGGCGCCTGTTCAAATCAGCTTCGGTCTACTCCTAGCTTCAATGTCGCTGTTGCGGATTCTTAAAAGCGATTTTGCCTCCAGCGGACTCGATACAAGCCGGGCCCAAGCCTCTTTCTTCGCCACCATCAATTTGGCCAAGCAAATGTCTACCGACAGAAGCGATACAGCTGCCAAAATGGTCACAGTCTTGAATCAGCTCTGGAATAGTAACAAGGCGTTCCGCAAAGCCGATGGCTCAGAATACACCGCACTTCGAATTCGTAGTCGCCTGATTCTCAGTCAGATTTTGGATGCTGTCTGGTGGTGGCGTGATGAATATGATCCTAATGCGCGCGCTAAAATGCGAGGGGCGGAGCCAGTTGACGGTCCTTCCCGAACCAGCATGCCTCTAGGCATAGAGGCAGGGCGTGCTATCATGGGAACAGATCCCGCCCGGGAGTCCGCTGGGGGAATTCTTCAGAATGCGGGTCCTCTGCAAGGAGAATTCCAGACCGAAGATTACTTTACCAACTTTGAGTGGCTGAGTGATGAAATTTTCTCATTCCCTCCAGATTCGTCGTTGGCGAATAACCTACCATGAGCGCAGAATTTGACTTTGAGACCCATACTCAAAGGTCCGCTTTAATTTTGCATTTCAGTCATCCGGTCGAAGTGAGATGGCATCAGATGGCATGTCACAGAGTCGCCACCAATTACGCCCTTCGTTATCCTCACTAGAAGCTGATACCGGGCTTCCGTATTTACTTCAAGCCCCAGCATTGTCGACCTCGGCCCATCGGCAAATTACTTATCTCCGTGCCCAGACTTATCCAGGGATATTCCGACACTCGTGCCCACGAATCGCGGAACCCGATTCGAGATGTCAAAACAAAGATCTCACCCGCAAATCCAGCCCAAACCAGAGAGGGGGGGCGATGCCATGCAGATTGTGTTATACGCGTGGCCGTACAGCCCAGAGTTATGGATTGTGCATTTTGCATTTCTAGCACCGCACTTGGCGCTATCCACCATCTACTTGGTAGAGATGCGATAAGGCTAGGAAGCTTAGTTCGCGGGATCCCCGGTAAATCAGATAGAAATGTAGTAGAGTGACCACTAGGAAGTTCACGGATATTTTTATGACAATGCACTATTATTAATTGACAATCAATAACTACTTAGTTACTCCGTAACTAGTTAGCATTACCTTGGACATAAGATTGTACAAAAGCTAGTAAATGTATTTTGTTTATATTCGAGGCGGTCAACAGGTATAGTACATCAGCCTCTTAGCCGTTTAAGCCTCGGCAAATCCTCGTGTCTCCAGCCTTTTCTCCCCAGCTATCGTCTTGTCTTCCTTTGGTCACAGAAATTATTCCATTGGTCAAAGACCTTGTTTTGGCTTGCAATTTACCTTTTCAAGCCCTTTAAAGGAGCTCATGTGTTCGATATTTGAAGTAAACGCCATTTTAATATGGAGTACTCCGTACAGTACTCCGTACAACCGAACCCATCATGTTTTCACATAACATAATATTAATGCAATCTACAGGCAATTATTATTCCTCCTATCACGCGATCTATCTTTCATCACTTGACATATCTCTCGTCTTTATTTGAGCCAATGAGGAATATCTATTCTAAGCGCCCATTTCAACAACCCCTGCAAGTCCGTGGGGCCTCCGGTTTGAGACATGCTAGGTCTAAAGCCACATACTAAAATTCGCCACTAACGCAGCACCGACCTTGTCACATTCGGGTGGTATCCAGCGCAATCATGCAAGCTACTACTCCGTATAGAAGCCCGCTAGAAAAAGTCTCCCCGCATTGAGGCATACCGGCCCATCGTTGCACAGCCCTTGCTTCGTTCTGCCCTACGTGAGATGTCAATTTTTGTTAGCTGAAAACAAATCGCATCGGGGATTCCGAGGGACTCCGGGGGTCTCAAATCTGCCCTCAGATGAGCCTGAATATCTGACATAAATTTCATAGCTATACCGTACCCCGGGCCGGTGATCGCCTAAATCTGTCTGATGCCTAGAGATAAGAGGCTACTACCGGCTGTTTTCTCATTTGCAGGGAGTCGAAATCCACGTCGCGCCTTAGTATCAATTCAGCATATGCCCTTTTGCCAACACCGACGACTAGCGCCGGAGATGGGCCAACCAGGCTTAAATCAGAGACACCTGTTGGTTGGCCACCATTTTAGCTGCAAAGTTAGCGGCAAGGCTAAGTCAATAATGGCAGGCTCATCCGTTTCCTCCGTGCGCGGGCTTATCACTAAACAAGCTCTCAGGAGATTGCTTCTGTTTCTTGGAATCTCCTTGGAATTGGCTTGGAATGTGCCCACATAGTCAACACTCTACAAACAGTCCTAGAATTGCCTTCAATACCATTCAATATAATATACTCCGTACTAACTTTCTAGGTATTTTTTTTTTCCTGAACATGAATTCTCATATTTCCTGTATTTCTTTGTCCTCATGGTACGGAGTACTGGATCGCGAACTAAGCTGACTTGATTAATATCATGTATGGTTCGAAGGTAACCCAAGGAACGCCACCAATGCTCTCGATACGAACGTTCTCCGGACTATGCATAAAGAGTATACATAAGAGGTCTGTGAGCTATCGGGTAAAAATAAGGCCAAATCACAACATGAGGATGAGATTGGTAGCTTGTTATATGCACATTGCCACTTTCCGCCTCAAGTGCCTCCTTCCAGCCACTCAACTCCCGTGCCTCTAACCTTTTCTTACCTCTCTCTCAACAGCACCCCTGTCTTAATATCCCCCACTTCCTACTTTCCATCGAATCAAATTCACTATCTCATCGTTTGGTTTCATTTCGGCTCGTAGGTTACATCCACCCCAGGATAAGCCTGAGATATCCTATTTGGGCGATAAGGCGGACCTCCGTCGGCCTCGTCTTCGACGAGCTTTAAATCATACTCAAATCCCTCCCCCCACCACCTTGCTGCTGCTTTTCTTTTTCTCTTATGCCCCTCGACTCCCTGTGAACATTTGCATCTGTGCTCCATACATTTCACCATGGAGAAGGACGAGTCTATCGCCATCACCACTGGTGCGATGGTCGACGAGACTGCGCCTGATGATAAACTCAAGGCGCTCCGTGACCTCAAGGATCACCACCACTGGGATCCAAACATGCCCGAGGATGTTGTTGAGGAACTCGATGAGGCCTTGCACACAACCGACAAGCATACCCAGGAGGTAATTGCCCAGGAACTGCTGGATAACTCACCTTACCCTGAGGTTCGGTCTGCTGTCTCCAACATCGATGAGGGTGGATCTGTTAATACTATTCGCGCTTGGGTGATTGGTCTTCTATTTGCGACCATCGGTTCTGCCCTCAACATGCTGTTCTCTATGCGCCAGCCCTATATTGTCATCCCCTCATACATTGCACAGGTCGTTGCCTACCCTGTTGGAAAGGCATGGGAAGCATGGATGCCCAATTACACCATCAAATTCTTCGGCTGGAAAACCGAACTCAACCCAGGCGTTTTCACCAAGAAGGAGCATACAATTGTCGTTATCATGGCAAACGCCACCTTCGGTGGTGGCGCCGCCTATGCGACGGATGTTCTCTTAGCCCAACGTGCTTTCTATGGACAACACTTCGGCTGGGGGTTCGAGATCCTTATGTGTATCTCGACTCAAATGCTGGGCTTCGGCATGGCTGGCTTCTTCACCCGGTTCCTGGTGTCACCTTCCGCCATGATCTGGCCCTCAACCCTGATCAACACCTCTCTCTTCACTGCCCTGCACGATCGCACTAAGCCGGATCCCAAAAAAGTCGCTGGCTGGAAGATTGGCAAATATCAGATGTTCTTGTACGCTATGGTTGGCTCTTTCTGTTGGTACTGGTTCCCCGGTTACATTGCGCCTTTCCTGAGTATCTTTGCCTGGATCACCTGGATCAAGCCCCAAAACGTGATCGTCAACCAGCTCTTTGGTGGAGCCACTGGCCTGTCGCTGCTTCCAATGACATTTGACTGGACTCAAATTTCCGGATTCAACTTCAGTCCCATGATTGCGCCTTGGTATGCTATCTCTAATACGATGATCGGCATGGTTATCTGGTTCTGGATTGTCACCCCCGCCATTCAGTACTCCAATCTCTTCTACTCTCAGTACCTGCCTATGAGCGACTCTAGCAGTTACGACAACACCGGTAATGTATACCAAGTCAAGAATATTCTTACTCCTGAGTTTACTTTTGACACCGCGAAATACGAGAGCTACTCCCCTCTCTTCCTGTCAACAACGTTCATGCTGTCCTATGGGCTGTCCTTTGCCAGTATCATCGCTGTGCTCGTTCAGACCGGTCTTTTCAACGGCCCGGATATTTGGGCTCGATTCCGTCGCGTTGGAAGGGAGGAGGAAGATGTTCACGGTCGCCTCATGACTCGCTACGCTGAAGTTCCACTTTGGTGGTACTTGGGTGTGTTTTTGGCAATGACCGGAATCGGCTTTGGTGTTATCCTAGGATGGCCTACACACATGAGCTGGTGGGCCTTCATCATTGCCCTGCTCATTTCCGCTATTTGGTTCGTTCCTATCGGCATCGTCAAAGCTGCCACCAACATTGACATCGGTCTCAATGTCATCACCGAGTTCATCATCGGTTACATGCAGCCTGGCAGACCTATGGCTATGATGCTGTTCAAGACCTACGGGTATATCAGCATGTACCAGGGAATGTACTTCACACAGGATTTGAAAATCGGTAAGTCTAGTCGTTATCCATCTAATGTCGATTTCTTATTCTGACCCATTCCACTAGGTCACTACATGAAGATTCCTCCCCGTGTGACTTTCATGGCCCAGATGGTCGCCTGTCTGTGGTCATCCCTGGTGCAAATCGCCACCATGAACTGGGCTCTGGGCGCAATCAAGGGCGTATGTGATCAGTTCCAGCCTAACCACTTTACCTGCCCCAACGGCCGCGTGTTCTTCAACGCTTCAGTGATCTGGGGTGTCATCGGACCCGCCCGCATGTTCTCCATTGGGCAACTATACTCGCCCTTAATGTTCTTCTTCCTTGCCGGTGCCCTCCTCCCCGTCGCCATCTACCTCGGCGCCCGCTACTTCCCCAAGAGCCCTATCAAGTATCTCAGTGCCCCTATCATCTTCGGCGGTGCTGGTTTGATCCCCCCCGCTACCCCTCTGAACTATCTCTCCTGGGGTATCGTCGGATTCGTCTTTAACAAGTACATCCGTGACCGCTGGCGCGGATGGTGGATGCAGTACAACTACGTACTGTCCGCTGGTCTGGATGTTGGTCTCGCTCTGTGCACCATTCTCATTTTCTTGACCCTCAACTTGACCGATACCAACTTCCCCGAATGGTGGGGCACCAGGATCGCCTCTGGCACCATGGATACCACTGATACCGCCGTCCGGAACCCTATCCCTAAAGGCCAAACCTTTGGTCCTACCAAGTGGTAGATAGTCGGACCTCTTGCCTGTCATTTCAGTTCTCCTTTGGAGCAACTGCGGTCGCTGTCGGGGCACACTGCAATTTTTCGGATACCCGTTTAGTTCACGTCAGCCACGAATAGTTACGATATCATAATACCATTGATTTTTGTTCCTGCAACCTTTTTGTATTCAATATTCTAGGTTGAGTTAATCTATTTGAGGCTCGATGGACATCTAATACAGCGAAGGAACCATCCAAGTCCTCAACACACTATTTTTTCTCCTTTCTTCCAAGTTATCACCTTAGGTCCTTTCATATCCTCGTTTATCATCCCCATCAGCGAGTATTTGCATTTGGATATCTCAAGATAATTGATAAGAACAGTCGACCGGTTATGCGGCCTTGTTCTGTCTTTTTTGGTACCCTTCTTAGACGCGGTTTTTCCCATAATTATTTCACTCCTTATTATTCGCGTTGTAGGCTGGAAGATACAAGGATAATTAGGTGCCTTTCCCTACATATATAACAAGCCCTTGATATAACAAGTGATATAAGCAAATATATATAAAAATATGACATATGTACACGGATATCAAATTCCCAATATTTGATTCAAAATCAAAATCGAAATCCAAAGCCAAAAAAGGAAAGTCATCAGCGACTGTGCGGTTAAAACACTTACCCAAATGGAAGCACAATAAACCACACAGCCATTCTCATCGAGTCATGACGAACGAGTGATGATCCAAATATCATCCAAGATCCCATTCCATTCCACCCTAGGTCCAAACAATTTCAATCCTTAAGAAAACCCCTTCTTTACAAGGGTATCTTTACAAAGATATACATCCAATATTCCAAAATCCAAGACCCTCAGACCCGACGACGACGCATACCAACCTGCAAAGCAAGCGGCTTGCGCAGGAATCCCTCACGCGTCTCCATGGGTCCATCCTGGTGCATCTCGAACTCGAATAGTCGGAACACAGTACCGCAGATAGCGAGCAATTCCATCTCGGCGACGTTACGGCCGACACAAGCGCGAGGACCGTGGCTGAAGGGAATGAAGGCGGCCTTTTGGCGAGCGCTGAGACGCTCGGGACTCCATCGCTCTGGGACGAACTGTTCGGCGTCCGGGCCCCAGATTTCCTTTGAGCGATGGATGGTGTAACTAGGCACTGAAAGAACATCGCCGGCTTTGAAGGTGTGTCCGCAGATCACGACAGGGCCGGATCCGGCTGGGATCTCACGAGGAAGACCCATGGCAGACGTGCTGTGGATGCGCATCGTTTCCCAGATTACCCATTGGAGGCTAGAAGATTGTTAGTTGGGGAGCATGTATTGTGTGGGATTGGTGGGGTGGGTACTTACTAAGGGATTTCCTTCACCATAGCGTATGTGGGAACTTCGATGTCCTTGGCAATGGCTTCGTCTAGGATCTTGCGCAGCTTGGGGAGAACGTGCGGGGTAATCATGCACCAGTATAGGATGGCACAGGAGGTGTTAGAGGTGGTGTCAGAGCCAGCAATCAGTTGAGTGAGGGCCTCGGCGGTCAGTTCGGCGCGTTCAAGCTTGTTACCATTTTCATCCTTGCCTTCCATAAGGCGGGCGAGAAGATCCACACGGGTGTTGTTGGCCATGATCTCCGGCTTGAGACGCTCGTTGACACGAGCGATGGCGATACCAGCAAGGTTCTCAACGGCTTGCAGGCCTTCAGAGAAGAAGCGATCCGGGATGTACTTGGCGTAGGGAATGAGAGACGGCATACAGCCCAACGTGGCAGAAACCTCGCCACGACGGTTCAGAACTTCCACAGCGGCAACGTACTTGGGAGGGTCCTTGGGGTCCAGGCGCATTTCGGCAATATCCTGGCCCTTCTCGAGCATGCCGAAGGGAGCACCGAAAGCCAGATCACCGATGATATCGAAGGCAAGATAGTTGAACCAGTTGAGAGCGTCGAGGCTCGCATAGCCGGTCTTGGGGTCACCCTGGAGGTCGGACATGCGGTTCCATTGCTTCACGAACAACTCAATGTTGCCGTGGATATACTGCTCGAATTGGCCAATGGACTTGGCACTGAAGGTGTGGGAAACGGTCTTGCGCTTGCGGGTGTGCTCGGCACGGTCACGGGTGTTGAACAAGCCACGGCGGATAGAGACAAAGGCGTCATAGAAATCCCTGGAGTATTGTCAGTTTGGGGGCAGTCCTTTTAGGCTGTAACATCGACGTACGCTTTCAAGAAACCATTGCCGTGTCCGTAGATACCCTGAATAGCCTCATCGTCGGCAATAGAAACCTGGGTAGGTGAAATGCGGACCAGCTTTCCATACTTCTTGTGAGCCTCATCGATTGTCAAGTACTTTTTACCTCGACGTGCCTGCAACAGTAGCCAAACATTGGTGAACGCGGAAAACCCGGCAGAGGGAATGTCGCGCAGATGCGACTTTTGCAAGTACGGCACCAAGTAATATGCAACGGCGAGGCCGAGCAGGATGAACGGAACGATCTCGAGTGTCACAAACATGGTGAAGTGTTGTATAGAAGTGTTGGACAAAACAACACGGGAAAAAAAAGGTACCAGCCCAGTGCTGTAAGGAATACCAATAAATATAGAATGTATGTTCAAATGAGATGAATCACAGCAGATCCATGGCCGAAAATGAGAATCCAACTTATTTATGAAAAGAGGGATGCGATGGTCATTGAACGATCCCCGAGGGTAAAGCAAAGCAACGGGAAGCAAATTCGGTAGTGTGGAGTTCAAACACTGGCGGCGGAGATCCGTGGAGAGGTGCCGTCTCAACCCTCCGAACCGTTGACGCCCCGGTTTTCGGTTATTTGATTGGGGAGTTTAGGCAAATTAGCGTTCGCGTATTGGCGACATATTGGCAACATATTGGCTCCATCCCATATCTGGCATAAATCATTGGTGTTTGATTTGTTGAAATAGAGTGTGGGGGGAAAAAGGGGAACAAAGAACACGAGGTGAGGTGTGGATGCCAGATTTATGAGGCCAGAAGATGTTTGTAATCATTGTCCGACTACTCCGTATTGCTGTATTGACTTCCTGGCAATTTATACTGTCCTGATTATATAAGAAATATTACTGCATACTTAGGATTAATAAATCCTCCGGTATCCTGGTGTATCTGCGCCGACACACCCCCTCAGCGGTCCCAGTATGCTTGCTGAGATCGCTGTATCATCTTGTAATTCCTAGTCTATAAGATGGCCTATATCAACTATGTTGAGCAGTCGCACGAAGCTCTTATGCTTTTGCCGAGTGAGCAATTTGGTGAGGCTATCAGCAACTATGCTTACTGTAGGCACCCAGCGCACCCGTATTCGACCCTGTTGGACTTCCTGGCGGAGCCAATAGTGGTGAATATCGATATATTGAAGCTTCGTTTCAAAAGCTGTGTCCTCGCTTGTCAATAAGCTGATAGTCCTCTCGTTATCACAGTCGATTGTTAGGTGGTATAACGGAGTAAAGGCGAGGTTTTAAAGCAATCGGCGCCACTATTGGAGCTGCTTTCCTACCTCCGATAGGCCGAGTAGCTCTACTTCTGTGGTTAACGTTGTTACTGTAGGTTGCTTACTTACTTTCTAGTCAATTGGACCGCCGTATACTTAACAGATATACCTAGCTGAGCTTTTTCTATCCGGGTGGTCTCTATACGAAGCGTCACTTACAAACTACACCGAGTCGGTCCTAGTATTGGCTATTCTGTACTCAATCGCTAGGTTCCGGGTAGAGTAGAGATAGGTAATAACTCGATCAGCTACTTACTAGTGCTATAGACCGGGGTTCGTAAGAAATTACGCGAGCTTCGCGGTCGCCTTTATAGCGTCGGGCCTAGTGATAATTAGACTTCCGCAAAGCCCAACTTTGGGCCCAAGGTCCGGGCTCGAAACCCGACCCTCAACGAGCTGGGGGTCGAACTTTTTGGGCTCGACCCGGACCCCGGCTCGAAGGGGGGGGGCTCGTCGGGCCCCCCCCCTGGGCTCGAAATTGCATAAACCATGGTCTTGGCGTTCATAAAATGGCTGAATCACCCAAATAAATGACAGTCTTTTACCTATGTTTTGGTTCAAACATAGAATTCTACTCCATTATCATAATCAGGAAGGTGAAATATTTGGAAATTCTAGTGAATAGATGTTTATCTTTAATATATTAGCATAATAACTAAGCTTTATAACTATATAGATCAATTTGTTAGAAATGTTCTACACTTATAAGTTGATACATACTAAGATATATATTCTGTACTGGGAACCATATATATCTTCATGGTCGAGTATCAATCTCAGATCAATACCAATTATAAGTGGCTTAACTTATTCAAATTTTATATAAAAAGAAAGTCTATACCTTTATGATTTCTAGGAATATTTTAGATTGCTAGTCCTAATGGTTCTGGATAAGCTACCTATATTTAACAATTTCTCATGGCTAATCAGTTGAAATATTTTAAGGAAAATCAACTTCTAACGAGCTAGGAATAGGCCGGGAATAGGCTTTTTACGGGTTATTAGTGGGCTTTACGAGCTTTTCTCGAGCTTTACAGGCTCTTTTTCGAGCTTTGTGGGCTTTTTTCGAGCTTTATAGGCTTTCTTCGAGCCGGTCCCACTTATTATAGACAATTTAACTAATTATCTATTACTGTTATCACCCTCTATTTTGATCTATCGATTATTGATTTAACTAGCCAAGTAACACTTCTAGGTAGTCGAGCTTCTTATAACGTATCAACACTCCTTTATAGATTCTCAAAAGCCCTTACAGTTATAGGTTTTATTAACTCTGCGATGTCCCAAAGTCAGCAGTCCGAGTTTACATCATCCCAATTCGGAGGTGACTACGATAACTTATCCTACCTTATACCCTCTAATTATCCAGCTACGCTATCGACAAGCTAACAGACTTTTGATATCTCCGTACCGGCTTTTCTTCGACCAGACGACCCTCCCTTACTCCCCTAGCTTAAACGATTTGAACGTATCGGACCCGATCGGAAAAGGTTATACTTCTTGTATAATAGAATAAATCACCAAGAATAGGTAGAGTGGTGGTTATAAACTGATTATAGATCAAAGGGTAAGGTTGTATAGCACTCAAATTATCTTTTATATATCTGGGAGCACTTTACCTAGGTAGCCTATAGCAGCGATGGCAGCCCAAAGGTTATATATAAGTATTGCTCTGCGATCCTTGAGTATCCTTATACAGCCAAAAAAGATGCGAACGGGAAGGATACGCGTTATGGTACAACTACTATGACTAGGTATCTTCGGACTTCTACCTATAAAAGGGCTATAAGTGGAGATCAGCAACGAGGGCGACTCGATAAGTTTATTCAGTCAATAGTATAGATATCCCTCTAGTACGGTTCGTACCACTAATATAATTAAAATAGGAAAATACTATCCGAGAGCCATTCTCCGAGGTAGCTTAGGAGGATAATCTGTTACAGTTTATCACGATCAATCGACTTCCCTTTCACCTTATCGAACATCTAACGTTTCGACGGATAATATTATAAGCACACTCGGCCCTAAGCCTACTATCTATCCCCTCTGCTGATACAGTTCGACGTTGACTATCTGCTTGTGTGAAAGAACGTTAACACTCTACACTCAAACTACTTCCAGTAGATACAAAAATTTCAATTGTATTGGATTGCTGGACTTTACTATTCGGACAAGTATTTATAGCTATCACTGGCTATTTTATTGATATTGATTGGTCCTACCGGGAGGTGCTTCTTGGGTTTAAACCCCTCGAAGGTGCTCACACTGGTGCTAATCTAAGTGGTGTCCTCTTAGAGATACTTACTGATCACAATATCCAGGATCGTGTGTTTGGGTTAACCACGGATAATGTATCGAATAACAAGACCCTTATTGACTCGCTACAATAGGTATTGTCGAGCGATATTCATATTATCCGAATACCCTGTCTTATATATATTATCCAATTGAGTCTGAACTAACTTCTTGATCGCTTGAAAGCAGTCCCTCTAAATGATACTGCTGAGACCAAATGGTCTGATCGCCAATCAATACTCGCGAAAGTAAATACCTAAAGCAAAAATCGCAGTATATCTTATACTTTGAATAAGGTACGGTATCTTACTGTTTATATCCGGGCTAGTCCCTAACGTCGCGAAGCTTTTGTTAGTCTTTAGCCCTCAGAGTAGGCACTTATACCACTTCAGGATGTGAAGACTAGGTGGAACTTAACGTTTCTTATGCTTCGCCGGGTAAAGAGGCTCCGTGATTTCCTTGGTATATTCTGTACAGACTATAACTGCGAGGAGATGGTACTTAACAACGACGAATGGCGTTAGATCGATTACCTTCTTTGTCTCACAAAGCTATTCTACGAATACACTCTTGCGCTTTCAAAGACTCGAGATGTGACTGTATATCTAGTATTCCAGATCTACAATATATTGTTTGAGCACCTTGAGAAGTCTATCAAGCAGCTTCAACGAAAGCGTGTCCTATAGAAACAATAGATACTTTCCTCCCTTGAGGCTGGCCGATTGAAGCTTGATGAGTACTATTCGTAGATAGATTATGATCGTGATCACCTTTATACGATTAGTACTATACTAGCGCTAGATAATAGGTTCCAATTCTTTCTCTCCGATGATTGGACGAAGGAATGGTGTGATAAATATCGAGCCTTATTCCAAGATACTCTCTTACCTTACTAAGAGCAGTATACTACTAGTCAAGGCCTACCAGTCTCCTCTCCTAGATTAAGGCTAAGCACAGCTCTTTATAATCTGCTTCGCCCAAAGAAACCTAAAGCGAAGCCGGTTGGTGACGAGATAACCTAGTATCTTGATAGTGGTAAGTTATACTCTTCTTCTGATCTTATTTCGATAAATATTCGTTACTAATTCTATATAGATATTGTTGATTCTGAGCCGCTACCCTTTTAGCGAGAGAACCACGGTCGCTTTCCTGCGATTGCTTCGCTTGCGCGGGATATTCTTGCAATTCCAGCAACTGGTGTAGGTGTGGAACGATTATTCAACACTGCTCGCGATATTTGCCATTATCGCCGCGGTTATATAAAGTCTAAGACTATTGAAGAATTGATACTATTTCTTTGTTCTTCAAGATTTGACCTTGAATTATATAAGGTAAAAGAGCTTGAACGATTCTTCTCTTTGAATGAGATCGAAGCATTAAGAGAGGAAAAGGACGATAAGCTTAATGATATTGAATTTGAACAGATTAGTGATACAGAAGAACAGCCTGAGAGCTCGGGGGGTTTGATTGATATTGATGATGATAATACTGGTGATAATAATGCTGGCGATCCTCTATTGCCAATTTATAGTACTCAGCCACGTATATCAGGGAGGAAAAGGAAGTATATAGAGGATGATATATATCAGTCTCATTAGTTTACACTGGATTTAATCATAATACATTGATATATGCGTGAACGAATCAACGATTTATTGAATTTGAAGTGAACGATGTAATCGAAATACTCAAAATTACTGGGAATTCCTGCATTATTTGTGCAGTCACGAGAAATTGGCATGTTTGCACTGTTTAGTCGTAGGGGGGGGGCTCGGGGGCCCCCCCCCTTCGAGCTGTGGGCCCAAGCCTAAAGCCCGAAACTCGCTGTGGGCTTTGACCTTAGGCTCGAAACCCGACCCTTTTGAGGGTCGGGTCGGGTCGGGTTTCGGGCTTTTCGAGCTTTGCGGAAGTCTAGTGATAATAGTGGTATACCCTGCTGAGCCTACCTTTTGCTGGTATAGTAGGATTTCCTTTAGCGTTACTACCCCCTAAAAAGGGGTCAATTCCTTAACCGGCAGTAGAGTATAGACTGGTACCCTTTCTATTAAGTGATATCGGGTAGCAATACTTATTATATAGCTATCTTAATATAACCAGAGCTTCTTTTATTACCGGTCTCGAATGATTTATATATTTAGGAACTATACTGCTTCTCTATAATCGGTTAGTTCCCAGTGTACTTCGAGATCTCGCTCTAATTACTGTACCTACGCCTTTATATTAGTATAACTAGCGATTAGGATATTATCTATATAGAAGAAAACTAGTAGTCCTTTTCCTATAAAAACGTATAGGTCTTCTAGTACTTACTGTAGACCTAGCTTACAGAGCACACTTACTGCTTCTTACTGCCAAAGTTATAGTGAAATCCGTAGACTGTATAGCGCGCGACGTAACTTCTAGTATTTACCTAGGTTTTGAAATCCCTTAGGTATATACTTATATATCTCTTAGTCTAACTTACTGTTTAGGAACGCGGTAACAGTATCTCTCTGTCTTAGGTCAAGATCAAAGGTAGTAACTAAGGCAAAAATTATCCTCGCTGTCCTTACTGCTAGCGTAGCAGCTCTCTTTTCCTCGTAAGAGATAGTTTTAAGGTCTCCGCGTATATAGATACGGGCCTTAAGCTTCAAAAGGTACCTATCCTAGTTAAATTTGTATAAGAACACCTATAAAAGAGGGAGAATCTGCTTCCCTCGGTCTCTTAGTTTCTTAATAACCTTAAAAGTCCCCTTTTTAGAGAGGGAGTTAATCTCCTTCCTTATCGCTGCGAGAAAACCTTCCTAAAATAGGTAGTTTATTATATCCTTCTAGTATTTTAGCGGTGGTGGGAGATTGTCTCGGTGGCGGCGAGTGTCTGGTTTCTCAGTATATAAGCCAGCGGTAAAAGTATAGAGTAGCGCCGGCGGTTCCACTTCTTAGGTAGTGCTTATCGCGTAGGCGAAGTCTTTTTCCTACCTTACTTAGCGTCTATACCTACCACTGAGTATATTGCTGGTATCTATATCTCCGATTATCTCTCTTCTCGGAGCTAGTAGCTCTACCTAAAGTTACTTCTCTAGTTCGTCTTCAGTGGTTTTAAGATCCGCTTCTTCTTACTAGATCTAGTCCCTTTGATCTCCCTCGGTATCTACCCCCTAACCAGAGCTAGTATATCTCTCTTACTCCTACGGTGGGGTGATTAGTAGTAGTAGTAGGGGCTGTTTAATCGGAAAGGAACCTAGTAGTGCTTATAGTAGAGGGTCTAGGGTCGGCCAATATAACCTATTACCTACCCCCTAGACTGGGGTAGTCCCTCGTTAGTTAACTATTATCTTTTGGACCTCTGCTTACTGCGGAACCTCCTCTTACTGCTGTACTTACTAAGGCTCCTATACTTCCTATAGATCCTAAGTCCTCTCTTCTATCGTACTAGTCTCCTCTTAACTAGTAATTTAGTGGTTTATCACCTATATAACCTCCTTAACGGTGAGTTCCTATAGTCCCGTTATAGCTGGTAGTAGGATAGGCTGATATTTCTTATAATTAGGGGTATATTTTCGTGTCTCGTCAATAACTGTATCCCTGATATACCTCACTTTCCCACTATATAGGAACCAGATCTTCTAGATATTCGAGGTAAGGTATCCTACTACAAAGCCAATCTCTGTACGTAGGTTTATCTTATCGGACTATACTTACTTCTCAATCCTACAGTACGCTAAGCTTCTATATAACCTAATATTTAATAGGTTTATCCTCGGCGCCTATAGTGCGACTTCCTTCCTCACTTCCTCCTATAGTACTACCTACCGATTCTCGGCGGCGATATACGTTAGTGTACGATTTAATAACTATACAGCGGCGCTTACGAACTCCGGCTATAGCTCCTTTAGGAGGTTCCCTTCGAGGGCGAGTATATATATCCGGGTGATAATTATTCTACCTAATCTCTTAGTATACCTATTTATCTCTAAGTACCCTAGGGGGGAGTGATATATCAGGATATTATCGCTTATAAGACTATACTCCGCTGCTCTGCTAGCTGCTGCTTTATTGTCGTAGTAGAAGGCCTTAATTAGCAGCTTCCACTAATTTCTTATAAGTTATACAAACTGGTTAATAGCCAATTAATATTTAGGTTTCACTTCGTGAGTTATAATCCAGTGGAATCTCAGTCCTTCTAGGTAGAAGTAGGATATCTAGCGGTGCTTATTGTAGGCTAGCTGCAGCTGAATTAGGTCGAAATATACCCTTCCAAAACGTCTAAAAGTACGTCTAACTTATCGTCTTAAAATCTACCTCGGAGTACTTCCTATCTTATAGGTCTAATATAGAGATTCTTACTCTGTGCTTACTCCTCCTTTATCGTTAAGAACAACGCTGTCTACTATAGTAGTAAGCTTTACTACAGTCCGCGGTTAAATATATACTAGGCGTCGGTACCAAATTTTAGAGGAAGCCCTTGATTCCTATAGCTTCACTGATTTCCGTTGTACTTACTGTATAGTATATACTTGTTATAGCGGAGCCTCGCCTAGCTTATCAAAGATCCAGAGATTGAATTAATCCTATAGGTTTACACAGACAATAGGTCTATTATTTAGGTCCCGTATATAGTTTATACGTTAGTACTAGAGGCCGCCTTTCTTCTTTAGTATCGCGTACGACACGAGACTTATATAGAAACTTAGTGAGTATAGAGCGTCGCTTAAGGTGATCTCTATCCTTCCCTTTACCGGGTATCTCCCTAAAAGTCTAACTTTACCTCTCCCTAGTACCTACGTAGTACTATCTCCGGTTATTAGGTTAATTATATTAGGTATAAAGTCGACGAATAGGGCTCGGTTATTGCAGATATACGCACTTAATCCGGTATCAAGAATCCACCGGTTACAGAGGGAGGGCTCGTCTACCTTTACCACAGAGAGTATATACTTACTAATCTATATAGCTTCACTTAGCTTACTTCGAAAAGTGGTTGCAAAGCTGACTTAGTTAGTGGATTCGGCTGGTTTTTCCTATACTTACTGAGCTTACTGAGCTTTAGCTATCACTTTATCTACCTATTGCTTCTAAGCGTAGTCCTTTCCTAACTTCTTCTTTACTTTCTCTAGTTTCCCTTCGTTTAGGGTATACCCTTCTAGCCGAATCGCTTTATTTAGGAGCTAGTAAGTAGCAACTTTATACTTCGGGTATAAGCTACTATAAGGGTAGTGTCTCTTCTTAAACGGAAGCTTCTCTTACTTTGTTTCCGGTTTCGCCTCTTAGTAACCTTACTAGGTCGAGAAAGCGCCTTTTAGAGAAGTGGTTAATAACACTACCTATACTCCTATCTCGCGATTTATCGCGCGGAATGATTTAAGGAGATCTCGGGTATCGTACACCTTCTTTTCTATCACTATTTCCTAGTATTTACCTTACCACTATATAGGTAGAACTTCTTTCACGGTGTATAGGAAGTCCCTATTAGTATCTCCGTCCTTAATACTAAGACTAACCGCTTACTCCCTTAGCGAGTTCTACTTTTAGAGCCACTTATCGATATCTCCAGTCGGCTTCTGTATTGTAAACACTTTCCAACTTATTCGGATTTCCTCCTTATACGCGGTCGATCGAGCGAACCGAGACTTTAGATACACAAGTCTATTATACAGTGTACAATATATAATCAGTGCGAGGTAGTGTACTAGGTTAAGATAGGTAAGGATATATTTATTTATATCACTTAGTCCCTTTGCTTACTTCTCCTATCGAGTATAGCTTATTTTATATACGTCTGCTTAGTCTCTCTATTTCCTTCGATCTGTTTCGGTGCCCTCTTCAGGATATTCTGGTTATACCGGTTCCTTTAGAGTATCAGGTCGTTCAGTTAACGGGGTATCCGGGTTACAGTGATCCTAGACATTTTTTTGCATTGCGTATAGCTGCACCTTCACAAACCAGGTGAGCTATTGCGGTGTATCCTTCAGTTTATCGCCCTTTATAGCAGAGAGAATCGATACTGTTTCTATTGCTGGATGCTGTGTTGTTTTGATGTGAAACAAGGGATGACTTTCTGCGGAGTGGCTTCGTGGAGGTTTATAAGACAGTTTCTAGCAAGTTGCTAGGTACTATATGCCGATATAGTAGTCTTATTCAGTGCGAACCGGGCTCATAACTGTCCGACTACTCCGTATTGCTGTATTGACTTCCTGGCAATTTATACTGTCCTGATTACATAAGAAATATTACTGCATACTTAGGATTAATAAATCCTCCGGTATCCTGGTGTATCTGCGCCGACAATCATTGATAGCCTTGGAAGGCAGGCATCAACCTTGGAATGGATGGATCCGACTAGAGGCATAACTTTGCATAACTTGATGAGTGTGCGCATATCAATCAATTGTTCAACATCCCGAGATCTACTCCGTACTCTGTAGATGTATATAATAAATGTACATGGATAAAAAATCAGGGCTCCTGACTTCTTTATCTTCACTGATGATGACGGGCATGATTATGGTAATGACTCTTACTCATCAAGCCATTAGCCTCTAAGAAATCATTAATCTGCTTATAAGCGCCAGTGGCATTATAGTGCAGATTCATAGCATGGCCAGTGTTGGGTTGAATGTAGGCAGAGAAAGCACTGGCCGAGGGGAAGACCATCTTGACACCAGCAGGAATAGACGCTGATTTCCCACCTGTATTCAAACAGTCGCCTCCACAAAATGGCACATCGTTCGCACCATCAATGACATAAACAGGTCCCGTGAAACTGCTCTCCGCCGGTAGACCAGTGATAGTCATGAGTTCGCCGATAGTCATGGGCTGCTTGTTCTCTTCTGCGAACTCCAGGAGACTGGTGTCGAAATGGGGTGGGTAGAAGAAGAGATATACATTGTTGCCCACATCCGCATTTGTCAGGTACCCAGCTGTGTAGTCCGAGTTCTTGCCGTTGAGTCGGGCTTGTTGGAAGTTAGCACCGCTGAGGAACATTGGCATATAGTCGCAACTTGTCGAATACCCGGTGAGCACGAGTGCATCGGAAAGCTCTGGGTACATCGCCGACAGGGCAACTGTCTGTGCAGACCCAAATGAATGTCCGACGTGGACAATCTTGGCGGGAGCCTTGGTGTTGGGCATCTCGCCGTTGCGCACCAGGCGGGTCAACTGAGCAAGGGCCTCGACTTCCAGAAAGGCCTGGATCTCATTCTTCGCGTCGCCATGTGAAGATTTACCGAAGCCCAGTCGGTCGTAGGAGAATGTGTGATATCCTCGAGACAAGACGTAATCCACGTAGGAGTAGTCATAGTTGTTGTATGGTAGATCCCAATATCTATGTTTCCATGTCAGCTGCCTATATAGATAGACCAATTAAGCCTTGAAACTCACGTCTTGTCAAATCCCATTCCATGTGTGAGGATCTGAAGCGTGTATGCCGAGTTCCCAGCATTATTCGGCATACAGTATTGGGTCGAGATGTTGTAGTGACCCGAAACAGTAGTATAGCCAGATAAGGCTATTTCTGTCATATTTCTACCTTGCTTGGTCGCGGAGAGGACAAAGGAAGTAGCGTCAAAGTTCGTCTGGGGCGTGCTGATTTTGTCGAACACGCCGTTGCGAGCCGTAACAGGGACCTCTACTGTTACATTGTAACAGGTCTTCGCCGCAGCGGCACTAGTCATCAAAGTCCAAAGTCCAATTATTGAAGAATGCATCATGGATAGGATTTTGAGTGTGATATTTCAACAATCAATTCAGACAAGAGCAATGGGAATTGCATCCCTTATATACTAAATCCATCAGATCGCTGTACTTGCGACAAACAACATATCTATTTCAAAAAGAAAATTGGCCCCCAAGGATTTGTCAAAAAGACTGTTATAGAAGTGGAACCAGACTAATGCATAGATCGATAGTGCACTTCCATCAAAGGTTGTTCTCCGGTGTTAAGCCCTAGGCTTGACAGCGTCTTAAACGTGGGAGGATCTTGTTCTTGGCAATTGACATAATCGAGCACCGATCATCATTTATATTTGATCTGATAGCCTCGTCCAAAGGGGGAAACAGATATAAGTTTGCAATTCTCGCTATACGCCGTCGATCACAATCTAAGGAAGAACAAATTATCGTTTAGGATCTCTGATCCTTCTGATCCACTTGGTCCGAGCCCTAAAAATGAGGACATATCCAACACAGGGCGGCTCTGCCGAGGTGATAGAGTAGATTATCATAGGTTCTTGATTAAGTGTATATTATAGACAATACCTCGGATGCAGGCGTGAAACTAGGCGATATTCGAAATTGGGACTGTATGTATAAATAGTCGGTCATAGCAGTACTGTAGTATTACTATCTTGAACATAAAAGACCTGGGTTAGTTTCCACCTCGTCAGTGGAAATCATAGGTGTTCTTTGGTAAAAAAAAAAAAGTCCCTTAATCTATTGGCAAGAACATATATCAAACTCCAGGAAAGCGATCTACAAGCGTATCAGGAGTCCTAAACCACCAAAGATACAAGAAAGAAGATCGGAACGAGAACGAGAAAAATAACAGCCATGCAAACACTGAAATCAAGCACAAATGTATGTAGTCGTTATGTAAGTCCCAATGCGCTAAATCTGAAATCATGCGTATATATCGTCGTATGTGCAAGCCGTTGATCACCACCGATCGCCAGTGACAGGAAACAACCCATTCTTCTTCTTTTCGGCATCCCACCGCTCCATCCACACCTTCATCTGGTCCCGACTCTTTTGGCTGGCCACATTCACCGTCGGGATGACCCGGCCGATACGCAAAGCGCAACAAAACATGGTCAACTCGCGGAATGAACTGTGTTCGCTATAGGGAACGCCGAAGCATGCGCTTTCTCGCATACTGCCGCGCTGTGGCGTGAGGTCCTGACTGGTATATGGTGACTTCCAGTATTCGCCGTGCAGCACAGTGGACACTGATGGATTTTGTACTATTCGCCCGGCTGGTGGGCGATAGGTCCAGCCGGTCGGGCGGAAACCGACGACTCTGGAGAAGTGAGGCTTGAAGCCATCGAGGTAGTCTGCTAGTGTGTCGGCGCGGATCTCGAAAAGGGTTTGCATATGTACTTGGGCTTCGTGAGGATTGCTTGTCAGCATCGCGGAGAGCTCCGGGTCTTCCAAGCAGGCGCAGATCCGTTGCTTCGGTGGAGTCGCGAAAATCTTGGATCCAAGTGCTCGGGCGATCCCCATGCATATTCGTTCTTTGCCAATACTGTAGGTCCCGATAACCACAAGTAGTCGACCTCCAACCTGTGAGGCTTTGTCCGTTGCTTGATTGTTCCCCGTGGCAGCAGAGAGAAATTTGCCCATCAAACCACTTGTACCATTCTTCCCCGTATCAGATCCGACACCAGCTTCCTGGTTGAGGCGGACACAAAGCTCTGAGCACGCTGTAATCACATCCTCCTGAGCGGGAAAGCCATATTTTGGGCTCAGGTATGTGGTGTCCAGGTAACATTTGTCGATATGTTGCTGCCGCAGCTTACCGGTGACCGGGTTGACCACGTCAGGGCGCAGAAGCGGATGTTGCACCTGAGCAGGAGATGCACGGAAGTCACCACAATGCAGCACCCGCTGGTTATGGGCATTGGGCCCGTTGCCAGAACCTTTTTCGAAAAGAAAAAGTGAGCTGCCGGGGCAATGGTTTGCATGTATCATTGTGACTTGCACACCTCCCGTCTCCGGCACTTCGGTGGTAGATTCAAACTCAAGCTCAACTACCCACTTAGGATCAACGCGAAGCTGCTGGCGGACAAGATTCGCAGTGGGTCGACTACAGTAAATAGGCCCATGGCACCAGGACTTACTGAGCCCTATATAGTGATCGCTGTGAAAGTGACTGAGAAAGTAGGCATTACACCCTTCGACAGCCCCATAGCGGAAGGCATCGACGCATATGGAAAACCCCGGGAGGATCTTGTAAAATGGACAAGTCCGCTGGTAGGCCTGCTTGCCTCGAGAAGACACCTCGTTTGCGGCCGCAGCAGCCCAAGCAGTGTCTTCTGCGTTTCCAGCCATCATCTTTGAAAACGCGGAACCTCCAACAGGTTTGTTCTGCGAGTAGGGATCACCTTGCGCAGGCCGGGCAATGGCAGCTCGCTCCGCGCGTGTCAATCCTTTGTCGAGGTCGACTGGCCTGGGAGTCGGCTTCACCATAGGCTCAGGAGCGGGTGTGGCCGGGATAAGGCTAGTTTTACCATCAAGGCAGTCATTGACATGCACTGCGATTTCCTATGCTGGGAATCAGTACACCAATACACCCGAAAGGCAGTGATGGGCACGTACCGTTTCATTAAGATCCTTCAGCGCCATTTGGCAGATAGGGCATCTGCTTACTTCCCCCTCAATATCTTCTACACCCGAACAGTCGTTTAAATCTTTGTCAGGATCTACCTCAAGGTCGATCTGCTGCTCTTGTTCCTCGCCCTCCCAAGGCCGATTTCGAAACTCTTCCCCTATAAGCTCGTCTTCTTCTATATCGTCAAAATTCGCGTATTCATCATTATCGAAATTACTCGTGGCGGCTCTTACCAGTGGCGAGGGTGTAGGTTCAGACGTGCGTTGTGTAGCCACTATTTTATCCATTTGCAATGTCTCGTTCGTCACATCCTTAGTGGTAGATGTGGTCTCATGAAGTTCCCGATATGCTTCCATATCATCCTCGCTGTCGGACTCATCGATAAATGGTCCACTCCGTTTCTGGGTCTTTATAGATGTGGTTGCGGGTGCGGGTGAGTTTGTAGTCTTCGATTCGTCGTCTGGTTGCTGTGTCTCATTGACCGGGGTGACTGGTGAGTCTACCTTCCGACGCTTGACCACTGAATTGTTCTCATTATATCGCTTGTTATCCGCTTCCAAGAACTCTTCGTCGTCACCCCAAATATCAGGCGTGAGCGATCGTTCTCTTTCATTCGTCACCGCTGTTTGTTCAATCTTTGCCAGTCCCTTCTTATCCTCCAAGAAAAGTGCACCACTAGTATCGTTTCTTGAACTGTTCCCCCGCTGGAAAGTTGGAGTACCCCGGCCGTTGCTTGGTGAACGCGAGGTTGCCGTTACAAATTGTGTGATTCGAGCCTGATGAGAAGTGGCACCGGGTGGCGTGTCGGTCTTCTGGAAGAAACTCAAGATGCTCGAATTGCGCTTTGTTGAGGATTGTCTCGTCCCAGAAGATCCTTTGGATGGTGTGGCCCCCTTCTTCGCGTAAGATCCGGCCATTATGGCTCGGTCACAGAGGGGTGGGAGTCGACTGCACCGCAAACGAGAATCAAGTGGTAGCGAGGGTCTAAGATAGTTCGTAGCTGTCCAAAGGTAATTCCAGGCCGGATTAAACGCAAAATTATGGGAAGGTGTACAATATTTCCATAATATGCGCAGGGTCGCCAGCGAAAATGCAAGGATTGGTCGGTTTGAGAGGCGCGAAGAAACTAGATCGCGACACGAAGTCACGTGGCCGTTATTACTCGGCTCCAACCTGGAGGGCTACATGCGTTCTTAGTATGCTTACATGCGTTCTTAGTATGCTTAGAGCATTGTAATATATTCAAATGGCCAAAAAAAATTGCTGTTCATTATTGAAAAAAAAAGGCTAACGAGGTATCTTGAACAACGCAGCCCAGGTGCCAGCATAAGCTATAGGCGGGTAATCTCCAACCAGATTACTTTTGTGGTGTATCAGCAGGATTTATGAGCGGCGATCCAAGGTCCCTTTGGTATCCTGGGCGTACTCGAGTGGTATGGGAGTTTCAAACATCCTTCGTTGCATGAACCCATCTCCCCAGCCGTCAATTGGGTCATCTCAATATTGGAGGGCCACATAAAACCCCATGCTTTTGGCCATAGTCATTTTCTTTGCTAGAGACCACCTAGTGGGAACAATAGTATTGAAGAGCGCGATGCGTGACTTTTCGTAAAATTGAGGCCGTGATCGTTTAACGAGCTTTGCCAGCCTGGTTGGCAGCCTCTGTGTAATGACTCTATCAGTACTGACTCGAATAAAAATTCCGATCGCAACCTCTATAGATATTTTAAGAGAGGCGAGAGCATATATTGATCTCAGAAATCCAGCTCAGGGAACGATGCGCAACTCACCTCGCCGTGTAGCATCCTCCAACAACCCCACGTCAACCTCCGACCGAGGCAACATCACGTAGCGCACTACACTTCCTCGGATGAACATGTTCTTCACCGAAGACAGATGAGGGTATTTAGCCAGATCCAACACTTCGATATCATCGAGCTTAATGTTTAGGTATTGGTCGACCGATTTCAGGATTCCACGAATGCGGATGTCATTCTTGAGCTCAATGGTGACCGTCTGGTTGGTTAGAGTTTTGAAGAAGCTGTAGTGATGTAACTATGAGTTTCCCGTCCATACGAAATGGATTTGCGCTTCACGCCATAGCATACCTGAAGAAAAGCATGGTTGCGGTGGATAGGAAAGCTTGGAGGGGTGCTTGGATGAGGAGATATGTGTTAGATCAAAGCGGTGATTTATATTCTGCCAGTGTCAGACGATGGTGCGAGTTGGATGTGAGAGCAGTAATGAGTACCGAGAAATTTAGAGACAGGAATGTCAACGACGTTCAAAAGTTGGTAAAGCGAGATGCAAAAGAGAAGCCGTTGGAGGTGATCACGTGCATGTCCCCATATAAGCGGCCCATAACTTTCACCAACGCTTACCCATATTTCCTTGAGTTGACCCTACCATAGACAAAAAAAATGTTGGAGAGTTGCTTCAGATCAACCAGCAATAAATTAAACGGCTCTACGATGTCTTCACCTTTTGATCATTTCCAGAGTAGGTACGTCTACATCTGCTAACTATACTTTGTACAGCCGTGAAACATATTTTGGCCCATTCCCCATTGAATAAGCCTCATGCCCCATCACACCAGTCTGGTCCTGAAACAAAATTGTATATTCACATCTCGCAAACTCTTTTACCTGATTGGATTTTTTGCGTAAAACAGACTAGCTGGGCGTGCATGAACATATGAATAGGAGCATAGACCCACCTATCGCTTTATATCAACCAGAATAGTAGTTGGCCACTTATATGGCCTCTGTCCTTAACGACGTGGGTATATTTGGCCCAAGATGATACTTGGGATTTTATATATGAGAACATTCCAATTTGGTTTTAGAGGTTCTTTTTAAAGTTCTTTTTTGGCATGTTTTGGAATCGCTCCTAGGACTGAGACCCAACTGGAGATGAGACTTTCAGCAGCAACAGTACACCTATGGAGAATCTGAGGTCCCTGTCAAAAGGCCTACCATCGACCTCTAAGATTTCCTTATGTACTTGACCATCATTCAAACCAACCCCACTGGCAGCCCCGATGTTTATGCATACTGGAGGATCGAGAGGGAAATCAAGCGGAAAGGTCCATCCTATATAGTCTGATGACACTGTTTCCATTAAGGGGCTATTCAGGCTTTGCGGTGCCAAATTTTACGACAAGAATCGTAAGATAGATATTAGTATCACGCTCAATGACGAAGCATTTGGCATCAACTTGCAGTTAAATACGAATAATCTCTGAATGGGTCAGACTGAACTCAATGCGATCAATTTAAAGATGTGGATGGAGGGCATGAGGGGTATCTGGACCTCGAAGCCCAAGTCAAGATCTCAAGTATCAATATTCTATGTTCGCGTCATCAGTTTGAACGCGGAAATCGGTCCCAGCGACCCTATCGATATTGTCTTGGTTGGTGAGTTGCTGGAATACTAGGGAGTTTCGATGCTTGAGATGGGTTTTTTTTTGGTGCGCGGTGTGCTTACCATAGCTTGTCAATTGGACAACAGAATTAATTTTATTGTCATGTCATCAAGATGCACAGAGATGAATCACTTTCAGTTACTTTGGATATATATTTCCTCCGTTGTCTGTAAGCTCGAGACCACTTATAATATGTATCCTAACGCAAATGAGTATAGGATAGATTGTTGGTTTCATCATTTTACTCTCTTTATTTTAGAGTAGACTATATGTAATCCGTACCCAAATTTCTATGGAAGGCTAATGTAGTATTTGGTGTTCTCGCTGCTTCTACAAGGAATTCATCCGGTGGTCGGCTATATTGATCTTGCAGATTTGGCCTCATGGTGCTTCCAGATGTCACAGATTGCCTACTTAGGTACCTAGGTAGTTCCCCAAGCTGATACATCCTAAAATCCGACATTATTAACTATAGTTCTATAATGTCTACGGGCAAGGAACCGCTGGTTACTAGAAATCAAAAATCAAATTCGGCTGGTTATCTTTCCAACACAATGCATATTATGCGGTTGGTCTGAAACATAATTGCTGAAACTACTTTTTACAATCTAAAATCCCCCCTAGTCTCGGAGGATGGCTTAAACCATCATGCATTGTCTACATTAGCATGATTCTGATAAAGCGTCAAATATATTGCAATGACACAAGACTGGTCCAGATCTAGGTTAGTTGTGGACGGAACCTGTGATTTTAGAAAAGGGTACTTTTATCAAAATTATCACTCAGATGAGAAATTATTATGATATTCATACTTATTACTATCTGCATGCATCATGATGTTGGGCTCCCATGGAGTTCAGTGATGACTTCTAAACTCCTACAGTAGCGCCAAATTCTAAAAAGCATAGCCCTGTAAGAGGGGAAAGTGTACAGAAATTTCCTATCAACATGAGCAAGACTTTATAATTTGTATTGAACTAGACCAAGACCTGGAGACTCCTACGCGCCTTTAGGGTAACATTGGTGTTAGTGTAGAGGCTAATAGTACATGATCACATAGACTAAGAGGGGAAATGTGACAATGAGGTCAATTAGCATATAATTTCTATTATTATTTCTTGCTAAGAGACCTTGTACGTCTCTAGCGTGCATTAGTATAGTGTACAGCGTTGGACTTGGCAACCATTTCCCCTCACTTTCCCTCCTTTTCCCTTCTCTTCCCGATGATCGCCACTTCATCTTACCGACTTTTGTATCATGCGACATTAATTATGATGGTTTAATGCCTGTTTAGGTGCTGGAAATGTGCATAATTCATGTTCCATCCATCTCCGACGGTCACTAATTTGGCTAAAGATAGTAGCCCGGCGCCTACACGCAACCAATCACCAGCCTCTTCACACTGCATCTCACTCATCCCACCACCCTGGGCGGTTCGTCACAGTATCTATGAATCTCATTGGCTCCTTTTCGCATTTTTAGTCTTCGTTTACTCGACTCTTGCTCAAAAAATGGCCTTGGCTCTTTGCTCACGGGTGCAACCCCTGTTCAGCGTGACGCGCCCATTTCCTCACGACCAATGATATCCATGTCCGCTACCCTCCAGACCAGGATTATTGGGTTAATTGTGCCCAATGCTGCAGTAGTCTCTTTAATGGAGTGACTCTTTCTGAAGACGGATCGACTGGTCACTGCACAGACCCCGTGGCTGGTGGAAAGCGCCCAATTGACTATAAACCCTTCCCAACTGCCACAACTTCTCTGAAGGCTAGCGTTCTTCGTTTGACTTCATTCTCTTATGCTCGGTGCCTCTAGCTCTGGTAGCTTTTGCATCTGTTTGTTTCTTTGTGTTATCTTGTTATCTTTCCAGTCTTTCACTTCACAGACCCGTTGATCGGTGTCGTTTCCTACGAGTTAAGATACCCATAGATATTTCCAGTGAGCGAGTCACGCAAAACCAACATCCAACAGTTTCATTAGGCGTGCAATATGACCGATACACTCCGCTCGACTGTACGATTTCCGCCCCTTCGGCAGGCCCGAGGGACGGTGCTTAATACTATAATGGAGGATACGCGGGAATCTCAGTTCACTCAGACAAGTCCAAAAGGATCAGTTCCTTCCAGGCTTACACCGGCAGCCATCAGCCCAAAGTTGAGGCTACAGACTAGCGGGTTCTCGGTACCAACACAGGCCCGGCTCGCACGCCTAATGTCGCCCCTCTCGGCCTGCACCACCTCGTCATGCTCAGATACAGAATGGCAGTCTCAGATGCAACAATTTCAAGGATATGATGACTTGTACGATGCCACAGATGATGATAGTATTGACGACAATGAGACCGAAATTAGTGACTCGTGTTTTTCCCCCGATACGCGGCCATCAAGCTTGGTTACACCAATTACCCGAAACTCGGTGACCTCAACTGGGAGTCAAAAGCATTCGCTAAGGCTTAAGATTCCTTCGTCTACGATGTGGCCGTCAATGAACGGGTCCCTCAAGGGCTCTCCAGTCCCGCCGACGCCTCCAGCCAAGATCCCAGTCTCGCCAGCAGCGCTGTCGATGCTCAGTCGTTCTGTACCTGCATCATATGCCCCTCCTTCACTCGATGGTAGCATGACTTCAGATCAGGAATCAATCATCAGTGCATTGGCTACACCAGACTCCCAATCTCTCCCAGACACAAACTGGGATGCACATGATATACATGTTCGCCCAGATATGGATGGAAGTGAAAGCGACCTAGACAATGCGGATGCCAGTTCAGACATGCATACTGTGCCCATTGCTATCGAGACACCGCATGAGGACTGGCGTCATGTTCTGGGAAGTTTCCCCCGGATTCCCACCGCTGCCCAGGCGTATTCACCCTCGCTCTCGCCCTCACCCTCACAATCTTTCCATATGAATGATCAGCCAATTCACGAATATGACGACTTGTACGATGCCCCCGAGCCTGCTGGCCAGAGTCTCTTTTTGCCTGACTCGGCACTTGCAATGCTACACCACATTCACTTGGATGAAACACTCGACTCGTGCTCTGAGGCTGAAGAGGATACCGGCGAAATGTGGCAACTCCAGCCAGCTCCCAGCCGCCCAAGGAGTGCTGACGGGGTCACCCCCGCATCTGAACTGTCTGGATACAGTTTCAGTGATCTGAGCATTCCATCTCCTGGGGGCTTCTTTGCCTCCCTGGCGCCCCGTGCGCGCCATACATGGGCAATCCCCAACACCAACTACCAGCCGACTTCGGCGGCTGCAGAGGGTTTCTACAACCTTCCTTGGCGTCGGGATGAAGGGGAGATTGTTGAGCAGGTTGTTGAGTGGCCTGAGCGCCCTGATGACGAAGACCCAATTACAGCGGTTCGTGACGAAGAGGCTCCTCTTACTGCCATTCGACTCCCATGCGAGACACCTACTCGTCGGTCTATCTACCAGGATAGCCCCATGAGTGCTGCATTTGACGCAGTTCAGGTTCAGGAGATCCCTCGCTCTGGGAACGGATATGAGTACGACGAGTGCTATGATCAAGAGCTGCAGGAACGTGCAGTTGCGAGCCACGACCGGACGAGTATCTGGCTATCTGCTCAAGCATCATACCTCTCCGCTCTCAATGAGACAAATCCTGTGAATGATGTCGAGGCTATCGATTTGCCCGAGGAGTCCGATGATGCTGAGGTTGAAGCCGAAGACACCACGGAAGATTCTTCCAAGAAGATGGTGCGATTCGCTGAAGGTGTCCCCGAGTCCCTCAGTCCTCTGCCCCCGTTCCTTGCTAGCAAGGATTCAATTTACTGGCAAGGCTTTCAGTCTATTCGGCAACGGTCAACCAAGACCGACGGGTTCATGCACCGCAACATGCGCTTCGATGCTGTGCAATCCATGCGCCTCGCCATGAATGACCTTCACATTAACTGCTTGCTGGGCAAGTATGAGCTTGTTCGCCCGGAGCGCCCTGCATACAAGGGTCCTTTCGCCAAGGCACCTCGCAATTCGGTGATTACCACCGAGTTGGCCGAGAAGGCCCAATTTGACAAGGTGGAGAAAGAGCAGCTGGTTCTTGCTCAACTGTCACAGCCCATGTGGGCCATGGATGCCCTTCGGTCTCTCAACGGCGGCAATCTTCTCACAAGTCCTGCCCAGCGCATGCTTACACGAGCCTCATCAAAGCCTAAGGCCTTGCAGGGACCACGCAAGCGCAGTCTCCGCATCCTGGACCTTGGGGGTCACTCCTCCTGTGACTGGGCGTGGCAAGCCGCCTACGAGTTCCCAAATGTCAAGGTTTACACTGTCACCTCCAAGAATCAGACTGTAAACAGCGCCATCAAGGGCCCTCCCAATCACCGCCAAGTGGCCGTGGTCAACCTCTGGGAGCTGCCCTTTGGCAACAACCAGTTCGATGTCATTTCCGCCCGCTCCTTGCACGCACTGCTGAAGACCGAATGTCCGGCAGGCAAGGACCGCGACGAGTACGACCTAGTTCTGAAGGAATGCATGCGATGCCTCAAGCCAGGCGGCTACCTCGAGTTCCAAGTTCTTGACGCCGAGATCTCGCAGGCGGGACCGTATGGAAGCGCAACCTCAGTGGAGTTTGCCTTCAACCTGCGCAACCGCGGGTACGACCCACTGGCGTCCAAGAGCTTCGTCGGCCGTCTCCGCAACAGCGGATTTGTTGACACACAGCGCGCCTGGATGTTCCTCCCAATGGGCACCGAGCCCGTAGAGCAGGAGCCGCTGCGCGAGACTCCCGCACCGCGTGTGCAGAGCCAAATTGAAAATTACGAGGCGGTGCAGGGGCCGATTGGGAGCACTGCGGATATTGCCAGTATGACTGGATTGATTGGGGGGTGGATGTGGGAGCAGTGGTTACTGAAATTGCGAGTAGAGATGGGTCGTGAGCGGTCTATGTTGCTTGAGGGTCTTGGTGCGCTGTTTGATGAGGGAAGGAAGAGTGGCGCGGGCTGGACCTGCCTGTCTGGGTGGACTATGAAGCCCAAGCGGAAGAGTTCGGTCTCTTTGGCTTAGGCTGAGTCTGTCTAGGGTTGATACAGGTCTATCTTTATGTATTTAGCCTTGGCCCTGGTGGCTCGCAATTAATGTAATGCTTGATGTCTGAGATGTTTTTGGCTTTTGCTTCAATTAAAACCAACACAATCATCACTGGTTTATACATAATTTTCCACCGTCCAGCTATAGAACTGGGAAGAGGAGAAAATATCCAAAAGGCATTCAAAAAGAATACCTAAAACCACTAACGAGATCACTACAAGCACATCATAATTCATAATTCAATTTACATCTTCTATTTTCGATATATCATCGTAGCTCTATTAGCGGGTTAACATACATTCATGAGAGCACTATCGGGAGCCCAGCCATCGCCTCCACGTATATAATATTCCACATCCTGATCGCGGTCCTCGGTATCCTCATCCAAGTTCTGGTCCTCCATGAAGCCAAGAATCTGTTGGCACATCCAAGATGCCCTTCCGTGGACTCTGAAGGGAATGACTTACCCCCCCCCCCCCCCCCCCACCTATTGTTCACAAAGCACAATGTATGGAGTTCAATTTGATTAACCAAAATGAGCGCTCCATATTGTACTCTGTACTTTATCAACGGTTACTAGAAGTCCTAACACACTTCTTTATTACATGTATAAGTATACGGGGCTGATTCGTTACAAGGTCAGGGGTCTAATCTTGCGGATTTATAATCCGCGTGTTGATACTTCCAAGGTCAAATAGCCCTCAAGTAGCCCTAGTGGTAACATTCAAGTTGCTTCACTGTAGAAATCTATCCCCACTATAGCTTTAGTCTACTCCAAATGTTGTATACTCCCATTATCTCAGAGTTAAAATTCGAGAACTATTCCGTAACGCTAAAGTAAAGGATCGTATGGTCAATATAAGCAGAGATATCAACACAAAATCGTTGGGAGTCCATACCCGTGGACAAAGTGCTGACGATACTCCGGAGCAGTGTGCCCCGCTACAAGCACAGACAATGGCCCACTTTCATAGGCACGACATCCCTCGTTGGGCAGAGGAGCGGTTATTCTAACGGCTATTGAGACACACAGTTGAACTAAATTGGAGTGCTTGTACCCGATCTTCGAGTTAGATGCGCTGTAACATGATCGGCGAAGGGGAGATTAGCTATTTTCATAATATAGTACATTGACCTCATCATACAGTCAGATGACTGATCAAGCCAGTAAGCAGACATGTCTGGATATAACGTACAACCAGTCACCCAGGTCAAAATTTCAAGAAATATAAGACTCTATAAATGAATACAATATACCGGGATTTCCAAGATTGGAAGTCCTATACAGAGAACACTCCTTGATTGGCTGCAGCTGTGTATTCCGCAGCTTCGACACAGATTCCAGGCGATACCTATTTTGTCCTAGATCGGATAATCCCAGTAAACCCCTGTCTATCAAGGTCAGCAGACATGATATTTTTTTTTCTCCCGGCATCACCTAAATAGGTTTTCCAGACTAAATGCAAGGTAGATGGAAACGCCGATCCTCTAATTCCTCGACTCCCAACGATCTTCGAGGATCAGAACACGTCTTCAGTGGATACTAAGTCAAGATTGTAAGATCGTTCAGCCTGACACGTGAGAGTCAGAGCCCTTATCATTTGCATCATACATCGGAGGTATTCTAGACAGAATATCAATTTTGAAGCAATAAAATTAATAGCTAAGGAATACCCTATTTCCTTACAAGTTAGTATATATCATTTTATGGATTTACGGTGAACCCGACATATCCACTCTTCGCCACTGATGTAAACAGAGCTTCAGATAATTTACTCCATTTTTTTTTCTATATAACCCCCTCCACCCCTCTATACTCTTTTCCCCAATTCTTCTCCTTAACCCCCCACTTTCCCCCCCCATACATCATGGCGCCACCAGCTATCATCGCCCCCTCCATTCTCAGCGCCAACTTCGCCAACCTAGGCCATGACTGCTCTAAGAAGATGGAGCAAGGCGCGGATTGGCTGCACGTCGATATTATGGACGGTCACTTCGTGCCAAATATGACCATCGGCTGCCCCGTTGTATCTCAAATCCGGGGCTGCGTCGACCGCCCTTCCGAGCCCTGTGGTCGTGGCACTTTCGATTGCCACATGATGATTATGGAGGTGAGTTACACTTCCCCATACCCGCGTCATCCCGGAGCGTCATGAACTCCCCGCTGACCATACTTCGCTTCGTTACAGCCGCATAAATGGGTCGGAGAGTTTAAGAAAGCCGGTTGCGATCTCTACTGCTTCCACTATGAAGCTGCTGTCTCCTCCGTCGCTGCGACCGATCCTACAGATAAAGAAACCACCGCTCGTACTAGCCCCAAGCAATTGATTCGCTATATTCACGAGGAGGGTATGCAGGCTGGTATCGCGATCAAGCCAGATACCCCCGTCGATGTGCTGTGGGATATTATTGAGAGCGAGGACCCCGCGGAACGACCAGACGTGAGTCATTGTCGTATTGTTTCGGGTCCTTTGTGGCCAGATTCGGTTCATTTCCAATTGCAATTGTACTGATTACGTTTCACAGATGGTTCTAGTTATGACCGTCCACCCCGGTTTCGGAGGTCAAAAATTCATGGCCTCCGAGCTCCCCAAGGTCGCCGCCCTGCGCAAACGGTATCCCGATCTGAACATTGAAGTCGATGGTGGTCTCGGCCTGGGTACAATTGAACAGGCTGCCGATGCAGGCGCCAATGTGATCGTTGCCGGTTCAGCAATTTTCGGCGCACAAGATCCCGGCGACGTCATCGCGAAGTTGCGCGAGGCTGTCCAGAAGCGTCGCGGTGCGGGGCTGTAAAGACGGGTACATAGCACAAAAGGGGTTTTGGTGTTTTGGTGTTTTGTCTTTGGCCTCGTTTGAGGGGTGTTGTCTTGATTAAAATTTTATATTATACATTCTTAATCACGAGTTATGAATGGCATTTACATGTGGGAGTCAGCTGTCCACCATTTGGAGTTCCTGTTTACATTTCCCATGCCGTAATTGGCAGCTTACATGTACGAAATAACTCGATTGTAACCTTTTCAGGCATTCTTGATGTACAGATGTCATAATCTTCGTGAACAGTAACCCCCTAAATCCTTCGCAGAGACAATGGCCTACTCGGCTGACTTGGGAACCAGCCCTGCCTTGGTATCATCCTTCTCATCTTCCGTATCCTTGGAACCATTGGTCTCCTTCTTAGGCTCGGACTTGATCTCTTGAGGCGCCACAGCCAATGCAATCATTTCAGCAATAGCATTGCCCTTAGGCTCATTGGGTTCCATAAGCTCTTCCTTATTCTCAATGGCCACATTGTCGCCGCTTGGACTCGGCGCTTCCTCAATCGACTCGGTCTTCGTCTTCTCCGCAGCTTCTTTGCGCAAAGAATCCAGGGTACCCGTAGGCTCCGCAGATATGGACTGTCTGATCTCATGCACTGTCTGGTCTTGATCCGCGTTCTCGAGAGTCGACACCCTGGACGACCGATGATGTCCAACCAACCCAAGCAACTCTGCGTTATCCACGTGGAAGTTCGCCGAGGATATGGCCGCTTGTTCGGGAACTAGAGTCGGACGTTTCGCGAACTTTGGTGAATCAGGAGCGGTGTCTGGCAATTCGGGGGCCACTGACCCACGGTGCGTGCGGTTGGCGACAGGTACCTCTGGAACCTGTTCTTTCACTGGCTCCTTCTTATCGTCCGACTTGGCCTTCGCCTTGGATGCAGCCTCCGAGCTAGCCTGGCGCAGAGCTAGAACAGCCGTATCATCCTTCTTGTCTTCGGGCTTGGTAGCGGGAGGGTTTTGGATCTCGATCGTGGAGGGTTTGAATGTGGCGGGGGCCGCCTCGGTTTTGGCCTCGGTCGCTTCTGGGATAGCATAGCTGGTGGCGGGCATCCCGCCTAGGTCCTGAACGCTATTTATTACCATACGTAGTTCGCCGAACTCGTTCCATTCTTCGACTTCTTCTAGATCCTACAAGCCACTGGGGTCAGCACTGTGCTCCTGGTATAACAGAGCTGCGTTGGAATCTGCACAATATCCATGCAAGGGGGCTGTCACATACTCCCACAATATCGCCGTATTTCACCAACCCTGGAAGCTTCTTGCCCTTGGAGCGTCGGCCCCAAAGTTTCCGGGCGGCATCATCGGTGGCGACGTCAATGGCACGGAAAGGTAATTTGTTCGCTTTGAGGATTGTCTCGATTCGGGAGGTTGCGGTAACGATGTGCGATGACCCCGCGGTCAGGGAAGTGTAGAGGTACAGGGTTGAGTCTGGCATGGTTGGAGGTGTGGTGTTGAAGATGGAATTGAAAGGGAGATTGAGAGGATGAAAGAAAGGGGGTTTGTAGGAAGTTTCAGTTCATTCAGGGGTTAGTCTTGTATTTCCTCTTTGATCAAGCATCTACAGGAGAAAAAAAAAACAAAAAATTTCCCCCTTGGAGCATTTATTATGACGCGGCTGGGTATCACGTGCAGGTGAATCCTTTGTCGATTTCACAAGATTCTGCCCCCTATATACCATCATCTATGTCCAACCTTGGAACACTTAGTTCTATGATGTATATCCCTTTAACAACAATATCCCCACATATGCAACATATGCTGTCCCATGTGTCCACCGGCTATCTGCCCTGGAAACTGGACCCAGTGTGGCAACTTGACGTCAGATCCAGTGTTGTAGGTATCCTAGAATATTCTGGTGGATTTCGCCTGTAGTTTCAAGTTGTACTAGAATAACAATACAGTGAAGGGATAATCTATCCATCCCCAAGAACATCCACATACCTAGTTATACCTGTCACACGTTCGCTATCAAGCGCCATTGTCTGGGTTAAGCTCTGAGTGCATGATCAACATCCCTACTTACTATGTATAAGCACAGAATGTTGGGTAATTAGTACTATTCAACTTGAAAAGTTTTTTGGGCACTTAGTACAGTGTACTTCGGGCACTATCACTATTAGCTATTAGATATGAGTCGCCCAGGTGGTTCCCGAGGTCCTCAGATCTCTTATAATCCAATCATGGGACCTCGTGAGTGCTGTCCATAACGTCTCAATAACGTCCCAATAACGCGGAGTAGAATATAATCAAATGATTTCGGCGAAATATTTGCCACTTATTACTCCGTGCTCTGGACAATGATCCCATCTTGCATAGCATAACAAGGAAGCCTATTCACTGTTTGGGAGTACCTAACTACCTGATATATATTGTATCTCGTTAGTACAGCCACAAACACGGGATATATATACTGTGCACCTAGAATATATCCTTTTACTTACCAGAACGGAAAACATCAGATTAGCACTAGGTAGCCCTGAGTTATACTAGGAATATATATCAACGCCTCTTTAGAGGAAGGTCTGAAGAGCCTCAAAAGGACACGTCCTAGGCTGGAGGCGCAGCGACATGCATAGCCAAACAAACCAATTATGCGAGTAGACAAATAAAATTAACCTACTGACTCAAATATTCCGCCTGCTTGGGAATTGGGCCATGGAACTCGCATTGCATCTTGATCTGTACTGATATGCGCATTTCCCCGAGGCATGAAACACTGTAGCTCAACTGACTCGACGTCAGGGATGTGTTGCCATTGGAGCCAGCTCACTTCGTCTATCGCTAGTCGGCAAGTTGGCCAAGTTGCCCCATGTCACACGATCGACATAGGGAAGCAAGCTGCATCTGTATGCGTCTAAATCCCGGGGAGCGCAGGAGTGTGGTTGCGAGGTGCCGCAGAAGTATACGAATTGGGGAAGCAAGCGTTCCAAGGTTGGCTTGAAAGATGCACATTCCTAAGCCGTTCTCTCCCGTGTTCAATACTTTTGTGAACTCGGGGAGTTAATATCATCAGCTGAGGCCTAGGCACGAGAAATATACTTATGTTAAACCAGTATAGGCTCTCCATTTCAGTGCGATATGTTTGAATGATTATTTTCCGTGCACATACCCAGGAACTTGCAGCCTATCATCGAAGGTGGCTCACAGGTGGCTCATCTTCGATGGCTTGCTAGTCTCACGTGTGACCTATCCTATTCAAGACAGCCTCTAACTGCAAGTAACAGCTCAGCAGCTCCCATCATTAATGCAGGGGCAGAATTATCAGCGTCTCGGCAGTGTAACGCCCACAGACCCAGACGAGCTTTTGACATGGATGGCGCATTAAGTCACCACCCAAGCGCCCTGTTCTCTGCATTTCCCATTTTGCCATAAGATAAGAATCCGAGTTGACGGTGAGAGCGACATTCGTGTCGAATTCTGGGAGGACTCCTACGCCACCCTGTGGACGATAGATCATCAAACAAAAATTCGCCCATTCGACAGGAAATACCCGGCTTGTCTCAGAATGGGAAGAATAATACATCGTGCATTGGAATTGACAGCTACAGCCAAGGATCTCCCTGTTCAGTGCAAGAATGCCCAGCCTAGCGATCCTCATTGATGATACAACATACGGAGTACGGAGTACGGGGTACGGAGTACCCGTGTTGGGTCTAACCCTCATGAAAGTCTATCCAAAAACAGGGATTGACGTAGTTGATGTACTTTGTCCTCTTTCTTATGAGCCCGAGATTGCCGCTCCTGATAAAACAACGGTAATGTCAGTAGTCGCCAATGCCCAGGATCAGCATCATAATAGAGCAATAAATGTCCAACCATTATCCGATCAGGAGACTGACCCACCCAACCTTGGAAGACCGTGGAGCCTCCGTACTAGTAGTATTGCACCAGTAACTTCGTTTATCCCAAATAGTCTCCGTACACCCCATCACGTGGAGAGGATGATCCATCACTAGTGTGTTGCAGACAGGAGTTGAAAAAGACCATTTATTGGGCACGTTGAGTTTGCCGAAAATAACTTCCAAGGTTGGAAGCGCTAAACTTGAAACAAACAAGAGCAAACTACAACCTATATTGTACGGAGTATATACCCATGTGTTTTATAGGGGGCTATCCCTGGGCTATCCCTGACCAGCCACAAGCATAAATAGGAACCATGGAACGCCTGCGGGAGTGACCCACAGGAGCACGTGAATCGAACCGTTCTTGTACAACCACTTTATTTCCTCGGGGGTTTCCAAGGTTTTTTCTATATTAACCTGCTCAGGGTATTAATGAAATTGTGCTATTATTGTTTGCCATTTATCTTTCGTCGGGCATTGGGCGCTGAACTTGCGAGCCAAACAGCATCTGCAGGATGTCCCCGGCTGCCACACCAGTCGACGTGGCAGTCGTCGACACGCCCAAGCGATTTTAGTCCGACCGTACTCCGCACATACTAAATGAATCTTAGGGAGGGTCTCGGGGTATGGCTGTGCTAGAGAGTGAAAAGAAAAATTGGCTAGTTTTGTGGTTTCTTTCGGGCTTCCGCTGTAGGCGCTTACTAGGGAAAAAGTGAATTGGCTATGTATTATGCCATGTACCCCAGGGTTTTACATGTATCAGGTCACCTTTTCGTAAGCAAGGACGCATCTGGTGGCCCGGGTCATTCTCGGGGCGATCCGGTTCGCTGCCTCACTTTTAGTTCTTTTTTTTTTTTTTTTTCTCAGCCGTCTGCAGCTTCTCACCCAACTAGACCTCGCTTCTAGGAGTAGTCGGCTCCGTCACCCGGGTGTGTACCATTGGGGAAAGGGCTTGATGGCTGACCTTGACACGCATACACTTGGAGAACAAAGTATTAGGGAGGGGGAAATGGTTGAGAAAACCACGGAAAAAAGAAACGCATCGTTACCCGAACGTCTTAAGGGTCCAGACCGATGATCGACTGCCATGGGCTTTGGAGTATAGTAGTCTCTCCTAGGTGCCAATTCTCGTATCTCACTTTGTGGGGAGTGCCCTTCATCGTCGATCGAACTTTTGTCTGCTTTTCTTTTATTCACTCGTCTGCCCAATCTACGTTTACTTCTTCTCCCAACTTTGTGATATTTTTGTCTGATCATTTCCTTCCCTGATAATTTTACTATACAACTGAGGACATTTATCTCCACGCAGATCTTCTTCATCTTGATTGCATGCATTGATAAGATACTGTTATTCCACCCTGCCATCAGCTTCGATTTAAAAAATTATTTTACTTTCTATTGCGCTCCAAATCTACGTACGTCTTTCTCACCTGTTCTCACAAAGCATGCGCTGACCATTTATAGAAATACAACTCACTTTTTCTCCATCCATTTGATTACTGATAGACAGTTACTTCCCTAGCCATTGTGACGAGGAACCCATCGCCATCACCATGACTGTCAATCTGGATGACGAACTGTTCACCAGTGCCATCTCCGGATATCGTGAAGCATTTTTGGTCCAACACTCCCATCTCTCGGAAGCTGAACGAAATCAACTCTGGATTGAACGGCTAAGTCAGTTCATCCCGGCCCCCAACGACCGGGATACCAACTGGCAGCCCGCTGGGAGCCTGAGGAAACGGGCTCGACAGGATGCGACACCACGGACGTTGCCATATTCTGATTCGGGTCTTCCTCAGGCAAAACGGAGAGCCACCGTATGTGTGACCTTGGTTACTTTGCTCCAGCCTTCTCTGCTCCGCCCCTCCTGCGCTCTCGTCTCCTAATCCCAACCGCCATTCGTCCTTGGATTGACAATTGGCAGACCCCGGATCTCTCGGTCGATCTAACCCGCGACCTCTCCCACACCTCATCCCCCGACCTACCTCGGAACAGCGCTGTCTTGTCCAGACAAGGCTCCTACCGACATATGGCTATGGCACGCTCCCAGAGCCAGCAAATACCGGTCTCCCATCAGCACCAGCCAGTCGGTGTCACCATGGGTAAACGCCAATCCGTCGGCCCGGTACGGACCCATCGTCGCCTCAACCATGTCGACGAATTTTCGCCATCCGAGTACGCGAGGTATTTGGATGCTTCTCCCAGTCAACCCTTTGACTCGGCCTTGGCTCTCGGATTAGTGAATAATGGATCAACTGGGACATCTTACCCTCAATACTCTGACCGGACGTCCCCCTGGACCGACCAGGCCCCAGCAGCTGCGCCGGAGATGACCCGCAGCACGACCACCGACTCCCTAATCGGCGGAATCAACATGTTCCGCTTTGACTCGACTGGACCCCAATATCAAGAACCGGTTGGCTCTGTCCCTCCAGAGTGGGTGCCAACATCCACCGCTGGCCTGCCGTATCAAGACCCCTTTCTTTCCTCCGTGTACCCTGACCTAGATCCCACATCGTCTTCCCCATTCTCCCACAATTCTCCCATCTCCCACCCATCGTCCTTCTCCAACCCATCATTCTCAGCATCCGCTCCCCCAACCACCTCCTTCCACTACCCAATGTCCCAAAACATCATTCCCTTCGACTCGGTGGAGATGAAACCCTCCGACTCAACCGACAGCAACAACTTGGTAACACAGCGATCCCGCGCCGCGCGCCGCACCAAAGAGCAAATCGCTCAGGCCGCGCGCCCTATTGCTCCAAAAGTCGAGTCCGTCGACAGCAGCATGTCCCAGATCGACCACCACAAGATGCTCCGCATCTCCTCAGCAGACGGCACAACGAAGGAAGTCGCCGCCATCCCCAAGGCGTCCGTGCGCAGACCCCAGCGACCAAAGACATACTGCAGCATCTGCACGGACCACCCAGACGGCTTCCATGGCGAGCACGAGCTGCGCCGCCACATTGAGCGCGTGCACGCTTCCATCCGCACGGTCTGGGTCTGCAACGATATCTCGCCTGGCAAGTACTTCCTTTCAAACTGCAAGGCTTGTCGCAATGGGAAGCGCTACGGTGCCAATTATAATGCTGCTGCGCATCTGCGCCGCACGCATTTCAATCCCTGTGAGCGGGGCCGCGGCGGCCGCGGGAAAGATAGTGAGAAGCGTGGTGGGAAGGGTGGAGGTAATCAGCCTGGCATGGATGTCTTGAAACATTGGATGATTGCCGCGGAGGAAGTCACTGATGAGGCGGCTGGTGGTGGCGTCAACTCCAAGCTTCTGATTCGGAATTCTAGTCGTGTTTCGACTAGGGACCCTGGGTATCAGCTCGCTGTCGCGGCTTGTCGCCTGGTAGACGGTCAGCCTCCCTATGTTGCGGAGTCGGCTCTGCTGAAGGAGTCTGACCAATTCTCCGAGTTTCCTGATGCACCTTTCGAGTTCGAGTTTGAGCTAGGCCCTGATCTCGACCTTGACATTGAAGGGTCGATGGGTTCCCCATTCTCGGATTCGCAGTCATCCTGCATGCCTGATATTGATTCGTATGTCAAGTGAGCGATCGTAGTCTTTTTTCGTCTCCTTCTCCTTCTTCTTCTTCTTCTTCTCCTTCTTCTCCCTCTCTTTCTTTTTTTTTTTTTTCTTTCTTTTTTCTTTCTTTTTCTTCTGTTCTTGCGACTGCTTGTCGAGAGCACCGTTTGATCGGGTTCATGTACTGTATTTTGGGATGTTAATGGTCTCTGTGGGTTGGGGATCTTGGATATATTTTGTTATATATTTTTTTGGATATGAGACGAGGCTGTACTGACACTGAGAAGCTCGAACTAATGATTAATGACATGGGAGGTGCTACAACGTTGCAATGAGAAAAACATTGAAATCAGATACCTTCAGTATTCAGCCCTGTATGTTGTACTTGAGTAGATGGTACCAGCATCAGAGTGTTCCATGGTATGAAGACCCAAGTACCAGGTACTGTCCAGGCAGCAACAATACAGGCGGTCAAATGCCAAGAATACTAAATGGCAGACAGATGCTATGAGTGGCTGATCATCTTCGGAAGTGGAGTCCCGTGTGACCCGGTAGCTCATCCTCAACCAATGAAATTCAACCAAAGGAATGTAATTTGTGGCTGACTGCGTTAGTCGGCGATAGGGCTGGAAAACTGTGGCTGAGAGGACTTTATGAGAATACTGTGGCCTAAGTACATGATGGGTACCTAGATTCTTCCCTAACATGGAATTGGTTCTGTAGTTTATGTGATCTATATGGTTTATTAGTATAAAATGAATTCATTGAATTCGAAAATCACTCATGAACCAAAAATAAAATGTAAACATGGAGAAGATAATCAATATTTACTAACAAATTCGGCCAATGTGGAGAAGAAGGGGAAAGGGGGAGAGACAGATAGGTACATCGCAGGTACCTCATCCCTGTAATCTTGGCAGATAAACTCTACTATCGGGCGCACCGGCAAAGTACCTCTCAAGTACCCCAACAATTTCCTTCCACCTGCAATACAACCTCGAGAAAGTGAGTTACCTGACCTTTTTTTCTCCTTCTTTCTGACACTCTTAACTTCATCCTCATTCCCATCTTCATCAATCTCACCTCGTTCTCTTTTCTCTCTCTCTGCGCTTGCTTATCCAGGTGGCTCATCACAGCCTCCCCTTTTCGACCAATCTCGGTCTTTCCCTTGTCCCAGGTACGTGGGTTTAACCGCTGTGGCGGCCATTCCTCCACTGTTGACCCTAGTCTCGTCACCTCGAGGCGCCGCAAGGCCCTATAATTTTAGTTGTTATCAAGTCGCTAATTTTTTTCTACCTCGATTTCAGAAGAAGATTCCCCGTCGCCATGTCCTATCAGCAGCAGCCGCCGCCTCAAGGATATCCCCAGCCGGCGTAAGTCATATTGTGACCACCTTTCCCCATGTGATGAGCAGCAACTGTATCATACCGAGCTTCCTAAGATGGGCTTTTGTACACTTTCCGACCGCGCAAAGTTGCAGCCTGGTCTATGGCGAACTCATATCTTGATTGATCAATATGTTAAACATGGTACTGATCAATTTTCGGTGCAGATACGGTGGTTACCAGCAGCCTCAGGGCTACCCCCCGCAGGGCTTTGACCCCAACTACCCGCAGCAAGGATACCAGCAGCCAGCATACCAGCAGCCGGTTAGTGTTGACCTCAGCAACAAACGCATCACACCATACTTACTGATTCATAGATGGGTTACCCAAATCAAGGTGGTCCAGCCCCAGCTCCAGCACCAGAGCAGAAGGAAGATAAGGGATGTCTCTCGAGTTGGTAAGTATCCATATTGTCTTTGAAAGTGGGAACAATGCTAATGTAAAACCTTTCTTCCAGTCTCGCTACGCTGTGTTGTTGCTTCGTATGTGCCGAATGCTGCGACTGCTGCACCGACTGCTGCGAGATGTGCTGCTAAGCTCTATGATCAATGACATCGATGATACCTTTCTTCTTGCAGGCGTTGGGATTTCTCGACACGCCCCACAGCATTCTAGGACAGACTACTGCGCTCTTTGAATAGCAATAATTTCTTTTCGTCTCTGTTACATTGGGCTTTTGTTTTCTCTGGGGAAAAGAAATGCTTCAGGTCGGGTCGATTTTAGCTCCAGTATTTGTTCATCGCATTGAAGTGTTTATTTGATTGATCTTATAAATTTCTGCGTGTTTACCTAGGTACATGCGCATACATATCTATTACATGTATGAAAATGTGGTACTATTCGTGTTCTCCATCACGATATTACGCAAACATAATACTATGTATACTACAATGCAGGTAGAGGGAGACGTGGGGTAAAGTTGGGGATTGAGGGTTCTTGTAGTACTCTGGAGGTAGGGGAGGTAGAGCTGCTAGTTCTTGGGGCTCATAATCTTTACATCTCATCTACTAGTAAAACCAAAAAGCTCAACTTGATATTCTCAATTATTTCCAAATTTGTCCTATTTTTCTATCACGCATTAATATCAAGTTATTTATAGAAATTCAATAATACACAATATGGAGGCGCATGGTCTAAGCTAGCTACAGATTAGTCTTGGGTGTTATTGGTAGAGAGCCACTCTTCGTTCTGCGTCTAAGCGCCTTGCTCTATGCATTGCTGTCCGGGCAAACGAAAGATTTTCTGAAACATTAAACCACAGAGCGCGCTCCTTCCTCCCCTTCAATATAGATATCTATCAACTTGCTATTATTCAGTTATTCCACCATTGCACCTTGTGTTTGATTCTTTGTTAGTCCAAGGAACCTCAACGTACAGAGCGTTATGGCTGCAGAGATTGGACCGAGCCCACTTGATACTAATGGGCTGTGCCTCTTATCCCTAGACGGTGGAGGCGTAAGAGGACTATCAAGTCTCTTGATATTGAAGGATGTGATGACACAGCTAAACTCAGAGCGCGAGGACAGTGTCCTCAGGCCTTGTGATGTGTTCGACTTGATTGGAGGTACAAGTACAGGAGGGTGTGCATTTTTGAAAGATTAGCAAAGGCTTGACTGACATGACTTCTACATATTTAGATTGATCGCTATAATGCTAGGGCGACTGGAAATGGATGTAGACGAGTGCATCCTTGCGTACACCGAGTTAATGGAATCAGTATTCAGCGAGAAAATCAATAATGTCCCAATTGATTGGTCTGGAAAGATTGTATCGAAATACGACAGCAAGAAACTTAAAAAGGCCATTGAAAATGTCATCACTCGGGCTGGATTGTCGCCAACCGACCTTATGAACGACGGAAAGCCGCGTCGCTCTAAAACCTTTGTCTGCGCAACCTCCAAAGAGACATTTCAAGTCACACGCCTTCGGAGCTATCCTGTACCCAATGAGATTACGTTACAGGCGACAATTTGCGAAGCAGCATTGGCAACATCCGCAGCGACCAGATTTTTTGATTCGGTTTCAATCGGCAACCAACAGTTTGTGGATGGTGCATTCGGTGCCAATAATCCCATTGAGGAGGTAGAAGAAGAAGCGGCCGATATCTGGTGCACCACGAGCCGGGCTCTGAGGCCATTAGTGAAATGTTTGATTTCTATTGGAACTGGGAATCCCGCACAATTCCCCATGAATGACAATGTGCTCAAGTTCCTTTCAAAGACATTGGTCAGAATGGCGACTAAACCGGAGAGTACCGAACGTCGCTTCATGGCTCGATGGAGCAATGAGGTAAAGGGAAAACGGTACTTTCGTTTCAACGTCGAGCAGGGACTACAGCAAGTTCACATGACCGAATTTGAAAAGCAAAGTGTCATTGAGTCCGCAACATATGCGTATCTGCATCGTTCCTCCCAGAAAGTCCGAGTTCGTGATTGCATGCTGAATCTCGCAGAAAAGGAAGGTGGGAAACGAACAGAGGAACTTCTACTTTGTTGTGATCAGATACTGACCGCCTGTAGGAAAGACTAGCATTGACTTTGAAATAACCATACGTGTAAGCTATAGATGTTCACGATTTAAGAGGATCGTCTTCTTGCCATATCCGGGTCTAACTCTCTGCCAGGAACATGAAGCTAGAGTTACTCGCCATCAAATCCTACAAACCATTCATTCGTCGAATAACCATTTCCACTACAGCAAGGTCGCTTGCTGGGATGTACCGTTTGAGAGGAATCCTCGATATGTTGACCGCGAAGTGGTGGGAAATGTAAAACGAAAGTTGTTTATCAAGAACCGAGCCGAAAGAATTGCGATTTTCGGCCTTGGAGGAATAGGCAAGACACAAATTGCCCTGGAGCTTGCTTATCAAATAAGGGAACTCTATCCAGATTGTGCCATCTTCTGGCTCCCGGCTGTTGATATGGAAAGTCTCCAGCAGGCATATCAAACGGTGGCCGACCAGCTTGCAATCGGTCTCGATGACACGAAGGAGGATGTAAAGAGCCTTGTCAAAGATCACCTGAGCAAACCGAGTGCTGGGCAATGGCTGTTGATTTTTGACAATGCCGATGACATTGATATGTGGACTGATAGCAAGAATTCAGCAAATAGAGGGCTAGAAAATTACCTCCCCAGGAGTGATCAAGGTGCCATCATCTTCACCACTCGGAGCAATACAGTGGCTCGGTATCTTGCTGCAACAGACATCATTCATATTCCTGAAATGGACGAACAAAAGGCTACTCATGTCTTGCGAAACTCCTTGGTTGACAAGGAACTCCTTCGCGATACTGGAAGTACCCGAGAGCTTCTTAGCCGGTTGACTTTTCTTCCTTTGGCTATTGTACAAGCTGCCTCATTTATCAACGAAAACAGTATGGCAATTGCCAGCTATGTTGAGCTTTTGGATGGACAAGAGCAGAGCGCCATCGATCTGCTAAGCGAGGACTTTGAAGATAAAGGTCGATACAAAAGCATTCGCAACCCTGTCGCGACCACCTGGCTTACATCATTCGACCAAATTCGGCGACAGAATCTCCTTGCTACCAACTATCTATGCTTCATGGCTTGTATCAAAGAAAAGGATATCCCGATCTCGCTCCTTCCTCCGGCGTCGAGCGTTGAACAGAAAAAGGCGATTGGTGTCCTCACCTCTTATTCCTTCGTACGCGTGAGACCTGAGGACTCTCGTCTTGATATGCATCGCTTAGTCCATCTTGCAACAAGGAATTGGCTGCAGTCAGTAGATTCCCTGAGAAAGTGGCAATTGGACGTATTGCGTGGGTTGGATACCCGATTTCCCCATCTTGATCTCGGTTTTGAGATGCTGAATCGGAGTCAATGGCGAGCATCGGTGCCTCATGCCCTCCGAGCCCTTGAATTAACAGTAGCAGAAGATCCAATTCCTGGCAGGATCAATCTTTTGCACACGATAGCCATATGTCAAATGGTTGATGGGAGATACAAAGAAGCCGAGATACTTTTCAATGAGAATGTGCGGGTTTCGGAGAAATTCTATGGCCATGAAAGCTCATATACTATTCTTGGTCTTGCTGGACTGGCAGATAGTTATTCGTTCCAAAGAAAGTCGGAGAAAGCAATCGAATTACTAGAGGAGCTGGCAGAAACGCAAAAAAGGCTTTATGGCTCTGATAGTATTGAAGCCATGAGTGTTCTTTTCCGGCTATCACGTGTGTACATCGGCGCTCATAACTACGAGAAGGGTGGGGAGCTTTGCAGGAAAGTCATTCCATACTATCTCAAAAGATTTGGCCCAGGTTCCACCGAGACGATGGATGCTATACATCTCCTCACCTTGAATTACCTCTCCCATGGACAGCTCTTGGATGCGTCAGAGTTATCCATTCAATCATTGAAGATCCACAAAAAGGTTTTCGGATCGGAAAATCCCAGAACACTGACGGTCATGGTTGGGATGGCCCTCATATATATCCAAAGCTGGCGGCTCAAAAAAGCCGAATCATTGTTGACAGAAGCATTTGAGATCCAAAAATCTATGTTTGGAAGTGAGCATCCTGGAACAATCACAATTATGGGATGGCTAGCTACTACATGGATGTATCAAGGTCGACACAAAGATGCCATTGCCCTGAGAAAAGAGTGCATCCGTTACAGTGTGCAGCTGTATGGTTTAGATCATACATATACCCAGACTCACTACTCATACTTAGACGCATGGACTAAGCCTAAGTAAGTTTCTCGGTACTCTACTATAATTAGCGATAAATACACTAACATTGTGGCACAAGGACACTGACCTCCTCCATGAACAAGTATTTCCCGAATTTTCAGCGTTCGGGTATGATGCTTGAACGAAGGCGGCATTATCCTAAAGTCAAGGTGTATGGTATCTATTACGTTTCGCGGCAGCCAAAAAATGATCCCTTGCTTCGCGAAATCCAAGAAGCCGTGAAGAGTATGTCCGTAAACAGACAAGTTTAGAGCGGTTTAGTCACTTTAGTTGAGGGCAACACAACAGAAAGAAGTCCGTCGAGCGCATCATCTTATGTTTATGGCCACACATTTCAAGCTTAGAGACTTTGTATATACGACTGATATTTCTTCGCGCTGGTCCAAATCAAACCTTACTCTATATACAGCCGGGAACGAATGTGAATAGTTAAGAAGTAAACCATGTATTCGCTCATTAGAATATACACAGTATGTAGTGAAGGGAATCCATTGAAGAAATATGCGACAGTGCTCAGAGAAAGAGTTGTTTTGGCATTTACCTCCTACTCGAGCTCTGCCCGCCATACAATGTAATCATACTCATTGCTGCGCATAATCGACCATAAAAACGAATTCCTACCTGTCGCTAAGAATCAATAAGCCAATTGAGTAATCTGCCCCAAGGCCCTCGGGTGAAACGACAAATGGCTAGCCCGTCATCCAGCATCGTTGCCTGAATGAGTGTTGCGGCGCGCGGTTTCCTGTATTAGGTTGGCATGCAGGGCACCCGAATCAATCTTGATTGAATTGAATCATGCGAATTTCTGTAATCTAGAAGATAGGCTAATGAACCAATAAGAAGCAGCAGTCACAGTTGTATCTTGACTATCATTTCTCCAAAACAAGTTCAAACCAACATCAACTGAATATCTCGGTTGGTTATACCCGAAGTCCCGGTACGTCCCGGGATCCGGCCCGAATAATACAACTCAAACATGTGTTTACCAAACATTTTCCTGGACTACACGTCGGTCCCTGAACTTTTTTTTTCCCCCTACAACAAGCGAGACAGTTGAGGGAATTCGATGACCGGAAAGACGAAGAAGTTCCCATAGTTAGTAAAGGAATTCCGAAAGCCAAGAGGCCAAGGGAAGCTTGAGAACGACGCTCCAAAGCTTGTTATGGATGGCACTTACCCATTATGGCATAGTGCTCGCTAGATAAGATGAGGGCTACATCTGATTAGATCTACCCTTGCTGCCCAGGTGTTATCGCTCGGTGGATCAAGCGCTAGGCTAGCAAGTCTTAGTGTTTGCTGACGACTGGATGCGAGAGTTTCGCCAAATCACCACCACATGCCACGAAAAGTCCGCAGTTTTCTATGCAGGTCACAAAACCGCATGGGCTCTTCACGGCCTTTTCTGTTTCCGATCCAAGCTGTGCCGATCTCGGGAGGTGTATAATACAAGTGCCATGGGTGACCGATTATTTTCCAGCCTGAGCTGAGTGCTTGTTTGATTTTATTCTGTTTCGAATATGGGTGTCCGTCATTTGGTCCGAAGGGCCCGAACGGTCTTCAGTCGCCTGGCAGCTTCTAAAGCTGGAAGCTCAGTTACCACAACCGCAGTGGAGGGAATAGCTGTTGAGGAAAGCAAGAGAGATCCTGCCTCTGACACGGAAGTTCAGCAGCCTGAAGTGCCGGCAGAAGGCCTCCAGCATGGTGTCAGGGATATCGAGGCCATCACTATGACCTGGTCTAAGCGAACCTTGATCCTGGTTTTTATCAAGTCAGCCCCTTTCGGAAACGATGAAATTTTGCAGTGATTGAAGTAGTTCCTTTACAGTATTTGATTCCTATACATTGTCAACGCCTTCCAATCCTTGGTTTTCGCCAGCTTGAGCCATTTGGTCTCAAGTTCTTTCACGGCCCACTCGCTATCCGGTGTGACTACCGCACTTGCCGATGCCTTCTCAGCAGCAATTTGAATCCCTGTCGGAAAGATGATAGATACCTGGGGCTGCGTTGAGGGATTCATGCTGATGACATGCTTCGCTACCCTGGGATTGATTCTCTTAGCCTTTTGCAACAGCTTTGCTATCTACTCCACTGCACATGTAAGGCCCCCATCAATGCTCATCATAGCCGCCCGTAAACCTTGATTCAAATATACTTACACCTCGTATTAGTTCTTTTATTATATCGGATTCAGTGGTAAGGAATATGCCATTGATGTGATGACAGCCGATGTCCCCAAATTGAAGAACCGAGGCTTGGCGTTTGCTTTCACCTCTTCGCCGTACATTATCACCGCATTTGCTGGAGCAAAGGTAGCAGATGAGTTCCACAATCAGGTCAGCTGGCCATAGGGCCTGGGCTATTGGGCTATTATATTCTAGAATATTCCCTATCGTGGCGGCGCCTTTGTACTTCATGCTGAAGACAAATCTTCGTAAAGCCGAAAGAGAAGGACATCGGGTCTAGGTAAAAGAGTGGTCGCACATTTTTGCAAAGCCTCTGGTATTGGATTATGCAGTTTTATTGTGAGTCCCACCTTTATCATTTTGATTCTACAAATATCACGTCGGTTGTCCATTATTGACACGACATTCCAACTTTCAAACATTACGTTCTTCAAACAAAGGCTGATTTTGAACAGTGCCCGGTGTTTTCATGTTTACCGCTGGACTGGTCCTCTTTCAGCTTCCTTTCGATATCGGAGTGAGGCGCCCAACGGCTGGGGCTCGGGTTATATCATGACCATGCTTATCGCCGGGTTCTCAATGCTATCCTTCCTCGCTATATACGAAAAGTGGGTGGCCCCCGTGCCTTTGCTCAACATTGTCTTCCTCACAGAGCGAACCGTTATTAGTGCCTGTCCTTTGAATGCCACCTACCGGCTATCGTACTACTGTTGGAACAACTATTTCTCCTCCTTCCTACAAGTGGCCAACGGCTTGACGATCACTGAGGCTGGATATGTGAGCAACACATTCGTTGTCGTGTCTGGTGTGTTATTCCTCTTCTTCGGCTGGGCTATCTGTAGGACCGACCGTCTCAAGTGGCTGTTATACATCTCCACCCCGCTGCACATTTTCACGCAGGGATTAATGATCTATTTCCGGAAGCCTAGCATATGCATCGGATACCAGACCATGTGCCAGATTTTCATTTCGATCGGCGGTTCGATTTTTATTATTGTCGAGCAGATTGAAATATTAGCCGCTGTTGATCACCAACAGGGCATTGCTGCTTACTGCATTAGCTTTGTTAAATCTCGTGGGTACTATCGGCGACTCTCCCGGTTATACTATCTGCACAGCTATCTAGACCAATACCTTCCCCAAGGCCCTCAGAGGATATCCCCCAGAATCGGCTATGTCAAAATTTGAGGATATTTATGAAGATCTCACAGTGCAGACAAGCTATCCCCCTGGGAGCGAAGTAAGACTGGCTATCTAGAAGGCCTACGGCTATGCTGAAGTCTGTATGTTTTTGGCTGGTTTGGGTGCCATATCTCTGGCCATTGCCTGGACTGTCTTGCTCCGAGATATTGATCTCAAGAAAACTGTCCAGGTCAAGTGTACTGTATTCTAAGAATCATCAGGCAGGGTAGTAATGGTCTCCGGTGGGATATCTGACTGCGCACATCATACTATTCGTGTTCTTCCGGAGGATTCAGCCACAGCAATAACCTTCATTTTCATCTATTCTCTACTTTATGTTTCTTATTTCCTGTTTGTAATCTCTAGTATCTACTCCTGATCTATTACAATAAAGCTCCAACATGTCTCATCTCTATGAAAGTGAAACATAAAAATGAGAATTGTGTATATGGATAAATTGGTATTATCAAGCCTTCCCCCTTTTTCGCTACTCATATTTTCTCAATTTCCGGGGGAAATCTTCGTGACATAAGAACCAGGCACGCCGGGGAAGTGGAGGATCTGCAGCGGAGAAAACGCGGGTGGATTTACCCGTCAATCATAACTCATATCCCTAGTCATGGCGTTCACTAACTACCCCTCAACCCTAGCCAAGAGAAAGGCACCACTTGAATGCGGCGTCAATCATCAAATCAGCGCAATGAGCTCAAAATTGCTTGCAGATGTAAGTCTCGGCGCTTTTCCTGGCAAGATGCAATTGCTGCAGTGTTCCATGGCCCCACGCAAGGAACACACGATTACAGCATAGGCCGCCCGATGTTTTCCCATACAACGTGTACTTGGAGGGGCTCCGGTTCCCCTTGATGCATGCACTCCTCATGGAGATTTACCTAATTGGGAATGAAATCTCGGTATTACGGTCGCTGTCGATAGATTGTCCTGCACAGAGGAAGCGATCAAGTCATGCTCGTCCAGCCCCTCAGACGTCATCTCATTGCATCCGGGTCAATGGGAGCACAGTGAGAAGGATGGTTAATTAACCGAAATGGCACTCCTCGATGGCTGATTGAGCTGCCTGCATATAAATATCTTCTGCAGCACGCCGTTTACTCATACTCCCTGCATTCTGGACAGGATCGACGAGCTGAAACAGCCAATTGTGAACCAAACAAGCAATATGCTGTACAAATATCTTCTTCTGCCGCTTTTGGCATCATATGGCGCAGCTGTCACTATTTCGGTAGCAAAATCTGGAGGCAATGCGACATCGGGTCTGCAATATGGTGCAATGGAAGAGGTATGCTGAGCTTCTTTGTCCTTTGCAGTGTTGGATCTAATTCAAGGTCTAGGAAATTAATCACTGCGGCGAGGGAGGTCTCTATGCTGAATTGATTCGCAACAGAGCGTTCCAGGGGAGTCCAAAGTTCCCTTCATCACTGGAGGCCTGGTCTGGTGTTGGGGATTCATTGTTGTCTCTAAAGAACCTCACTGACCCACTGTCAACTGCCCTTCCGACTTCAGTCAATGTCAAGGGTTCCGGCACAGCTGGATTGAGTAATGCAGGTTTCTGGGGAATTGATGTCCGCCGTCAGAAGTATACCGGTTCATTCTATGTCAAGGGCTCATACAAAGGCTCCTTCACGGCCTCTCTCCTTTCCTCTAGTGGCAAAATTTTGGCCACTACCAAGATTACCTCGAAGACTGTCGCAAACCGCTGGGTGCAACATAGGTTTGTTCTTACGCCCAAAGAAAAGTCCGCCGATACAAAGAACACCTTCTCACTGACTTTCGATGGCTCGGTAACATTTGACATAGAAATTCCCACGCGCCTCGACTAATTCTTTCTAGAAAGCATCGAGTGGCTCGCTTGATTTCAATCTGATCAGCCTATTCCCACCTACATGGAATGATCGTCCTAACGGCATGCGCAAAGACTTAATGCAAGCAATGGCTGATATGGGCCCTGTAAGTTGAAGCCTATTGCACTGAAAGATCTGCAAGATCCATGATTCTAATCGACTTGGTAGACATTCCTTCGCTTCCCTGGTGGAAATAACCTCGAGGGCGATAGCATTGACGGCCGCTGGAAGTGGAACGAGACCATTGGACCACTCACAGACCGACCTGGTCGTGCAACCACCTGGCAATACGGAGAAACCCTTGGATTGGGTTTGGTTGAGTACATGGAGTGGTGCGATGATCTTAATATGGAGCCCAGTGAGTTCATCATCCTGCAACAAGTCTATTTATCAAGCTGACAGGCCCTGCCTAGTCCTGGGGGTTTATGCTGGACTCGCTTTGAACGGTGATGTAGTTCCGGAGGATGAGCTCGATTTCTATGTGCAAGATGCCCTCAACGAGATTGAGTTCCTGACCGGATCGGTCGACACCGAGTTCGGTGCTCTTCGCGCCAAGGTTGGACACCCAAAGCCGTGGAAGATTCGGTATGTCGAAGTTGGAAACGAGGACATGCTGAGCAATGGGCTGGATACATACAAGGCCTACCGGTTCGCGGCATTCAACGACGCTATCACGGCCAAGTACCCGGATATCCAGGTCCTTGCGTCTACTATCGATTTGGAAATTCCTGGAACTGCAGGTGGCGATTACCATCTGTATGATAACGCGGATAACTTCGTCAAAAAGTTCAACATGTTCGACAACTTTTCGCCGAAGCATCCTATCCTGCTCGGTAAGTAACTTGGTAAAATTGCGAGACAACAACTAACACAAATCAAGGCGAGATTGCCGCTACTTCGCCACTAAATGGAGTTGATATCGACTGGAGTGATATCCATTTCTCCCAGTATCCGTGGTGGATTGGCACTGTTGCCGAGGCTGTGTTCCTTATTGGCGCAGAGCGCAACGCAGACAAGGTCATTGGAAGTACCTACGTGAGTTATTTCAACATACGCTGCACTAGACAAGAACTGACAAAGGAATAGGCTCCGTTCATGATGAACTTGGACAAATACCAATGGTCCCCTACCATGCTAGCCTTCAACGCCGATCCTGACCAGACAGCTCGCTCTACCAGCTGGCACGCGTGGACTGTATGTGACACTATTACCCAGCTTGAGATTGCAATTCACTGATATAAGACATGAATATAGCTGTACAACCACAACATTATGACAAACACCCTCCCAGCCACTTCCTCCGACTCATTCGGTCCCCTGTACTATGTGACAGGCGTGAACAGCAAGACCAAATCGCACATCTTCAAGGGAGCGGTATACAATAGCACATCTGATGTGCCTGTCTCACTGACTTTTGAGGGTGTCGGTCGTGGCACCAAGGCAGACTTGACCATCCTGACTGCGCCGGGTCCCTATGCGATGAACGAGGTGGGTGGTTCCAACATCGTCAACACCCAGACTACCACGATCAAAGCTGGCAAGAAGGGCGAGTTCTCATTCAAGCTGCCCAATCTAAGTGTTGCCGTGCTCACCACCAATTAATTTATCATCAATGATATACGTTAGTCTTGGGAGGTTTTGTGCAGACATAGCAGCGCATACATAGCATTACTACAATCATATATATTGCATTCCAGTTTGGGAAGCAGTTCATTCTTCATTCTTCAATCTCCATGGTGCTAATCCTTGTCATCGCTCCACTCCCACCAGACCTAAATCTGACAAGCGTCAAGCAGCCTGAATCCGAAATTTCTCCTGTATATCCCCCTGATTCCGCCAATCTGCAGCCTTGAGAGCCTCTAATTCCTTGAGAACGGAATGAATGCGCTTGATATTGGGCACGAAATCCAAATCCATTCGGTACAACAAAGCCTGGTCAACTGTCGGGACCAGTATCACATCTGCCATGGAAACAGTATCACCAAAAGAGTAAGTCCCCTCCCCAGCTTGCTTCACCAACACGCTCTCGTAAGCTTGGAATCCGTCGGCAAAGGCCAGTTTGGCCAATTCAATCTGATCCTCGCTACTCCCACGAATAGCCTTCACCCGATGCACGATACGGGAGTTCGTGGTAGGTTGCGTATCGATCGCAATGATATTCACTAGATCGCGCACCTGCATCCGATCTTGTAACCCGACAGGGAGAAGAGAAGATATATCTGGGAACCTTTCCTCGAATTATTCCAAAATAGTCATGGATTGGCGGAGGATGGTCTTTTGACCGCCGATGCTTGTCACTACCAGGGTGGGCACGCTGGCACTGGGGTTTGATTCTTTGTATTTGTCCGTTATGTGCTCTTTTGTTCCGAGATCGATATAGGTGTACTCAAGGGGAATGCCCTTCAGGTGAGCGGCAATTATGATCCGTTGACAGCATGAGGAGCAGAAATATGAGTAGAGGTGAAAGGTATCGGTATGCATTGTGTTTTAACTGCTGTATCTCTGTACTGAATGGGTGGAACTAGAATAGAGGTGGGAGGATGGTATCATCCAGCCCCGGAAGGTTACCTTCAGTGGTCGCACTAGCACTGATCCAGTCAAGTGTAATTCTGGACTGACGGCTCACCTTACTATGAAGTATTTTGCTACTCCGTAGATGGATCGGATATTCGTCAAGACTTACAGCCTTAGTATTTCTGTTTCCAAGTCGTCAACTTTTATGTTCTAAGCTATATCCTTCCAATATCTACCACCAGTCGCATCGAGCATCGGCGCTCTAGAATGTGCGCTTGCCTTAATCTACTTCCGCCAGTTACCACCTCTATGTATTTTCACGAGGGGTTTCCCTTGACCTAGGGGGATCGGGGACCATGCGCCAATCCATCGGGTCTGCGCAAGGCGTGGGTTGACCTCACCATAAACACCACACATATCCCTATACTCCTCAACGGGGCTCCTTCGGGGTGCGGAGCTGTAGTTCCTTACTTGCCGCCCGCACGCTCTAGACCCTTTCCACGGGTGAAGATCGAAGCGATAGTTGCGATGAATGCAAATATTGCGGAGGCCATGAAGGATAGCCTGATCCCGCGGTAGTACACTAACCGAGCGGCCAGTTGCACATCCGGAGGGAGATCATAAATAGCTGAGACTGAGTGGCGGATCTCATCAATCACCTAAGAAGAGGCAAGCATTCTGGTCAGCAAGGCTCGTTCACGGGCGCAGTAAAATTGACTGGCGAAGGAATTGTACTTTCCATTTATCTGGTATTCCACTCAAGGCCTCCCCGAGGCCTGAGTTAAGTGTATTCTGCATGATAGTGGAGGTCACTGCGACGCCCCAAACGGTCCCGAGGGAGCGGATGAGGTAGACAGTTGAGGCGGAGACGGCGTGATCTGAAGAAGATATTTTTAGCAGGCTAGCTTGGCAAACGGCTCGGTCGCTCGCAGATTCGGGTAATCAGCTGGCGACATGGAGAGGAAAAGTATCTTACCGGCGTGATCGAAGGCTGCTAGGAATGTGAACAGGATTCCTGGGTATACCATACCCTGACCCAGGTTGGCAGGAATGACATAGGCGAAATACTTCCATCCTGAGTCGTTGAATCGAAGAAGCGTTACAAGCAAATTGCCCACAAACATTAGGGCTGCGCCGGCGCGTACAATAGAGGCCAATTTGCCCCAGCGTGACATGATGATTCCCGCTACGAGACCGCCAAGTGGGGTGAATAGGCAGGGAAGCACCAGTCGGGTACCAGCCTTGCTGGGCGAGTCGAGGAGAATCACTTGGAACATGAGAGGCAGAGTAAAGAGGTACTTGATGTGTCGCGTTAGCTGTGATACTCGTCGGTCTGGTGGAACGGGTGAGCTTACCGCATATGCTGCCATCCCGACACAAACGTTGGCGATCTGTGTGGATACAGCGAGCTGTCCTCGTAGCATCTTCAATGGAATCAAAGGTGCAGCAGTGGTCTTTGCTTCAACGGCGACAAATGCGACCAGCAGGATCAAACTAGAGATCAATGGCAGAATTACCCATATGTGAGTCCAAGGGAGAATATTGCCACCCAGGCTAAGTCCGACCAGTTGAGCTGAAAGGGCCAAAATAAGAAGGCATGCACCTAGCATATCAATTTGGTGCCAAATTCCTTTTGGTCGCCCATCCGCGGAAGATTCATTGTTGCGTGCGGGAAATCTCAAGACTCTATAGCCCATGATCAAAGCAAACAATGAGACTGGAACTTGCAGCAGGAAGCACCAGCGCCATCCGATCGAGTCAACGATGGCACCGCCGAAAGAAGCGCCACAGATGGATCCAAAGCCATACGAGACATTCTGGATTGCCTGGTACATACCGCGGTAGCGGAAGGGAATGAGATCTGAGTTGATGATTGTTGCTGGAATGCTTTGTTAGCGGTTGGTATGTTGATTGAGAATCAATTCACTTACCCATAGTCATCAATCCTCCACCGCCGATGCCCGTTAAGGCGCGCATAACGTTCAAAAAGACCACATCACGGGCCACGGCACATCCTAGACAACCAACCATGAAGGTGATAGTTGCAGTGAAGAAACAAGACCTGCGACCGAGAAGATCCGAGAACCGGCCATAGAGGGGCTGGAACGCCGTGCTCGTGATCAAATACGAGGTTGTTAGCCAGGAAGCAGTGTTCGCGGCGTTGAACTCGGAGCTGATTACAGCATAGGTCGAGGCAGTGATAGTCCCGTCAAACCCACCAAGAAAAACATTGGCCATGATCGCTGTTAAATTCTCAAATTTTGCTCGCTCAGGTCTGGAGTATGAATTTTGATTTGACTTACCGACTTGGATCAGTAAAAACCCTGACGGTGGGCTCCAACTCGTAGCTAGAGTCGACTGCAGCAAAGGTTGCTCTTCACTTTCTTGTACCGGCGATGCATGCATTTCGGCTTCATTCTCGTGTATAGGCATGCTAGAGGCATGAATATGGGGATCTAATACCATTGCTGATTTCAATTGTTCAAATCACAAATTTGCGATTCAGAAGATGACGAAAGAAGAGTCCGAATGTCGGAAATTTCAGAAATTTTAGTGGACAAGCGGGCACTCGATCGGGAAATGCGAGCGGATTATCCCCCGCCAAGCGCCAAGCACGACATCATAATACACTGTGGCATAATTAGCAATATAGGGCACTTTATAAAAGGATATGCCCCAACATCTCCCTTTACACAAACTATCCTTCAAAAAAAAAAAAGTCAAAGAGACTTAGTTCAGAGTACCCATCTAAGGTTAATGTACCCTATCATACATATAATGACCAACATCATGGAAACTGATCGCGGGAGCAGTACTTATCATGAAGTTCCTTGAAGCCATTGCCTGTACAGCAGCGCTGTTGCCGCTTGCCGCAGCAGACTGGCAGTTCAAATCTCGAACCGACCTGGCCCCGCCTCGTCTGAACATCACCATCTCGGCGACAAAGGATGTCGAGAAGGGTTACCTCTTCATCGCGCCTTTCCCAGGCCAATGGGCTGAGCCCCAGTTCCACGGTCCGCGTCAGGAAGCTCCATATATCGTTCGCGATGACGGTGAGCTCGTCTGGTCGGGCTATACCTACTTCTCTATCTGGGCCACCAACTTCCAGAAGGCCAGATGGAATGGTCAGGATGTGCTGTTCAGCTTTGAGGGAGATCATAACCCGGCCTATGGACATGGTCACGGTCATGCTACCATTCTGAATCAGAACTATGAGACTATTCGGGAGCTCCGCGCTGGCAACCATAAGCTCATGGATAAGCATGAATTCCATGTCATCGATGAGAAGACTGCGTTGCTTCAGGTCTATCAGCCTGTGCCGAAGGATCTTTCTCGCTGGGGTGCTAGCCCTGAGCAACAATGGATTGTTGATGCCATCTTCCAGGGTATGTGTGTTCTTGAATCCGTGAAGAGCTCATGCTAATCCGCAGTAGAGTTGGACATTGAAACTGGAGAATTGCTATTTGAGTGGTCTAGCCTTGAGCATGTCTCTCCCGATGGTAAGTCAACTACCTTCAACGCTTATAATGAAATAGTCTGACATTGTGCAGAGGCGATCCTCCCTCTCAACCCTGGACAAGCAGGTGCAGGCTACAACTCATCCGACGCATGGGACTACTTCCACATCAACTCCGTGGACAAGGATGTCGAAGGTAACTACCTGATTTCTGCACGGGATGCCTGCGCAGTTCACAAGATTAACGGTACCACTGGTGAAATCATCTGGCGACTGGGTGGTCTACGCTCAGACTTTGAGCTCGGTCTCAACGTCGAGTTTTGCTTCCAGCATCACGCGCGCTTTGTTGAGCAGAGGGACGATGAGGAGATCATCTCGCTTTTCGATAACTCGGCTCATGGAACAGAGAATCACGGCGGCAATGAGGTCCACACCCATCCTTTCTCGCAGGGCAAGGTCATTTCTGTCAACACTGCCACCTGGACTGCGAAGATTGTTCAAGCCTTCCAGCCTCCCGATGGACTCCTCGCCAAGTCCCAAGGTAGTACTCAGCTTCTGCCCAACGGTAATGCCTTGGTCAACTGGGGCTCTGAGGGAGCCGTGACCGAATTCCAGGCGGACGGTACCCCCATCTTCCACGCTTACATGGACTCAGGACTGTTGGGCGAGGGTGTCCAGAACTATCGAGCATTCCGGTATAACTGGACTGGTTTGCCGACAGAAGAACCCGCCATTGTGACCGAGAAGACCTCCTCGGGCACCGAAGTCTTTGTTTCGTGGAACGGCGATACTGAGACGGCGGTTTGGCGATTCTATGCTGTTACAGATCGATTTGGGTCCCGGGAATTCTTGGGCGAGACTAAGCGCGATGGATTCGAAACGTCCTTCTTGTTGGCTGGTCACTCATACCAACGCTTGGCGGCCGAGGCTGTCTCGGCTCGTGGTCGTATCTTGACTACAACTCGCGTTGCTCATATCCAGGACGCTGTGGTCCCTCATGGCACTACTATTGCGGAGTCTGAAGATTGTGACTCTTGGGGGCAGTTAATCTTGCAGGCATAGACGAAGATAGATCTATGTACTCTGGTGCGATGTGGAGAAGGAAAAGATGAAATAAGGTGGTGAGGTTGGGGTATAAAGAGATTTATGTGTCACTTGTACCTATATACTAGTCTCCAAGTGAAAATGCAAGTGTCACATAATTTCATAATTCCGTTTACCGGATCTTTTGAGGTCCGGTGCTCTTTCAGCTTTGGTTTGTTAAGTTCTTATTAGACTCTCGGATCCTGAAAATTCCGAGTCAACCTTGATAGATACATACTACCTACATTATGTACATATATCTATATAGGGATCACGTATATAGGGATATGTATATTGCCCGAAGCCGAAAGAGCCGTTGGCCGAAATGGGAAGTTGCTATGGGTATAAGACGTGGGGGTGATGGGGGGCACAATGCTGATACACAGCCAATCAAGAGGCAGAAAAACACCTTAAATATGTCTATGTGATATAGCGTTGTAGTCTATATATAATACAGTGTCACATTCAAGTCAGACATTCACAGATATTCTGATATTCTGATATTGAGACAGTGTAGTGTAGTACATAAGTCATTCCATATATGGAAAGAGCTAAAACAGTCAATCCCATGGGCGTTAACTTCCCTCCTTCCCTCTTTCCCTCCTTCCCTCTTTCCCTCCTTCCCTCTTTCCCTCTTTCCCTCTTTCCCTCTTTCCCTCTTTCCCTCTTTCCCTCTTTCCCTCCTTCCCTCCTTCCTTCTTTCCTTCTTTCCTTTTATGGTTCCCTCGGATCTATCACTTTCCGTTTGCCGTTCTTTCCTTTCCTTCTTTTACCTTAACCACGTTACCTACCTTCCTATCTTCTCACCTTCCTTCCCTCCCCATAAAATCTCCCACCCGTCACGTCTCATTTGTTTTTCTCTTCTGTCAACTCTCGTTTACCTTCGTGTTTCCTTCATGGCTTCACATCTTCTTCCTTCTTTAGGGTTTTCACCGACTCCACTGATGCCAGACCATACGCAGAATATGCTTGACAATGCCGTTGAGACCCCCGGCTCCGAGACGCCAGTATCCGAGTCTGGGGATGATCGCGACAGACAAATCACCACTCTGGCACGTTCCCTCTCCCAAATCTCACGTGTAAACAGCATCCGCAGCAGCCAATCTTCGCAGGGTGTCAACACCTTCCTTGATCCTACCAGCGACCCAGAGCTAGATCCCAATAGCGACCAGTTTAAATCGCGCAAATGGGTGAAGAACATCATCCAAATGACTTCTTGCGATCCAGACCGGTACCCGCATCGCACAGCAGGGGTCTCCTTTCGCAACCTCAATGTTTTCGGCTATGGCACCGCGGCTGATTACCAGATGAACTTTACCAACTTCTGGCTCAAAGGCGCAGGATGGCTCCACCGTGCCCTTGGCTATCAGAAGAAAGTACACATTGATATCCTACGAGACCTCGAAGGCATTGTTCACAGTGGTGAGATGCTGGTTGTACTAGGGCGCCCAGGAAGGTACGTGAATTGAATCGCCACCCCCTTGCGAAAAGCTAATCACTAACGGCTAACAGTGGATGTTCAACCTTCCTCAAAACCATTGCTGGAGAGACGCATGGCCTCTATCTTGACAAAGAGAAAGGGTCCGAAGTGAATTATGACGGCATATCCTGGGACGACATGCACAGCCGTTTCCGCGGCGAGGTTATCTACCAAGCCGAGACCGAAACTCACTTCCCTCAGCTGACAGTTGGTGATACACTGCTGTTTGCTGCTCACGCTCGAGCGCCGAGTAACCGCCTTCCCGGTGTTACACGCGACCAGTATGCGGAGCATATGCGGGATGTGGTCATGGCGACGCTTGGCTTGACCCATACCATGAAGACCAAGATCGGCAATGAGTTCATCCGAGGTGTATCTGGTGGGGAAAGAAAGCGGGTCAGTATCGCTGAGACCACTCTGTGCCGATGTCCCTTGCAGTGTTGGGACAACAGCACTCGTGGACTTGACAGTTCGACGGCCCTAGAATTTGTCAAGAACATCCGCCTCTCCACTGACTATAGTGGATCCACCGCCATCGTCGCAATCTACCAAGCGAGTCAGTCCATCTACGACCTATTTGATAAGGCAATTGTGTTCTACGAAGGCCGTCAGATCTATTTCGGAAGTGCGGCCAATGCACGACGCTTCTTCATCAAGATGGGATTCCTTTGCCCGGATAGACAAACCACCGCGGATTTCCTCACTTCCCTCACCAGCCCTTCGGAACGCCTTGTTCGCCCTGGATTTGAAGACTCTGTTCCACACACACCCGATGAGTTTGCAGAACGCTGGAAGGAAAGTCCGGAGCGTAAGCAACTTCTTGCTGAAATTGAAAGAAACGAAGCCGGAAGCTCCAGTGGAGAAACAAAGCTTGCGCAATTTAGTCGCTCTCGTGCAGCAGACAAACCCAGGTTTACCCGTGCAAGCTCCCCATACACACTTTCATATCTGATGCAAATTCGCCTGTGTCTTTGGAGAGGATTCTTGCGGCTTAAGGCAGACAGTGCTATGACACTTGCCACACTTTGTGGAAATGTGGGAATGTCTCTAATCATTTCCAGTCTCTTCTATGACACACCGGACAACACCGACAGCTTCTACAACCGTGGAAGCCTAATCTTTTTTGCCATCATGATCAGTGCTTTCTCTAGCTCACTGGAAATCATGATCATGTGGCAGCAGCGGCCGATCGTGGAAAAACATCGTAAGTACGCACTATACCATCCCTCGGCGGAAGCTATCAGTGCGTACATTGTGGAACTTCCATCAAAGTTCTTGCTAGCAGTTGTTTTCAATTTAATCATCTATTTCCTACCTCATCTTCGGCGGGCTCCGGGGAATTTTTTTATCTTTTTCCTCTTTTCGGTAACGACAACCCTTGTGATGTCGAATATCTTCCGGTTTATCGGTGCAATCTCGCGGTCTGTGGCCCAGGCCATGCCGCCTGCTTCGGTCTTCATGCTCATCCTGGTCATTTACACCGGGTTTACCATTCCTGTCCGAGATATGCACCCTTGGTTCCGGTGGCTCAACTACATGAACCCGATTGCTGTAATAATAATAACTTAGTTTTTGCTCACTTCCACCAGAATATGCTAACACCAAATAGTACGCCTTCGAGGCGTTGATGATCAATGAATTCGGCGGACGATCCTTCCATTGTTCGAATTTTGTCCCGGGTATCTTGGACATTTACAAGGATGCGCCTTCCAGTTCCAAAATCTGTTCACAGAAGGGTGCCGTGGCAGGCCAAGATTTTATTGACGGAGAGACATATATCAACACGACTTATCGATATTACAGTCCGCATCTGTGGCGAAACTTCGGAATTCTCTGCGCTTTCTTCGTCGGCTTCTTTGTACTGTACGTCTTTTGCAGCGAGCTCATCCGGGCTAAACCATCCAAAGGTGAGATTCTGGTGTACCCGCGCGGTAAGATTCCTGCATTTGCGAAGAACTTTCGAAAAGAGGATCCAGAGGAGGTTATTGCCTCAGAGAAAGGTGCAGTTGCTAGCGAACCTCGGGACTCAACTGCAGCAATTGTTCGCCAAACTTCTATTTTCCACTGGGAGAATGTATGCTTTGACATCAAGATTGGGGGAGCTACGCGACGTATCCTGGACAGCGTGGATGGTTGGGTCAAGCCCGGCACTCTGACAGCCTTGATGGGTGTTACTGGTGCAGGAAAGACATCCTTACTTGATGTGTTGGCCGATCGTGTCACTATTGGCGTCATCTCCGGCGATATGCTTATCGATGGCCGGCTACGTGACAATTCTTTTCAGCGGAAGACGGGTTACGTGCAGCAACAAGATCTGCATCTGGAGACTAGTACTGTTCGTGAAGCTCTGATTTTTAGTGCTCTCCTACGCCAGCCTGCCAGCATTCCTCGCCTGGAAAAGATCGCATATGTGGAAGAAGTCATTCACATGCTCTGTATGGAAGAATACGCAGATGCCGTGGTTGGAGTTGTCGGCGAGGGCCTCAATGTGGAGCAGCGTAAGCGGTTGACTATCAGCGTGGAGCTGGTAGCCAAACCAGATTTGCTGTTGTTCTTTGATGAACCAACTTCGGGTTTGGATAGTCAAACTGCTTGGTCAATCTGCACTCTGATGCGTAACTTGGCCAACCACGGTCAGGCTGTACTGTGTACCATTCACCAACCTTCGGCAATGCTGATGCAGCAGTTTGACCGCCTATTGTTTCTCGCCAAAGGAGGTCGCACAGTGTACTTTGGCGAGCTCGGCCCGAACATGGAAACACTGATCAAATACTTCGAAGACAAAGGGTCGCTCAAGTGCCCAAAGAACGCAAACCCGGCTGAGTGGATGCTTGAAGTCATCGGTGCCGCTCCAGGCTCTCACGCGGATAGAGACTGGGCTGAACAATGGACCAACAGTGTTGAGCGCACGGAGGTTCGCAGACAGTTGGCTGAAATGAAAGAGGAATTGTCCAAGAAGCCTGTACCCGTGCAGGCTGCAGGGTATGGTGAATTCGCCACACCACTCTGGTATCACTTCCTTCTTTGTACCCAACGCAACTTTCAGCAGTACTGGAGATCTCCGTCGTATCTATACGCCAAGACTCTCACTTGCACTGTCCCGGTAGGTTGTTTCTTTTTCTACCTTTTATATTATTAGACTAACCGATATAGCCACTGTTCATCGGATTCACCTTCTGGCATATGCCTACCAGTCTTCAAGGACTGCAGAATCAGATGTTTGCAATCTTTATGTACCTTGTCATCTTCCCCGGTCTGGTCCAGCAGATGATGCCGTCCTTCGCCACGCAGCGTGCTTTGTATGAGGCACGCGAACGGCCTTCAAAGGTCTACTCGTGGGTGGCATTTATGATTGCCAGTATTGTTGTGGAGCTGGCATGGAACATCATAATGTCGGTGCCAGGCTTTTTCAGCTGGTACTATCCAATCGGTTTCTATCGAAACGCAGAGCCTACAAACGCAGTCATCGAACGGAGTGGCATCATGTACGTGCTCATTCTGCTTTTCATGATGTTCACGTCAACTTTCAGCTCCATGATTATTGCTGGGATTGAACAGCCTGATACTGCCAGCAACATTGGTCAGTTCATGTTCTCGCTTTGCTTGGTCTTCAACGGGTAAGTTATCTGAGGGTGTTTGGGAGTTAGATAATTGGTAACAGTGCTAACTGGATTTTTAGTGTACTCGCGAATTCGTCTGGTATGCCTCGCTTCTGGATCTTCATGAATCGGGTATCGCCATTTACCTACTTTGTCTCGTCTGTCCTCTCTACCGGCCTGACTGGAACCTCGGTGGAGTGTTCTAGCATTGAGTTGCTCACTGTCTCGCCTCCAGATGGACAGACTTGTGGCAGTTATCTAGACCCTTACATCCATGTTACCCATGGTACATTGCTCAATCCCGAGGCATCGGTGGACTGCAAGATCTGTGCAATGTCGAGAACAGACCAGTTCCTGGCAAATCTCCACATGTCTTACTCGGATGTTCCGCGCAATATCGGATTGCTCTTCGCCTATGTGGGGTTCAATATTATCGCTGCGCTCTTCTTGTACTGGCTCTGCCGCGTCCCCAAGCGTCAGTCGCGCAATGCCAAGCAGACCTAAATGGTCGTCTTCTTTTTTGCTTTCTTCAGATTGTGGGGATGGGTTGTTGCAGTCGGTTTGCTCCCGAGAAGTTCCGGCGATACTCCGGGGGGCTTTTCGGAAATATGCTCTTGCTTTTAATCTTGCTGTTCCTGGCACAGAAACTTATCTTGCCAAATGTATGTCATACATGTAGCTTATGTTAATCAATGTTGTATTATTTTGTAACTCTTTACACGCAAGTATGATAGTTTGCCTTTTCCAGCCCCAGCGGACGGACTACGTGATCAACCTAGAGACTAAAAAAACAGTGAATTAAAAGAATTATTTCAAGTTCAAATAACAGTAGAAGAGCTCGGAAAAACTGGATAAAAGCCGAGAGGACGATGTCGGTTAAGGAGTGCATATACGTGCCCAGGTGTGCCCTTCACGCCATATACAAACAACCTTGGGATAGGCCGATTTCCTGATCCAATATCGGCCGAAATGGCCCAATTGGGATATCAGCCCCGAGTAGAACTATGTACAAATGTATAAGATATCGGAGCAAGGCGCACAATTTCAAACCAGCTTTACTATGAGTTTACCAGCACAATATATTATTATTTATAATATATTTTTTCCGGATTCCGGCTGCTGCCTGTGGGCTGATATGTATATTGCACATATAAAAACTTGTCGGTGCTCTATCAGCTCTAGGATAAATTCATCTTTGTACAATTCTGCGCCTCTTACAATTGCAATCTAAACCACCATCATGACAACCAAACCCCTGTCTGAGCTCTTCGCCGAGCGAGCAGTCGAGCTGCGCGAATTCATATTCTCCAAACCCACTTCCAACTTCACCAATAATCCCTGGGCGTTAGCAAATGCCATCGAGGATTTCGCCAATCAAGTCGGGCATATGATGATCTTCCGGCAAGCCAAGGTCGATGTCGCACGTGAGAAACTCCTCACCCAACAACCTGCACCTCGCACGATTGTCGAATTCGGCACTTTTGTGGGTAAATCTGCACTCGCCTGGGGTGCTATTCTCCGCGATATTCACGGCGACAAGGTGCCCGACGATGTCAACATCTATACCTTCGATCCTGATCCACAGATGGTCGCGCTGACCAAAGATTTTGTGAAGCTGGCCGGTGTTGAGGACTTTGTGCATGTCCTGGAGGGTCCGGGCTCGGACTGTCTTCGCACACTACATGCTGAGGGCAAGGTCACGACTGTCGATATGGCCTTTTTCGATCATTGGGAGAAATTCTATCTGTCTGATTTGAAGCTGGTTGAGGAACTGAAGCTCTGGCGTGTGGGTTCGTTGGCAATTGCTGATAACACAGATTTCCCTGGGGCGCCAGACTATTTGGCATATGTTCGAGCCGGGGGCAATGGTATATCTGGATCAGTCAAATATGAGACCAAGTCTTTTGAAACCAGTGGTAGGAGAGGTGGCCCGGTAAGTCGTATTCTTCTGGATTTCAATGTTTGTGACAGCCTTGGAACTAATAAACGCTCTAGAGTATTGTTGAAATAAGCACCGTTATGGCACTCGAGTGAAGTTAAGATATGATTCAATGATTAAACAATATGAGATATAAGTACAAACTAACAATTCTATCCTTCCAATCGACTTTATATTAGATTCATATTGAACTAAATCCAACCATATAGATGTTTGAATCACTATATACGCAGATTTTCTTTCATCTTGGGAATTATAAAATGCAAATATCAATATTGGAGAGTGCATTTTATTGTCTGAACCCATTTTTATAATATTTTCATTCATAGCTACGGAGTAAAATCCATGCGTGTCCACGCAGTATATATATTTCCAGTACTCCGTATAATGTCAGGATATGCCCTGGTGTTCGCCACGCGGTATGACCTGGCTATTCAATTCAATAGCATCTCTCTTCCAAATGCAGTAGAACAGAAACACCTCAAATATTGTATCCTTGAGATAGATAAGAAACCATGTCGAGTCCCCGGGCCGATGGCTGTCTCTCCCCGCTTATCGACTGTCGCGCAGAATAAACAACTTCCTCCTCGAATCTCCGCGAACTCCGTGCTAACACTTATTTTTGGTGGCCTAAACAACTTCAATTATAAAGCTCATCCGTACAATTCAGCTGAATACCTCGAGACATACCAATAACTCTCCGCCCCTTGCTTCTCCGGCCACGCTGTCCGTACCAGCGCCACACTCACTATGTACGCTTCATCTGCTCATTGAATCGCACAGCTACTAATATGTCTGACAATACTAGGGGTGTGTTCTCCTTAATCATTATCAACAAAGCTGGTGGTCTTATCTACCAGCGCGAGTTCCAGGCTGGACTGCGCAAGCTCTCGACAAATGACTACCTAGTCCTAGCTGGCACTTTTCACGGGTAAGCTGCCAACACCATCTCTCTCCTGGAATATTCAGTTGACTTTGATTTTATAGTGTTCATGCAATCACCCGCTCTATCACACCAAAAATCCCCATCGCTCAACCTACTCCCTCCCCCGCAACGGGCACAACTGGTCCTGCAGCGCCCGGTTATTCCTACCCAAACCCCGGTGTACCAGTCTCTGGCTTGGATTACCTCGAGACAGACAAGTTTCGATTGACCTGTTTCCAGACCCTGACGGGGACAAAGTTCTTGTTGTTCACAGATCCCTTGACTGGGAGTGTGGAAGGGATCATCCAGAAGATTTACGAGCTGTATGCGGACTACGTGATGAAGAATCCATTCTACCAGATTGAGATGCCAGTGCGATGCGAGGCATTTGATCGGCATCTGGGGGCGTGGTTGAGGGGGAGGACATAGCCCTATTCGACGTTGAGACCACGCAGAAAGGGGATAGACATCATGACTTTACGAACTAGATACGTTTTGTTCCTGTACTAGTGCCCGGATATCACTCCGTCTCGTATAGTACCAAATCACATAATATATTGCCCTTGCACACTGTAGAACGTACCTGAAGAAGGTCGACTGGAGAGAATACAAGACAGAAGCAGAAGGAAACGCCGGGTATGCATCACAGTCATATTCAAATCGCCGGACCTTACGCGGTGTCCATCTTGTCCTCGTCCTTCTTATCTTTGTCACCGCTGGGCTCGCCATGACCCTCCTCGGGGATATTTCCCAGTTGCGTCTTGCCTTCCTGTTCTTCCCGATCGCGCTTCTCCTTCTCCTGTCGATTTTTCTCGTCCTCCATGGATAAACGTAGGGCGAATGCCAGCTCGGGGTCGTTCTCAGCAGCATCATCGAATCCAAATCCACCGGCCTCGCCCTCGCTGCCACCTCCACCGACCTCGGCATCCTCGCCAGCCAGGATCGGGGTCAGCTGCAGCTGATCGCTGAGAAGATGGGGTCCCGGCGGGATGATGGCGAGGTGGGAACCATCGCCGCTCTTGACATTCTCAACGAAAGCCTCGAGCTTCTTAGTCTGATCAGATTCCAGATCTCCGAAAGCTATCACGTCGATCGACACGTTGTTTTTCTTCATCTTCTTTGCAAGCTTCACGAGAGTCTTCTCATCTTCTTCGATGGGCGAGCAGGAGAATACGATGATGCGTTGACGCTGGGATTTTTCCATACGGTGCTTGAGTGCCAACTAAAGTACCCCCCAATATTAGTTCTTGAGAGCTTAGGACCTCGGATATTGGTGGGAAGAACTTACCGCTGCAACCTGGATGGTCGAGCTAAGGTGAGATGTGCCGTGAATCTTTGTTCGGTGCAGGCCGGCGAGGATGGCGCCAAACTCGGGTGTGAAGGTTGACAACACCTCGGGGCCCTTGCCGCCCATGCTCATAAGGCCGACAGCTGACTGGGCGTTTACACGCATCTTTGCATTGTGGATGATGCTAACGGCATCGACTTGAGATTGCCACCGGGTTGTGCTGTGGCAATTAGATGTCATCCACAGATGGAAATATGGTATCATCGAATGTACTCACGTGTAGTCTCCATTGCGACTGCTTTCGCTGTTGTCGACACTGTAGCTTTGAGTCAGCAGAGTGAGCTAATATGGAAATAGGCAATGACGAACATAATCATAGTAGCTTCTAGCGTCATGATGGCGGAATTTAAGGGAATTAGCGATGTAAAAGAGGGCAGAACAGCGAATGAATAGAAGCTTGGCGTATGGGAGATGAAGACGGATGACGAAGGCGAGGTGGAAGCTCTGTATTCTGCCAATTCTTGCCGCCAGAGGCACGCTGTTTGTTGTGGTCCTCCTTGCTCCACACCTTAACCAGACCTTGTACCCCGACACATCCTAAGTCTATATCCACTGAACTCTGAACAATGTCTGCTACGAAACGCAAATCTGACGTCATGGACGTCACGCCTACGGGCAGTCCTACTAAAAAGATGCGCTTGACGCAGCACCAGAAGCAAGCGCTGATGGACAATCTACAACTTGAAAGTGGGTGGAATTGTGGGTTGATGGAGTGAGCACGACACTAATTTTGCTATAGTTACTGAGCGGGCCCGTAAGCTCCGTGCTCAATATGCCCTTCAGGCAAATGACCTACGGGCGCGGATTGAACGACGCGTCAATCGGATCCCAGTCTCACTACGCAAGGCCAACATCGGCGAGCTGCTTGAAAAGCACAGTGCCGCCGCAAACAAACAGCAGGTTGTGTCGCCTTCTCGAAAATACTCTCCCATCAAGACTTCGCGTAATATCGCAAGCGTCTCCGTAGACCCAGAAACTTCTACCACGCACGAAGGTAGAGCTCGGAGGGGAAGGTACGGCATACCACAAGTCCAATCTGTTTCTCTGACTGACAGGATGCATAGCCACGATGGGCACTTCTCTGACAAAGAGAATGCCCCTGCCGGTCGTGAGTCCGAACTCAAGAACCCAAAGCGTCGCGTGAAGCCAGCCGGACAAGGCGGGGCCTCGCGCGTGGCGTCCCAGGAAGTACGGGGCAATGAGAACCGGATTCTGTCTCCCAAGTCTAACAATTCCCGAACCTACCCTCATTCGCCCTTTCGTGCATCCCCCGAGAAGGGCCAACCCTCATATCTGGCGCGCCCTACCTCACCACTAAAACCTTCCAGTCCGTTGCGATCACGCGGCCACACTGTGTCTTCAGTGAAGGATCAGCGGCCTCCTTCGCAGACTCAGAGGACTGCTAACCGTGCTGCTACAGGACCCAAGACTACTCGGTCACCTTTGCCGCGCCCGGCGACCCGACAGGGCGAGCGCAAGAATAGCACAGGGTCCACTGCATCTTCGGGTACAACAGTAACCAAGTCTACACGGACTGGTACTGGGGCGAGAAAGGCCACGACAGCATCCGCTGCGGCTGCCACCAAGAGGCCAGCTTCTCGTTTACAGGCTACCTCAATGGCTGTCAAGAATACCCCTACTACTGCTGCAATGCGCAAGACTACCGCTCCGGCTGTGACTGAACCCGCAAATCGGACTCGAGCACTGCGTAAGCGGATTTAGGACTGTTTACATGAATGCACGGAGGTTTATCTTTTTGTGGAGTTGATTGGGATTCTGTTTCTTTAAGCGTGGGTGATTGCAGACTTACTCTGCAATGAATAATTGAGTCTGGGTGCTGTCTTTCCTGTTGATTCTTCGGCACGATATCATACGGGGTGTTTTCTCTTCAATTGGGTATACATTCATGGCTTTTGTCCGAACATCTGAATCAAGCTTTTTTCAAACAATATTTTGCTGCACAAACATCATACCTCGTCTTTATGGATGTGTAACCAGCCACACCCCAGAGCAAATATGACACCCCTGTCACTCTGACTCCAATCAATTAGACTGCTTTTTGCTCACCACACCGCTCTACCGGCGAGTTCATGTCAACTCCTGTCCATCAGCTATGATAACACGGGTTTCACCGTACACCGAGAGGACTTATCTCCGTGCCTACAGAATGGAGATTATCCGAGAGAGTGAGATATTGGAAACCGTTGACAGCAAACTCAAGTTTTGTTGGAAGAATTTCTTTGTGCGACAGGACGGTATCCTACACCACGGGTCAATGAACGATCGATCATTAAAACCTACTGATATCCGTCCGTTTAAGAAGTTGAGGACAATAAGAAAAACGACAGAGGCCTAAAAGTATAGGAAACATGGGCTGTGGCGTCAAAGGAAGATAGCCACCTGAAAGCGCTAGGACGTGTTCAGGTCAGGTGCAATCATCACACTCATAGCCAACATCAGCCCATTTCAAAGCCATCCAAACAATATCTGTCCCAAACCAAAGTAATTGCGCCGACCCCGAGCAGACCAATGCACCCATCCGGGGTTATCGCAAGTCCACGGCGTTAGTGCGGCGCTAACTCCGATACCTGATGCTTAAAAGAGAGCTGTTGATGTGCTTGTCTGTTAATCATTATCATTCTCATCTTCGTTATGGCTACTACTAAACTCACCTGGCTAATTACCGGCTGCTCCTCTGGCTTTGGCCTTTCCTTGACCCGCGCCGCCCAGGCTGGCGGACACAAGGTCATTGCAACCTCGCGCAACCCATCGCGGACCCCAGATCTGGTTGCCGAGATTGAGTCTAAGGGGGGCAAATGGGTCCAACTTGATGTGGACAGCCGCGACAGCGGCAATATAATCACCAACCTCGAAAGCTGTGGCGACCATATTGACGTCCTGGTTAACAACGCCGGCTATTCTATTCACGCCCCTGTCGAGACTTTCGACGAGGATGAAGTGAGATCCCAGATGGAGACGATGTACTTTGGGCCCTTACGTCTTATCCGGGCCGTCCTACCCTATATGCGCCAGCGAAAGTCCGGTATGATAGTCAATATGAGCAGCGGTGCTTCGTTTGACGGTATTCCAACTATGGGGGTGTACGCCGGTGCGAAGGCTGGATTAGATGGTATGTATCAAGACCTTCTTCTCGCTAAGGGAAATTGCTAAAACTGCGAGTGCGATAGCACTTACCAAGATCCTCGCTAAGGAGATTTCTCCATTCAATATTCGCACCTTAACCGTCGTTCTCGGAACCTTCAACACCAATATGCCTAACTCGGCAGTTTTGGGTAGGACTCCTCTACCGGAGGGCTATAAGGGAACCTTTACCGAGCAGGTTCAGGGTCTTCTGGTTAGTGGGATGATCAAGCCCAATGGTGACAAGGACAAAGCAATGCAAGCTGTGTACCAGGTCGTTACAGGCGAGGGATTTGGCGAAGGGCGTCAAACCGAGAAGCTTCTTCCTCTGGGGAGTGATATGACCCCTCGACTGAAAGGAGTCCAGGAATACCTCGGACACGCTTTGGACGTGTTTGGCTCTGTGACAAACAGTGTGGATGTCGATAAATAACTACATATGTAGTTAGAGTAGATTGATTACAAATCTTGCCGTCTTTCCGTGAACTATTTTAAAGTAGCAAAAGTATGAAGTCACATCCCTGAGAACTAAATGGTACGCTTGTTGACGGTAAGCGTGTCGCAACCATGATTCTACAATATAACGTTGGAAGTATCTCAGGCCACTACTCGGCAAAGTTATCGTGGCAATCATGTTGATTGAACAAGTAAGAAAGGAAATAAAACTTCCCAGGCTCTTGTTAAGCAAAAGGCCCAGGGGAGAAGAATCAGAAAGGAAGAAAAGAAAAAAGGGGGTCTAGGTATAGCCGTAGCCTGGCCCACGAAAAAGAATGAGCATGCTCAGAAATCAAAAGCCAGACAAGGAAAAAATAGGACATTTATGGGCCCAGAGGGACAGGTATGGGTATGGCTGATCCCTCGAATCAGATGCAGATGAACAAAGAGGTAAAAAAAAAGGGGTGGGGGGGGGGGGCGTCCCAGCCACTATAGAGATAGAGGGAAACATAAACAGAAACCAATCAATAGCGACCAAGCAGCTTGTCGATCACTTTTGGGGAATTTTCATGGAAGGGGAAAAAAAAGGGCGGGGAAAGAACTCCGTCGACCAGCCCTATAACTGGACAAAAATAAAAGGAAAAGAACGCTAAGAAGGTCCCAAGAAACGAGAAAGAAGAACACTCCACAGAGATTGAATCACACGGATGGATGCAAGTTGAGGTCGGATGATGATGTATCGCAGTATGTAGCTGAGGAAGGAGTAGAAGGAGATCCAGTCTACCCGGTAACACCCATGGCACCCGCACTAGGACGCGGCCGATATGCCACATTTGATGATTGGCCATCAGGTGCTCCTGCAATCGGCTGGCTACTGTTGCTGGTGCTACGCTCACGGTGATATGCTGCTGGGGGAGGAGGACCGAAATCAAGTCCAGCCTGAGCGTTGGCGCTTACCGAGTGACTGTGTCCGCTGGGCCCAGGCACATGGCGAACCGAACTTTGCATCTGCCAGGCTGCATCCTGGGATGGATCGGTCTCGATACGTGCGGAAGCTGGTGTGCTGTTGCTTCGGTTTGGGGTGGTAATCGTGAATGTCTCGCCACCGTTTGCCGGTCTCTGTGAAAAGCTGCCTCGGGCGATATCGCCATATCGTTTGAGGATTTCCTTAGTCGTCACTTCGGCATTCTCCCTGAAAAGAGTTGGATCACCCAAGACCGACTGTAGGTCTTCTGGAATCTGTTGAAGGAGTCAGCGCGAGTCTAGCAATACCCCAACTTTGGCGACTTACCTCGCAGAATGCATCGTTATACGTGATCAGGGCATTGACAGCCTCGATGGACAAGAAGCTCTCGTCCACTGTGCTGTTTTTAGTATTGGGGTAGAGGATATTGGGCGTGATGACAGTTGCAAGATTGTGAATGTCCATCTTGCTTCCGGACTCTTCATCCACATGTGAGAAAGATGATGTCCAGTTTAAGAAGGCAAACAGGACCTCCATCGTATCGCGATGGGCTTTGGGAAGCAGACAGCATGTCAAGTGCAGTAGTCGCCTCTGTTTCTCCGCGTTGTCCATTTCTGCAACACAGGTTAGCATTGCACAAGCAGACTGATAACTATAACATCAAAACTTACTTTGTGAGATGACAAACAATCTGTGTAGCTTGAAAGTCAAGAGCGGGTCGGGCATCTCGCGGAGGAACTTCTTCAAGAGAGCTGCGATCTGCACCGGAGTTTCCTTCGTTAGATCAACTTGGTCATACTTGGTGTCGATTAGCTCTGCGGTATCCTTCAATCGGCGGATGTTGCCGTTCTTTCGGAAGACACCCTCCACAGACATGTCCATCTGCCGCATGGCGCAAACGGAATCATCGACCAAGGTCGGGATGCGGAGCGCACCGGGGCCAACACCGTGACTTGACTCTGTGCCCTCCTTCTCGACCAAATAGTCTAGACCGACACCGAAGACACCCTTCTTCTTATTAGCCTTCTTGTTGTCCTTGAAGGCACGGCCAAAGATATTCCATATGGTAGGTTTGCGCGACTCGATAAGAGAAAGCAGCTCCTCCATGGTGAAATAGCCCTCTACCAAATGTTCCATTTGTAACACAGCAACGTGACGAACGATGAAATATTCCAAAGCAGTTAGTTCTGAGAAGTACCGCTTAGTTCGGGTTGGTTCCATGAGGGCCTCCAAATTTCCACTCGATACTCCCCGTTGGTGACCATGATTGTATCTGGGCATTGGCTCTGTTCCCCCAAGGAGCTTCGTGCCAGCATGCTTGTACGCATTAGGTCGCTGTTCCTTTGCTTGCTCAGCTGCAACAATGCGGGGGATGTCATCTAGCGTCAAAGCATCCTGGGCCCCGAAAGTCAGATCGGTAACGGTTTCGCCATTGGCATCCCGTTCTTCGACGATCTTGAAGCCGCGACCGCTTGGGTCACTGCCATCATTTCCAGATGATCCTGGTCGGGCACTTCTGCCTTCTGGTCCATCAATGATTCTGGATGCGCGGGCCCGTTTGTATGTTGTGGATAAGGTTCGTTCATTGCGAATAGAGCGCAGTCGACGCATCTCACCGACGGTCTGCTCAAGGGATGTTTCCTCCAAGCCATCTCGGGAGGCACCGCCATATAGCTGAGAGCGTGTGTTTGCCCGGCGAGCCTGGGGTGTGACTCGCTGGCCGTCTTTGTTTTCATAATCATCAAGGTTGGGTTCGTCTGGGGCGAATCAAGTTAGACAAACTGCCGGCGGCATGGGGGTAACGTAGAAGTATCTTACCTGATGTATGAGGTAATGTTCCCCCGGACCGGAGTACGGCGAGAAGTCGTGCGAGTGCCACTTTCAGTAAGAAAACAAATTGCTGCAGTTTTGAAACTGGAGTGAAACCACCCTTCACAGTGGGGCCGAGTTTCATCTGGTGGGCGCAGGCACTGCAGTAGACTTGCTCCTCACTGCCGCTCCATAATGCGTCCTGGAGATCGGCAGTCAAGTCCTTCTCACATGATTTGCATGAAAGATGAGGCGGCTTGATGTGCCAACGACTCTGACCCCACTGAACACACTCGTCGTCAATTGGTTCTTTACAGGAGATGCAACAGTCCGAAAGTTGATCGGCTAAACCCTCGACTCCAGCCATCAGGTCGACTGGTGTATCGTCATCTTCGCCTGTTAATGACTCTAGATCACGGAGGTGCTCCAGGAAATTTTGTAGCCCGTCTGGCGCAGACTTCTCGCGTTCAAGTTTGAGCGCACCTTGTAGGCCGATGCGGATGAGGAGTTTGAGATAATGAGCGAGACCAGTCACTAGAGATAGAAGTTCCTGGGTGACACCAAGTTTGCGAACTCCGGTTTCCTGGGTTTTCGATAGAAGGGCAAAGAAAGCGACAATCTTTTTGCAGAGAAGTTTTGCTTCGCGACCATAGGAAAGTTCTGTTTTGGAAGGATCAGCCATCGGTCCCGGTGACATGAAACCAGCTGCGCGAGACTTACCTTTTAACTCGTGTGATTTGATATAATCCGCTAACTGATCGACTGCACCAAAGAGTATTTCCACATGTTCAATGAACCGCTTAGCCACGAGCACACCATCGATGTAAGCGCCGTTGCTCACATGAAGCAGCATATCTGAGATGCAAGCAGCGGATGATTCTTCGAAGGTAGAGAGGGTGTTCCAAATATTGAAGACCTTCTCTTCCATGATATCTTCTTCGTCGCGAATATGCTTGCGCTCATCTTCGCTAGCATCCTCATCCACCGGTGGAGGCTCCCATGTTTGACCAGTAGGAGATAACCGGACATTCCAGAACTTGTGGATCATATAACATTCGGGGTGCCAGTGTTGATTTTGGCCGTTGCGGAAGATCTCGACAAACTGTTTTAGTATTGCAGTGTGGCATCCATGACACCGTTGGGCAAACTGGGTTGAGTAATGAAAGTGGCAGTAGACTTTGCTCTCGTGTTCATAGTAAGAGTCCTGAGCACCGAAGACGGTCGGACAAACGGAACACGTAAAGTGCTCAATATGGTACTTCCGGTCTAACGCTGTAATATATGATCCACGTAGTGCACCGCCGCACTCGTGACATAAGAGGCTGAGTCGTCTAAAGTAATCGGTTTCACAAAGCGGAAATTGGCAGCTTGAATCTTCTGAATCGACAGGGAAAAACTTCGAAGCAACGATCTCGCCACAGTCCTGTGAGAGAAAGAGATTATGAAAGTTAGAGAAGATCCTAAAAGGCCAGCTAGAAGAAGCAACTCACTTCGCACTTGAAACACTCTAGATGAAAAGTACCGCCCAACGCTCGAACAAACTGGCCAGTAAGAGATTCTCCGCACTTTTGACACAGGCGCGATGAGCCACCGGGGGACTTGTTTTGACGCCCGTTTACTCGCGAGCGATCTCGGGGTGTTGAGCGATCACGGAAGCCAGCCTGGTCAGGACCTAGGCCATGACTCGAGCGCCCACCATCCTCCTGGTTAACCGGAGTGATTGGGCTTGGACCTCCCGTTCGTGTTGATGGTGAATCAAATGGAATCAAACTGTCTTCGGGGGATGTGGGTGTGTTTTTCGTATAGCTAGCCCCATAGCCAGAGGTGTCGACGGTGGGACGGCCGCTGGGGTTACCTGCGACCAGGCTGGCTGGGAGTCCACCGGGGGGCATCTTTGTCCCCCGTCAACAGAAATATGGCGGGGTGTGTTGGGTTGAACCACGCCGAACGCTGCATACAAAGAATCGAGAGTGAGGAATGGGCGAGGTGCAAACAAGGTTGACGGGAAGTGTCGAATCAGAGATGGAACGCGGTTACAGACTGACGGGAAATTGATGGGTAGGTTGGGCGCTTATGGTCAAGTGTCTGATTCTTAAATTAGAATATCGTGCCTTGGCTAGGTTGAACCGGGGTCACTGTTGTTCCCCAGAGTGTACTCACCCTCACGCCATGTAAATACACACGGGGGGGGGGGGGGGGGGGGGGGTTGGCTGATGTAGTAGTGCTAGAAACAAGGTGCGCGCAAAACCACTGGAATCGAACTAAGAGGCGGTAAAAGAAAGGTTGCTGTGGGCGAAGGGTCTGAAAGCGCGCAGACTAGAGGACGCGGGGGCCGGTATCGAGGGAATTGGAGCTTTCAAGGTGAGACCAACGGAGGGCGCAGATTATCGGGCGACAATCCTCCCAAGCTAAACCGACAGAATTCCAGGACCTCAAGAACCGGATAGTAAAAAGATTAAGGTGCAAGGGCGAGGGGGAAAGAAGTGGGCTGGGGAGGAATGGAGATAGAGATGACTTGGGCATTTGTTGCCCCCCCCCCCCCTAATTAGTTCGGGACCCTGGGTCACGTGGTCTATACATTTTGACTATCATATTGGGGGTTTCCTAGGATATTTTGGATATTTTAGACTTCATTTGAATATATTTGAGGCTCAATTAGATTGGATTAGATGAGAGCATCTAGAAAACATTAACATTGCACTGGGTGCTCCGTATTCCGTACTGTATGTACGGAGTAGACACAGCTTATTGTGTACTCCGTACCGCCCCCTATGTGCCATTAGTGTGCTTTTTATAGAACACTGTGCAGATTATTTTTTTTTGGTTTCGTATTAATTTACTATAAGAAGTGGACGTATGTAATATGAAGTACTAGTACGGAGTACTCCATACTCCGTAGCTATCTCCTAGTTTGTTGAATGTGTCCTCTCATATTGTCGTAATAGATGCAACCTTAAATAACATCAAGGGATTTTCTGTTGGTAACACTTGACATGTTATTTTGACAGGCTGCAAGGTTTAATATCTCTTCCTAGGATGTGACATATTGATAACAGGAAGATTCGATATAACAGGTATATACGGAGATACGGAGTACGGAGTACTCAATATTTACATATGTACTATGTAAAAAATATACTAGTGCATAGCCTTTATACAGTATCTGAATATTCTTTTCTATTCCTCAAATTTCTAGGGATATCCATCGAATAACAATTTCATATAACTACATCAGACTGACCATTCCATTCGTGGACCAGTATAGGGCCCGGGGTGTTCAGTTAGTGACCACTAGGGACTACCTAGGTACTTTTATTGCCAGAAAATTGGTTTAAGTGATTCTCCAGGTTATCCTAGCGTAGTTAGTTAATTAAAAACTTCCAGCAGTAAGATACCAAATGGAAATGTCGTTTTGGAGGAATATCTGTATTAGCTTGCGACTGATTTTTTTCTAAATAGAAATTTATACCTCGAGATATTTAAGAGACATGTAATCGTAATGTCAAAGTATAAGCATAAGCGGCCAACTATATATTCTCCAGGTTCTATTCAAATAACAAACCTATAGAGATTTACATCAGATCTAGCAATTGAAAGCAGAAATTACATGTATTAAGAGATATACAGAGTACAAGCGGTGAATCCTAAAAGCCCGGGCGTACGGAGTATGCAATACCCGTGTGAAAAGTGGGAGGCTGGAAGACGAGGGGAAACAAAATAAAACAAGAAAATACATACACATATCTTGAATGTAAGAGAAAAAAACACATAGAAGAAATATGTAGAAGATATAAAAGATCAGAATTACAATTAGAAGAAATAGTAAAAAGAGCAAAGCGAAAAAAAGAAAAGAAAAAAAGGGACAAACTGAAAAGGTTGAAGAGACAAACTGTCGAAAGTTGCCCGGTTGATTTCAACCTTTGATCTTCTTTACCTCCTCTTCATCCTTCTTTGAATTATCCCCATTCTTGCTGTTAATACATTTCAGTCAGTTCCAACCCTACTCCTACAATTCTTCCTATACAATACACCCCGTGGATCATCGACTTACCCCAGACGTCGCAAAATGGGTGACCAGTGCACTCTGCGTCTCGTCCGAGTACGTGCCTTTCCAACTATACTCTATTTCGGCAAATTACCCGGACCAATCACTAATCTCCATATTGTCGCATCAGGAGTTGAGACAGGTTGAACGGAGTGAGCAACTTGGTATGAGATTTTCTGGAGGCTCTTCGACACACTTGAAGCCATTCTCTATGGAGACTCACGTGCTGACCTCGGTATAGCATTCACTGTCCGTTATGAAGAAAGCAACATTCGTGATATACAGGCCCTCATCATTGGGCCTCCAGGCACACCATACGAACTGGGTTTTTATGAGGTAAGATCCACCCACTCTTCCAAGGCTGGCCTGAGCACGCGTCTTGAACTATGGCCAACTAATTGTATTTACCCGCCAGTTCTCGATCAAAATCCCATCAGGTAAGATGGTCTTCTCTTTCATAACTGGCACTTGTTAAATCGCAGCTTAGATTACCCAGCAAATCCCCCGATAGTGAAAATCCGAACCACCAACAAGGGTAGAACTCGTTTTGGCCCTAATCTGTACGCCAATGGGAAGGTCTGCTTGTAAGTATGCTCTTAAATTTCTAAACACTCCGATACTAATATTTCCCAGGTCAATCCTAGGGTAAGCTCTAGCTTTAATAGCATGAGTGGCTCTTATGAAGCGCTGAACATCATAACAGTACTTGGCATGGTTCTCGAGGTGAGCAATGGTCGCCTGCACAGGGACTTGAATCCGTTATGCTCTCAATTCAGAGTCTGCTATCATCAAACCCGTATACACTGGAACCAGGGTTCGAGGATGACGAAAGGGCAAACGACACGGAAAATATGGAGATCTACAAATCCAAGGTAGGATCATTATCTCACCATAATATCCATATACTTGATAATGCTCACATTTATACCAGATCCGTCATGAAAATCTAAGGCTAGCAGTCATTACACCCCTTGAACAAGCCTTCCGAGATTCGTCCCCTCCCCGCCGCATGGCGCCAAGGGTCGGTCAGGACTTGAGCGCGGAAGAAGATAGCGATATCGAATGCGGACCCGAACATGGACTGCTCACTCAAAGCAAGTTTCACGACTTTTGCAAGCGACGCTTCCTGTGGTACCTCGAATTCTACCAGAACGCGGTCGAGAAAGGTATCGCGGACGAGACACGGAGACAAGGAATGCCATTCATCCAAATGCCGTTTGAAGGCCCTGGTAATTCCATGACTGGAGAATGGAACTACATCGACTTACAAGCCCGTTTGTTGGCTGTTCGAGACCGATTGATGGAAGAGACACACCGCTGGCCCGTTGAGGGTCTGGTTCTCGTCAAGGAAGATGCTGGGATTGCAGTCAAATTGAGGGGTCAGCATGAGCAGATTGCTGCGGAGATGAACGCTTATCCCCAAGTCATCGATTTGTCACTTGTTGACAGCAATCCTTTCATGTGGAGGCTCACATACGTTGGTCGCAACGAGTCCAGACTAGAAGGTGGTATCATCAAGATCAAGATTTACATCAGTCCCCGACACCCAGAAGAACAACCTCGAGTCTTTGTCGAGTCGCCCTTGTATCACATTTGTGTCTCGAAGCTGGGTGTGTTGATGTATCTTCCTTCGCATGCTGAAGAGATCGGCCAACACATTGAGGGTATCATCAATACCCTGGAAGACGACAACCCCCCATTCAACCCCCTTATGACAGTGAATCCAGAGGCAACCGCTCTGTGCTGGGGCTCAGAAATAGATCGCAGGCTCTACAGGCGCAAGCTTCGAGCATCTCTGGAGGAGTCCTGAGATGAGCTGGCTCACTGTCCCAGAATCTGCATATTTGCTGAGCAATGTGCCATACAGGAGGTTCTATGGTAACCTTCAAGTATCATCATCAGGTCTACATCACTTGCAGTGTGTCATTTTCCTGCCATCACTATGCCTTACGTTGCTTGAGTGATATTCTTTGAGATGGCAGAAAGACAAAAAACCGGGGATTGTGTTGAAAGTGGCATTAAATACCATTTACATTTAACACAGGAAAATCGATATCAATAACAAAAACAAAAATAAAATAACTATTCTCAAGCTAAAGAAACGAAATTTGTAATCTCACTTGTTATAACATTGAAAACATAACTCCTGCCACATACAACCTTGGAAGGCTTTTATCCTTACATACATAGGTAACGACGCCTAAGGTTTAATCATCTGATTTGTTGTCTATTGTCTAGCTCAAGATGATATCAAGGATCTCACATGTAAGGTAACGCAGCGATGTTGGTTTTAGATGTTCTTTTGAGATCGTCTTTTTATATGAATATTTGATTATCGGTGCTATAACTGAACGGATATATAAATGAATGGCAGTACGCATAATCCGTATATACGACTTTTCTATATATAAGAAATAATATATTGGCCTTGGATAACAAATCCACAAAAGCCACTCTTTTGACTTTAACCGTATGGTCTGTGTGAAGTTCGTGCAATCAGGGGCAACCGAGAGTTTTTGAGGTATTCCCCAGACTATCTCATAAAGACCTTTGATTTTCAAGGCCAGCTAAAACACAGAAAGAGTGGAAATAACCACTAGGTACCAGGAATCTCATTCACAACAAACAAGTAATTAGGAATTGTACAGTGCCCATAGTTAATGCGAGTCTTCACGCGGAATGGAAATCAAGGGATCACGACGCCAAAGGCTAGTCCAGTAATAGCAAATTTTCTCAATCTTTTGGCGTTGCGAGCGATGTTTCTGCCTCTGCCAATTGGAAAGTGTGCGCACATTTGCCCGAGTGTTGAATATATCGATTATGTCAACTTCAACCATCGAGAGTCCATTCAATGTTTGGCAAGTATCCCAAGAGACGGAATAATGGTCTCTGAATGCACGTCTCTAAGGCCGGGCTTTCTTGCGAGCTTCCCAGCTTTTCTCAGAGATCGCCTTGATATCAGCTAGGATGTTTGCCCCTGCAACCGTGTGGTTTTGTTCTTGTAAGAGAAGGCCAGCGTGAGCTGGCCGTTTGTTCGATATTCCGAGGGCCATGGTGGAGGAGTCGAATAGACCCATTGCTAGGCCATCAATCCTTCCGGTGCAGTTGTGATATGGAGTGGGAGGGTGAGAGCATGAAGTCCTCTTGCGATGCATGTTATCGATATATCCCGGGTACGAACAGTTTCTCCCATCCTGTGGACCTCTGAGAGAGCGAAACCGGTGGTACCAGGAGTGCCATTACATATAGATTTTTATTTCAAGGGGTTCTCCATGTTGAAGTTGCGATATGATTCTGATGAATGAGAAGTCAAAGGTGAAATTTAAGGGTCAAAGGTCACGCATTTAGAAGTTACATGTGAGTCAGACGTTCCTTGAATACATCCATGGATACATATGTACGTACATAGTCAGATATATCTAAGATTCACACATGTAGACACAAGGAAGTCCAATTCCAGTCACTCACAACATTATACAGGAATCGTTGATTATTACTGAAGCGTTGTTTCATACCGCTCCCATTCAAAGCTTCCCTAGGGCATAAGACTTTGGCCAAAGACTTGCTTGGCATGATTCAAGTGGAAAATCATGGACACGAGGTGGGAATTCACTGGGACTTCAAACTTCAGATTTGATCTAACAGTGTAGAAATGAGATTTAAGGTAGCATCCAGCAGTGAGCTCGTTGGAGGATTTGAATCAATATGTGTCTTTTATTAGGAGATAATAAAAAGATCTTGACGCTGTGGGTTTGATTGGATCATACATATAAGACTAGTCTGCTCATCTTGAGACAGAAAATAAATAATATTCATCTCAATAAGAAGTAACTGGAATACAAGTACGGAGTACTCTGTAGAAGATTGCCAACTGGCAGTTAAGGGCCTATGGCCCGCACGGATCACCTGATTATCTCCGCCCACTTCCCCGGCCCCTTTTCACCTAACTCCCATCCCCCAGCTTCCTACCAAAAAAAAAAAAAAAACAATTCACATCATGTCGGCAAAAAGGCGCACCTTAGAGTTAGGCAATGTCTTGGTGGTTGGAGGCTGCGGCTTCTTGGGGTGGCACATTGTCGATCACCTACTGAATTTCCCTTCCGAGACCGACCCCAGTTGCGCTCTGCCAAAGCCCGTCGGCGATGCGCGCTTCGAGTACCCGACTCTGGGATCGCGCTACCCGGACTACAACTCGACTGTCTCTGTCGTTGACTTGCGCACAACCCACAACCGTCTTCCCGGTGCCAAGTACTATGATGGCGACATCACCTCTATCGACTCCATGATGGAGGTTTTCCGCGCTGTCAAGCCCGATCTTGTTATTCACACTGCGTCTCCATCTATGATTGAAGGTAACAAGCCCCTGCTGCACAAGGTTAATGTGGAGGGAACACGGACACTTCTCGAGGTCGCCGGTGGCGAGCATGGCGATTGGGGTGGCAAGTGCAAGGCATTCGTCTACACTAGCTCCAGCTCCGTAGTTCACGACACTCAGAGTGATCTGAAGAATGTCAATGAGGAATGGCCGTACATCCGGGGTCCTGCACAGAAGGAGTACTACTCTGAGACTAAGGTTAGTTTTTATTATTTTAAAATGGAGTTTAATCGGGTCAATCACTAATCATACCCCTTTGGTCTATCAAGGCCGATGCCGAGGAACTCGTCCTAAAGTACAACAAGAAGTCCCCCAACGAGATGCTCACAGCCGCTATCCGCCCGGCCGGAATCCACGGAGAGAAGGATACAACAGTCACACACAAGATCCTGGAGCACGGATCCCAGGCTTCGGACAGAGTGCTACGGATGCAGCTCGGTGAGAACGACAACCTCTTCGATTTCACCTACGTCGGCAATGTGGCTTACGGCCATTTGCTTGCTGCCCACCGGCTTCTCGCGAGCTATGACCTCCATGCGGCTGGCAAGGGCGGGCCCCTCGACTACGAGCGCGTGGACGGCGAGGCTTTCAACATTACCAACGATTCCCCCGTCTATTTCTGGGATGTCACTCGTGCTATGTGGGCTCTGATCAATCGCGTTGTTGAGCCGGAACAGGTCTGGGCTCTGCCCGAAGGTCTCCTTGAGACTGTCGGTGGTCTCGCTGAGACTGTCATGGGCTTGTTTGGCAAGACCCCGCGTCTCACTGCCCGGACAGTGCGATACTCATGCATGACTCGCTACTACTCGACTGAGAAGGCTAAGCATCGCCTGGCTTACTTGCCTGTTGTGCCCTTGGATGAGGGTATTGCCCGTGCTGTGGGATACATTGTTGCCCGGCAAGAGGCGGACATAGGAAAGAAGGCAATTTAATTTGAAATTAGATGATGAGATTGAAAAATACGTCTTATGCTGTATTAATATGACTGTTTGCTTCAAAACATGACAACACTATTCAACACTATGCAGCTTTAACCCTTCATCAAAAGACACCTTGGAAGTCCCTTGAAAAGATACCTAGAGCGACACCTAAAAGTGTACCAAAAGAGACACAAAAAAAGACAAAAAAAAGACAAAAAAGAGTATTTCTATATGTATAAATTCAAACTCTTCGGGTTTGGGTAGAACCCCAGTCTTCTTCAACACGAAACGCGAGGGATCGTGTTTTGTTCCCTTTGCGTACCTTACTATGATGACACACTCTATGTCATCCCGAGGTCAACAGGGGTGGACACAACCGAAGCTCAACATCCCCCCAGGCCACAAACTCAATCCCAGTCCCCCGGATCTGACAATATCGCCCACGCCGCATCCAGTTGCCGCCTGAACGATACCCATGTATCCGATCAAATCGGTCCACGGCCATATAATGTAGGAAGGTTGAGAGAAAAGGAAAGCAATTGAAATGGAACTTAACCTTCTGTGCCGTCTTTCAATTTCCTCAGCGGCCATTAGTGTGTATGGTCGACCATCACCGGCCGCACTTCGAGGAGCCTGCGAATGCACAGATGATGATTCGGTTCCTCAGGTCAAATGCTACGGGAATTATGGAGTCGATCTAATCCTGTAGTGACACGGGCTCTAATGACTCCGATGGAGACACGTTCGACCTTTTCACTAAGGTTCATCAGTACACACGACCATCAAACGCAGTCATTGACGGCCTGGTTGAATAGGTATTGTTGGATGATTCCATCTCGCGATGTTGGTTGCTAACAGTCTGAGCGATTATTTGCTAGATTTAGGATATAAATACCCCGCTTTTTGTAAATTGAATACAACGATATCTGGATTTTTCTTCCTCCTTTTTCTCCTCAATAGGAGTTCTAACAGTTATAACAGTTTACCTGAGCCGAGTTTATTGCCTATTTCCTTGATGGCACATATTTGTTTCAAGTACTGGGTATCGATAATTACAATCATCATATCAAAACAGACATAAGATATCCGATTGAGTCTTGCGGATAGCCTTTCAAGCAACCACTTTCTGTTCGAGGGTATTTGAGATCCCTACATAGGTTGAGTGAAACAAATACCGAAAGTTTCCTACCCCGGAAGATTGGGGGCACGCCGACGTCGCGAAGTCTTGAGCGCAAGTGCCTGATCGAGTGTTGCACTACAATTTTTGCGGTGCTTGGAAACGCCCAACAACACCTCAAAAAAGAGCATAGATTAAGCGAAGAAAATGTCACGCACATCGTATCTTGCAAGGCTCAGTCACAGGCGGATCATATCACCGTCCTCCAATCTAAATCCCATTATCTCTTCTAAGGTCGCCAGAGGACGTTTGTCACTCTAAGTGACACTCGTCGGCATGTTCAGAACATCCACAGGAGGAGTAAAGAGGAGACAGAAGAGCTTATAGTTACCTTTGCTCGTTGTCCCCAGGTCCGCCAATGGCCTTCCATTTGAGTGTCCAAACCAGACCAAGAGAAAAATCAAGCTCACCAATGTAGTAAGTCTCGTTCAAGTCGGCATGATATCCGCCATGGTACAGAGAAATATCAAGGTTGAGAATGTCGCCATCAAGAAGAACTCGCTGATCGGGGATGCCGTGGTATACAGCCTCATTGGAAGATTTATACAACGACTTGGGAAAGTTGTTGTAGTCAAGTGGAGAAAAATAGGACTGTCTCACGATTTAGGGAACAATTTGATATATTTCATACTGGAATGAAACTAAATCCCCACTTACCCTGGCTCGATGCAAGCATTGTGGCAGATTTTATCCAGGTGATCTGTGATCACGTTAGGCTTCATCGCCGCAGCAGTTATGTTAAGTACTTCTCGGGCAAGCCTGCACACCTTGCGCATAGCCTCCTGGCCCTTTGCATCCAATATATCAATTTTTGTCCTGCTCAAGCGTATCTTACGCTTTGGGATGCTAGTTTTGGCCTAGTCGAGATGCTGAATTGTTTTGGGGACAGGTCGTCGTGAGGAGAGTAGGTATACGGGTCTGACAGGGCTATTATATGGGTATGTTGGAAACAGGTTGTAAAATTGGTTCGCTATGTCGAGATTAAAAAATACCGTCACGAATAACTGGTGCGTGTCACCTGGATGAAGTTGCTACCATCTTGCGTCTTGTGTGTCGCCTTATGCGTGGTCTAGATAGGATAAACGTCAGATTTTCAGTTAAAAGAGATGCCCCTGCGGTTTTAACCCACCCAATTCCTCTTAAAGTAGTCTTGAGAACAGAAGAAACTGCCTTTGATGCCCAGCTTTGGACATATCGGGCATTGCAAAGTCCCAGCTTTATTGTCGCAATCAGTCCCACAGCGCTGTTTCTCGGGATTTGGCATTTAGCCCTGACCAGTGGATAGATTAGGCCTAACATACACAAGCCCGATCCATTTATAGGAGTATTGCTCATAGAGTCACTCTCTGCAGGTGATTTAGATTTTCCCCTTGTCGAACCTGCTGATTGGGGTGGGGCAACTGTCGCTGTGAATATGGTGGTGGTTTTGGACCACATGGTCGGCTGAAGATGCCGTTGGCGATAGACAAGGGCACCAAGGTTTGCTGTTGCGTAGGGGGAACATCGACTTTCGACACGACCGTGGGAATGATGACTTCAGATAACGCTCTGGCGATGGTTTCATGTGCCTTGTTGGTCTATAGCGAGGGTCCAACATAGACAACTTCACCCGATTCACCCCCACTACTGTCGCCACTATCCTTGGACACACAGGGATCGGGGCAGTAATCACCACGGCTACAGGCAAAACTGCAGTGCCCGTTATACACCCACCCCGCTTCGGATAGTGCTGGTCTAGTGAGGGGTATTAGCCTCGGCATCCAATATTTTCAGACTATATCCGAGCACGAATATATGCTTAATCACTTCCTATTCTAGCGAGGCCTACATATACCTATATATCAGGGGCCGATTCGTGAGGAATGTTTAAATACATTGAAATACTATGTAATCGGTGGATGATGGGGCTGTTAAATGCATAGATGGATCTATTCCAAAACTCACCTGCGCGCATCTTTTACCAAGGCTGACCAAGCTAGTCATTGGCCGTAAGGTTGTATCAGAATAAACAGCCTTTGGTTAGAGACTACTCTGTTGACCGAAATTGTTTTTGTCTGTCATACCCATTCATGAACTGAATATCTCTTGTCTTATAGAAGTCCCCACAGGCAACTATTATGACTACGCAGTTGTTATTATTACAAATTCGGCTTTTTTTCCATTTAATAGGTGAAAGAATAGCTATCTGGGAAGCCTTGCTACTTCTTGCTATTTACGCTATAAACAGCCCATGCGAGCTGTTCAACGCCCTTGGTCTGTACAAGGCATTTGATGTTTTGAGCCAAGCACACATGTGTAGGTACATTGAATATTGTATCCTTCGAATTTCCGCATTTCCGCACACGGATCTAGAACGGCGAAACTGATCAATCAGGATTGCAGAAATCCGAGATGCATGCCTAACTTGGATTGTGACCTCTCATAGAGCATGACTCAAAGCAGTTACGTCCACTCCCAGATTAGTAGCTTGGATCCCGGTCTCTCCAACGTTGTCTACTTAATCTGCTCAGAATCATCCATTTAGTTTGTTTCCGAACCCCAAACCTAAGCGAATATAAAACATTCATCTTTATTATTATCACATCATGTCGCTCTTACATGCTCTTCGCCATGACATCAAGCCCATTGCATCGTCTGGCGTACCCCGTGAGCTAGACCTAACTCCCACAATCCCAGCCGAATATATTCCAGAAGTGCAGGTTTCTATAGAAGATAACTTGACGCCTAGAGATGGCCAGCCTGTATTTGAACGGGCGCTGCCCAGTCGGACGACCAAATCACGTCAAGTGGTCATTACTGTACTGCTTATTCTGGCTAATGTTGTACAGGTATAGCCCCGAACATCAACTTCCTTCGAAGCACTAATTCCTATGAATGCTCACAATATTAGATGACAGTCAATTTTGCCGGCGTTGCTGGAGGAAGCGCCTTGAGTGAATCATTGGGTGTGAAAGAAACCTACGCCTCGTGGATTGCTGCTAGCTATGCGTAAGGCACAGAGTATCGAGACATTCACCATGTATTATTGCACTAACATATAAAGTCTAACCCAAGGTACATTTGTGTTGGTTAGTGGTCGATTGGGAGATGTCTATGGTCATCGAGAACTCGTCTTAGCTGGAGGTGCCTGGCTCACCATATGCACTCTAGCCAGTGCCTTTTGCAACAACTTCTTTGCCTTTGTCACTATGCGGGCTCTAGCTGGTCTCGGAGGGGCATTCGTCATGCCTAACGCGGTGGCAATGATATCCAGCACCAATCCCCCCGGTCGCGTGCGCAATCTCAGTCTGGGTCTCTTTGGTGCGTCAGCACCAGTAGGAGGATATTTTGGGGCCTTGTTCTTGGGTGCTTTTCTGCAGCGAACAGAATGGAAGTGGTTTTTCATCTTCATGTAGGTTATATATTGGATTAACCTATGTCAGAATTAGGTACTAACAATGCCTTGTTGACAAAGTGCTTGCCTTGGTGTTATTACATTCACCCCTCTCTGGGCTTTGAGTCCGCGAGCACCGCCGGTCGATAGACATGGAAAGATTGATTGTATTGGGACAGCTCTTGGAACAAGCTCATTAATTCTGTTCAACTTTGTTTGGAAGTAAGTTGCTGATAACAACCTGATACATTGCGTATTAACATTTCCACAGCCAAGCACCGAGTGTGGGTTGGTCAACCTCCTATGAAATCGTTCTCCTGATCGGCTCAATCATTCTATTCGGGGGTTTTTTGTTTTGGGAAAGGAACTACGCAACGGAGCCCATCATGCCACTTGACATCTTCAAAGCTCCGTCCTTCCTCATGCTACTTTTCGTCGTGCTTCTCAATTACATGGCTGTAGGAACTTTGATTTGGTACCAGGTCCTATGGCTTCAAAAGGTCTGGCACTGGTCTCCTCTCCAATTTGCTGTGGGCTGGACCCCATTCGTGATCTGCGCCACGGGCGCTGCCTGTCTCGCAGCATGGATGATCCCGCGAATGGCAGCACAATGGATCCTGGCAATTGGAACCGTCACGATCTTAATTTCTAATGTACTCATGGCAACCGTGCCAATTTACCAATCCTACTGGCCGCAGATCTTTCCTTCGGTGATTCTATTCGCATTCTGCCCGGACTTCGTGTACACAGCTGGCCAAATTATTGCCAGTAACTCTGTCCGCCGTAATCAGCAGGGAATTGCCGGGTCTGTCATTGGCACACTGAATCTATACGGGAATAGTCTCGGACTAGGATTTGCATCTACTATCGAGGTGCAAATTGCTCGCCGCTCAGGTAGTCAAATCATGGGGTATCGAGCGGCACTTTACTTCGGTGTTGCGATTAGTGCCGTGGCGCTTATCCTCGATGTCTGCTTCGTCCGATTGGTTAAGGATGATCGGGAAGGCTGGCATGAAGATGACCGCGTGGAGGAAATTGAGCTGACGGAGCAAGCCGAAGCAAGCGGTGTCCATCTACCTAATGTAAGCCATTAAGCCACTAGACGCTAGATTAAGAAACCGGCAAAACATCGGCAGACTGAATGTGGGGTGCCGAGCGAATACCGGGTTGAGCTTGGAATCTACTTTGTAAAACTCGCTGTATCAGGTGGATAGCAAGTCATGAATCTATGTGTCAAGGGTTTTCGGGTGTTTTTTTTCTCGGATGAGTTCCGAGATACTCCAGACCAACATGTCCCCCGGTTTAACATTCAATATGGTACAAAGTACGGAGTACGTTGTAACTTTTTCCCCACGTTATTTTGGACTCGAATTATAATGGTTTTCCGGGGATATGATCTCATTAATGACTTCGGTGAGAGAAAGAAGGAAAAATAAAAGAAACTGAACTGCGGAGAGGCGGAGAAGTTGGCGATTGGCCACACAAAGTATGCCGTATGCCGATTCCGTGTGGATATCGGCTTTGCTGGCTTTGCTGGCTTTGACTGTTCTTTTTCTCAGCCGATTTGTTCCGTATTTTTGTCTTTTGTGGGGTTTTCGGTTTTTTTTTTCTTGTTTCCCGTGTCCAGTGAAGTCCGATAGTCCGTGATCCCGTGACCTCGTGACCCCTAAGAAAATATCCCCTGTGTTGAGAAACAAGAAACACAAGAAAGACGGGGCGAAGTTTCCCCCCTTAAAGTTCCCCATCTTATCCACTTCAGGTCCGTCCTATCAGGCATCTCGCTCGCCAGCCTGCGCCATATATACCCGCGGATCGTCATATATCATGCTATGGATGAGGACCCCGGGTCCCTACTGGTTGAAGCCGAATCTCGGAATGTTTGCTGTTGTTGGATGCCGAGTCGGCTAACTCCACTGTTACCCCCGCGTACGATGTATGCGCATATGTATTCCGTACATCCTTACGCTTTTGAGCGTGGGGGTACCGGGGAAGTCCATGAAAAATACTAGCGCGTGGGGGGAGGGAGGAGGGGGACCATGAAAAGGAGATTTTCCCCCTTCTTAAAAGCAGGAATCTGCTCTTGTCTGATCCCCGGATTATTTGGCCTTGCTCAACACCTCACATAAACCCACACACATCATGGCAGACGATATCTCACGGCAAAACCATGACCGGATCGAGATCGAGGCCGAAAAGGAACGGAGTGAAAATGTCGAACACATTGCTTCACCGCAGCAAGATGGGATGCCCCGGATGGATCCAGCTCGGCGGATAGTCGTCGAGAAGAAGCTCAAGCGTAAGCTTGATGCCCGGTGCAGCCTTTTTGTTGCTATCTACAGTGAGTACCGCTCGCTACCCTCCTTCACATCTACAAAACGACATGTAACTAATTAACTGCCCCAAAGTTCTGAATTACCTCGATAGAAATAACATGGCTGCTGCTCGTCTCAAGGGATTGCAGGAAGATCTCAATCTGAGCAACACGGAGTACTCCACATGTCTCAGTATCCTCTACGTCGGGTACATCATCATGCAGGTACCTTCCAATATGTTTATCAACCGCATCAGTCGCCCCTCGCTCTACATTGCTGTGGCTATGTTATTGTGGGGTGTTATCTCGACCTTGTCTGGCAACACAAAGAACTTTGGTGACATGGTGGGTGTCCGCTTCTTGCTGGGTTTCGTCGAGGCAGCCTTCCTGCCAGGAGCCCTGCTCATCCTCTCCAAGTGGTACACCCGCCGGGAACTCACAACTCGGAATGCCATTCTGTTCTGTGGTAATCTCATCTCCAATGCATTCTCTGCACTCGTTGGTGCCGGTGTCCTATCCAACATGCAAGGCGTTCTGGGCCACGCCGCGTGGCGCTGGCTCTTCTGGATCGAGGGCTCTGCTACTATGTTCATTGCTATCCTTGCTGCGTTCATATTGCCTGATTTGCCGCACAATGCCCGTGGCTTCACCGAGGAAGAGCGTCAAGTTGCCCAACTTCGCATGCTCGAGGATGTGGGCGAGGCTGACACCGATAGTGAAGAGCTCGGTGCGTTTGGAGGGCTCATGCTTGCTCTGCGTGATCCAAAAATCTATGTAATGATGTTTACTTTTGTTGCCTATGTGGTGGGTCTCAGCTTCAATGCTTTCTTCGTAAGTGCTTTCATATCTAACGACCAATTGGTACTTCTCACTAACTTGCTTCGTAGCCTACCCTTACTGGTACTCTCGGGTTCGAATATGTCCCGACATTGCTCATGAGCGCTCCGCCTTGGGTTTTTGCCTGTATTTTCTCTGTCATCAACGCATGGCACGCGGATAAAACACAAGAAAAGGTCTGGCACATCATTGGCCCTATAGGCATGGGAGTAGTTGGTTTCGTCATTTGCATGGCCACAAACAATGTCGCAGCTCGCTACGTCGCACTATTCCTGCAGGCGGGCTCCTATGCAGGATTTATCGTATTCTACTCATGGATCAGTTCCTCATTCCCGCGTCCTCCCGCCAAGCGAGCGGTTGCCATTGCCATGATCAATGCATTCAGTCAGTTGGGCAATGTCGCTGGCTCGTACGTCTGGGACTTGTCAGACAACGGGTATCGCTCTAGTTACGGAATTGTGCTGGCCATGTTCGGTGTCACGGTCGGTGGATGCTGGTATTTCCGCTCGATGCTGATCAGCTTGAACCAACAGCTCGAGGAGGGTGAGCTTGCCGATCATGCTAGAGGGGAGCCGGCGGAGAATGATATCCTCGATAGCCCAGATGAGTCGTTGCGTATGCGCAAGGGTTTCAGATATCTGGTTTAAATGTTTCACTGTATGAACCAGGTATTCTCCCGGTCGTTTATTGCATCTGTCTATGTTCGCATTCTATAGTCAGCACTCGAAATTAGCTTCCTTGGCCCCTCCATGTTCTTCGATCCTCCTTGGCCCCTCCATAGGTCTGCCATCTTCAGGCTCACTGTAGGCAAAAAAAAGCTCACATATCCTCTATGTGAAGACTATATTGCCCGGCTAAAAGAATACATAATTCATTGTGTGGTCTTTGTTGGCAGAACAAGTAGCATTGTATCCTTTAATGCCAGATTTAGCGAGAAGTTACTTGTTCCATTTGTCGATATACAAGTATAGTGCATTGTTGAAATAGTGATTTCCAACTTCGCTCCACTTTGGTTACTAGATACCTTCAGTTTTTCGAAACTTAGCCAAAACTGTTCTTAACTATTTCCCGAGGGCATGAGGCATTTTCAACAGCGCCGCTCAAGGGTGGCATCTACGCATTGCCCTCTGTTCCCTTGTCTCAGCTGCACAATTTCGGGATGTTGGTAGATAGGGCGTTCATGCACATCGCATATGTAGTGTGACACTTGAAAAACAGAAAGATGATGGTATTATCTGCATTTGATGCTGCCTATCGAGGGCATGCGATCCGTGATACAGCGGGCTGGTCACATTTTCCGATACTCTGAGGATTGGTCGACCTCGACGGACATACTAGTGGGTGCACTGTTGGTATAAGGTCTATGATCCCTCAAGTACCACGATGTACCACGATGTGGCCTTTGAAATCCCTCCATTTTCAGATACTGGCGTAATTTAAGTACCGGTTTGTACATGTGAACGCAAGGCATTACATAGAAATCGCAGTGCAACTTACCGGTCACATCAAGTTCCATCCTTGGCTGGGGTGTTAGCATCTGGGTTGTTGCTGTATTGGGCTGTAGCTGGCTCATCTGTTATCAGCCGGACTGTATGTACGGGTGTCCTGCGAGTTATAAGAGGTCGATTGTATGCTGCCATGAATTTATGCTGGATGCACACTTGTTATCCGCCACTAGTTGCATGTCATTACGAAAATGTGATGGAAGGTCTTCCTGTGCAATGATTTCGTCTGATGTTTGGCCATTGATCTCGCATCAAATTCCCAGTCAGCCTATAGACCCAATACTAGATATATACGTATTTGTCCGACTTCGCCATCACCCGAGACAAAGTAGCGACCTTTGGTATTATATTGAGAGAAGGTATAACGGATTATAGTATGTCCCGATGCTATTTAGCACTAGATCTAGTCAGATCGGTCCTCGCGAACTAAATTGCGGTATTGGTTATTGGGATCTTGTTCCTCTTCTTCTGCCGATGGAATTATCTTCTTTACGCGGCAAGGAGTGCCAACAGCGACAGAAAATGGCGGGATATCCTTGGTGACAACAGATCCGGCTCCAATTGTCGAGCCCTGGCCAATCCGGACACCGGGCAGAATAATCACATTACTTCCAATCCAGCAGTCGTCTTCGATAAAGATCGGATGGCCGAACTCAACGAACTTGCGGCGAGAAAGAACACTGGTATCATGGCCAGCGGTGATGATACTAACTCCAGTGCCAATCTGCACACGGTCGCCAATGATAACTAAACTGGTGTCTAGTATGGTAACGCTAGGAATTATGAGTAAGTCTCAATCAGACACAGGTAGAAAAGGCAGACTCACTTCCAGTTGAAGAAGCAGTCCTTTCCGATCATAGTGTTGCATCCATAGTCTGGCAAAAATGGTGGCTCGATGAATGTTCCATCCCCGACTTTGCCGACGAGCTTCCGCAATAATTCAAGACGCCTGTCGCTGATCTTGTCATATGTGACAGTTTTTGTGTCCAGATTGTTGTAGTCCGCTGCAAGTCCCCGGCAAAGATGCCGAGCCTCTAGCAGTTTCGGGATGTTAGGGTTATACCTAAACAGTTAACAATCTATGCATTAATTTAAGTCTGTAAGCATATTGTGAATTATACATACATCATTCCAGATATCATACGCTCGTAGTCTTCGCACATAGGTACGCCTTTCAATCCCCGAGCAAGCTCAATGATCTCAGGGCGTTTCTCAGTGGCAGCCATTTTGGATAAAAGATTGATAAGAGTAAGGAAACAGGGATAATAGAATAGACCAGGATAAGACGAGATATATCGACCAGGGTCACCTTCGTCACCTGCAAGCGGCGGGGTGATTTTGCCGACAATTGGCCGATGAGGTGGAGAGCGCCAAGATATGGCCTTCCCATTTGGGTATAACCACCAGCTTATCTATTTTATCAGGCATTCCAAGGTCACGTCATCCAGGCCTCCAGCGCTCCAAGGTTGGAAATTTACATGTTGTATAAGCATTTTGCCCAATCCATGGAGGTCTAAAAATATGAATTATGTTAGATCATAGACCAGCTGCACAAGATTCCCAGTGTACTATGTATCAAACTTGCGAATACGCCTCACAACCTCCTCCACATCAACCCAGATCCGCTGTCGATTCCGCAACCCCTTGAGCTCGTCCCAATTGAATTGAATTTGTATAAATACACGACGCCAGTCAGTATTCACTCTGGGCAATTTCATCTAGTACGGCATAACCGGCAAGTGAAATCGGTACTCAGCAATTTTCTCAGCATCAAACTTTGTGTAAGAATCTTCAGCCAAGATCCGGGCATAATCACTCCGTGATCTGACTATAGACTTGATATCGGCTGTTGTGAGGTTCGTCCAGGGCAAAGAGTTGTGTGTGCATTCAGATTCCTCCCAGACTTCCCACAACCAGGGCATTTCTTTGCGTACTAATCTGTACCACACACTGTTTGGCAGTTCAGTGAATGCTCTAGAAGCAATACTTAGCCTAGCTATATCAATAGACCCTAAATAGTCGATGATCATGAGACGAATTTCCACGGGAAGAGAAGAGAGAAAGTCGGCCTGGCAATTGTGAGATTGGGTAGCGTGGTTCGTCACGGGTTGAGACGACTTAATCTCATTAAATGAGGCATATGGGGGCGGCAATCTTTCGTCCTTTCCTGCAGTGAGAAAGATTTCTGGTAACCCAGGCACGTAAAGGGGATTGGCCACCAGATACTCGGTACCATCCTCATGGGACCACCATTGCTCTTGTGAGCTTTTAACCTCTTTGGCTCGCGGAAATGAAACAAAGGAATCCCAGTCAAACTCAGCATTACGCCATGTCATGAGGCCTGATAGATTAATGCGCTGAAATTGGACTTTGGATTGCCGGCAGAGAATATCAAAGCACCACGGATGGAATGGCATGGCTATGTCATCCGGCGCAACATCTCGCTGGCAGATGTCAGCTTTATCTTGTCCTTTCAAGTCAGTTCACATATGCATTGAAGAGATAAATACCCCGAAATTCACATTATCTGCCTCTACTTCTTCTATTCCATTTCGCGCGGGCCACACTGTCGGTATGTTCATATCGCGCGACGGCGTTCCATCACAAATCCCAGATAAAGACCAATCCCCATCGATCTCCCACGGCTCATGTAGCTCGTCAGCTCGCCATTGATCCCTTGGAAAAGGTTTATGCATCAGGAACTGGGCGGTGCGACAGCCTCTTGCCTCTTCAGGTGAGATAGTATCGGCCGAGTAGCCCGACATTGGACTATCAAAGTATCCAACGCGCAGGTCGAGTTCTCCCCTCGTGACGCTGTACGGATCAAAAGTTTCCAATACCCAGTTGCAGTGCATTTGACCTTCGAGGTGATCCTTTGCATCAGTACTGCTATTTTCTCTGTCGTCGTTGTCACGCGCATCTTCTCCGTCAATGCTCATACCGCCGGTTGATTCGTAATCCGAGTCATATTCATATGGATCACTGTCCTCGTAATCAGTTCGGAGTGGATAATCAGGATCTTTAGCCTTGTCGTCATCATCAGTGAAATCGAGTGAGTCTATATCGTTAAATTGGGTTTGAGTGTTTTCATCATCAGGCACGTCCAGTTCCCCGGATTTTAAACAAAAGATGATGTTGAAGCTCACACCACAAAGGTGGCAGTAGAACTAGGTACCAAACCATCAGACATGTCATCCACTTCCAAACGCGAAAACACAGTACCTCGGAATATCCTACACACCACTGTCAGTCATATAGACTCATAGAATTGCTTTGCGTCGGATAACATTTCTATCAACTAACCCATTCTTCTCGAATTGATTAACAATTCAGATGTTCTAGGTATCCGTACTCTGCTTCTCTACAATTCAAAGAAGAGATGAAAGAAAAGGAAAAGGGCAAAGATGCGATTTTTTCTCGTATCCGCGGCCCCTTTTTAGACTAGACCGATCCTGATGTCTCTGATTGGCCAATCCGAGGTTATCTGCCGAACATGCCGCGACGTTTACTGTGTTCGAATCTTCTAGTGGTTGTGGATATCTATGTAGTATCTGCTGTCTGAATTTCCTCTTTGATATCCCGTCAACGGCTGTCTGCAGACTTGTTATGTATATTAACTTCATCCGCATCGAGAGTCTCCCGTCGGAGAGCATCAACACCAAATGCAGCCTTGCGGTGGAATATAGTTTCCTTCTCTTCAAGTCTCTTCCCTTTAGTCTCTTTAACGAAGAAGAAGACGATGATCGCCATGATGATATCTAAGACTGCATAAAAAAGGAAAACATAATTGGCTCACGAATCCATCATGTAGCGCGTCACTAGGGAAAAGAGGAAGCTGAAAGGCCATTGTGTCTATACTGCCGGAGTGCAGGTCCCAATCTCTCGGGTTCGTGTTGGGAAGATCTAAATGTTAATTAGTAGTTGAGCTGATGGTATAGATGATCAGAGTAATACTTTCGGCTGTGTATGGCCACGGCAATGGGCCCCAACTGAATTAGTAGATTGAGTTGGTCAGGAAGATCATGGCCACTATGCCAGTAGCAGATGGGGTGGCTTTTTTATCGAGAAGCTCGCGCTTATTAAAGGCCTCGGTAGCTCGCAACTCTTTCTCAAGTCCCGATCGGATTTCATTGGACTCTGCCTTCACTTCGCGGCCTATTGAGTGCTGATTGGCCCTGTGCCCTTTCACCGTGTGGTGAGGAATATGTCTTTACCTTCACTAGCTCGCATCAATTTTAGACTTTCCCATACTTCATCAAAATGGCCCTTCTTGGTCAACCAGCGTACACTTTCGGGGACCCCACAGAGACCCGGTGCAAGAACTCCGGCGGGTACAATGTGTAGACCAACGGGAATCTGCCACTGCTTCGACGACTCGGGCAGAGTGAGTCACACGGCATATCCAATCCAGTAACTCAGCATTACGCCGAGTGCAAAAAGCCATTGCATCCCTGATCCGAGCTTGCCTCGAATTTCCTTGGGTGCCATGTCAGCGTTGTATGCTGGGACGACCGCAGTGCCTGCGCCGAGACTGACACCCGCGACAAATTGTCTGATATAGAAACAGACGAGCGAGTGTGATGGTACCACCTGCAAAATTACACCGAAGCAGAACACGCTCATAGCTCGTTGGACCATTTTCTTTCGTCTGTACGGAGTACCGCTTACCGCTTAGACACCTAGAAGATGCCCAAGGCCGATAGGAATGCGCCGACACTCTGCAAGCTTACCATCACTGCATTGACGGTTGTCTGGTCTTTATAGCTAAAATCATCGACATGGGATTTGAACTCGAGAATACCGCCTATCCATCAAAACTGTCAGCAACAATAACTAACCCAACGGATTTTCCTTTTCACTTACCAACAACTCCAGTGTCATATGCGAACAACAAACCTGCCGTACAGATACAGTATCCAAATAAATATTCGCGGAAGGCCCCGAGGCTGATTCCTGGGAGCCCCATGTTGTGCGACGTAGTATTCGAAGCTGCGACAGAAGGAGAGAAAAAGAGACTTCAAAGAACTCGAGCCGAATCTCGGGGATTTGATGTCTAAGCCTTCTAAATGAGCATTTGATCCAACAACGACTTTACATACAGCACACAAAGTGTAATGTCGGAAACGCCATAGCACGCCATATCACTAACTATCCTGTCTATCCCAGGACACCAACAGAGGCCAAATCTGAGCCAAGAAGATGCCACATACATATGAAACACCATGCGGAGATTCTTATTGCAACCTATGTAGCTATACGCAAGACCTTCTAAACGCAGTTCCAAGGTAAAATCTGGATTTGGCAAGAAACCCCTCTCCACCCGCCTTTCGGCCAGTCGTTTCGGTCGTCCCGACCTGAATAATAGATCTCTGGAATTCGATATCTACTTCTTTTATTGTAATTATTTCTTCCCCCAATATGTTGTACGTTATTACTGAGTCCTGGAGACCATCATCACTTCAGTATTAATTTCAAACTAGAAACTTGGATATCAATCAATCCGCATGGCCAAACATAATGGCATGCTTGAACTAATACAGCAAGTTCAGCTATCAATCCAGTCATCTTAACGAAGCTATCACAGGAAGTCCTCGGCATACTCCTCGTACTCCTGCATAAAGTCCTCCAGATTGAACTTATTGCTCAGTCGCTTGTCTGAAAGAATAACATTGCCTGCTTCAATGTATCCTTGCCGGAATATCTTGAACAGGGCCGGGCTTTTTGAGTAATGTGGAATAAAACGCTGGTTATCGCCCGTCACCATGGCTCCCTTGAAAGCTTGATAAACAACATCGGGATCTTGGGTCAAGTCTACCGCCTCGCATTGTCCGAAATCCAAGAGGTACATTTGAACGGCTCGGTGCTTAAAGTCCGGCCCATGGTCTCCTCCCTGGGCCTCTGTGGCCGACGTACCAAGCACAAACTCCACATCATCTCCATTGATGGCAGCGCCCCAGTGCAAGGTTGCGTAAGACTTGCCCATTGCGTTTGCAAGCGGGAGAGTCTCGATGCCAATCTGCTCCATCGGCTCAAGGTAAAGAGGAAAGTTTCTCAGCGGAGTGTTGCGATGAATGGTACCGTTAGCTTTTCCGAGGTAAACTCGTGCGAGGCAGTGCTTGTTCGCATGCTGTTTGAGAAGGGCTTCCACTCCAGTGCTATCAAGATTGTGTTCGGGAGCGCAGAACTGAGAGATCAAGGCTTTTCTTACGACTTTCGGTAACGGAAGAATTCGTTCCATCATGACAAGGTCCCCGCGCACGCGGTACACCTGGGGAGTTTTTGGTAGAATTTCATCCCAGAACGCGCTGTTCTCGTCCCTGGAGATAAACTTGACAGGTTTAGGAATGTGGACTTCGCTGTTGATGAAGTGGTATTTTTGAGACGTAGCCCAAACATCACAGTGCAAAGTATATTCATGGTAGAGGTTAGATCGCCGTGTTTCGTTTCCAGGTGTTTCCTTTTTCATAGCCAAGGGCTTGCCAACCTGTTCAAAGACCGACCCCTGTAATCCAGCTCCTATTTGGTTGAGCATTTGCAGGTGGGTTTGAGAACGCGCATTTTGAAAACGGATGCTAAAGGACGAGGTGGTGGAAATGACAGTATTCAAGCTCAGAGATCTTTTTAGAATTGCCATGTCTTCCATAAGGCCAAGATTTGTTGCCAGAAATCGTTGAGAAATTCTTGCGCTTTGTGCAATAGACAGGGCTTCTGAGGTTGCTGATTCATCACTGCTTTTGCCTTCACGTCGTTGAGCCATGTTGGCTTTGTACTGAGAGATGTTTTGTGTGTTGGTGGACTGTCGTTGAATGATTAAAGAGCTTGGTTATGACGTTCATGGGCCACGTGCCAGTCCGCCCCTTCTTTGGGTTACGGGAAAACAAGTAACGCAGATGCAGCAAACAAATGTAGCAGATGAAAGAAGCGTGTTAATATCGTCGGGTTTGCTTTGTGATCCGAGGGAGAATTCTTATTGAGAGGTTAGTCCTCTTCACAAGTGAGAGCAAGTTATGATTTGAAAATTGGTTCGTTTTGATGCTCGTGTATAAAGCCCAGTACTTACCAGGGCCTCATTCAAGGTTGATTGCAAGGTAACCTTTGACTCTATAGGTGCAAGCGGGTCAAATAATGTAAAGCAGATGCGAATGTGGTTGAATGTCAGAGTTGGGACTGGGCTGACAGCTTCCTCTTTTCGTTTGCCCTCCTACCAGTACAAACCCTTTTTTCAGACTTTGTTTCTCATTTTTCTTCAACCAGTCTCTCTTTCTTCACCTCTGTCTCTCTTTTCCCCTCCATCTGGCACTCATTCCTCCGTTCCTCAGCTAATTTCTCATCTCTCTATCTTAAACTAAAATTATTACATTTCTCGTCATCAACAAAGGTAACCAAAGCAAATCACCACACCTAGGTAGGCACTTTCTGTTGATTAGCTAACCTGAATTTTGCAGCCCTGGAGGTTGCCAAATTCAGACGGCCACTACGACTACGATGTTGATCCCACTCGCTCCGTCTGAGCATCCTAACCAGCTTCTGCGGAAGCTAGGCGCCGACCATAACCCAGACCTTCCCGTTAGCTTTGCCTTCGGGCTGGTCGGCCTACAGCGAGGCTGGAAGCCAGGTTCTAAGACTTGGAAGAAAAATTGGAATTCCTGTATGAACAGCGAGTATGACCGGCTCATCGGCTGCCGTGTGAGTAGCCTAGTCACCTGGCAGGAGCTGTGCACCAAAGTGGGCATCAATGATTCCTTCACGTCCATTACCCAGTGTAAGAAGGTAATTTCCTAGTCTTAAGCAAGGCAACATCACCTGTTGATTGGCGTATATAGGCACTGGCTCGTGTCCATGTGAACATCGTTGACCTCCTGGATTGCTGGAATTCCGATTCCACTCCAATTCGCTTTAAGACCAAGGGAGCTCTCGCTGCATACACCAAGGCCAACAACATGTTCTTCAGTCGACACATCGCTAAGCAGGATAAGGTACTCCATGTTCTGCTCCGTAAGCTGCTTTAAAGGGGCCCACTCATCCGATCTGTACGGCATATGTCACTTTGTAGACCTATGATTCCGAGTGATGTTTTTCATGGACTACATGGAACACATTATATGAACAGGGATTGATGGAATGGGAGAGCTTTGGTCTCAGGTAGCTGAGATAACGAAGAGTTTGAAACATCGAACCTACTATTACTAGTACATCTCCGACTTTCAATGTAAATTCATCGCGGTGAAAATGTCAACTGGGGTCTACGTGATATCTAATATTCTACGTGATATCTAATATCGTACCTCCCCGATTGTATGCAACTTCAATGCCCCTTTTTGAATGATGTCGCAGCTTCCTCTCTCTCGTCTCATTGTTTCTTCACATCACGGTCTCATTCTTTTCACCTCTCTTTTTGCCCATCTGTCATCTTCATCGGCCACTTATTTCTTACCACCCGCAATCGTCCATCTTCAAACCTCTCACTCTTCTGAAATGACTATGTATTTATTTATCATAGTATCTACCCTGACTGATTCTGTGATTGCTTTAGCATTCTGGGCGCTCCGGTATGCGATGTAGAAAAAAACCATTCAATATCAGGGACAACAAGATAAAATATTTGATATTAGCCCACGACAATACTACCATCGAATTCCATTGACAGCAAGATATGACTGATCAACAGATGTGTCAATTTAACAATGACGTTAAGAATCCCCGAACGAGAAGCACGTTGAAGCAATTTAATCCACATTTCCGATGCAAGGCAATGGTGAAATTTTCTGTCGAATCACAGGTCCGGCCAGCATTGGCAAAACCTTTTGATCATATCCTCTGGGTTCTGCTGCGCAAGCTTCTCGAAATTTGTATTTCAGTCATAGCTCCACTATGTAGTATGTAGAGATTTTGAGTGTTTACATGGTCTCTATCAAGTATTATCACACCCTCCCTTGCTGCTATGGCTCAAATGTGTATTCCTTCCCAAGTGGCCGTCGCTACTTTTCTTTTTCCAGATATCCATACATCAGGTGAGTGAAGACGACATGCAGTATGCAACAGCCTAACACTACAGGCACGAATAACACAGGCTGAGCAGGCGAGCCTGCTCAGTGAGAACCACATAATATCCATTTATTTCTTTACTATCATTCTCCAATGTTACGCTTTACAACAAGCCTTCCCCTTCTAATTCTATTTCCATGGGACCTTGGCGTCTTCGAATACCTGTTCAGCGGCAATAGGTTCAACTCTCGAACCGCTGAGAATGCCACATTCCACTATGTTGTTGGAGGAGGAGGTACATCAGGTCTAACCGTTGCGGCACGACTCACAGAGCGGAGACACAAGGTAGCTGTGGTGAAGGCAGGAGGTTACTACGAGTATGTTTATCCAATGGCTCGAGTACCAGGATCTTGCAGTCTTGGGGCTAGTGCGGATATCCAGACCATGACCCCAATCGACTGGGGCTTTGTAGTACGCGGTGTGCCAGGCACAAATTTTCGTGATGTTTATTACCCAAGAGGCAAGTTTTTAGGTGGATCGTAAGAGATCATCGAGCTGATACTAATGATATTTGCTGACTTGTATCAGGTCTGGATCAAATTTCATGATATACCAGAGGTCAGCCAGCTACAGAATTTGAGGCCGTGTATAGTGCTTATTTTCAACAGACCCTCTGCATAATCCATGGCTAAGTGGGCAGAGCTTGTCGACGATCCCATTTATCTCTTCGAAAATGCATTGTCATTCTTCAACAGGTCCGTCTCCTTTTCACCCCGGATGGGAACTCGTTTTGTGAATGCTAGGCCCAATAGTACAGTCTCTCCGCAAAAGTCTCCCGTACAGTCGAATATCGATACCAGTGTTTACGCGAATACCTAAGTATTTTTCCGAGCATAGGGCGCGGAGTTGAGGCTACGAAGGAGCATAGCGGCCAGTGATAAATAGACTGTATTTTGTCATTGGTGCCTGATTTTGGACGGGCAGAAAATTAAAATACCTGAATTACTATTATAAATTCCTTAGTAAGCTGGGTATCTCACCTGGGCATCTGGGCACTTCCAGGGCTGGGCAATTCCCCAGCTGAGGCTAAAATATCACTCCAAAAATAAAGCTTTTCCTGCTATATAAATCTATACATCACCACTTTTTTAGGTGGTTGACTTTCAATTCCTCTCTCTCTCTTCCTCTCGGTCTATCCACGCCTTCTTCTTACTGTCAACCACTACCGCACGCCTAGCCTTACCACTGCTTACTTGCTACCTCACTGCCCTTCTCGAGGTAAACACCTGAGGCCGGGAATACTGATTTCCACATCGTGTGTATCACGGAGATAGATGCGAATGTCGTTATGCGTAGTGCCTTGAATAAGGAGACCGAGGATTCGTCTTTGTAAGGATCAATATCAATATAAGCAGGTATAGCGATGAAAGTATAGAGTAGTGAAAATGCAGAGAGGTAGAATAGTTGGATGTATACAGTACGTGGTATTAGGCGGTGTAAAAGGCGGTCTATAATTCAGGCAATAATTTTTAATTTGGACGAAAATTGACAAAATACAGTCTATTTATCACTGGCCGCTATGCCCCTTCGTATGAGGCTTTAATTGAGGCAAATGGATGGTACACTAAGTATCAAAAATCATCTAAATCCTATAGCCAATCGGCTACCTGAATTATATCTTTTTATCTTTTTATCTTAAAAATTGGGGGAAGTAAAAATTGAATTAAATATGTAGGTCATACTTGGTGAAATCAAGAGTGTGTAATATATACAACATATTTGATGGGGCCCCGACTGTACGGAACCTTTTGCGGTAGAACTGTAACTAGTGCATTTTATAGAGATGGTGTTTGGAGTTGCAGGCTTGCGAGTTGTTGATGCGAATGCATTTCCGAACCTCCCACCTAGTCATCCTCAATCAACGGTTTGTGGGCGTTGCACTTTCCGGTTTATTATATCATTTCTAATGGACCTCGAGACATGCTACGCCGATATCATTTCCAACGGATCAAAGTAAGGATTCTCGTTTTCACCTACGTATGAAACAATGAGTAGCATACAAGCCTTTTCCAACTATGAGAGGAAGTGAAATTAGAACATAATTGTCTCTATTATCACCATGTATCTTCTAAATACATTTGATTCAATGTATCAAACATATTATAGTCGGTGGGTAGACAATTGGCCGAGAATGCAAAGCCGAGGTTGTTGATAAACACATCATCGGGGTTAGGGGTTCCAAGTTCAACCATGCTGTTGTTATCGTGTTGCTGGTTATTGCTCGAAGTAGGGATATCAACCCAATTGATATTTGGAAGTGGTGGGGCCAGCAAGGCATTTTCAACTTGCAGGTCTTTCGGGTCGAGCAGACTTTGGAATGGCTCAGTTGGAGCCATGGACCCTTGATAGAGATTCGTATCTGCCGGTTCGTACGGAGTTTTGCATGGACAATTATATTCCAATGGAGGGGCGGGTGGCATATGATCAATATCACAGTTCAGTCGTTGGCAATATAATTTCTCCAGATTCCGTCCAATACGTTTTGCGATATTCCAGGAGGTTGAGAGTTCCCGCAGAACCTGGAGGCAGAGTCCCACAGCTGCCTGTGGCGATTGGCCTCGCAAGGCCTGGTTATCTATGCCAGGTTTCACAGTGGGATCACCGCACCATTTTTCAATGATTATCGATGCCGCTGATAGCATGCAATGTGTGGCTGTGATAGGGCTCAGCTTAAAGCTGCCAAATGTCTGTCTATATTTCTGGGCCACAATGCACATTCCTCGGGCGGAGCTGCTGCATATTGTCATGACTTTCTGTTTACAGGCAGTCTCCGATGCTCTGCGGTTGCTGCTCTGTTGTGTATGTGAGTCTGCATGATTGCCAACATCTTGAGTGGCAGAGTTGCTCAGAAATGGCACGCAAAGTAAAATGCACACAGTATGGTATACCATGCATAGGGTGTAGGTGTGAGGAAATCGGGAGGGACCAGATGGGCGGTCAACTTTGAGCTCCGGGGAGAGATCGTAGTACCAGGTCTTGAGTTCAAGCACACAGGAGTCAAAGAATGCAGAACGTTGGTTGGGTTGGAGGAGTGGCTTTGGGGACCATCTTGGGTGATTTAGGTCAGTGAGACAGGTAAACGCGAGAAATGATATCATAGACTCACAATGAAAGAAGAACTCTCTCGAATATACGACATAGGTCAATCATTGCCCTATGCAGCTGTACCACGTCTCTTTGAGAAGCAGCCCTTAATTGTCCATTGCCATTTGCTGAGGGCAAATATGCATCCAAGGCACACAAAGGGAATGGTTTGTTGACGACACCCTGGGAGTCCTGTGCGACAAATAGTGAGTTTGATGCGAAAAAAAGAATACTCTTTGTTGTACAGCATACCAGTAACGTGCACACCCTGCCTGTGTAACTTGCTGACAGTTTGTCGTGGCAATACAGAGCCCAATAGATCTGCCTTCTCAACTCAATCTCGATGGGTGGAAGAGCAACTGCTCCGGAAAGGACCGAAGGATCCATGTTGAAACCCATATCTAGGGCCAAGCGATTGGCCATACCTTGATGAAGCCACCCAGCAGCATCAGACCCCATTGCCTGCCAGATGTTAGTTTAATTGGCGCTTTGCATAAAAGTCTGTGATATACGACTTACGATATAGGCCATGCCCATAATTGCCAGTGACTGGATTGTTGTAATCTTGGGCCATCTGAGATCATTTTGGATCAATTTTTCTGCTTTCTCAAGAAATATCTTGCCGCCCGTGTTGGAATCGTTGGGGTCTGATCTCACTTCTATACGGTCGCAGTATCGTGATCCTACAGCGAGGATGCAATTTAGAAGAAGTGGGCTAAAGTAGCGCCCACCATTTCTCATGGAATCTCGAAACAGTTGCTCGTTTACCATTTGAAACCACGGCTGTTCCCACTCAAAATACAGGTCAATCAAATGAGATCGGAGTCTGTCTGGGATCAAGCTTTCTTCTAACGAGTCCGTACTCCCATTCAGCGGTGTTTCACCAGTCTGCGTACGAGGGCCGTCGGACTGGTATGGCTCTCCATTGGGCGGATCTAGAGGTTGTTAGCGAACTTCTATGCTGGGTGGGAAGGGGAGCTACTACAGCTTGCCTTTTAATGATGATCGAAACAGCAATCTCCCACTTGTCGGTCCAAAATACCGCACTTCGCCATCTTGATCGAAATTCATTGACTCATCAAGCGTCAGTGCACCGTCAAACGTAGTACATAAGTCATCAACATTCGAGCAAGCCGGAGCCCACTCGGTGCTAGGCTCGGTATTCTCCGTCATTAGTTGGATGGCAGCATCGGGATCAATGCCGTGTGTTTGCAGTACACGCTCTAAGAGTTCAATTCGATTCCGCAGCATGACTACATAAGACTTGGGCGCTGGCTGCCGCCCGTCCTCTGCTGTGGAGTACTCGCACTGAACACCACGCTCAAGACAGCGCGAGCAAGATGGTCGAATGCCATCACACTATCTTAATATTAGCGCTGAGTTCGGATAATACATTGTGTAACACTATCATCTTACCTTAGCTCGTCGCTGTCGACATGTCTCACAGGCTCGGGAGGTATACTTTCTACCCGGTCGCTTGCGCCTAGCAGGTTCATCTGCCGGAAGGGGCATAGCTGAATGATATGCGAAAAAGCAAGATAATGAATTATTTTCGTCAAGTAGACTCTAGTACTTTATACTTAGGAACATTGAAAAGCCTTTAACTATTTAGGATAGAATGGCAAACTTTCCTAGGTTCATTGACCTTGGAAGGTTTCAATCTCACATTACAAAGCAATGGACGGCATTCGGCCTCAGGCACATATATGCCTTAATCTTTAGGCCACAATATCTGAACATGTAGTTACCTCGATATCCCGCCTTTTATACCAAAATCGTCGCGTGCTTATGCCTGCAAATGTTTTTTTTTTTTCCCTTCAGACCTCTTTTTTGAAGTCTTTCTAGATGTCTTCTAGGACGGAATAAAAAAAGGTGTAAAATGTGCAAAGCGACTTTTCCACGTATAACATGTGATTAGTGTGTAGCAATTTGACAAAATGACTTAGTTATTTTTCATCTATTTAGTTGAGTCCTTTTTCCAAAAAGAAAAGATCAAATGCGGATGCCATATCTGAAAGAAAGAGGTATGGGGAAACGGCAGGCTAGATATATATTGCGGATGCAGCCGCATAACTTCAGAGAAAATCTAAAATCTCACAATTCACTAAGATCCCTCAATGTAAGGGTGTACATAACTACCTCTTGTCATGATCATAGAGTTTCATGCTAGACAGGCGTGATCTGTTATGCAGTACGGGGCCAAACAAAGTAGGAAGCAGATCAGTGCAGGCTACATTGGAAAGGGTAAAGTTTACTCGGGGAGTATCTACTGTTAGCTCTAAGATCACAGTGAAATGTTGTGTACGGAGTATACTAGATCCTGTTTCATGAATCATGATACTATGTATACCTGTTATTGCTTTGATAGTACAAAGTAGAAAACGATGGGAAGATCACTAGAAACGTAATGAAGTGAACCATCAGCTGACTACCCCGCAGACCTAGAGAAACGAAGAACAGACATGAAGAAAAAAAAAAGGAGCAACTTTGAATGTGGCCCCCGACCATTCCGGTCCTATTGGCCTATTCTTAGGATGTTCGTGGATTATAATTTGCGCTTAGAGGCGGGGGATGTAGGTAGAGTTGGAGTATGAAGTACGGGGTAGAATCTAAAAAGATTGTGTGATCATCATGGTATATCACTAGGCTTCCTCGACCCCAGATTCCAGGATTGATATGAACCACGCCAGTACAAAGTAAGGGCGTAAAAGATCAACTAATTCTTTTTCTTTTTCTTTTTCTTTCTGTGAAATAAGTAATTGTTCATCCGGTGAAACAACTGGTGTAATATGGCAAGTATTCCATATTCCCAGTCATAATATGCAAGTGGTGCAGTTGGAGAGGAAATCCAACTTCTCATTGTATGGGGAATTAGGCACTACATCCGGTGGCGTCCAATTAAATTGAAGAAGTATTTACTTTTTTTTCTTTTTTGGCCGTTTCTATTTTACTGTTTTCGGTAGAAATATGTTGTATGGTTGGACGGCATGAAGGGATCTGGAAATAGACTCCCTATATTGTACCTCCGTAGTCTCCGTACATGTAGACAAAAGTACTAAAACCCAGACCTGGTATCAATTAGCTAGTACTCCATAGTTCGTACTTGTATGGAGTAGTGCTTCTAACAATGTTTATAACAGTGTATATAGGTTACCATGTGTTTAACACCTTCAAATGTCATGACGTTGAGTTTGGCAAATATGGGATGTATACAACGAGCTCTCTATAGCGTATTTCTCTATAGTGTATGTATCTTCCCCACGGAAGTGATTAACGAACAAAATCTCAATCCTACATGATGTATTACACATATGTGTTCATACAAAATTATTCAAGATATCAAGTAAAGAATAGGGAACAGGAAAAACAAAAAAAAAGAGGTGGGAAGTACGTGGTGCAGGAAAACGCACAGCTCGCCAATCACCGCCCTCGACTCCTTCGATTCCTCCTCCCCCCCCATCACCACTCTTCCTAAACAGTCTCTCGACATTTTCATTTTTACTCATTCTTGTGACCCCAGGTCTCAATTTTGAAGTTCAGTTCCCTTTCTCGGGTCAGCCTCCTCTGGGGTTGATGTTGTTGAAGCGCGTCGCTGTCGCGCCATTCCCCGCAGACACGGCTTCCGTTATCCTCCGCCTTAACATTTCGTGTTTCGGTCTGTGGTGTTGTCTCTACACTTCTTAACCCACAATTTTGACAGTGGATTGGTTATCTGCCGTCATTCTAGAGCCCTCGAATTGATCTGTTCCCGATTCTTACAACTTCGCTATGGACGGTTGATGCTACGGATGAATCAATAACCTCGATTAAGGGCACCCGCGCTGCCCAGCAGACGGTTCTGCTTGGCTGGAACAGTATCCTTGTTTTATTCAATTTATCTTGATTCATCGCACTGTCCCCTCCCTACCCCTTGACCCTCGAATTCCGCTCGGTCGCTCGGGCGAGTCAGCATGGCGAATAATGATTCCCCCAAACCACAATTCCTCGCGCCTCCTGCCGTGACAGCGCTGCGGCAGGAGGCTCGGAATATCGACCCAAAGATGGCTCGAACATTGAGTGATAATATGCGAGAGGAACGTGAGGATTTGAAGGAAGCGGCCGAACAGACATTGAACATCATTGTAGATATGGACCTGGATGGTTGCATCAAATGGGTCAGCCCATCGTGGAAGCAGGTGGTTGGTTCATCCCCTGAGTCAGTCGAGGGCCATATAATATCGGAAGTTCTCTTGGGCAACAAGGATGTGTTTCGCGATGCGATCGAATCCATGAAGCAGGATGATTCACGGAGTCGCTTCATTCGCTTTGCTCTCCAGATGGGACCTGATTCTGTCCTCAAGTACTCGCCTGAACCACCCCCGGCGGCTACAAAGGAGCAGGCTATCGGAGATAAGGGAGAGGACAGCGTTGAGAAATCCCAGGAGCAAGAGCAAGAGCATAATCACAATGTGCTCAACATGGAGGGACAGGGAATCATGGTCTATGATAGGACGGACGATGAAGCTGGCCATGTGCGTAACTCAACAATGTTTACTGGCCTACCGCTGTATATACCGCTGACACCTTGTGAATACAGACTATGTGGATGTTACGACCGCTCACCGAGCCCAGAGAAGTGACAATTGACCTGCCGCCTCTGCTGGTGGAGTCTTTGGGTGTTGGAGCGGAGGTGTTAGCAAATTATTTGACTGAATTGGCTGAGGCTGCAGCGACAGAACCTGATCCTTCCAAGCATCCCGCCCCGACCCCGGTACTCTGCCGCATCTGTGAACGCCAGATTACGCCATGGTGGTTCGAAAAACACTCAGATCTGTGTCTACAGGAACATAGGGCGGAGATGGATGTTCAAATGGCACAGGAAAACCTCAATGAGCATCGGCATGTCATTGTCAAGGTCCTGGATGCTTTAGAGGCCCGACAAGGCAGACCTTTCATCGGGGGCGATGGAAATCCGATGCCTCTCCCCCAAGCCGAGTACAAGGGACTAGCCATTGGTCCCTCGTCTGCCAGCTCTGTTCTGTCGTCCGGCCATGTTTCAGGCAGTAATTCAGCGCCCGGGACGCCACCTCGGTCGCGAGAGCATTCTGCGTCTGGGCCTATTCCAACCCGACCCCGCTCATTCACAGTGCGCAGACCACTGGCTCGCATCGTGGAACTTGTTTTAGACCTGTGTGATACTGCACTAGAGATTAGTATGCCGATGATCAAGGAATCTTCCCGGACAGATGCAGAGGACTTCCGGACATTGTCACCACAATCTGAATCGAGGATCTCCCAGGTTCTTCAGTGGCAGTCCCCCAGTTCCAACACCTTGGAACAGGAGCAGGGTCTGGCCGCTTTGTCGGCAGATACCGAACAAGTTGCTAAGACAAAAGTTGATGCCGTTGTGCGTCATCGCAAGATTGTTGAATACGCCGAACGAATTCGCATAGAGTACACAGTTCTAGTCGAGGAATGCATCGGCGCAGCGCTAAGCAAAGCGGAACGTATAGCTGCTGGCCAGCTCAGCGATTCCTCGTGCTCATCCGATGAAGAAGTGACGCCCGAGAACACTGTCGACAACAATATTGCTCTGGACGATGCTAAGAGTATTGTTGAGGGAGAGTCCCTATCTCAAATAATGAGCCACGAATTGCAGCAAAAGCCATATCCAACGGCACCATCTCCGCGGCGACCGACATCTGCGCTGACTCTGTCAATGCGTAATTCACCAGATCGGTCATTCCTCCCACAATCGGAACGCAGACCCTCATCGGCAGCGGTATCTACGGGCTCTAACAGCCCATTAGAATGCCCCACCCCGCGATCACATAAGAGTGCTTCAGGACTTCTAGGTACATCACAACCATCTCGACTGGGCCTTTCTCTTGCGGAGATTGATGCTGGTGACAGCAGCGATAGCAGTTTGCCGTCTTCTGTCTTCCCAGGAGCTGTAAGAACAGACTCACCCTCATCCGAGAGGAGCTTCGATCGAAAGCGTCGGAGCCTGGTTCTGCCCGGACTTTCGAGTTCTCCTCGTCGGCAGCCTTCTCCCGCTCGAGTTTCAGGCCCGCATTCCCCGTTGCGCATGCCGAAGCCCCGTATGTCTAGCGGCGGCGAAAGCCTGCCGTCACCAGTAGCATCTCCTTCTACATATGCAAGTGAACTGGCCCTCCATCACTGCCGCCACCATCGTCGGCAGTCCTCGGCGACTTCTTCAGATGTTGCGAAGCCACCGCCTTCCCCACGCCTACCTTCGATGAGCCAGCAACAGCCTCGCCCTGCTCCATTGTCTATCCGTGATTTTGAAATCATTAAACCAATCAGCAAAGGTGCTTTCGGCAGTGTCTACTTGGTAAAAAAGAAGGCCACTGGCGAATATTATGCGATGAAAGTTCTGAAGAAGGCCGACATGATTGCCAAGAATCAGGTCACCAACGTCAAAGCTGAACGTGCCATTATGATGTGGCAAGGGGAGAGCGACTTCGTTGCCAAGCTTTATTGGACATTTTCTAGCAAGGATTATCTTTATT